CGATTTTTGGGGTGCCTAAATGTGGGGGGTGCCTAAATGTGGGTGCGGGACGTTATATGCCGGGCCGAACCCTGTTCCTTCTGTGGTCGGTGGCTATGCATACCTCTGTTTGCGCCTGCCTCAATACCAACTGTAATTTTGGATAGCACGTGCGAGGGATTGTTTTGCCTTAGCCAGCCGTTTTTGGTGACTTGACCTTGCATGTATTCCTGAATCCGCCATGAACTGCTTCGAAACCTTATAGACCATTGAGTATACTGTTTGCAAATTGAAGCTAAAGTCAGCGAATAACTGAAACGTCGCGCTCTTGTTGCTCACACAAGGTAGTTTTTAGGTAACCCAAACATTACTTTCTTTTATGTTCTTAGCCCTGAGGCTCAGAGCCAGCAACAAGACCTTTTCACTGCGTTACTCACGCCGGTCTGAGCACCTATCCTGAAACTTCAACGTTGTGAAGCAACCAGTAACGGGAGTAGCTAGGCAGACTTCAGAAACAGGAAGTAGAGTTATAATTCGAGGTTGCACTATTATCCTTCACGGTTAAAATCTAGTAAATTCGAGATAGGGTGCATGTGCTTTATCATCGTGGCGTACTTTGATAATACCTCAACCCACTTGCCTTGCTGCTGCTGCTGAACTCGTAACATCCCATTTTCATATTCTTCCTTAATATTTTTTCTTCGTCCTTGACTATAGCATCTACTATACGCTCCCGGTATTCACGCGGCAAGAGCTTTCAAGCCCCGGTCAGACTCTGCTACAGTTTAATATTGTGATCCTAAGGATCCCGACTCATATACCAAACTGAGACGTAGAACTTTTGATCAAGCTGACCCAAGAAAAACTACCGTTGTGTCATACGGAACTTTATACACTATTTTCGGCGTGAAATGGTTATGGAGATTTCCCAGACTCTTACACGATAACTGACGCTGAAAATGCGGGGTTATGTCTCTGTGAGAGGAGAAAGTCATTCCTCATTCTCAAGACCGGGGCAACCTGTGGTTTCACTGCCAGGTATATGCTAGAGAACAGCTCGGTAAAGAGGAGGCAGGACTCATGCTGCTAGAAATCAGTACACGTACACAAATGTATGACAAACAAAATGCCAGGATTATCGGGACTTGGCCGGCACCCTGCTGGATTTATTATAGAACGCTCCGTAACAGAGAGTAAGTTTTTGTGTAGAGTGAGCTTCCCGCTCTTTCCATGTGCGTAATCTTGAAGGTATGGCGAAGTTGACTTATGCTGTGTAAAGGTTAGAATTCGACTATGAAGCTTCCGGCTTCTAACTGTCCACCACAATCTCTCTACCGAAGGCTTTTGAGTTCACTAGAACCAGGTATTAAATCATACTACAGAAGAAGAGGAAAGACATTTGCTGACAAATATTTATGTGTGTACCTAGTATTCTAGTCTATGGCTTCTACTATGATCGCGGCTCTGATTGAAGATAATAGACAAGCCGAAGTGAAGTAGAAACGAAAGCAAAAGGAAAAGGATATTAAATATGTGCATATTGGGATACAAGATCTGACTCAGCGTTTCCACGAAGTATGGGAGTCCAGACAAGTATGGTAGCTCTTTGGCAAACAGCGGGTTACAACGGTAAGTGCAGTAAATTGTACGTAAATATATGCACGGCGATCAACCAACAAAAATCTTGCTTTCTTGCCTACACTATACCATGACTCGGTGAAGCTCAAATAAGGTTACGTTTCGCTGTGCAGTTCTTGTGCTAACGGCGCCCTCAAAATCCCCTAATCTTGCTTGTATACATAAGCCGTCAGATAAGGTCAATTAAGCGAGATTGTACAGCTTGCGCTTTGTCAAGAAGATCTGTAAAGTCTTTTGCGTTATAATAACCCGGGCACTTCAAGTACTAAAAGAACGTGTTAGCGGTGCTGGTGACCTTTCAGCCATCACGTTTGCGACTAATGATTTGCAGCCGTTTTTTAGCTTGAAAGGTTATTAGGCGTAAGGTTCTGCACCATGTGAGGAAGCCACAAAGTGCAGAGTCGATGCTAATACTTGCCTGTAAGAGACAACCTCAACTCTTGAGAACTCTAAAATTTGAGTTTGAAGACTCTCTTCGGCCATAGACTATAGCTGACTCAGTACATAGCATCTTACATGGATTAAGTAAATTAATCTGACGGAGATGGCTTGAACGGTTTGTAGACAGCTACAAACTTAGGGAGTTAATAAGCAGTGTCTGTGGAAGATGAGAGAAGCTACAAAGGTGTATTTCGACTCATTAGGGTTACTTCGAGGTAGTGATCTGCTCAGTGTCATGTCCACAGTCGCATGCATACAAAAAGGGCCAGGAGTCGAGACAACGAGCTTTCAAATCACTAGCTCAACTCTGCGACAAAGTCAGCTGACTGCTTAGCTCTAAAGGTTAGATAAACGGCCGCAACAACTCCTGTGACTTCTTTCCGAGCGGGGACATTGGCTTACCCAAGCTATAGCGGCTTTGGTTGGATTTGTATAACTGCCATTGTCAGGTGGTCTGGCTGGAGCTAAGACAAGCAGTTCACGTGTGGACCTAGTATACCTTAGCCAAGCTGTTTCGTTGCTCCCTTTTTGCAAACCTAACTGTTCCCCGCATACAATGAACTCCACATACCTTGCAGAGAAATCGTTCGTTTAGGAAAAACATCCGCCGGTATTAAGCGCGGATACTAGCATAGTTGCTGACAACCGCTTAGAGTGGTGCATTGACTAGTTTTATAACCTATGCGTTACTCGTGTTTCCAAAAACTCCACTTAATATGCTTTTCTGATTTTGGTGAAGTATTTTTTCCGATTATTGAGTTACATAAAAATCATGAAATCACAGAGGGGCAGTCGAGATTGAGTATTTCGAATCTCGTGAGTATTGTCAGTACTCTGCATTGGACGCGAGTCCGGTAAAAGCCTGATATGTCTAAAGTTCAGAGCCAGTATCTACAAGTATATACAAATGGAAAATGTCTCATAAGAGAGGACACCTGTTACGGCCAGCTAGTGACAGTAGGGTTTCTGCTAACAGAAGTTGAGGCTACGATACTAACAATAGGTCTTGCGTCGTATACAGGTATGTCGTACTGGTAGATCGAGGGTTAGGGTAAGGTGATCAGTCTTACACTAGGTAACGAGGTATAGTAATATCACAAACTGTGAGCTAAGCTGAAAGTCATCGAGGATGAATTACAAGTTGATTGCTGAAGAACTATCTAGAGGGCTTGAGCAGGTGCTCAAGTCCTGGTCTATATACAAGTCCCGTTTCCCAAGGCCGACGTCCGCGTCGTCGCTTGCCGATATCTCAATTGTCGGCAGCCGACATGCCAAGAGTCGTATCTCTTATTCCTTTCTTATCATCACGTGACTTGAACATAGTTCTTCCTTTTCCGGCGGGGCGACCCTTGTCCCTTCCGTCGCCTGCATATATCTCTAAAACATCAACAACAGCGAGAACGAAATTTTTGAAAATCGGAGCAAAAACGGCCCCAAATACGCGTGCTCGCGGCCACAGAGCCCCCTTCGATGCAATGCCATCCTCGGCCTTGATTCTACGTCCCAAAGGGGCCCAAGATGGCCGCAGAGCACGCCCCGACTACAATGAAAAACTTGAGAGCAAGCCGCAAAATACGACATATCAATAGACAACACTGTTACCACCACCACAGGCGAGCCACAAGCCGCTACACGAAGCACTAAGACTGCGCCCAAACAATCAACTTCAACACAACAGCCGCCGACAGGTTTTGGGTCACCTGTCACCCCCGACAAAGTTTGCAACGTCCCACAACGACGAAGATGAGTCCGACAGAACAGTATCACCTTCCGCACGGAGAAAGCACCAGGCATTAGGCATGCTACGATCGATGCCACACAATACTACAGACCATAGACAGACTGGTCCCCTGTCGCCCCTTTTGCGAAGAAGGATTGGTGTCCCTTCAACGCGCGACAATGTCTGCGGAATCTGTGCGGGAGCTCTCATACCCAGTAATCGAACATGTCGGAGTCAGTGGAGCATTGTGCTTCGTGGAAGACCCTTGGGCCAATGTGGTGGAGGGCAATAGTGGTCAACAGGCAAGAAACAAGAGGCCACATAGGAACCCGGCAGGAGGCAACAAAGAATTTACAGATGCAACTGAGAAAACGGCACATACAAGTCCGGGAGGATACGGACAAAACAAAGAGACAAAGCTGAGCGCTGGGGGGAGACTGTAGGTACAAAGAACCAGATACGGTGCTACCAGCACCAACTGAACCGAAGCAGGAGGACGCAAAACAAGCATTCTAGAGAGCAACACAAAAGCGAGAAAGCAGACAGGAGAGCAACACACTTCTTCAACAGAGGGCACAAACACACAGAATAGAGAACATAGTGGGGAGCTTGGGGATAGCTGGCCCTGATGCAACATCAGGGCGAAGTGGGGCGTCGCTGTTCATTGTCGACGCTTCGGCTACCTGCCAAACCCCGCTTTCCGGGCATAGCTGCTGGCATAAGAGCGGCTTCATAACCGAGTAGGAATAAATCAATCAATCAATCAAGCCTGCATATATCTTGTCTCTAGCCGCTGTCCTCGAGTGGGGCTAGTTTCTCTGTTAGGCATACTTAACGGGTCGTAACAACACCTAGTACTGAATAGGCGGTATCTAGGTTACTGCTGCACAGAATTGTAAGATTGCGTTATTTAAGAGCCACAGGCTGGTAAAGATGTACAAGGTTAGAACTCTAGAGAAGGTAACAGTCGAGAGACGCGTAATGTGAACAGGGGTGAAGTAGTGAAGGAAAGAATCAGACATAGCACAGAGAGCTGCTGCCAAAAACATATAAAAAGAGTAATTCTGCCGGAGTATCTCGTCACATTCTTGCCCTTCCTCTTTATACCTCCTCATATTCCAGGCTTCCAACATCCCATTTCATAAACACACTATCAAGATGCGCTTCTTCCTTTTGTCTATCATTCTCGCTGCTGCGCCATTCGCCGCAGCCGGGCCGGAGCCGATTCAGCCCTTCCAAGGCGAAGCCAGTCCTCATCAGTTACATGTTCGCAATGTTCTTCTAGACACAAGAGGAAGTCTTGCTTCATGCTGCTCAACTAAGTTTGTACCTCCCTGCGACTGTAACAATTGCCCCGTTGGTCAATGTACTGTAAGTGTTACACGTCCATACCTCTCAAAAGTCCCGTTCTAGGATAGATCAGATTCTCTTCTTTGGTTCGTAATTTAAGCATAGCTAACAGTTTGACCTTTGAAACAGTCCGGAGGAAAGGGCTGTGCCTGTTAAAAGGTTTATCGGAGTAGAATGCGTACTTTGATGATTGGTTAGTTCACAACAAGTCTGGAAACACTTTCTTTCGCAACAGGTAGCCAATACCAGACAGTTTTATGAAGCTATGAGGAAACCAACCCCACAAACTTGGTGACTAGGAGAAATATTAAAAAGGGGTGTGGATGTGAGAAAATTCTGACGCAGTCATTACTTACTTCAAATTATATGGGTGTGTCTCCCTTACATGTCACTCTCTCAGAATACCTAGGTAGCAATCATTACATCCAATTTACACATTTGCTCTAAAAGTTGAACGGTTGAGTTTCAAAACAGTTGCCGAATCATATCAGCTACATTTGATTTATCACAAATTATCCGTAATTGTAGATAGTAATAACTATCGCATCAACTGCGGCATAGCAAAAGGTACAAAGCCTGAAGCGTACTACCAATCAGACTAGGCTACTGGAACTTTCGCTCGATTTTGGCGAAATATAAGTCTTGAAATGAACCGGTTTATGCCTGTTGTCATGCCACAATCGATGGGATAGAATGTACGAGTCTTGCGATATTTTGCGAGAATGCAGTGTGGTTGATCACAGGAAAAAGAAAATAGTCAGCCCTGATGGTCTAGCGGTATGATTCTCCCTTAGGGTTATCTTCTGATGCCTCATCCTGGGAGAGGTCCCAGGTTCGATCCCTGGTTAGGGCCCAATACTTTTGCTTTTGGTCATTTTGACTCAAATATTTGCTCAAATCCCTTAAATCTTTTATCTGGAGGCAGATACATGTGTGTGTATCCGTCTGTACCTCATATCTTAGTAGATCTTCTTTCATGTTAAGGCAGAATGCTTAGGTGGCTCTCTGGCTGGCGCATCCCCGGAACTCATTTTCATGCTTGGCTGTCCTCGACCAGCATTGGCTCATCAGCAGTATTAAGCGGGGCCGAACGAGCTGCGGAATGAAAAAGTCACGCTATCAGTTGCAGCCATCCGTGTTGATTCTATCCATCGGCAAGCATAGTCATATGAGTGTCGATATCCGAATTATCGTCTGCCTTCTTATCTCTGAACGTTTGAGGGGGTAATTCACCAAGACGGAAGCCTCCAGTAGGTCCCGCAATCATGCCCTCTCTTCGATGTTCCTAGTGGGACGGATACAAGGCATGGCAACTATACCAATTGAAGCTGGTCCATACTGCCTCTTTCCATTAGGGCTGTTAGTATCATGCTGCGAAGCTGCGCATGAGTGAAGCGAATGTATCGAAGAACACCGATAGGTAGCGGAGCAGGGTTTACAACAATCCCACTGCAACAATCTTACTGCTACTAAGGGTGCTTTCTACGCCAAGCTTTTTAATAGATGATGAGGACAACAAGGAGAAGCATCTGTAATGAGATTGACTGTGTATACTGGCGACAACCTGGAACAGGCCGTTCCAACGGATGAAACTTGTACTCATCACATGAAGTTTCGTGCAGCAATGAAATTTGTACCACGACGTATGTACCCAAGAACAACTCACATGGATGTAATAAACAGACAGTAAATACTAGGCTTATGGTGCCGTCCTTGCAACTGCCAAGGGCAACGTTTCTGGCCTGTCAACGCTCTTCACCACATGTGATACGTTGGCCGGCTTTCACGGTTGCCATATCTGGCAAGTGGCTCGTGCTACATCTGCGGCCACCAACTTCTTCAAGCCTATCCGTGAATGGTCGAGATCAGATTAAATTCGCGGATGCAGACTTTGGCCAAAACAGCATTAATTAAAGGAACTCACATACGCCCTTGGGTTCAGCTTCTCGCTCTGGCACCGCTTCCGAAGATCCTGTCAGCATTGGCGACAAAAGAAGGGAGATGATCGAGGCCCTGCAGGAGATGGCTTACACGCGGTTGAGGCGATCTTGACTTCCAAACGTGGATGCTGAGGCACTCTTCTTAGGTGGGGCACCAATAAAAGTGCGAATAGTGATACCTGATTGAAATAGCTGATAATTCATAGAATAATAAACCGCAGCAAATGCACGAATCCGTAACTTGGCAACAAAATGGATGCATACGGTTCTTTTGCCCGTTCTAATTCTACATCTATGATCTACATCTATAAATATACACGCAAATTACACTTTTCTTCCCCTCTACCACATTACTCGACACGCGCCCGCTTGACACCGTTGCCGTTGGTACCGTTGCCGTTGGCATGGCCGTTCTCGCCCTGGGCGGCGAAGTACTCCAAGCTGCCCTTGGGGTCGGCCTTCATGCCCTTGCTGCCGTTCTGCCAGCCGGCGGGGCAGACCTCGCCGTGCTCGTCGGTGAACTGGAAGGCCTCGACGAGGCGGATCGTCTCCTCGACGTTGCGGCCGACGGGCAGGTCGTTGACGGTGATCTGTCTGAGGATACCCTTGGGGTCGATGATGAAGAGGCCGCGCAGGGCGACGCCCTCGTCCTCGATCAGCACGCCGTAGCTGCGGGAGATCTTGTGGGACTTGTCAGCGACGAGGGGCAGCTGCAGGTCGTCGCCGAGACCACCCTGCTTGCGGGGGCGCTCAGTCCAGGCCAAGTGGGAGAAGTGGGAGTCGGTAGAAACACCGAGGACGGTGGTGTTGATTGCGCGGAAACGGGGGAGCGCATCGTTGTACTGGATGATCTCGGTCGGGCAGACGAAGGTGAAGTCGAGGGGGTAGAAGAGGAGAACGACCCTGGGATCATGTTAGTGTTTGGCTTCTTTTCGCGAGGCGGGGGGGCATCGCGCAAGATAGTAGCGGGGAGCTCTTACCACTGGCCGAGGTAGTCGGACAGAGAGATGTCCTTGAACTCGGCACCGGGGAAAAGGGTGGTGGCCTTGAAGTCGGGAGCAGGGCGCTGAACGAAGGCGGAAGACATTGTGGCGGTTTGGACGAGTAACTGGGGTATCGTGTATGTGCGTATAGACGGAGTATGAATAGAGAAGATGATGGCGATAGAAAAGCTTCAGCTGCTTCAGGAGAGGAAAATTCTCATTATCTGTAACAAGAAAGCTTCGGTATCTGTTGCCGTGCGACCATTCGCAATTGCGGAGCCTTCGTATCCACAGATTGCTCCATTTAATTGTCTCACTAATCGCGACTCGGCCATGACGTGACTCACTGTTTTAATGCGTCGCGTGTTACTCGCGTTAATTAACTTTGCTTTTCCTGCGCATGTTTGCTTTTGCTGCTTGAAAAGGGGCGGCTTGGATAGGAAACCCGCCGCTGGCTCGAGATCTTCGTTTATCAAACCCCTGCATTGAGACCGTTTGTCGTTGGATGTGACTAAGAAAACCATAGCTGACATTTTGCAATAAGAAAGAATTGTTAATTGAGCTCAGCATTGACTAAAATGCCAAGCAATAAAGCAAACTACTGACGCCGCCTTTTCGCGTGTTCGTTTAATGTGGCTGATACGTCTATCGAATTTCAAAGAATCTGCAGGGATGAAGAAACGTGCTGCCACATGGAAAAGACATCATTATCTACCCTTCACGTGGTAGAATCTCACATACTCACCTAAGCTTTATCTTGCGCCTCATCTTTCCTCGCCCGCTCATACTCTTCAGGAAAAGCCGGCTCAGGTCTTGTCCCGTACGGAATGATTCTAACCATGTGCCTCCTCTCACCATCCTTGAAATCCGGCACGGCACTATGCGCCACGCTCCGTTGATCCCAAACCACAACGCTCCCCTTCTCCCACTTGACCCTGCAGTTGAAGTCTAGGCTGCGGATATGGTTGTGCAGGAATCCCAAAAGTGCATCCGACTCCTCGGGCAGAAATCCCTCCACCCTGCGCGCGATGGTCGGGTTCACGAACAAACTCGGCTTTCCCGTGACGGGGTGTCTGATAACAAGAGGATGCGTGGTTGAAACTGCCTCTTTAAGCGCCCGCTCCGCGCCGACACGGGCGACCTCCCCCACGGAGGCGGAGGTGTGGAATAAGCGGAGACCGTGGAGAGTGCGGCGGAAAGACGGGGAAAGAGCGGCGTATGCGGCGGTCAGGGAAGTAAAGGCCGTGTCTCCACCTCCGGAAGCCGGCTGTTCGAGGACCCAAAAGAACGTCGTTGAGGGGACATTTGGGGTGAAGGTTTGGTCTACATGCCACAGGTCGTAGGCTGTATGGGGTCCGAGAAGGTTGCGGAGGTTGCCTCTGTTGATGGTAAGTAACGATAAATAGTAATGAGAAAGGCACAGCTTACGCCTTTTCGTCTGCATAGACGACGTGAAACTCTGGCCCAGTTCCCTCGGGGTACCCCATCGTAGGATGCTATCGCCATTGTTAGTGGACTTGTCAAACATTTCACAGCGTCTCTGCCATGAACTTACCTGGTGCAATGGCCCATAGTGTTGGACAATCTCCTTTTGCTTCTCGAAACCAGCATCGGCAAAGTCTTGGTCTCTCTATTATCGTCCCATTAGCCAACCCGTACAGATCAATGATACGACCAACTTCAACTCACAAACACCAGCACGCCCCTCTCAGCCGCCAACAGCGCAACCTCATCAAGGCCCGCCTTGGACAACTGGGTCAACTGCACGCCCCTAACCTCGGAGCCAACGCGGGGCGTGATGTTCTCCACCTTGGCATCCCCGGTCTTGAATACCGACAACTTGTTCGACTTCTTCGCGCGCAGTCCGGGCTCGTCTGCCTCAAAGAACGGCACGTCAATCGTCGGCTGGAAGCCGTCGGGCCGGGTGGGGAGGTACGCCGGGTACAGCGGCTGCGTCGACATTGTTGAACTGACTCGCTCTGCAGAGGAGTACTCCGTACGCAAAAGAGACTTTTATGGAAGACTGCAACGTCAATTTGTGAACGACGCGCGGTTTATGCAAAAGTGATGTGAGCACGCAATAACCCCCCTTTTGAGAACTTGCGTCTGCCTCTCGGTATATGTATCTGGTCTCGCCGATGTGTCTACCAGTCCAGCCATTTATCCCAGCGGTATCTCTAAGCACGTTAATCGTCCGACGGCGCATGGCAGAGGAGCCACCGTCGGCGCCACCCCGACCAATCTTACCCCGTACGATCCAGATAACCCCGGGGGGACGGGTCAGAAATCTCTGCCGGCTGAGTGTTTCGGTGGGGTCCCGACGACTGACGGCATCGTCCGTGGCGATGGCGACATCGCGTTGAATGTGCTGGTGCACAATTCCCCAAAGCTAGGATGACCCATGAATCGCCGGTGCGCTACCATCAAATGCCAAGCCCTAGTTTTGGCGACACCCAAAATTGCCTGGGGAAAAGCCAAAAGGGGAAACTTTGGTTGTTCTTTTTCAACACAAAGACTTCCAAAACGCAGTTATCCTCGATTTCATCATTGATGTTGTCCATGTTGCGATACCGCCTAGTGCAAGCCTCAACCAGTCTAAAACGTCGGGGCGTCCCGACATCACGTCGGGAAGAGACCGCTCGGTGAGCCTTGGAACGGTGTAAGACAACAGACACACTACGTGATTACGCCTCTTGAAAGACATCATCTCTGGGTTGCAAACTTCATGAGCGTCGACAAACCCATAAAGGTCCTCACTCGTCCCGCCTCGTAAATCCATCCTGTAATATCTCACAGACCAAAGTCGGTGGAACAGGACGACAAAACCACAACCCCCCTTAAAAAAAAAAAAAAAAAAAAAAAAAGCCATGGCGACGATAACGGAACAAACGTCGCTGGCGGACGCCAACCAGAGACCGAAATCCACATCATGGCTCGCCAAGATACACCCGTACTTCCACGACGCAGAACACGTGCTGGTCCTGAAGCTCGACATCCTCCTCCTCAGCTGGGCCTTCGTCGCCGGCCTCATGAAGGACATGGACCAGTCGGCCACGACGGCGGCCTACGTCTCGGGGATGCAGGAGGCGCTCTCCCTGTACGGGAACGAGCTCGTCGAGTTCACGACCTACTTCTCCATCGGCTACGCCCTCTTCATCGTGCCCTCGCAGCTGGTCCAGACCCGCGTCCGGCCCTCGCTCTGGCTGCCCTTCTGCGAAGTCGTCTGGGGCGCCATCACCCTCGCGACCTTCGCCGCGCGCAACGCGCGGACCGTCTTCGTCCTCCGCTTCTTCCTCGGCGTCTTCGAGGCGACCTCCTGGCCGGGCATCGTCAACCTCATCTTCAACTGGTACACGCCCTCCGAGCTCGGCAAGCGCCTCGCCATCTTCGGCGTCAGCGGCGTCGCCGGCAGCATGTTCCTCGGCATCCTCCAGGCCGCGCTGTACAAGAACCTCAACGGCGCCCACGGCATCGAGGGTTGGCAGTGGCTGTTCGTCGTCTCGGGAATCATGACCATCGTCTGGGGCCTCTACGGCTTCCTCGTCATCCCGGACGCGCCGACGACCACGAGGGCTCTCTGGCTCACAAAGGAGGAGCGCGTGATCGCGGCCTCGCGGATGGCCAAGTCGGGAACCACGACGCAGGAAGTCATCAAGGGCAGGGCCCTCTGGGACAAGATCAAGAAGCTCTTCACCTCGCCCGTGACCTACCTCTTCCTGGCGGCATACCTCCAGTTCGCCTGGTCCCAGCGCGCAAACTCGTATTTCCTGCTGTACCTCAAAGGCCTCAAGGGCGCCGACGGGAAGGCGCTTTACTCGGTGTACACCGTCAACCTGATCCCGCTGGGCGGCTACGCCATCTCCATCGTGGCCAACATCTCCCTCAACGCGCTATCGGATTGGAAGAACTGGCGCTGGCAGGTCGCCGTGGGCGCGGCGCTCCTCCAGGTCGTCGCGACATCGGTGCTCGCAGCCTGGCCGAACGGCCGCGGGACCATCATGACGTTCTACTTTCTCACCTTCGCGACCGCGGCATGGGGCTACGCTTTGCTGGCGTGGCTGGCCATCATTCTGCGCAAGGAACCCGAGGCGCGCTCCGTCATCGTCGGTCTCGCGGTCACGCTGGTATACGTGGGCCACGCCACCATCCCCCTGCGCGCCTGGCGCACGGCCGACTCGCCGCGGTACCCCATCGGTTTCCCCCTCGCAGCGGCGTTCAGCGTGGGTAGCATCGCGGCGATAATGGGGATGTACTGGTACGTCAAGAGGTACCCGGACATTCTCGACTTCGGCCTCAACTGGAAGGCGTTGAAGGGGGCCGGGGAGAGCGTCGCGAGCCTAGACAAGGTTGAAGTGGACGGTTCCGACGACGACGAGAGACGGAAGGAGACTGTGAGGGAGAGCACCAAGAGCGTGTCTTCGTAGCCATTTGTCGTATTCGCATTACATATATATCTATACCAGCAGGCAAAAAAACCACATAATATTATAAATACACTTTCGAGACAATCTCTCCACCTAGGTAGCTTACTCCCACCACTTCACATCGGTCTCCCTGAAAGTGTTGGAACCGCAGTGAATCTCTCCCAGCCCGACATGGTGCGACAAAAAGTCATCCACGAAACTGACCGTCATGCCAGCCCTGCCATACGCCTCCTTGATCGCCGTCTCAAACACGTCCACGCCGTTGACGACGGGACCCCACGGCTTCGGGGACAGATAATGCTTCCCGAGAACGATACCGTTGATGGCAGCAGGGCTGAAAGACGCCACAAGCCACTCGTCCTTCATGACAACGTCAGTATGCGAAGGCAAACCGTCGTTGGTACGGCTGAAGCCCCCGCCACCAATGTTGAGGTCCTTGAAAAGCACAGGCACGCGAATGACGTGCTCCCTCGCAATGGGGATCTCGGCGAGGAGAGTCTCGAGGTTAGCGTCGAGGTGCTTCTGCGCGTAGGCGTTCACTTGGTGGAAAGTTTCGTTGGCGAGGATCTGTTCGATGGTGGTGGCGAGCTCCTCCTTGGAAACCGTAAACGCGTCGTCAACGCTGCCGTTGAAGGAGATGGCGCGGACGCCACCGTTTCCTGCAGTCGATGCGTTCTTCAATGCTCCAAGGGCGGAAGTAGTATCCGCGATGGCGATAGTGAAGCCGAGACCAGTTTTGTCGGACGGCAGGAACTGGACGAACTCATCAACGTGGCCGATAAGCAGCCATCCGGACTCAAGCAGCAGAGGCTTCTGGAGCTCCTGGCCGTTGAGGAACGCAGTCATCGCCTCCGCGGGCAGCTTCTCGAAATGCTTTCCCTGGATAATGCGGCCGGCGGGGTACTTGATACCGCTCTTGGAGGTGTAGGGAGGGATAGTCTCGAGGTTACCAAAGGAGTTGATCTCGAGATGTCCGAACCCGCGACGGCCACCTTCCGGCTGGAACCCACCGATGCCCTTACCGCGCAGCTGCTCAAAAACCTGACGGCCACCGGTACGAGTAGACTGGGCGGACCTCAAAATAATACGGATGGAAACGGTGCCATTGGGACCAGGCATGCTCGCGTACGCCGGCTCGATGATATCCTGCGCCCAGATATCGCTGCTCTGGTTGAAGAGGTAAAGCGGCGTCTCGAGTCCCGCGTCCTTGCGGCCCTGGTCGAGCTGGCGCAGGAACTCCAGCTGGATGGGCTCTGAGTCGTTGGCCGCTGTGCTGAGAAGAGTATCCACGCGCTGGAGGTGGTGGTGCGTGAGGACGGGGGCAACCTTGAGCTCGACTGCGTCGGACAAGATAGTATTGTTGTTGTAGAGATCAAAGTGGACCTTGACCTTACCGTCCCACTTGGTCGCATCCTTGACGAACTCCCTGCCGTCGATGCCAAGGGTAATTCCGGCTTTCAACTGGGTCGCGTTGAAGATGAACTCGGGGTCCACGAAGCGCCAGGAAGCCGTCTCGCCCGCGCGGTCGGGGAAGTCGTTCAGGAACAACCGGACTCGCTCAGAAGCAGCATCGGGGGTGGCGTAAATGTGCGCAAAGGCGTCGTCCGCAACATCGACCGGGAGAGTCTTCAACGGAGCAACGTATTGGGGCTCGAGGAGCAGATGGCCAGAGGCATCGTGGCAGGACGCAAGTTCGTGGTTGCTCAGGGGGTTGCCCTGAAGGTCCTTGGTCGCGCACCGACCGTGGGAATCGCCGACGTTGGGCAGGAAGATGGCGCCGCGAGACGAGGTCCAGTAGGCCTTGCCAGCTTCGTCAGCCTCATCGACGACACCGTCGCGGTTGGTGTCCGCCCTGATGACGGGGCGAACCTGCTGGGCGTTTCCGAAGACCGCTCCAAGTTGGAGGGTGGCCAGGGCGATGGCCGCCGACTTTGTCGAGAAGTACATGTCGCCGATCTTTGATTCGGAAGGAGAAGTTGAGAGTCTGGGCTGCTTCACCGTTAAGAGCGCGCTGGCTGCCTGGTCTCATGTCAGTCCATCTGGCGAGAGGAGGTCCGTATTTATACTTGGAAGGCGTCGTTGCGAACAAATAGAACCGAGATGATGATTGCGAATGCAGATATTGGCTTGGCTGCCTCACCGCGTGTCCCCGTAAGGGCCTTGGCCTCTTTGCCTGCTCCATTCCCCATTATGGCAGTTTGTATGATTCGACAAAGATATTGTGTGGTCCTCAGCGTAGTAATGATTAGCACGAGATAACACCTCTTGAGTAACCACCCATGAGCAATGCAATGGGATATGAACCGCCCCCTTATCAACCAAGCAAGCAAGAAGAAGGAGATAAAAAAGCACGCACGATAGTCGACGAGAGCCACAGTAGTTGAAGCCATCTCGACTAACATCAGTGCGTCACTAAACCACATCGGGAAGATTTCGTGGCCAAGACTTTTCGGTGGATCACCAGCCGGGTTCCCCAGGTGGATATGGGATATGGATACTACTACATAGTACAGACCGTGGGAAACGGCGTTACCGGTGCCCAAGGATATCGTTTCCGTCATTGCTACAGCATTGTTTGTTGATAGATAACCTTATCAGTGGGTTACACAGACACACACGCAATTCACAGATACCATCAAACATGCACCAACAAAAACCAGCCCCTCCGAGGCCGCCCTATCCACTTACAAGAAATGCCAAAGGCGATTTCCCGAAGCGGCAGCTGGTGCTCCGTGCGCAACCCCCGTCGGGGGCCGACATCGCCGTTCCGCATCTCAACTGCCGATAAACTCCGAGGGGCGGAGAGGCAATCTACCAAAAGCGTCCACTGTCAAGCCTCTCACCGCAAAAAAGAACGTGTGGCTAACTGAGAGATGAACCTCTTCACAGCGCACAACAAGTAATGGCATCCACCTTTTTCTCGTAGACAGTAAACTCTTTTTTTTCCCGTACAAGGATCATCATCATCATCATCCACTCCAAGGCATAGAATGAGTCTAGGCCCGCAGTGCTGGCGCTGCCGCAAAAAACGTCTCCGGTGCGACTCCTCGGTCCCAAACTGCCGTAAATGCACAGCCGCAGACGTCGACTGCCCAGGCTACGGCGACAAACGGCCCATCGCGTGGCGCAACCCGCTGGTGCTGACGGACAAGGGCATCGTCCGGGTGCGCGAAAACGGGGCGCACGACAAGCCGGCCTCGGCCTCCGTCATGGGCATCATATGCCGGTCGCCAAGGACCGTCGGGTCCGAACTCGAGCTGAGGATGACCGCCGACGCCATTGAGTATTGTGGGTAAATAGGCGAACCCTTGCCAGCCTGGAGGGACCTTTGTGGCCCAGTCGGCTGATTTATTACGTTGCAGATAATATGCGCGTGGCGCCCGACTTGGTGCCGTACGCGACGCAGCAGAGCCCCTACCAGATTGCGCCTAGCGCAGTCGGCGAGCTGGCTGAGTATGTTCGCAAGTCGTACATTTCCATTTCCGCGCTTCACAGGTTCGTGAGCCGAGAACCGGGGACGACGAGTAGCTTGTCCTCGGACGGCAGCGTCAGTTCTTTATCTGTTGTGCGGTCTCGGGCCAGGGGAAATCCGGCCGCGACGGATCCGTCGGACCTTGCGGAGTTGATGGGCGCAGGCGACTTCCAGAGCGTACATTTCGCTGCTCAAGCTGCTGCTTTGAGGGCGTTGAGCGAGGAACTCCATAAACACCAGGCCAATGAAGCCGCCGCCGCCGCCGCTGGGGCAGATACGCTCCACGGCATCATGCTGATGCTGTCGTCCCAGGTAGAGTCTCTAAACAAACCATCAATATCTCTTTTCTAACACGCAACAGATCCAATACTCCGCGTACGCCCCATGGCAAGCCCACATCCACGGCGCCTGGGGCCTGATTGCCGCTCAAGGCGGCATGGAAGTTCTGGCCAGGATGGATAAGGACCTCTGTCGCGTGTTTCAACAGATTGCCGTCGTCGACATCTTTGGCATGTCGACACACCACCTGACAGAAACATCAGCGAGGACGATTCTATCTCGTCACGCGTCGTATGCCATGATTTTTGACGCCAGTGCAATCGACATCCTCAACCCATGGACGCTGATGCCCAACGGCCTAGCCAAGGCGCTCAGCCAAATCAACATGCTACGGGCACAAAACACCTTGGCCCCCTCAGCAGCATCCCGCCATGAAGGCCTTTCAGCCGTATTAAGCGCCCTCGACACCGCTTCGCCCGACAGCTGGGCCAAGGAGGTAGCCACAAATGCCACCGTCTGGGTGGCGCCCGGCCAGCTGAGTGAAGACGCAGAAAGCAAGGCAGCTTGGCGAGCTTTGATGACGGCGTTTCTCAACGCCACCGTCCTATACGCCATCAACGGTCTCGCCGGATTGGGCGGTACTCACCTGCGCGTGGCTGCGTCCTCTCAGGAATGGACTACATCCCTAACCGGACGGGAGATGACGGCATACCATGCGCTTCTGGCTTCGGTCCGTTTCCTCTTTGACCAAAGAACCCAACGGCGAGATCAACGCAAAGACGAAACGACCTCCGACCCCGCCGCAACCAGCGCGGGTCTGCTTCACAAGTTCGTCATTTGGCCGATGGTGATAGGCGGCATACAAGCCGCGCTCGTACACCGCGACGAAGAGGCCGCGGCATATCTGTGCGCCGGAATGCAGTCCATAGGCGAAGAGCTAGGCACGGTCAGCATGATAGACGGTGCCCGCCTCGTGGAGAAGTTACAGCAGTCGTACAAAAACGGCAACGAGCCCAGGTCGTGGGATGATCTGTTCGACGGGGCACCCTTGTTCTTGATGTAAACAAAATGTGTGACGGGCAAACCAAGGTTAACCCGACATCAGCTGAAAACCCTCAACGGGAGCTTGGGACTGTTGACCCCGCAAGGGTCTTGATGGGTCTCGCCCCTTGGAAACTCTGGATCAAACAGCCAAGCGTCGCCGGTGCGAGCGGAACGATCGCCCGAATGTCCTTCACACATCGCGTGGCTCATCAAAAATAACGGCCGATCATTGCCGGTACGGCTTCAAATTCTGAGACACGGAACGGCTTCAGCGTTTGTAGTCCCAGAGGAATTTCCCGCCCTGCTCATTTCCGCCGCCTCTGCAGAATGTCAGTCAACAAATCATAACAAATGAGTTGAACAGCAGTTGTGTGGTAAAAAATGAAAAAGTCTTATAATCCTATGGATATGTACAATAGAAAAGTGCGTGCAAAACGCCGGTATGCTGGAGGGTATCCCGAGCAACAGTCAAAATTACAAGTCGGTGTAATGTATCCAGACAAGCATGTCCAGTGTCGATGTGCGGGATGACACGACATCTGGTGATTTTGGGGGTGACGAATGCAAATGTGCGCGGATGCAACATCAACAAGTAAAAACCTCCCCAACCAAAAAAAGAAACAACCCAAACAGGCAACCCCCCAATGCAATTGCAATGCGCCGCTGTAGAGCCGTGACCCAGGAAAGTCGTATAGAGCAATGTGCCATTTTGCCGTTCAGCAATGCTTCGTCGCACCTCAAAGGCCGGGCCCCGAGGGTTATCGTATCGCCGTCATGAAATCGCTCTTCTGACGCGAGTATCATACACCTTTTTTTCCCCTTCTTCCTTATTTGTCTTCGTCAAAGCCCCTTGGCCAAACGCTCCTACCGTCGGACCTCATCGACCGTGACGTGGCTTGTCCGCCAGTCCTGTGTTGGGCTCTGCTTGTTTGATGATCCGAAGCCGGAAATGGAAGCGAAACGGCTCAGTCGCTTCTTGCTGGGTTCGGTTTGTGTGGAAGCGATCGTGGGAGAGACGGGCTCTGAGTGGTGTAGAGCGTTGACGCGGGCTGAGGCAGACTCCTTGCTCCTGGTGCTGCCGGTCGAGGAGGAGCCGGTCGAGTTGGGAGTCTGGTAGACGTACTCACCATCCACGTAGACGGCGTTGGAGACGAAGGTAGAACGGCGGTCACGACGGCGGGTGTAACGCTGCTCGAGACGGAAAAGCTCAATCTTTTGTTGAATGCGTTCGATAATGTTGGGAGCCATCTTGACTTTTGTTTTGATCACGGTTACAACGGTTGTAGATTTGTTGTTGGAGTGTGCGTCAATAGGGTTCGAGAGATAATTGTGTTGCTAGACAATAATGGCAGGCAAAGGAACACAATACGGACGACAGGAAACCTATTAGGCAATGTCCGTGGTCGGTGGCAGATGCAGGTGGTATTTTAGAGAGCGTAAATGATCGGACGGAAAGCTTATCGCGGCAGCTGGAATGGGTGGAAAGACTGTTGCAAGGCTGTGACACAAATGTCTCTGATGGAAGCGAAGTACCGGGTCAAGGTATGCTCCCCCCTTTTTTTTTCTCTTCCGTTTGGTGCCCTTTTGGCGTTTGCGTCGGGGACTCGTGTCGGGAATTAATGGGAGGTACGTGCTCAGTGGTCAGTAATGTCTGACTGACGATGGCAGATGTTGGAGCGTCTCTGAATGCAATCTGAAATACGGGCCGGCGGCAGTAGCTTCAAGTAGCTTGGAGGTAGCTCGGAGTAGCTCAACGTCTGTGTGGCGAGGCGGAGCGGGCGAGAAAGAGAGAGAGAGTGAACAAGAGTATGTCAAAACGCCGGGCTTCGAGACCTCAATGTAGTATTATGAGAGAAGGAGTGGACAGGACTAGAACGGCCGATGGTGTCAAGTGATAGCGAGGGTAGCACGGTAGGATGAGGTATTTCCGAGTGGCTGGACTAGACTTGTCTGTGATGGACTGGACTGAATCGGGATGGATGGTTGACGACGGCTTGGCCGTTTTTGGAGGAGGGGGTAAAATGAATGACAAGGTAAATTGGTTGGTTGGATTTGGATGGGAAGAGGTTAAAGGGTAAAAATCACAAGAAAAGAGGAGGGGGAAGAAAAGAGAGGAAAGACTCGACCGGCGGACTCGTGGTTGCAGTTTTTGGCGACTCGCTCAACAATGGGAAGGAAGGGGAAAGGAACGAATGAAGGCGAAGCGACTTAACCGTTTGTGCAGTAGTAGTCAGCGTCGAGGGCGGCTGAAAGTGCAGGTGCAGCAGGTGCGGGTTGCAGGCACAGTTGCAGGTGCAACAAACAGTGCAGGAACTTCCATGGGGGTGGATGCATGGCACTTTCCCACTTTCTCTTTGCATTTCCTCGTTCCTCCAGCAAGCCACAGCTCCTCATTGGCTCGTATCCTGGGAGGCCAGGCCAAAACCGGATTAGTTGCATTGCTGCCCACGATGGGGGGGGAGGTGCTGAGGCGGCGCGGGACAAATTATCCAGGATAGAAGGGACGGTCCCCCGATGGACTGGTTCATGCTTCGTCCTTTCCCTGTCAGTCCCTGCCCATCTTTCCCTCTTCAGGACATGGCGTCCAAAACGGCTCCATCAATATCCACATGGTCCCATTAGCCCCCACTTACCACGCATTGTCAGCCAACAATATTGGACGACTTCCTTGTCCGGCCATGTGCTCTCTTGCCCCTTCCCACCCCGGACACGGTGCTTTTTCTTGCTCTCTGGCCCGGCTGCTGTTCCTCTTTCGGTGGGTCTCCGAGGCTTCCAATGCAGCGTCTTGCGTGCTCAGCGGCGTCGGCTTTCCTCCTCTTTGGTCTCTGTTTTCCCCCCTTGTTTTTCTTCTTTTTTTTTCGTCTTTTTCTTTTTTATTTTTACTTAATTTTTCCCACCGTTTCTCGCTACATGTCAAAATGTCTCATATTCCTTTGTTTTTTCTTCAACCGTCACACCTACATCCTCGACGGTTAAACTCACTAGTTCTCCAGACTCCAAAGACATGCATCCATAGTGCAGATCCGGCCTGGAATGCTCCATGACGCCGTTTGTCCTGCATCACTCTGTCCACTAAACCTCCCGGGATGGAACCAGTTCCTTCATTTCTTCTCGCTCCCAGTAGGCTCAGACCGTCTATACCTACTCCGTAACACTGGTAGCGCACCTTGAGAAATGCAGATGCCAGAAATGCATCCATGCTACCGCCGTCATCCCACCCCCTGGGCTCTCGTGTCTGCTCTGCCACCCTGCTGCCCCGCCGCCACCAGAATCTCCTGAACCTTCGCATTCGGTGTTACATCGTTCCAGCGCCATCTGTGGAACTGGGCTCCAGGGGTCCTTCCGCCCTCCCTGCCTTCCGAGTTTACCAACCCGGGGAAAACTTGGTTTTAAGCGATATTACATCTTCGCCGTCGGGTCAACTGTTGTGACCTTTTCCAGGTGCATCTCTGCTTTTGGTCCCTTATCTTATCGGGTTCCCATCTGTTTGCAACCTCTCATCGCACTGATGCATCCTCAGTTGCTTGACATGGGGTTCTCTCCACTCACGGACATTGTGCTGAACGACAGGAATATGTTTTCACCTACCATGGTTTTTCTTAATCAACATTTTGATTCGTTGAACGATGACAGAGACATCACGCCAAGGGATTGGTGCCAATGCCATCTGTGCTTCGTAACTGATGTTCGTGAACCTACCATGCATTCATCGGGACCACTTCCATGCCTCAGAAAAGGCGGCGATTGATTGTTGGTTAGTCAAGGCTGCATCATGTTCATAAGTCCAATATTTTACTATAACCATTCAAACTTTTGCGCATCAGCATAGTCTTGGCATGTTATGATAGGCTGGTCTAACCATTACGCGCGCAACATCATTTCGATCTTGAGTCCTTTATGAGTACTATTACACACTATCCCTGATCTTGAATAGACAAGTGAAAGAAAGCTGAAGCTGCTATCCTCAAACCAAAGTTTTCACAACGTCTCAGCAAAAGAAACCTATGGAATCTACCTGTAAATAAACCATGATTGCGTTTGACAAGCTGGCAGAGCGTCCACCATGCAGTCATTATTGTTTGAAGAGGGGACCTGCCGCTTCCCTACCTAGCAACCGGAAGAATTGACGCCCTCTAGTTTTGCAATTTCAGTCTCTGTCACTTTCACAACCGAATCCCACCGATCTCCATACCCGCAAACCCTTGCGCTATTTGATTTTTGTTGAGACGGCAACTTCCCGTTAACTGCCCACCTCCTAACGGTCAACTATCTTTCAATTAGCCAACTACCCGCCAAACTGCTTCGTTTGACCTGTTTGACCGCCAGATTTCCCCCTCCCGTGGCCTCAGCTGGCGGACGTGGCTATCCGCCTATCCTGCTGGTTTTTCCACCGCTCGGCTAACACTCTACAGAAGCCTGTCAACCTCGTGCAAGCCTCATGATTTCTGCGGAGAATCCTCGAGCGACAGTCTACTATAAGGACCCAACTTTCGTCCTCTCGAGATCTCTTCTTTCTACCAACAACATCGCTAGGTACTTTCTCAAACATTCAACTTTTGCTGCCATCTTCCACGCTACTTTACGTCTCGTCGACTGCCATTCGGCCACAGGGACATCGTATCTGAGGTCATAGCCAGCCAGAAACAGACATTATGAGTTTCTTTCCAATCGCATGCCTATTTTTCATGGATTATAGAGAAACATGGATCGATGTATGGCTTGCAATATACCTGTAGCCCTATGGCAGTCGATGAGTCAACTTTTCCCTACACACTTATCCTTCACCTTCTATTTCTACTCTCACTTTCACTTTTACTCTCCCCTATACCTCGCCCCCACGTCTTTTCCACTTCCAATGTCTACTATAGCTTCCACAACGCCTACGAATACGCCACTGTGGCAGACCACATCGGCGACTTCGACCGAGAGTTACCAAACCCTACCAGGCATCTGATACTGATTAGCTGAAGCACCTGGGCCTACTGGAATGTTAAACACATTGAAGAACGCTTGGGAAAGGAACTAGCCTCTGCTTTTGGCTACCTTCCCAAGTACTACCACAACCACAACGGGGATGGACTTGACGAAGACACGGACATGGCTGTGCGTCGCGATGACGATGCCGATCCCAATCCCATGAGCAAGACGAAGTTCGGTCATCCATGCGATATGGATTTCCTTGTGTGCATCTTCGACGAGGGTCATACAAACAAAGAACCCATTGTCTGTCACTTATTAGATCATTGAAAGGTGGAAGACGAGTTACCGGCTCTTTGTTACTGCGCCTCCTGCAATGTCGTCAGTTCGAACATGGTTGGATTTTACTATTAGCGGTAGGACAGCTCGTTCGAATTCTGCACCGATTCCGTTGTTGAAGCACGGGTGTCCCCTTCAATGAGCTTCAAGCAATCTCGAAGGCGGAGCTGGCGAGACAAGGCCCCCGGAAGAACTCGGCCAATGCAGTCGCAACGGATCAACAGCTTAAACGTCGCCAGGGGTACAGTCAATTATTGGAAAAGGGTGTTTCTGGTATACCTACTGGAACCCTAGTCCTTCAGGGCCTGAGGCAACTTTCTGAAGCGGAATGTCGAGCTCACGTCAGATTCTTCTACTACTGTTCCACCGCAGATATAAACAAAGCCGTCTTTGACAATAGGAACTTCTGAGCCATGCTAGAACCTAATGTTTTCTCGCCACAATTACCACGCCTCCACTGGCAAAGATAAGACCGGCAGCCACAAGGTCAGCAACTATAAGACCTACAGGCACAATCACAAAGCCGCCAGCCTCACAACCAGTCCCCTTCTACATTCACTACGAGTCATCGACAACAACAGCCAACCCCACCACCACCTATCCAAGATTACCGCTACAGTAGTAGTTGACTGCCCCAGGCCCTACGCCTAAACAACCAACGGGTCTCGGCAGAGTATATATACCCGACTTGAAATACGGAGGCGGCAAGTATAATGTTCTGGATTGTCCACCATGCTGGAAGGCGAGACGCTACAATACTTTTTCGACCTTTGAGCGGAAGTCTTGGCGATAGATTGCTAGATTTCCACACATCTAAGCAACTATCTTTCCCAACGACTGTCACAAACTTGGAATCCTCAGTAGCTATCAACATCTACAGCCAGTTCGCTTCCACCTCCCTTAATGCAAAGTTAGGACATCATGGAGACCCAGGCGCACTCACCCACCGAACTGCCCGATGAGACTAGGAGAGGTGACGTCTCGGATCCAATCACTCAAGACGGCAATGCCGAGAATACGCAGCCACATTCATCCTCAGCTGGACCCGACACCCGTACGAATGAAACCACTTTATCCAACTCGAAAGAATCTTCCCCGGACGAAGAACTGTCCACGGACACCCCCACAATTGATAATCAAGGCGAAATTTACCCCGGAATCCCTAGGGTCCTGCCCGAAACCGCTCCAGAGGCTGGCCCCGATCACCCCAAGGTCATAAGCAAAGAATACCCATCTTGGTCAAGGCCGTTGACGATTTTTCGAGTTCCGCCTCAACCCCCTCATCCGATGACAGCAACCTTCAGGCTCAAAAATTTTGCCGGCGCTTTCTCAGTCATGCTAAAGGGCCGGGCACTTTCGTTTTACTACAACCACTCTTGCCAACATCAGCCCCCGAGGCTCTCACCCTATGGTCTGCTGTGTCAAAACCAAGTTTGAGACGACAGGGACCCAGCAAAATAACCTTCAACAACGGCGTGATGGCGCCTTCCCACAGGATATCCAGGAAAACCCCGACAAGAATGAGCCCGACCGCCTAGAACTTTTGTCGATAGACTGACGCAACTGCAACTCACTATGTCAACCATCGGCCAGTCTGACAAAGTCCTCCAAGACTAATTGCCAAGTCCCTGTCGAGGTGTCAGGGAATGTGACCTTTGCCTCTACAACCCCATCCCTACCCTCACCAAGGACCGGGTCTGAAACCCAATTGTTCTCCGCCCGAGGTACTGCTACCCAACATCAGGAACAATGGTTCACGACAGAATCAACGTGCGAGCATTTCTGGAGCAACCGTACCTACAGCTGTCGAGGGCATGAATATATCTCTCCGGGCAACCACACGGCCGGCAGGATTAAAACACTAGTAGCCACAACCACAACCACTCCCAGAACTACCGCATCCTCCGATCCTATGTTCGAAAGAAGTGTTACGTCTGTGGCAAACAGAACTGCTGGTCTACCAGGAACTCTGCGGAACACAGACAGAACTTGTAAAACCGCTTTCAAATCTCTTGTAATAGCCGGAATTCCGGGTTGAAGTGGTTCCGTCGTAGGCGAGTCTGTCATCTGCCCACGTGACAGACAGCCAGGCTGTTGGGTGCCCTATCTTCACGGCCGTGAGACCCTGCCCCATCCCTCTCACGGCCGTGAAGAAAGCCCACTCAACAGCCCCTAGGTGACCTTCCCTTCGATGGACTCCCTGCTAACTCATTGTCTCATTGTAGACTCCGGTTGGATGCGGGATAGCGAACGTAAGCCTTGGAAGGGGAGTATGTTTGCCAATGGAGTAGGCACCGGAAAAACCAACATCATGTTCAACGTGATCTGGGCTGCGTCCGACCCTCTCAAATCCGTCGAAGAACTTGTGAAGTTCAACAGGATCGTGAAAAGATATTTCCCTGACTTTGATCCGACAAAGGTCCTCATCTTCACAACGCTATCACACACAGTGGCACGATTTGGGGTAAGGGTATAGTTGGCCTTCGTGGCGAGTTCTTCCATACTCTCGAGAGAATGATTAAGGCTGTCGGACAGGCGAATCATGACGGCATCGACACCGACAACTTTCTGGTTGCGTGGGAACTACAAGATGGAGATCCTGAGGGGGAAAGTTACACACTCTACACCTCCTGTCTCCCTGGAGGTAGCCTGGGCAACAACGACACCGAGATGGCTGAGCCTATATAGCCACTTCCCGTCGCTCCATCTGCCGTGGTTGAAGTTGATGATACCGGCGTTGATGCTGAAGTTGATGTCGAAATGACATCGGAGGTCGATGTCGCCACTCTGCAGCGCGGTTTCAAGAACGTTCCCGGAGCAGCAGTGAAGCCACTGCACTGAATAGCAGTGGCTGGAACTCACTGGTAAGGAAGCTACTATAATCACCACAGAGAGAATCTCCAGATGATACCCTCTTCGTACGAACTATGCCTATTAATTTCTTCGGCTATAAACCCTGACTATGGGCGTGTTGGCACGCAGGACGACGTCACTTTGGCCGCTGAGGGCGATGGTCAGCCCGAGGTCGAGACTTAGTTGGAAGATGGCAACGCCGATGAGGGCGACGAGCAGCCCGAGGTCGAAAGTCCCGAGGAAGATGGCAACTACGCCGGGGACGAGAGTAGTGTATGCAGCGCGGGAGACACAAAGACGAACCGATTTCCGCCACGACTGACAAGGTAGCCATGGGTATGCTGTAGGTTAAGCTCATAACCTGGCTTACGATTACGGTGTTCCCGTTAAAGAGAAACACCATGGTCGTTAGACAGACTTTCACGGTCGATCAAGCCGCAAAACAGGCCACATTCATGCTAAGCACCATGATCAGCAAATATAAGGACAATATAGTTGCGATCTATTCTTACTCAACTGCAGTACGCAGACAGGCTGCCATAGCCAATGTCTTTCTCGACCAACAGGTGCAGGAAGGGCTTCGGAGGATGGCGTATACCATCTCCGAGTTTCAGAGCTCGTCCGTCGCTGTAAATCCCATCCGACATAGTTGCCTCATGGTCCTCTTCTCCTTGTAGAACGACCGGCTACAGGAACTGGCCGAGACGGAAGAAGGTGCCGAGTTGATCCGGTTGTATAGCACAAGGGAAACCATGACAAGATAGGCTTCAGCAACTTCGACAAGTTGAAGGCCATCATGCTCCAGACGCTCTCCTTCTCCAAGTCGTATTACGACAACGAGATGAAGGACGCAGTGGTGCCGAGGGCGCTGTACGACGCCTTTGGATAGGGTGGCTTGATGTTTTGCAGCCTTACGAAGACAAAGTATAGCTCGGAACCCCTTACCTGTTATATGCGTATTGCCAATTATTACTTCTTCTAGGGACCGAGGTGGATAAGCCTTCACCACGCTCGAAGTCCTCCGCGGGGCCTTCAACGAGCTGAAGGCCGTCGCCGACGGGCTCTTCTCCCACTTGGCGCAGGTCGGAGAGGATGTGTATTTGGGCTATTCAGGCATGGACAGCTTGCCTAACGCGACGTTTGTATCATCAGATCAACCCGCGATATATTACCCATCGACGATAGGCATCTCGCGAAGAGTAGCAAGGAGATTCGCAAGTTGCCCCTTGCGACCCTTATGGGAAGGGTGTGGGACTCTAATCCGCCTGTGCTAGGGGGGGTAGAAGAACTTGGCGAGCAATAACGCCATGTCTCTTTTGCCGCCTTTTTGTGCGTATCGCGTCTTTGGAAAGGGTTTTTCGCACCGGCGTTCAGGATGTTTGAGCATGAGGGAACCAGTACTTTATCGCGGACGGATAGCCAAGGGGTCTATCAGACAAAGCGTTCTCTAAACGTGGGGACGAACAGCTGGTAATGCCGCTTTTACCGCCAAAGAGAAGGTTCCTCAAAAAGTAGATGAATCCCTCGCTTTCAAAGGAGGAATAGTAACACTGAAGACCGATGGATCAGTAATTCTCAGGCACAAGTGGCAAGGGAAGACAGTCTTTAGTTTTAACACCACTTTGGCCAACATGAAACAACAGTACGTCGAACATCGGGCAAGAGGCGCCTACATCGCCTCAATTGCCAGCAATATGCCTAACACGACCTTTCTACTGCCGATCAGCACCAGAAACCCTCGCCAGAAGCGATCAAAGTCATCAAACGGCGGATTGACTGGCAGATTAGTTCCCTAGAACGAGGGCTGACGTTCGTTCCGCTAGACGTAGCGACGGCAAAAATATTTGTATTTGTTGACGGCTCATTAGCCAACAATACAGATCTGTCGTCGCAACTAGGATTTATCATCACCCTAGCCAACGAGGCGCCGGCTGACGGCCAGTTCACTTTGACCGGCAGTATAGTCCACTACAGCTCGACAAAGAGCAAAAGGGTAACCCGGAGCGTCTTAGCCTCCGAAATCTATGGTATGGTCGCAGGAGTAGACTTGCCGTACGCTCTTGCCACCACCCTGCATACTATCACTGACAGACTGGGACTTCCCACCGCTGTATGTACAGATTCGTACTCCCTGTACGAGTGTCTGGTAAAGTTGGGCACAACAAAGGAAAAGCGTCTCATGATCGATATAATGGCGCTGAGGCAGTCATACGAGCGCCGGGAGCTCCAGGAGATCCGGTGGATTAACGGTGAGGATAACCAGGCAGATGCGCTAACTAAAGCAAATCCAAACCGGGCGCTGGAGCGTCTGGTTGACAACAACGTCATGACGGTTCGCATGGAGGGATGGGTAACTCGAGACTAGAGTTGAGGAAAAAGGGGGTTTTCCGGTTGTAACCAGTGTAATGGGAAAAGTGTACAGTAGCAGACAACGAGTTCCGCTTACTACGGCCACAGCAGAAAAGAAAAGATTGCCAGTGTTGGGTTTGAAGTGGCTCCGTCGATGGCAGACCTGCCGGCAGCCAGACAAACGGGTACAAGTGCTGCAATCACTTCATCCAGCACTTCTGTTGGGAATTTCTTCTTAGACATCAGATACAAGAACAAATATCAGTTTTTCCCTCAAAAGATGATCTCACTTTAGGGGTACCCCTTTGGTCCCAACCAATCCCAAATTTGCTCCCTTTTTTAAAGCGGCACTGGTGAGGCTCTTATTGTTAACTTTGTCCACCTCGTGTCAGGCGGGACGAAGAAGACACCCACGCCAGCGACGATGATGGCAAAGACTACTTTGAAACCGTTCACATAGGCATGGAAGTTATCATGAACGACTAGGAGGCGCCGAAAGAAAAGTTATAGGTGGAGGAAATGGAGACTACTGGGTAAGGTATACAGTCACTACTGAGCCGAAGACCACGTTAGTCACGGGCCGAGATTTGACACTAGGCGGTGGCGCTTTTCCGGGAGATGGGGGAGGTAGAGTGCCTCTGACCTTGTTCTCTAGTAGACAAAGGCAAAGTAGGAAAACCAATTAAGTGGCAATGCCGTGTCAAGACGACCGGTATACTTGTTGAAAGGAGAAAATCTGTCCACTGAATCGATGTGGGTGGGAAACCTGCCATATGTAAGAGTACCTTTACGAGGCGCCTGGGAAAGTGCGCTACGGATCAAATGCGGGGATAGGCCCTCCAGCAGGGCAGAGACAGTGGCAGTGTTGTTCCCTTTGGTGTAATCGGGAGAGCCGCTGAAGCAGATAGAGTGGGCAGAGCGCCTGAAGAGTTCAGGATAACAGAAGTAACAAGAGCAACGAAAGTGGCGAGTAAGAAGAGTAGTGGGCTTATGGCATATAAAGCTGGTCTAGAAGACCGCTTTGATGTTCCATTTTGTGAGTGGTTTTATTACCACGTGTGTATACCCTCCGCAAATCCTAGTGTTTTAGCTCTGACTATCCCTTTCCTAGCGTGATCGACCAAGTGACGCCACTTTTGGATACAACAAAGCCCTTTGTATACCGCCCAGGCCGAGGGCAAATGTTCTAGAACTTATTAACTAGCTAGGTAGCTAGCTGCAAAGACTTCAAAGTGGTTTGGGACCTGGGTATGGATTATCTGATGTATAAAGGTGATCTCAGGACTTGTTCTGCTAACCTTGCTTCAGTTCTATAACCCACTCGCTTTATCCACTCTTTTTTGATCATACCGCCACTTCTGTAATACCAATGGCTCTCATTCATTTGATCTTGCGGCTTCTGCCGCTCTACTCTCTTTCTTTCATCGCCGCTGTATCTGCCTTGCCGAATCAGCACCCTAAGAGAGTCCTCTCGCCTACTTCACTCGGTTGCTTTACCGATCTTGTGGATGGTAAACGGGCTCTTAACGCTCGTAACACCGCTTCCGACGATATGACAATTGAGAAGTGCGCCGCATTCTGCTCCAACTTTGCGCTGTTTGGCCTTGAATTCGGCCGCGAATGCTTCTGCGGTAACTCTCGGGATCTCAGCAGCAAGGTAGCAGACCCTACCGACTGTAACTTTCCTTGTTCTGGCAATTCAAAGAACTTCTGCGGCGCCGGGAATCGATTAAATATCTATAGCAATATAGATGTTAAAGTCCAGGGACCTGCTACTCTGCCGGGAATTGCGTCTCTTGGCTGCTTTGTCGATGCCATTCCCCGCCAACTTCCAAGCAAAAGCATTTCCGATAGCGATATGACGGCAGCTAAATGTGCGGCTAACTGCGCTGGTTATACCTACTTTGGGACTCAATGGTCTTCGGAATGTTACTGTGGAAATGCCGCTCCGGAAGTCTCGGCACCTGCGTCCGATTGCAATATGGTCTGCTCTGGCAATTTTGGAGAGTTTTGTGGTGGCGGTATGCGCCTGAACGTCTACAAGCTTAGTCAAACTCCAGCAGCAACATCAGCTCCCGACACCGCCTCTACTACAAGCACCGGGAACTCTCTTAGCGGGTTTACTTACCAGTCTTGCTGGACTGATGATACCTACGACCGATCGCTCAAGGCTATCGACTACCGGACGGATGACATGACTATCGACAAATGCGCTGAAAGATGTAAGGCCTATACGTTCTTTGGACTTGAGTACTCCCGTGAGTGCTATTGTGGCAATGATTTAACTGGAAAAGCCGCTCCAGAGAAAGAATGCAACATGCCATGTGTAGGCGCACTCAGCCAGAAGTGTGGAGACTCAAACAGACTGAATTTATACTCAAAGGGGGCATTGTCAGCTTCAAAGTCCTCATCGTCATCAACATCAGATACAATATCGACTTCACAGTCCTTATCGCTGAAGCCATTAACATCGACTTCTGATACATCGTCTACATCGTCTACATCGTCTACATCGTCTACATCGTCTACATCGTCTACATCGTCTACATCGTCTACATCGTCTACATCGTCTACATCGTCTACATCGTCTACATCGTCTACATCGTCTACATCGTCTACATCGTCTACATCGTCCACATCCTCAATATCCTCAATATCCTCAATATCCGCAATATCCTCAACATCCTCAACAGCATTGTCAATGGCACTCGCTACCTTAACAAATAGCGACCCCGTGATGACAACTGTCACCAGCTGTCCTGCGGCGGCCACATACAACGGAACTCCGGAATACTGCTTTGCACCTGGAGGCTTGCCTCCAGGATGCAGGCCGTCTACTAGATTCGTTGTTGCTCCCTATGATCTGACCTATTTCATCAGATCTTGCAAATATGCGCTTTCCCAGTTTAGCAGCATGACTATAAACCCCAAGGCGTCAGCTTGTTTGGACCCAAGTAAAGTTGCGAATACCGCCAGCGCCATAGCCTGCTTGAATACACCAGAAGCGTCGCTAATCTGCAGTTATGACACGAATTGTGTTACAAAAACCTATCCGGCTAGCCAGACACCGTCAGCTACTCCGGCTACCCCGGCTACCGGCGTCGACTTGCTTGGGGACGGCGGGTGGGAATCTGGTAATATGGGAGACTGGGCTGCAATTGGAAATGCAGCCCATTTTAACCCTTTAGTAAATTCTGTCCGTCCTCGATCAGGTAAATTCAGTCTCTCGGCTTTCTATACGAACCAAATCGTTGGCGCGATGGTTTTCAATCGCCAGCTTAAGATTATTCCTGGAAAGACGTACAGGTTCGAAGCGTACGGCTGGTCGACCAACCCAAAAGCGGCCAACGGTCTTCATCTTTATGTCTTACCTAATGAAGACAGCACCACTAATGATGAATCCATGTTCTTCACGGTGAATCAGTGGGAGAAGAGATCCCTGACCTTCAAGGCTACCTCATCTTTCACAAAGATTATGTTGGGCTTGAACGGAAATGCCACGGGAACGATCGCAGAGGGCACCAACCAACTGTATATTGACGATGTCACGCTCATACAGCTTGATTAGACTGCATCCTGTCGGGCAGATAACGTCATCCGCCAGCCCTTTTTCTTTTTCCCCCTCTAATAAAGCAGATCGAAAATTCCTTAAGTATTGTTGGTTTGTAGAGGGCTTGTAATTCTTATGATTACTAGCGTCATAGAACTACTCATAGACTTTAGAGCAGATAAATACATCTTTTGAATTTTGACAATTAATGACCTTCTAAGCTACAGAGAAATAAAACATGACTTTCTGCAAACTGAGATCATGTTCTCCAGCACTTCAAACGTTACTCTCCAGTCAATTTCGACCCCAGATTTGAATTAATCAGATCTGCAGCTGACCTTAGGCAAGTCAAGGCAGTTAAGGGGCTCTATACTTATTAAGTCAGAGCGTAGGAGAAGTAGTCACAGGAGGGTTCGAGAGCGCAGAAGGCCTACTAATGAGGAGGCACGGGGCAGCGCGCTGGAGGCAGTCTTGTGATAAGCCTTTGAGAGGTATCACCTACTAGAACTTAGACAAGCGCGTTAGGTATTCTAGAAGTGTAACCATACGGAATATAACTTCTACTGCTAATTCAGTTTTTAGTTCTACCAGAATTTCTCCAGAACTAGGCACACCAAACTAAAGGACAAGAAAAGTTTTTTTTTTCCTCTTGAAAGAATATACTACTTCACGGATACCTAGCAATCCTAAAAGATCGATGTGGACAGGAATCTTAATAAATGTCAGGGTACTGATAGCCAAGGCGGGCCCATCAGAAGGTGCGATACGGATCAAGTGCGGGAGGCAAGGCGCTCTAGTTGTAACGCAACAGTGAAAATTTTGATCGGCGTAGTTAAGAGAGCCTAAGGTCGATATCACTCAATCTACTCATCAGCCTTGGAGAAATGTTGTATCGTCATATCCTTCGAAATCAAGGCCGATCAAGCGCCCGGTGGCTTTCTGGGCCCTGTGGGAGAGAGTCTCCTCATGGAACTATATTTGGGGCAAAGAATCAGCCTACTTGTGAGAAATCTTTATTCTTATTGCGAGTATGCACTCTTAGAGGCACACACGGTAGTTTCCTTGACTTCTTCCCGACTAATAAAATAGTCTGTGGTATATGTCCGAGGTTTTGCCGTTTTAACATTGTGTGAAGCCAGCGGAGTGCTAGTCTGTAGACCGTGTTAATCATTGTGATATTCCGTAGACCTCCGTGGTTTCCCCCTATTCTAAAGACTAACGGTTTAATATTTCTCATTATTAATTGTAATCGAAATAAACTGATTTAAATGTGTTTATTATAAGATCCAACCGTAGATAGTGTAGTTGGGCTTGACACACTTGAGCAAGAGCCGCGGGTCTGTTGCTGATGACGTCAGCACCCGTTCGTTTCCGTTTCTTCATCTCCTCTTCGTCTTCCTAATGCATAATGTTACATCAGCAATACGGCTCAACAAGGCGGTCTACTCAACTAAACCACATGCAAGGGACTCTGTGCATCTATTATCAGCAACTCGTGTGTATGATGAAACAAACATGTCACAGAGGGCAACCACTCGACGTCGAACTGGTTGCCTCACCTGTCGGCGACGTCGTGTCCGGTGTGATGAGGCAAAACCTGTCTGCCTTAACTGCCGCAAACGCGATGTTGAATGCAACTGGCAGAAGGCAATTCGATTCGTCTATCAGGATGATAGCGTGGCGTCCGTCGCTTCCCAAGGAGCCGATGAGCAAGTTAGCGAGGTGGTTGGGGCCACGACGAATTTGTTCTTTTCATGTGTGTTGATAATCTTTAGTCACAAACGCCAGCTACACATTCCTCTGATAGTGTTAAGCGTGCCTTGACGGCTTCTGCGACCTCATTTGTGTCAGAGCCTGGCGAAGCGGTTGTGACCGCAGACGATGCTGCGGGGTGCTCCTCAAGTGAATCAATCATTCCAAGTCCTCGTACCTTGCCGGTAACAGAGCGTACCAGCTCTCGCATTCGCGACGGCACAGAAACCACATCTACAGATGTTCAACAAGCTCACACTTCTTCTGTCAATGTACACAATACACCAAATTTAGACGGAGGCACCCCTAGTTTTGGAACATCTTTGACTGAGGATGTCCTGAGCACACTATCAACTCCAAGGGTCACTCGAAGAAGCTCTCCGAACCAGGATGTGGACTTAAGTTCGCTAAATTTATCGGCTGCAAAAGAAATACTGCTCATCCGTAATTACATTGGCGAGGTAGCCCCGTGGTTTGACGCAACTGATCCATTTCGCCACTTTGCTTCTAGGAAGATTCAGCGCATGATGCACTGTCCTCCATGGAAGGCAGCTGCTTTGGCACTCTCGGCCAAGAACCTTGAGCTTCGAGGGGATTACAGTCTAGAAAGAGGATCTCTATCACTCGAACTTTATCAAATCGCTGTTCAACGCGTGATCAGGTATTTTTCCCAAGGGCACCGAGATACTGAAGGACTTGCCGCATGTCAAATACTCGCCGTATATGAAATGATGACTTTTGCCTACGCGGACTGGTCTCGTCATCTCAATGGCTGTGCAAGCATATTTCTCACAAATCATTGGAACGGCTCAGCGGATGATAGATTCGTCTCACAGTCATTCTGGTCGTTTTCACGCACAGGTGAGCCCGACGATTCTCGTTTCTTTTTCTCGCCGTTCTTTATAATGTTCGTTTTTTGAAGCTTATTGTTTAGATATATGGGCTGCCTTTTGCTCTCAAAATTCTACAGTCGTACCAACGGATATTTGGTTTGATGACCCTGTCGCAGTCATGGAGCAGGAGAACATGAATGAAGAAGCACATGCTCATGTTGCGCAGTGGCTGTGTGCCAGAGTTGTCAACTTGTTGTCAAAGCAGTCCCGAAAACATCACACTAAATTTCAGCAAGAAATTGAGATACTACAGTCGTTATTGTCTCTGTGGGAGGCTAAAGGATCCTTAGCTACGCAGCCGCTTGTTTACATTGACACTGAGAACGTGGAAGATGAGCCGTTTCCGATGGTCTTGCTCGCCAATTCTAGCTCAGGTGTGTTTGATATCTTGTCAATAATTAGAGACCGCGCTTATCCCGGATGCACAGTGATCGGGCGATGTATGTTTCATACAGCAATGGTGCTTCTCTTGGAAGTTGCAGCGTCAGATGGCTCTGATCTCCATTCGACCACCTCTCACGAGATTTACCGTCACGCTCGACTAGCCTGCGGAGTCATCAAAACAAACCCTCAAACGTAAGCGTATTATTTGTTGGAAATACCATAAGTCTCTGATTGACGGTAGTTGCATAGATGTTGTCTAGTCAATTCGTTGCAGCCAGCTTATATATGTGGCCGACACATGCGTACGCGATCTGAGAAGTTTGCTGTACTTGAGATATTTGGTCTCATCCATAGTCAGACTGGGTGGAAAACTGAATGGCGAACCAGTGAGTTGCGTAAGCTATGGGGAATAGCCTGACGAAAAAGGGCGTAGAGGCCTTCAGGTTCATCACACGCATGTGGCTCTGCGCTTGTCGAGTCCCTGGGTCAGACTTAGAATTCCAATCAATCATGTCCCACAAGAGCGGTATGGAATGAATAGCTGAAGCCCGGAGTAGCATGACCAAAAAGAGTTTTGCACTGCTAAATCGATCCCAAGCCCATACCACGAGTACCTATTGCTACGCGTGACAAAATTAATGCGTCATAGCTTTTCAGATATGTCGCCAGGAAGTAGAGTGGGATGATCAGATTATGTCTGGATTCATCATGTGCCACCGTATGTTTTCTGTGAAGAACGGGCTACCAAAGGGATGAAAGCCGAAGGGGTCCTTACGGCAGCGCTCAATGTAGGCATAGTCCGAAACGGCAGGCGTCAATGGTAGTCCATGCCGTGGCGGCATGGGATCCAGCCCGACGGTTCTCGATGCTCTCAAACAGTTGTTTCCATCAAGATACAATCAAAGAGTACTAGACGAAGAAGGTGGAAAGGTTTTAAGTTGCTATCCAGGCAAAATAACCCCCTTCACAGCAAAGTGTGAACCTGATTCCTGTTTCTTACATCGAGATAAGCGGACCTTCCGATGAAACCTGTAATGATCTATTCAACTCATAGGCTTTGCTATAATTTATATAGACAACTATTGTCTAAAATAAGGAAAAAAGCGAAAACGGAAAAAAACATGGAAACAAACAATCCGTCACATTAGTTAATACCACGCATAGGCATGGACGACCGTTCACTGTGCAAAGTTATTTTTCAGTTGGAAACGGCTATCTGCATATCAAAGGGCAGTAACCTGCATCTCATAGGAATTTCATACGTTGATTGCCAACCTCGTTACCTTAGTCTGATATGGAAGATATTTTCTTGATGTATGTGTTGAATTCATGATCCGATGTATCTATGGTCATGACTCAGGCGATACTGCGGGATTGATAATCAGCTTTATGGGTACTTTCGTCTAAGGGTTCTCAATTAGGAAGTCACAGACGAATTATCATCCGACTGCATCCATCCTCTGCAAAAGCTAATGACGTAATGCAGTGGGAGCTCAACCCAAATTGTGCTAACAAGACCAACACTACAAGGTGCAAAAAATGGACTCGCTCCCCACTGCCTTAAATAGAAAACATTGACGAGAGACCACAACTGGAGGCAGCATTTCGTTTCTTTCATCCCCAAATGGATACCTGGCTCCTCGCACTAGTTTAACACACGATGGATTGCTCTGATCTTGCAGTCATGGGCCCTCCTGTTGGGTATATATGTTGACCTCAAAAGCATCTACTCAGCTCATTTTTCATCGACTATTTTCACTATTGCTAGCGGATCCAAAACCAACTCAATTCACCTGACTTTCTTTCAACTTGGCAATATGCAAAACTCCAAAAAGACAATGGCTATGGTTACCGGTCCTGGCCCCTCGCTGGAATACAAAGAAATCAATACCCCCAAGCCCGGCAGCGGCCAGATGCTCGTCGAGGTGCAATATGCTGCCCAAAACCCTACTGATGGTATGTCGAGCGATTTTGTAGTATGGAAAAATAATCTGCTAAACTTTGGGCAGTTCAGAGCTATGATATTTTCATGTTCGGAGACGGTGCGGTGCTAGGCTGCGACTTTGTTGGCAAGATTATAGAGCTTGGAGAGAGTGTGACCAAGTATAACGTGGGCGATTTGGTTGCTTCGACGGTCTGGGGAGGTAAGCTTTTGCAAGCGAGGTCATTCTCTAGTCATCACCTACTTAAACCAGGTCTGAACAGGCGAGACTAAAGGCATCGGAGCCTTCGCGACTCACACACTGGCTGATGAAAAGATATCCTTTAGGGTTTCTGACATCTCCGAGGCTTCGGCTGCCACGATTCCTCTGGCTGCATGTACAGCTTGGCTGGCACTCTTCTCTGAACGCTGCCTAAACATCGATCGGTCCAGAAAAGAAAGTGTACTCATTTGGGGCGGGAGTTGTAAGTTACCAAACCGCTAGATTCTTTTACGTTGGCCTCAGTTATCCGATTTTCAACATCGTTTCATGCCACAATACTAACCTCATGAATACAGCGAGCGTCGGACAGTTCGCTATTCAGCTTGCCTGCATTTTCGGTCTCGACGTCGTGACTACTTGCAGTCCGCACAACTTTGACCTAGTTAAAGATCTCGGAGCCAAGCACGTCTATGACTACAACGCCATCAATGTAAGCCAACAGATCCGGAAAGACGTGCCCGATCTGAAGTATGTCTTCGACACGATTGGCAACGAACAAAACTCGTCAGGCCTTGCGGCGACCTCAGCCAACGCCGACTCCATACTGTGTACTGTCCGGCCAGGGCTAGTCAATACTGAAGGCGTGCCGGACACAGTAAAGTGCGTTGACGTCATGATCTGGACCGCATTCCTGAAGGAGGTTAATTACAAGGGACATCAGTGGCTTGTAAGACAATTGTCCATCCTAACATGTTTTATATTTACTAAAAATCTTCTTTAGAAAAGTCAGAAAGACCGAGATCTTGCAGCCGAGCTTTTTGATAATATCCCCAAGTGGGTTGCCGAGGGCAAGGTTAGACCTAATGCTGTTCTTCAGCTGGAAGGGCTTCAGTCGATACCTAAAGGCTTTCAAATGCACCGCGATGGCAAGATCTCGGGCAAGAAGGTTGTCTATAGGATTTAACAACAGTTTATAGAGAAATAACACTGTGGACTTCATGATAATACATTTTACCCATTGAAAGCTACATTCATTACTTCGTTACGAAATACAAAGTCACCTAATGTTGTGGAAGCCAGAACCTGATACACACTCTGATTGGGGTTCTGTATGAGGTTGGAGGAATCTATTTTCTTTTTCTTTTTTTAATTTACAAGGACCACTGCATAGAGTCTTGCCTTTGATTATTACACTCGTGGCAGAGAAAACACTAAGCAATATGCCTCGACGAGACTCGAGGCATTGTAGATGCAAAATCTCACTAGTTAGGCTGAGTATAATAGGAGCGTCCTCATAAAGAGGAATTCAAAGACTCTCAGAACTTCTCATACGAAAAGCCCCGAAACCGAGCTGTGGATATGGTTGTGTTTTGTTGTTGAGCTGCATGCATGCAGCCAAAGCGAACTGATGTACCTCGGCCCGTCAGGACCCGGCAGATCCGCCCCGATGATGGTGTCGCACTACCGTCGAAGATTGAGAGCAGCGTCGGCACCAGTCGCACCAGGCCGATACTGGGGACGCCCCACCCTTACCGTCCCTGATCGGATGGAAAATGGGTAGGTTCCATGCAAACCATCTCGAAATGCTATATCCTGAGTGGTAATGTAAGCGCTGACCTGGCTTAGAATTACGTTATGATGCATAATGCCCTCCTGCGCATGTAATAATCCCTCTACATCAACTGGCAGAGTTGAAAATAAGGATCACGTTGGCGTTTGAAGAACGGGGCCGCTGAGACTTTGTGTCTGAATTCTGGAGTTTGAAACATACAATCAGTTCGAGAGCCTGCAGATGAATCAACGTAGTGATCGTTACCAAGAAATCTACCCGTCCAACGCATGAGATTTCGGCTGTTCGAACTCCATTCACTTGCAAGATGCTGTTGGCAAAGATGCGGCCTAAGGTTATTCGACACTCGGGGTAATCATTTCGGTCATCCGAAGTAAAAGACAGCGAGAGTTGTGGGTGCTGCGGCTGAGTGAGTGGACTATCTCTGCCTAAGGATTCTTTACACAGGGGTCGGCCGCCCCATCCCTGTCAACCAGTAGTAAAGACCCTTACAGAGTCTTGAGATTTTCTTGTTGCCTAGAAACCCATGACTTGAACAGGCAGATTCCAATCCTCTTTTGCCAAGACCCAGCTAATAACCATCAAGAAGGTCGACAAGTATCCATTGGTCCATCAGTTCACATGAAGCTGCAGTACACGCATCACGCGAGCTGTTTTGACATATCACGACCTAACTGGACGGCTCTCCACTTCCTTTCACCAATGACTAATTAAAAAGATGTCTCGGAGAGCTCTTGTCTTCAAAGCTTTCTAGAATCACGAACTCCGCAGTTAAGCGGCAGTCACAGAGAGATTCTGTTCTGTATGACTCAGAACAAGGACGCTCTCGAGAAGTGGGACCACGTGAGCGAAGTACCCCGTATTCTGCTAAGCTTATGGTTGTGGATCAGTTCAACGCCGGAAGAATCTGTATTAACCTAGATTGACCAAGAAGGCAGTTGTGGAGAAATAAGGTTACTCTTTACCCGAAATTTAAAAGGGACTTTGGTTCTTTGACAAGTACTAGCGCTTACCTTGAATCCTTTGGCGGAGACAGATTACCGCAAAGGGCAGTGTAGAAGATTTAAAACCTCAGGTCTTGAAGAAACTCCAGCTTTTGCCAGAGGGACGAGAAGTATAAAAGGGCTCGTGTACTCTCATTCGTATCTCAATTCTTCAGCCGCTCATCCAGCTTACTGCAGACCTCTCCCGATTGTACACTTCTCAGTCGCCATCATAAACAGTTCGAAAATGAAGAGCTTCATTCCCGCGTTCCTTGTTGCCTGCGCTGGCGTTGTTTCGGTATGTCCCCTCCTCGCCTCCTCAAAAGTTGTGATTCATCAGATTATGCTATTATGTTGCTGGCGAAGTGCTGACAACGTGACTAGGCAGCTGCCGTCGACGCCACCGCTGCCGATGTCCAACAGACTGATGTTGACGTCTCGCCTCCTTACCCAGTCGGTCGTCTGGGATGGTACGGAGCTGTGACTGAAGGTGGCCCTGCTGTTTACTACGAGGGAGATGACTTGACCGACATCGACGCCCAAATCAAGTCTGATCATCCCGAAGTGTCCCTTTTTGATGGCACAATGGAATTCTCCGACAACAGCACCGCTGTCGGTGTCCCGGACGGCGCTTCATTCGGCGGATCAGAGGTGGTTCGACTGGATGAGCGGGAGTTGGAAACCCGTGACGACAGAGTTGGTGACCTTTCTCTTGTTGCTATTGCCTAGCGTTACTAGAACTTTGAGCTAATCACTGTCTTCACTACAGTACAGGAACGAGTGTGATAAGCCTTGGGGAGGCATCACCTACTGGGACTTGGACAAGGGTGTCAGGCATCTCAGAAGTGTCAGCAGATGCGTTGTCCAAGCCAGGCAGTGCATCAGGACTACCTGCGACGGCACCTCTGCCACTGTGTTTTGCAACGACAACACATATGCTATCGACATGGCTTGCAGTCACTTGGCAAACATGATTGAGGACGTCGTGTCAGGTTGCGTCCTGACCACCGTCAGTGCCATTTTCCAGCCCTCTGCTCAGCGCTTCAACGTCGACAAGGGATACAATGTCATCACTGCTACTTGCCGCTTTTTCAGCTCCAGTGGCCAGCCGGTCTAAGAGAACTTACTCGAACATAGCTTGCTGGAAAAGACCAGGTTAACAACGAGAATCAGATTTCAGTCTGTACCAACCTGAAAACATGATGTAGTTTTGTCTGGGCCGAGGGCGAAGATGAGTAGAATGTGGACATGGTTATTGTATGACTTAATGTAAATGTAGCCAGCTATCACAACTCAATATCACAAATAAATATGCACTGAATCTATCCATGTATAAAACTTCGACAGTGCCAGCACATGAAATGATTTCTTGCAGCAGCCCTCCAAAAAACGAGAGGTCCTCTGCCTTGGGTTAAGTTATCATGCTTTCTATCTCACTGCTATTCTGATGGCCCCATTCTGTCGCTAAGAGATGGTGCAAATGATTTTTCCCGAGTTGGCATTATCCTCCAGCATACCGTGAGCTTTCTGTATCTCCTCCCACGGCAATACCGTATCAATTACCACTTTAAGCTTCCCCATCTTAAAGCGCGGGATATACTCTTCAAGGCGATCCCGTAACCTCCCCTGATACTCAACATCCCTGCTTCTCAAGGTGCTTCCCTCCATCCGGATCCTCTTGTAGAGTAGCTGATCGATGTCTGCACCCTCAATCCTGCCTCCGCCCAACAGTCCTAACACCACAATACGAGCGTCTCGTGCTGCGACGTCGAGGTTCTTCTGGAAGTAACCGCCACCAATGAAGTCCACAATGATGTCCACTCCCTTGCCACCTGTTGCTTCTTTGATTCGCTCAGCCCAGTCTTCTGTCTTGTAATTGAAGGCTGCCGTTGCGCCTAAATCCCGGACAACAAAGTCGCATTTCGCCTGGGACCCCGCTGTTGCATATATGGCGGATGCGCCAGCGTCTTTTGCCAGTTGGATACCGGCAACGGAAACGCTGGAAGCCCCAGCATGCCAAAGTACTGACTTGCCTGCAAAGAATTCTCCAACAATGAAAAGGGCCTGTGTTGCGGTGATCCAAGTCTACAGGCCTGTTAGTTGTACGCTCTCTAAAAGGTGCCATTTTCAAGTGAGTTTACCTCTGGAATACCGGCAGCCTGCTCCCAGGTAAGGTCGGCTGGCTTATGCAGTAGCATCTTGTGGTTCACGGCGATGTACTCAGCGTATGCACCTCCATATGCCAGGCCAAAAACCTCGTCGTCTTCCTTGAAAGTGCCACGGTCTCCTGGTCCGAACGATTCGATTTTACCGCTGAATTCTACGCCGAGCGTTTTGGGTGCCTGTGGCGGAAGGGGATAGTCGCCGAGGCGTTGAATCTGGTCCATACGATTGATCCCGAATGCCTTAATCTTTACAAGAACTTCACCCTCGCTGGGTGTTGGCTTGGGCGTATCTGCATTGATGAACAAATTCTCTTTGGGGCCCCTTCCCCCCTTGATGTCTAGCATAACGAGTTAGAAACGCCTGTGTGATGGGTTTGCTCTTACTTACCTATTGCCCTCATTTTATCACTCATTTTTTATGGTGGTAGTGTATTTATAGAGATTAAAATAGAGACGCGGTGGGTTTGGTTTGCGGTGGTGAAGGCTTGGATTGTTGTAGTTCCTGGTGTTCCCCAACTCTTATTTTCTAAGCTGTCTTGCCCAGGTCTTAATGTAGGTAGTGAATGATGTCGATCGTTGATTTATCATGTCCTAGATTCCTCCGATGGTCACTTACTGATCAAGCTTGGTGCTAACCAAACCTTAAATCAAGCTGGATGCTTATTCTCTCACTTGAACAGTAATCCAATGAAACAATTATTGATACTTTGGAGTATCAAGCCAACGTAACCTAGCTCACTAGCCGGGCGAACACGGTTACCTGTAGCGCACTAACATTGGTTGCCGAAGAACCGGTGATGAGTAATGCCACAGGCGGCATGGCCGACTGCTGGCCACTAGACTCAATCTTTCAGGCCATTTGCGGCCACTATTCCAGCATTCCCTGGACAATCCAGCGTGCAACACTTGCGAGACAAAACGTATTGGGCCATCATGATTCAGGGAACAGTTGACGCCTTCGACTCCATTCGCATGCACCTTATTAGTAATTTAGGAACCTCTTCAATGGTGGTTTGCTTTCATTGTCTGACGTCATCGTCTCCTTGTTCGGCGATTAGCAGATAGGGCGAGCTGAGCCAAACTAAACTACGACATGGGCACTAGTTACCTACCTACTGATTACTACCTTATCTCGTGGAGTTCCGCAACTCAATTCCTTGCTGGCTGTCAATCGCCGTCACCTCACCACAGAAGCTACCCGCAAAGGTTTTACTAGGATGGAATCTGAAAATTGCACTCGTGCGGTTTTTTTCTATGGCCTTGATGGACTGTGTGTCGCTGGCTCTGCAATTGCTTTGCTGCCTTGGTTATCCAACACCGAGAGATTTGACTCTTACTGAGTTCCTAATCTATCTAATAGAAGCGCACAAAACTGAAAATGTGAATCCAATAAGGGATATTGATAAACTTGCAAGTCAAGTTAGTGCATAACAACTGATCTACTATGTTTTCTTGGGCGCGCCATCAAGACAGGTTATTCTTCGTCAGCGACTTACTGATGCTACAAGCCGCTTAACCGGTTATCACCGTCTCGAATCGTTGGTTGTTCGGCGTTTGGGCTGTGGCTGACGAATTGTGTAAGCTTCGGCGTTAGTGGCCATCCCCCAAACAATTACACTTGACGAACAACACAGTCAGCAAAGCCGTTTCAAGATCAGCAACAAGTTATTTTGCACAATGGCATCAACCCTAGAATTATATAAATGCAGTCTCCGAAGGTTTAGTTTAAACATGAAATCATACATTCTACAACATCATTCAACAATCAATTCAGAATACCCTCGTCTCTAATAACACAAATCACTCTTCATCAATATGGCCCATCGCATCCTTCTCACCGGTGCAAATGGCTTCATCGCCCAGCATATTCTTACACAGCTCCTTGAAGCAGGCCATTCAGTTCGAGCTGTGGTACGAAACCAGCCAAAGGCCGACCAGCTGCTCTCCACCTTCGCCTCCTACCCCTCCACACAGCTGGACACAGCTCTCGTTCCCGACATCACCACCCCTGGCGCGTTCGATGCAGCACTCGCATCAAACCGGCCCTTTGACGCAGTCCTGCATACTGCGTCGCCATTTAACTACCGAGTCGTTTCCTCAAACCTTGACTTCATAGACCCGGCCATCAAGGGTACTACCGAGATCCTCTCTGGTATCGCCCGCGTCGCTCCATCGGTTAAGCGTGTTGTAATGACCAGCTCTATGGCTGCCGTGATCAACTGGTTCTTGCCGAAGCAGACAGATCCCGCGAAGATATACACAGAAGCCGATTGGAACCCTATTACTTGGGACGAGGCCGTCAGTACCAAGGTCTTGAATCTGGCATATGGCGCCAGTAAGAAGTTCGCTGAAGAGGCAGCGTGGGATTTTGTTGCCAAGAAGAACCCCGGTTTCGATCTTGTCATCATCAACCCTCCCATGGTATACGGACCGCTCGCCGATCCAAACACTTACAAGAGCCCACAAGCGCTCAACCAGAGCAATTTCAACCTGTGGCGCAACTTCCTTGACCCGGGCCTGACATCTGCATCACCTGTGCCGCCTGAGGGCTTACACCTTTATGTGGACGTTCGTGATGTAGCACGAGCACATGTTCTTTCAGTTGTTACGCCTGAGGCTGGAGGCAAGAGGTTCGTCATCGGCAACGGAGGGGTCTCGAACCAGAAGATTGCAAACCTTTTCAGAGAGGCGCTGCCTAAGTTGGCGGATAGGATACCCGAGGGAGAGCCGGACAATGCTGAACTTCCAAAGGGCTTGTTCAAGGTGGATTCTTCTCTGATTCAGAAAGTTCTGGGTCTAAAATACACTAGTATTGAAGACACTTTCAAACAGGTTGCTGTGCAGCTAGCCCATATTGATGAGCTGGCACAAAAGACGGCATGATCGTATTTTGTGATGGTATGAGCGTTGTAATGATAGATAATTTAATACTTTTATGAGCCGAATTTGCCGAATTTACCGTGAGAATCGAGTATCTCATTGCAATGACTCTCACGATAAGGTTATTAAAGCTTTTAGTAGCAATACCGCCGCTGGCCTGAAGGGATTCGTGTGGTAAGGTACATGAAGCTCATTCAAAAGATGAAACCCATAAAGAGCATCAACAAAAGCAAACAAGTAAGCCGATATCAATGCCCGGAATAGAGGAACCCCCTTCCTCATGCTGTAAAGTAGCTAACGCTAACATCTGTCATATAATGTTTGCATCTCATTCGTGCAGGCATCACTCTGCTTACCTCTCTAGAAATATAGTTAGCGGCACGTTGACCCCTGCTGTTCTAGATTCCTCGGATTGTTGGGCTGCATGCGGTCGGCAGAATATGAAAGCCGGGTAATCTGACGATGAATTACTAATGTGGACCGAACCAATCAGTCTTTTGAGCTTGAGACTGAACCCCCTAGTATCATCCAATCTCACACCGTCTCACTCTCATTGCCAAGACCGGAATCCGAAATCCGTTCTGACGCTACGTAGTCGACGAAATCCGAGGACCAAACAGCATCCCAAAGCCCTGGGTCAAACACCTTTGCCATTCAACCATCTTTCTGTCTTATCAGTAATGGAAAGCCGAAGAGTTCCAGGCCGTCCAGCTGCCTATGGGCAATCATGCATTGGATGCTTTAAATCCAAGTGCAAATGTATCTTACGCCCTAATGGCGACGAGTGTGAAAGGTCAGTCCATTCCCTGTACAGCTAGCAGATCGCACAAGCATGCAAAAGCCAGACGAGCGATGGCGAGAAAGTAGTACCAACCATTCCTGTTGCAATCCACAGGTGCCACCGCCTCAAGAAACCATGCCGCCCCGGTGACTCCGTCCGGCGGCGTGCAGCCGACAGGAACCAAAAAGCAAACACGCGGATTGCTGAGCTTGAAGGGAAACTTGAAAGTCTCGTGGCGTTGCTGCAAGATCGCAAGGTTATCGACGACAACGGGCTAGCACAACAACACACACGATACCAGGCTGCGGAACCAGAGTCTTGTGGTACTGGCGAACTTAATCGCAGCATCTCAATGACCGGTGACATTGATGATGATACAAGCCTCATCATCGATGGTAGTGACCGACATTACGAAGATGAAGAAATGCTATCGCCACCGACAACCATTTCACCAGGACCTGCAACTAATGCATCGGAACTTTCAGTCTCTTCAGATGTGGCGAAACTCCAAAGATTTCGATCCCGCATGCTTCCCAAGTTTCCTTTCATCCACTTATCCACCGAGGTGACGGCTGAGAAACTACAGCTCGATCGGCCATTCCTATTTCGCGCTATCACCTGCGTTGCCTCTCTCCCAACGCATGAGAAGCGGGAGCATGGGCATGAGCTGAAACGCGTGCTGAGTGGACTGGCCTTTTTCCATAGTGAGGACATTAAGAATCATCATGAAAGCATGGAAAAAACAACAGACCTCCTACTGGGACTGCTAGTCTTTATCGCCTGGGGTTGGGATCACGTAATTGGCGGTCGCAGCTTGTCACGCCTCATGATGCTGGCTTTGTCGCTGGTTGGAGAGATGCATCTGGATAAGCCGACAGCACATCAGTCAAGCCCACTAATGTTATCAGTTGCAAGTCACGACAAACAAGACGACGAAAGAAATGATGAACTGGCGAAAGAAAAACTCATGGAACGTCGGCGTACAGTTCTGGGATGTTTCGCGCTCAGCTCTATGGTCTCGACACACTTTGGCGAGATAGAACCTTTGACGTGGACGCCGCAAATGGAAGAAGACCTTGCCGCCATCGCAGGTGACACAGAATATCCGTCTGATATGGTTCTCGCCGTACAGGTCCGCCTTCAATTGCTTGCCTTGCAAGCCGCACAATCGTGCAAGCTTGAAATGGATCAAGTTGGGATCATGGGGCTACCTCCTCCGACCATCTTGCATACTCGAGACATGCTGATGCGATTGCAAGAGATTCGAACATTCATTTCTTCGAAAGCACTACCCGATAGTAGTAAGTCCTTGTCGAGTAACGCTGTGATAATGCTGATGCAAATTTGCTGACATAACTCTGGATAACGTAGAAACTCTTATGGGCCATACTTATTTTACGGAATTACGTATCCTTGAAGCTGCCAAGCCAGACATAACTGTATCCTCCGGAATTCCTTGTGCTGGCCCAAGCAATGCCAGTGTATCCTTGCAGAGTGATCATACTTTCTGCTTATGGAAAGCCCAGCTCGCTGTCAAGAACTTCGCAACGGCACTTTTGGCACTTACCCCCTCTTGTTTCCTTTACGCTTCTTTTCTTCAAGCGGCTCAGTGGACATATCTTGCGAACTGTGTCGCGATTTTGTGTCGTGCTGGTGCGTCTTTTGGAGGTTCAGAAAAAGATCCAGCCATCATTAGAGCTATAGCTGAGCTACCAGTTATGCTGGGCCGGCTAGTTGATATTTTCCAGTTAGCTGCCAACGAATCTGGAGAGTCAGAGTCAGACGGAGTATTTGCGAGTCTGGCAGATAGTTTTGGCGTGTTTTGTAGGAACTTACAGAGCCAAGAAACAGGCAACTGGGGGGAGCCCGGACCAGGGCTCATGACGAGCACGAGCGGATTTGATGGGAACATCGGGTCTTGGATAGAGAACTTTTGGGCTAAGAGGGCCTAATTATATACTAATATAGAGATGAGTAGCCAGGACTGCTACATATTATGTATCGTTTCTCATGTAGAATTATGCGGCTCTGTCTAAAACCTCTATTAGAGATTGTGGAAGGCTTTTCACCTCTTTGCATATTTACCACGTCGGTTTTAATGCCATCCATTTACTGTAATTTCAACATGCCAATTTTTGGGTGAAAAAGAAAGAAATGACCAGATGAGAGTCATGCCCTGTATCTCTCATTTCGTCGAGCTGTGCGATTGAAGGTGCCTGGATGGACAAAACAGTACACAAAACTTCCACGTGAGGCCAAGAAATACGATTAGCCCGATGCATCGGATTTCAGAATCCGATCCCGACCCACGTTCGGCTGGACTTCAAACCCGGGGCAAATTGAGAATTCTTCATATTCAGCCGGTTCAATTCAGGCCGATGGAAAGGCTACCGCTGATAAATCACTAGAAGAGAAATGTGTTGAGGGCCGTGTTCGTTCTGCTCTCTTCTCTCAACACACTTCACCTTCAAATACATCATATAAAAGTTAAAGCGATACCATGTACAACACTCTATATCCAATCTTCATTCAAGCGATAACACAATTCCCTCGACATGGCTTCTTTATCTTCCGACTTAAATGGCACTCAGGTGACTGACGACAACAAGGTTGCACCGATGATTTCCACAGAGGCACCGCAAGAAACGTCTGACGCTGAAAAGAACATAACTGCAGTTGCAGATGAAGCAGACGAGAAGAAAGAATATCCTACAGGAATCAAGCGGATTTTGATAATATTGCCCGCTACTTTGTCTTTCTTTCTTGTCTTTCTTGACCTGGCCGTCGTATCTACTGCTACACCAGCCATCACATCGAGCTTCCAGTCCTTAGTCGACGTCGGTTGGTACGGCGGGGCGTATCAGTTGGGAGGTTCAGCTTTTCAACCCTTGAGTGGCAAGATATATCAACACTTCTCGGCAAAGGTAAGACACTACCAGAACCATTTCCCATCGATCCCCCCATCTAACATGCTCACCCAGTGGTCGTTTCTTGTCTTCTTTGGCATATTTGAGCTCGGCTCACTGCTATGCGGAGTTGCTACATCCTCGTCCATGTTCATCATTGGAAGAGCCATTGCTGGTGTGGGATCTTCGGGCCTGTCCACGGGGACTTTGACCATCATCTCGTGCATCATGCCACCTAAAGAGCAGGCCAAATTCTTGGGCGTTAGCATGGGCCTCGGCCAGCTGGGTATTGCATTGGGTCCCGTTCTTGGAGGCTTGTTCACTGAATACGTTTCCTGGAGATGGTGTAAGTGTAATCCCTAGGCAGTTCCCTGTCGATGAAAGCTGACAGTAATTATGAGGCTTTTACATCAATCTCCCAGTCGGTGTACCCATCGCCGTACTCCTCATTCTATCCCGCATTCCCGACTTGGAACCCAAGCCTCCTGCACGACAGGTCCTCGGTACAGCGATCAAGTCTTTGGACCTTCCGGGGTTCCTACTCATCAGCCCCGCCGCGGTAATGTTCCTTCTTGGCTTGCAATATGGAGGAAACGAATATGCCTGGAACAGCTCTGTCGTCATTGGCCTATTAGTTGGCGGCGGCATGACCTTTGTCGCGTTTCTGTTCTGGGAACATCGCCAAGGAGACGGAGCTATGGTACCGTTCGCCATGTTGAAGCACCGAATCATATGGTCTGCCGCAGGCTGTGCCTTCTTCCTTCTGGGTACTGTTCTCGTTGCCGACTTTTACCTGGCTATATACTTCCAAGCGGTCCATGGAGATTCGCCTTTTATGAGTGGAGTTCATTTGTTGCCCACAACTCTCAGTTTGGTTCTATTCACCATGATCTCGGGAGTGATGAGTATGTGTTTAGATTTTTATTATTTTTTAGTCCTCTGGAGAATGACAAACTAATTCTTCGCAGTTGAAAAGCTCGGTTACTACCTTCCATGGGTCACAGGAGGCAGTTCTATCGCGGCCATCGGGTATGGGCTCTTGTCCACACTGAGTCCAACGACCTCTACAGCGAAATGGATTGGGTATCAACTATTTTATGGAGTTGGTAGTGGATCTATGTCATCAGGTGTAAGTACCGTCCTGTATTCTTTATGGTTTCTAAAAGCTGACCTTTGTTATTCCTGTTCTCAGCACTACATTGCTGTCCAAAATCTTGTACCGGCTCCCCAAATACCCATCGCCATGGCAATCGTTATCTTCATGCAAAATATGGGTGGTGCGATATTTCTAGTTGCAGCAAATGCAGTCTTCAGCAACACTCTGCGGAAGGAACTACAACAGCGTGCCCTTTTGATTGGAGTTGAACCAGACGTAATTGTTAACTCTGGGCTGAACTCCATCCGCAGGCTCGTCTCAGGGGATCAGCTTCGCCACACGCTGCAGGCATACAGTGATAGTGTCGACACCGTCATGTACCTCGGCATCGGCATCGGCTTTGCCACCTTTTCTTTTGCCTGGGGCCTTGGATGGAAGGATATTCGGGTTGAGAGGAAGCTTAAAGCATTGAAATCTGAGGCCGAAGACCAGAAACAGATACCTCGGAGATAGGCGGGTTTTTGTAGTTATATCCCGGACCCAATGAAGTCAGGCCTCACGGCATGTCTGTTGGTCGCGGTAGTCACAATTTCAGGGGAAAGGGCGGCATGCTCTCAAGGAAATCTTGGCCACGAAGCCAAGTATCACTACCTGAAGAGCACTGAAGCAGCACTGTAGTACCTAGATAAACGCTATGGGGACAGGTTGGGAATTGGCTGGTTTGAAGAATGTAACGAAAGTGGGAACCAAGATGAGCAAGTGCTCAATAAGACAATTGAACAAGCTCCAATTCTAAATATTAACACATGTTCTCCTGCTATTTAACTGGCAAATACCATAAGGTAGACGGCAATTGCCAGGACCCTTACCCATAACGACGAGACCGAGACCGAGACCGAAATCCCGGCACCGTGTGCGGGTCCACTATAATTAGTGCGTGTCCATAAAGCTTAAGCACAAACGCAACCATGTTCCAAAGTTTTGACAACCAGATGGAGAGGGATTAGGATAGAGGGTATGACTCGAGAACTACGAATCTTGAACATGTCGGAGAAGTCCAGTTACACGGACCTACCCGCCTGGCCCAATATGCCTATCACATATTGAGAACCGTTTCTTTCCTCCACCTCTTTCATGTCTCTCTTTCGGACTCGCAAGAAACATTTTATCGTCAACTACCTAGCAAACGAGTAGAGGCGTTCAGCGCCCAACAACGCCACGCAATGGTGAAGCTTCCGAGCAGTCAGGTTCGCCGGGTCGATTCCGACGCTTCGTCAATCAGCTGGTAAGTAGCGCCTAACCATCATGTCACTTTTAAATGCACTCGTCTTGAAAGTGACATACTTCTTTATGCACCTGGCTAAATGTGTATAGGGGCCTAGACTACCTGCAGGAAGAAAAGATCACGCCTCTCACATGGATCGAGACCCCCGTAATATCCTCTGATGAGGACACTGGCGAAGTAAAGCTGTTTGTCAGGCACAATGCCAACACCATCGAGCTGTTTTCCGACCTCTTCTTCGTTGCAAACCTCGAAACTTTTACGCAAACACACAGCATCACCAACCTCAGTAGTCTGGCAGCATATCTCGGTTTTTTCGGTATTATCTGGTTCACATGGTTCCAAATCACACTACATGATGTGCGGTTCTCGATTGACTCTGGATACGAACGGATGTGTAAGATCCTGCAATTCTTGCTATTTGTGGGATTCGCTTTGGTAGGGTCGTCGTTCAGTCCTGGAACTAAGGAGCACAACAATGCGGTAGGTTTGATTACTCGAGCGCATTATGTGTGTTTGTTGATGATGGAGTAGAGCTTCAAACTTCTCTGTAACATCCTTTTCGCAAGCCGGCTCTTGATGGTTGCACAGTATTCGGTCGCGTTGCACTTTGTCCGAAAGAAAACAAAGGCCTTGACATGGCCCCTCTCCCTTACCATCACTCTTTTCATCTTCTCCGGCGGATCATTCTACTCCATGACGCCGGCTTTCGCTCCTGAATCTGGGAACGGGCTTGGTATCTACTACGTCTGGTACATCATTCTCGCCATTGAGGCAGCAATCACCCTAGGCATCTCGTCAATATGGCGAAACATGGGCTTCAAGCACACCCATCTTACCGAGCGAATGGGACTGTTTACGCTTGTCATCATCGGCGAGGGAGCCATTGGTGCCACCAAGACAGTCGGTAATCTCATGAGTGATACCGGCCTCAGACTTGACGCCTGTCTAGTTGTCGGCTGCATAGTCTTCATCTTGGTATGTCATCCCTTTTTGTCTTCAGCGGGTAACTAACAGGCCTTCTAGATGTTTTGTTGGATGCTCTACTTCGACAACCCCCCCGAATGTAAATTCGGTACCGTCCGTCAGCAAATTTGGGCTGTTCTTCACTTTCCCTTTCATCTCGGCATGATTGGTGTTGTTGAAGGTTCCCAACAGATCGCTCTTGCCTGGCAGGTCATGAGTCAATTTGGCAGCTTTTTCAGCGATATCCGCAAAGCCTGCGTCTCACGAAACGAAGATGGCCTGGCTCTGACCAACTCCACCATAACATCCTTCCAAAGCCTTCAGATGCCGAATAGTCTCGAGGTGCGGGATATGATTCCTTTCGTCTACCAAGAGATATACAACCTGGGCAACATGACGGGCTTGTGTTCCGCAGCAAACACCACTGGCGGAGACGATCTCTTCTTGCCTTCTCCTTATAAGAAACTGACGAGACGAGTGATTGGTGTGCTATTCAAGTCGTATAACGGACTGAGCTCGTCGGATGAGGCAGATCCCGGGGATATTGCAGAGCCAGCATACACTACAGTGTATGTGTACTACTGGAGCTCTTTTCTGTTCGTCGTCGCCTTCTTTGGCGTGTTCATCCTCATTACCAGACACAAGGACCGGCCTCTCAACATCTTTGACAAGGCGGCTGTTACAAGTAGAGGGCTGGCTTCTTTGCTGGCTATTGGGCTAGCAGCTGGTGCGGCATCGGACGAGTTTATCTTCAAATATCTCAAGAGTGCTGCGACGCTGCCTACTGTTGCACTAATATTCCTAGCAATCCTCGCTGTCGACAGGTACACGAAATACCTCAGCGCCAACACTCTCAGGAGAAATCTGACAGGGTTGAGTGACTTTGAGAGCTTACAATCGGATGCTCCGGTTGATCAGAAGAGCTAATGCTACTGATACAACGTAGTTTTTTGCATTTGATCAAGAGGAGGTAGCTAATCACTAAGTCCGCAATTTTGAGTTCTATTTGTACAAAAGTAATAGCGTCGATAACATGGACTGCTTTGATCACCGAGGAGATGTAAAGATTCGTCGGGGTTGTTAGCTGGAGCCTAAAAATCCCCAATTGTACATTGTTGACAACTTTTATCCTCCTCTTAGAATGAACAGGCTCCCACATTCTGAAGAACTATATCCATATCTCGAACAGAAAAATCATGCTGCCTGGGCTCAGAAGGCCGTGCACGATTTCAACCCCACCGATCAAGCCGGGGAAGTCGGCGGAGACCCGGGCCGGCTACGGCGGCATGTTGCTCCACATAGTAATCCTGGTAGAAACCCCGGGATGAGTGATATGCAGGAGACCAACGGACCCTAGCTTTGGGGCTCAGACGTGACAGGTGAAAGTTGCCTGCGGCGAATCTGTGAGGAAGCCTGGGCACATTAAAGTTGTATACTACTGGGAGTCGATCATTCAAAGGCACCGATGCCATTTCCCGAAAACCACCCAATTATCAATCTAACCCCTGCGTCAAATAACCTGAAACCAACAGCAGTGACATACGCCGCAGCTATCTACCTTCCTATCTTGTCCTGCACCAACATCGCCAACTTTGATTAATCCGCATGGGACAAAGTAGTTGCCTGAATGACCAAAACATTTATAAGACACAATTGAAAGCTCCCGTCATAAGCAATCCTGGACATCATCACCATAATCAATTTACACATTCAAAATGGCATCAACTCAACTCCATACCCCACCACAAGCACCCCCCACCTTCACCTTAACCTCAACCGCAATCATCGAGTCCATAACTCGACTAATCCAAGCCTCAAAGCAAGCTCATCACAACCTCACCAATGCTGTTACCGTTCAGTCCGCAACGTTTGCCAAAGTGCTCCTCCCCCTCGCCCACGCAGAGAACGCTCTACTTTCAGAGTCAAACCTTTTGATCTTCTACGATTCCGTCTCTACAGACAAACAGGTTCGCGATGCCTCCAGCAAAGCTCGGAGTATGCTGCGAGACTATCAAACTGAGGCATCAATGGACGAAGACGTCTTCAGACTCGTCGACGCCGTATATAATACCACGGCCAATGAGTCACTTACCGCGGAGCAACGCAACTTTCTGAACAAAAAGCACAAAGAATTCGTCAAAAACGGCCTGAGAATTCCTCCTGGACCCAAACGAGAGCGGTTTAAGCATATCCGCAGTCGCATCGACACTCTCACTTCCCAATTCTCAAAGAACCTGGCAGAGGATAAGACGGCAGTATACTTTCACCCTGACGAACTCGCGGGGTTCCCTAAGGATAGTTTATCACAGCTCGAGAAGGGACAACCTGGGACTGATAACGAGGGGAAAGTAAAGGTTGAGATTCCAATGGACTTGGCTGCGCTCCTCCGGACCACCAAGAGCCCTTCCACTAGGAAGCGCGCCAGACTAGCGTTCGACAACCGCTGTCCCGCAAACATCGCCGTGTTTAGCGAAGTCGTAAGTCTCCGCCATGAAGCCGCGCAACTTCTCGGCTACCCGAACCACGCAACTCTCAGCATCGAAGATAAAATGGCCGAGACGCCCGCTCGAGTGAACGCCTTCCTCGCATCCCTCCGCTCGAAACTAACAGATTGTGGGAAGCAGGAGGCAGAAACCCTGCTGCTGCTCAAGACACACGATGTCGAAGCGAGAGGGGAAGACTTCGACGGGCGATTCTTCACCTGGGATGTCCCATTCTATGACAATCTGCTTCTGCAAAAGGAGTACTCCGTCGATCACGCAAAGATATCAGAGTACTTCCCACTGCAGTCCACGGTGGAAGGCATGCTGAGCACCTTCGAGCACCTCTTCGGCATCGTATTCCACGAGATCCACGACGCAGAGCGAGCTTCCCTGTCACTGACAGGAAAAGGAGAGGACCTCCTCTGGAATCCTGACGTACAGCTCTTCGCAGCCTGGGACTCCCCTTCCGAAGGTGGTGAATTTCTAGGATACATCTACCTAGACCTCTACCACCGCGATGGAAAATCCAGAAACCCAGCAAACTTCAGTCTCGTCCCCGTAAAAAACCACCCCCTCCCCCCTCTAACCTTCTCAGAGTCCACTCTAACTTCACCCAGGGCTTCACAAAACCAGACGGGAAAAGGGTATACCCCTCAACAGCCCTAATCTGCAGCTTCCCCAAACCGACATCCGCAAAACCGACGCTCCTGCGGCACCCAGACGTCGTGATCCTGTTCCACGAGCTAGGCCACGGGATCCACGACCTCGTCTCGCGGACGCAATATGCGCGCTTCCACGGACCAATGGGCACCGTCGTCGACTTTGGCGAGGCGCCCAGCCAGGTCCTCGAGAACTGGTGCTGGACGCCCTCGCAACTTACTTCGCTGAGCAAACATTACTCCCATCTCTCGGACAAATACCTCTCCGCGTGGCGGGCGACGTCCGGGGGCGCTGCGCAGCAGCCGGCGGAGGAGTTGCCGCGGGACATGGTTGATAGTCTGCTGAGGGCGAGACACGTCGGCCAAGCGTTGAGCACGCTGCACCAGTTGTTCATGGGCGTGTTTGACATGGCTGTCCACAAGCCGGGGGATGATTTTGAAAGCGTGGATTTCACCGCGTTGTGGACTGCGCTGAGACGGGAGATCGTGCCTACGCAGGACCCGTTTGTGCTCGGGGAGGGCGATAAATGGGGACATGGGTATACTAACATTACGCACTTTATAAAGGAGTATGATGCTGGGTTTTACAGTTATTTATTGTAAGTCTTCTTTATGCTCAGGATATTAGAGGGGGGCGTGGTAGCAGGTGTCTAACACGGTAACAGCTCGAAAGTGTATGCGCAGGACATCTTTTCAACCATTTTCGAACAGGATCCGATGAGCGCTGAGGCTGGGAGGAAGTATCGGTATGGTGTGCTTGAAAAAGGAGGAAGTCAGCCCGAGATGACGACTTTGATGGAGTTTCTGGGCAGAGAGGCAAAAATGGAGCCGTTTTACGAGGATTTAGGGCTCGTTGTTTAATCTTCTTAGATGTTGCAAGACGAGCAAGTGTATATGACGTTCCTTTTCGTCCTAGATATATTGAGACCCGCGCAATAAAAGCTTTTGTGTAAAATTTGAGAGTACACATTCGTTGATATGTCTTGATAGTCTTAATCCTTGCATCAGACTGAAGGCGCCGATGCGCCGCTGAGGGACCGGAGATTCGGGTCCGAAGTGGGGCATCTTCAACCAGCCGGCGGCATCGCCGAACCGGTGCCGAATCGGTACTGTCCTCCCCCAGTTTGGTCAGCAGCTCTGATGCAATTCTTGTCCGAATCACGAACCCCCGACAGATATCCTATCAAGTGCGAGCGAAATGAAGCTGTAATGCTACCGTGCGGCAAGTCGTGCATGGAAGTTTACCATTGAAGTTTCTCGCTAGAGCTAATCGCTTCACTGCCGAGCAGTGGGCGCTGATCAGTGTGATGCCATGCATATCCCCGGATCTCGCGACCAGTGACATGCTCGACAATTGCTACGATGCCGCGTATCTTCAACACCCCGCACATATATATCGATTGCGTGAAACGCCGGATGGATGGTATGAGGACTCGTCATTTCGGATTGACTGACGCGATGGATTTGAAACGAGGCCATATAAAACCGCGAAGAGATTAAACAACGATAAAGAAACATATTCCTGATTTGGCAGCAGCCTGAATTTCATCATACAGAACATCTACAGTAGAGCATTCATCATGTCCACTACGACCGCTACTGCGACGGAAGCCGAAGCGCCGCCCATCAAGTTGACTTTGGCGTACGATGACAAGATTCATGACCAGGTAAGAACAAGTCTATCGCTTAATATTTCACAACACACTACTCACAGAGGAGCAAGTACAAATACTCACAGTACCTACCTGTCTATGACGAGAAAACATCGCTTCCCCCGCTGCAGCCGTTCGAGTTCAACGATCGCGGGCTGGCAGCGAACAAGGAAAAGCCAAATCTCCTCCCGAAAGACAATACTACCATTAAAGCCACCAAACTCACGCCGGTCATTGGAACCGAAATTCGAGGGCTTCAACTCTCTCAGCTTGACGACAGACAGAAGGATGAACTAGCACTTCTCATCGCCGAGCGAGGCGTGGTTGTCTTTCGCGATCAGGATTTCAAGGATATCAGTATTGAGCAACAAAAAGAATTTGGGCGATACTTTGGGCCTCTTCATATCCACGTAGGTATCCCTTGAATCATCCAAAAGAGCTTCTTTGACGAATTTAAACAGCCCGTAGGCGCGCACGTCAAGGACCATCTCGAGTTCCACAACATCTACCTGGGCCCCGACAACGAGTACCGCAACCGCAGCAAGAGCAACAAGCTCTCGACGATCGGTTATCACTCAGACGTGTCGTACGAGCACCAGTCGCCAGGTGTCACCATTCTGACACTCCTCTCGGTGCCGGAGACGGGGGGTGATACGGCATGGGTATCGCAAACAGCTGCATATGCGCGGCTCTCTCGGCCCATTCAGGCGCTTCTCGAAGGTTTGAGGGCTGAGCACAGCGGGTTTCCACAAGCGGACAACGCGAGACGAGATGGTAAGTTCGTAAGGAGGGAGCCGGTCAAGTCGGCGCATCCGGTCGTCCGGATTCACCCGGTATGTTACAATGCCTCCATATCAATAACCCGGACACTAACATTTCGAACAGGCGACTGGTCAGAAGGCGTTGTTTATCAACCCGGGCTTTACAAAGAAGATCATTGGACTTCGTGACGAGGAGTCTGACGCGCTGCTGAAGCTTCTCTTTAAGGTTTGTGAACCATTCAAAGTTCATGCCTGTCAAAATAAGTGTTAAAAATAAGACAGCACATCACCCTTGGCCAGGACTTCCAGGTCCGCATCAAGTGGGAGGAGGGCACAGTAGCCCTTTGGGATAACCGCGTAACAGCGCACACGGCCATCTCGGACTACAACGTCCACAACCCCCAAGAAGGGCTGCGGCACGGGTTCCGGATCACAACGCTGGCAGACAAACCAACGGGGGTGAATGGCTTGGAGTCCACGTGGTAGGCTGCATAACAGCATTCGGTCCGTTGCCCACAGATCACGTAATGGTTGGACTTGCAAATTGGACGAATCCAAAGTCTGGACTTTCTGTTCAAAAACTTTCGCGAAGTCAGGGGTGGGCATGGAAGCTCGGAAGTTGTTGAAACGGGAAGAACGATTATTGCGGGAGTAAAAGAGGCGGGCCATGCGTTCCCATGATTTGTGCCCAAGGGATCCCGAGACAACAGTCGGAACACGGGGGTGTCGCTGGAGAAAGGGGTCGATCCGTGCGCCTCTTTTGTCGTATGGGTGATGTGATGTACCTTGCAGAAAGCTTGCGCATAGCAATGGGGAAATATTCCGCAGTGCGACCGAGAAAAGTGGACAAGTTGCGAAATCTAGTGATCAGCGAGACGTGCCTATGCCAACACTGTTAACATGATTAATGGAGATGAGGGACAGTAGCGAAGTGGCGTCTAGTCGGGGATGGAGGCACGTGGCTGTCCCAACAGTCAGTCTCCTGTCTCAGGGGGTAACTGGAGCGTTATTCCCGAGATGTGGAGGTAGGAAAAATCTCCCCAGGAGCCAAAGACTGATTTCTCATCCAAGGCCAGTGCTTCGTCTCGTGTGATGATAAAGACGGGTGATTCTAGAAGGGACGCGTGACAGAAGGAGAGTGGAGCCAGCCAGTCTGGGCATCGTCGATCCGGTTCTCTCCATGGTGGTGAGGCTCAGTGCCGACTTTTGTCTCCGGCCGAGGCTGGGCATGCCGAGCTGATGACTGTGACTGATGAAAAGCGGAGCGTCAACGACGCCCGCTGACACCGCCGAATTCCGTGAGAGCCTCATCGATCCTCACGACAACCGGAAGGGGGAGAGCAAGACTCAGCAGGATGATGGTGTGATTGGCGGGAGCGGGATACAGGCGGAGGCCGAAACAATGGGTCTTCTTTTTTTTTCGTCTTTCCTCAGTATTGATTTATTCCAATTCCCTGCTCAGACTCAATGAGAGACCCTTTTTTTGGGATTGGCTTATCTCCCCAGAAGGGGCCCCGAGTGACCCAGAGAAAAAGCGCGTCGAGACAAAATCTGGGAGCCCCTCGGGGAACAACGGTGGAGGCATTGGAGTCAGCGCCTCGGACGGCGACCGACAGACCGGTTAGACCTGTAGAATAAGGAAAGTCAGTCTGGCTCGGGGAGACACGAAGCAAAAGACTGGAGATTTCTGGAGAATGTCTGGGGCTTGGCTGGAGACTCTGGAGGAGAGGATGAAAAGGGCCGAAGAGAGGCCATGGCCGCTGGAAGAAGGGGGAGACGACAAAAAAATAAAGATAAAAATTGAAATACAAAAAAAAAAAAAAAAAAAAAAAAAACCGGAGCGAGCGGCGACGTCATCTGACAGTGGGGCCGGACTTAGAGGATGGTGAAATGTGAATTGAAGAAGACGGCCGGCCGGCGGTTCAATCAAGAATTATTGGCGGCTTGGAACAGGTGCTTGTTTGCTTTTTTGGAGGAATTTGTGCGGCGATCGAGGCTGGGCAAGCAGGCAAGATCCGATCCACCCGGTCGGGAAGGCCTGCTTGGCGCGATTGGCGATGCGGTAGGGGAACGGGTTTACGGGTAGGCGCTGACGGGAGGTAGGCGGTAAATACTACGTAGTGGATTCATGATTGGCCAAGATGGAACTGCAACCGCCTTCAGTTGGTCCCTATCCGTGTTTACGGGTCAGCAAGGTACGGATACTGCAATAGACGTTCTTTCCTATTTCCTGGACAGTCCAGGGAAGGAAGGCAGCACTGCTGCAGCCGCGGAAAGATGCCGTCATTTGGCGTACGACACTGACTCGATGTACCTGCTCATACAAATTAACCTGGCAATATACTCGACTCGCATGTGTATAGTACGTCACAGTGGCTTTACTTCACTACAGCCAGCAACAAGAAACATATCACAGCACAACGATTTATTCCAGCTGGGAATTTGAAAAAAAACAAACACCTTAGAGACCGGCTAGCACAGTCCAGACTCTAATAGATCGTTCTGGCACTGACTCCCCTCCAAACTCCACGGGGAGCACTATTTTACCTTCGTGTTCAACCCCATGGGAGCTCCAGAAAGAAAACTGAGTCTAGGTCTTCTGTACGGAGTACTATTCTTCTAGTGTACGGAGCATCTTTACCATGGTTGTGGCAACCCTCGCAGGTTTCTAGCACCCACTTTCACACCCCCCAGTCCCGGCTCATCCGACACGCCTCGCCTTCACACCTGATACTTGCATGTCCGGCAATAACCCTCTCCGTGTTATCCATTAATCATGCAGCAAAAAGGTATTGCTATGTACGTATACCACGCAACGACCTCGGATCCGACAGCGGGTCTGTTCTCTCCATGGGCTTTTCCATTCTCACGTTTACATCATCACATCATTCCACACGCCCCCCGTTGCTCAAACGATCCACTCATCTCGACCAACGTCATACAATCATTCATCAACCTCGAGATTCGTTCCAGGGAATTGTGGCCCAACTGCCCGCCCGGTCTGCTGCCCACGGCCTTCCCGCAGACATCAAGCTATCGCCCTCCACAATTTCTCAAATTCCCATCACCACGAGAGCCGCATTCGTAATACACCTGCCCCATACTTTGCCCCCGTCATCCAATCCCCCCATGTCGTCTTCCCCAAAAGAACCCCTTGGTCGAATCCCAACTGATGCGGCCGGACCGATTTCGACGCCTGGAGACCCCAGAACCGGGACGGCTGCACCTCGGTGCCTTCCACTCCATCCCAAGTCATCGGCCAGTCACTCATATTCTGATGCTCTGACCTGGCCCTCGGCCCTCGTCTCTTGACGTCACGCCTCTGTGCTATTCAGACACCCCTCCCTCTCACGCGCGCAGAAGGCTCTTTTTTTTTTCTGGTCCAGCTTTGCGAGCAACAGTCGAACGCTCGTGTGTCGATCTTCGAAACGTCCATATATACTCCCCGCCATGTCCCCCCAAGACATTTCTCTTGTGTCTCGGATGAACCATCACAGGCACTCCAAAGCCCCTTCAACCTACACTCACCTCAACTAATCACATACATCGTCATTGCCCATCATGGGGTTCTCGACGATCGAGTTCGACAAATACAACCCCGCCTCCGAGAAGGCGAGCGATGCCCGCCAGGACCTCGCCCATCTCGACTACTCCCCGCTCAAGCGCATCACAGGGCGCACATGGGCCATGGGACTTCTCGTCTCCATGGGTGGCATGGTGTAAGTAAACGAAAAATATCTCCCCCGATGCGCACTATACTAACTCGACCCTAGCTTCGGATATGACACCGGTCAGATCTCCGGTTTTCTCGAGATGCCCGACTTTCTCGACCGCTTCGGAGAGCGTGACACCCCTGATGGCACCCCGACTTTTAGCAATGTCCGCTCCGGTTTGATCGTCGGTCTCCTCTCCATTGGTACCCTCATCGGCGCTCTTGTTGCCGCTCCCATCGCCGATAAGTTCGGCCGCAGGAATTCCATCTCTTTCTGGTGCATCATCACCTCTATCGGCTTCGTCATCCAGATTGCTGCCGAGCGTACCTGGGAACAGATCATGGTTGGACGTCTTGTTGCCGGCTTCGGTGTCGGCGCTCTCAGTCTCATCGTGCCCATGTTCCAAGCTGAGACCGCACCGCCTTGGATTCGTGGCGCCCTAGTCTGCGCCTACCAATTGTTCATTACCCTCGGTATCTTCCTCGCGGCTTGCTTCAACTACGGTACTGTCACGCACCAGGAGCACAGCTCCGCATCATGGCGTATTGTCATTGGCCTTGGCTGGCTTTGGACCATCATTCTTGGTGTTGGTATCCTAGCCTTCCCCGAGACTCCTCGTTTCAACTACCGCCTTGGTAAGGTCGAAGAGGCTAAGCGCACCCTCTGCCGCGTCTATGGCGCTCCCGAGAACCACTACAGTATCTACGTTCAGCTCGAGGAGATTGAGAGCAAGCTCCGTGCCGAGTCCCAGATCAAGGGCAGTGCTATCAGCGAGTTTACAGGCATGTTCAAGGCGCCTCGCATGGCCTACCGCATCGCCCTGGGAATGATTCTGCAGATGTTCCAACAGCTCACGGGTGCCAACTACTTCTTTTACTACGGAACCACCATCTTCGCGTCTGTCAACATCAACTCCTTCATTACGCAGATCATTCTCAACGCCATCAACTTCGGTACTACCTTCATCGGTCTGTACATTGTTGAGCACTACGGCCGTCGCAAGTCTCTCATTGCCGGTTCCCTCTGGATGTTCATCTGCTTCATGATCTTTGCCTCTGTCGGCCACTTCAGCCTTGACATTGCGAACCCCCAAAACACTCCAGGACCTGGTATTGCCCTCATCGTCTTTGCCTCACTCTTCATTCTCGGCTTTGCCACGACTTGGGGACCTATGGTAAGCACCCTCGCGCTCATCAAGTATTTTGACAACCAACTAACACTTCCCAGATCTGGACAATTCAGGCCGAGCTTTTCCCCTCCCGCTACCGCGCCAAGGCCATGGCCCTTTCAACCGCCAGCAACTGGACCTGGAACTTCTTCATTGGTTTCTTCTCGCCCTTCATCACCAAGGCCATTGACTTCCGTTACGGCTACGTCTTTGCCGGCTGCAACATCGTCGCCGCCGCCATCGTCTACTTCTTTGTCATTGAGGGCCAGGGCCGCACACTCGAGGAGATCGACACCATGTACCTCGAGCGCGTCACTCCTTGGAAGAGCACCAAGTGGGAGCCTCCCTCTGCTGAGGAGATGGCTAGAATCCGCAAGCAGGCTGGCACTGAGCTGGACGCCAGCGCAAGCGAATCTGGTGCACACAATGAGAAGAACGAGCCTCTTCGGCCAAAGGACACGCAGCAGGACACTGCTCATGCGGAGAGAGTTTAATTCCATTTAAGATCAAGACAAGTGATTCGCATCATAAAGCCTGAAATGTCAGGTAGAGATGTACACATATAATGGGTGGCTTGTTTAAGATGACGAAATTGCGTGGCATGGAGTTGAGGCATGGGTTTAGGTGATTTGCATTGGCGCATGGCGATTTTCAATACTTTTTATACCAATTTCAACTACTTCATACTATTCAGCGTGCCAACTGGAGTGATTGCTTTGAGTGATATTCGTTGTGTCTTTGCTCTAAACTCCGTTAATATTTTAGAACTGCAATGTGAGATCATGAGAGGTGTAAATAATGAAATCGGAATGCTTTGGTGATGAAGGTTAAAGTAATCTGACACTTTCAGGACTAGCATAGTTGTGAAAGCTATTATAGCCTTTGACGGACTTCCAGTCATAGTCGAAGTTAGGCTATTCCATAGTCTACATTCAAGCTTGTCACGTAGACGGTCGACAGGGACCAAGGCCTTATTTTTGACAGTCGTATTGGGATTTGTAAATGGTAAGTGTCAGTATGGCATATCCACCGAATCCAAATCCCAGTCTCGCAGATACTCGATTTTCATCAGGTCTTCGTTCTGCACGTGGCCCGCATCCAACAAGTACATTGCCTTTTCGAGCCTTTTCGGGACGTCCCAAATGGTAATGCAGGTGGGATTCGACCATGACTTGATCGACGACGGATCCGCCTTGCAAGTTTCAACCAAATATCGAACAGTTTCGATCCCCCCTTGTCCGAAGAGGGCAGCAACGAGCGCGCTGCCGTAATCCCCCCCCGTCGGCGCATTCACGTCCGCCCCGAGCTCCTCCACGAGAATCTTGAGACACTTCACCGCTCCGTAGAACGCCGCGATGCCTACCGCAGTTCCGTGTTCATCCTCGATGATTTCCGTATCAGCTCCGTGCTCGAGGAGGATTCTCATTGTTAGATCGTCGTCGGTCCCAAACGCAGCTGTCAAAGGAAATTGAAAGTCGCATTCTTGACATCGGAGGTTTGGGTCCGCGCCATTTTCCAACAGTGTCGGGGCTAGTATGGAACAAAAGGCGAGAGCGTCGCAAAGCGACGTCGTCTTCCTTCTCGAGTAGCGTTCGTTCCGTTGCATGTTCGGGTCTGCATTGTTGTCGAGCAGCATCTTCGCTGTCGTGACGCGTTTGTCTTGGATAGCTACGTGCAACGCTGTCTCACCGTTGCATGACCTGTTGACGTCGCTTCCCTGGCTGATGAGATAGACACAAAGCTGGTCGTGGCCGTTTCTGGCTGCGATGGAGAGCAAGTCGTACCCTTTGGAGTTCACCTGGGTGATGTCGAGGCCCATGCCGTGCCACTTTTGTACCAGGTCAAGTGAGCCAAAGGTGCAAAGCGCGAAAATAGGGTTTTGCAAGGGCGGGAGATTTTCAATCAGCGTCTGGAAATTGTCATCGTACATCTCCTCAATTTGGACCGTGATATGCTTGATCCATGCTTGGTACTGAAAACTTGACTGGCGTTGAGGATCGATCGCCCCCAAAAAGTACTCGAGGATATCAGACATTTCCTTCGTCTTGGGGTCGTTCCAATATATCATTTGAATGTGTTGGATGCAGTATGTGCTGGCATAATGCATAAAAGGGCCCCCCGGGCGGAGACAATCTGCACTCTTGCGCTCGTTCATATCGACCCTAGGCTGCATGTAAAGCGTAGATGAGAGCCCAGGCATAACGTACTTGGGCAACTCCCAGTTCGTGTAGCAATCTAATAAGGAGAGAAGCTGCAAGGTTACTACATCTTGCTCTGATTTACCGATCCAGCCGCTGTGTTGCTCTAACTCGAAGAATTCTGCAACGGAAGCATGTGGGAATTTCCACGTCTTTTGAAGAGGGTCCTTGACAATCAAATGACGACAGATGAATTCCAAGTTCGACTCTTGTAAGCTCTCCTGGTCGATCTCAAGCTTGAATGCAGAGTTATCTTTTGAAAAAGAGAGCCGAATAGCCTCAAGAAGCATCTTTGTTGTCAACGGTTTAAGGGAGGATTTGGCCCACATCACGGCTCGTTGCAACACAACCAGATCGTGGTCTTCTTGTTGGGAGTAGATCTCTCCGTACGCGTCCATTAGATTGCGAGGTAGCGCTCCGAGCCGCCTCATAATTGACTTCTCGGTATTCAGCCCTTTTAGTTGTTCCCACTGGAGCTCCACCCATTTGAACCTTGTAAGTAGGTGAGTTAGCGTGGCTCTGGAGCTCTCGAGCTAGAAAGTTTGACTTACATGCCGTCGCTTTTGCTTAGCAGTGCTTCTTTCACATTATCTTGGATCCGATTTTCCTCCCACACTGACCCGGGTCTGTGTTTTCTGAGGACAGTATGGATGTACCGCTCAATATCACCCTTGTTATCGAGAGTACTAATTTCAATGATATTCGACCGCCCCATTGACTTCGCAATGTCGGTTTCCGGGCGGCTAGAGACAAAGATCTTCACGGGCTTGGTCGCCTCATCGACTAGACCGCGGAAAAAGTCAATAAGATCCTGCCTAGATTCTTCCTCGCACTCATCTAGAGCATCCAGAACCAAAATAGACCGGGGATATGTTTCAATTAGCTGGGTTACAATCCGTTTGCAGTCAGTAAGTTCGAGGCCTCGCCTGGCAGCATCTGAGTCGTCGCAAAAAGGGCGGAGCAGTCCGTGCCACTTATGTTGATGGCGCGACACAGCGAGAAGCTGGACGATGTAGCTGCTGAGAACAGACTTGGCATTTCTTCGGTCAATGTTTGAGCGGTCGCAGTAGAAATGTGCAAAACCCTCGTCGTTCGTGGCTGCCGTTGATGGGGCGATGCCCGATTGATAACGGTACCGGTCGATGACTTTCGAAGTAAGGTATGACTTTCCAAATCCCACTGTTTGGAAGCGAAAACTTATCAGTTACGCTATTTAAGCCTTTTGATTAGGGCGACTTACTCTGGCCATTCAGCCATAAGAGAGAGGAACAACTTGACTCTTCCCATTGAATAAATCGTGGGTGCTGAATTAACCACTCACATGTCCCCTCTGTCCTTGATTCTTTCTTCGCAAGATGTATTATATCAACTTCAATTCGACTGATATGGTTCATCGCGTTCCTCCTTTTGCTTTCATCGAAACTCTCAAAGAACTTTGCCACGTTGTCGTCAATCCGCCTCAGAGGGGCATGGAGAGTTTGCAAAAGTTCACGCTGCTTTTCATCCGCAGCCTGAGCCCACTGAATTTCGCAAATTCGAGAATCCTCGGAAACGGCTCTCTCCAGCCTCGAAAGCTGCGATGTCATCGATTCAGCTTCACCGGGGTTAGCAAGCGCGCGAACGAATTGCTTAGCCCAGCCCCCATTGAGTTGTTTGACTGCCGAAGCCAAGAATTCCAGCAAGGCTTTGTAAAGTTCAATCAACGAGTTTCTCAGGGCGACTTTCGAATTCTCTGTCGCAGTGGGAAGGTCGTAAACAATCTCATACACCTGGCCGCGTCTAACAAGCTGGAGCACTTTGTCTGCGCATCCAAACACAGCCACGACTTGGTCTAACTGAGTCACATGGGCCTATCGTCGTTATTGTAAGGTTCAGAGACATTCTTGGTCTCAAAACTCACCTTTAAGAGCACTTTCAAAGCCGACCAGATAGGTGAGGCCGGTGCAGGAGCGAATTGAACGGAAATATCCCCAATCGCCGTCACCCATGTTACTACTCGGCTTGCGTAATCTCTCCACAGGAGCTTTTGCCCATTGACCTTCATACTTGATCCGTTGTCTTTGTATGCCTCTTCCTTTTCCCTTACGATCCTCGTCAGCTCTTGGACTTGGATGTTACTTTTACGGTCGCCAAAGTCTCCAATCCATTTTTTTGTCTCTTCGTCCGTCTTCTCAAAGGCGGCCAGCCATAGATCGATAGCGCGACTTGAGGTAGGTTCGTGTTTAGAGAGAATGGGGTCTCCTGACGATGGGCTTTCAACAAGACTGTCGGATTTGTCTAGCCCTCTTCCCTGTGAGAGCGATTCCTTACGGGCGGAATGAGTCGACGTTGTGGATTGTGATGAAGGTTTTGTTACGGCGCTTGCGACCGGATCCTTGGACAGCGAGCGGCCAGCTGACGTCGCTGTTTCCTTATCTACTTTTATAGTTGCTGGTCTCGTGTTTAATTCAGATGTCGTTACAGAGCTCAACGTTCTTTTAGGCTTGAAGCACGAGGTCAACGCGGGGAGACAGCTGGATTTACCCTCCGCAGGGAACTCAGTGCCGGCCATTTCGGGCACTGGTAAGCCGGAGACTTTGTGGGTTACTTTAGTTAGTTTTATAGTGTTTACTGACTGCTACCGGAGCTGTGGCAATGAGGACGCGGCTCAACAACGAGATAACGTGCTGACGTAGAAGACTCAGTTCTTCAATTTCTCCGCTGATAACTCATGTAAGTGGCGTAGCAACACAGGCCAGTGAAAGCTACCCGCGCGCTTTGCAGACGGCGGAAAGCAAGTTCGGATGTGTTTCAAGCTGTTGATTTCTAGATAACGAGAGTAAGTCAAGACGAGTAGGTGCATGTGTGGTGGTCCGATTGAAACCCCGAACAGCACTGTCAGCTCTTTCGTGCGGCTGAAGAGGGGCAAACAATGTCTGGAGCAAGGGTAAGGGTACGGAGTGCATCGTCTGCCAAACAGATTGGTCCAGCCCAACCTGCAGGGGTCAGCATGCAAGACGATGTATGGCACCTGTAAACAGTATGGCGGCTGTCTACTTTCCTACCTTGTCTATCCCTATTTACCGTGTAGATTTTTAAAGCAGTTGGTTGAGATCAGTAAGCATTAACCTCACACACTTTTAATTCTGTCGTCTGGTCTTTATCATATGCCATTGGGATGGTACTTGAATTCTTCAAACCGTTTCTCCAACGCGTACTGAGCTGAACCTCGCATACGAATATTAGCATGCAGCTGGCATATAAGCTTTGATACACAGAATCCTCGTCACACATACGGCCAGGTGGTTTGGATCTCATTGAGTCGACTATTCTTTATAGTCACGCAGGCATGGAAAGGTATCTACCGTTTTCGTACCGTAGGTCATAGTGATGTGTATACGTCTGGCAAGCCTAAAGCTGACACCCTGATTGGTACGGTACAGACAAGCTCCTGCGGATATCTGCAATGCAGACCATCGGATCATAATGAACACTAAACCATCACCGGGCCTTCTTAAATGACTTCCCCAACCGTTCAATGGGTAAACAGGAAGGCATTTTCATCCATTATAAAGTATGAACGTCTGCTCCTGGAGTTCGCGCTTCCGCTCCAGGAGCAGGCGCTCCGGATAAACTCATTACTTCACGTACCATTGATCGTACGTGGAATGTGGGGATTTTCTCTGACAACAATGGCCAAAGGCAAACCATCCCTTGCATTGGAACAAGCTCAACATAATCAACACACAAAAAATGCTTCATCAAATAATATGCAAGACAAAAAAATGATGATGCGTTAACCATACAAATATAAGCGTCCGTCATCTTATTAAATCTATACCCCTTTCCCCCCTTCCCGAGAGCTTAAAGGTATCTTTTTGCTTGAGAGTTTTCAGTTTACAACGTTCTTTCAAGCCTTGTAGGAATCACGCGCTCCAAATGAAGCTTGTTAGCAGGAGGAATGCGCTCTTGGCTCTAACCGGACCATGGGCCGGGCTTCTCACTCTTTCAGCAGGCATTGCTATCACGGCAAACTATAATTCCAACGTCTTAGAGGCAAAGGCACTTGTAGATAGCCGATTGACTAGACTAGCAGGAACTCGCTACATCGATGCTCCAGATCCCTCTGCTATGGGATACTTTACGGGTGGGCCGCCGGGGCTTGAGACCGGCGTTATTATCACCACTGGCATAGCAACAGAAGCCATGATTGGACAAACCCCTAACAAGAACTGGGTTACCTCTGGGTACGATCCAGGTAACATCTGTGGCAGCAATTACTTTACCTCCGAGGAATACACTATACAATACGTGGAGTTTAATGCACCTCCAGAGATTGCCAAAGCGCGCATCAATTTTATCATTGCCACTCAGGAACTGTAAGCTATCTCTCTTTGTCCACAAGATCCCCCATGGCTTACACATAAGAATAGAGTCGGCGGAGACCCAGATAGCGCATTAGTAAATTTGGGTACCGCGACACCCCTCGATGGAACCTCGACGTGGTTGTCATCCCAATCTCAGCTAATGAACCAGACAACACCAGGTAACGGCATATCGTATGCAAGGTCAACTACACTTCGCTCAATTGAATTCACTCGCCAAAACCAAGCGTTTTACGTTGTGCTTATAGTATGCGAGTTTCCACCTGGCACTCGCGACATGGCTTTGCTGTACAACATAGAGGCTGTTGACCCGGTAGTTAGTAGCACTTCTTCCTCAGCGTCTTCCACGGCTAGCTCGACTTCAACTTCTTCATCTGATTCTATTTCATCGCCTAGCTTATCCCAGAGTACGGTTTCTGGCTCAACGGCTTTTTCTCAGTCAACTTCCTGGACAGAACCAACGTCATCAGCCTCATCTTCAATGTTGACTTTACCTCCCACCATAACTCCTTCTGTCACACCAACATTGCCAGCCACGACCCTAACCTTGACTTCAGAGTCAAATCCAGTCGTGTCTTCCCTCTCAGTCACCTCACTTTCACCCAGTGCATTTCTCAGAACATCTACCAGCGCGCCTACTATGGCGTCAGCCTTGCAAAGTCAGAATTCCGTCGGAGTACCATTATCCTTGAACATATCATCATCCTTGAGCATGTCGTCATCCTTAAGCTTGTCGTCATCGAGCACACAGTCTGCCAATATTGTCGTCCCAGCCGGGAGCTTTTATCCAACATCCGCTGGTACAAGCACGCTACCGAGTAACGTCACTTCCCGAGGCTCGGACGGTTCATCGTCTTCCTTTTCGAGTCCAAGAACTGTGCCTGCCCCATCAACACCAGCAACCAACGTTCCTTTCGTTAACAATTATTCGTTTCTTGGTTGCTTGGAGTCAACATCAGGGTATCCAGGATTCAACGAGATTGGTCGAGATCCAACAATGACTCAGATGAAATGCATCATATTAGGCCAAGGGCGTCGCTACTTAGGCGTATTTAATGAGTAAGTTTCCCTTTGGCACGTGATAGCTCGAAAAATCTGAAATATATACAGCACATGCTATGAATCGGACTCCCTGGCGGCGACTGAGATTGTAACGCTTGACCGGTGTGGGTTGCCCTGCCCCGGTGATGCTACCCAGATCTGTGGTGGCTTAATCAATGGCATTACCACACTTCGCGAACGGAATCATTATGGTTCGCCAAAATTCCGACGCGCTGCACCACCGAATGTACTCCTCAGCTTGTTTGCTGTCATCGATAATACTAGTTCTAACTCAGCCACTAACGTCCCACACCCACTTCTGGGCACCCCCCACATTTGGGCACCCCATTTACACCAAAAACGCCGTTTTTCGAAATTCTATATTAAACTAAATACTTTACTTATTAAAGAGAATAAATATATGTTAAATAGATTAAGACTTAATTATAATACTTAAGTAGCTATATACTAGTATTATTGATAATAAGTATTATAAATTCAAGGTTTAACATTTATAATACTAATTTACCTAGCCTATATCTTAATATATAAAATAGGTAGAGATATTTAACTAATATGATTAGAATTTTTAAGTAAGATATAGTAGATTTATATATTCTTATACTTAGTAAAAAATTCTTTAAGCTTAGAATAATATTTTAAAATTTCCCTTAAGAAAAGTTTCTATTATAGAATTTTAACCCTTAATTATACTATATTTACTAAAGTAATACTTTTAAATCTCTTTTAGATATAATTATATACTTTTAATAAGTATAAATATTAATTTCCTAGATTTTTTAAATAAGTATATATAAGCGAAAATATATTTTTCTAATGTTAAGGAATACTAGTAAGTTACTAGTATCTACTAACATTTTAAAGCTTTTAGTTTTAAACTTCTATATTATAACTATTATTATATTTAAACCTTTATAAAAAATTAGATGGCTATAATTATACTTAACATAGTTTATATATATTTTCTTTTCTTAGTAAGTATAGTAGTTAGTTTAATATAGAATTTCGAAAAACGGCGTTTTTGGTGTAAATGGGGTGCCCAAATGTGGGGGGTGCCCAGAAGTGGGTGTGGGACGTTACTGGGTCTATCTCCACAAGCCCTGTATCGACTCTACCAAACCCATCATCCCAACCGGGCAGCTCAACCAGAGGCGTGGCTCCCTTATCCAGCCCGGCCATTCAAGTGGCCCCATTGCCGAGTGGCCAAAGCAGCATAACAGCCATGGTTCTAACGAGTAAAGTTGAAACCATCACATCTGTGGTTACCACTCTCTTTTACACCACGGTCAATCCGTTTAATTCTGCAGCTTTGGTCAAAACCGAGCTTTGTACAACTCTATATTTTAGCGACTGTGGCTGTCCCACGCAAGTTAATCCGATAGTGCCTATGGTAACCACTATCGCCCAGTGTCATGCCTGTGGTCCCAAAGGGGAGGACACTGTTACCCTTGTTGTGCCATTGCAACGTGGTGCCGAGTCAAAACACCATGCCGATTTTCCATCGAACGAACTCCTTCCACTATCGTCCTTTCCGTCGGAATTTCAACAAACAAGAAAGAGGCCGCTCCCTGATGAGAAAGACACAGCGGGTTCCACTGCCGCAGCTCAAGCATCAAATCAAGATGTGGAGTTGTCTCTCCAACCTTTGACTAGATCAGCTGATACTGTGCCCTCCAAAGCTATAGATGGTGCCAATTTGAGCACCGCAAGTCCGACTTTTTCAGTCATCACCACTATTCCTGTTGCTGCTGCATCAGAATCTCGGCACATTTTCGATCGGTTGATACTCTCAAGTACTCTTGTGTTTGTTTCTGTCTACCTATTTTTGTTTACGTGTTAGGACTCGAAGGTGGCTTGCTTCAAAGTTCTGACTATGAAACGAATTTATATTCACCTACTTGCTCATATCTTTGATTCTAAGTAATCTTAAGATTTTAAAGGGAAACTTATAATTGGTCATAAGAATTATAAAGCTGTTTACAAACATTGTACACCACTTTATCATTACAATAAAACTCTTTCTAATTCATGGTTTTTCTTTTTTTTTTTCTTTTTTTACTTTTACAATGAGTGTCTTGGTGTCTGAAGGGGTATGTATGATTCATTCTAGCCTGGTTTTCTCTCAACTTTGGCTTTGCGTATGGGGGAGAATATGCCAACGAGGATTGGGTTGGGGGGTCAGAAACCATTTATTGTACGGTTCAGAATTCCTTTCAAGGTGGTTTTGACGCCCGCGGCGACGATGGATGAACAACTGCGCCTATATTGCCTCTCTGTTCTTCAGAAAATACTTATCACCCTATACTTAGACGAAGATGATTTTTCTCTATCAATGTTTCTATAGAATTGCAGGATGAGCAACTAAAAAGATGATTTACTGATGCCACACGTGACAGTGTTAACTAGTATGTCCATGTGTGGCATACCTTACTCTATAAGTAATCAGTTCAAGCTGTTTGAGAGACTGGATTGATGAAGAGGGAATCCCCTTTCCCAACCATTCAGTTAATTAGATAGACGACCTCGAAGTTTTGCCATTCTATTCCTGAGGAATGACTTTTTCGGAGTCGGAGGGTTGCTAAAAGCAGTGAAAGCTACTCCGTAGGGTGAATGCTGATCTTCAGCTGAGTCGAGTTCTTGAGCTTGGGAGCCATTTACTGGTACGTCGTCAAGGCCTAGCTTTCTTCGCGCTTTGCGTGCTGCGGCAAACTGCTTTTCCAGCCCTTGATCCCTAGTCCACTGCTTCACGTACGCTATTACCTTGTTATAATAGTCTATGCGGCTCTGGGTCCCGGAAAGTCTTAAGCAGCCTTCAGCCATTGCGCTTGCTGCAGCAACTGCCCCGCACAGGGCTTTTGGGTCATCCACTCCTGCAAAATAGAGCTTAACGCACTCGAACTTTGAGTCCAAGACTGTCTGCGGTACTTCGCCTTTAGAGTTGAGCAGTCTAGAATCCAGGATAACCCATGCCAATTCGAGTCGCTCTGTGGAATCTGTGGAGTTGATAAACTTTGCCAACCTGCCCGATTGTGACAATTTTCGAAGATAATCGGAAGCACCGACGAGTCCCATCAGAGACACGAAGTTGGGGATTTCGAGCTCGTTCAACCAAGGCCTCCAATGGTAATGTTGATTGCCCCATTGCAAAGTAGTCTCCTCAAACGCCTCAAAGGAATTGATGAGATCGTTTACTGCATCGCGTTCAGATATTGTCTCCCTTGTTCGGGCTTCGGCCGGTAAAGCTGCTCTGCAGGCATGAAACAAAGCGTTGTTAAAAGATTTCGGGCCCCAATGCCAGGAAAACACCAACCATGCATTCATGAGATGGATGTGCGGATTGAATAAAGGAGCCTCCGAGCAGATCTCGTCCCAGGCCGCCAGCATCCACTCCTGCGCTGTCCGATGGAGTAGTTCGAGGTCGTCTGTATGTGAGAGTTGTATGATTCCTCTTGTGTGGCTGTCTAGTCGCCTCCGCGTGGTCGCCTTGATCCCACGCATCGTTTTTGATCCGAACATGAAGCTTGCCGGTTTGCCCTCATAGGCTACCCACATGAACAGCATGTTTCGAGAGCGCTCCGAAGCCTTGAATAACTGAAACAGCTTGGAAGCATCCGTTTTAAACGCCACGGGTATTCTTTTCCAGATGACGCTATATAGCTCCTGGATCCTCTCGGGAAGTTGGTCGATTGATTGTTGAAGAGCCGCAAAGCTTCTGCCACCATCCACACCGAGACGTAGCTGCTTGACAACAAGCGAGACCCAGAGGAAAACGCCTCTGGCCTTAGTGCGTATCTGTTCTGTAAGCTCACTAATCTCATACTGGCGGTCCTTGAACGCTTGAAGTTCCTCGAGTTCTTGTTTAATGAAGGCTGAGATGTCGTTTTTCGTCAAGTCGTGCATGCGCAGGAGAGGGCCTTGGTCAAACGCCTTCTCGAATTCCCTCCATGGACGGCTCGCAGCACAGATTTTAATACCACCACTTGCGCCCAATATTTGTATCTTTTTAACAATGGCGGTAGGAGGGGCTTCAAATTCGTCCAGGCCGTCTATGAAAATGACAATTTCTTGCTTTCGCGCCTTCAGTTCTGCAAGAAAACAGCCAAGAACTTCTTCCAACTCGTCGAGTTCCCAGAGCTTTCTAGGTAATTGCTCAAAGTCCCGGAGAGAGGCGGGCTGGATAGCCCGGAAAAGGGCCCATCTTCTTTTGGCAGCGACTCCCACAATATCGGGCACTGCCGCCAGGCCTTGGGCAAGTATGGTTCGGAGCAATCCCTCATATGACTTTTGCTCGTTTGTGCCAGTGTGCCAGGCGTAGTAGTGCAGCACAACGGTAGGCAGTTCGGGTCGCAATTCTGAGAGTAGCGTTCTCAGCTCATTATGCCCAAGAATATACTTCATCAGAGTAGATTTGCCTGATCCAGGGACTCCAGTGACCCAGAACACCTTCGTTTGGTCTTGCCGGAGCCAGGTAGGAAAACTCGACCACGCAGGATGCCCATCGACGTTTGGCGGTTCGTTGTGCCATATCCACTCAAAGGTGTTTTCGGCGCTTTGCACAATTTCATTCTCTCGTTTGTCAATGACATGGAACTGAAGAGATGCCACGATTCCCTGCCTAATTACATCCAAAGATGGCTCCAGGATGGAGGGAAGGTCCCGTTGGTGGTTGTCGAAATTTGCGTCCCAGTCTGGCTTCCAGATCTTCGTTACCAATTCATCGAATAATGCCGTTAGAAGCGGGTTATCCGGATCAATCGAACCCCATGCCGTCTTAATCTGGGCCGGAATCCCGAGGAGTTCAGCATGTGGGAACCTTGCCAAGGCAGGATCGTCGTCCTTTTCATCCTCTGATGGATCTTCATCAGAGGCAATCTCTTCCCTCAGCCTGGACTGGACAAGAAAGTCCGCCTTCTTGTGTATTTGTGCGAGAGAGGCATTTGTTACGTGTATTTCGTCTCTAAAGAAAGTATCCGCAAGAGTGAGCGACGGCCCGGATCAAGAGGTAAACGAGCATAAATACTAACAAAACACACGACACAGTGGCCATGGTGATCCTGGTTCTAGCAACCTCTAACCTTGCGGCGAGCTTTTCAATGTCCCCCCGCGCCATTACGCTTTGAATGGCGTGTTGAAATGATTGAAACGGCTTTGAGCTCTTGTTATTAGCGAGGCCGTGTAGAATGTCTTGCATCGTGCTGCCAATTTCTCGGCACTCGCTGACCGCATCTTGAAGCTCTCCCTCGTTTTGCGATGGTGTCGCCTTGGCCGTGTGCTCGCGCCATCTGTCTTCCAAATGAGTGACATGTTTATCGAGGCTATTCACGGTTTCAAGGATTGTAGCATTTTCTTTAGTCTGGCCAGTAGTCGAGTTCTTGATTTGGTACGCTCTGGTGGCTATCTTGGTACCGAATTCAAGGAATTGGAGAGAAGCGGCGACGACGCCGATGATGCTTGCTGGGTCCATTTGAGCGACGTTCAGTCGGGCGGACGCCAGAAAGGGCCCAGTGTGCAAGGCGCCGGTTCACGATGCGGGCAGTGTACTTTTATAGCTTGTTTACCATTCAAACATCTGCTTATTGGTAGATCCTTCATGAGAACAGGCTGTGTCTGCATTCGAGTTCAGCTACGATTTTCGCTTATCAAACGAGAAGCATTTAGCTCGGGCGGTTAGCAGGGGGACCAGGGATGGCAAGGTCATGTTGCATATGCAGGCGTTCAATATTTTTCCTGCGCCACCGAGGCAATCAGGCGAAGTACTCAGCTGAGGAATTGCCATAACCTATCAGCCTCGATAGATATTTGGTGAGGCAGCTCGAGTAGTGAATGTCCGCATATCTGTATGCTCATCCCACACAGATTACTCCGAAGTCTTTCAGAGTAAAGCGATTATAATCTCAACAGAATTAAGTCTAGCTACGAAATAATAGGAATGACGCCTAGCCAATAATAAAGTTGGATATGAGTTCGACCAAGCTCATTCGAGGCTTAAAAACTTCATCCAATATCAACAACGTCTGAACACATGTAGTTACTTAAACAGCCTCATTCCTTAGTACTCACCAGTCTAAAAGGCAAGAAACATTGCATGGCATGCATATCTTGCATCACCACAAAAGCCCGCATTCTAGATCCAACGCAAAGTGCTCAAATCTTCACGTAACCCAACACCCCTCTCTCAGTTACCTACTATCAACACCCCTAACATATCATAAACGCGGGGCAGCGTCACATCCCACAGACAAACACCAAAAACACAAGCCCCTAACCCCCATCAGCCCTTCCCTGACCGCGGCAGTCAAGTCACCCCCCAATCTCATCGCAAAGAAAACACACATCGGCAATCAAATGACTTCTCATCAGCCATATCGAGATGCAACATGCAACCCACCACCAAAGCCAAAAAAAAACACGCGTCCATCGCCCGGCTGGTAGAGCACCATTCCTTCTAGAAGTGAGGCGCAGTCCACCGTCTCGCCCAATCACCTAAAGTCGCCCTCCCCCCCTCTCTTGGGCAAGCGGCACAGCACAATCAAAACCACCAGTCGGATTATTCTCAGCAGCAAGTTAAGCATCCCTAACAGATACCCTCATACGCCTCGGCGCCCGGGACCGTCGTTCCGTACCGCGTTATCTGCGGGGGTGAAGAGAGAAATCCGATAAAAAGTCGAATTACGCGGCTTTCTCCAAGGAAATCTTTTCGAGGCTGACCTGAAGCTTCAATAACGGACGACGCCCGGCAGGAACTTAATCTATTCATTCGTCCGCTGACTTCGGAATCGCGACACAAGCGAGAGACCAGGGGGCCGCATTTTAAATAGCTTCGACAGCCAAGCTCCTCTGACCCGAGCTTTCTTCCCTTTCGCCGCAGAACCTTCTACATCACAGACCCCAGTATCATCGCCACGTAAATAAGAAAACATGTGGAGGAGAAAGAAGGACAAAGTCGCACAAGACGAAGCGGGCTCCGGCTCCGGCTCCGGCTCCGGCCCCGGCACACAGGACTCCACAAACCACAGCAACCCCGTTGCCGCCTCCGTAGCCCCTCCAGCCTACACCGCCCAAGACGCAACCCACTCCGTCGCACCAGACGACTTCTCCACCCTCATTACCAACCTCACGCTATCACCGTCCCCAATCCCCACTGAAGACGCGTGCCTCGCACACCTGCGTCTCCTGAAAGCGTTCGAACGCCTCAAGACGGAGATGGGGTATCGCGAGGGGCTATGGGATCTTTTCGATTGCCGCGCCAAAGCCGCCCCTTCCCCAGCCAGCAACAATGGTAAAGCTGCAGCAGCGGCAGGTCCGGGGTTCAACGAGGACGTTCTCGTCAAGATCCGCGAGAAGAGATGGGCAGTCTACGTCGCGCGGGCGGTGGATCGCTACGTTGCGTGGTGGAAGAGTTTCGTCCCGGACATGTTGCAGGAGAATGACATGATTGACCCGGACCAAGACAGAAAGGATCGGTACGAGGGTTTTGTGAAAGGCGATGGCATGGTCTGGAACGGTGATATGCTGCCGCCTTTAGGTACGCATTTTCTCCCCAGCCACCGTTTGAAAAGACGTTGCTAATCGTCCTAGATGTGTTGATGGTATGGCATGCGCATATGCTCAACCCCAGACTCTACCTCGAGGTAAGAAGCACATTTTGCTCTGCTGACGGTAGCTGCTGATACCGGCCACAGGATTGCATCCGGTACGGCCACGGGACTCTCTGGGCCGCCGGGATGCCCTGGCAAGTTGTGAACGCCGCCATCCAGGGGCCGACATTCCAATACGTCGCCTCAAACGAGTGCGTCGCGCAGTGGACCGCCAGGACTGATCTCGCATGGCGGAACGAGGACGACCCGGACACCAAAGACGTCAAATGTCCCGTGTGCGCGGCTACGGTGACGATCCCTTGGACGACGTGCGGTCAGGCTGAGGACTATCAAGGAACCAGACGCCCCGGTATTGTGGGAGAAGGTCTCGCAGATGGCCAGCTATCTCATCAGTGCCCTTCCTGCGCTAAAAAGGTGACCCACGAATCTCTCCGCATCTCTAAATTCCGAGCCGACCTGCAAGCCTCCATCACGCAGGACCACGCCATCCCCGGCACGATTCTGGACTTGAAAACCGGAATACCAAAGCTTGTCAAATACGACGACGACAGCTCGGACGGGGGATGCCCAGACCAGCTCTTTCCCGCCCGTCTCGCACGTCGTGGGCTACTTGTTGAGGTTGTCGAGATGCTGAAGCCCGAAAGCTCCGTGGCACCCTCAATGATGGCAGTGCGCAACGTCATGGAGGAAAACTTCACGGGAAGGTTTGCGGACTCAAAGAACCTAAGAGAATTGATGGACAGACATGGCCATAAGAAGGTGACTGAGTTCCGGCTCAGTTTGGACGGCCGGAGGCAGACAAGGAAGATGATGTCTCGGTATTGGGAGAACGCGTCGCCTTTGAGCATCGACTTGGTCGGCTGCGTCATGCGGCAGGGGGCTTTCACCGAAAAGATGTGCAAGGTCAGTCATCTTCACTCTATCTACTTTTCTCCGTGGTATCCTGTTGACAAAAGCGGATCAACTGGTTAAGTTTTCCCAATGCTCGCACCATCGTGGCCCAATTGATCCAAAAATACACACGCTTCATCGAAATCGTTGCCATTGCAGCAGCCACCAAAGACAAGGTCGCTGTCCCAACGCTTGACGTCGACCTCGCCTGGCACACACATCAGCTCAGTCCACAATCGTATTACAACTACTCCGTCCTAAAAACGGAGGTTTTCGTCGACCATAACGACAAAGTCGATGAGGATAGACTCAGTACCGCCTTCGAATGGACATGTAAGACGTATCAGGACAAATTCGGAGAGATATACTCCGAGTGCAAGTGCTGGTATTGTGAGAGTAAGTTTATCATCTGCGATAGCATCATATCGCCAGTCGGCGCTTTCCGATGCTGATGAAGGAATGATACTGACGGCCCTTTGCTATCAGCTGTAAGAGTAATGGCCCTGCCTGTAACCAAGATGTTCGGTTTAGGGAAGGAGGAAAAACGTAAGCATGCACCTAACCCCTCCCCCGCATCTCTCATCTGCCGTGCAACCACACTCACAATCTGTGGCCAGTTCTGGAAGCATGGCATGAATCTCCTCAAGCCAAAGACGTACCCATAGCTCCGGCTGCCGAATCAGCGCATGTCTCATCGCACCCGGCGGTGCACACCAACGAGACAACAGCCAGGCGGGTGACAACCCGTCCGCTGCGTCTTGAGTACCGTAACAGGCTGGAGGTGACACACTCCAAAGCGCGAAAGAGAGCTAACAAGACATTCAAGGTTGAGAAAGGAAAGCGAATGGGACCAAGAGGTGAGGACACAACGCGCTTCTGGGGGAAGAACATCCAAGTCGACGGACCGTGGGCGTCAGGTATGGCCGCTGCTTCAACTAGTGCGATATACCCATCTCCGCCAGGCTTCGTCCATACGGGTCCTGGATCAGTAGGCAGCTGCGCAACGGGCACGTGTGGTGGTGCGACTGGATGCGGCTCGGAGACATTGGGATTGTGCTCCGCCGGATGTGTAGGGGTAAGTTCTTGTCCTAGTACCTCTTTTGGTATTGCGCGATATATATCCCTGGTTCCTTTTCCCTTATCTACACCGAGGGTTTTGGACGTGAGCGCTGACAAAGTTACAGAGCGCGTGGTTCGGCGGCAAAGCCGGCTGCGTAGGTTTCGGTGGTGAGTGCCACAATGTTGCTGGTGGGATGCGTATTTCTAACGTACTTGGACTGCAGATTCAGGTTCAGTCGGTTTTTAAGCTTATTCGGTTGAATACAATGTCTAATCGGAGGTCGGGATGTGGGCACGGCGTCCAAGAGAAGCCCCGTCACACGAGTAATGAGAGGACGAGGATACGGAGCCTGGCTCAAGCAAATTGTGGAAACCATGTTTAATGAGAGAGTAGCCATTGATAATGTGTACACCGCTTAACGAGTCGATCACCATTCGCGCTTGCTTGGCTGCTTAACAAAGCAAATCAACCTGCGTTCGATAGCGCCGTGTCTAGGCTAGGCTTGCATTTTGGTGATACAGACAACTCGACCGCTCACCTGCCTCTCTTCGTCTGGCGTGAGACATCAGGCTTCACTACTGCAGCCCAAGAAACTCTTCGTTGGCCCCCAAGAGTTTGACCATCGCCCGGCACTTTGTCCCCATTACGCAAGATCGGCATCTGGTGCCCGAATAGGAAGGTTCCTTTAGAGCCTGGTGCGCTGGAAGGAAAGGTCCTGCACATGACGGATTGACGCGCAGCGGAGATGGACAAGATATCTCGACTCTAAACAGTCCGTTTGGGGTGTTCTGCAGGTGATTGACAGGGTCCGATAAGATAACGTGCAGTTACTGGAAGATATGAGTGGCTGGTCCCGGACTTGGTTTGAGGTTAGAGTAGACTCTGAACAAGGGAACGGGAAAGGGTGCGCGCCGTTCATCGGCACTGAGGATAAACATTATTAGATTACCCCGCCAATAAGAACAGCGATAAAGCCGCACACAGCAGTCAGCTCGCCCGCTGAACCCTGAAGACCCCCCTGCGAAGGTCCTCGAGTCGTTTGCCTCGGGTCACACTGCGACCGGACTTTGCATCTGTTTTCAGAGAAATGCGCCGTTTTGTCGTTTCAATGAAGCTGTGACGGCGGGTTCCTGGAGGGTCGGGCTGAGATTAAAGACAGCTGGTCAAGCAATCGTGGGGTCGGGAAGGATCGTGACTGGTTCAGCGGCACCTGAGAGCCGGAGAGGTGGGGTTTTGTCCTTGTTAGATAGAAGGAAACGTGGGCTTGGGACTATCGCAAACGGATGATGAAGGACCCGTCTGGATACCCACGAGACAAAGAGGAAGGAGACAAACAAAAAGATATAAACTGACGGCGGATCTCCCGCTCTGGGGCAATGGTTTACCTCAGTAAGTGCCAAGACACTCGTTCACGACATCTCACAACAGTCATCCCTGTTCCCGCTCAGTTACACCGGTCGTCTCTGTCAATATGAAGGTTACCGCCGCTCTTTTCATGCTCGCCGGCACCGGCATGGCCGCCCCCGTCCCGGAGCCCATGCCGATGCCCGCTCCTGTAAGTCGCCACGCCCTCCACCACCACCAAGACAAATAAATTTGTGCTGACAATTCAAAGCCTGGTATTCCCACGGCCGCAAATGCCAAGTCTCAGCTGGCTGCTCTGACTGTGCGTGCATGGACCAACACGGACACATACGACCGTGACCTTTTCCCCCACTGGTCAACCGTCTCTGGCACTTGCAACACCCGCGAGACGGTTCTCAAGCGCGACGGCACCAACGTCGTGACCAACTCGGCCTGCGCTTCCACCAGCGGCACCTGGGTGAGCCCTTACGATGGAGCCACCTGGACGGCGGCCAGCGATGTTGACATTGACCACATGGTCCCCTTGAAGAACGCCTGGGTTGTAAGTGATATGCTGCCCTAATTTTGATCCCGCACGGTTGCATGCCGGCGTCGCACTTCTGTGCGCTTCGACCGAATGAAAAAATGGAATCTAACATTGGATGACAGTCCGGTGCCGCATCTTGGACCACCTCCAAGCGCGAGCAGTTCGCCAACGACCTCACTCGTCCCCAGCTGTGGGCGGTTACCGACTCAGTCAACCAGTCCAAGAGTGACAAGAGCCCTGACTCTTGGAAGCCTTCCGTATCCAGCTTCCACTGCACCTATGCCAAGTCTTGGGTGCAGGTCAAGAGCTACTGGGCTCTCTCCGTAACGTCGGCTGAGAAGACCGCGCTCACAACGATGCTCAACACTTGCTAAGCGACAGAGACGGAAACGAGTGATGAATCTGTTGATGAGGATAGCGTGGCCCGATGGTAGCCAACGGGTTGAGTGGGTGTTTTTGCCCTTTAGTATTTTCTTCTCTTCAACTTTTTTTTTCTTCAGGGGAAGTTCTTTTTCCCAAAACAGGCCATCGGCTATGGAATATGGGCCAGCCGAGAACGGTGGTGGATGGTTGAAGGACCGGTTCCGCTTGGCGCCAAAGCTGGCGTATGATGACGATTTGAAACGGATTGATTCTGAGGCCAGAAAAACAAGGCCATTGTTGCATGATGCATCAAAGGGAGGCAAATCCAGATGCTAATGGTGTAGAAAATCTTGATGATGTCGCTCTAGCCTCGGACCAGATATGCAACAAAAAATGGAAAAAAGCAACGAGTCACCGCTGCTCTTGAAATGTAAGGAGCCGTCTTTGCCTTGCTTGATGCGATTATATGCTGGTTTCAATCATTGATAACTGCGATCGGCAATCTCGGTACAACTCCAAGGGTCTCGTCTAATTTGCGAAAGTCACGAGACGACCAACGCTCTTGGCATCCCATATGATCGTGTGTTCAGTCTGCTGCGCCGTAGGGCTGGGCAGGGCAACGAGTTGGTGTTGGTGTGCAGCAGATTTGCCAGAAATGCTGTCTCCTCGGGGTCTCGCAGGGTGAGCACTACTATGTCAGAGCTAATCCTCTTTGCGACAGTGGACCAACAACCCGAAATTGCGCCAATGCGAGCCGAGACCTCGGCGGGCAAAAAGAGGGGGTATCTTGTCGAACGTTTAGGCTTCAGACAGTGGCGTCGAAAAGAATGTCAGCCGAGGGCTGGGGGGAAATCGAGACTGGAACAATCTTGACGACAGCGTTGTCGTAAATGATGGATGGATGTTTGCGAGTGAACACAAGCGCCGTCATATTGGATGGTATCGGCATAGATTGGTCAAGACGGAAGACAAGAAACCTAGGAGACGACAAGAAAAGGCGTGAGATGATTAAGAGGCCATGAAGCCAAAAAAGGGCGAGAATGGAGAGAGGTTGGGAATTGGAACATCTGGAACTTGATGACGGCGGAGTGAGACGGAAGCAGCGCCCGGGTCTGGACTGAGATGGGCAGTTTCGGCACAGCAACAACGGGCAACCAACACTGTCGGACCCTCACACTTTCCTGCATCGCCATTCAGGAGTGACCACAGTAACTATTTGCCCTTTTCCTCTGAAAGGTGGATGGAATTCTGGGAAGGAAGGACCGCAAAGGCGGCAAAAAAAAAAAAAAAAAAAAGAAGGTGCAGCTAAGGTAATTTCCACTCGCAGCAGCCAATCCCAAAAGAACCAAGAAGCTACTAGTAAGTAAGCACTTGGGTTTGCTAATGTATCTCTCCATACTCCGTTTGCAGAAAAGATACCTTGGGCCTTGCCTGCGTCGCACCTTCCCCCTCCTTCCAATTCTACCTGCTCTTTCCCTGCATCCGCCCAGCCAAACCCGCTCCTGTCACTGGTGCATTCTGCCTATTCTGGTCCTTGGCAGGTGGTCTCTCCTTGCCAGTGAATGGGCAACAACGGGCGACCAAGACGCCCCTAATGCGGCACAAAATGAGGCACAGCCTTTCTTGGAGCCTTGGGATGGACAAAGTCCCGTCGTTCTGGGCAGGGGCGGCTGAGAAAACGCAGGTACAATTACTGGGTCACATCCGCACTCGTGTTACTTGCCATTTGCCTGCTTTCAGCTTCTTCTTTTTCTTTTTGGCCTTCTCTGATCGCTCACATTCTCTGAGCACTTTGTAGCTTTCCCCCCCAGCCTCTCGTTTATACGTTTTCGCCCTAGTGACTACCGTCAGTGCCATTCTTTTCACTGTCCGTCACTGACCCTGGCCGCCACTGCCTCTAAGCCCTCCGATTTCTATATTTGGAGAGATCCTTACATCAAGTTAGCCGTCTGATCTCGTCACTCGGACCACAGCTCGTTCTCGTCTCTGTGATATATCACATCCCACTTTCGTTCATTTCTCTTCCAGCAACCCAACCCAACCTCATCGAGCTTTCATTGCTTTCCACCAGTCAAGATGAAGTTTACAGCCCTCACTCTGGCCGTCGCCGGCCTGGCTTCTGCGCAGACTTGGTCGTTGTGCAACCCCGTTAAAGGAGACAGTGAGTCTAAACCCCCCACTTACACCAGTAACTTGGAATACCCTAACATCCATCAGCTTGCCCTGCAAACCCAGCTTTCGGTGGTGATGCCAGCTATGACTTCCGTAACGCGGCCAAGATTGACGATCTGGAGTCATTCTTCATCGTCGATGGTGGTGTCAAGTACAACCCCAAGGTCATGACATTCTCCAAGGACACAGGCGCAAAGATGATCATCTTTGAAGAAAACAACGCCCCCACCCTCACCTCCAAGAATTACATCTTCTTTGGCAAGGTCGAAGTCGAGCTCCAAGCCGCTCCCGGCCAGGGTATCGTCACCAGTATCGTACTCCAGTCCGACGCTCTGGATGAGATCGACTGGGAATTCGTCGGCGCCGACCAGGCCCGCGTCCAAACCAACTTCTACGCCCTTGGTGTCAACGACTACACCCGTGCCAGGTACTACGAGGTTCCCTTCAACCCCATGACCTCGATACACACGTACACCATCGAGTGGACCAAGGAGGCCATCGTCTTCTCCATTGACGGCAAGGTGTACCGCACCGCCACCCCTGCCGAGGGCAACTACCCGCAGACGCCCATGCAGCTGAAGCTTGGAACCTGGGTCGGTGGCAAGGGTGATGCTCAGGGCACTATCGACTGGGCTGGTGGTCTCGCACAATGGGACCAGGCTCCTTTCGCCGCTTATTACCGCTCTCTTAAGATCTCGGACTACGCTGGCGGTGACAAGGCCGGTGCCACCTCTTACGAATACAAGAAGGGCTCCGACGGCAAGTGGCAGAGCATCCGCGTCAACGGCGTCGGCGAGAAGAAGGGAGGCTCCGACGGTGTTTACAAGGAGCAGCCCAGCGCCGAGTCCACGGGCTCCGTTGCACCCACCACTGGATCTGCTACCAAGGCCGCTTCCACTGCCAGCAGTTCTCCCAGTGTTTCCTCGCCTCCTGTTATCGCCGACAGCAAATCCACGACGACTGCCGCCGTCAACGCGACGCTTGTGACAAGACTGACCAGCAAGGCCGAGTCGGCTACTGGATCCGTCCACGCCCAGACCACTCTTCCCAGTGCCTCCGCCAGACCCACCGAGCCGGCACCTGCTGCTGCTTCTTCTGTTCAAGGAAGCGTCTTCATTGCTGGTGTCGCCGCCTTCTTTGCCGCCATGATGCTATAGCCTGGTGCCTTTGTACAGTTTGGAGCTTTCGACGCCCGACCCATATTTAATGTGTAAATAATGCTTATGGGCCAGGCGCTGTGTATGATTGTACGTTGGGGTAACAGAGTGGTTACATGGTTTGTCTTTGGAGACAACCACGGAGTTTTGCTACTCGTTTTAATAATACCACAATGAATGAATCCTTCTTTTACTTTTATCGACAAGTGATGTGTAACGCCAGCGTTGGAAGTTGTGACATGTATAAAGCCCCCAGCGGACTCATTTTTTGATTCTCGATCTTTGGTTATCCCAAGATCTTTCTTTCATTACTTGGTGAAAGCAAGTGCCTCTGGGCTATCCGCTGTTAAACAAGCGTATGCAGGGATACAAATGATGAAAACATCTATCAGAAAACGGCACCATAAAGCCAAAGCAATAAAATTTCAGTTTTCATTGTTACCCTATTATCCACCGTTCGAGGACATCACGTCGACCTGGCCTAAACATACGATCCAATGATGATGGCAAAAGAAGAAGCAATACATGTATACATGCAAACTTGGGAACAAGAGCGTCTTCTACAATTTGGGATGCATACATCCAGGCTCATCAGTATCAGTGCACTCAACTCCCTATCGTCCCATCACAAGCAAACAAACAGAACCCAGTAATGTTTCCAAGAAAGCCAAGAAACGGGAAAGAATGACGCCAATATCCTCGACACATCCAGTATCTCTCTTTTCTTTGATGCCTCGCTAAAAAAAGAGATTCACAAATCCAGTGAGTCGAAAACGTGACAGACTCAATGACCCCAATCCCAAGCCAGCAACGGAAAACGGCTCGATCTCGGCGCGTGAGAAAAAAAAAAAAAAACCCCCCGCCCACGCAACCAACCGCCGCCCCCTGTCTCAAATATTCACAACGACGACTTCTCCCAAAATAACATCAACGGGGGCACCCGTTGAGCCGCGCGCCCATGTCTCTCGCCTCACACAATCGAAATCCCCCCTCCAAGCAAGCGTTTTACATACCATACCCTCAAACGGTGCCGCACACATCTCACATAAACGTCTTCATTTACGTCCCCAGCAGACATGATACTCATTGACGCATCCCCTAAACGGCCCTCGACCTATCTCCACGACCGTTAAAAAAAAAAAAAAGACACCCAATCACAAAACAAGAGTTTTAAAAAAAAAACCAGTCTTCATTTCTTTTTGTCTTGCCCCGTTAATTATTATTTTACACCCCATTACCCAAGTCCCCGCCCTCCGTTCAAAGCCAGAAATGCCAGGACGCAGACTATCCTCGTTCAACGAGGCCACTCGGAGCAGCAGGATTCAAAACTGCGAGCGATCCCATTATTATATCTCCCCTCAAGCATTGCAGAGGGTCGGCCAGTGACTCCGTTACAGACGAGGGTGTATGTGTGTGTGTGTGTGTGTGTGTGTGTTGTCCGCTTGACGGAGAAAAAGTCTGGGTATCAAACTAGGTTTGTACAAATGGAAAGGGAAAAAAAAGATAAAAGAATTAAAACAAACTTGAAAATGCACCATTGCCAACACCCTGATAATGCCCATGCCCACCCAAACTCCTAGAGTCCAACGTGGTCATGTCGTCGTGGGCTCGGCCGTATTTGCCTGTAAACCTTCCTCTCGTGAATTTCCTGATTAGACCTCCCTCTTTTTCTTCTGATTACACCCGTCCCTTTTCATGCTCTGATAGTCATGTTTTGCGGGACATCAAATTCAATCTCTCCTTCATCCAATTCTCCCCTCGCAGCTCGGCGAGCCAAGTCTCTCTCCGAGTAGATCTCGTTCTTGCGTACCGCCGCCTGCTGTAGGCAGTCAACGTACGTGCGGAACTTGACAATCTCTCTCAAGAGGTAAGCGCTCTTGCGTTCCCAGTTGGCCATGGCCTTGTTCGCGTTGGTCCCGCGGGGCGTAAAGGCAAGGAGCATGGGGCTGCGCAGCTGGTTGTGCGTTTGCAGCTCGTCCTCAATGCCCTTGACGTACGCCACCAGGCTACCGAGCTGCTCCTCCTCGGGCAGGTTGCTAGGCCGCATGCTTTGCGTCGGGGGTGCCCAGTCGGCAACGGTAATCCTGTCTCCAGGCAGCTTGTTGCCGCGGCCAGCTGAGTAGGGGCGGCCGGAGCCGTAATCAAGAGACGCGGAGCGGAAGGTGCCGCTTTGCATACTCGGGCGAGTGTTGGCAGCGCTGCTTCCCGGCCGCGAGGTGCGGCCCGATGGCTGCCCCGAAGTCTGTTCGTTGATAGCTGTGACGAGGGCGTTGTTAATAATGGCGTCGCTCCAGCCGTACTCAATGTTGCTGATACCACCGACCAACGGGTGCGTACTCAACCGCGCGCTCCAGTAGTTGGCCGTGGTTACAAACTCCTTACTGATTTCGGGCGTGCCGACCTGGAAAAGGTGAACGGCGCCGCTGGGCAAGCTGAGCGCCCATACATGAGGTCGGGCTCTCGAATAGCCGGGCGGTGGCAGGGCGGATGCTAACGTCTGGCGAAGGCTAAATGTGCCAAGGTTAGTAGCATTCTCCTGCCAATTTCCGCCTCCAACAATAGCAGGGCCTTTGGGCGCTTGACGATTGCGGTGCTTTCGTCCCAACGACGATTTGTTAGTGCCAAACGAAAAGATGCTCATCTGGCCTTTTTGAATGACCGCAAAAACCTCGTTCCAGTGCCTATCCTTTGCTTTCTTGTCAATACCATCCAGGTGGTGCTTGTGAATCACGATACCCTCCTTCACCCACGGGGGTCCGGCTAGCTCGAGGGACTCATCTTCGAGGAGGTGCGCGGGTCTTAGTTCGTCGCTCATGATCGAGGGGGCCTTGCCGAAGCTTGACTCATCATCACGGATGATGGCCTGGCTAAGGGCGTTGGCAAATCCGATGGACTGTTGATAGTCTCCTCCCTTGAAAGATGAGTGGAGCGAATCCACAGACATCGAGGTTTGCGTTCTCCCCAGCGAGAGCTTGCTCCACGTCGCGGACGAAGCCGTAGGGCTCCAAACCGAATTTCCGTCCTCGAAGCTCGTTCTCGACGAAGAGAATCCCGGATTGCCCATACGAGGTCGTGACCTGCTCTTCGAATTCCATCTGGAAGAATTGGCACGACCATGTTCAGCTATGCGCCCTCGCATAGATGCCTGACTCTCTGACGGGGCCTTACTCAGAACGCTAGGCGTTCGCTTCAACATGCCGATAACGGACAGGCTATTGGTATTACTGGGCGTCAAGTTCTTGGACGGGTCCGCACCGAATAGTGGTAATCGCTCGTCGCGGATCGAGGTATAAATGTCCTTGAGGACGACTTCAACCTGGCTTTCCCAAGCTCGCATCGAACCGTCGAACGGTGCCTTGACCAGCGGTCCGCATTCGTCGTGGGCGTTCTCCGAGGAACCTTCTTCGTTTCTCGGCGGCGGTCGGAACGACAATCGGCGTGAAACGAACCGTTCTTCGATCGAGTGCCTGGAGTCATCGCCTCCGAGGGAGCTGTTGGGTTTGCCGGGCAGAACGGTCGGTCGCTCAAAGGCTTCAGGAGCAGACTCGGCCACCGCTTGAATGATCGTAGTCATGGTATTTTTCACGAACTGACTCCGAGTCATCTTTTGGTCGATGTCAGCAAGATGTAGGTCAGTGTTGAGCAGCATGATCGAATAGCAGATTGTGTGAATGACATCTGTATGAAGCTAGTTAGCAGGATGATTAAGCCATCGTTAATAGGCAATAACTCACCAGAAGCTTTGAACCCATGGTTGGTGTTGCAATCGCACCAGCGCTTTGAAAAAGCAACCAGAATACGATCCACCTGTTGGGTCTCTGCTCTAAAAACCAAACGTTCGCAAATCAAACGAAGACTTTGCAGGATGCTCTTGTTGGTGAAATCATAAAGGTCCATGTATGCACGCAGGGTTCTCTGCCGGATGGGGCCTTCCTCGCCCATCCATGCAGCGGCCTTCTCCTTCTGGATGAAGTCCTCATTACCGTCAAAGATCTTCTGTGCCTTTTGGCGATCGTCATCGGTTGGGTCTCCGACCACAAATTCGGGTTCGTCCAGTGGTTTCGCGTTCATCGACTCGAACGTACCCAAAACCTTGGGGCTGTTGTCGAGATTTTCGACTCTGACGCTGGGCGTTCCGCTGATTGCAGACTTGTATTCAGTAGTAGTGGATCCGGATGCCCTGCTGGTAGATCTGGTGCCCTCGATCGGTAGCACGAGTCCCGGCTTGTGGCCTTCCTCATCAGAGTCTGCTGTGTCAACAGTAAGATTGTTGATTTTCCTGCCTCTGATTGTGGAATCATCTCTTCTGCCCGGTTTCTGACCCTTGTCTCTTCTTGTCTTACCCCGTTGTTTCGACTCGGAATCGGCCTCGTTGTCGCTGCCATCAATGTCCAGGAACGAGTTATTCCTCTTCTCGCTCGAAACGGGGGGTTTAGGCGGCGGTCGAGTTGGGGTGTCGGTGCGACGTTCGCTTTCGGAATAAGAATGCTCGTCGCTGTGAGAGCCAGGCCTGACCTCTCGAATGCGTGCATTGGGACTCGGGTCGTAGTCGGGCGAGAATGAACGTGGGTGCTCCTCTGCGGATGTTCCCTCGTCTTGCGAAGTGGCCGCCATATCTGCATCAGTAGCTTGGAGGGAAGCAGATGGAGGAGAGAGCGGCGCGTTGGGCGTCAAGGGGCTTCCTTTAAGGTAGGGATTCATAACCCTACGCAAGCTGCTGATTGGACTGGGCTCAGGCTTCGCGGAAAGCTTGTCCTTAGTAACGCCCAGCTGGATTGGAGGCACGAGAGGGGGCATAGGCGGCTCGAGGGCGGTAGGAGCAGGTACTGGAGGCACGTCGTCGGCGGACACAGACTTCTTTCTGCGACGGAAGAAAGAGCTCGGCTTCTTTTGCAGCACGTGATGGTGAGAATGGGATGAAGACGTGTCCCTCGAGGGCGGGGCGGATGTGGACGGCTTCATCTGGTTGGCGATGTGGAGAGATCGATTCCCGGATCTCTGATCGGCAGTATCCACAGGTGTTGAGGACGGTACGCCCGACGAGTTTTGCGTCTCGGATGAGTTATTGGAGGCATTGTTTCTGGACGAGCCAAAGACTCGCCTGAAAAACCCCGGTTTTTCTTTTGTTTGCGACGGTGTATGTGTCGGAATCGGAGCTCCGTGCACGGCCTCTTTTGTCTTGCCGTAGCCCACGTGTGGCGCGGGTGCGGAATCAATCTCGAACGTGGGAGCTGCTGCAGGTGTGGGCGCGGGTGCGGGTACGGGTGCGGGTGCGGCTACTGGCGCGGGTAATGGAGGCACCTCTTCACGAGCCTTGGTGGCATTATTTTCTGTCTTGCGGTTTGTCGATGTGCTTTTGGCAGATCGGTTCGAGCGTTTGCGTTCGAGAGCAACTGGCGGCGGCTCTATTTGGTCATCAGTCTCGGGAGCGATTACAGGCGATCGGGGATAGGATGTGGCGGGAGGGGTCATGGGCTGGGCTATGCGTCTAGGTCCTCCAGGCACTGTGGGCGTCGGCGCGGCATCGTAGTCTTCGCTAAAAAAAGTGTTGGAAAACTCAATGTGCCATGGCGCCTGTCCATGTTGTTGTTGTTGTTGTTGTTGTTGCTGCTGCTGCTGGGTGAATTGAAATGCCGGGGGACGATGACCGTAATCGAAACTCGAGGATCTGCCACCGAAGCCCGACGCCCACCTAGTGCTGCCGAGGACCTGAGCATAGCCCGCGTCGATGCTATTCGAACTGCTGCTTTTTGTGCTCCCCTTACCTCCCCTGGAATGCATGTGACGTGGGGTGCCTGGAGTGCTCCGCATAGATTCGCGCATACTGCTGATGCGGTGCAGTCCGCTCTGAAAATTGGAACTACTATTACTCCGTCGTCCTCGTGAGGATATCCTGCTTGCATCGTCGGCGTCGAAATCGGAACTGTATGAGTAACTGTGGCCGTTGGCCCGGGCTCCTCTCACTGGCCTCGGCATGCTGTCTCCGTCTGTATCGTAAGGGTATTGTTGTGACGGGTCGTCGAACAGACCTCCTCTTCCGCTTCCAAATGGACCGCCCATGGAGAATTGGTCAAGAGAGATGAGCATATTAGTCATGAGAGAGTCGCGTGTAACATTGCGCGGGGACAGGGACAGGTCGTGAGAATCGCGAGGACGAGATTGATCGGGATTGTCGTTCTCCTTATTCGAGGACATGTCGAAACTATCGGCAGAATCGGGGGTGTCTAGGAAAGAGTCGTCGGCATGGCGGGAGGAGGGGCCTCTAAGCGCTCGGGAGCTGGACTTGAGAGAAATTGGCGGCGGCTGCTTATTTCTGTTGCTTGGCGGCGTCTGGGGGTCGGCCAAAGCAGAGACGGAGGGCTCTCGTTCTCCTCGCGACACGACTGGCGACCTAGGGCGGCCAGTAGGAGATGTGTCAATGTTGAGATTAGGACGACGACGGCTTGAACGTCGAGGGATGTCGGCGTACATTGTGAAGGAAAAAAAAGAACGGAACGGGGTATCGTGCGGGTCAGGAAGTGTTTTCAACTCATTTCCAGCTTTCCAATCCAATAAGCCTAACAGGCACAAGCCCAGGTCCTGGTTCTAGGTTCAGGTCCGGGTCCAAAAACTAGGTAGGGACAGGTGCAGCACCAGCTGTAAAAGGCCGGACTACTTGGATATGGTGGGTTGCGGAATAGGTGCAGGTCGAAAGTGCCGTCCTGCAAATCCAATGCGACCCAAGACAAAGCGATCCAATCCTAGGCGGATAGAAACGCCGCAATCGAGCCAAACCGAAAGGCTACTCAGTCGCAATGTCCACAACGCCGGGTTCGGAATCGAGGGATTACACGGACTAGCCGCGGGCTTTGTCCCATGAACGAGGCCTAACCCAGTAATCAGTGGCCGAAATGAACGTAGGCGACTTTCTCCTTTTGGTGGGCGACGTCGTAATATTTTCTTTTTTTTCCTTTTGCTCGTGCGGATTGCTTCCTTTTTCTTCCTCTCTCTCTCTCTGTTTCCGTCTTGCTGTTGCCCCCCTATAGATTGGATTGAGCAAGGTGTGGGGGAGTAATCAATCATAGGCAACAAGTGCCACGGGAAGCGAGAATTGGTGTATTGTGAGCGGGCGTGTTTATTATGTATTAATATGGTTTTTTTTTTTGTTGGATTTGGTCGTTTTAGTACTCCGTATTGGATGGTAATCCGCAACAAGCGAGGAATGCTACCCTCAATCTTCCCCTGACCTAGACTAGCTAGGCTTCTGGAGTAGGGGAGAGAAGGTGATCGACCGAGGGGGGTGAGGATTTATGTGTGTGTGTATAACGACGGGAGGAATGACAGCCCAGGGTGAAAGGGGGCCCCGGACAGTATTATTAGTGTTGAGTATGCGTGGGCTGGCCTGCCTGTGGATGTGCTTGTCTACACTATGTGGTAGTGCGCGTACCAGTCGACGAGGGAGGGTTGTTGGCCAGCGTCCCGATGCGATGATGCGATGATGCGAGCTGGGGGGGTGGGCTGAAGGCGGAGGAGTCGGAGAAGAGACGGCGCTGAGGATGGTTTTTGATGATGGGCATAAGCCGCGCCACCATGAAACGCACGTGGAGAGTCGAAGAGGGAAAAGATGCGGAATAGAAAGAGAGTTGGATTAATGATGGAAGCCAGTTATGTTGGCCTGGGAACAGGGGGATTAGCAATAGAAGATTGTGGATATTTGAGAAGAGCACGGGGCAATGGGGGATTTCTGATTGTGATGCGATTTGCAGGACCAAGGACATTGGCAATAATACCAACAGTAGTATTACTGCGTACCTGTGATATTATCACCTAGATGCTAGATGCCGGGCGTGACGACATGGTATCCGACATGGTGGATGTGAACGGCCATGGATCTACAGCAGGAAAAAAAAAAGTGAGACCGACCCGGAAAAAAAAATCAAAAAAGGTTCTAAGGAGCTAAAGACCACTAAAGAAAAACGCCTTTAGTTGTTGTGCAAACGGCGACAGGCTTAATGTCTGTGTGACCAAGTCCAGTATCTTTCTGTATCTGTATCTGTGTCTAAGGAAATGTCTAATGTCCAATGTTTCAATGTCTGCAGTACTTTTCTGCAACGCTTTAATGTCTCCGTTGGCTGTCTGACGATATGCAATCAACGTCTCTCGTATTCAAAATAAACAACAACGACATCGGATGCAACGATAAAGGAGTAAATGATGGGTCGGTGATGCGACCAGCTAGTCTGCCGGGGTAAACAATAGAAACACCAGACGATACAACAATAACAGAAATAACGGGCACAATAGAACTGCACGGACGGCACAAAACATGCTCATCCTTGGAACACCTTGGACGAGGTGGGCACGGCAGGAACTGAAGAGGGAAAAAGGACCAGACGATGACCGAGAGGATACCTACATAGTGCAAGGTACTACGGATGTAATACTACGTATGCAGTGGTCGTATGTACTATGTAGTGGTGGTAATAGATGGGGAGGGGCTACCGGGACTGGACCCATTGAGTTGGGGCAGTCACGAAGCACCTGCAGTTGCCAGCTGTACCTGCAGATGGATGGACCCTCTCATGCCTTCTTGCCCTTTTTTTTTTTTTTTTTCTTAATCCTTTCCTCTGTTCAGGGCAGGCGGTGCTACTGCTCCTCCCCTCTCTGGTCCTTTTTTTTTTCTTTCCTTCTGTCATTCGTTCGTTCAGGCGACTCTGTTCCTCGTTCCTTCCTTCCTTTCATTGGCATTCTTGTTCTCATCTTCAAATTGTATTTAATTTCTCCATGTACCTGATCCCCCCTCCGTAATAGATAGGTCCTGCCAATCAAATGAACTCTCTTATGGTACGTACCTCCAGACCTGAGAGAATGAGGACAGCGCACTGAACCTTCTTTACAGGTTCCTGAGGCCCCTCAGCCTGGCCCCCATGCCCTCCATTTCCAGACGTTCCTGCCGTCACTCGTTCGCTCGCTCTCTCTCTCTCTCTTTCTTCTTGGGGGCCTTGAGACACATGGTCCGGACCCTGTAACCTTGTCAATTCCTTGTGGTCGCCCTTGCCAATTGTTGTCGACCACGCCTAAACTCAATAGAGTCCCCTGATCATACAGGGTTTCCCCCCTTTTCCCGCTTACTTCTTCCTCTTCCACCGCATCGCTTTTTCTTTTATTTATCTTTCTTATCCTTTGGCGTGCTTAGAGATAAGATACTTAAAGAACTGCGTATAATCTCTCGCCATCAATCACCACTAATTTCACTTCAAAACACCCACATGATTCCCACTGCCCCAGTATCTCAATTGGTGTCCGCCACATCTCGAGACATTCCCACCAACGGCTAGTCTTCCACAGCGAAGAACGCTGGCCTACCGGTCCGAGACACGACACCTCAGGGCGCCAGACACACGACCGACAAGCAGCCCCTACTCTCCGACAGGCCAGACCCTGCGCGCCAAATGGGACAACATTGGACAGGGCTGCAGGGGGTATGCGAGATGCAGCCAGCTCACCCATAGCTTTTGTCCCAAAGAAGCAGTTAGTTCCAGGGCCCCCCCCCAGGGGAGTCGAGAGACCCCTTTCGCTATGTTTGTCTGTCAAAATCAACACTATTCGCCGTAGCCTTTCTTATTCGCTAGCATCCGGTCGCTGACAAGCCCAACACCAGAGGCGGGAAAACGGGTCATGGAAACCGACCCAAGATACGGATGCTTTCCAGAAAACACACAACTCCACAAACGTGATGGGCAATTACCACGCGTGGCAGGCCGGCCGTGAGCATGGATTCATGCTCTCAGTGCAACCGCTGTACCAAATGCAACGCTCCTCTGTACCCTTCCACCAATGCGAAGTTGGTCCGGACACACTACAACGAAAATGGACGCTTCACCCTAGAGCCCAGAGCATTCGGTCACCGAGAGAAGGCATACCCATTCTTCGAGCCGCGCCTTATCACGTCTATTAATGTTGCGGCTCCTGCTTTTTCTCTCGCCTCCTCCCACCGCACGCGCCTCCATCCGTACGTCTCCATCAACCGTCGGATGTGCCCATTCATTCGCGCCGACATGGAAGGGAGCACTTGCATGCAGGCACCTATGGTTTCCCCTGAGTAGATGCAGACACCAACTTAGCAACAAGAGGACCGTGCCATACGCGACTCGCCCACTTACCTCCTGCTATCTGCTCATTCGCCCGCTTCGAAATCCTTCCGACAGTCCTCGTCACCATCGGCGTCTTTCCGCATCCCCACGCTTCCAGGCTACAGTACTCTTTGCCTGGTCCACCGCCTTCCCTGGCTGGCTGGATGTGAGATCCTCGGATCGTGGGATTACAGGACGGCGGGATGGAACAGTGTCTGTAAGTCTGGCCTCGTGAGCTACTGTCCGGCGGTGCCTGAGCGTCCAATGATAGGGGACACGGCTCGCTACCAGAATACTGACGGCGCGCTGTAACTCCATTCAGGAGGGATTGTCAGGAAAAACTGACGCATCAAAGAATGAGGAAAGGGATCCTGAATTTCGCCCCAGGTTCCATACTGAGTGGTAATCCCTGGCCACAAAGTTTCCATATGCCGTCTTCCCCAGACTCAGACCAGACATGCCTTCGGTAACAACACTCATGGCCGCCAAGTGCCGATGTCATAACGAGGACATTAATTGTCACTTGACGGCTCTGCGACACCCACCTGGAGCCCCAAATGGTTGCCGGCAAACATGGCGTCGCCTCCATCCTGAGCCCTGCCAATCACTGCACTACGTTGAGAGGGTCTGTGATGGCACACTAGAAGCCCAATAATGTGATTGATTTTGCCACACACTGTCTTGGAGTGGTCGAGTTGCATTCCACAGGCCTGGCGTCACTGGCTGTACCACCAGTGGCGGCGTCTGCCCACGATCGTCGACTGGCTCCAACTACATTCCAACGGTTCTGCTTGTGCTAGTGATCTGCGGGACACACGCCAGCCACTGACCAACAGTTCTCCATTCAACTCAGATTGAGCTCGGCCTCTATGCCCGCTTCAATTCAAGCCCACCCTCTAGCGACTCAATCTCCAACACCGGCGGCCCCCATCCTGAATCTGTCTGCGCTAAATTGTCAAACTCAAAACACACCGACAAACTTCAAGGTTGGCAACCGTCTGGCCATCGTTCCACTCTTCACGAACCCTTGCATGTTGACGTTAAGCAGAAGGGTACGGGTATTGGTCGAGCCATTTGTCACCCTTTCGACAGCATGACAAACAGTTGCTTGTTCAGCCATCAATTCGCTTGCCGAATGCCTTAGTGGCATTCCTGAACGACACACATCTTGGGTAACCACAAAAACGAAAAATGATCAGAGCGATAGTTTTCCCGGTTCTTCAAGACAACCACACTAAAAGGTAGAGATACAGACAAATGTAGGAAGCCGGAAATGAGAAGCATACAATAGGGTGGTAAAAAGGCGAGCAAGTCGTGCCAGAGCATCCGAGCCCTGAATAAGCTTGTCTGCTTAACCTCGCCCAAATACAAGACAGTTTCCTGTTAAATCTGGAACGTGGGATACTCCAGCGAATATCATCGCAGTCCTTCGTCGTCGTAAAGACTAGCCGGCGTAGATCTGGAGATCATCAACCTGGCACCCATTTACTGAGTGATCCGAACTATACACCCTCCACATTACTCGGAGTCAACCCTCCACACCATGTCGGCAGCCATGTCGTCGCGACGGTCACTCGGTCAATGCAAATCATCCGAACATCGGTCCCGAAAAGTACAACGAGCGAAAGGATTTCTTTCCTCTCGTTTTGGACATACGCAGGGAGAAATTTCCCCATTTTCCCCTCCAAATTTGGATTTTGAACATCAGCTCAAGGCCAGTGGTGCTGGGGCTTCGCATATACGCATGTAGCTCGAAACTTTGATGCCCTTTGTCCTGTTGGCTACCTCCAGAGCCTCTACGACCAAACCCACATTTTCGGCTGTTTACTGTCTACCTATTTCGGTCACACGTGGAATGGGCAGGGGAATGAGACGGTACTTCATGAGACCAAAACAGATGCAACAACAAAAATCAAATCAAAACTGCAGCAGATCCCGAGACATCCTTTGCCGGTATGCCTGCAGTTTGGTCTTTCTTGTCACCACTTTTTTGCGGTTAAGCGCCAAAGCGGCGGACATGTTGCGAAGTTCTGAAATGGCACTCTGTGACTCTGATGACTCGAATCATGACATGCGAACCGATCCGACTGACGATACAACGCCAAGCACCGGCCTGAGTAATGCGATGTTGAGTTGCCCCTTATAGAATGCAGTAGTTATGAATATTGCTCTGGGGACTGCATAGAGGATGTTTGAGAAAGTAGGATCTCAGTGCTAAAATGGTGAGCTTGTGTTGTCTCGTTGATACGTTCGGAGGAGACAACCCGTACAACAGCAGATGGTGCAAACGATGGAATTGGAAGGTTGCGTGCTAGCCCGAGACGACGCCAAGTATCTTTGCTTAAGAAGCGTGAGAGACGTACTTTAAGGAGGAGGTTCTCCGGATGACGCTTCGCTCTATGCGTATATATGTTGTACTGTCCTTTGAACGGTATCTTTGAAGAAGATAAGGGCTAGGCTGTTTGACTACCTGATAGGCAACCTTCCTTTTTCTGCAATTATTGTGACAAGCTTCAACAAGCAAAGGACTCTCCAGATATTTCGTTGGCCTATACTTGATATCCCAAGTGGCACACAAGCTAATCTTGTCTGATGCGAGGGGCTTATGACAGCCTTCAATCCTTTCACATCACTATATTCTTAGTTTTTCACCATGTTCGCGATGATAAGCCAGGTTTCGTGAGTCAACATGTCACAATGGTAACCCGTTAGAACTCGAACTTCAACACAGAACGACGAATCAGGGTATATAACTTGAAAATTACATGCAAATTCCTCTCACTCATACAACCAGCCACATCGCAGCCGTCCACACAACCACCCATGACCAAAACGACACCGTCAACAAACACCCGGCACTAGGCGACGCGGTCGTAGACGAAGAAGAGGCAGTGGCGGTGGCAAACGCGCCCCAGTGAAGCCGGCTAGATATGCTCGTCTCCTGCGCCGCATCCACACTCGCACTGCAGGGCTCCGGCTCTGCCGTGACGCTCGTCGTAACGCCGCAGGTCAGCGTCTGCGTCGCGGTGTCGGCCTCGAAGTCGAACGGCAAACCCCCGTACACCGTCGTCGACACATAACTCACCATCCCCAGAGCCGTCGCGCACGTCCCGGTAAAAGTCGGCGTCGGCGCGCCGCTCGCGACGGTGAACTCGAACGTGCCGTTGCTGACCTTTTTCGTATGGTCGTATTCTGCGCTGCTGCGGGAGATCTCGCACCACGGCCCCGTGTGGAAGGTCCATGAGAATGTGTACTTGCCCGCCTCGAGACGCCCCGTCGACGCCGTCTCGAGGTGCGGGTTGTCAGGGTAGGTTGTGCCGTTGCCGATGACGGCGCCGATGGTGTTGAATGGTAGACCCGGGACGGCTCGGTGCGGTTGCTTGTATACGTCCCAGGAGAAGACCCAGCCGTAGTGGTACGCGACGTCCGGGTTGTGCAGGGCGATGAGGACGGGCAGGCCGGAGGGTGTCTCGGCGTAGGTACCTCCGGGACGGGGGAAGAGCAGGTCCAACTCTATTGTGTTGTCTGGTAGAGAGAGTGCTTGGTGGAACAGCCGGGTTGTCGTGAGCGCGGCGAGGAGCCACTGGAAGCTGTAGCTCCGCATTTTCCTAGTCTCCCTTTTCGGACTTTTTCTTCTTTGGTAAAACCCCTTGTCTGGCGTGTTCACGACTCAACGCCCTTGGGGAATGAGAGTCATGGTACTTGTCGAGTTCGTGATGGGGAAAAAGGAGGTAGGTGAGAAATTAGCGACTGTGCCGCCCCCGTTGGCTGGGCTCGGCCGAGTGACCCACATCGACGCGGCCGGGGGCGACAGGCAAGGGGTCGGACACATGGTGATCGTCGGTTCTGGAAATGAAAATAGGGCTCTGGGAGGTCGGAAAATTAGATCAAGTTAAACATTATCTGGCGATTTGTTGGGGAGTATGCCATGTGTTTTCATGGCAAGGGGGGGGGGAGGGTCTGGGAGATGATGGGCTAAGGACACGGCGGATTGTCGCTCGTCGATACTTGTAGAGGAATACTTAGCGCGGAAAGAAGATGAGATCGCCGGGGTAATTCGCTGAGTGTTGGTAATTAGTTGAGTCTGCTTGGTGTGTTTTGATGAGGTAATAGACTTACCAGCAGCCCATTATAATTTGATTTATTCCTTTGGCACGGGGCATATATCCAGCGAGGTTATTTGGATACCGCAACTCTTTCCATCTCTGGAGCGACTCCATTCAATGGTAGTTAACAGAGTGAATTGGACTGGGTTTTAACTACAAAATTGGGCTTCTCAATTTACGTTCTACAACATACGTAATGGGACCTTCACCCAGTGTACAAACGTGATGCCTGGGACAGAGAGAAGACACGAAGCCCAAAGATCTCAGCACTCAATGACTCAATAATGAACCAGGTCTGTTCCATAATGAAAGTGATAAATGATAGTTGGTTTCGTTAAATCTTCTTGCCTCAGATCCATTTTCTAACCTGATCGTGGCTTAAAGGCAGTTGAATAAACATCTGAAATACAATCTACATAGCTTTCCATGAGATAGATAGGTGTCAGCTCACTCTTATGTTGGGGAACGAAATCAAGTAGAAAACTGCAGTGTATTTTGGTGTTAAATAGAAAGAGTTGTTTCTCCGCGCGTGGACCGAATTCGTTAAAACTGATCGCTAGGATTCCAGGCGTCTGTTACCATGACCTCCTCGTGTTCAGCTTGCCTGTCGAAGACTACTGTTGATCCCCCATTAGTCTGTAACAACTCAATGTTGATTGTTTTGAACAACAACTGGTTATTTGTATAAAGGTGTGGCTATAAGTGGGGAGTGACTATATGAGTGGCGGTTCACCCCCGTAAGTGGTCGAAGTTTGTACACGAAGTTTCTATATCTTGAAACCCATATTACGAAACATAACAACAACCTAGCCTTGTTCACAGACAGGGCTTACGCGGCATGTGAAACATTGAAACCAGGACGCAGGTGCTGCGGAAGCAATGCTTTGCAACGCTGTCTCCTGACTCCTCTCTTTAGACGTCGGTCTGTATTGCTGTCCATCGTGGCTTAGCCATACCAGACACGCCTGTATGTGCTCCCATTGCCCAATGCGCGCTTTCTCTCAGTTCATTCTAGTCCTCCATGGGTTGACCACGTGTTGAACCAAACTGCCGGCGTCTCGACCAGGAGTCAATCCTTAATTATTTGGTTTCCTCCCGGCAATGTGGAATTCTTCCCACCAATGGTATTCTGATATCCACAAAACAATGCCCCGCGGGGTTTAGGATACTTTTGCCTCACTTCCACGCATTGCAAAAGCAGCATAGATGAAGCGAAATGCGATACTAAATGAGCTAGGACTGGATGACTGCCCCTGCTTAAAGTTCACGCAATAACACACCTGAACTCGAGGGCAGAATTTCTGAACAAAAGGGACATGTTGCGTTCTGCCGCTTATATTGGGCTAAGTCTGGCATACCTTTGAATAGAATGCTGACGCCGAAACCTTCTTGGGTAAAAGAAACTCCCCAGTCGAACAACCTTTTCCGGGTCAGCACTGCATGGTGCACCTCGCGGTAACAACTCAAAGTTGAAGAAAGTTTCGACTAGAAGAAAGTTTTGCTAGAGTCGCTTAGCGCTGCTCGTATAGTAGCGCTGGTCGAAACCATTATGGCAGTTGACTGCAGGATGCTCTACTGAGCAAACTGCCTTTAGGCTTTTTGATAAAAGTCAACGCAGCCGATGTTCAGCATTGCCTCATTAGGTACACACGATATGCAGTTAGCTGAGTCATGAGGAACCTAAGCAGACGTATAAAGCACAGTTGCCTCGAAGAAGCCATGCAGAACGCTTTGATCTCCACCAGATCCCAGATTCGAGGTGAGCCACCCGCAGGCAATCGCCAGTCAATTGCCGTACACAATTACATACTCACCAAGAGTCCTGCCGCTGAACTTGGGATGGACTCTTAGCACATCGCTCCTACTTCGATGTAGTCTGCCATTCCCTCTGTGCCGCCGACGACGACAAGGGCATAATGAAGGATGATGGTAAGGACGGCACTATCAACTTCGCCACAAAAGCGCGCGTACATCACTGAGGATACAAATAATACGAACATTGGATTTTTCAATTTTGTTACCTACGAAACACTCTATGCAATCGTGCCGGTGATGACCTTTATCGACCTGTTGACGCTGTCCCTCCGTTTCGCGTCCGTCCGACAGCGAAGGTCACGGCCCCAGGCCGATGATTATTCTGCCATGCTCGCATGTGTGAGTGACCAGTCGCTCGGCCACGTCATTTTCTTATAAGATAGTCAAGGTGCAAGCTGACAATTTTGGGAACGCAAGTTTGTCTCCATTGTGACAGGAATCATCACATTATATGGTGCGTACCTACATGCACTGAATTCTAAGCCGACGGTTTCTCGCGAGTAATTCGGCGGAATCTTGCAGGTTCATAACTGATTCTCACCTGGAAACAGGTGCGGTTAACCGTGTCATCGGCCGGCACGATTGGGATCCGTGGCCACTGCCAGAAGGACCCTGGCCAAGGAGCGACTATACATTGGCCAGTAAGGACACAGAGCACCCAGTGTTCATGAAGTTATACCAACTCCATGTCGAGGTACATCTGCGAACCCTGATTCCCCCGCTCAAACTTGCTGTAAGCTGTTGACAATAACCAATTCTTGGTGTTATAGATCATCTATATTTTGAACTGCCTCCAAGGTGTCGGCGTTGGGACTGTTCGACTGGCCTTCCTCTTCCTCTTTCGGAAGCTCTTCTCGTACCAGGGAAAGCGATACGTAATGTTAATAAACGTCCTCGTCGGCCTTGTGGTCTTGTTTATGGTGGTACATACCGCAATGACAATCTTCGCCTGCGGAGTACATCCGGAAGCGCGGTGGATCAATCATGACACGGCGGCGCAACAGTGCCTACAATTGTACGCTTACAACTTCGGCATCGGAGTTTGCATGGTCATTATCGACACAATTGTGTTCATCTTACCGATGTGGCCGCTATACAAGATAACGCTAACGAGTATGTTGCGCACTACCGGGTTTGGGTTGTTGTAGGACTCCTGCTGACTTTACCTACGCTGAAGTGGCCAAAGACCAACAGAGATACATATTGGCCGTTTTTGCCTTGGGATTCTTGTACGTCGTTCTTTCGAACCTATCCTCAATCATTCATTTGACACAAGCTCACTCCTTATTATCCCAGAGCCGTCGTATCTTCATACTTCGGCTTAGTTCTAACCCTACCATTGTATTTGTTTCGAGGTGAGTTGCCAAGGTTGGTATAGTGTAATTATCAACTGACTCTTTAAGATGGCTACCTCTATACGTGGCTACGTGAACACGGGGCTGGCGATGGGGACGCACTCGGTAAGGGCATTTCGCCTTTTCCTACGCTCATTTTCCTTTCTACGCTCCCAACAATTTTTGTTCGCCAATATAACATCTCTGAAGCATATTGGGCTGTATCTCGAAGAAATGCTGATGAGCCGCATTAGGCTGGTCTGCTACTACAGTATTCTGGAGTTACATGGAGTTAGCAGTTGGCTCTGCAGTTTGCAACTTGCCAATAATATCCCGATTTCTAATACGGAGGTTGTGGGACTCGTCTAGACGAGCGACAGTATTGACGGTAACTCGGATAGTGGTAAGGAACCGGAGACTGTTGGCCCGCAATAACATCCCGGACTGCTATGACCTACAGGAAGACGGTTTACCAACACATACAGCGAGTACAAGATCTGGCAATACCAAGACAGCCGACAAACCAGGGCACGCCGTGATCACTGAGCAGGCTCTCCCATGAGAGTCCGACTACGACGGGGGTATTAGGAGCGCTAAAGGTACAGGTCGTTGGTAAGCTTCAGGTACAGGATTACGTCCATAGAGATGACAGACCAGAGGCTAGACAAAATTTATTGACAGCATTAAATACCGCCACTGCAGTAAGCGATGTCGTTCATACAGGCCAATAAGAGAACAACGATATGCGAGGTGCCAGATGAGGTGCCCTTCGACTTGGTAGGTCAGCCGGTGCCTCAGCTGGTGCGCCCAGACGAGAACTTTAACAAAAGCAGGGGCAGCAAGCAGGCTGGCGATGAACATCATATAGGTGATGGTTAAAGCTCCAACAATCACACAGGAGGCGGACATTGATACCAAGTAGTAAGGTAAGAATAGCGAAGCCGAAAGACGAGAGACGAAAATCAAAACAGAATAGGTACCGTGTGCCTTCACTTGTTTAGTTAATTAGGTAAGGACGTACCAACTTACTGTCATGTTTAGCTCATTCGGTAATCTGTTGATGCCCCATAACATTTGTTCCTTTACGTTATCAAAACGTCGCTTCTATCTCCCGCAGCCTATGCTGCTGTTCTTAATCCCAGCTGTAACGATTAAACCACAGACGTCCCTAAAACGCCATGGAGACCTCAGGCTTTATGTTTTTAATTAGCCAGAAAGTTGACCTGGACGAAGTCTTATGGTATTCACAAGGAAGTCAAGGACAGGAACATGATAGGTACTTGCTGTCCCGTATGTGTGGCTCCCATCAAATGGTACGAAATCTTTCATAACTCGGGTCTCACGGCAGAGCAGGATGTCGACCTTGCTGAGATGAAACTAGCTTGAACGAGCATACCGATTAGTCCCTATGAGAAGACGGTCTTGGCCATTAGAGCTTCTATTATGACGACTATGCCGTAGTTGAGCATAAGCGCCAACTCTTTTGGGTATCTGTGATCATCTATGGATTATTGTCTGGGAAAACCGGCTGAACTGAGCTGTTTTCCTTGTGATATTTGATGGCGAACTCCGTGGGACTTTGTTAACGATAAGGATGCTGTAATACTGAATGTAAGAGCATTCCTACTCACTGACAAATCTGACTGAACATTACGTGATCTTTGGTTGAAATCATCGTAAGAAATCAATCAGAACTGCAAGATTGGAACTTTGCTTTAACCAAAACACTAAGGGAGAAATATTTATGCCTTTTAGAGACTGTATCTCTTTTTCGGCTTGCGAGGATGGACTATGTACTTTACTGATGTGGGTATATTGTTCGGCTATGCCGGAGGGCGAACTAAGAGGTCTACCAATGACTCAATTTATGGTTGCTTGAGCGTGTTCCGATGCTTGTTGATGGCGGCGATAGCTTCTCACATGCACCCCTCTAGAATTCGTTCCAGGAGAAAGGCACCAAAGCGTTCGGAAATTTTATCGAAGAATTTCAATGAACACAAGCCAGTTCATTTCAACAAAGGGTGCCTAGCCAATTATGCAATGGGCAATAGCCATTACCTCCTCGACGACGTAACCATACCCAACTGTGTAAAGACCTTCAGCTGCAGCATGGTTACCACACCAGTTACCTATATTTTTACTCTTGTCGCATGTCTAGTAGAAATAAAATAGGAAAACCTTCGAACGGTTGATGGTTACACAGAGTTTCAACATGATGCTGCTATTGGGCATCATTTCCTTAACTTCAGTACAACCAGCGGGTCTGATAACCTCGAAAGGATGCGCGCAGAGTGCTTAATTCCTTCGAGGTTGCGGATTTATATAGTTCAAACTAGCCAGGAGGCCACATTCCCGGCTGCTCGATGCCATGAATCCGAAATGTGGGATACCAAACAACTCTTGCCTAGATACAGTCGCTAGATGCCAGGAGGAAATCTGCACCTGTCTTCAAGGCGAAGACAATAAGTATCATCTCTATCTTTTCACAAGATCTTATAGTTTACCTTCCCCTTCCAGTTTATCACAGAGATTCAATTTTGACATTTATCACCTTACAGCAGCAGAATATTGCTGGGCATCTGGGCAATTACGTTAGGTGGGAATACAAAACCTGCATGAGTTGGCTACATATCCCGTCCCCCATGTGTTTTCAATCCGTGAGATAACCTTTGCCCAAGATAGTGACTTCATTTTAGAAAAGAGTGGTTGAACAAGATGGTATTACAGGTTCTCACTGGATTATGAGGGCAAATGATAAGTTTATCATGACGGTGGGAATGACGATTAGTCTTGTCGGCTCTCATAATGTAAGGGAAGGTGGATTCTTGAAGATTAAGCAGATTGTTATCAAAATCACATCGAGAATGAGGATTCAAGATGATTTGGTTTGAGACCAAGATAATTAAGATGAGTTGTGACTTTTTACCACAGTATATAAGTGATTTAGGTGAAACCCAAGTATTCCTATCTCATGGCCCAGAACCTGATATCTCGAAAAATAACATGGTCCAACAAAGACGAAAAGGTCAAGGAGATGAGGTTCAAATGGGGCACAGATTCAATATCGGGGCCCGTGGATACTGCTTCTGTAAAACTTGTCAGAGCAGTGTCTACACAAAGGTCTCCGAACCAGCAACAACAAAAACTGAGCTTCTTCTTGCAATTAAAGCATTGGTATATAACAAAAGCCTTACAATTTCAGTACAGAATGTTTGAAGGACTTGACCGTCTATTGAATCCTATTTTGGGCGTTGGCGTTAACACATCAATTTTAACTAATTTCGAAAACTCGAAACATTCGAACAAAGTCTGAATAAACGAAATATATGTCCACTTAGGTAGCCTCTCTTTCGAATTCTGCTTATTTAAAGCAACTCGGCGTTACTATTCCATGCCATCATCACGAATAAGCAGGAAATCACAACTGTCGTCGACGATACTAGCAGCAAACATGATTAAGCGGCAAGCTTCCCATGGTTACCACTCTTTTGTACTATTCGACACCATCTTTTGTTGCAAACTATGTACCAGCCCTTCTGCCGAGAGTCTAGACGGCCGCCAAGGTCAGATGATAAAGCTTGCTCATCTCCACGAAAATAAACCCCCAAGCTTCCCTACAAGGCCAAGACCCTTGTGAAGCATTGGCATGTGGTCCAAAACATGTTTTTGGGCACATAAATCCCGCAGATATGAGTTGGAACATTGTCACATGTTTCACTTGTGGATGGTCTTCTATTATCTTACACACTGTCTACTCTAGCGCTTTCTGTATCATTATCGGATTTATTCTTGCCAGACAGATTACGGGCAAGCCATTCCTTGACGACGGCGATGGCTGCGTTGTACTCCACGGTCACGCTCGCCTTTGGCGTGAACGGCGGTGGTTTATCCCACGCATGCTTTTCTGCGGCGACCACGCGAGTGCTGATCCGGCGTCCTCGGGATTGTAGCCTTTCAGCAAAGTTCTGTCCCTCCAAAAGCAACATGTCGTATTCGCACATGCACAGGTGAATGGGTGGCAGACGATCCACCATCTCGTCTGTCATCAACCCTGGAGATAGCCTTGGATCGTAGCGCTCGGACCTGGGCCGGGGAGGATACACATAAGACGCGTCAAAAAGATCGGTCATGCCTTTTGGCAAAGTCATGTCTGGCCTGCCACATGTCTCACGCTTCATGGGCCTTGTGATTGTCCAGTCGAGGAGGGGATAGAAGAGGACAATCCCGGATATGTCGGGGATAGGAAATTTAAGCTCATAACCCCACCTCTGGGGCTCTTGAAGGAGATTCCAGCTAGCAAGCGCTAGCGTGCCGCCGGCCGAGAAGCCCGACAACAGGATATTTGATTTGTCAATGCGGAATTCGTCAGCACGTGCAACGATCTGAAGGATAGAGTCGGCAGCATCCTCCACCGGAGTAGGGAATGGGTAGCCCGGAGCAAGTCGGTAGTTGACGGAGAAGACGACGGCATTCAAAGCGGTTGACACGGCGCCGGCCCATCGGGCATCATCTGTCCCCTGTCCCAGGATGAAGCCCCCGCCATGAAAGTTAATAACTGCAGGGACCGTCCCCGCCGGTTTGGTATTGGTGGTTCGAGGAGGAAGCCAAACGTCGACCCGTATCTTTTCCTTGCCCTTCCATTCAGACAAAGTGGAGTCGAGCCAGATGACTCTATTTACAGCGGGAGGAACCGGGGCAGAGAGGTTTTGTAACCCGAAGGCAAAGGCAGCCCCAGAGCGAAGGGCTACTGCGTTGGCGTTCAGCCGCCAGCGGGCCATGCTCTCGAGTGGGTTATCATATTCACCCTCGGGAGTGCCGGGAGCACTGTTGGCCGCGCTGTTGACTTTGCTGCCTTTTTTGCTGCTCCTGGATAGGTTTGATATGCTGGAAACGGTACGCGTGAGTCTGTTTGACTTCATCGGGGGGTGCGGAATACGCGGAGCCCGCACAAGGGACTGGCGGCCTGGTGTAGGCTAGGAGGTGCGGACAATCGGACAAGAGTGAATAAACAGCATCGGACGACGGATGCAGTCAATGAGTGCGATGGTGTCTCGGGTAGAGCGGAACAGGCAGCGATTGATAATAGGTTGGCGGAATGGAAGGGAGGGAAGATGGGGAAAGATTGTGACAAATCAACAGCGAGAGATGAAGAGCTTTTTGGTACCACTGTCGGGGCAAGGGTACTGAGCTTGCAGGACAATTCTAGTGTAGGCTCTGGGCAAGTGGTGGACGTGCAGAGTCAGGTGGTCGTTGACGTTGAAAAAGTTGGCCAACTGGGCGCCGGTAGTGCCTTGCGCCCGGGGGCGGTCTTGGCAATTGAAGATCAGATAGATTAGGAGCTAGTCACTCTAGTATAGATGGAGGATGGAGCACCAGCTTTGATGAGGTAACCTCTTTGGGGGTATCAAGCGTCAATACGACAAGTCTTTCAGTACGCGTATGGGTAGTATACTAAGGTGCTGTATCAGTGATGGAAGAGCAACATGCTGGCTTAAGACGGTAGGCGGTAAGGGGGGACGATAGTGAGTACGTGTACTCCGTATCGGCCGAAGCAAAAGCCAGACAAAGAGAGGGGAGGAAGAGCAGGAGAACGATTAGGGAACAGGGGGGCAAATGTTGCGATGTCATTGACGCAGGCATGGTACACCAGAGTACGTGTAGTCGTGGCTTGTTCAAAGAAAGCCTATAGTGAGCAGTAGTGACTCGTCAGGTGCTCATTTTCTCTTAGGTACGGATATTGGACGTGAATGAATTGGTGGGTGAATTGAGTTGGCAGTTGGTGGCTGGTGACTGGGCGAAAACCGCAAGAGCAGTAGATGCCGAGAAGGTGACGTCAGTCGAGGCTCAGTGTGGGGCCGTGGTTTCCGGGATGCGATCGGGGCTCCCAGCGGGCTACAGATGGACGCGCTTTCCAGACGATACCAGAAGACCTGGGAGGGGCCACTTGGGGGGCCTTCTGATTTTTAGGTATTGCTTAGGGCAAACTAGATCCCCTGAACACGGGAAGGAGCGGAGCCTCTCCAGGGATTTGGTCTCGGAGCAAACGGTCCATGAGTGACTATTGGGAAAGAGCTATAGCCAACTGGCCACTGAGGAAGGGCCATTTGACGACCCTCGTGCCTTTCCATGCAGTTTCGAACCAGGGTACGTATTTCGCCCCACCAACAATGACGCCGTACTGACACCACATGGCAAGCGCGGGCTGGAAAGTTTAGGAAGCTTCCCTTGCTTTGCGTGCCTACCCAGTCAACCCATGAAGAAATTGATGGGAAGGCGAAGGGGACCACTAGGTAAGGTAAGGAGTTTATCCCCTGCCTGCCACCTGCCTCACCTGTACACTATTACAAGGGAAGGGACCACTGGGAGCCACTTGTCCGATGCGATCGATTCCCTATCGTTGCATTCAGCAAACTTTTCTCACGACCCGTGGCTAGCCTACCAGACGCACCTACACCTACTCTAAACTAGCAGTACGCGCATCCTTTTCCCGGGCACCGTCAAACGGAAGGCACCCGGGCTCAATTACTCGAGTTTCAAAGGTACCTTGGCTACCGGGTGGGACGGTACATGATACCTCGTTCGTCCCTGAATCTTGTGACGTACCTCGACCAGCTGGACGTCAGGCTGGAACATTATTGCCCTGCCGCATGCCGTTTAACCCCGTCTTGGTCTTGCCTAAAAATCAAGACTTGGGCAGACTCTGTTGCGGCAGCCAAGTCGCCAGTACAAAAATGTATACGTAGTCTACTAAAATAGAGAGCAGCGTCCTTCCCGGAACCGAGGGTTGTCCGATGCGGACCGTGATGTGCGCCGAGTGCCCTCATCATTATCATTCTTATTTTTCATCCTCCCCTCCATCCTCGCCGCTTTCTGCTTCCCGCCTTCCCACCGCTTGTTTAATCATCATTATTTTGTACCTGCAGTGATCTACCCCCAAAAGCACCCAAGCCCCTCTCACTCCCCCTCCCTTCATATGTAAACCCAGTCTTGGCCTACTCGCACATTTCCCCTTTTACTTTATCCTTTCTGCCCAAACGTCAACACATACGCCAAGCCAACTAGCATCTCAATCACGACGCTATCCAACCCTCGCCAAGGGGAGGTAACACCACAATGACGGAACAGGAAACCGTACAAGCGCCCCCTTCCGGCGCCCTATCTCGCATTGCACAGAAGATAACATCACCATTGAAGACCCACAGCCCCACGAGTTCGACCTCTTCTACCAAGACCACCGTCTATGAGAAACAGACTCCAACATCCAGCAAGACGAGTCAAACAAGCAAGTCGAGCGACGGTAGAAGCCCAACGAGAAGCCCCGCTAGGAGCAGTGAGTCCAGACGCAGGGAACGCGCTGAGAAGCTTCTCCGTCGTGAACAGGAGCAGCGTGAGCTGGAAGAGCGCAGGAGGCGAGAATACGAAGAGGCTCGTAAGAGTGAAGATGAAGAAACGAGGGCACGTTACGGCGAGGGTGACGAGGATGATTACCCATCCGAGCTTAACACCATCGCCGAGGTGAGCGAGATGGGCATCGGCACCAAAGTTACATTCCGCGCCAGAATTCACACACAGCGCAACATCTCGAAGCACCTCGACTTCATCCTTTTCCGCGACCAGACCGAAACTATCCAAGGTGTCCTGGCCAATGTGAGCCCCAACATGGTAAAATGGGTACAGCGACTGCACCCCGAATCCATCGTCCAGGTGTCCGGTACGTTGAAGAAGCCGGTTGAAGACATTAAGTCTGCCAACCACCATGATGTCGAGGTCGACATCTACTCCATTCACCTCATCAACCCTGCTCAGGCACCTCCGTTCAGCAACTACTTGCCCCCCGACAGCATGAATTACAGGCTCAACAACCGCGTTCTTGATCTGCGCCACCCCTCTAACCAGGCTCTCTTTCGCATTCGTGCCATGATCACCCGCAAGTTCCGTGAAACCCTTGACAACAGTGGCTTCATTGAAATCCAGACCCCAAAGCTCCAACCCGCTGCGACGGAAAGTGGTGCTGAGGTCTTCAAGCTCAACTATTTTGGTCGTCGTGCCTTCTTGGCGCAGAGCCCCCAATTGGCCAAGCAGATGGCGATTTCTGCCGACTTTGGCAAAGTCTACGAGGTAAGAAAAAAATTCCCCGAACAAACCAATGAAACGATCCATTGCTGACAATGTAAGATTGGCCCTGTCTTCCGTGCCGAAAACTCCAACACCCACCGGCACTTGACCGAGTACACCGGCCTCGACATTGAAATGAAGATTCACAAGCACTACCATGAGCTCATCAAGGTCATTGATCAGGTACTCAAGAACATCTTCACAGCTGTTCATTCTATGCCCGAGCTCAAGATTGTCCGTGAGCGATGGCCGAGTGAAGATCTTGTTTGGCTGGACGAGACACCTATCATTCCCTTCCCAGAAGGTCTCCAAATGCTGCGCGATGATGATCGAGATGTCGCGGACGAGGATCTTTCGACTCCAGATGAGATTCGACTAGGAGAGTTGGTCAAGGAGAAGTATGGAACCGACTACTACATCCTCGACAAGTTCCCTGCCAATGCCCGACCATTCTACACCCACAAGGCCGAAGACCCATTCTGGACGAACTCCTTCGATATCTTTGTCCGTGGACAGGAAATCTGTACAGGCGGTCAACGCATTAACGACCCCAAAGAGCTGAGAAAGAACATGGCAGAAAAAGGCATTTCAGAGGACGAAATGTCTGAATACCTTGAAGCATTCGACCTCGGCGCTCCTCCTCATGGTGGTGCCGGCTTGGGCCTGGACCGTGTCGTCTTCCTCCTTCTCAACTTGGGCGATATTCGATACGGATCGCTGTTTTACCGCGACCCGAAATCTCTCCCCTCGCGGTCCTTCTCCTTGCCACACCCCAATGCTGACACCACCAAGATTTGGGCAGGCAGAGAGCTGCCTCCCCTTGAGGAACTCATTGCCAACTACGGCGATGCATCCAACACATCATGGCTCGATGAGCGTTTCGAAATCTGGCGCCACAGCTGCGGTGCCGCAGTGGGTTACGTGAGACAGGGCAAATTTGCCATGATCACTGGTGATCCTCTCTGTGACCGAGGTCAATACGAAGAAGTCATTCCGGCCTTTGTAGAGTTTGTTACCAAGGAGCTCAAACTTACTCCCGTCTGGATGCTCGTGTCCAGTAGAGTGCAGGAAATCCTGGGCCGCCGCATCGGTTGGCGCACCATGTCCTGCACCGAAGAGCAGCGCACCGACGCCGACCAGCACACCGGTACAGACAACCGCGCCGCCCGCCGCGTGAAGCGCGAGGGCATCAAGATCCATGAGCTGAAGCCTGATGATGACTTCATCAAACGCGCCGACAAGTCTATCGAGGCGTGGAAGGAGAAGCGTAAGGGCAAGAAGCAGGTCCATCTCACCGAGATTCGGCCTTGGGTCGATCAGGCTCACCGTCGGTACTTCGCCGCAGAGAAGGATGGCAAAGTGCTGTGCATGGTCGTCCTCGCCCAGCTGGCGCCGCGGTACGGATGGCAAGTGAAGTGGGCCCTCGATTTCCCTGATGCACCAAACGGCACGATCGAGGTTCTCATCGAGTATGCACTCTCATGCATCTCGGGACCCGTGACCTTCGGCGCGGGCGTGAGCGAGAAGTTGATCCCCGGCCAGCACCTACACGGCGTCCGGGCCAAATTTTTGAGCAAGACCTACGCCACCATCGTCAAGAGCATGGGCTTGATGAAGAAGTCCGAGTTCCGTGGCAAGTTTGGCGTCCTGGGCGAGCAGGTGTACATATGCTACCCCCGGCGCGGCGTCACATTGTTTGACTTGAAGGAGATTGTAAAGTTCTTCATGGATGACGACAACTAAGGCAGCACAATTGAAACGTACTCTCGTGCCCGGTTGCACGCGATTACTTGGAACGAAAATAAACAAGTTATAGAAAGATTTGATAATGCTGGTAATGAGCATGGAGGAGGGAGTTGGATAGCCACAGGGTTCGGGTTCCATTAGGGATCGGGCAATTGTTTCATTTGTTTTTCTTCTTCTTTTCCTTGGTTCAATCACAACCCTCACGCAACGCAATGGATAATGTCAACGATACCTTGACGTCTTGTTTTTCTATTACGTTTTGTTTTCGATTTAGAATTTGATACCAGCGTAGAGCGCAGTCTCCTTTGTCAAGGTCATAGTAATACCATGGACTTATTCAATTTCATCATAAAATGAAAAAGACGATGGTGTACTGACATGTCACTCAACTATACGTGTCACCAGTGATCAAATTTTGGAAGGAAAAAAGAAAATAGTAATAATTCAAGTGATGCGGATGTTTGACGTTCTGCCCTAAAACTCCTAGGCAGTGCAGGTACGAATGAATGTGCGCGACCATCTAGTTAGGGAGTGTTGGTTGGTTGGTGTGTGTGTGTGTGTGTGTGTGTGTGTGTGTGTGTGTGTTCTACTTAATCGGAGGAGAGAGCTTAAACATTGGAGGAAGAGAGAGAGAGAGAGATGGATGTGGGCGGCATGTTTGTGGATTTCCAAGAAATGAAAGATCCTCAGCTCGCTCAGCTCGCTCAGCTCGCCTCGGCAATCGCCTTCTCCAAATGTTCCCAGCACTCCGGGTGTCCTAGGGCCGAGACCCATACGTTGCCCTGCAGATCCTTACCCAGGATCGTGAAGACGTTGCGGGAGAGCACGGTGCGCGTGCGCGCGAGGGAGTGGTGGTACGAGAGCCTTCCCGGCGGGGGACGGCCGAGGGGCGGCGGCAGCACCTCGGTGGTCACCGTATCTTCGGGAGCGCGCTTCTCCGGGTCGCCGGTGCTGCTGGCGCTGGTGATTTCGCTGTCCTCGGACGTCTTGTCGGCAACGGCCTCCTCCGTGTCGACGACGACGACGGTAGCCTCCTCGGAGTCGGCGGGACGGGGGATAACGGCCGGGCTGAAGTCGATGCACTCGAAGAACTTGCAGCGGGCCCAGTTGGTGAAGATGATGAGCATGCTGTCGGGCTTCCCGTAGAGGGGCTGCTTGCCGCAGCGGCCGCCCTCGCGGAGGCGGCGCATGTAGGCCATGATCTGGGAGGGGGTGGTCTGGGTCTGGATGTCGTAGCGGAAGCAGCGGGCGCCGTAGCCGAGGGGCGCCTTGACGACCTCGTTGGAGTTGAGGATGGTCCAGGTGCCCAGGGCGACGTTCTGGACGTAGTGCTTGTCCGGGGCGAAGACGGACCTGAGGCGGCCCGTGATGTCGACGGCGTTGAGGACGGTGACGGAGCGCTTGCTGCCGCGGGCGGTGCACACGAGACGGGTCCACCAGGCGGTGAGGACGTCGCCCTCGCTGACGAAGGGGGCCTCCTCGCCGCCGAGTCCCTTCTCGTCCATGGCGTGCAGGTCGGCCATGGCGCGGGCGCGGAGGTCGGACACGAACTTGGCCGGCAGGCAGAGGATCTTGGATTCGATTTCTGGGCGGCGGAAGATATCCCACACGGTCTGCAGGGTGAAGCGGAAGTGGCGCAGGCCCTTGAGGTGGCGGTGGTCGAGGATGAAGGGCTCCTTATCCGGGTCCGAGGCGACGCCGACGTCGTCGAGAATGTCTTGACGGCTGCCGCAGAGGGCGGGCACCTCGTGCTCGCGGCCGGCGAGGACACGAGACCAGTTGACGACGAGGGACTGCATACCGGCGGCGCCGAAGAGGACGTGGGAGAAGAGAAGGCCGATGACGGTGGCATCGTTGAACGAGACGATGTGGAGGTGGATCTGGGGCTCATCGGAGGAGAGGAGGTCTTCGAGGGTCATGGGGGCGTCGGAACGGGCGCCGAGGTTGTAAAAGTTGACAACGCCCGGTTGGATGGATGGTTCGCTCGTCGTCCTCGGGAGGTGCTTGGCGACTTCGTGGTCATTGATGCTGCAATCATGTACATCGTGGGAGGTGCGGATAGCTGGGCGTTCCGGCGTAAACACTTGTGGTACATGAAGTTCCAGCCTATCGTCATCCTAGAGTAGAGTGCATGTGTTAGTCCCATTACTTGACTTGACATACCCCGAGGGAGGGTGGAAAACAAAAGGGTATCCGCCGTCAGAGTGGATTTACCGTCAAGCGCATGCGACCTCCAAACTTCTTCCAGTCACCAATCTCGAGCAGCCTGGCAAGAGCGGTTTCAAGCTTGTCCGCGTCGAGGACGTCGTCAAACCTCAATGTCCAGTTGAGAAGCATCTCTCGGAAGGGCTTCGTGTCATCGAAGAAGTGGACCGGATAAACATCGTCGGTTGCTACCCTAGGCGGCTGCACGACCTTGGGTTTGCGGGCGAAGATCGTCTTCACTATGTCGACAGCCATGGTTGCTGCGCGGACGGAGAGAGAGGAGAACTTGAAGCGCTGTCTTTGTCGCCGTTGCTTGCGGGCTACCCAGAGCCTCCAACAAGCAAGACTTGTCGGTCGCAGACCAAAATTAAAAGAGAGTAAGAGGGGATTCAATCCAGCCGTCTGTCGGTGCAAGCAAACCAACCAGTATTTCGAAAACAAAATACCTGGGCTCCAGGCCGTAGAGGGTTCCACACGTCGTCGGATGCCAGCTTATATTACCAGACACCGGTAGACTGTCTTATTGTCAGGGCTACGCAAACCCGGGCCCAGGACCATGGCATCTTCCCAGCAGGTAACCGTTGTTTCCGCTGTCACGGAGGTTTCCTGTTGGTTTGAAGCACGGCCATAGGCGGCTGATACCTCCCAAGAGGAGTTCATTGCGTTCTTGATGCAGCACCGAGAAACAGCCTTTGTCGAGAATGTATGTGCGTTTCGTACAGAAGCCGAGCGAGATGGTGCCCCCTTGAAGTATAACACTTGCAGTAGTAGTTCCACATTCAAGGCGGGCTGTGGTGTTATTCCCCATCCGTTCCCCAGCTTGGCAGGAGAGTAACAAAGCAATTCAATTTCGCCTTGTTTGTTGTCGAGATCTTGTAAGGAGTTGATCGACATCCCTGTCGATGGTCGTTGCAGCACGTGTTACGAGATTGGTTGACAAAGAGACCCAAATCGGAGGGGCGGTTCCAGCTGCTATCGGCAGCAGAAAAGTGACCTTCCAAGACAGGAAATGAGCGGGGAAACAACCTTTACACGGAGCCGGCCGGACGAGAATGAGGAGCTATCGCATCGCATGTAGCCCGCCCGCACTTATTCCCCGCATGAAGATAACAAAACTCTCAATGTTCCCTTAATAAACCAAAGCTCCCGACCGTTGGAAACGCCCCTTTCTTCGTTACATTGGCGGACGAACCTTGAGTGACAGGATACCCACGAGACAAGATGACAGCACAGGCGTATAATCTTTGGGTGGGAGGCCAGGAAAAGCCGGGCAATGCAGAGCAGTTCGTGACGGTTCTCCCTCCCCCCCTCTCTATCTTGGTGACCCCGCGCACGCGTTGCATCTGCAGCAGGCTCATCTGTGCTCGCGCTTCATGCTCGTGGCTCGAGCTTCGCTTCATAACTCAGGACTGACACAGCAATCAACAGGATACCAGTCGAAGACCCTGCAACAGGTGAAATATTCGCAAAGTAAGGTTCTCAGCCCGCAAGCCACCCCAACCCTTATCTTCATGCCCGTCAATTGCCAACGTGGCGCAAAACTCACTCAGGACGTTTATCGGATTCTGACAACATGCAGCTGCCACGCCGCATCCTCCCAAGATGTACATGAAGCTATCCAGCTGGCGCACGACACCTTCAAGGCTGGGACATGGTCCAGAGCTCCCCGTCATGTCCGGGCCGAGGTCCTCGATAAGACGGCGGAGCTCCTCACCGCGGAGCTTCCCTCACTGATCCCCCTCGAGGTACGCCAAACCGGACGGGCGATACGCGAGATGCGCGCGCAAGTGCCTACGCTGGTCAAGTGGTTTAAATACTACGCCGCCCTGCTGCGCACCGAAGAGCGTGCGGTTCTACCGACAGTAGGCAAGCTGCACAACTGGATTGATCGCTTGCCTCTCGGTGTCGTTGTGCAGATTACACCCTTCAACCACCCGCTGCTCATCGCTGTAAAGAAAATAGCGCCTGCCCTCGCAGCAGGAAACAGTGTTATCGTGAAGCCCAGCGAATTGACGCCCCTCACGACACTTCTGCTAGGCAAAATCCTAAAGGAGGCGGGCGTGCCGGACGGAGTCTTTAGTGTTTTGCCCGGTTACGGTGCGACAACGGGCAAGGCCCTCGTTGAGCACCCTCTGGTTCGCAAAGTCGACGTCACTGGCGGGACGGTGGCGGGAAGAGCCATCGGATCAATCGTTGGCGGCAATTTGGCGCGGTATACGGCAGAGCTGGGAGGAAAGGCACCGCTCATCGTGTTTGAGCAAGCAGACATTGACGTCGCGGTGAACGGGATCGCTTTCGGTTCGTTCATCGCCAGCGGACAGACGTGCGTCGCCAGCACCAGGATCCTCGTGGAAGAGAAAGCCCTGCAACCACTGCTAGACAAGCTCAAAACCAAGACGGAATCTATCCTGCGGAGGATAGGCTCTCCGAGCAACCCAGACTCAATGATGGGACCGCTGATCTCTGCGAAGCAGTTACAAAACGTAGAGGCGCTTGTCAACGAGGCGCTTGAGGCAGAGGGTGCAGCTCTAGCGGGCGGGCGTCGCATGTCTGGAACAAGCAGCCTCGACGGTATCGATTTTGCCAAGGGCTACTTCTTCGAGCCAACTGTGCTGGTGTCGAAGGCCGAGGGCGACATCCTCAAGACACGCATCTGGCGGGAGGAGGCGTTTGGGCCCGTCATAGTGGTGGCGCCGTTCAAGACGGAGTCAGAGGCCGTGGCGCTCGCCAACGACAGCGACTTTGGACTGGGAGCGGGCATCTGGACTCGCGACGTGGCGCAAGCGTTTCGAATATCGGAGCAGATTGACGCAGGCATCGTGTGGGTGAACACACATCATCGAAACGACCCCAGCAGTCCGTGGGGTGGCGCAAAGAGTGCGAGCGGCGTCGGGAGCGAGAACGGAAAGGATGCGTACGATGCTTACACGACGACCAAGAGTACCATCATAAGCTATGCAAGCTCAGAGGAAGCATTGGCGACGGATGACTGGTTCCGAGAGGGAGCTGGTGATGTGCGGTATGGATAGACCAATACTGGTAGGCATTTGGTAGAGTAGAAGCCATTGACCAATACAAAAAGGTTGTATGCGAGAGGAGATACGAAAATAGCAGTACGAAAGAGAGAGTGTGTAAAGGATGATTACTACGCAGTAGAGGGTAAAGCGAGGGAAAAAGGGCGCTACTTCTGCTGATGTTCGGGGATGAACAAGCGAAGACTTTTGTTTCAGCAGGGGAGAACCTGTCAGTGCGCCATGGCTTGACATGTTTCTAGCCTGCAGGGCGAACATTAATTACCCATGTAGTGCTTCTGTATCTCGGGCCGCAACGCTAAGAAAACTTAAGGATTAGAATGGACTAAGAATGTAAAGGCTTAATTAACTGCATACTCGAAACTTGGTAGCAGTACAGCACAAGCAGTTGTTTGGAATGATATGGAGGCCAAAAAAGGGCAAAAGAATAGGTCCATCCAGGATTCGAACCTGGGCTTACGGAAGATCTGGGGTTAATCAGAATCCGACGTCCTAACCAACTAGACTAATAGACCAGTGCCTATTGATTGTTGGGTATTCTGGTGTGGAACCGGCCTAAGTGCCGTGCTTTGGTGGGAATCCCTGTGGCAGCTGTTGAGCATAGTGCTGTTAGCCACTAGCCATGGGGCAGTACCAACTATAATGTCAGCCATTTGGCCATTTACTTTTGCCAGCCGCCCTAAAATAACCACGTCAAATCTGTAATCGACATGAAATCAACTCGGCATAGTTTTCCGTATGTCCATGCCTTTGTATCCGGATGGCTTCTCTGCATTACCATTCCCTGTCAATCTTGGGTCGCTCTCGGGTGGAAATGAGAGAAACACCGGGCCGCATAATTCAATTGGGCTGTCCCCTGTCTCTTGACATTGGCAAGCTTTCCGCATTACAAACACTCGTCAATGTGCCTGATTATGCCTCGTTGAGATGTTGTTTTTGGATATTAATCCGATCATCATTCGGCTCAAACTGAACAAAAGGTCACCAAAAGAGGGCAGCGTCCAAGAGCCACAAACCAGCAGTTCACCTCAAAGGTGCTGCGGTTGGGGCCGCATGACATCATCCGAACGCCATAGGAAACAGTGGGAACGGCGATGAAGAAAGTTAGACATCAGTCCAGCCGGGACGAATGGAAAGTAACAAGACGCAGAAGCCTCCAGTCGACTGACGACAACCTCTTGTCTCCCCCTTCTCGACTATTGCCCTATTGAGATCACAGGAGCGTCGTCGCATTGGCAAACACATCAACGTTAAAGCAACCTCTTCGGTCTTTCGCCTGAACATCCAAGTCTGAGAGTCAGAAGATCGAGCTCCAATCAACCCAAATCACCATTCTTGCCTTGTTTTCCGAGTCTTCTAGACCAATATCGCCGATTCTCTGACAGACTTTTTCCTTTTCCCTGCGAGTTTTCATAGGCCCAACTCAAACATGTCGCGCCCGAAACAGCACATCATATTCCTCACGGGGCCGACTGGAACCGGCAAGACGACAATAGCGAAATATCTAACCGAATCGCTCCACATGACCTTCATCGAGGGTGACGATGTCCGTGCTCCTCTTCCCCCCCTCCTCCAAAACTCATAACAGCTGTAATTCTCGTCGCCGCCGCAGTGCACTGACATTCTTCCCGCCTCAGTATCACCCCAAAGAAAACGTGGAAAAGATGCACAGGGGTGAGCCCCTCACTGATGAGGACCGTTGGGGTTGGCTCGACACTCTGCGCGACGAAGCCCTGAAGGGGTTAGACCAGGACCTGCCAGGCGTCGTCGTCGCCTGCTCGGCCCTGAAGCGGACCTACCGCGACGTGTTGCGGGGAGCATCACATCCTGACAAGGATATCTTTGTCAACTTCGTCACCCTACACGCGCCAGAGGACGTTCTTTTCGAGCGCGTCAAGGGCCGCCACGGTCACTTTGCCGGTGCGAACCTGGTGCACAGCCAGTTCCAGAGTCTGGACCCCCCGCAGGAGGATGAAGAGGACGTTGTTGGTGTTGACGTACAGCCTCCAGTGGACGAGGTGCAGAAGAATGCGCTACAGAAGGTGAAGGACCTGCTCGGTAGATAGGGTGTTACCGCATGGTGGCTGCTTATGCCATGCCTCGATTACAGTTACGAGTTTCCTGTCCCAGGGGTCTCTAGGCATTTTCTTAGTATTCTAAAGACTTTAGAAAGCAATGAATTATATAATGACAAACAAAAACACCAATAACACAAGTACTTGCGTTTATGGCAGCTTGTTATTCGTCCCTGGCACTTTGCATCATCCGGTCTAAGAAATTTCCCTCAGTAATCCATATAAGCAGCCACCGATAGTTCTCACCTTGCCTAATGAGCTGATTTTGCTTTTGTGTAACCACACACCACACACCACACACCACATGCCAAGTGTGTTCTCCCACAAGCCCGCAAAAACTAAGCAATAAGTAAAAGCAAACCTATTCTGTATCATGCATGCCTTTCTTAGAACCATTCTAAACCCGAGCTGAAGCCCTACCATGAATGGCCGGGTATCACTTTCGGCTATCATCTACCATGGTTTCTAATTGTATCCAAATCTCGAAGCCGATAGGTGAGGTTTCGAACATGTGGAGGCAGACTAAGCTGACAATGCTGGATCAGTCAGTCATGTGGGTTGGGTTACCACATACGAGAGACATGCTGTCAATAGTTTCATCTGCAACGAAAAAGAAATTGCAAAGTGCTATGGGTAAACCTGATGTCTATAAAAGAACTCCATAACCAGTTCGTATCTATCATACTTCAACAACGCAACTATATATCGCAGAGCTTGCTAAGATGACACAGGAATTCGACTTTGTAATCGTCGGCGGTAAGTCCTCAATTTCTGCTAGGAATTTGTCTTGAATGAATTCGTCATAGGCTCAAAAGATCAGAACATCGCTGACACTTTCAATTCTCCCGCCAGGTGGCACAGCCGGTTGTCTTCTCGCTTCCCGCCTCGCAAACACAGAGTCCAGGCCCAGCGTTGCGCTGCTTGAGGGCGGAAAAGATCTTGACAAGCCCGAATACAGGCTGACTGCCGAGCGGTTTTTCACTTTGCTGCAGCCTGGCCTTGATTATGGCTACCTATCGACGCCTCAGAAGCACGCGCGAAACCGCGAGGTGTTGCAGTCACGCGGGAAAGGGCTCGGCGGATCCAGTGCAGTAAACTTCCAGGCTTGGTCACTGGGCGCAAGAGAGGAGTTTGATGCATGGGCGGAGGAGGCAGGGGATGAGGCTTGGGGGTTTGAGAGCATTATTCAGAGAATCAAGCAGGTATGGAGATGCTCTCTGAAAATTACACTCGTCCAAGACGGGAGATTTCTGACCCGTGAAAAGCTGGAAAACTTGCACCTCGAGGGAGTGACAGAGGAGTGGGACGAATATATCAAACCAGGGCCTGAAAGCCACGGCTTTTCGGGGTGAGTAAAGCATCGCTTAGTGAGTTACAACAGGCTGACTGGAAAGGCCCATTGATGTCTCCATCGGATACGTGGAGCGTGAGACGAAGTCTTTCATCGATGCTGGTGAAGACTTGGGGGTAAGTTGGGCTGCCGAGAGAAAGAATGCTTATTGATGCGGGAACAGCATAGAAGGAACCTGGACGCAAATAGTGGTGATCTCATTGGATTCTCACTAAACCCAGTTACTAGTCTCAACAGCGTGCGAACCACGAGCGCTTCAGCATTCCTCGAGAAAGATGTACCGCCAAACTTACACATCCTCACGGAAACCCGTATCGTCAAGATCCTGTTCGAGAACAAACAAGCCGTTGGCGTTTTGAAGGAAGACGGGACTGAAAGTGAGCATATGAAGATGGTTCCAGGGATGTGCTGAATCTTCTAACGCCTATCGCTGCCAGTACGCGCGAAGAAGGAGGTCATAGTTTCCGCCGGCGCCATAGATACCCCTCGCCTTTTGCTCCTTTCTGGCGTCGGGCCCAGGTCAGAACTGGAAGACCTCGGAATCGAGGTAGTCAAGGACCTCGAAGGTGTTGGAAAATCCTTTACAGACCACCCCATGGTCGTCGTCTGCTTCCAGATGAAGCCTGGATTCACCGACAGAATGCAGCTAGCTGATCCCGAAAAGTACCAGGAGGCCGTCAAGCAGTTCACTGAGACCGGAACGGGACCTCTCCTACGACACTTTTCATCTATTCCCCATGCTTTTCTCAAGAACGATCGAGCTTACAAGACGCCTGAGTTTCAACAGCTGCCAGAAGAGACGAAGGAGTTCTTACTGAAACCTGGCGTTCCAAGTTATGAGCTTGTAGTAAGTCACCCTACTAGGCATGTGCCAAATTATGTTTAATCAGAGGTTTTTTTTTTTTTGCTGCAGAATGGACCTTTGATCCCACCAACCCATAAGTTCGAGTCACCGGATGATGGGTTCTTTTCCATCTTTGTGGCAACCATGAACTCGATATCCCGCGGACAAGTCAAACTGACATCTTCTGATCCCAACGATCCACCTTCAATTGATCCGAGATATCTTAACCATCCTTTCGATTTAGTTAATCTAAAGGAAGGCCTGCGTGAGGCTCTCAATCTGATGCAGACCCCGACCATGAAGGAGCACTTTGTTGCGCCTGTTTTTGCACCAAAGTCTTCAAATGATGATGATCTTGTTGTAAGTTAATGGGCAACTTTTAGTATATTCCTGATGATTTTGTAATCGCAATTACTTACTCTTATTCAGGAGTTTATCGAGGAGAGTGTGGCCGGCTTGTGGCATCCTTCGTGCAGTGTAAAGATGGGGAAGAGTGAGATGGATGGTAGCTGCGTTGACAGTGATCTAAAGGTCCACGGCATCGGTGGGCTGAGAGTTGCTGACCTGAGCGTCACACCAATTCTCCCCAGGTACGTCTGCCCTATCCTATCATTGGAGCGTGAGATAAGTAACACAACTAACGTGCAATAGTGGCCGTAAGTGCAAGCTCAATCAGGACCACCCGCCTTCATTGAGTTCGACATGCGCGACTGTACATTTTAATGCTAATCCATTTGCAGATCCCCAAATTATTGCATATGCTATCGGGCAGGTTGCAGCCGAGAAGATCGCGCAGGACCATAAGCTTTGACAAAATACAATAGGTATTCAGGACATGCACGTTTGTGATGGTTTGTTTCTTGGTCACTCAACTTGACGCTATGTACTTGCGAATTATTTAGTGTATATGCTGTATTGGCTTTAAATAAATAAATGGCACTCATACTTTCTCAAAGTTAGCTGTGATGTAGTTGTGGGCTAATAAGTTGTGTATTATGGAAAGGTCTGTTAGGCATGTATTCTCACATGGAACCCAGCTGGTATTGGGGCAGCTTAGAGATACCTCGAAAACCTCTCAGCTTCTATTGGTGGGAAGCTGCTCTCTGAAAGTCGGTCGTGTATAAGCTGTTCCAACATAAAACAACGATTCTCAGATGGTTAATGACAGGAGACCAGTGCCAGCCTCCCTTGGCCGCTCTTCTTCTCGTCCGGAGATGTTGATATGATGCCCTGATCCCGCCTCGCCACCCCAAATAGTGAGACTCCTAACAATCTAAGAAACAAAAAGCGATTCCCCTGCAAATTTCCATTAGCACAATGCAAATAATCTGCGTAACTCATTGCAATGCCTACCATACATTTCAGCATCCTAGGGGAAAGGCCTGGATAGTGTCGGTGCATCCGCTTCCTACCAGGGAGCCTCCATTGAACTCGGCAGGGCACCGGCACTTTGTCCAACAGTTATTAGCACACTTTTGGCCATTGTTGTAGCTGCAATTGATCCAAAACCCTGCGCAAAACCGTGCCGTAACAGCCTCGAAAAGCAAGATCGAGGCAAGCATCAACATCTTGGGCTGCATGATTGACACCTTCATCTTGTAGGCGCAAGGTTATTTGATTGATCAGATTTCTTGAAGTGAAATTGGAAATGTTGAGAACTGAATGATCTTCTCTGGTGAGAGCAAGACTCTGGAACTCGTTTTACAATAAATAGTTACATGAAAGCCCCGTGTTTGCAATTGAAGGCCTTGTTATAGAGTCCCATTTCAGGATAGACTTTTATGTCAACAGTAAGATCAGCAGCGTCTCCCCAATAATTATTCGTCATATAGTAGACCCCATCGGACTAGTTGCAACCTGACCCGACCTATGCCTCTTTTCTGACCCAAGGCATATAGATGTACCCTCCATACTTTCCGAATTTGGAAAAGTACGGCATATCTATATCCCAGACTAGCAAACTGGGGCTAGGCAAGATCAGCTGGGACGTGATCTTTTTCTGAGCCTTTTCTGAGATAGATTCAACGCAGAACACACGTAGTGTTACAAGTTTTGCCTACCTTTGTATCGGAGTGCTCACTAGTAGGATGAAGTGTTATAAACCTGCAGAGGCTGTAGTACAATTAAGTTGACCTAATCAATAAAGTGCAGCTTAGAAAGACTTAAAAACGAGGAGGCTATAGTAAAAGCGAAAAATAGTTCTAGTTAGCCAGTTGGCTCGGGCAGCCCAGCGAATGCTCAGCGGCAATAGGAACGTCGAGTCATAGATCCGCTGAGTGATTTCACTTCCAATAACTCTAAAACATAACATAATTAATTGATTCGGCCCCTATAATTCATTAATATGTTGTCATCAGACACTTTTGGGGTACTAGAGGCCCCGCCGACGTTTTGGGTTTCCCAAAATCTTCAATTATAGAAAGTTTCTGTCTTCAAGCTCATTCGGGACGACGATCAATTGTATATGCGCAGTCAAGAAGGTTGCCTTGCCATCCCAGCAGCATCAATCTCGTTACCAAAGTTAGAACAATCCCCTTTGATAAGCTAAATTCTTTTCCTTTAATAAAATTACTCTTGGATAAGCATTTGTGGTCTTGGAGGGGGACTGTTTGATTCCGAAGGGATACACCGCTGTTTCCTACCGTAGTTCACATAACTATAAACAAACTCTATCCATCTGTAAGTAGAATTGCAGCGCAATGCTTGCGCCTCTCGTCGTTATTACCTTTTTTGTCGACAATGGACAACATTTACATCATGAAGCCAGCCCCAAGAGATGCTGTTCGGTATGCTGATGTTTAGTTACCTTTGTTGGACAGAAGGCGAATGGATTGAAAGCTTTTATGCTGCATATCTCTTCATCTAACACGTATCGACCCTTGTGTTGACTTGACGTAGCAGAACTGGACTCCAGTTCCCTGGCACGGCCCTCGCCCCTAGGGGATGCACCACTGTACTGAGCCAAACTGCTTGGTACAACACCGACCTGCGATGTGATTTTTGTGATCAACTGAGGAAGTCAAGAATTACTACAGAAATCCAGAAAGGGTACATACAGTACATTGAGCGGGAAGATGAGGGTAAGGCTAAGAGCGACCGGTTACCGATAGATGGGTTCGATGCCATATTTGGAATACTTCTAATCACGCTAGGCACCTCAGACCTGAGTACCACACAGGCTGCACTATGGCTTAAACGGAGGGTGTCAAACTTGCCATCAAATGTAGGATACCAACTTGTCGTAGCCAGCACCAGCGGAGCTTAGCCTCGGAGTTGAACTTGACACCTTCCAAGGACATCGCAACAGTGCTCGATACGGGGGTCAACGGTGGCGACTGCGTGATCACCGGAGCAAGCAGCCGTAGATTTGTAGAGATCACACGTTTGAAGCGATCTTAGATGCTTTGCAGGAGCCCGAGGCACATGCATTCCCGGCTTTATGCAATGCGCCTTTGTAAGGTAACTCTACAAAGGGCAACAGTAACATATAGTTGCTCATATAGGAGTAACATGACAAACACGCGTGAACTATATGCTGCCTTCGCGACAGCTGTTAAATTATACACCTTGAAATAGAAATAGAAGCTTTTAAAAAATCGAGGCAACCAAGATTTCATCTCCCACACCTTTGCCTTGGCCTCAAATGAGATACCTGAAACCCTTGCCCACAACATTGACGTGGCCAGCAGCTTCAGCCTCCCGCTCTTTCAACTCCAGCTTTCGGTTCTCCCTCTTCAGCACAAAGTGCAGTAGCGTACTCGCAAGAATGGCCATCAGCGCCATTGCCGCATTCACGCTGAAAGCCAACACGAAGCGAGGAGCAGCATCATTCGGGTACAGGTATGAGCCGTAAATGCTAGCCAACGTGGAGCAAGCGTTGTTGAACGCTACTGCAGCTGCACGTTTGGCGGCCGGCCGGTACATGGTGTTGGCAGTCCATACCATTGACATGTTAAAGCCCGTGTAGATCCCTGGCAACATGACCATGGCGCCAAAGTATCGTGGTCCTATACCTGTCGCGGCGCTGGAGACGATGAACCCGACAAGGGCGCACGACAGCGGCCCAACGGTATGCCAAAATCTCTCATTTGTTCGATCTGCATTCTACGACACTCCCGCACATGCGATGCAAGCGAGGAGATAGGGAGGTGATGTAAGAAGTAGTGTCGTAATGCGATCTTTTCCGAGACTGCCCACGACAGTTGGAAAGAAACTGTTGATGGAAATGGAGCTCGCTGCGCCGTAAACAACAACAACAAGAATCCAGTTGATAGGATCGACTATGATCATCTTGAACCCGGCTAATAAGGGTTGCGCAGATGAAGAAGTCCAGTCCTCCTCGCCAGCGGCATCGGCCTCCATACGCCACATCGCCATCTGCCGCTCCTGTTCAGTCAGCCACTTCGTGTTTGCAGGGAAGTCAGGAAGGACGAAGTAGGCGCCGATAGCAATAACTACAGTTAAAGAACCCTCGATGATGAAGAGCCAGCGCCAGGCGAGCAGCCCACCGAGGCCATCCATGCCGTTTGTTATGCCTGCCGCAATAAGGCCCGAGAATGCACCGGAGAGCATGGAGCCGCTGTAGAAGATACCAGTGCGAACACCGAGTTCTTTGCGAACATACCAAGCACTAAGTGTTGCAAGGCATCCTATTTATGATACGCGTTAGAGATGCCAAGTTCACGACCGGGTATCGACATTGGAGAAATCTTGCCTGGGTAGAAGGCTGCTTCTACAAATCCAAGGAGGAATCGTGTTGCCAAAAGACCGCCATAATTTTGAGCCGCACCACTACAAGCGCACAATACCCCCTGTGCAATTATCAGTCAATGTTATATAGGCGTTGGTTCGCACGTGGTTACACAGCATGCGATTCGACCGAGTCGCCATCACGTTACAACCATGTAATGCGGCCCAACAGGCGCATAGGGATGTGCCGAGCAAACAACATGATTGACGAGTGCTTGACTTTTCTCACTTACCCAAACTGCCATGCATCCCGTCAAGTACATGGCAGGACGTCCGATCTTGTTGAGGAATAGGTTTGAGGGTACCTGCATGAGTGTATCCGACGAAAAGGATCGATACACAAGTCTGTCATAAAAAAAATGTTAGGCGTTTGTTATTCCACTTTGACAAGAATCAGCTTACCTGGAACTCATTGCCCGTCAAACCAAGGTCTTCTTCCAATCCACCCAATCTGGCGGACCCAATGGCATTTCTGCTGCTTGTTTAGCCTCTTTTTTTCTAGATATGATGAAGTCGAAAAGATCTAACCTGTCGAGATAATTCATGATGTATATGAGAATCATGGTTGGCAGCATTCGATAGTCAACCTTTGTGATTGTTAGAGTGCTGGTGTGATTTTTACAGAAATGACCAACTTTTCGGATTAAGCTTTTCTCGAGAGCTTTGAACTCTTCCTCCGAGAGATCTCTCAGTAGTTCTGGCAACTGCCTTGTCTGCCATTCTGTGCTTTGTCCTTCGAGACTGGTCTTGTTATCGTCTGTGGTTTGGTGTTGCTTATGCGAATCAGCGTCGGTCGAGCCTTTCTTGTCGTTCACCATCTTGTCAATCAAACCAGGTGATGCAACTATAATTGTCTTGAATCTAAGAGACAAAGAATTTCAGTTCCAGACGAACTTCTGGATTATATATGCGACATGGTAATAAACCCGGAAGTGTTCTTACGCCCATCGGACTTGATCTACCCTCTGCTTCTTCAGGCTAACAATACCCCGCGAAAATGCCCAGCCCAGTCCGGAGGCCTGTAGTATAGAGGCAGATGTATGATTGATGTGTAAGTTCAAGTTAGAATCCCCCATCCAACCGGCGATAGCGCTATCTTTTCTCGAGATAAGTCTCGATAACCAAGAGGAAGACAAAGCAGATGTAACGTACTCCACTCCGATGTCAACCCCCAGATTCGTCCACTGGGTGCTAAGTATCGGTTGTTAATGCACGGATGCCGGTGGGTCTGCTGGATTCATAGGATTGCGGGGGTGGTGGGTTTGAATCAGGGAATGCGTTACTTATCAATCGGCCGCTAGAGCATGAGAAACCGAAGCAGAAGCGGGCCTTGTCCCTCTTTATCTTTTTCAGACAATGTTTGCTTCCGTTCGGTCAGTTCAAGCCGAAAGTCTGGGCAAGCAAAATTCACGGAGCCTGAACCCGGATACCCGGCGGCAATGTCACTTGTCTGTTGGCCTATCTCTGACCAGGGGCCCTGTTCCAACCAATGTGCAAGTCGTTGGGTTAACTGTCACAATGCCCGGCTTGAGTGCCGCACATCAATATGAGTCGGTCACCAATGTACGCTGTATCCATTCATGTAGGCTGGATCGTGGTCGTCTTAGCTCACCCCATAAACGCGGGGAAACCTGTCCGTCACATACCGATTCGTGCGGCGTGGCAACAGTCCCTAAGGAGTTGTTCGGCTTCACGGTCGGTCGAAATTGCGTTGTGAGCCGAATGACGCTTGTGGCTTGTGGTTATAAGATTCCAATCTGATGATTCAAAATGGGCGGCTTGAAGCAAACGCAGCAAGAAAGTCAAAATTGGTACTATCTACACATAAGGTTTAACATACCTTGTCATTTCGTCCTCTATTTTTCATCCAAATTATTCAACTACTGTGCTGCCGTCAGTATCAAGCAACATGGCTAAACCCTCCGTTTTGATCGTTGGCGGTGGCGTCTTCGGCACGTCTACCGCTTATCACCTTTCCCTGCGCGGGTACAGCTCCATTACAGTTCTCGATCGTTTTGATGCCCCATCCAAAGATTCAGCCGCAACTGACCTAAACAAAGTTGTGCGCGCCGACTATCCAAACCCATTATACGCAAAACTCGGTGAAGAGACCATGCGTGAGTGGACTAATCCAAGCTCCCTCTTTGCCGGTATGTATCAGGAGACTGGCTGGATCATGGGAGGCCATAGCATGACGCGAAGTTGGCTCAACAGTGCGGTTGAGACAGCCAAGAAAGCTGGTCGTCAAGGTGTCAAATTCATGACGGCCGATGAAATGAAGGAGAAGTGGCCTGCGCTGACAGGTGACTTTCCGGACTGGACTAACCTTTGGAGTCCTGCTGCTGGTTGGGTTGGTCTTTTTATCCTGCTAGAAATTTCTATATCTGCTAACAAATTACTTCCTTGTTTAGGTGCCATCGGCTCAAGCGCTTTTGAGAATGGCCAACGCTGCCAAAGCACAGGGTGTCAAGTATGTCAGTGGAGATGCCGGCCACATTAAAAAGTTATTATATGATAGCGATGGAACCTGCAAGGGCGCTGTCGCTGCTGATGGCACTCTCTACACAGCTGACATTGTCGTGCTCGCCACTGGCGCGAACACGGCGTCGCTCGTTGAAGCCAAGAGGGAGATTGTGGCACAGACATCAGTTATCTGTGTCATGAAGCTTGAACCACACGAGGTCGAAAAGTACAAGGACATTCCCATCATCGACGATTTCGAACAAGGTAACTTGATCCCGCCCTAATAAGACAACGCAGTTGATGATAATGCATGCTTACCAGGATCAAAGGCATCATCTTTCCGCCAGATGAGAATGGCTTGATCAAGCTCTGTAGTGTACGACTACTCACCAACTACCGCAATAAGTCTGTCGCTGGGGCCTCTGTTCTGCACTCCTTAGGAGACTATCCCGACGATGGATGCCCAAAGGAGATTGAGGATGAGATGCGGTCATTTGTACGGGAAATGATACCAGAGCTGGCAGATAGGCCATTCATCTCAACCAAGCTTTGTTGGTATGTTTGCAAAAAGTCCAATTACCCTTATTCAAATGAGTCTCTTTCTATGATGCGGCGACATCACATGCACGGCAACTGCTAATCTCAACTAGGGATGGTATGGCGACGGACCTTAACTTCAGAATCTGCCCTTATCCCAACACTAAGAACTTATTCGTTGCCACAGTCGGGTCGAATCACGGTTTTAAGTTTTTGCCAGTCATCGGGAAATACGTCGCTGACATGCTCGAGGGTAAACTGGGCAAGGAGTGGCAGGACTTATGGGCTTGGAAGAATGGAAGGATTCCTGAAGGCACACAAGATCCCCATCCGTGGCCCCTCCGGGACCTTTCAGACCTTTCCGGTTGGCGCGGGAGAAATGCACCCGGGGCTGGCAAGCTGCCATGGACTTGGAGTCGTCTATGATTATTGATGTGAGCTATACACGATGTAGCTATACAACATATGTTGACATGAGTTGACTCTTTCGAGTTTACTACCAAGTACCTTATTACAACTTGGTCTACACATGCAGTTGCTAGGTAGTTAAAAGGATACAATGATTGATGTAAGGTTGTTTGCTTCTCAGTTTGAATAGAAAACAGCTCGTTTAACAAGATATTATCCGCAAAGCCACGTAGAATGAAATGCCGATTACCCCAACTTCTTAAGACCCTAGCCCCTGCATTAGCAACGACTCGCAATAGATCAAACGTGTGCAACACCGTCCCTAAAAGATACCCACCCTCTAGCGCTTTAAACCGGTGCAAGTGCCCCGCTTGGCGACACTATCTGCTTGTACAACCTGACTTGCCAGTTCCTTAAATGCGCAGCACAATGCCCGTTAATAGGAGACGCGTCTGCACACACTTTGTGCAGTGTCAACTCTTTTCCGATTCCCAACAGTCTGGGCCTGCTTGTCTACGGTGTCGCCCAACGCCTCCAATAGAGACGATTATCTGCAATATTACCTCGTTCAACAAAGACCTCGGAACATCTTGTGTCACCTCAAAAGACCCAATTAAGCAAGTCTGTGGTTATGGGCAGAACTTCCAAGGGCCGAAGTGCCATGGCTTGCAAAGCATGCCATGCACAAAAGTTGAAATGCAACGGCGGTATGTGAGCCATATCGCCGACCGTGCCCGAATTGACTGATTAATCGAGGGTTTTAAGGCACACCATGCGAACGCTGCCAGTTACGTCGTAAAGAATGTGTTTATCCCGTCAGAGATAAATTCATACACGTCCCAGAGAGCTATTTGCGTCACTTGGAGAGGGCACAGCGAGGAGCAGCCATAGCGCCTTCAAGCCCGGGCCTTCTTCCAGAGCCAGTCCATAGGGAGAGTCATAATTTCGCATCTCCAATATCTCCAGAAAAGCGTAGTCGAGCAGTCAAGGAGGAACTCCTAGAAGACTGTAGTCCGGAGTTTTTCGTTCGGAGGTTGAAACAATTATCCTGGGCAAACACACACACTGATGGCGAGTTCAAAACCTCTGCCACCGCCGTTTCCGAGAGTTACACATACTCCCGTTTGGATTTCGACTTTCTGCGTAAGTCAAGTCATGTGCAATATGTTGTGTAACTGAGAACTAACAGGCACCCTCAGAACCCGAGGTCTCGTTCCGACTTCCGCCTCGGCCATATGCTTTTCTCTTATTGAAAGCTTTTGAAGAAGGATTTAGCGAATATCACTGGTTCCGTCGAAAGAGATTTCAAGAACGCCTAATACTGACCTACTCTGATCCAGACTCTCAGTCTCACGATCGCAACTGGTTGTGCAGAGTCTCCGTGGTACTGGCGTTAGCAGAGAGCTTCAACCGGTCGCGAATGACTTCATCAACCCATTTGAAAGTCGCAGGGCAACAGCCGTCAAGCAACGCAGGAATATCGGCTACCCTCGATTCTGTGTCGCCTCCTCTCTTCGACTTGGCTCATCCATCGCAGTCCCTCCCACTGCCTCCCGGGTCTGATTTCTTTGATCAAGGCTTGAAGCTGCTAAAAATGTCGCATGAAGAACCAGTACCGGAGGATGTTGAAGCATTGAATTTGATTGTGAGTTACATGGGAAGCACTCGAGGTGGATACGCCAGTTGACAGACGTACAGGCATTCTACTGTTACTCACTGAACCGACGCAAGACAGCATACTCGTACGCCAGCCAGAGCGTCGCACTAGCTAAGCTCCTGCAACTACACAAACCTCGCGCGTTGCCAGAATCCACGACGGAACGTGAAAGCGTCTGCATGGAAAATGAACATAGAAAAAGGCTGTGGTGGACATCCTATTGCATGGATCGAATGATTAGTCTAGAACTGGGTGTTACTCCGACACTTGCATCCGTACCTGAGGGAATGAAGCTTCCCAGCTCCTTTGGTCTCACTCCTGAGCAGTCGGAAGAGTTCTCAGATCCTAGCCTGTTGACTGCATCCATTCAGCTCTGCGAGATTAAACGTAACGTTATTGTGACTGCTGCACAGCATGGCGACATTGACGATGAGAAGCGCTTAGATGCTATTAAGCCTTGTATCGACATGTTGCAGCAGTGGAGGGCTGGCTTGCCACAGGCCATGGCCTTTAGTTTTGATGATGACCTGCCAACGAGGCTGATGGAGGCCCAGTATGGCCGAATACTAGCGTCTATTTACCTAAGATACCATCAGGTGAGAAGATTGTTCTTTTTTTCGGTTCTCGGGTCTCTGGTTAACTAGCTTTCATAGTGTTATATTCTGCTCCTCAGACCGCTATATCTTCAGAAACTTTCATCGATATTACAGCAGCGGCGGATGAGCATTCAACAATTCAATAGTAGTCGCCATATAGTCCCATCGGTAGCAGTAGAAGATGACCCTATGAATGCTGTCAAAATTCAATGCCTTCAAGCAGCACGCAATAACTGCAAGATTCTACTTGGCCTCTGGAACTATGACAAGATTGGTAAGTTCTTTCTAACAATAATCAACTTGGCATACGTGCGTAGCTGATTTGTAATTCTACAACAGCAAAATTCGGCTATTGGGAGTCGCTCCATCTTTTCTCGGGCTTGGCTATTCTTGTCTTAGCCCGCGTGTCCGTTGATCGGACAGAACAACTCTTCCCTCCTGCTGAAGATGACACGGCACTATACACTAGAACAAGAGCCCTTCTCAGTGAAATGGCCTGTGTCGGAAACCCAGCAGCGAAAGATCACGATGCTTTGCTATCCGATGTTGAGGCAATGGTGAAGAGAGTCTCAGAAGAGGAGAAGTCGACGTCTCAGGTAATCGTGGGGACCGAGGACATGAATGTGTCTCTGAACTTTCCGGAACTTAATTTTGCGGACCTGGACAGCGAGCAGAGTATATGGTGTGATGCAGATTGGGAAAGCATACTGAGTACATACACCCAAGGCATATAGTCTGTAGTCTCCCATTCAGTGTGGTGAAATTGAAAGACCAGTCGATATTCTCTTCGGCTATGCCACGGACTTTATCCCCGCTCCGACCATCAAATCGGGAGGAACTGTGTACCAAAGGCAACTTATAGCTTGTCTACCGTGGATAAGAGCTACATGGTAGTGGTCTAGCCAATGCTCTCTGCAGGCAATAAGCCCGGCCATATTGTCATTCTTGTAGGCTAAAATCAACCCGCACGATTCGGAACACTGCTCCGCACTTCTCGGTTGGTAAATAGCAAATTATTTATTACAATGCAGTTCTCATACGCAGAATGTCAGGACCTAGCGAAATTGATCTGTTCAGCTGAGACCGATATTGGCTCAACGCAACTTCCCACATGGCCTAGACACATTCGGGGAGTAATAGCCTCGGCCTCCGTCCGAGATGACGCGACTCTGTCAAAAGCTTGTATGGACTTCAATCAGACTTTAATTGGACTGTGGCGAGGCATGAGATCGTGTAAATTAATGAAAATCTGACTGATGCCACTGGCGATATTAAACAAGGCCCAGGCACTCTGTGGCACCACACCTGGGAGTCCAGCTGAGACGTCTGAAACTATACCATCATGCATGCAAGTTGCAGAGAACCAAGGTCTATGGGGCCATAGGAGTCAACTTGGACATGTCTAATTCGCTCCGTTACCGGAAGATCCTGCTGAATGGAAGCAAACACATCTCTTAATTATAAAAGGAAAGCTGTATCCAGCTGTCAGGCATCCACTCGTTCTTCCATCATCATACTTCAACTATACATCTGAGTTCCCCATCAGATCATTGACATCATGTTATCGAAACTTTGCCTTTTGGCGTGCCTAGCAGTGTAAGTAAGTAGGAACGCAGAATGTGATTAGTGCTAAGTCAAGTTTCGTTCTCAGTGGAGGTCTAGGGGCTCCTCAGCGTCCTATTACCTTGACGCCCATCACAATTACGAAATCTTCCAGAGGTGGTTTTCCAGACTGGCCTTCCTTTACACCTGACCCTCCAGAGGAACCCTCAACTACTACACCCCTATTGATTACATCAAGCTCCAAACCAGTCGTAACAACCACTTCGTCGGTAAGCACGCGAGATGGTCCAGGTCCGAGCACATCCGCCCCTGCGAGAACGACGACGAAGGCCCAGCCGCCGGCAAATTGCCCAGCTGCAACTGCTACAGGAACGGCATGCAAGACCTGTTTTGTGCCTCAATGCACGGCCAAGGAGACATTGACGCAACAGTGCGGGTGCCCCAACGCTATTCCGACAGTCACCACCAACTTTCCATGCAATGATCCTGGCGTTTGCAACAAGATTGGATGCAGAACTATTTATCAGACTGTAACGCAAAACTGTTAACGGATTCGAGAAAGATTGCTTCTAGAATGCAGCTACGAGTATACAAATCACATTGAAATCACAACTTTGAAATTGCAGTATGAGCTCTTGGTAGTTTTCATGTGTCTTCTGTCATTGAAGACTTTGTGATGTCATTGACAGCTTGGTATCGACCTCGTTACATTACTTGTTCACGGTACTATGTGCCGACACATGTAAGCGCTAAATCATCCTCGCCTCCTTGCGTCCATTATCAACAAAATAAAACTCTCTGGATATATCCATGTATACGAGCTCCCATTACCCGCTTAGTAAACGTAGAAGTTGGTAGCGGTGGGGTCCTCCCTTTTCTTCTTGTTGTTCATCCGGATAAGCATGAACTTCATGAACCAAGCGCAGGCAACAACGCCAAGGGAGAAGCCAATGCTAGCACACATGGCGGTGAGATAACGAGGCTCATCAGAGCTGGGCCAGAGGTAAGGGGTGTAGATACTAGCGGCGTTTCCAAGGGTGTTAGCCATGGCAATTGCGACGGCCTTCTTCTCGTCGGTCTGGCCGAGAACCGAAGATGTCCAGCCGAGAATGAGGTTGTTCACGCCGTAGGTGGCACCAACGAAGAGCATGATACCAGTGTAGCGGACACCCATGTTGAGGGAGGCGACAGACATGACAAAACCAACACAGACGATGAGCTTGCTGATGGTGATATGCCACGTGCGCTCGTTGTACTTTCCAGACGACCAGGGAACCAAGACGGAGAAGAAGGCGGAGAAGACGTAAGGCGGGCAGGTGAGGACGAGGGTGATGGTGGTGTTGAACTTGAGGGTCTTGACGACGCTGGGGAGGAAGTTCTTGAAGCCGTTGGCAGACAAGTGGAGGTTGTCCATGAGGCAGAAGACCCAGGTGCGCCAGTCCGTGCATGCCTCGCGCAGACCAGTCCAGACGGAGGTTCCCTCCCGACGGTCAGTAGTGTCGTTGTAGATTCGGGTGTGGGCGAGCTGGCGCTCCTCCTCGGTCAACCAACGAGTCTTGAGGGGGCTGTCGGGCAGGAGGAAGAATGCGAAGAAGGCTACGAGGATGGAGGCGGCGCCCTGGATGATGAAAAGCCTGGAAAAAGCCAAGATTAGCAAACGCTTTGATCATGTAGGTACCGTAATAACCGTAGTCTTTGGAGCTTTCGTTAGGAGATGACTAACCATTGCCAGCCGTAAAGACCTCGCACGCCGTGCAATTCGGAAAAGATGGGGGCGGCGATGAGACCAGAGAAAGCACTGGCAGCCATGTTTCCGGTGTAGAAGACAGCCATGCGGCTGGAAATCTCCTTGCGAGTGTAAAACATGGAGAGCATGTACAAGGCACCGGGGTAGAACTAGTTTGGTAGGTCAGGCCATGCAATGGATTACAGACATTAGATGAGGGTAACTCACGGGAGCTTCGGTGATTCCAAGGAGGAAACGGCACACCACCATCGTGGCGAAGTCGTGGCACTTGTAGGTCAACAAACTGACGACAGACCAGGCCATCATGAAGCCAGCCATGTACCAAGAAGGGCGGACTCTGTTGAGAATCATGTTGGAGGGAACTTGGCCACAGAGGTAACTTTGAGGGATTAGCTGAATATTCGCAGAATGATTGCTTTAAAATGATGGGCGCCTACCCGACGAAAAGAATGGAGACACAGGTGTTATACTGTTGTCCCTTGAGACCCAGGTGCTTATCAAGATTGTTGAGCTTTCCGTTAATCATCGCGTTTCGGTCCAGGAAGTTGAGGAAGTACATAACCCAGAGAATGGGCTGTCCAAAGTGCTTTGTCAGCGTAGCTCTTCAAGTTCAATTGCCACAATGTCGAGTGCCATACCAGAATGTACCAGTCAAGCTTCTTCACTAGCGCAATCTCCTTTGGGTCGGTTTTCTTGTGAGCTCCGAACTCGTCCACCTTCTCGATGACGGGCTGCTTCATGAGCGCCGGGTCGTCCGCTGTGAAGACATGCTCCATCTGGTTGACACCGGCCTTGTCCTGAGGCGACTCGGGCCTGTCGGTTTCGTTTTTGGCAGCCATTTTGACTTCGTCGGCCTTGTTCTACAGCCGTTCAAAGAAAAGATAGAAGTCTGATGTATGAAATGGAGAGAAGCAAGCCCGGACAAGATTCCAGCCGTTACTTTCACAAGGTTGATGACGGCGGGTTTTCCCTGAATTCGCAGGTTGCAGACTGAGATGTAGTAACTTATAGCTGAGGGAGCTCAGATATATATCCTCATCTCTAATTGACCTTATCCTTACCAGCCCCCATCTTCTCCTACAGTTCGCAGCCATCTAGCCGGGTCTCAAAGGCGGAGTTTGGTAGGCCTAATTGGTGGAGAAGAGGAGTCTCCCCATGGGGTAGATGGGGTACAACGGCTTTTCCGCGAGTGCGGAGTGCGGGGAAGGGGAAGCAGCCAAGACTCTTAAAAAGGCGTTGACATCCTGAACTAGAGCCAGAGCCTGAGGTGCATCTTTTAGTCTCATTAAAGTCTGGGCAGTCAGGGTCTACTACCGGAGCCTGGCGTCGAACGGTTCTAGCCATTCGTAAAGACACAACACAGTCTGAGCCGGCGCGCGCTGCGACATCTGATCTATATCCATCTCTTTACTTCATGGGCCATGATTCTCTTACACATTTTCTACTGTTAAAATCTTCCCGAACTCGATATTCAAATGACTCTCACATACTTGTTACCCTCAACTCCGGGTTTGCCAACGCCTTGGCCTACACATTTTCCCCTCTCTTGGATTACTTAGTATGATGTTGCAAGCCGTTGCGGTACGCGCGCAAGAGATACGGGTGGCGCAGCGCCATGATGTCCCCCTGTCGGTACATACCACTCCAAGTACGAGAATGCTTGGCGGTGATGGCGTCCCTTCACCAGTTTTTCATCACACCCCCGTTGGCGTTGTGCCGGTGCGCCAAGGTCGACACGGAAAAGACAAACGGAAAACATGTTTTCAAACGGATATGTTGAGAATTCGTCTTCCTCTCAATTTATTGGCAGCGTCGATCATCAGCCACACCAAGGGAAACACCTGCAGATGAGCTTATTTGAATGGCCTTGGTTGCCTGTCGGAAAACCGCAGGATGACTTGGACGCTACAAATAAAAACAAAAAGAATGGGAATGCTCCGTACATCCCCAGCAGTTTCCAACTTACCCGCTCATCAAAGATCATGGTCATCTGCCATGCAGGTTCCCCAATGGCGCTTGAACATTTCTGACCTTTTGTGTAAAGGCATGCAGATTGCTGACCCACGGTAAATGCTCCCCTTCAGCATCCTGCACGCCGCATTCCCAACCATGACTCCTCCTCCCTCGGGCGGAGTGCCGCTCAACCATACAGATGCCCTGCCCATTGTGGGTATGAGCGTAACTACGCATGCGTAGAGATAACTTTGAGTTGTTAGCTCCAGATCTTATAAAAAAAAAACGGACACCAGTTGTTTTGGCCTGCATGTGTGCCTTGACTCCAGTGCAAGTTGCGAGGGTGTTTGTTCAGTGGAGTTTGTTTGAGGTGCATATGAAATACCCCCTCACCGACCTCCTCACTACCAGGGTTACAACGCGAAGTGACATGGCATGCTTGTCCATTCAGGATTGGTCCCCAGCAGGTGTTAGTCACCGCCTGTCGGTTGTTTTCCCCGAACCTGGGGGGTTCGCTTCAGGCGCTGCTGTGCAGCGATAATCTCTCTTTGGAGGTGCTCCTTTGTTGGGCCGAGGAGGTATCTGAACCCCGGCCATCATTTGAAGGTGGGGGAGATGTCCCCAGGGGACATAGATCTGCGTTCGGCTTAATGGTCAAGTCAGGACACGGTCATTCCACGAGACATCATGCCATAGTGGTGCAGGTCGGTGTTGGACCGACAAGGATGTCGTTATGGCTCGCTGTTTTCCAGGTATTGGAGGCTGTTGCCAAGCAATGCAGATGTGCTTGCACTCATCTCTTGTGACCTCTTGGCTGGCTTGGGCATCTCCGTGAAGTCTTGAGCTTGGACATGGCCTCCCATGAGCCAGCCGCGTCTGCCATCTCATCCCACACCCATCTCGACGTCGCTGCCAAGAAGAGCTAGCTTAGCGGTCCCGAAGAGGCGGTAGTTACACACAGTCGAGCCAATGAGTTTCCAGGGTAAGAGGCTGCCACTTTACAGCTCCGAGTCGACAACGGCTAAGCACCTATTCCGGCCGATGTGGCTTCGGAAAAGTCACGTCCTCAGACAGAGGGAGCTTGTTGTTTCTTAATCGCCGTCGAAATTCGGACTTATCCTCCAGAGATGTCGACAGAATGACAGAGATATCGGACTTATCCACTGATTACATCCGCCATTCAATATATCGGCTAGACCTCGACATTTGGCCATTCCTTTACGTGTCAATCGGGCAATGGTAAATGATACTATTGCTTCTTAGACTCTGGATTGCCGCTTCTGTGCTGCGGGCGATGATTGCCTGCCTCAACATTCTTTCATCTCAACAAGTAGTCAGGTGGCACACCAGGCATTTAGTAACCAAAGAAAGAAAAGAACGATCATTAAGCAGACATCCAAATCATGTACGAGAGCCTTCTAAAGAATCACTGGATTTGATGCCTCGTGAGCCACGAAACGATTCATCTAAAGTGCCTCGAGGGAGTTCATTCGTTCGCTACTTTCTGAAGGGCTATGCTGTAGGGTTTAGAAGAGCATTAGGCGTGATAATGTATCCTCTAGTCTGTTTTATCCTTTCTGCTCTCCATGACCGTTTATTAGTGTTATCCTGGAACACCGTTTGTTGAAGTGGCTACGCTAGGTTCAGTGCGGTTCAAGCGAGGCATGGGTCATTCGGATCATTCTCGCCGAGCTCTAATACATTCAAAAGTAGCAATGATGGTAACGCATCTTCAAATACAGCTACTACCTAGATTGGACACTTTTGTCATGTATGTCCCACTTGAACCCCTTTCAAGAGGGTGCCACATTTGCGATACAGAGCGGCGTTCCAGGCCTAGTCAGCCGCTCAGTGAACCTGGAAGTGAACTACGCTTCATTCGTGGAAGAATGCAATATCTGAGTTGGTGGCGTTTTGGACTAATTAGAAGGAATGAAACATTGCTGAAGGTGAAGCTGTCCGCTTTGCGATTGGTTATACCATCATGGAAGTCGCGTGGCTCGTTGTGCCAGGATACATGTAGCATTTCGTGCCTCCACTGAAAAGGGGTGTGGTCTTGTTAATCACTCTGCTTTGAGAACTTCACAGCTTCCATCAATGTAACATCAGTCTCGCCCTCCATGAACGAGACAGCCCGGTAATCTGGTTGCATACTGAGTCTGGGTTGACCGAGTGGTGGGTCGATCTGTCACATTTGCATGCTACCTCTTTTATGCTTCCACCTTGGTCAACTTGCATACTGTTTTGGGTGCAACATTAATCATACCTTGCTACCACAGAATTTCCACATGGTAATGTACCGCAATCCGCCGTTGTTCCCTCCCACACTTGCATATGCGATGAACCAAAAAGGTTGAGACAGGGGACCCCGACCTGATGACTTTTCAGCAGCACTCCGCTCCCCAATGGCCGGAAACATCGCATTTCAAATAGCTGCTAGACAATAACTCTTTTGTGCCATCTTGGTCAAGGCTGTCTTCATCTTCAATACACTAAGATTACCAATATCAAATTCTGCTTAAAAGTAGGCTTTGCATATGCTCCTCGCCACCGCTTTCTTGTGAAGGGGGGAGTCAAAAATGTACACTTCCTCAGAAGAGACTTGTCAGTCATATTCACATGGAAGAGAAGTCTTATAACGGCTAGCGTGCCCCAGAAAAGTCTCAAGTAACTATTGACTCCTATTTTAGCAACCACGTTCCGGATTGCCCTTCATGTCACGTTCGCTTTTGCATCATTCTGGATCCTCAGTAGTCATGTCTGGCTATTTAACACAGTTGGACGGTGAAACTATTCAGAATCCCAGACAGCCGAAAAAGCAAGCGATATTTAATGTTTGGACTTCTTATTGTCCCTTATTGTACTTGCTGCTCCAATCATGTTTCCATTGGGCATGGTATGCAATAGCGGTGTGTACTTGGCATGAGAAAGGGTGGCCAAGCTGGGTAAAGTAAGCTAGAATCACCCTCCCAACTCGTTTCGTCTTCAATGATCAACCTTACACTAATTAAATTCATTTGGTAGTGTGCATATGGCATCCATCTGAAAGCGAACCCAACAGTGATCTCGATAGATACTTTCAATGTACGGATACTCTTCATGGTCATTAGTGAGAACGTGTCGCTTTCGACTCTCTGTAGCAATATACGGTCGTTTAAAGAACTTTCACGAATTTCGCCCACCCTTCCTCATTTTGCATTTTCTAGCGTGTGCTACAGATTTCACCCTGATGTCTGATTCGCGTTCATCTCAAAACTCAGCGACCTTATTCTGCTGTACCGGGTTGCTAGTTTATCAAATCTTTTATCATGCTGATTTGACTATCGTTTCTTTCACTTCCACCATGGTAAGGCAGAAAGAGAATCCAAGCACTACACGACGTTGCAGCGCCTCCACAACTTAATGGGCCACAACAAAATTCAAGTTTCATTGATGAACCCATTCAAATTTGCTTGTGAGATCAGCATTCTTCCATAAAAGCTCATAGATGACTCAGCATTAAACGATGATGGTTTCCGGTCTGAGGGCTGAAATACTTTACGTCACCGTGACCAGTACACCTGACGATCCACATTTCGATTTCTGGGAGCTGGCTATAATTAAGGCCTGCCAAAGGCCTTCAATCAGAGTTGGTTTTTCAATCCTGTCACAATCTCAAGATCCAAATTACATCATCAGATTATAATATTTTCACAATGGCTGCTGCTTCTTTCCGAGCTCTGCGTCTCACCCAACGCGCCCCTCAGGCGCTCTCACGTGCATCCGCACCTTCATCGCGTCTTTTCCCCAGCCAATCACGTATTGCATTACTCCAAAAACGCCTCCTCAACACCGATACTGCGCCAGTCCTCTACAGTGCTCATGCCAAGGTCATTGGTGCGAGAACAGGCCACGTCCAAGGCGATGATCTTGACATTGACCTCACCATGGCCAAGGCCCTCGGCGGCGCGGGTGACAAGGGCAAGACGAACCCAGAGGAGCTCTTCGCCGCGGGCTACGGCGCGTGTTTCCAAAGTGCCATGAATGCTTCGGCGACGAGTATGAAGATCCAGATGCCCAAGAAGCCCGAGGACTCCATCGTCGACACGACTGTTCACCTCGTGGGAGACATGAAGGGGCTCGACATGGGCATCCGCGTGGATATGAGGGTTCGCGTCAAGGGACTCAGCAACGAGGAGGTTCAAAAGGTTGTTGACAAGGCGAAGGAAGTCTGCCCGTACAGCCGGGCGACACAGGGTAACGTCACGACGAACATTGAGGTTGTCAAGTTTGATGAGTCTGGAAGCTCCGGAAGTTCATCGGGCTCTGAGAGTTCTGGTAGCTCTAAGAAGTCTGATGACCCCACGAAGATGTCGGGCGTGAAGCCAGAGGGACACAGCGACTATCAGTAAGTGGTAATTGCGAACAATTTAAAGTGTAAATAGAAGTGTAATATTAGACGAGGGTTTTCAAACCTCGATTCAATCACCAGGTCGCGTGGCCTCCACGGCGCAAATTCACAATGATAAAAACTTCGTTTCTGACAGTTGGCGTAGCGGTGATGGTATTTTAACAATAAGAAAAGCGGGACTGCCTCAAATAACCTCGCAACCTCACTTGTTATAACAGCCAAACCGCCTTTTCATTCCTTACGATGCTATTGACGGAACTCAGTCTCATTTACATACTTTCCAACGCCTCCAACTGCGCCTCACCATTATAATTTGAGACTTCCATTCTCTAGTGTATAGCTCATGAAAAAATCGTATCGACACTGGTAGCAATGCATGTCTTGATTCTTGCTGACAGCATTCCCTAGCCATTTTCTCATCATGGAGGAAGCACTTGACAGGCGACTATTCGAGTCGGCGGACCCCAACGGTTAGTAATCCGATGCAAATCTCTCCATGCAGAACTCGAGTCATCCTCCTCTTCATCGTTGGCTATGGTTGCTGAATGGGTTGCCCATGGATATGGGAGTTGAGGGTTAATTGGGGGCAGAGCAACAACTGGAGCCGAAGTCGGTTGCCTGGGGTTCTCAACACTACTAGTGGATGCCCATCCAGTTGCATTACTCGAATTTTCAACTCGTAATATTGGAGGAGCATTGTTGTAATTAATGGTTTGTTGTCTAGGGAGAGTAGAATGCTCTCCTAAGGCCACTTCCGGTCTCAACTCAATGCCATGGAGCATATTGAGTTGTCGTATAGTCTCGTCATCAGGAGTTAGTCGCCAAATTCGCATAGGGATCTCCTGGCTGGCTTGTGTAACGTAGTTCAAAGGGTCTGTTGTCAGCTCTACGTGTTGAGCATGTTGTCCTCGGCCCCAACGCCTGCCGAATGGACCATCAGGTGTCAGGTGTAAATAACCTAATGACACTTGTGTCTGCGGCTGACCGAAATTTGTTTCAGTTTTGTTGACACTTTCATTCGAATGTTCTGAAGTTATTTCTCTAAAGGGTAGTGTCACTTGTCCCTGGACAGACTGGAAATCATGACTGTTGTCGACGTGGGGTAACCTAGCCCCTTGACGATTGCTCGATGACATGGTGACTTTTTTCAGAACTTGGGAATGAACTCAGGAATATTGTAATTTGAGAGCTCGTACTACTAGGGAACTTTTGTTCCAAAGTTGAAAGAAATATGAAGCTGTCGTCCAGTGAAATGAACGGAATATGCTTTTTTCCAGGGTTGGATTATAAAGGTCTGGTTTATTATAAGTGGAATGATGCAATAGAACTTCCCATGTTTTAAAGTACTAAAATCGGATTACTTTCTCCGATGAGTATGGCCCCGCGAGCCACAAAAGTGGAAAGAAACTACCAGAGATACATTCCCCGTGACAACCACCAAGAGAAGTTGAAACTCTATTGTCAGCGACCATCGTGAAGGCTGTAATGCTAGCTTTAAATTCAACCACCACAACAGCAACTCTTGTAAACACCAGCTCACTTGTGAGGCAAAATATGCTTCACAATAATGGCCCTTACTAAGTGGTCAATGAGAATCTGACCATGCTGCAGCCCCACGGCTGCCTAAAGTGTTGCAGTAGACTTGGCATAGCCACAACCTAGTCCAAAGATTCACATTCTTATCGCTTTGTTCGAGATACTAAGAGAGGATGCAAATGAACTGATACCAATTACAGCCCCGAGGAAAGTTGACTCGATTCAAAAACCCACCTAGTAGTTTCCTCAGAGACTCAGAAGTAAACTGTCTAGGTTCTATACCCTCAAATAGTTCTCCTCCCCTTAAATCAAACACCCAAGAGGTCCTCACGAAAACCGGGTCGACGTCACGCATTGCTTGCCCAACCCGGCAAAGCGGGCTACACCACTTTGTCCTATTCCTGGGCAGATAGTGCCACAATGTGCCAATTATGGACCGTTATTGTTCTCCCCTCCGTCACACGCGCAGACCAGGCTTCTTCGGCGGGTTCCACGGCAAGCGAATAACTTCCGAGAGCCTTGCTTGGACAAGGGCCCTGCAGCAGAAGATCCAACAGTACGCAGTCCCGAACAGCGGGTCCCTCCAGTAAGGCTGTGTTCGCTAAAAGCTCGCTGGGCTGAGCCCACCACCCCCCTTCTTCGTCAAAAGGCGGTCTCTCTCCCACCTTGCTACGAAGGATTCCGGGTACCAGGTCTGTCTCTGCAATTCCTAGACCTGTCGTAAACGCGAAAATACCGCATAGGGCTTGGTTATTCCCCCCCGTCTCATCGTCCGCGTATTCTCGGCTTCTTTTTATTTTACAGGAAATTTTAAGGGCTATACTCGTTTTGTTTCGGCCCCCAAAACTAGACGTCGCGAGCCGGGATGGACGATTCGTGGGCGACGACCCGACAGTCTGGTTCCAGCGCTGCGGGCGCTCCCGCATACCCACCGGCGGCAGATGGTCAGTTTCACGCTGCAGAAACCGCGACTATTGAGCCGGAGGCCGACGAGGGGTTTAATGTTTGATCTTTCCCATTTTCCCCTTTTGGTATTGGTTTAAAGATACTGATTTTCGCCGGCAGGATTACGACTCTGTCATGGACGATCGAATGTACGAGATCCCGGAACGAAGACGTCATCTTCCCAGTTTGGCGGGGGTTTTGTTTTAGGCTTACTTTACGCGAATAGATCGTCGTATACCCGATCGATATCGTCGAGCGTCGTGGATTACCCCGTGGAATACGGACGGCGATATCATGCTTTTCGGCAGGGCGGTTAGTTGTGTCGTCCTTGTTAGTGCTATAAGACCAATACCTAATGTGCGTGCGCAGCTTATTCGTTCCCGAATGACGAGGTTAGCTTTCCACCGTTCGAGATTGCGTTACCTGTATCCGAACCCATTTCTGACGCTGGCAGACCGAAATGCACCGTCTCGACATGACGCATACTCTAATGTTCAAATCCATCGGTTATAAGCTATACCTCGCCCCGATCCAACCAGAGAACGTTCAAAGAATACTTGATGTTGGAACAGGAACCGGTTTATGTACGCACAACCAACTCCCCGCATCGTAAACAAACGCTACAAGACAGCTAAAATGCCCCAGGGTCGATAGAAATGGGCGATCTCTTCCCCAACGCAGAAGTAAAACCCCTCAACGACCAAGGACCTCGGCGAAAGGGGCGCTAAAGAGAACAAAACCAGGTCGTCGGAAACGATCTCAGCGCCATCCAACCGGACTGGTATGACCAAATCCACCGGGCGTTACCCTGGTCAGATGCTAATCCAAGACAGGCTGCCTTCCAACGTCAAGTTCGTAGTCGACGACGTGGAGAGCGAATGGATCGATCCGAAAAAGTACGATTACATCTTCGTTCGGTACATGCTGGTAGCCATAGCGGACTGGCCAAAGTTGGTTGCGAACATTTTTGAGTAAGCGTGCCCCGGAACTCAGTTGTCATCCTTGAACATCAGTAATAACCGGCTGTGAACAATAGCCACCTAAACCCCGGCGGGTGGGTAGAGTTCCAAGACATGGACGGCAAATACTACTCCGACGACGGCACCTACACCGAAGAACACGCCATGTACCAGTGGAACAAGAAATTCATCGAAGCCTGCGAAGCAATGGGCCGGACGGCCCGCCCCGGTCCGCAGCTGGAAGGCTGGGTCAGGCACGCGGGTTTCCAGAACGTCGTCCACCGGAGATTCAAGGTTCCGATAGGGCCCTGGCCTAGAGACCCGCACTTCAAGGACGTGGGGATGCTCAACTTGGTGCAGCTCCTCGAGGGGCTGGAAGGGTTTAGTTTAAAGGTGTTTTGCGGGTTCCTGGGGCAGAGTGAGGGTTGGCTGAGGGAGTTGCTGGGGAAGGTAAGGGAGGAGATGAAGAGTGCTGCGGTCCATGCCATGTTTGACCAGTGAGTATGTCTCTATGTCGTGGGCGAGGTGAGAAAGCTAACCGAGTTGCAGTCATATAGTTTACGCGCAGAAACCAGGACTTGCATGACACCCCCTTTGGAACTCATCGCTTCGATCGTGATCTCTGATGATGTGAATCTTCAACGCATTTTTTCCATTATTTACATGCGGCCTCCCATCAAGCTTTCGACTCAGCCTTCCCTCGTCCTGGCGCGGCTTCAAATTTTGCCTGCCACTTGTCTTCCTGCTTAAACATGGCGACGCATTGCAATGCGCTCGGGTTTCCGTAGTCCGGATCCGCACCGCCCTCGAGGAGGACCTGGAAGTCAGTCATGTTAGTCCGGATCCCATCTTGTTCTGGTCAGAAAAGTGCAGTGGAAAGGACAAACCTCAATGACGTCGTCCTCCTTCTTGAACACCGCACCCGCCAAGGGGCTCTGCCCCCTATCATTCAACCTGTTGGGGTCCGCGCCGTGCTGTATCAGGAGCTTGACCAGCTCTGCGTGACCGTGGTAAGCGGCCAGCATAAGCTATCAATTTCACGTTCATCAGCTCTCGGAACTCTTCGACGATTAGGTATGACGCTAAATAATATGTGGTAACGAACCAGAGTGTCACCCTTCTCATTGGTCATGTTTGCCGGCAGACCGGCGGGAAGGGCCTGCTGGAATAGCTCAATGTTGCCGCTGCGCGCGCCATCGTACAGCCTTCCCGCAAGGGCAATGGCCTCTGGTGGCAGTGTCTGGGAGGCTGGTTCCATTTTGAGTGTGCTGTGAAGGTGAGCATAACATGAAATGAACGAGAAACAGAGCATGAGATGAGCTAGGGAATGAGCCGAGGTTAGGTACTCTGGTTACCCCGCGCACCTGTATAATCTTACCTTAATGAATTTCTTTTTAGGATAAATGATTACTTAGGAAACACTAGTGAAGCTGAAGAGCATTACCAGAGATCCAGAGATATCAGGAATTATCAAAGAAGTTGGAGGCTGGGTTGAGAGTAGTAAGGTAAGCTGCCGGCATTCGGGATGGTGGGGTAAGAAGTCCAAGCCGATGAGTGAGTGAGAGTAAGTGGATGACGTGAGGGAATGGGAAAGTCTTCGCGGGACCCACGGCTTCAGCGGGGACAGCGACCACAGTGCCAAACCTGGGGCGTTACAGGCCAATCATGTACATTTTATTCAGGAGGCGGCTCAGTAATGCTTCTTATTGTTTTTCTGGTTGGCTACTTATTTCTTCGGCAATCAGGCCCATTTCCAACGCATTTACCGTCTCTGCGCAACTACAGGCTGTTCTCATCTCAGCCGTCGGTATCTTTGTGTATCGTATAGAGCCTTCTTATTACTGTGTGGCAGGCCTCTCTTTCCTTCGTCGAGGCCTTTGCCAATTCCACCAGGAAGAGCGCACCCGTAAGAGATGCATCGAACATGTTTGAGGCAGAATCAACTGTTGCCTGTTGTTGATACCCTCAGCGCACAAGTGTGCAAGTGCCCAGAAGCACAAGCTAATGCTCTACTTCAACTTTGCGATTATCGCAGGTTGTTTCAGGGAGCTTGACCCTGAAGTAGTCTGAAGTCGCGTTGAAGCTGTGCTTCAGCTACCGACAGCGGCTTCGCTCGCCTTCAGAGCGCCTACAACGGTGAAGCAGATCAACGGCGAAATGATGTAGGACATCTAGGACATGTCAGAAACCGTTTCAGGTGACTTGAGGGGCAACACTTACAGTCAAGAATTTGGCAATCAACATCTTTTGTGACTCATCAGACCCTTCGCAGTCCGCCAGCGCAGACAACTTCATCGCCGGTGGACCCGTGGGCATGAGCATCATACAGAACCACAGAAGTGCGTCGTTGGACAGCACAGTTGTCTTGCTGGCGAGCACATAGATGATGCCGATCGAGATAATGGGCCACAAGACGAATCTTACCGCCGTCACAGCCAGGAATGGTACCATGGGAATCTTGCTCTCCTTCGACTCGGATCCGTTCTTGAACTCCAACAACGCCTTGGAGAGCTTGACGCCAACGACGATAACCTGGAGCACGGCGAAGAGGTCACCGACATTCTTGATGGCCGAAGTCAACCAGGCGTTGAAGTAGCCGCCTTCTTCCGGTTCGTTGAAAAACAGACGGTGCAACGCGGGCACAAGTCCAACGAGGGCACCGAGGAGAGCGCCAATGACCGGGGCGTTGATGAAGCTGTACAAGAAGTCGAGGATGCTCTGTGATCTAGGTGATAGGGAAGACCAATAGCGCCGACCCTTGCGCAGGGTACGGTGTTGGGCACGTGTGCGCTTGGCGGCTACACTGCGAGGCAGAAGTGACGTCCGCTCGTTCCTCTCTATGGCATCCTGTTCCTGAGACTCGACATCATCTTCGTCTTCGCTCTCATAGTCGTCATCTTCATTGTCGGGTGCCTCTTCCTCCTGGCCGTTGAGCAGCTTGGGACCCAGAGCGAATGTCAGAGAGTTGCCAATCATGGCATTCACCAAGAAGTAGCTCTTCGCCTTGGCAACAACTCCGGAGCTGTCATCGATGGAACTGAGAATGCCAGTGGCATCTAATGACTGGACCAGCAAAAGGGGCAGACTGGTAGTGTTGTTGAAGGCAATAGCCGGTGTGACCCAGTCAGGCATGCCCAGGACCTTATTCAGGAAGAGGCCGATGCCGATAGAGACGATGGTGTAGAAGATGGCCCACAATACAATGGGGACATATCTTAGCCCCTGGGGTCAGTCGGTTAGTAGTTGCCGGTGGTGATGGTATGATCATGGATGATGATGATGAGCACATACAGTGTCGAGGTCAAGTTGAGATCCAACGTTTGTGATCAAGAGTGCTGGCAAGGCCATACGGACGCAAAAGGTCGAAATCTTCTTGCTACTGTCTCCATCGAGGAGGCCATACTGGGCAGCAATGACACCGGCAGCGATGGTGAGAATAACTGATAAAGAGGCCTGGAAGGCACCCAGGAAGGGAATAAGAAAGCTCTCTGCCGTGTTCCCTGACATTTTGGTGTATAAAATGAAAACCGAACTAGAGACTATAATAGTAGGGCGGCAAGGTGAGGCTTTTAAAGGTGAGCAGTAGAGAGGCACGCGACACTCCGTCAACAGCCAAACCAGACTTGCGCAGGGACAGAAGAGCTTGGCGTATATTCTTGGCGACAAACGATGGACGTCACTGTGCACGGGCCAAAGACGCCCCTTGATGGCTTTCCCTGATGATTCGTCTTGGCTGCTTCCGGGGGGTTGATTTCCTCATGACTTGAGTTATTTTCTGTTGTTGTGATTTAAATTGGAATTCTTGAGACTTTGACCATCATTTATAGAGGTAAAAATGGCTAGAATAGCCCCAAGAGTAATTATAGGTGCAGCCCAAGCGTTGGCAGTTCGGTGAAGCTACTTGGGGACCCTCTTCACCGAGAACGAGCGCTGGAAGTTGACCATTCAGAAGGCTTCTCGTACCTGATGTCCCCATAAATAACCGAGCAAAGCCGACCTGCCATTAACGTCATAGCTATTTTTCACCAATGAAGCTCCTTCTCCCTCGGCCAAAACTGAGCTTTTCCCGGTCCACAAGCTACAGGCTCAACGGCTTAGCCAATTCCCATTCGGCCTAAACACCATCAACGGTATCTGTCCTTCACATTCCTCCATTATACCCGTCTAATATATCCTTAGACGCCCACAATGCCTCCCCGTCTCGCCGCCCCGCTCCGCTTAGCCGTCCGCATCCCGCGATGCTCCTCCAAGACGACACCTGTGGCTGCGGCCTTGTACTCGACCGCAACAGCCAGCGACTCTAACCAGCCGTTGATAACCGTCACCCAGCTCCCCGCGCCCGGGTCAGGACACATTCGCATCCTCGAGTTGAACCGTCCTAAAGCTCGTAACGCCATTTCTGGCGCCCTGCTTTCTCAGCTCCGCGCTGAGATTGACGATATACATTCCCAGTATACCGAGGAGGGAGATGAGGTTGCCCAAAAACAGACCTTTGGAGGAGCCGCTGGTGTCGATGCCAAGGGCCCGACTCGTGCTCTTATTCTGGCGAGTGCTGTCGAGACGAGCTTCTGCGCTGGCGCAGATCTGAAGGAGAGACGGGGCTTCACGCAGGAGCAGTAAGTTCCTCCAATTGAGCATTGAAGTTGGAGATCAATCACTAAACTCCTTGTCACAGGACCGACATTTTCCTCTCCAACCTCCGCGGCACCTTCAACGCTCTTCAGAACCTCCCCATCCCCACCATCTCCGCCATCTCCTCTCTCGCCCTCGGCGGCGGCCTCGAGCTGGCCCTTTCAACGCACTTCCGCGTTCTCTCCTCCAATGCTCTCATCGGCCTTCCCGAAACACGTCTGGGCATCATCCCCGGCGCCGGTGGCACCCACCGCCTGCCTGCTCTCATCGGCATTTCTCGCGCTCGCGATCTCATCCTGACCGGCCGCCGCGTCTCGGCGCCCGAGGCCTACTTTTTGGGCATTGCGGACCGCTTGGTCGAGATTACGCACGAGGAGGCTGAGAAGCTCGGCGAGGGAGACAAGGACAAGGGCGTATTGCTTGCGGCGAGAAAGGCCGTGTTGAGCGAGAGTGTGCGTCTTGCTGGTGAGATCTGCGAGGGCGGTCCCATTGCCATCCGCGCTGGTCTGCAGGCTGTTAACTGGGCGCGTGAGGAGGTTGAGAACAAGATGTACGAGCGGGTTGTTGCGACCGAGGACCGCAACGAGGCGCTTAAGGCGTTCCAGGAGAAGAGGAAGCCCGTTTTCAAGGGCCGATAAATATCTGCCCTGGCTTTAATGAAAACTGACTGTCGGATGTCAGGAAGACTTGTTTTATAGGTTCACATGACCTCTAGTAGCTTAAGCTACCTTATGTTGTACATTTACGCCTATTGAGGTAACAGATAAGAATCATGAGAAGTAAAAAGTGCATGCGTTAGCAGTGCTTGTCAAGTTGAAGTATAGAAGTGTCACGAATGTGTTGTTAGTCCCATACTATTAGGTATTCCGTATCGATCGACTCTTGCAGGGTGTTGTGTGGTTGTGATTACATTACAAGAGAGCCTAGTAGCAAGCCTGCTTTACTGGCTGGAGAATAATATGCCCTGGCTTCTGAATACGTCTTGAACCTTTAGCAAATGCTATACAAGTTGAGGAATATCACTCCAGGAGGGTTCCTATAGCCATACTTAAATTAGGCATACCAGCACATATACTGTAAGCCCATCACTTGGTATATAGGAAAGTCAAGATGCAGACCGAAAGCGCCAATGGCACAACGCCAATGGCACAAACGCAGCACTTAAGCAGAACCTGCACACGCCAAACCCCGAAATGGCCGGTCCAGAACGGCATACGGAACTGTTCCGGAGTGAATCAATAACCCGGATCCATTTGGCATACGTCCGGGCCCTCCAAGTCCGATCGATCGAGATCTTCGACCGACATTATCTACTCATTTTTCAAGATGCATTGGTAACCACCCAAATCCGTCACCCGTCCACATTGAAGAATCTACATTTGGATCTATACTGTATCCTCAGCAGCCGTAGCTGAAAAATAATCGCATTTTTCCGCCCGTCAGGAATTCAGGACTCCCCAAAATACCGAGGCAATGCAAGCGGCCCTACACGTAAATGGGGTGATGGTGTCAAGGTAGCTATGGCGTCATTACCTGCATCGAGCCCATGCTCGTTCCGTGCGAGTGTCATAGAGACGGCCAGGCTACGATACCTTGACAGTACAAACATGATGAAAATTGCGGCTGCGTCCTTTTTTTGCTGGGTAGCTGCAGGTGGGATCGATGATGTAGGTGTGATACAATGTCTCACTGGCCAGAACGCTGTGGCCCTGAACGTCATGGCGGCCTTTCAGTGGGGTTAAGCACGCTCCAGGCGGCGTTTTTTGTTTTGGCATGTGTCTGCACTGCAGTGATGGCCTAGCAGCAGCTCCCGTCCGTCCGCTAACGAAGACGAAGCCCAGCGAGGCCCCCCGCGAAATCAGGGTGAAAGTGCAGCGGCCACCCGTGCGCCGCGCCCATCCTTACCTCCCTAGACGACCGCGATGACATCACCTGTAGCTCATAGCTAGCTGGGAGCTATCCTCGGGAAGAGGTTGGCTGCTCTTCCTCTCATATTTGAGCTCCCTTGCTCCTCGAACCAGTACTTCTGATCCTCGATTGTTTTTACTTGTACAATAACAAACTGCGAATTTCAACCAACCGCCAAACCAATTGCGATTTCATCACCTAAAATAAACAACCACAAAACCACACCACAAAACCACATATCAAAATGTCGTTCCTCATCGAGACTGCCGGCCGCCGCATGGCTACTCTCCCCCGCGTCGTCCCTAGAGCTGTTGCCGTCGCCCCTAGAAGCTTCGCCACTACCACTCCCGCCCAGAAGTCCGCGACCGAGACCGTCAAGGATGGTCTGAAGACTGTCGACCGCAAGGTCAGTGACAAGCTCGTCGATGGCATCAACATCGGATGTAAGTTTACCTGGCATACCTTCGTTTCCTCTTCTTCTGGAGACATTTACTAACATCATCAAGCCAACGTCGCCAGCAAGGTCAAGGATGCCAGCTCCGAAGTCGCCCAGGGCAACACTAAGGGCACCGCGGAAGAGCTGCGAGGCGAGGCCAAGGGCAAGGCCCAGGAGCTCGAGGGTCAGGCCAAGGGCAAGGCGAACGAGTTGGCCGGCAAGGCCAAGGGTGCCGCCGACCGGGTTCAGAAGAACCTGTAAATCGCGGAAGCGAGATGTTTTTTCTTTTTAAATCCATTATCAAAAACCAAACCGGCATGGCTTATGACGGACTGAGATGTCCATTGTATACTACCACCACCACCTCATAGCATGGAAGGGTTATCGGGTTTAACAAGGGGCGTTTAGCAAGTTCAATCAATATTGCGATTGATGATTAAATTTGGGCTTTATTTATGTGAATGCTTCGGTATCTCGTGATTTTACCATACACGTCGACGTTGCTCTAGAGTTTTGCGTCCTTATTCCCAATATGAGCTCTGAAGCTAGAGCTCCATCCATTCATACCTTCAAATTCCCGAGTGGCCAGTTTTTTTCATTAGAATTGAATGGCTCGCCTGTGTTCCGATGTGCACTTAGTGACATCACTCGATCCAGAAGCCTCGCGCCACGGTCGGCCTACCAGCCACCACGACTGCCCAGATGACAATACCGAGACAAGCCAGTCACAAGGGGCTCACCGCATTCTCGCTGATTCCACGGATTCATCTCTCATAAATTGAAATAGTTAAGCGATATATCTTGTTTTTGAGCAGTCATTTTAGCCACCGCCATCTAGAGAGCCCAAGAGTCTCAAAAGCCGACTGCGTTGTGATTCGCTTCAGTCAATGCGAGGAACAGTCTTGTGGCTGCCATGTCGAGTACGGCTGAGAAAGGGTTGAAAGCACAAAGACAATGATAGTTTTCTAAATACAACTATCAAGACTTTAACATCTTTAACGACCACAGACAGTCTAAGCTTTAATCAAACTCTTCCTACCCGATCAAGACATGTAGGTGAAAAGACTTGTTCCACTTTCAACTGGGAGACTGTTTACTTGATATACGTAGAATCCCTCATGATTGCTTGAGAAAGAAAGATGAAATCACAAGTTGGGTCCTGCAACGAGACCTCCTACCGTCTCTCATACGATGACTTACCTAGAAACGAAGAAGGCAGTATACCTCACTGAAACTAACCATTTCCTCTTTTCAACTTATCTCTTTGGCTTTATTCCTACACTGCCATGTTACAGCAGTATTTCGTTTCTTCTGGAGGGCGTTCCAATGTCTTATAAGACGATGGCCTGGTCATCTTTGCTCAGGTTCAGTATAGGCCTGGAGCGCGCCCGATAGGCTTTTTAAAAGCTTCATTAAAGATTCTGAATCAGACCGGACAAGAAGTAAATATCTTGTCGAGCGCTGGCAGGGCATAATTGAAGAGTATTACAACTGCACATTGCACATTTTCCAGAGCCACAGTCTTGTCTTTTACGTTGGAAGTCTTTGCTGCGTGAAGCTTTCCATGGCATCAAGTCAATGAGAACAAGTTTGCTGTAATCAGACACGATCTTGCTCCTGGTTTACTGTACTTTTCAAGGCTTCTGATTCACACAACGTTCCATGACAAGAATAATATCCGTGCGATTTTTAGGTTCAATTAGTTATCATTGGGATATATATATATATTAAGTCCTCTGGCTGCAGAAGGTTGACAAAGAAAAAGATTATGGTATGTACTGTAGGTATTGCCGACCCAGTTCCCAAAACGCCAATGCTTCAAATTTTATAACCAAACTTCACCTATTCTAATCACCTCTCCAAGACCCGTGGAACAGATGCTTCATCAACGCACCCTCAGGCGGTTCGCCCACCGTGCTGTTCGAGTGTGGTTGGCCCATGCCGAAACCATCAATCGGCAGAACAAGCACGTCGCCAATCAACTTTGGCTCCGTAAGATAGGAAAGGTTCTTAATGTCCGTCAGAGTATTATCGTACTCCTGCAGTTGCTTGAACACGGTCTCCGTCCAGGCCGCCGGGCCCGTGGAGTTCATGACCTCCGTGCTAGTTGGCTTCACCTGGTTGATCGGCATCGAGTGTGTCGCCGCTAAGCTGTCCAGCGACTGCAGGATTCGCGAAACCATCTTGCCGAATACGGGGTGGCCTGGCGCTGCGGCGATCGTCCACTGGCAGAACTGAACCCAGTGGAGGATGTCGAACCAGCCGCTGCCGCTTCGACGGTCAAACTCGATGCCGACAATGAGTCGCACCTTGTCTCGGTACTCTTCGGGCACCCACTTATCGATGGGCTTCAGCGCGACGGTGTCAGTGTCAGTGTATACGCCACCCTCGAGACCCAGGATGAGGTATCGGAGAAAGTCGGATTTCATGCCGACGTTGGGCATGTTGATGTAGGCCTCAAGGATCTCTGGCCGGTTTGGGAAGTGCTGCTGGATGAACTTCAAGCCCGATGGCTCGCCGACCAGGGTGCTATTACAAGATCGAGTTAGCGACATCGGCCGTCGGAAAAGAAAGCGTGTAGAATGCATGAGTGGAAGGCTGTGGGCCACTTACTATGAATATCCCGAGTTCATAGCGATCCATGAGGCCGAGGCTACCACCTTTTCAGGGTCGATAGTGAGATCCTTCTCCGATTCTGGGTTCTTCTTGGGCAAGACGATTTGCCAAATCTTGGGCGGCACCAGTTGAGTGACTCTACTTCTCCATGCCGCTGCCGGTACTGCGCCATCCTTCCGCGTCCCAAAATGAAATGAGTCGTTGTGACTGTTGTAAACCCAGAGAAGAGAGAGCAACGTGAGACAGAGGGCGGCGACAATAGTCCTGTACCGGAATCGTGCAGGGTGCTGGATCTGGATAGGCTGCGCCCAGATGGGCGAGCTCGGCGGCTTCTGTTGATGCGACAAGAACATGATTTCCGATATAGTCCAATAGCCGATCAACAAGTACCAGATGTTGAACCAGTCAGTTGGGATGAGGAAGACTTGGAGGGAAAACCTGGGCAAAGTCCCACGAAACCATCGAAGAAGCTGAGGGTGCCCCCATCGAGTATTATACAAGAATGTTCGGCAGACTATCATCTCTCTCCCCTTAACCTAGACCCATGCGGACAGACGCGGGGAAGCCAGGGAGGCTCATCTCATACCGCACGATGTTCCGGCCTACACTCCCTTTTTTTGCAGTTGGGCCAACCGGACGGTGCGCCACAAGACTGTTTTAGTGTCAGATTGTCACTTGCCGTTCTGCCTCAGGGGGGAGGCAAGTATACCGGAGATCCCGGCAATCCGTTCTCGAGAAAGACACCAAGGCTTATGCTCCTAGATGTGTGTGTATCCGAGCATCATTCTGGCAGTCCTCTAGGCGTATTTACTCAGCCGCAGTAAGCTCTACACTACTATCGCGTATCAGTCTGTGGACCGGAGGCAATGTTAAGCGACTTGCTAGTAGGCGCTTGTGGACGGCACTTCCAGACTATCGGAGCTCATTTAACCTAACAGCCTAGAGGCTCGCGAATCAAACGCCAGCTCCTGAGTTGGCCCCCAAGAAAGTCCAGCGAACATAACTCTTCTCCTGCCAAGGCTGCTGGCGCGGTTGGCCTACCGTTGGGAATGGGCGACACAGGCTGGGCGAAGCATCCCACATTTCTTTAGCCAGCTGGAGGCAAAAATACGCACGAATTTGGGGTTGAATGTGGTACAGATCAACATATCCCAGAATGTCAGCCAATGATCGTGCCACGGGGCTGGCTCGAGGGAACGTTTGTGTCTCAGCCATGGCGGAAACAACAACGCACATGTTTATCTACTACGTAGAATGGGTATATCCATTCCAGACATTTGTCTTTCCTGCGTCTTGAGAGAAAGCTTGTCGTGAATCAGCAGACTGTATGCTTCGCCCGAACTCCGTTCAAAGGGGCGGCTCCGTCCGATTACCTGTGCATACGAGCAGTTAAGACGAGCGGAAAGCTTGTCTCTCTTTTGGTAGCAAGCGATTCGCGTGGAGACTAGACCAGTCGAGAAAATTGTTGCATTTTCCGGCGGCCATGTTGGAATCTCCCATTCAGGGGCAAAACCCCCCTTCAATGGGTTTTGTGCTCATAACGTTGGAATGCGACTAAGAAAAGGAGACTCGCAGGTGAAACCCACTCCTATCAAATTCTTATCTGCCCTAGCTGAGAAACCAGTCCGGTCAGCTTGTCACGACGCTGGACACGAAAGCCCTTATGGTAGAATTAATAGATTGGGAGAAGTAGCTGGCTTAGCTAACTCCAGCAACCTCCTATCGCTAGCGGATGGAGCTGGAAAATCTGTGCATGACGCAAGACGTGTACACACGAAGCCGTCAAGCTAAGATTCAATAGCTGCATGCTGAGATGCAAACTAGTGGCGGATCGCGCCAATGCTGATGTTGAAATGCGACGGCCACTTCCGTATCGAGAATAAGTCGGCCACGGATTTATCTACTAAATTACTGCTAAAATTTGGCAGGCCTCCTTATTCACATGAAACCACCAGCCAAAACCATCCAGCTGGAACTCTGCCAACTGGACGCTAAGTTCAAGATAACCCTTACCCCTAACAATGTCAGATCGTGAGCCGAAATCATTGAAACAAGACCCATGAGCGAAAATTTCATTCATCAAATCTTCTTTCCCCCTTATTCTTCTTTGAAAATCAGGCTCTTCTAGTGGCTTTACATTTCTCATAACTCGTATAACCTCCGTTCCCCATCCATCTCGACAGGTGCTCAATTTGCGCCGGGTTGATATTTCGATTCGTCTTGATGAAGATGGTCTCGTATGGGTGGATCGTGAAACCAAAGTATTCGCCCTCTCGCAGCGTGTCCTGGACGTGGGACGGAATCGATGTGCAGTAGGTTCGCGGGTCGGGCGTCGAGATTCCGTGGTACGAAGTCATCATCACGTCGACCTTGTAGCCCGCTCCCGTAATGATGCTCGTACTGCCGATTTCCGCGTGGATGGCTTTGATGTACTCATTGTAGCACCCTCCCAATCCGACCAGGTCCTCGCGCGAGCCCCATCCGTCACCTACGGATGCCGCAAGTCCTTGGAAAGGGTCGAGAAGGAGCTCCATACCAATCCTATCCGTAGCCCAAATCATGGACTGTACATGGAAGCGCGGGTAGCAGTTTGCGGTAATGCCCACCAACTATTCGGCGCATGCGTTAGCTTTAACATCGTCTTACATAGTTGCTTACATGCTCAAGTTGACCTGCGTAGGTGGAAAAGACTGATTTCCATCGAGGCTGAAGGGGTAAACATATTGTCATTACTGACCTTGACCTCATCTGTGACCTTCGCCAGGAATAAGTCCGACCAGCAGCTATCACTCCAGTGCGGCAAAAACGGTCCTCGCAAACTCGCGTTCATGACGATGAACTTGTCGTACTTCTTCCACATTTTATTCTTCTTCAGTACTTCACCAGTGGCGCCTACATCGAGAATAAATATCAATACAATCACTTTAGAAAAAAAACATCTGTTGCCAAAACATACCGAGGTCGAAACACGTATTGTTTCGCTCCACAATCTTGATGTTGTTCCGCTTCGGGATGAGTTTAGCTGCTTTCTCCTGGCCTTGAGGGGTGTCTCCGTTGAAAATGAAGACGAAGTCGGCGGCGTCGTGTAGGCCATGCTTGAGGAAATACTTCAGGTTCGCTCGTGCCGACACCGATTCGTAGTATGTAAATGTCACCAGAAGCTTCTGACCCTTTTGGCTCATTGCTTTTTGGTTCATCAGCACATCTCTCCCTGTGCCGTCTAACGAGGATGAAGCCCCTAATCCCCTATGCGCTCTCGATCTCGCGGCCTATTTCAAGATGTACTGTTAGTCAGGCTTTCAAGACCACACATTCATGAGGCAGTGACCTACTAGACGATCCGGCCCAATGGGCAGTGTGCACATGATCCATAGTGAGGCCAATCCCACCATGGCGAGCAATCGCCAGTATGCTAATGATGGCATCGTAAGCCAATGCTACCTGTATGTCTTTGCCATAAAAAAGAAAACGACATCCAATACAGTTTGCCCCTGACGCCGCTGTTCAAGAAAGAAGCAAGTAGAGAAGCAAAACACAGTAACCTACACTTTGAAAGCCTGTTTGGTGTCATGGTTTCTCTTATATCACCCTGAAAGAAACAGTAGTGTAAGTTCCCTTGCGTTGTTCAGGAGGTGGGAAAGTTCGCATTATGTCTTGGGGCCCGGTATCAAGGGAGGGTGCGTTCTGCAAGCAACTTGGCAGTTCAGGATTATCGGTTACGAGCTGGTGTCCAGACGGGAAAACCTCCCCCTCTTCTCTATTTGTAGGATGACCTTTTCGGCATTGATATCAGTGGATCTTTATCTGCATTTATTCGAATTTGAATGACTGACCTCGGCGATTCGCTCCGCTGCAAAATTCAGAGATCATTTCTGTCTTCGTCATCTAGGCCACTTCTATCCCTTGACATTCAGATGAAAGAGTGGCAGATAGGCTATGAGGATGTTCCAGCCTCTGCGACTGATTGCGCCCCCGAAGGGCCGCTGAGACAAAACGCCATTTCAGGAATTAAGTCAACATACTAAATAAAGGCCCTCTCACTGCGATGGAATTCAATCCCACTTTCTCCTTGCTCCTCGCATTCTTCAGCATCCTTTTTCTGGGAAAGGGGGTGGACATCGCTTTGGGCGCCTAATATTTCGAGCCGCATGTCTTTCGCAACGGGAGGCGTTGACTGCCCTGGTGTCTTGACTCTCTTTTTCAATTTGAATCTCCTATAAATGGATTCTTCCATGACTTTGATCCCAGGTCTTGTGTGAGCCCCATGCGTGGCAACGAATGGCCAACGGCTTCAATGCCTGTCGATTGTATGTCTTGGCCGACATTGTGGAACGCCTGATAACAAGGTCCTTCATAATGACGAACATTTCTTGGAAAATTTCAACGCAGTTCAATTTCTCTTCACTAGAAAATCAACGCCTGTTTTGAAGAGGGAAACAAGGTTAGTACGACTGAACTTCAACTCAGATTATCTGTTGCGATAGTTGGAATACGGAGTCGTGTGGCACTTCCAGCCACACGCCCGCCAGGCTGAGAGGCCCAAGCCTCCCAGACCCACGTGACAGGCCAAGGGGGAATATCCCTACCTTCTAGTCAACAACACTACTTTCAACTATCATAAACTATCGATTAGAACCAATTTACTATTATTTGTTATTAACGAACGGAATTCCGTTTCACACCCTGTGAAACCTATACTGATTAGTAGTAAACCTTATAGTTGCTATTAATTTAGTTAACTTTATAATTACTACTTTGCTACGGATAAACCGTAGATTAGTAAGGTTAATACTAGAAGAGACGACTTCTTAAACTAGATACCTAAGCCTAGGTAAAAGTAGGGATTTCGTATTAACGAGAGAAGAAGCGAGAGTAACTAGGATCTACGGAAACTAGTAGAAGAAAGCTTCTTTTCCTCGAATCTACTAGTAATCCGATTATTTAAGTAACCTAAGGACTACTATGCTTACCTTAGGTAGGATAAGGTTAATCGTAGCTAATTATCGCTAGCAAAAGCGTTCTATCACGCGTTTTCAATTACTAGAAGAAGAGACCTACCGAATCGACAGTCTTCTAACCTCTTTACGCTATAAAGGCGAAGATTCACGAATCTTATAAGGGATAATAACTTCCTTAACTATAACTATCCCCTACGCACGGTGCTAATCACGAAGCGCCTGCTAGTTTCTTAATAAATCCCTAGACGAGGTGCCAACCGCGAGGCGCTTGTTATAAAAGACCTCCCTACTAGAAGAAGAACATGCTGAAAGGCGAGCGGAGACTACCGGCGGTAATCCGCCTATATAGCTATACGTATACGCCTCCGAGGCTACGGCTTAGGAGAAACGTACGTAGTTGTAGGCGTTATAAGGCTAACTGTCTGCTAGATTCTAAACTTCTTAATAGTGAGGAGCGAAGCCTGAAGCGAGAAAGAGAGATTTACGAGAGAATCTACGAATAGAGCGAAATTTACGAGAAGGATCGCCTGCAAGCGGCGTTACTACTAAAAGCTAATTAATAGTCCCTATCTTATAAAGAATCGAAAGTATAATCGATCTAGTAGTATAGGGTACTAGGCAATTAACCTTATAAACGCTAGCCTATAGTAATTAGGTTTCTATATAGGTTTCCTACTTAAGACTTATAAGAAGAGAAATCTTATAGGCTTCGAGCTATAGAACGAAGTTTCTCCCGATTTCGCCGACTAGTTAGAAGAAGACTTCTAGAATATACCTCCCCTAATCCTACGATTCTTTAGAGACTATTTAATCGGTAACGGCGTCTACGTCGAAATAGATAGTAAGAAAATCTCGAAAAACGTAGCATTAGCCTTTAAAAAGGAAGAATTCTACTACTAGTTACCTTAAGAACTCGAACAAGGCGTTAAGAGATATCGCAACCTAAAGGCTTTGATAAAAGACCCCGAATTCTACGAAGAGATTACGAGACTAGCAATAGTAGCTAATAGTATAGGAGGAAGAGTCGAACTAACCCTATAGCTACCTCCTCTATAAGAATAATAATAGTAGCAACTACCGTACCGACCGCTATATCCTACGGTCTCTCCGTTAACAGACTTCTAACTATACGAGTTAATAGACCGTATCGGAAAGCAATTAATAGAATTTGCAAAACTATACCCCGACGATATAAAATATAGCGGCGATATATACGATATACTCGAAAAGAAGATGCTAGTATTCGTAGATTATTATAGAATGCTAGGAATTTATACCTCCTAATATAATAAGGTACTTCCCCTAATACTAAAAGGAATAGCTAAAACCTACTTCTACGCCTCGATTAAAGTAATCAACCTATAGCCTAACTTCGAGACTATAATTAACTAATTGAAATTATACTTCGAGACTAGGGAAAGGCAATAAGCATACGTTACGTAGTAGAATATAACTACTTTTCCCTAAATTATTCGCAATAACCTTAGAAAGACTAAATCAGAGTATTTTGACATACTATATGATAAATTAAGCAAGATTTAGCCTGGTTTGCTATAACAGGATTATAACGACCGATCCCTCTATACCTAACTTCTATACGCTTATAGAGATATTCTAGAGTATGTAATAGCGTTATTTATACCGGCTGAGACGTACGAGGGACTTCGTAGCTAATTAATCTTGTCGATCGAGATAGCTACCTGTCTTAACTAATAATAATTTAATATAGTAGCTAACCTACTAGAGTAGTACTAGACTGATAGAACTTTTAACGGTCGAGGGCGTTATTTACGATATAGTCGTTTATTACGAAGTCGATTATTACGAGGAAGAAGCCGTAACAGACCCTTATTACTACTAACGCCTAAGAAGTGCTACGTATATAGAAAACCTAACTGCTAGTTAACTAAATATACTATAGAAGAGAGACGAAAAGCGTACGAGAAGTTTAAAACTACTTAATATGCCTAGGATACGTTACTTCTAGCATATAGCTAATTTCTCGTCTAATACAAGGGTTTCGACGGATTAGACTTATAACCTACCGCCGAAGACCCCTAGCAATACTACTACGTAACCGAACAAACTAGTAAAGGTAACGAAGAGGAAGAGACTAGTAGCGATAGTTAATTCTAAGTTACCGCCTATTTTACTATAATAGTAATTGACGGTAATAGGATCGCTACGATCCTAGTAGACTAGTTAACCTGCTATGCTATTACGAAAGAAGACCTCTTCCGTAACTAACTAGAACCGAAAGAGCTACCTTCGTAATTTATACTCGAGGGATGCTACTCTACCTAGAACTTCTAAGGGATTATGCCCGACTCGGGCGTAGCAGGATTCTTAACCGCTAGCTACCTATAATTCGTAGCCTTATAATAAATTTACGAAGGAATTACGTTAAATACTAAGGCGGCTAGCGGCGTTATAGTAAAATTCGGCGATAGGATACTACTAGAGTCTATAGGGACTACTAAAGTGCTAACGCCGTTTAGAAGCGTTAAATTTTACGTTATTAAGACTAATACTCCCTTCCTTATATGCCTAGGAGATATAGACCGATTAAAGGTCTACTTTAATAACGTTACGAATACCTTTATCTAAGGAAACAAGGTCGTACCTATTATTCGCAAATAAGGCTACCTATAGTTATTACTTGATAAGGAGAAACTACTTGCTTAGAACTACCTTATAGACGCTAAATTGCGACGGGTTTACCGTCGCTTCGGATACCTATCTGTTTAACGATTATATAAGGTGCTTTAGAAGGCTAGCTACCTAGTTGAAATTACGGTAATTAAGTAACTATCGAAAGTCTGCTATCGATACTAAATATATATACTAGCGCTATTACGGTTTAAATTTACGTTACGAGACGATTACGAATTTAACTACGAGGTTATCGCCGACGTGATGTACCTTGAGGGTAATAGACTGGTCTTCTACGTCGTCGATACTGCTACGGCGTTTAACGCTGCCTAGTTCCTTAAGGATATTTCTGCGAAAGCTACTTAGGAAGCCTTACGCCTTTGCTAGATAGATATATATTAGGGACCCCTAGACTAGCTAGTTACTAACGCTAGAATAAACTTCTGCTTAATAAAATTCCGAAACGCGGCGAGAGGAATAGCAATTAAAATCAAGGAAATTCCTATAAAAGCCTATAATAGTATTAGGAAAGTTAAACGATACTATATACCTCTAAGGAAGGCGTACGAAATTATTAAAGTAGAAGACTTAATAATTACGCTAGAATTAGTATTTTAAATAGTAGTTAAAGTAGTTAACGATACTACTAGCCTAAACGGAATAGTACTAATACTCTTAGTATTCGGCTTATACTTACGAATTACTAACGATTTGCTACTATCTCCCGAAGTTATAAGGCAGGCGAAAGCGATTAAGAAGGCGATAAGCAAAGTATACGAACTTTACGTAAGGCGATAGGTAGTAGAAGCTATCGCTACCTATAATAGCCTTAATATAAGGCTAATTATTAATTTACTACTATAGTTATAAGTACGAGTATAGCGCGAAAAGAAGGGCTAGACTAGACTGTTTACTTTAGTAGCTATAAACGGCAAAACCTATACTATCAATACGCTATATAGTCTAAAGACCTTCCGGTCTACTATAGTTAAACTATACTACGAAGATCTTGATTAACTACCTAATTCTATCGCTACGCTAGAAGAAGAAGAACCTGAAGCTAAGATACCGTAGTAGGAAGTAGTACGCGACGAAATTATCGTCGCTAGCAGAGGCAGTAAACCGGACGAACCGCAAGAGGCACTAGAGCTACCGAGAAGACGCCTAGGTAGACCCCGGAAGAGACTACTGCTAATCGCCTACTTTATAAAGGAATTTAACGATAACCCGGATTATTAATAAATATTCTTATCGATTAAGGAGTAAGTAGACGAAGAATTAGTAATTAAACTACGACGAGAAGGTATTATTACTATACTAGGCAAACCGTTCGAATAGTTAACTAAATAAGAGATTAATAGCCTTATCGCTAGAGGAGTATTTAAATTTACCTAGTTTAATAAGAGAAGGTATTAGAACGTATAAATCTTCCGATCTCGTATCGTTAACGAAGTTAAGGGTAAAACAACCGAACCTTACGAGAAATCGAGACTTATAATACAAGGTTACGCCGACGATAGTAAGAAGGCTATATTAACCTAATCGCTAACGATTTAGCAGGCAAGTTAACAGCTAATTCTATTAATTACCTTGTTACTCCTACGAGAAGGGAAATAACTATAGCTTTAAGATATTATATAAGCCTACGTTTAATCCTCTATAAGGCTTAATCGTACTATTCTCGCCTACCTACCGAAGCAAATTCAAGACTAGTACCTAAAAGGGACTATTATAAAGGTTATAAAGCCTCTGTACGGAATCGCAGAAGCTAGAACCTACTAGTAGGCAACGTATTATAAGCATTATAGAGAGAATCTCTAGATAGTTACTTCTTCGTACGATCTATGCTTATTAATCTTATCTACCGAAAATCTATACTTTGGCTATATCGGCATGTAAACCGACGATACCCTCGGTTTGTTAGACAAGGCGTTCTTATAATTAGAAGACGAATAGTTAGAAAAAGCGGCTTTTATAGCAAAAGCGAAGAATATCCTTATAATTAATAAACCCTTCTAATTTAATAGAGGGATAATCGCGCTATTAACCGATAATTCGATCAATTTAAGGCAAAAGGGATAAGCTAAGAAGTTACGATATATTAAGACTACTAAACCTAACCTAAAATAGCAATATATCGAATAACGCGCTAGAAAGGCGTATATCGCGTCAATTTGCTAACCCGAGGCTTGTTTCGATTTATCTACTACTACCTAATACTAAGACCTTTTACTAGAAGTAATAAAAGTACTAAATTAACAGATTCGATAGTAAATAGAATCGCCTAACCGAGGAATAACGTTTATCCTACTCGACCTTATAATAGCTAAGCTATTCGTTTTCGTTAACAGGTCGTTTGCTAATAACTACGACCTTTCTTCCTAATTAAGGTTTTTAATCACCTTAGCTAACGATACTTCCTCTAATAGTAATAACGGAGAATTTACGATTTACGGTAACCTTATTTATTATAGCTTTACGAAGAGTAAATAAGTTACCCGTAGCGTATTAGCGTTAGAGATCTACGGGATAGTCGCTAGCGTCGATATAGCTTACGCCTTCGCTATAACCTTAGTAATAATTACTAACTACCTTAACCTATTAACGATTTAGATAGTTATCTATACTAATTCTTATTTGCTATACGAGTATCTCGTAAAGCTAGGTATTACTAAAGAAAAGCGACTTATAATCGATATTATAGCGTTAAGATAATCGTACGAAAGACGAGAACTATAAGAAATTCGTTAGATTAACGGCGAAGACAACCTTGCTAATGCTTTTACGAAGAGCAAACTAAATCGAGCCTTCGAGAGATTCGTTGATAGCAATACGATAACGATACGTATAGAGGGATAGGTAATAAGACCGTAACTACGGGAGAAAGTAGGGATAGGAGGCTGAATTGACGAGGAGACGGAACTATATAGGGATAACGTATTCCAACCGCTTCAACACTATAAAAAGAGAGTTTCTAGTGTTGCGATAGTTGGAATACGGAGTCGTGTGGCACTTCCAGCCACACGCCCGCCAGGCTGAGAGGCCCAAGCCTCCCAGACCCACGTGACAGGCCAAGGGGGAATATCCCCACCTTCTAGTCAACAACACCACTTTCAACTATCATGAACCATCGATTAGAACCAATTTACTGTTATTTGTTATTGACGAACGGAATTCCGTTTCACCCCCTGTGAAACCTATATTATCCGTATCTAAAAACAAATCAAAACTCGAATCTATTGTTACTGGTCGATTCTCTATTTTTTCAATGTATATGTCTTTTGTGATACTGGGAGAAATTAATTTCCTAAGCTTTCTTCATCAACTAATCATCGTTGGAACCTCGATGGTAAATCATGTGAACAGGATACAGGTTCATGGGACAGCACTGATGCGCTTACACAACTGCTGGCTGTGATTAAGTAGTTATTCTTTAATTTCACGGTCCAAATTCATAGTCTGGAGCTTTTTTAAAGCTATATACCGTGATGTTAGCCCCCTTTTCAAGTTTGACTTTATCGTACTAAGGTAGGCTTGGGCAACTCAGGTAGTATCGAGAAAGGTTCCTGGGAGGGGTATGAGACTTTCATTTTTCATATAAATACACAGCTAAGGCTATCAGCATTCCATTTGCTTTCAGTCACGTGGCATGCTGTCAACAAGCAAGCTTCATGTAGTGTTGTGATGGGTGAACATTATATGGGGCTCTCAAGATCATGGAAAGGTAGACTAGACTCAAGCCATGGAACAGCAAGAAACAGGAACGCAAGGCGGATAGATCTCTAGAGAAAGATATTTTAGGAACATTAATGTGGGCATTGGATTTCTTTCAAGATACTAATGACTTAGGGTATCTCATACTGCTTGAAAACCGTTCATTGTCTTCGACGTTTCATAACAGTTAGCCCGAATCCATGCACAATGTAAGTTTCATCAAGCACCTGAAAATGAGTGTTCTCAGAAGATATTGACATTTGGCACACTATTATTTAGTGGATTAATTGCTTATGAATGATCTGCGTGTTGGTATGCGAGTAAACCATTCATCGGAACAAAATCGGCATGCAATTGTTCATCAAAGTGACAGCCTGATACGAACCTTTGCGCGAATCAACCCAACAGTTACGTATCAATTGGTATGCGATGGACTCAAACTCGCCTTACAATTTGAAAATATCAGTACTAGGTAGTATTGATTGCTGAAGCTAAGGTGGCCCCCTTTATAGGTAGCGCACTCAAATATATTTCACCTCTTAACATTAGAGGCAAGTAGCTGGATAGGTCTTCCAAGAAGAATAGCCGAACAAAACCACCGATCGCAGTTTTTCAATTAGAGTGTCGTTACAATAGCACGAGTATCGCTATCAAAGTCAAGAACAACATGCAACCCTCCAACTGCCAGCAGTCGTATGGGCTGCTAATTTAAGCTCTATGTCGATCTTTTTCAAGCCCGCATCAACGCTGGGATATGAATCATATGATGGGTCTTGTTGCTATCGTAGAGTTCGTTAAATAAGTTATAGTATAGATGTCGACGTTAAAGACGCCACCGAGTAGTTCTAAAGGCAGCGCAAAAGCGACAAAGCTGCCTCCTCCACGACAAGCTATTTCAGAACTACAATCAGTATGTACCTAACACTTGAAACTGAGCTCGAGATAGAAAACGTCATTGGGCATACGGACCCCACGAATCCCCCCCGGTCTTTGTATGCATGTAAGACCTTGGCAATTCCCGTATCAAGAATAGCAGCCCGCTCATTTCCCCTACATCCGCTTGTGCCACGCACTACCGGACAAATCACACCACCCGCGTTCAACTTACCAAGAGCCTGCTGTCTAGTGCAAGGCGAAGTGGCAAAGAAAGCCTTACAGCTAGGAACAAGCGAATGGACTTCCGCCCTACTGCCGCCCATCTTCGCCCGGGTTCCGTGTATGCTGCGACGCCGAGTAGGATTCTGTAAACAGTCATTGGTCGATACACAGAAATCCTGAATTGGCGAGCAAATAGTTTTAATTCAAAGAGATTTCCCAAGAATCCTTCCATTGTGGCCTGTTGGCATCAGTGCCCTTTACCCACCGCGGCCCTTGGATCCAGACCTATGTCCCTGCTCCATCGCTCACATTAACCACTGAATTATCCCTATTGTCATCCGCGGCGTGCCCATTGTCTCTAAAAAAAACATTTGCAAATCGCAGTGGTAGCCGCAAGATGGAACCGACTTCTACGCGACATGACTTTAGGGCTTGGTTGATGGACGGAGACACGTGTAAGCCACTCTGCCTTGCCTGAGTCTATCATGATGCTTTCATTTTGAAGAGTGCGAGTAACTCATGGGGTTTTCGAACGCCGTATAGTCACCGCCATCTATTGCCCTCTCAAGCAAACACACATCACCTCCGGGAGCTACGCGACATGTTGCCCCTCCGCCTCTTGCAAAATGGTCACGGCATGCCGCGACAACACGTTATACTCTGATAGCGGCACCGGCCGGTTCTGGTAAGACGTTGTCCGTAGGACGAGAGATTATATCAGAAATAGCTAACAAAGCCATCACAGCGGTACCCGTGCCGGCGATCAATGTGGCACGGTATCCATCTACCAGAATTACCCGTCAGGGGAGCCTATCATGACGCATATCCACTGCCGCCTCTCGACTTGGGGCACCATCATGTACCGGGAGCTCGGTGCGACCATGACCGCAAGGTGTAAGTGTCTTGTTTCAATCACGTTCAACATATTTTCGCAACGAGATCAAGAGCTAACCCCTTGCCCCCTTTAAACAGCCACAGCCGCAGCAACAGAAACAGATCCCCTCATCACAGAACCACCAGCCACATCCGCCCCGAGCGATACGCCCGCCCCCGGCCCTTCCGAGTCCCAGTCGAGTAAAGCGTGGATAGCCGGCGCAGTCATCGGGCCTTTGGCAGGCATCGCAATAATCGGCCTTGTTGTCTTCATGGTGTGGAGGCGGCGACGGAGGGGAGCAGCTGGAAGAGACGACCCGCGGAAGAACGGAGACTTGGCTGAAGCACCCGACTCGTCTGTCCTGGGTTCGGCATACGCAAAGTCGCATGGCGGCCCCTCGCCGGTGGGAAACTGGCAGCAGAATCCGCAGCCAGTGTACGAGATGAATGGGAGCTACCCGCCTCCGCCAGCGGAGTTGGATTCAGGGACCGTCTACGAGATGAACGGACAAAGTACAACACGGAATGCTGGAAATGGACACATATGAAGAAGCTTGAAGGTGAATGAACGCTTGGCATGTAAGGTTGTCAAAGATATATGAGTGAAAGCGTTGCAAGAGGTAGGGATGTGTTGGAGATACAACTGGATGCTATTTCTGCATGGCGCTGCTTAGGTGATTATAGCAGCTTGGACGACCCTCTCTTTGTACGAATACCCGGTGGGAGCCCCAGATGAGGACGACGGCAAATGAATTAAAGACGAAGACGATGAATTCCGAGGCTATGGTAGTGGCGGGCAAGGACAAGGACAATGGGCGCATATGCGGAGGAAGAAAACATGTGCTCACAAATTGGAGATGAGGTACAAACAAGGGACATCAACAATCATCACTTCAGATCACAAACAATCGATAATATGTACCAACGATACCACCTCCCAACCCTGACATCCCCCACCCCTCCCATCTTTCCCCGGCTGCAGAGCAACCAGAGTCCGGGATTGGGGCAGATAGCAGGATGACGCGGAGGCTGGGAGAGCAAATGGTCAATTCGCAAGCAGAACCACCCAGTTGCCCCCGCCCGTAAAAATTCCCTGTCCAATATGTAGGAAACGTTGGCTCCGTCTTGTGGCATCCCCGACAACACTTCATCTTGCGATCTTGTGCCTTGCGAAAGAGCCCAGAGGACGGCTTCTTAATGTACCGCTCGTAATACAGAGCTGGATCAAGGATGAATCTCTCCTTGCGCTCCACCTTGACGTGCGGATGCCTTAGCCTCGAAAGACTCGGCTAATGTGCATAGTGTGGTTCATGTGAAAGACAGGGAAAAGAAAAAGAAGATAATAGTAATAAGGCATCAACGGCATTAGTCTTTGGCGCGTACCAAGGGTCGTGCTGTAGCTGGAACGGCCTATGGGTATCGTACATTTTGTTGTCTCGTCTGATTCAAGATTCGTTAGCCAGCATAGCGAAATGGCCACCTCAGTTATCCTCAAAGAAGACCTTCTTGCGTCCACTGCCACGGTCGTCTTCCATATTCTCCAGAGCTCGATCAATCTCCAAGATATCCAACATCTCCACCTCAACATCACGTGTCGTTACGTCGTCTTGCAAATCCGCGGCAGCGCTGAGAGTTTCGGCGAAACCGAAACCAGACTTTGGCCGTCCGATCGGCAACGTGAAATCGTGGGTGGGGTCGTCATCGGGAACAGAACTGTCGCGTCCGCGGGACTTCGGGCGCAGGCTTCTCGTCTTGTTAACGCTCAGGTTGAAGGAGACGTTGCGAGGCTGGTCTGGTCGGGGATGGACAATGATGGCGCTAGGCGGCTCTGCTTTCTTGTCGCCGAATAGACGCCGGCGAGTTGATACTACACCCCCGATCTTAGCGCCAGGTGCATCTTCTGATTCGTGAACGATAACCAATCGGCTCTCGCCCATGACAAGAACTTCGATCTGCAAGCCTCCGTCATTGTCCTCGAGCTTGGCGAAGTTCACAGCAGCTCCCACACCGCAGCAACGCTCGCCCAGAAGTCCCGTGGATAGGTCATGTAGTCGGATCATCTTCGTGGGAGTGGTGCCACTGAATAGGTTGACACCGCCTCCAGAGCCGCGTCTCAGCTGGGAATCCCAGAAACGAGAAACAGCAGGAATGACAGAAACGTTATCGAGTCCGCCAATCCACAGAACGACGCTCTCGTCAGCAGAGCCCGAGCCACTGCCAGGCAAGGGAGTAACAGCAATGCCGCCTCTAATAGCCACAAGGCGTTCTAGAGAGCCACCAGCGCTCAAGGATGCAGCAGCATCACGTCGGCTGTGGGGTGTCATGGGTACAAAGTCTCCGTTTCCATTTGACCTTGGCACAGCAGCCGTGGTTCGCAAGGGGCCCGTACCCTCGACATGCCCAGTGGCACTGAAAGCTGTCAGCGCAGCGCCCTTGATTCCAGAGCTGTTCTTTCCCAAAATAGAGCCGCCTAGTGGGCTGGCACCGTCCACATCCCATATTCCCCAAGTACCGTCGGCGAGTAGAGCAAGAACAGCTCTGCCATGGGCGATCCAAGCTGCATCGAGAATGGGTTTCCGTGTAGATGTAGGGCGTGTGAAAGGCTGGAACAGGGAGAGGAGCCATGATCCTTGGCTCGGGAAGGGGCCTGTGGCCTGGTCATCAGGCGGCAGGGAAGGCAGTGCAAAATCGTAGATACGGACGGCATGCGGTGAAGCTACCGTCAGCAGTTGAGTGAGGTGTGTAGGATTAAAGGATATGCTCGAGAGGGGGCTAGGCAGATACTCGGTTTGGAAAGGGTTGATACGGCCGCTAGCTTCACCAGGCTGAACATCCAAGGGAACATCCCAAAGGCGTAGGGTACCAGCTGCCTCGCGGGTATGAGATGCCACCACGAGACGGGGTTTCTGTGAGGCACCAGACTGTTCCCGTATCCGTTCTGAGTTGGAGGATGTCTTGGGTTTGATTAATGACATGGCGACGCCTTCACTGTGCTTGTACTGGCCGCCGAGGAAGATGACCCTCTCACCCCACTGGCCCGAACCTGCCTTGCCAGCTAACAGACTGGATCTCAGCTCCGGTCTTGCCTTACTCTCAGGGCTCGGTGGCGTTAGTGGAAGAGTAACGACATAGACTTCGTTGGTGGCACAAGCCACTGTGAAGACCATCTTCTCCTTGAGGACATCAGCTCCTTCCCAAGCTGCGTCTTCAGCGGGGCATGGTGTCATGGGCAATACCGCCAAATGCAGAGCAGCGGTGCCAAGAGAAAGATCGAGAGTCTGAATGATTTCAGGATATGGCGTATCCTCCTCAGCATCTTCAAACTCGGGTTTATCAATAAAGGGCGCTGAAGCCTTCGATGACTTGGCTGGTGGTTCGTCCTCGTCGGAATCAATAATCATGACCGCATCGTCCGGGGCCCCATTTTGTTTTGGAGATGGCAATGGCTTCTTCGTTGGCTTGAATCGACGCCCTCCCTTCCATACAATGGTAACACCATTATCGTGACCGTAAAGAAGGATGGTGGCTCCTTGAGGAGACTGGACAGGGTAGGTCTTCACATTGTGGATGCGTCTCGAGAGGTTGTAGCTAGAACGAAGTTAGCATGTAATCTGGCGCAAAGCAGTATATTTCCAGGCAATGCGCGTACGTATATTGTGTGTTTTGCGACGTGCGTCGAACCCGTGGCGTGGGCTGGGCCATGGCTGATTCTTGTGATGGTTGTTTTCGATGGATGGTGGAAGGAAGCAATACCGAAGCCTCGCGATCGGCGTAAACGATGGGCGCTCGAGAGTGCCTGCCTTGGTTGTTTTTCGTCCAGGAGTAAAGATGATACACAAGGCAATGAATTGGGGGTTGAGATGTTGCGGGGAGCAATTGCACGCAGACTGCGATTAACTTCCCGGATACTGAAGTTGGAGCTGGTTCTCAAGCAAAAACGCGATGAGAGTCGCGAAAAGCATCGCAGGCGGCAGCTTCTGTGGCTGGTCCCCACAGGGCTTTTTCTGCCAGTGTGGCTAGCATTAGGCGGTGTGTCTGATGCAGTGCAGTGATTCGGCTGATAATAGGGCTGTCACCACCTGGCACCATCTGTGTCCAAGCCCCCCGCTCCATACCGAAACTCTTAGAGCTCCAGCTGTGTGAGCTCAGAGCTTCCATCGCTCACCAGTTGATCTGTTTATTGAGGCGACAGGGACATTGGCCCGCCTTTGAATCGCTCCGTGCAGATCTTTCGAGATACCAAGTTTATTCTTGTCTAACTTCGTTTCTCGCCATCCGAGCCTAGAAATTGGCAATTACCTGGATCTACACACCAGCTACTGGCCAATACTCAACTCCACCCAGCTTAATGTGGTGAATAGTGAGACTCAAGATCCCATCGCCGCCTAGTAAGTTCCCAACAAAGCCGAGTTTCTTAGCAATTCCATAATTGTACAATCTTACTAAATCATATAAACATCAAAAGTTCGCCTTTATTCACTCGTTTCTCGTCGACCAGCGTTTACTACAGCGCAATACCTGTCACTCAGCTAGTCTCACCAAACCGACAAGATGCTGACCCCGACGGTTGCCAACTCCACAACCTTTTTCTATCCCGTTGGCAACACTCCAGCTTTGAACCTTGCAAGAGCTTTGCCTCAAGGTCTCGATGTCAGTTTACTACTCTTGGGGTGCGGGGACGTGAGACACATCTTGCACACAGCCTACAATGAGGTTGGACTACGTAAGGCACTTTCCCCTATTTTTGCCCGCTAGAATCCACTGACACGGGATTAGCCAGCCGAAGTCTAGATATTACGTGCAACGATTTGGATGAGGCCATCATCGGTATGTAGCCTCTTCATGTCGCAGATACCTATACTGACCAGTTAAAGCGCGTAACATCCTGCTATTTTCGCTACTACTAGACAATGACGCATCGACAAATACACCCTGGAGTCTCTATTATGACCTTCGTCTTTCCAAATCAGACCTCGACATTCTTTCGGCACAACTCAAGAAGCTTATTGCGGCGTCAGAGTCCTTGGCTTCGTGGAAAGCCAGCTCATATGGCAAAGCCTTGCCTTTCTCCGATCAAGCCACCTTTGACGATGTTCGTACGATCTGGAAAAGCTTTCATGATGCCGCCTCCTCAGACGACATATCCGCGAACATGGCGGCCCTCCAGGCGAATTTGAGGTATTCTTTAGAGATTCGAGGAATCGCTTTCGGCAACGACGCCCAGGTTATGACTGGTCTACGATCCGCTGCCCCAGTCGCTTTGCAAAATTTCCAAAACATCATCGAGGCCTCCGAGTCGTACTGGAAATCTGCCTTTGCCGAACCCAGTGGCTCTGCCAATATCCCGAACCCCCTCTTTGCCGCTACCTTGTCAAAGCACAGAGTCCTCCACTACGGCACCGACCCAATCCTTGGCTTCCACCTCGCCAATGCTTTCGTTACTTTGAGCAATTCATCGCCTCTGAGACCTGAACAGAAAGATGATGAGCTGAAAGCTTACGCAGCGGCCAAGACCCAGTTCAGAGAATGGGCAGCTGCGTGCGGCACCCTGCTTAAAACCAAGAAACTTGTCATTCGCTCCGTTGTTAGCGATGCTTTGGCCTTTTGCCAGACACTCCAACACTTTGTGGTGACGAAAGAGAGGTCGGGCGGCTGGTACCGCAGGCAGTTCGATGTTCGATCCCTTTCTTTGGACCCCGACGTTTACGGCAGCAAACGAGCCGCACCTACATCGTTCGATGCCATCGACACATCCAACCTCGCAGACTATCTCGGTACACTTAGCTTGATCACATCCGCACTACCTCTTCTCACTGCCCGCCCTTGGTCGTCTCTCTTCACAGAGACTCTTCTCAAGACAGAGGAAACTACGAAACAGGCATTCGATAAGCTACTCTTTGGCGACGGGCCCACGATATCTCTGTTGCTGGGTGCCAGTCCGGTTGAATATTGGACCAACTCTACCGCGGTATCATGGGTTGATGAGATACTCATCGGCCTTACCTCTGGCATGTCCAGTCCTGACAATCAAACCCAGAGCCAGTGTCACTGTCGCATAAACTGGAAACAGAGCAAATTCTTCTCCGGTGTCAACACCGCGCAACCCCTCAAGGTTGACCCTGAAGCTCTTGCCGGCGTCGTCTTTAAGACGTATCTTGACATCTTCGCCCATGAGAATCCAATGAAGCTTCTCTCCATCTCCAAGGCTTCCATGACGCAGCTGATCAGGAACACTGCCTACACCAACTTCCACCGCGGAACTCTCGTTGCCTTGCTGCGTTATCTGAAACTGCGACTCTCTGTGTCTGATTTCGAAACCACGATCAGAATCCTCCTCGAGAAGTACTCTTTCGAGAGAAGCCTGATGTTTACAGGCAATTTGAGACAGGAATTGTCCCTCCAACTGCATACCCAGGACCTTTTCTCCGAAGACTGGCTCCGAAGGGACATTCGTCCTAACCGAAATCTCGGTGGCTTCGATTCGTGGGAATCTATTCCGGAGGTCGTCGCCGTGAGCCTTGTCGTCCCAAAGGAGGGGATAACTCGCATGTTCAGCGGCTCAGATCAGGCAAAGATAGCATCTCCAACCGTAAGAGGAGCCATGGTCTCTGGCAAAGATGCCGATCATAAATGGCACAACTTCTTCGACGATGTCCAGCTCGCCTTCGGTACCATCAAAACCAGCGGTGACAGAGAAACAAACGCCTTCTCCGTGACCATTGAGCCTGATCCCGCTGGTTGGGCCGGAGACTCCCCCCTCATCGCGTCATTCTACGTACCTGCAGCGGCCCTTCAGGTGGAGCGCAAGACTTCGTACGTTCGTCTGGAGGTCCAAGCCTCTGCGCAAAACATTGCCGTCTATCAAAAGACGCTGGGCGAGGAGTTGAAAATTCACGAAGCAAAACTGGGAGATGAATCCAGCGTGTACATTGCGAAGCACCTGCCTGGCCAGACCAGGTATCCTGCTACTTGTGAAGCTGCCGGCGCTGTCGCGGAATCGGAGACGCAGACCAAGGGCGAGACACAAGCCATATTTACCGCCGATATAACCAAGGAGCAGGACAAGATCGCTACTATCACAGGCCATCTCGACTTCTTGTCTGACAAGGGCAAGAAACTTCTCACCGACAAGGTCCCGGTCACCATGGAGCAAGAATCGCCCTTCACGATCAACATCGTATTCGGCAACAAAGAGCACGTATACCCTCTCGTCTTCCCCATCCCGGTTGACGCAAGCAAAGCCAAAACGCGCATCGCCCGCAAGTCAGCCTACTTTGAGGTCATCGCCCCTCTTGCCACGCCCTCCACCGATCCTCAGACCAAATCAGTCCTCTCGGACTTTGTCTACCCAACAACCCTCGCCCGGAACCTGTCTAATATTCCCGCGGACCTCAACACCCCGCACTTCAACCTTGATCGGCTCCCCATCATCGACCTTACTGACAAGGCCGCCAACCGCTGGATCACGACTCTCCTATCATTCCAGTTCTCCGTCCGCGAGAAGGCGATGCGCGAGGAAGTCAACGCAGGCAGAGAGAGCCTCTCCACCTCCAACCGCCTCAATTTCAAAGAATCCCTCTTCACAATGTTCATGCTCTCCACGGGCCTGCAGGGTGGCCAGACGGGCCTCTTCAGCCTCAGCCATCCCGACGGCAGCGGCACGCACATGCTCATTTTCGTATCAGCGGTCCGACTTGACGCCTCGTCGGGCTCCATCGTTCTCGATGCGGCCGTGATCCCCTTTACGGAGTCCATCGTCAAGGAGCTCGAGTCCTTCCTGCTCATCCTCCGCACGCTGGAGATGTGCTCCATCACCGTCAATGACGAGGAGCTCGTCTTCTGGCGCAAGGTGCTTCCTTCTCTTGCGGAACGCAGTCGCACGTGGGATCACAAGTCATCGTGCGAGTATAGCAAAGCCGGCTCTGCACCCGTGTCGCTGAGGATAGGCGAGCCGATCCTGTGCTCGTGCGGTGCCGGGCGGTTGCCGGATGATTTCGTCGGCCTCCCTGAATGGGATACCGCGGCGAAATATGCCACGCGTGTTGCCATCAGTCCTACCTTTGCGGTGCCATTCGTCGACGATGTCGTTGATTTTGACGCGTGGAAGCAGAGCGGCGGCGGTGCGGCCCGCCAAGAACCACAGGAGAGATGCACCAATTGCGGCAAGACCTCCGGCAAGGATGGCGCCGCGTTGAAGAAATGTATGCGGTGTTTGCGGGTAAAGTATTGCAGTGGTGAATGTCAGAAGAAGGATTGGCGCAAGCATCGCGGGGAGTGCGAGGAAAGCGATGAGTACCTGAAATGATGGCTGCTATAGGTTTAATTAGCGATGAACAACGTCAAATGGCAACACCCCCTCAAAAGGCTTCCCCAGCTCTATTCCTTTTTTTTTCCATTTTGATGTAATTGCTCGTTAGAGCTGCAGCCTTATTCTACATGGGTTTCCAATCCACACGCTAAGGATTCAGCTATTGTACTTTGGCGGATGCGACTGATCCCTAATAGGTCGCTTCGCAGTGGCTATGGCAGCGAGGCAACCAACAACAGCACATTAAAGTCGCGGGACAGCCTCGAGATAATTGTGCTTACGCGCTTCCCATTTCGCTTCCTCACAACAACTTGACGAGATTTTGAGAATACTTAACGCATCAGCTGTCGATACATGGTTCACTTTGTTTGAAACCTCTCAGTTTAGTCGCAATGTGGCTCATCAATACAGAGACGCTACAGCTGGAGGAAATCGAGGACCCCTCCGCCACTGTCTACGCCATCCTCTCCCATACCTGGGGCGAGGAGGAAGTCACCTTCAAGGACATAAGTTGTCTTTCGAAAGCAGAGAAAAAGAAGGGTTTTGTAAAGATTGCAAAAACATGCGAAATTGCACGACGCAAAGACCTCAAGTATGCCTGGGTAGACACGTGCTGTATCGACAAGACGAGCAGCGCGGAGCTCAGCGAGGCCATCAACTCCATGTTCCCATGGTACCAACGATCGGCCGTCTGCATAGTCTACCTGGCAGACCTCGCACCATCGGCGAGCACCCAAGACCCAGAAACCCCATCATCACCCTCGACGGCTCCGCCGTCCAGCAAGACGGACTCGCTCCATGACCTATCGGACCTTGGCTCCTGCAGATGGTTCAGCCGGGGCTGGACGTTACAAGAACTCATAGCGCCAGCCAACGTAGAGTTCTACGACGTCGACTGGCAGTTCCGCTTCACCAAGGAAGAAGTGGCGTCGAAGCTGTCGTCCATCACCCAGATCGACGTCGGCGTTTTGAGGATGACCAAGCCCCTCAAATCTGTGCTCGTCGCCGTCAAGATGTCATGGGCGTCGAAACGCCAGACGAGGCGGCCCGAGGATATAGCTTACTGCCTCCTCGGCATATTCGACATCAACATGCCCATGCTTTACGGCGAGGGAAGCAAGGCTTTCCTGAGACTACAAGAACAAATCGCCACTCAGTCCGACGACGCCTCTCTATTCTCGTGGCATTCCACCGACGCGAGCCAAGTCTACCGCGGCGTCTTTGCCAAATCCCCGATGGAGTTCGCAGGGTGTTCGGGAGTCAAGCTCGGAAACCGATCCATGTTCGCGAAGCCAGAGTTCTCCCTCACGAACAAGGGCGTCAGGTTCCACGTGTCGTCGTATCAGTGCGAAGACGACACCTCCACGGTGATGCCCCTGGGTCTCCAGAACGACTGTCCGACGTGCCTCGAGAGGCATGACGTGCTCGTGCTGCTCGTCTCCACGGCCAAGGGTTGCGTGCGCACGTCTTCCGAGAGATGCTGCCCGTGGCCGGCCGGGGAACGGAACCAGGACAAGGACATATACACGTGCAAGCAGGTCGACCCCCTGGAGAGCGCCGCCCTCGAACAGCTCGTGCGCCGCCCGCTGAGGCTGTCGTACAGGTTCGACCCGGGCGCGCTCAAGTCCATCGACCCGTACCCCACCGACTTCTGGGACTTTGGCTTTTACGGGTACAGCGGCGACGCGTTCTCGGAGGACTTCACGGGCTACATCAACGTCTACGCCGAGTTCAAGGAGCCGCTGGTGCTGGCCATGCTGATTTTCAAGATAGCGGGCCAGGATCCCGACGTGGAGATTTACGCAGTGCCCATATCCGACGAGAAGATATGGGAAGTCGCCGAGGATAGCAGTTTTCGCGCTCTCTACGGCCAAGGCCGCATCGAGATTGACGGGCTTTTCGCAAAGTACAAACTCGCAAAGGAAAGCGGGGAGTATCAGCCAAAGGCGAATGTGAAGGTCCAGAGACTCGGTGAGCCGGACGGGCGGCCCCGCAGCGTAATGTTTGATGCCGTCGTCGAGGAGGGCCCCAGGATTGTGCTACACCAGAACTGCGAGTATGACTCTGAAGACTCTGGGGACGCGAAGGACTGGGAAGATGTACACTCAGACTCCGCAAATTCGGAGTTTGGTGGTTCTCAAATAGCAAGGAGTTAGTTTGCTGTACGGGTGGTGGTGGTGTGTGCTCTACGTTAGTTAGTCGTGTGTGGGAGCAAAAGCCAGAAGCGGTCATGTCACACGATTTAAGGTCTTGGGAGATGATGATATCCGACTCTCGCAGTCCAATTTCCTTTTAGTTTCGTATGAAGAGAAACAAATCAGCCTTGTATTTATTTCCAGCAATGTCCCCCAATTTTGGAATCCCAGTATATTCTACAACGAAACACACGGGGGGGGGGGGAGCCCCCCTAACTCTACTCACCTGTCCCTCCTTCAGACCAAAGAAAAAAGTTCCCTTGCCGGGGCCCAAAAGATTTCCAGAGCCGATCGTCGTTTCGCCCCCAGGCCGATCAAGACGTCACACAGCCCGTCCGAATACCACATCATAAAACCCGGGACTCGGGGAGTCGACACACGAGGGCAGTGTGCCAAGAATCCAGTTAAACCCGTCACAGGACCCAGCTCGGTATCCCGAAATCCTGCCACGAAAGTCAGAAATCCCCATTTCTCTAGTCCCCGTCAGAAAGGTCCCGGGAGGGCGAGGGGCCTTGAAGATGTGGACGACATTAGTGTAAGTCGCAAGGCAGACAGACACCACACAAACCCACCTCCCCACCGCTCCCAGCCCTGGTTTCTTCTTCATGAACCCGAATTACAATAGGGCGCGTCGAAGCATCATGGGATTGTCCCTCGCCTTGAAACACATTCCCAGCCACCTTGTTATCCCCCCCCCCCCCCCCCCCGTTGCCACCGTCATAACATGTAGAGGCATCTCGAGTGTCCGACTTGGCGTGAACAAATGCCGTCAAGCTAGACCGGGACCCGATGGCCACGGAGGATCAGGGTCTGCCCCTCCATCAAGTCACACCATCAGTATATACCACATACTACCCACCCAGACAACTCACAGCTTAACAAAACCAATGATAATAAGAGCGGTCAACGTCCGTTACTTGCACCATCCAAATAGACAATCACAAAATCCAATAATACCAAAGGCATCGACATAAGCGGCACCGGCTGGTGCATCGTCAAGTCTAAGCGCCGAACGGTTGATCAGTCGACCACCCACATACGCACACACACACACACACACAGAGAGAGGCTAACTAAACCCCTCACAAAAAAAACAGCAAAAAAAAGAAAACCGCCAGCGATCGTCAGGGGTCCTTAACATGACACACCCAGCCCCGTTTTTCTTTCCCCAGCGCACCCACCGCCGAACCGCGGTCCAACACGCACCGGACCTCGCAACCTAACACAACCGGCATTCGCGATCACCCCCCCTTTTAACATCCAATCCGGCGTCTTTTTACCATTGTCGTTCCATCTCCACGTGCCCGGAGGCCTGCCTTGTGGGAATGGGGGCCCAAACAGATCCTTACAAAAAAACCGGGTTTTGGAAAAAAAAAAAAACTTGGTAAAATATAATCGCGGGCCAAGTTGAACGGCGTTTATTTGCCAAGCTTAAATCATAAATCATTAGTCGGTGTACAGAACAGAGTAGGTAGCACTGAGCGTTTTATTTACATGTTTGATTCTCCTTCGTTTTGTGTTTGTGATTTTTTCTCCGAGTGGATCGTGGAGGACAAGGTCGATAGGCACAATTAGCACACGGGAAACATAGAGAGTCTTTAGTAGGCGTAGTAAAGAGAGTCCTTGAGGCGGTCAAGTGAACGGGGCGGTCGACAAGAGAGTCAGTATGACGGATCGCCATGTCATGTGACTTGGTTATCCTCAATTGAGAGAACATGCCAAGTTGTGTTCCCCGGAAAAAGCAAGTCACGAGGTTAAAACCCGGGTCCGTGACACGGGGGGCTCGGTGACGACGCTACGCCGGCCAACGGGGGTTTGTCTACTGCAAAGTTCACGGCCCTTCCACTACTGATATCACTACAAGTAGACGGGCCAAGGCGGTCTGAGAACTGTCATATGTGAGACAAGACTCGTGAAGATGAGGTCATTGAATGCTCGATTACTATGCCCATTTCCTCCAAGTACATCGAACGCTTAGGTTATCAGAAAAAATTCCAGCACCGCGGCCTCATGGCCCTTTCCTTCGAGCAGAGAATACTTTCAACCAACACTCCCAAAGTCGGCCCTCCTTCCTTTCCGCCGTCACGACACCCTCCGGATGCTGGCATTGTCGGGCTCGAGTACAGCCGTGTATATGCAGCCCCGGCAAGGCCGCCGCGTCGTCCATAATATGAGGGCCGTTGTACTATACACACAAGATGGAAAGGGCGCCACCATACTCCGTCGCAACACTTTCCATCAAATGTCGTTAAATAAAAAAGAGGATATCCCTAACCGCCGCCGATAGATTTTAAGGAGATATTCCGGCCGGCCAAACCCCCGGTGAGAGGAATCGTGTGAAAAATAAAAAGATGCCCAGCGGGGGTGGTGTGGATGGCGGACCGGGATGTTTGGTGATGGATTGAGATTTTTTGGTGGTAGTGATGGTGATGGCGGGTTGGTCTGGGAAACTGTCTCGAGACGCCCCCTTGGATATATCCGAGAAAATGTCTAAAAAGTATTTGCAAAAGGAGTGAACGGCGTAGGGGGTTTCGTGCTAAAAAGGCGATTTTTGTGTCCAAAACGATGAATCTAACGCAAACCCATATCGGAAAATTCGACTTCTGTTCCCTACACCTTAATACATATGAAATCCGACGACACTGGTCGTTTTCGGAAGATGTCCCCGAGTAAGCCAGCGTCGGGAAATTAAACACCTCAAAACGCCATAGATGCCAGAATGTAAAGTAATTTAGTAGCCGTAGGCTCGTCGTTGGTCGTCGCGACGTGAGTTGTTCATGCGTTTGTAACCTAAAAATAAACAGTCAATATATTTTTGCATCCCCCAAGAAACTGTCAGATATACTCACTCGAAGAATCTTTCGCGAGTAATCTTGGTTGTCCGCGATACTTCCGTCGCTCATGCGGCGGTGAGCAAGCGTGGGATCCATGCGAGAGTCCGTCATGGAGACACCGCTGCTGCTGGGAGGCTTGGAACCGCCAATGAAGGCGTTCACGGCAGCGTTGCGGCGGTGCTCCTCCTCAATCTCCTGGTTGCGCTTGCGACGGATGAAGAAGAAGGCGCCTCCGACAATGGCAGCAATGACGACAACGCCAACAACGACACCGGCGGCGATGCCGGCTACGTTTGTGCCACCCTTCTTGGAATCACCAGTGGGCGTCGGTTCCGTAGTCGGAGTCTCAATGATCGTTTGCATGGGGCCTGGTGAACTTGTTGTGGGCTTGGCAGTAGAGGCCACCGAGGTCGACACAGGCTGCGCGTTTGGCACAACTAGTTTGATGCCAGTGTTGTAAACCGAGTAGAACAAAGTAGGAAGGTCAACACCACCGCCTGTGGTCCAAGTCAGTAAGATTCGCCATATTAGTAGGGATGGAGAACAACGTACAGGCCTCCAAGTTATAGCCTGGACAGGGGAAGTTGCACTTGGTGTCGGCAACAAGAGAGTCCGCTGGCGGATATTCGTTACCACAGTAGCAATCTTCGCCGTTGATGGCAGCAACCTCCTGTTGCTGTTTGTCCTTGCATTCTCCCGTGCAACTGCCCACACTCAGGTTATCCACGGGGTATTTCTTCCACGAGGTAGCATTTGCGTTGAAGCAGCCATGGGAGGTGATTTGATTTTGCGTGGGAAGCTTGCTGGGTCTCTGCCAAATACCACCAGTGGATGACTGGGCAGCGGCGACGCCGAAAGCCACGGCTGCCAAAAAGGCTGATGAAAACTTCATTTTCGGTTATGATGGTGTTGAGCGAATGTGAGAAAAAAAATAAAGTCGAATGAAGGGCGTTGTTTAAGGAAGTCTAGGAATTCGAAGTGACGACCAGAGTCGTTCACGCGGGTCAGGGGCTAATGACTTCTGCTGTGGGATCGGCGACGAATATTTCCAACTCGATAATCTTGCAAAATCCCTCCCGTTCGTTCAAACTGTTGTCCGTCGATGAGCCGGTTGTTCGATCGGTCGAGGATACGGAAATGTTGGGCGAGCGAGCGTGTCGGAACTGGGGAGGACCGTGACTAGGTCGTGCGTCCGAGAAGCAAGACGAGTCCGAACGAATGTGTGGGCACGGCAGGCCTACTTTCCTTTTCGCAGGTGTCGAGGGTTTGCTCAAGGTATTGTTGTCGTCGTCGTCGTCTCCTTTTTTGCAGCAAAAGAGATATCACCGAATAAATGACATCGAAGGTGAGCGCAACAGAACAAGGGAAAGGAGGAGACCTTGGCGGATCGTGGATGAGTAACAGGCGGTTGGAAGAGGGAGAGAGAGAATTGGGGGGGTAGGGGAGGAAATTGGAACGAGTGACAGCGGGCGGAATTGGAGGGAATGGCTTGTTTTGTTGAAAAGAGGGAAACGAGCACGGAGTGGGTTGAGATGAGGAGGAAAAGCGAGATTGCGAATCCACTTTGCAGCACATCCCGGGGGGTTCGGGGGAGGCAGTGTGGGTGTAGACCCAGAGTACGTACCTTTCTATTCTCTACCGTCTTTACGCACTACCGTACAGTTTAGCAGTATAATCAACCGTTATGTCTGTCAGTCACTCCTCGCCCACATGTGCATACATACAATACACACACCATCTTCTCTCTTGTTCGTATTTTGCACAACATCTGCATAAAAAGGCAAGGAGTCACAGAATTGTCATCCACCCTTTCGTCAAAAAGGAAGCAAAAAAGCCGTGGTATCCGCCAGTCATCACCTGCGAGGGACGGACTCGTACTGGGGCAAGCCTTGAAGAGCATGATACAGAGGCACCAGTAACAGCCCAGGCTCCCCTGGCAAAAGCTCCAAGGGGCCTTCAGACGGGGACACTGACGCTTGGGACTAGGGGAGGCCAAACGGGCACTTAACCCCTTCCTAGTCACTCTAGTCTGGGCTTGGAGTCTCTGAGGGAAGCAGCCACGATTGGAACCCAGGCGGTTTTGGGCTTAGGCTGGGCAACAGTTTGACGCGGCCATCGTCCAATGGCTCCATGCCGTGCCTGGCACAGACTCCATCCGTCCTGATTTTATTGGATGAAGTTGCCCGTTCTGTTGTCCAACGGCGCCGACGATTGGATACGCCCACTAGATGCCAACAGGGGTCCCTAATCAAGTCTTCTCCCGGAAGAATCCAGGAACCAGAAGCACCGTCAGGGGCGCAGTTGGCTGTGCAGATCACTGACATTATGGGCCTCCATAGTATCCTATACCTACAGCTGCGTCACAACCCTGTTAGCGATTGCGCCTTAACATCATTACTCTAGTCTAACATGGGCTTGGTTTCCAGTACACACAATCGTCACCGTCAGTGATCAGATCCACTTTCCAATTAAATCCTTCACAAAATACAACACAACACCACAACCACCGCCAATACACTTGGCAGCCTTCATAAAATCTTGGTTTGTGCAGCCAGGAAAAAAAAAAAAAAAAAAAAAAGGGGGGAGGGCCGTGGATAACTTGTCACACCCACTCAACTACATCATAAGCGATAGCGATACCGGGCATGGCATATGAAATGGGGCATCCTGTTGAGTTATGAAAGACGACACGACGCTGGTTGTGTCTAGCGAAAGTGAAGCGCTTGCTCGCCTGCATCGAAGCTCGTGATCTTCTCATGGGGAGAGTCATTTTTAGAGCCGGACATGCCACCCCCCATGGTATACTGCACAATACATTATTCCATACCTTGTGGGTGCTGGCCGTTTGCACAGCCATGGGTACCAGAACGGGAGAACTTCAATCTCGCTCAAACTGATGTTGCAAAGTTTGCGAAGCGAAATTCTGTCTCGGTGACGGTGTATATGCTGTACAACAACACTGCGCCAATTTGTTGAAGACTGGACGAGTCCTTTTTTCTTCTCCCCCCTCTCCTCCCGCTTGGGGTGTACCAGTACGGTGTACCAAAAACCCGTTGCTCGCTCTCTGGCGTGCTTTGTGTGTGTTTGACGCTGATTGTCAGGGTGCCACGCGCCTCGAGCTGCATATGGTATCCCTGACCAAGAAAATGCATGTGGATGAACCTGGATCCAGGAACGTACTGGTTGGTTACTTTGGGTGGCACAAACTCAGGTACCCGTTTTAAGCCGTTCGTACCACGGTTTTACGGGACGCCTGCGCACCGGCGTCCGTTACACCTTGGGGGCCTCTGGTGCCACGATAGCCTGACAGGATGAACCTTTTTTTGCTCGGTCCCATGCCAATTAACCCTCTCCTTGACGTTTCCTTTCGTCTCAACTGTCGTCCCAGCTGAACGTGCTGAAAATCTGACCTCTGTAGCCGAAGCAGAGGAGGCGTAACTCCTTCCCGCCTGACTGTTTGGACGGACCGTCTGCTTTGATTCATGGGATGCAGTAGTTGGAACTTCTCTTCACCGATCACTCCTGTCCGCGATGACTTGACGGGCAGCCCCCAGACTGTGAGCCGCTGTCGACTGACGGTTGGGGCACGGCGAGCACAAGCACCAGCACAAGCACAAGCACAAGACAGACAAGACAGATGGCGAAAATGCCGATCATGCATTTCTCATGGTCATCCTTCATACCATAGTCGCTCCAAGCGACGAGCTGATGAGAATCAAAACTCCGCCAAGGAGCTGACCAGAGTCGCAGGGTGAAACTTGAAACAAAAGAAACAAACGGTAAAATAGCAGTCGAGGACGAATGCCGACCGCCCTTTTTTTTTTTTTTTTTTTTCTTAATTGCTTCCTCACTTTCATCAGCATACAATCAGGACCAGCAGGAACGTTTGGGGCGCTGCCGTCTGCTATTATTGTCCGACACCAATGCCTGGACATGGAGACGGTGCCACTGAAATTGGGTCCCCCAGATGAGGGGGTCGAGATCGGTAAGGCAGATTGGTCTGCTGGCAAACCTGGAGGCACCACTAACTACGTACACTACCAAGTTGAATTATCTATTACCTGGGGGGACATGTATGCAGTTTCCGTGCATGAATAATCAGCTGGTTTGTGGCCTGAACGGTGACGGCTCCTAGACAAAACCTACAAAACTGTACATGTCAGCACCCGTCAAGAGTGCCCATGATCAGCTGTTGTGCCGTATAAAGTACCTGCTGTGCACAACAGCGTTTCATATCCAACGTTATGTATACTGATACTCTCTGGCTGGACAGCCTAAGCCCAGTCAGCGAATCTCCAGGGGGGGAGGACTCTGCGCCTGAACGAAGATGCCCGTGGTGCGCACACGACACGCCACGCTAACTGACAGAGGCGAGATTGGGCAGCGGGATATTCCCACTCCCCTCAAATGTCTGTCTCTCCTTTTGGGAGACGATACGAGGCTGGGCGGTCGGGCCAAGAAACTTGGAGAAGGACTTGCAGAGAGGCTTGCAGCGTATCCATTCTTCTTCTCTTTTCTGACCTGTCTGTCTGTTCCAGTCACCCATAATCGCTGCGTAGTCTTGATCAGGTGGCTTGCATTGGGGCCGGGCAGAGGGGCCGGAATCATCGATAGGGCCCCCTCCCAACCGTGCCGCTGTTGTAATTAATGGTGTGTGCAGTGTGCTGCGAGTCTTTCTGCCTGGCCTTTCTCGTCGGGGGTTATGTCAAACCTCCTTCCAGTACGGGAAGACATCATAAAAGATAAAGACACCCAAGACTTTGAGCGAAACGATGGCGAGTCAAAAAGAGACACTGTAAATGAGAACTCATCATTCCATCACGCCAGAAAAACGTGCTCCCAACCACACACACACCCCCCACGAAGCAAACCCAAATCTAAAAGGGAGCTTACATCCCATCTCCTCTACTATGAGTATATCGGATAATAGATCTCCAAGGGTTTGTCATTTTTGGGCAGAGACGTATTTTCTTCAGGCCATTCTTAGCTCTAGTCTGTAAAAGACTGGATGCATGAGTACGTGTACAAACACACAACCCCCCGGCCAGGTTGCGGAAGAGAGGGGGTGGGGGGGTTTGGGAGAGGGAAACGCTTAATCAAGAAGCTTGTCCTTAGTCGTCTGAAAAAATCCGGGCATTGCAGCACAGGTTATGCTTGGACAGCCCAAAGGTCAATTTGCTTTTGGGCTTGAGACTGATGTTGCTTTCTGTGCACAGCCTCAGCAATCAATTTTACAGAGCATCTGCGTCATGTCACTGTTGGCGTTGCCGTTGGCGTTCTGCAAGCGAACTTCTTTTTTGTGTCTGTTAGTCTTTTTTCCCCCCTCCCTTCCCCTGATGCTTCAAAGTCCGAATCCTCCAGCAAGGGTCGCCGAGGAAGCCGGATGGATGCACAGCATCCCACCTAGGCAGGATTCTACGAGCCGACGGCTACCGAGAGATGGGGAGATGACGCCGAATGTTTCGAGAGTCATCTGCGTTCCAGGCGCGCCGCCGTCTTGAACAAGAGAGCTGAACAGTTGTCGCCCGCAAACTTGGACCGGCATGTGCCAATGCTGGGCAGTTCATCGCATTTGCCCATGCCGTTATCCTTTGTAGGTTAGATTCGCATTTTAAGCATTCATATGGTGCTTGATTTGAAGCATTGGTTTATTGCCTCTGTTCCTCCTATTCGCGGCATATTCCGGCTGAGCTCTTTCGGCTCGCCTCACTTTGTCTTCAAATAAATAACCTCGTAGGCCTTATCCTCGAAGGGTGTGTCAGTAACTGTATTTGTTACCATGTCAGCATTGAGAAAAAGGAGGGAGACACTGACCGCGGCCGCGGCTTCAGTGCCGTGGGTTGATTGGGGGGGGGGGGGCTATTCCAGCTGACAAACTAGCCCCTGAAGAAGCAACGCTCTCCCTGTCTGCTTATGAACGTGCCCTCTCTTCAATCCATCCCCGTACTTGTACATTTCCAGCTTACAATTCCACCGAGCTCAAACCTACAAGCCAAAGGAAAAAGCAACCTGTCACTGGATTCCGACAAGACGGACGCTCGCGACCATCACCAGATGCCAACCATCAGAAAAACAACCATGACACGCGCGCGCACAAACACCCGCTCTTACCGTGACCCGGGAAGAAGGTTTCCCAGCGTTCCAATGAGGCCCCATCACGGATATGCTTGATTAATACGAGCTGCCATCAGTGAAGGACGAAAACTCTTTTTTTTTTTCCAATAAGCCCACCGTCCAAGCAATCAGATTCCCCGGTATACTCTAAATGTCCGCTGATCGGTCCCTGGGACTTCCTAACTTGAGCCGGTTCCCGGCTTCCGGTTCATCCTTGATTGCAACCTCCGGGCCTACACGCCGTACTCCGTACCGCTGGGCCCCCCCATTATTGATTATTGATTGCGACGCTCAACGGAGCCTGTAGACTCGTCCTGTTAGCCCATCAAATCACCCATCTTCCAAGGCGCGTTCCTGCAGGGGCGATCCTGCACAGCCAACATGACCAAAAAATCCACAGTGTCGTGCTGCCCTCGCTGTGGATGCTCTGGAGATGGCCGAGTCATGGCTTGCCCGGAGCACCTTTCCAATTGAAGTCCCCCCTTTCAGGTGTGCCCAGAGCCCTCCCCTTCAATGAGAGACACAATTTAGCCCAAGAGTCGGCCAAACCAAGGCACTGCCAGCTAGCCCGACGTGAACGGTCGTCCCATCTTCTGATAGTCCAAACCGCCATCGGGCTCGGCCAGGCTTCTTCCTCATGGGGGGGGGCTTGTCAGGCAGTACGTAGTACTCCGTACGCCCCCAAACCCATCATCGCTCTCCGTGACGAGCGGGACCCCGATTTTCTGGCCCCCTTACATGCCGACGGGATATGACGAAGGACCTCATGGGGCCCTGCTTGTCACGTTTCTTATCCGGTGTCGTCTTTCGTCGTCTGAACAACGAAATCGAAATCGCCTAGGTTCAGCGCATTCGGTCCAGCTACTAGTATGGCTTTCGACGGCTCCTAGATGGATTCGCCTCCGTCGAAAAGATATTAGCCTTGCCCTCATCTCTCTTCCCCTGGCCTTACCGCAGATCCCGCCCGCATCGTGTCGCCCTAGTTTCCCACTAGTCTGGTCTCTCTCTCTCTCTCTCGAGACGCTCGAGCCCGTCCTCCCAGAAGTCAACGCAACAAAACCTCACTCTCCCCGTCCTTTTTTTCAGGGTCTGAACTTGGCGTTCATGATGCTTTGAGGGCTTGCGTGAACGATTTTGTGGCATGGAACATCTGGAGCAAACTCAAATTCCAAGACAGCAGCCGTCTCGGTTGTGACAGTTCCGTCAGCCGTGCAAGACCGAGTCTTGGATGTTTAATTACGCGAGCCCAAAGGACTGTGTGTTTTTTTGTGTGTTTACATGCCTATTCCAGCTTCCACGCTGCTTCAGAAAAACCATTGCATCGCTCACGTCTTCTAAAAATGCGGGCTACCACATGTCGGGCTTGAAAAAAAAAAAAAAAAACACAAGATCTTTATGGTGAATTCCTTGACCAACTAGTCAAGGTCCATCGGCATACCACACGATACTTCCTGGGCCAAAAATAGAGCTCTTGGCTGTAATTTTAGGTCCAGAGAAAAGCTGGAAAGGGTTATGACAGCCGTATCTCGGGCGCCAGCCTCGCAATCGACAGCCACCTTTCTTACGTACTCCCACCGCATCAAAGATATCAGGAAAACATCCTATTGAGGTCGGGATCAAACTAAATCCCGGACAATGTGCCAACACGCCGAACGTGAACCTCGAAGGTATCTAGAAGTAGGTACATATCGTCAGGGTTCTAGTTTAAGCCGCCCCCATGCCGACGCAAATCCCCCCTGCAGGCTGCAGCAACAAGATCTTACGAGCCGGAAGGCCGGCTTACGCCCGCCGTCCACAACACCCGATATGCTATAACAAGATCGGAGACCAGGAACATGCGGACCACATTCGACGTTGGCAGAGTTGTATCTTCATGTGTCCTCAATCTTCAGGCGGCAGTGCTTTCTGTCTCTCATACCTACCACCTTAGCTCGCGTTTATCATTCGATAGTTTCCCCGTGTCAGCCATAGAAGTCCCATCCGTCACAAACTACTTGTGCACATCTTTGTGCAGGTTGAGACTTCACCAGTCATCATAATGTCCGAACAAGAAATAGTGGAACCTGTTTACAACTCCACCTTTTGAAATCGAGGGGGGACGCGTCTCGTTCTCGCTCACCCACATAACACTCGCTGCCCTTCCCAGTGCCGATTGAGTCTAGACCGAGTGCTTTTTATTCCGCTTCTTTCTGTTCGAGATGCCTCCGCATCTCTAAGCGAGCATGCTTCTTGCGTCATCCATTTGAACGTCGAACTGTCCTTGTGAAGTCGGATTTGCACCCTTTTTTCGCCACAGGAGGAGATGTGCCTTGCCGGTGGAGAAAAGGGGGCCTGATTACCAACCCTCTCTTCACACAGCCCGGACACACGTGCCGTTGATTCTGATGGGTAAGGTAGCTAGTAGAGAGACTCCAGGTTTTTTTGCTTGTTCCGTGCGGCTCGGTAGTTCTGAAATCAGTCATGGAAACGGGACTTGGAAAAAGGAGCAGCGGCCGCGTGTGCCTGGCATAAGTGCACCATGACATGAATGAATTTTTTAATTTTTTTTTTCCAAAAGCTCGGATATACTTTCTTGGGGTTAACCTCTCAATGTCTCCTTTTTCAGCTGCGGTTATCACTCCGAGCCCCCTTTGGAACGGCACTAAAGGCATTTTAAGTTTACTTCTAGTTAGTGGCTAGTGCCTATTCTTCGTCAACGCTTGATGGCTCTTGCAGGCAAGGATGGACATGGAACATGCCTTTTGCCGTCAACTAGCGGATTTGGCCGCGTGGTAGCTGTTGATCGAAATAATAGGGGCGTCTATCTGTTGTACAAAGATTTTCGTGCAGTCAGCTCAGCCAAAGCTGGGATTTCTAATACATATAAGCTATTGAACGACACGTGATTGTTGGCGTGTGGATGGTGGCGCTGCTTATCGTGACATGCAGGTGGCGTATGTTTACAACCTTGGTAAATACTCAAGATTTGGATGATAACCGAATAAAAAGAGAGAGTTGTGTTTATTCAAGCCAAATCATTGTAGTCTGATGATTGTATAAATCAATGTTGAGAGAAAGGACTTTGAAACATGAGTACAACAAAAAAGGTGGAAATATAGTTGATTTTATATTGCACAAAACATAATAGGCAAGATAAAATAGGCACGTCCCCAACGGCATCACATCTAACAATATTGTTTGGACATAACTATTAGCAGCTTCTCTAATTTAATTCTAACATCAAAATTGAGACTAGAAAGTAAAGTGGTTGTGTACAATGACACATTCGTTGCGTATGTCGTCCCCATCCATAGTATCGTGACTCTCAGCAAAAAGAACTGACAGCAACAACCAAAAACATACAACACCAGGTATTCGCTGGTCGTCACCGACCCAACTACTAATCCGGCCCTCATTGGCTTATCTATGGGAGAGCGGACGGGATCCCGAGTTTTCCAATGGGTATGGTCGTATGTGATGGTTTCCTGTTGTTAGATAGGCTATAACCTAAACTGCATCTAGGTATTCGAGTTGAGGACACCATCAGGGTAAGGAAAGAAACATTGTAAATCTTTTCTGAAAACTCAATTTTCTGAAAACTCAATTACTGAGAAAATCATAATTTCATCTCTTAATAGAAGTTAAATTTTAGAACAAAAAGGTCATCAACAGTCATTTCAACTCAAACCAATGTACTCCCTTATTATCATGCCGGCAACGAAGCCCCCGCCGTTACAATGCTCGCACTTACAACCAATCGCCCGTCATATCTCATTTCGAAATAGTTCTCTCTGCTAACATGCGGGTGATGTAGGTGCGGTGGTGAAATACGTCTTGTAGTACACGTTATCGCCAATGTTCTTCGCAACACTCGGCGGGGGGTTGAGCGGGCCTCCCTCGTTACGAGGATTAGGGAACAGCAGCGAAGGTGGGTTGGGAGAAAGAACGCTGGTCGGGCATCCGAGAACAGTGTTGCTAAAGTATGGATCGAGCTTCGAGGCTGCCCATGTAGTTGCAGCCGCCACCTCTTCCGTAGTGCCCGCGACGAAAAGAGGAACGACAGAGTTCAAGCCCTGGTACAGGTCGCATAGGAGAGTTGTGGCATTGAGATTTCCGGTTCCGAGTTGAGCAACACCCGGGACCACAGGGTTGCGGAGGTAGATGTCAAGAAGACCCTCTAAAACCGTCTGCACGGTGCCGTAGGGGGTCGCGCGGCGATACCAGTTCTTGGGCCAGGTCTCCGGAACGTACTGGAACTCTCCGGTCTTGCTGTCATACTTGGCGCCGATGATGGAAGAGATGGACTCGTAGTTGGCAACTCCTCCAGCTCCATAGGTACCGTTGCTCATGAACTAAGAGGTTTAGCCTCGAACATGCTTTGAGAAGTTTTGCAAAACCTACCTGGGGGTAAAACGCGAAGGCACCGATTGAAACAATAAGAGGGAAAGGGAAGTAGTAAATGTATGGATTGTACTTTTGAGAGAACATGGAGTTCTTTTGATACTGAGTACCCATATTTGTGAGGTCGAACTGCTTGCTTGCGCTGCTGGCGACTATGTTGACGTTTTGCTTAAACATACGGGACGAAAGGTGGTGGTTATCACCACACCCGTTGTAAAAGTCTTCTCGATTGACAGAAATATCGACCTAATGACGTCGTTAAGTTACTCTCATTCTCATCCCTTTGATTCCGTGAATGCTTACCTCAACGGTGGAGTGTCGGTTCAAACCACCAACTTTACCCGGGCCAGCCCCCAGATAGAAAGATTCTGTGGCGATGTCTCCGTCAGTGAGAACAGCAAATACACCAAGAATGGTGGATAAATCAGGTCCCATGTTGAAACCACGCGCAGTCGCCTCAATGACTTGGCCGAGGGTGACATGGCCGTTGCGGGGAAGATAGCCATGGTTGGCGAGCAGATTCAACCCCGGGCAAGGACCTCTGCTGTCGTTAGGGCCAGGAGCCCGAAACTCGAAGCCCTTCTCCGGACGGGCATTCTCTGGGCTAACATTCTGAGCGATCGCTCCAAGGAGACCGGTGACGGTGTTTGTAAGAGAACTGATGATATTGCCTAGGAGTTGAGGTTCTGGTTTTGCCACGGGTTCAGGGTCACGCTTGAGAAGTTCTTCGAGCTGCTCTTTTGAGCCCAGCATGGATGGGAAAGCTGCTCCTAGAGCAGCGAGAGAGACTGCTGTTGCGCTTTGGAGCTTCATATTGACAAATTGTGTGAATGCAAGAATTCGGCCAATGAATAGTAACTCTGTCTTCTGAACGACCACGGATGAATTAGAAATGCAAGACTATAGCATTGAGAGGGCCAACATCGCATTATATAAGTTCCACCGGCCATAAATAGCAACATGGAGAATTCTTATGACGACAAAAACATTTGAGAAGCTAGACAGCAAGACTCCTAGATGAGGTCAGAGCCATTCGCGATAACATGAACATATTCGCCTTTCCAATGGCCCAAATCGTCAACCGCTTGGCAAGAGCAAAAGCTTTATTCTAGGGCGTAAAAACACTCAGTGCGTCAGCGCTATCCATCGTCTGCTTTGTAGATCACCATTTCAGAGCATTAAGAATGTTAACCAAAGACCGGGCACTTGAGGACACCGTCAAACTCAAAAAAGCGTCGAATGGGCCAAGAACACGGATGGAATCACGAACTTCAAGTTCTTCAAGACGGAAAACAAAGATTCCGAACGACTAGCGTCTACTGGTAGCCCGCGAACATGGCGCCGTTGCTGGCTTCGCATCGCCAGCAACTAGCGCTTTGACAACTCGGAGTATTTCTCCACGGTCTAACCTCTAGAAAGGCTAAAACGAATCGTCACAACGCTTAATTAGGAAACTACTACATACTATGACAACAATGAGCGTCATTACTGGTTGAACATCCGGGCCGAGGATCAACAGATTAGAGACGGGAAGAAGAGGCTGTCATCAAACTCAATCATTCCCATAGATCTGAACGGACTGCATGCAGTAATAAGCGCCGGAAAGAACGTCATCAAGATGCTCCTTCTACACCTAGTTGTCCAAAAAGCGGAGACAACGTCAACATGAGCTTCTATGGTAGCGTTAGAAATATCAATGAAATAAGGTAGGTGATTGTAAGCTTAATACGTACTATTCAGTTACAAGATATTGAGTATCAGAAATCTCAAAAGTGCCTTGGTTACATTGCCAATAGTGGAGTGTTGTCGAGTCTCTAACACATGTTGAGATATCGATAAACAGCACTTGAAAGGCAATGTTCAGCCAACAACTTGATGCTCTTATGACAACAAAACTTGACTTCGACTATCTTTTCTTCTTCTTGGGTGAGCGCGTGTTAATTAAGACTTGACTTCATACGAGACTCTTGTTACGTTTTGAACTGTCAAGCGTTACAGGAAATGTCTCTGCTTCACTGCGAGGTTTAGCGACCCTCACATTCCTTTCTTTACCAAGGCAACTCTGCCTTGTCTCGCTGCCTCGATGTCAAGTCCTGTGCTGTCTGCAAGCCCCTTAAATCCCGAACAGAGCACGGATTCCTCTTCCTACGCAGCTTGTGATTGCTCCAACTCCTTATCCCAGTTATGAATTATATTGGAGATGGAGATGTGCTTGGCACAGTTCATCTCCACCTCTCTCATATCGGCGAGCTTCTCGTCATTCAGGTGCAAGTTCATGGCGAAGCGCTTCAGTACACCAGGCCGTTCCATCGAGCAGGCAGACGTTAATATAAGGTACCAAGCAGGTATCCTCTCCAATGTACACCGGCGAGTGGGTACCATTAAGCTTGAACATGCCATTACCATTCTTCACAGGCTTTCTCATGGGCCCCGACCCGTTTTATGTCTGTTTATTCCGGAAAGGAACTAAGAGAGTCATTTTGGTGGTATTGTTGTCGTGATGTGTTTTTATTAAAAGTCGAGGAGTAAGATCTAACCGAAATAACAGAACAGACAACACAAGATCCCTTTACAGTTCTTGCAACCTTTGATACATGCCTTATCTTGTGACGCAGTCTCTCCCTCTGAAGCTTCGTTAGCAAGTCCATATTGTGGGTACCCATTCGAGTTTGGTGGAGCTCACGAAGCCTCCAAAGCAGACATCAAAGTGTTCGCTTCGGAAGGGGGGGTATGAGTCTCCTCGGGTGTGTCGAGTCTGTGCATTGGCGTAGATTGTGTTTACAGCAGAGCAGTTCCTGCTTCTACGCCGTGAACCTGCATCGGTGGTCGACTTCCAAATCTGCGCAGCCCGCCAAGTGTTAGCAAATCATAAATCCCGTCTTACGGATATAGTGGACTACCAAGGCAAACTCGGAATGGCGTGCCGGATAACCCTGTCGGTGACTAAGCTCGATGCCTTCCAAAAGAGACTCGCTACCGCCGCTTGTTTTCACTTCGCAAGCAAACAGTCCTCACTCGCGGTGCACACATATGGAACTAAGGGACTTCTGATCTTCAATCCCTGACAGCTACTGCTCATTCAACAGGGGTTGTAAGCATGGGGACCCCGGTGCCTGCGCTGGTCCTCAGCTTGTCAGGGTTGGGCGGCCTTGGCCCGAATTCCGCTGGACAGTGACATTCACGCATCGGTTGGTTCACTTCTTTTTTAACTACAGTCTCTCCCACATCCATTGGCATCACCAGAAACCGCCACCTTTTCATCCAGACCTCTTTCTTTGCCTCCTCACCGCCGGGCACGAGACACCCGCTCAGTGTATTCTACGACTCCGGTATTCACGATGGCGTACCCTAACAATGTTGGCATCAAGGCCATGGAGATCTACGTCCCCGGCCAGGTTCGTGGTTTGCTAGCAACACTCCCCAGCTTCATCCTCACTTTTGCCCAGCAATTAATGCAGATTTCCAGGCCTTGGACCAGTCGCTCTTCGAACAATATCAGGGAGTTTCGGCTGGCAAATACACCATCGGCTTGGGTCTCAAGTACATGAACTTCTGCAATGACCGCGAAGGTTAGTGCTTGTGATGCGTCAACCCCCTGCTTCTGGAGGAAGCACGATTTTCGGAGTGGCGCTCCGCATGCCCATCAACTACTGACATAGCGACCTTAGATGCGACATCCCTTGCTCTCACGGCAGTCTCTTCTCTCCTGAAGAAGTACAACATCGAGCCCAAGTCCATTGGCCGCCTCGAGGTCGGTACGGAGTCCCTGATCGACAAGGCAAAGTCCATCAAGACTGTGTTGACCCAGCTGTTTGAGCCTGCCGGGAACACAAGCCTGGAGGGTATCGACACCGTCAATGCGTGCTACGGAGGCACAAGTGCTCTTTTCAATGCCGTTAATTGGGTCGAGTCTCGCTCATGGGACGGCCGCGACGCAATCGTAGTGGCATCGGACATTGCGCTCTATAAGGAGGCCTCTTCCCGGCCGACCGGCGGCGCCGGCTGTGTCGCCATGCTCGTGGGCCCCGATGCGGTGCTCTCCCTGGATCCAACGCTCAAGGGCACCTTCATGACACACGCCTACGACTTCTACAAGCCCGACCTCAAGGCAGAATTTCCCGTGGTCAACGGACACGAGTCTCTTCGATGCTACACCTCAGCGCTTGATGGCTGCTACAACCGTCTCCGGGAGAGAGTCGAGGAGGCCAATGTGAAGGCGAACGGCCACGGGCCCAAAACTGACACGCGCAGCCTTTTGGACATCTTCGACTACATGGCGTTCCATACCCCTAATTGCAAGCTGGTCAGCAAGTCTTACGGACGTCTGCTGTACAACGACTACAAGCTGGGTGGTAACGAGGACACCTGGGGGAAGGTCCCTGCCGAGCTCCGCGAGCTGAGCTATGAGGACTCCCTAAAGAGCAAGGAGCTGGAAAAGCTGTTTGTCGCTTTGTCCAAGGATCGTTTTAAGTCGCGAGTCGAGCCGTGTATTGCCGCTCCCACGCAATGCGGCAACATGTACACCGCCAGTCTGTACTGCTCCCTTATCAGCTTGATCAGCAACATCGACCTGAAGACTTCAGTGGGGAAGACGATTGGCATGTTCAGCGTAAGTCATCGTGTTGCTGCATTCTCCGACGCCCTATTTATACTAATTATCCTTGTTCCTACCAGTACGGCAGCGGAATCGCCAGTACTTTGTTTGCGGTCAAGGTGACAGGTGATCTTACTGAATTAGTACAAAAGATTGATTTGATGAACCGATTGAGTCAGCGCAAGATCTCTACTCCTGAAGAATATGAAGAGGTAATCAACTGTGCCTAACATTATGATACTGAGCTTTTGCTGATCGCAGACGATCAGGCTTGCGACCTCAGATTGAAGGCTTACGGCGCTAAGAACTTTGAGCCCACTGGCAGCATTGAGAACATGGCTCCGGGCACATACTATCTGAAGGAAATCGACGAGGCGTACAGGAGGACATACGCCGTGAAGGAGTAAATAGATGATGTGATGATGACCGGTGTTAATCTCTCGTAGTTGTTATCCAAGTTCGACCCAAAGCATATAGAAGATTGAGTCTAGAAAGCAGAGATTAGACAGACAGAGAGCATACACTGTTCAGCGGCTTTGAATGAATTATTATAACCCAATTAATAAAGTACATTGTTTTTTCCCTCTTCTATGTGCCCCTACCTTAGTCCCATCGTAGCAAGTTTCCAGTTCAAGATGACAGAGGTTGTTGAATGTACCGTGTTACGTGTCACAGTATCTGGTTGAAATGAAGTTGCGAGTAATAGAATGATCGGCCTCAGCATGTATACTATGAACAAAAGAAGCCTGGTCATTTGCCGGGTCCTCTTCATCAACTTGATGACAAGATTAGGCTTTTTCCACAGCAAAATTATCCGTGCATCCTTGCTTCAATCCAAGGTTCCCTCGACAAGCTCAATCTCGTAAGTGTAGATAATCTTAGCTGCAGTGACGTGTAGTTCCAGACAAGTCAGCCTGCTGGCATCCAACGAAACACTCGCCTAAAGCATGCTGCATAGAACGTAATTAATCCAGAAATGGGTTGGCCTAAGGAATTTGAGCGTGGTTAGAATCAAGTTCGTCAGTTGAGGGGATTCATCCAGCACGACCCAGGACCCTCCGCAGGTGTTTTCATATGCGTTTCAATGCCTTGAAAGTCTCTTCCGAAAGCCAATTCTCGAATATTTCTACTTTTTAGCAAAAGAAGTTAGTTAGCAAGTTTGATGAAATGCCCCTGATGCGTTTACGTCAAGTTCTATCAAATGTTAACAAATTACAGCATGGCCAACACCCTGAAAACCGGACCATGATTTTGCCGTGTTAATTGACAAATTTTAAGCGGAGATACGAACAAAAGGACCTTGGGGAAAATTGAAATCGTCAGTGTTCCCAAAATACTTAAAAGCCCGTCGCCAAGTAAAGAAACAAGTGAATGAGTAGTGTGGTCATACCGTATGTGTACTGCAACTCGAGAATGTCCCACGTTTGTCGGCCACCCATGTAGCTCTTACTGTAGAGGAGCTGTGATGCTATCAGACTAGATTTACATTGTCAATAATTGCGTGTGTATCAAGTGTCTAATACAAGTTGAGATATTGATAGACCCAAAGACAACGTGCCGCCAGCAACTTGAAGCTCTTATGACAACGAGACTTGAATCCGCTTGTTAAGTGAGCCCAAGTAAATAAAAATTTGACTTTATACGAGACTCTTAATACAGGAAATGTCTGATTCACTGCGAGGTAGACCTTCTTTCAGGTACCTTTTTTTCCAAGGCTACTCAACTACCTTATTTGTGCAGCAGGGAGTGGGGGGATGGAAATGCGACCTAATTGGCTCGCTAACGAGAACCTTTCGTCCACAGTGGCCGGGCGTTGAAATGGTGCGTGCATTCATCTGGGGGCAGGTGCCGGCCACTTGCCCCACAAGCGGGGTCTTGCCGGGAAAAGCCCGGTGGTGCTTTACGCCGTAAAATCTGCCGTCCCGATAATTTTGGATTGAAGCTTCTCAAATACCTGGACCTCATTACCCACCACACCACCCCGCCAATCACCCCGCGCACCCACCGTTGTCGGAATCAACTGAATAGCCATGACGAAGTCTAAATCGAAGAAGAGAAAGCAGAATGCGCCGTCCGACGTACCCAACAAAGTCGCCAAGACGAATGGCGTGACGATTACTCCTCCACCTGACAGCGACGGCGACGGCGCATCACTCGAACCCAAGAGCTTACAGACGGTCATTTCGGATGAAGAACTCGAGATTACGGTTGACACTCTCAAGACACTCGCACAATACCCAGGCCTGATCAAGTCAAGGCCATGTAAGGACCTTCGCGTGGCTGTCTACGACTTTCGGCAGGCCTCGGTCAGCGATGCTCGTACGTTTCTCGCCACCCAGCTTAAAATGGCATTGAAAACAGCTATTGACAATTGAGCTTTCTAGCCGGATCAAACCTCAGTCTCACTGCCCGAATCACTTCTGCCCTTACCGATGAACGATATACCGAAGCGAGAATCCTTCTGGCTGAGATGAGAATTCGCGATCAAGAACCGAAACTCGGTGCCCTGTGTCGATGGGTCCGAGACCTGGACGTTATCAGCGGATTATCGACAATACCTGGAGGAGATGGAACTGCTATTCAGCGTAGTGAACGAGACGAGCAACGCCTTCGCGTTATTGATGCTGTCCTACGAGTTACCGGCCCTGTCGATATCAATCCAGAGGCCCTGCCCATCTCAACAACGCCCGGCATCGCCCTTCAAGAGATCTGGGATCTCCGCCCCTCTACACCATCAGAGCAAGTCTATGCTTCCGTCCTAGACAAGTCAATCTTTGACTCCGCGCCAGCATCTTTGGCGACCGGCCTTCGCATGATCGAGAAAACCCCTGGTCCTCAGCGCAAGCCACCTAACCATCATGATGCACTTCTTTATACTTCCGCCCCAAATACAGTTCCTCTTGCCACAGACCGGCCCTCCGTATCATATCAGCCGCACCCGGTTGTCCCTGACCTCGGGGTCTTGAGCAATGTTCTTTCGCCAGAGGAGTGCAAGGCCATCATTGCCGCAGGTGAAACTGTCAATTTTCTCCCCGATGCTCCTCTCCGCGAGGACGGAGACATCAGCATTCTAGCACACAACTTTTATTGGGTTGTCGACCCTCTCTTTCACGACACCCTCTGGTCACGCGTTGCACCACACGTCCCCGCCTCCGTTAGGGGACGTCAAGCCCGCGGCCTCAACCGTCGCTTCCGCGTATATCGTTACGTTCCTGGTGCTGAGTACCGTGCTCACATTGACGGGGCGTGGCCACCCTCTGATGTACTTCCTGATGACACTTATGTGTACGATGCATCGCCCAAAGACAAAAAGCAAAGTTCGCTCTTCACGTTCCTGATCTATTTGAATGACGAGTTCGAGGGTGGAGAGACAACTTATTTCCTACCTGCGGCGCGGGAAGGAACCCTTAATGCGTACCCAATCCGCCCAGTGATGGGAAATGTAGCCTTGTTCCCGCATGGAGACACTAGAGGCGCGCTACTGCATGAGGGGACGGGCGTGAGAAAGGGGGCTAAGTATGTCATCAGGACAGAAGTGGAATATGATGTTGAGCCATCTGAATAAAAGTAAATGTCTTTGTTACTTTCTAAAAACAAAATACAGTCTTTTGTTTTATAAGATGCAGTCAAAACGCAGATTGCTAGCGGGCAATGATAATGAATAAGCCAGCGCTAAGAGTATTTAGTGAGATAATGATAATGAAAGGTACGCATCTCTGCGTCGCCTGCGAAATAACATCTGATTGAATTGAAAGAAAGTGCTATTCACGCGAAATCACTTTAGATGCATATCTGTATAAAGTTCTTATGAAGTAGTAAAGTGATTTTAGATGAGCTTGGAGTAAGCGTCATGGTTACGTTCATGAAAAGGGCCAGTGTTTAGGTTAGCAAACATGTAAGTGTGCAGCCTGGCAAAAAGACATGTAGAAACGTTCTCGCCGTAGACAGCAAAAACATTGTGAAGGAGATTTAATGTGGTCAGGCAGGCAGTCATGGTCTTCCCCCACACTTAAGCAGCGTCATAGTCGTCTTAAGAAGAAGTCAAAATCTCATTTAGGTAAGTGGTCAATGACCGGGAACGAGAAAATATGGCCATAAGTTTAATACGGAGCTAAACGTGAATCTCAAAGGAACCAAAGCAAAGAAGATGGAAGTCGAAGTTGCGAGAAAACCGTGTCTTTCCCACGCAGCTCCCAGCTACCATCGAATCTATAGGATGCCTACATGCTATCAACATGCAGCCAGTGCTGAAAGGGCTACATTCCGCCCTTCCAAGCCTCCTAAACCCTCATTTCTCTTTGATGTTCACCATGCTGGCATACGACCCAGCTTGCAGCCAAGGGCTTCTGACCACTTAGGTGCACCAGATGATAGCGCACGTGAAACCAGGGAAGCACAGGTCGGGGTTGGGAGTCTGGCAACCCTGCTCAATGCACCAAAAGTACTTGTCGTAGTCTCTGCACTGCATTTGGATGTGAACGTCAACCAATTCTGGAGTTGAGAAGAGAAGGATAGTTAGCTAAGTTGCCACTACTTCGAATAATATGAGGACAGGAGGGCGCTCGTACGGGACTTGGGAGCCTCAACATCACGCTCCTCAACGGAAACCGTAGGCGCAGCAGCAGCCACAGCGACAAGGGTAGCGAGGACCGAGGTGAAACGCATTTTGAAGACTTGAAGTCGTGGTGCTTGAGAAGTGTTGGCGATGACTGATTCTTGCTCTGGAGCTGTTGTGTGAAGAAGAGAAGGGTAGACTCTAGGGAAAGGGCAGGAGCTTCTTTTTATATACTTTTTGGAAGCTGAAACTTTGGTATATGACATTCTTCTTGGAAATCTTGAGCAAGCGCTTGAGTCTCCATTGCTGGCGTGTCTTGCAGGTGTAGCACTGAGCTCTCCACATAGCCTTCGGACGCTTGGGTCCTCTGTAGACGTATCTTCAAGGCACAGCGCCAGGAATTGCTTCTTCTACACTCGAAAGGGATAGTAGAGAGCTACTAGGAGCGGCCATTGGTGCGACTTTCAAAATCTCTCGGCCGAAATAGTCTCGTTCAACTACGAGGATCGGGTGCTTACATCACGCATTAGCCAGTGCTGGGTCTGCTTCTTGAAAGACGGTTCGTTACTGATGCAGTTGCAAGAGTTGAGGCTTGCTTGAGACATAATGATTGGACCACTTACACCTTCAACAGTTATGACAAGGTTACCTCTACCCCGCCTTCTGTTATGCCTTGCAGGGAAAGGATTATGGACCTTCCCGTTCCCCAGCCAGATCGTGCAGGACTGGCGTCTAGGGTATACTACTTATTTGACCAATCAGATCAACGAGACAACTGAAGGATCATTAAGTAAGAAAATAGTATAAATTCGCGCTGTTCAAGTCACTGGAAAAACCAATAGGGTCTCAGTATTTTGCCGTTGAGTACGGATAAGGTTCCTATTATGGATCCTCATCCTACTCAGTAGGCGCTAATGCTATGGAACATGGGGGTGCTCGGGCGAAGTGACTCCAGCTGAAGTACGGAGTAGTCGTTGAGGAGAACGTAAGAAATTATACCTCAAAGCCGGCGTGACGCGTTCCATTGGCATTCTTTAAGATAGCCAATGTCTATACTTGTTCTGATCGGGCCCCTGACATAAGAACAAGCTGCACTAGTTATGAAATCTTTGAATGTTAGTTGAGCAACCCGACAGAACCTGTTGATTTGGCATTGCAGTTGGGTGACTATCAATATGTAACTTAGATACTGCTGGCATGGGCTTGTGTACTGAGGAGCTGAAGCATGCCTCTCCCCGCTTTACAGCCCTCGGTGTTAAATACGGCGACAGCAGCAATGCGGGGATCGGGAGGAACAGGTATGACAGGGGATAGAGCAGAGTCTGGGCCCTATATTTCCTTTTCCGAAGTGTCGTATCTGGCTCGTTACTCTGAGCTAGTGACGAATCCTGACGCGCAATGCATAGCGCAGATATAGGCTCATGGAGCTGGAATCTGCAGGATGACCGATCAACCAGGCCGCAGCTCAACGAGACCAACTTATGTCACAATTTGAACAAGATTGAACCGTCAGGCTCTCTAGAAAATCAGTGGAGACATACATCTGCGTATCTGAGTGTCGGAGAGAGTGAGACATTGACTATTGATTAAAGATTCAGCTGCCAGCATATAGTGTTGGCGGCTGGTGGGAAAGTGGTGGAGAATGAAATTTTAGACACCTTGGTATCATGGGAATACATTACACTGGCTTAGATGGAAGCCAGTTTTGAAATCGGCCTATCAAGTGTTGTTCAATACACAACCAGGCATTCTCCAACATCAACAAGTCCGATATGTACCCGACGCAGCCTGTGCAGTCACTTCTACTCTCAATAGACTAAAAGAAAGCACAGATGAAACTCTCCCATCTTCCGAATTGCTCTTCGAATTACTAAAATTTTACTTTTAGCGCCTCATCCGACTATATTTGTCCGGTGGAAGCAGCCCTCTCGAGCGTGGCATTGGGTTTACATACAAAGACAACACGATGCTGTGCGTCTGCAATATGTGTATTCAGGTTAAATTGTCTTTAGCACCAACCCCCAAAAGTGCCAAGCAAATCCTCCCGCAACTGTTCTAAGCAGCATAGGCATGGCGGAAGAACTTTGGTGATTTTTGCCCTTCCGTAACCGCACTAGAGCGACTAAGGCAGTTGTTTTCGAGACAGGGGCCACACAGCAGCCATTGATGGCAAAGCCATTCTCTCTAAGCAAATGTGAGGCCGAAGTTCAGAAGCATGCGGCCTCCTCAGCCCATTACAGGTTCATGCACGAAGATAAGCTCGGCTATTTCTTGGCTTTTGCCAGAAGAAGCAATTGGTATTCCATAAAGCTAACCGAAGCTACCTAGTCAATGGTGTATAGCACAGCGCCAAGAATATTTGGCGTCTATGTGCTGGAATCCTATTGGGATTGTTGTAGCGTAACGCATATCCCATCTCTGTCGGTCCCCTGTTAAACCTGCAGGGAACTGACACATCCTGCTCATATCGCTCACAGCTTGGACGGGTTTAGATGGCGGGTAATCCGGCCGCACCCGGATAGTAGGGCTGTTGCGAACTCAGGACCACGATGTGATTTATTCCCTCATCCACTTCTCTGCCTCAGTTCAGCGGAAAAGAGGAAGGCGAATGTACTGCTATAGACATCTATAAACTACTGCGTGCCAGGGGTTACGGGGCTGGCCACGTTTCCTACTGTTCGACGAAGATTGCCGTTCGGCCGAGTCTCTCCACTGCTAGGTCTTCAACACCAAGCACCAGTAGGTATTCATTCACAACGTGATCGCACCCATTGGGAAGCTCGTTATTCCGTCAATTCTCCCGTGATGTGTCTCTGAAGACAGTCATTAAACAGATTCGGGTTGTTTCTACCTACGGAACCAACTAATTGCGCCAAACACGCTTGCTGGGCCGTGGTGAGCTATGCACTGCACCTGGGTCGTCTCCATTACTTTCGGCCAGTCTCATATTTCAGGCTCAAAGTACGGATAATGTAGACAGCTAGAAATGATCCCTAACGAACATTCCTGTGGTGAATTTAAATAACATAATTACTAAGCAAGTATCACAAGCAGGGCAGGCAACCATGGATTCTAGATATCTCTTAAGTGTTTCCTGATTAAACAGAAGACCGTTCCACAGACTTCTCTAATTCGATCCGGGCCATTGTGCCGGTCGATACAAGCATCTCATCATCACTCAGCCCTATTCGCTTGAGCCTTTGCCTATATTTCTCAGATCCTGCTCTTCCAATGGTCACAATCTTATTGTCATTTGTACCGGAGTTCTCGAGAAAGCGTGATGAGAAAGGGAGTAGCCTGAGGATGGGCCTCAGAGAAGGCAGACAGATGCAGACAACACCCATACATCCTTCTACAGCACTCCAGAAGCAGGCGTTTTCGACTGCCCAGTTCGCATTAAATCCTCGAAGGTCCAGAAGGAGTAAGAAGCGGAGTCGTAGGGCCGATGCTATGAGCACGCTGAGGTAATTTCAGTCGTTAGCGTTTCTGGAATCATGATCGCCCTCCCGTACAAGGGGCTTATAATGGACTTACAATCCTCCCAGTAGAAAGAAACCAATGACGAAGCCTTTTTGGGTGGAGCGGATCTTTAGCTGCCATACGTAGGGCATGGGCAGTATAAGCAGGAACAGATCGGCAAGAATGTTTGGGATCGAGGTGCCGAAAAAGAAGGGCCCTAGCTCAACACACCGCGCTGTGGCTTGCAGCTCAGGGTCCCAAAGAGATGCGACTGGTATACATTGAAAAGCTGTGACGAGGAGCTGCGCTTAGACAGGCAGTGAGCATTACACTGTTCGTAAGGAACGGAAGGTGGAGAGTTATCCGGTATGGCCGCGTAGGTGGGCCATTGGGGACGAGATGACCTACCGAGGCAATGAACCAACATGCTGAAAAGCACGCGACAAGATAAATAGGAACACGCATTGAAGTAGATTCAAACAGTCTCCAGTAAAATGCGAGTATTGAGGCTTTTAGGCTCATCTGGATAATGTAATAGAAGAGCTCAGCGATGTAAACCGTCTTTGCATTTGAGAGAAGAGTGCTCTCGGGAATCGGCTCCCCGCGGATGGTAGCGTCAGTAGGTAGATCTATGAAGACACAAATGTCAGCGTGTAAGCTAGAAGAATTGTCGAGACTACGTATTCTTACCAACGATCATAAGACCGATGAAGACTCCTACTGATGTCTGGAAGACATGTTGTCAGTCTTGGGACTAAAGAACAAACGGTATCAAAAAGGGTTGGATGTGGCATACCAGTGCGAAGAGAGCAAGCCAGTCATCGTACCATATGCCTGCCCTCGATATCCTGCGAGAGACAAAACGAAGAACAACTGCAAGAAGACCTAATGGAAAACAGACGCTAGTCGTTATGATTGTCCGATTACGATACTCAAGGGTGAGGTAGGCCACATTTGCCGAGGACAGCTCTGACATCTCCGTTAGACAAGTGATAAGTTCATTGAAGGTCCTGCTGAACACAAACCAACACACTACCAACACCCGAGGCCATCCTCTGGAGGTCGTTAGAGTATTTATCGTGCTTACGAGACACAATTACAGCACAGGCCAATTTCTTTATCAGCGATCTAACCAGATATCGCATACTTCGAAGTTGTGGATAATAACGGCCTGTCCTTCTCCGTTTTCATCCAAAACCAAGCAGCGCTGAAAGATTCCAGAACGCGAAGTGGCGCGTACTGGAAGCCCACTTTGAGTTCGATTCGACAATAGCACAAGCGAACAAGCATGCGATCTTATTGGGTAGCGAGGCAGTTATCCAGATGTGTATTTGGAGGCGTCAGCTCTTTAACTGTAACCAAGCTGTTCTTGGCATAGCTCCTTGATACCAAAAGGACGGGCTGATGTGAATTCTTAGCCATGTACGCGCGCCAAAAAAAAAAAGCACTTCATAATAAATTTCGCATGTGGCACACATGAAAGTCGGAAATTCTGACATCAGAAGGGCCCGCTGTCCGTTCACGGCAAATGGGGATGTTTCTTTCATCTCAACTACCTCAGTCTGATTAAGAGCTGAGCGAGGGTGGCTTCGGAGCAATCTTCTGGAATACTAGGCGTCGCGAAGCACAATAGGAGCGGCTGTTTGTCCCTTTTTGGAATAGCCAAACAGCAAGTTATGGGTTCAACAGCTCCCGCTTAGACATAATGTTCCAGCCGGCTGGAACCTTCCTGTCATGTCCCACTATACGAGGCTATCAGCCTTAGCAATGCCTCATCTAATCATTCCGTAGCCTAGCTCTGAGACTTTGCAAGCTTGGCTAGCTTTTTTTTCTTTTTAATTCCGAGTACTTTCGTCTGCTGTTTCTCGATCTTTTTGTTTATTAAGTCCTCTGTTATCTTTAAGGGAAAGTGTATCTTTGGTATATTGCTTGAACTTTTTTGAACGCTTTTTGTATTATAACTGTATAATGACCTCTTCTATTAATCTCTTAACTAGTGAGGTGAGATCTATTGTGGCGTGAGTGAGTTTTTAAGCTCCCTCCCCTTTAACGTGGGTATCTTTGTTTGTTTTAGCGTTGAATGCGGAGAAGCTTGTCGCTCGAGAAGAAAGAGGACTTGAAGACCCGAGGATGTTCTCCTCACATATCCCCAAGTTCGGTTGATAGAATCGTCGGTCACTGCCGGCCGATAAAGATGGCTTTGCTGACCCTGCTTCTTTGTTTTCCTTTGGATTGAGCTGCTTTCACCCTCAGCCCCACCCTTATCCCGGTGTTACTGTGAGCCTCCGGTGAGCTTTGATCGCAGGATCTGTGGAACATCCCACCACGTTGCGCATAATCACCCGCACGTATCGAAACTAGTGACGTTCATCCGTAGGTGCCAATCCGTCATCGAAGACATTAGTTGTGGATCAACATCCCGGTTTGCCTTGATGAATATCGTCTCATAGGGATGAACATTGCTCCCAAAGTACTTCTTGTCCCATAGGACATCACCGGAGTCCGGATGAGCCTTGCAATATTTCTTAACATCGCCATCAGGATGCATAGAGGTCATCATAACGTCGACATCATAGCCAGACTTCATGATCAGACCTGTAGTACCGACTTCAGCATGAACCGCGGCGTTCCAGTCGGCGTAACATCCGCTGAGGCCAACGGGGGCATCTTTCGACCCGAACGGGTCGTCTTCTGATGCTGATGTTGCGATGGTGGGGTCAAGGAGAATCCCCATGCCGATGTCGTCTGTCGCAAATATCATAGACTGCACATGCAATCTAGGTTGGCAGTTGAGCGTCATGCCAACGAGCTGAATGTTTGTTAGCCTATTGAATACCTTGTATCCAAAGAGCAGGAGTACTTACCTTGGTTTTGTCCGTCAGCTTGCTAAGAAACAGGTCGGTCCAGCAGGAGAAACTCCACATCGGCAAGAAGGGACCCCTGATGCTCGCGTTCATAGTGATAAACCGCTTGTACTTCTTCCATAGGTCCCCTTCACGGAGAACTTCTCCGATAGCACCCATATCGAAGCATGTGTTTTCTCGCTTCACAATTTTCACATGGGGCAATTCGGGGATAATACTCGACGACTTTGCATCCCCGTTGAAAATGAAAACGAAATCCGCTGCATTGTGAAGGCCCTTTGCGACGAAGTACTCCAAGTTTGCTCGCGCACTATCAGACTCGTGATAAGCATAGACAATGAGTGGCCTGTCACTCGAGCCCTTGTTCTTTGATGCTGGAGAGCCGTGTTGAAAAGAACCATGTTTTATAGAATGCCTCGCTTGGGGCTATTTTCCGGCGGGAATCCCCTTGTTAGCCACCAATTCAAAAATGACACCAAACTGTTATCTTGGAATGATACATACAATGTGGAAGGGGAAAATCCATGTGGCTGTCACGATTAAGAACACGACCGTGATGACACCGATTTTCAGAGGCGTCCCTATAGAAGGCATTGTAAAATATAGTTGGCGTAAAATAATGTAGAAACCAGCATCTAAAAAGAAAGAGGTCACAAATAATGAATGAAGAAATTCGCTGAAGATGATATGCGAAGCAACGCGGCATAGACTGACGTGGAAGGTGGGCTACATGTATGCATTTAGAGGCATTCACTGGCTGGAACCCCTGTTGTGTGGATAAGACTAAGAATAGGGGCTTCATGACCGAAGCAGACGGAGTGTGGGAGCGGCTCCGTACAAGCGCGGAGAAAACCTAATGGTTGCCCACGTCAAATGATGAGGCGCTGCCACGTTTGGTAGCCAGCTCAAATGGCATATGAAAAGTAATGAGCTTCTTTGTGTCGGCTTCGCTTGAAGTTGAAGAAAGTTCACTGTCACAACTTCGCGCAGAAATTGTGTGCGACTATTGGGGACTACGGCGGAAGCTTGGCCATTTTCGTCAACTACTCATTTCGGGCCTCGCCGCCGGATACAAAATCTCAGCACACGTCAAAATTGCCAATACCGACCTGAAAGGCAGGTTTTTTTGTCCTGACCGATCCGGCTCCAGAGATTTAACAATTTATCAATTCTTGTTGCTCCGGTGAGGTGTGTCGTTCTGGCTTGGCTGCAGCAATGCATCCTAGGCTTTTGGTATCGCTCACCCCTATTAGAATAAACCAAATCTGGCAAAAAGTGGGGATCACAATGTACGTTGGTATGGCTTCCAAAGACTTGGACGAATCGCATTGTGTTGTTGGTGCTGTTCATGCAGGTTGCAAATTCGTAGGAAGTGACATGAGACGTTTCCATCCAAGGCTGAATTCAAACAATCAAGCCCCTTGCTTTGAATCGTTTACGGTACGCTTCAACGCGCTGCTACTCCTAATCGCAATGATTTTCCTTTCCCCTACGCGTGAACCGCAACAACCGCGTTTTTGTAATGCTACGTTTTGATGTCGGTGGCCCTAGCCATGCCTTCAGTTGATGTAAGTCTATGATGGATGTGAATCTTTTGCTTCTCAGTAATTTTGTTGCTCTAATACTGATGCCTCTGGGTTGTTTGCAGACTCACGAAGACCAGGCTACAGGGCCATACGAACAACCTGGCTTGGAGGTCACCCCTCAAGAACAACTCGAGCACTCAGAAGAATGGTCGAGACTTCAAGTAGCCAGCAGCCCATCCGAATACTATCAGAACAATGGGAAAGAAGTAGTATCAGGATATTGCACAAACGATAAGATAACTGTGGTCACGGACTATGCTGAACTCCCACAAAACGAGAGAGCAGTATCACCAACAAAACGTCGAAAGCCCATTCGGTACATTGTGGGAGTTACATTGTTTATACTTGTTGTCATTGGCGCTGCTCTCGGAGGCTTAATAGCAAGCCGAAAGAAGACGCACGACAGCAGCGGCTTAGCAACCGGAGACTCTGATGAAGAGAAACCAGCCAGCACACCTACCTCTACCCCGAGCACCAACACGACTCAAAAACAACAGTCAATACGACAGGGCTCACCGTTGACCGTTACTGGTTGGCGAAAACATGATGGTGTTGAGATATATCTCTACTATCAGGACTACAACAACGAGATTCGGGGTTACATATACGATGGTACACGATATTGGGGCAACTCTTGGCACAAACTTGACAAATACAACTCCTTTGCCAGTGAGGGTACTCGCCTGGCCGGAACAATAATCCACTGGGGTCAAGGCTACCTGGTAATTGGCGTTTCTGTTTCGTCCATTCCTCATGTAAATCAACTAAAGGTGCTGACACATGACCTTCTCAGCCACAAATCGAGCTCTTCTATACTAGTGATAAGAACCGGCTTCTCGGCGTTAGCATCAACGAAAAACTCATAACATCATACGAGGAGAACAATATCAAGAATATCGCTTTCGCTACTGGGGTAAACAGTAGTATCTGTAGGTTTCACAGGGGGTGAAACGGAATTCCGTTCGTCAATAACAAATAACAGTAAATTGGTTCTAATCGATGGTTCATGATAGTTGAAAGTGGTGTTGTTGACTAGAAGGTGGGGATATTCCCCCTTGGCCTGTCACGTGGGTCTGGGAGGCTTGGGCCTCTCAGCCTGGCGGGCGTGTGGCTGGAAGTGCCACACGACTCCGTATTCCAACTGTCGCAACAGTATCAGTGCATACTGGCCATGGATAACATTCCAAAAACCTAGTGGTGAACTTGTCGAAGTGCGGAACCGCCTTGGTGCCAAACTTTCACCTGAAAAGAACTGGAACTGGATTGACCTGGGTATTCAAGCCGCTAATGCAAGCAGGTTGGCACTGGTGCCTTTGTCGACGAACTTTAGCAAGATTGCGGACGCAGGAGGTTATGGGATAATTTATCAGAGTACGGATGGTCGATTGGCTACAACCGTGCCACGCCTAGAGTTAGCAATTGCTGGTGAATATGCTTCTTCTTGGCCTACAAGTAAGTTTTCAAGTCATTTTCTTTAACTGGAAGTTCCATTCTAAGGTATTGAGCAGACTTCCCATCTATAACTTTGCCAGAGCATGCTGTGTTTGCCGCTTTTTCAGTTGCTCGACCGTCGGACCCGTTGCAGCGCGTCAACACATACGTTCTTTATCTCGACGCATCTTTCAACATAAACGTAGTTTACGTTGAATCTGGGTCGTGGAAGACGGTGCAGCCGTCTGATTTGAAAAATGTGGATTCTGACACAGACATTTCATGCCTTACTATGGCAACTACATACCGAGACCCGGATTTCGGCGAGGTACTTTTGGAAGAAGCTTCAAAAGAGACGAGATGCTATTTTCAGAGAGGTGGGCAGTTAATGGAAGTGGCATTTGATGGGGTTACATGGACAAAAGTCGGACATGTAACAGTGACATAATTGGGCACGCGTTTTTGTTGTCGGATTGCAGTTGATAGTTGGACCAAAGAGCCGTAGCATTAATGTTCAAAGACAATCAATATTGGCCATTAAATCAATCTCTTTTTTTTTCCCCTCAGTTTAAGATGGCAAATAATCAGCGCCTTTAATAAGGATGTGAAATATTTTACGTTATTTATTCAAGTTTACCATTGAATTACTACAAATATCCAAATCGCCCCATTTCTTACAATAATTGAAACACACTAGAGTGGGATATTGAATATTCTTCCTCAATCGCTGGTATTGATGTACTCCCAAACCAGGTTCCAGGCCGTTAATAATTAATCTAGCAACATTAACCAGTCTAAAAGACCAGTTTCTCATCTTTTAATACCGGTTGTTGGCTACCGTGGGCCCTGCAGCTCCCATGCTTCGACCCCCGTATCCTTGACTGATGGCCTTCTCCTCTTCAAGGGCACGCTTGTGTCTTCGGTGTCGGTCTCGAACCTCGTGGAATGCGGCAGTGATTGCGTGAAGGACACTGGATGGGAGATTTTATTAGCCTTCTATTTCACTCCCAAGGCTTCAAACAGAGGAGATACTTACGTGCTGACAATGGCCAGGATGAATGTGCCCCAGGGCAAGTTGCAACTGTCATCGTTGCTCGCCGTCTCGCCAGTTGCATTGCTCGATCCGTCTGTAAGGCGATCGATAGAGTAGCAGTGTCTAGGCCCGGCCATTCCACCATTGGGTCTGGTGAGGACAGAAACGGCAATGAAGGCACCCACGAAGGCAAGGTCGAGGAGGACCCACAGCCAGCGCAGCCACCTCGCGGTGCCAGGGCTACTGTTTTTCTTGATGCAACTGAATAGTGTGGTGATGAGGGTGTAAAGAACCGCAGCCGCAAGAATGCCCTCCACAGCGCCGTACGAGCCGTTGACGCCCCGACGGGTCTTGATAGAATTGACCAGCCGGTAGACCTTATAGAAACGCTGAGAGAAAATTCCAAGAGAGACGACCGAAGAGATAAACTGAAGAAGGCGAGTTAGGCGAAGAAACCAACGATAAAGACCTGTGTTTCGGATTCTCTCGGGTACGAAGCGCGTCAGAAGGCCGGTGGGTTTCTCATTATTATATGCAGGACCGTCTACGTAGGCGGGGCCATCTAGAGGTTGACGCTGCATCTTAATGATCTGCTATAGTATGCGCGCGGAAGTCTGGGAGGAAGAGGTGCTGAGACTGTGGGTTTTTTTGGTGATAGACCAGTTATCGTTGCTGATAGGGAGAAGTGACTGTAATCTAATGTGTGCAAACTGTTTACTCATGAAGAGGTATAAGCTTTCTAGTCAGGAAAGACTAGCTAAGCTTTATATTCTTTGGATGCTTGTGGATAAACATGCCCCTGGCTAAATGCATTTATTTTCCAGATTTTTTCGTCACCAAGACGTGACGACGAGGCGAGAATCCAGCAGGCTTCTACCCATGCTACCTCCGGCTGAAGTCCAATCATCTCGTTGACTTTCTGCTTCATTTCGATATGTTTCTGTTCGGCGGCAAACGGTCATGTGTTGATGTAGGGGTTAAAAATACGTAGTGAGCGCCTTGGCCGACGCGTTCAATTATCAGCAGCTCTAACAAGCTCTCGGTAAATTCAAGCGAAGATCATGATCACCTAGCGTGGTGTCTGGATTGGGAGGTGGAGTGGCATATTATCTCACCATTATTTCATGGCGGACCAGAGTGAAGCACTTGGCGATTGACGTAGCAATGCCGATTTAGCCGTTGCGATGAGAATGACAAGCCCACGGAAAGTTGAAAGCACTGAACAAACAGCTTTCAAAACACAAAGTCTGCCCTTTATTTCAAGAAAATTAAAATTTATTAAGAATGAAACAAAAGAAGGAAAGGAAAAAGTCTACGTGTAATTTAGTGAGTGGATGCTTCGAACGCAAGTGTTCCTCTTGGATCTTAACAATGCTTATCGCTGCATGGATAAGTGTCGACGACGACCGCGTCCAATGACTGAGAATATCTACAATGCCTAAATTGAAATGAAACACGCTCAAACTTGAGGATAATGATCATAAGTAGGTAAGTGAGTTGCGCCCTTTCATAGACTAGTGCCGATAGTTTTACGATCTCGAGGTCTGACTTGGGTATTGTTGCAGCTTGGAAGCATTTTCTGCCTGCAGTGTTCGAATTTTCCCTGTCAGTCATTCGCTGCACCTTTCATATCCATGTTTTCAATTTGTTTTGCCTTGAAGCTTCAAGACTAATGCTGGTGAGTAAAATTTGAGTGCATAATATCTGAACATGGAAAAGTACTTTAATTCGCAACTTCCACAACAAGGGCTGCAGATGAAGAAGGGCTTCATACATCAATACATCTTTAAGAATACATAGAATAAAAGGTTTTCGGGACCCAAACCTTCAGCCTCCGTATTTCACGGCAATTGGCAGATGTCTGGGTGTAAGGCGGTCTGTGGAGCTTCCCTTGTGGGGGCTAGAGGGACCACAACGCAATGGCTTTGCCCAGATGTGAATATCGTCAACAGGCAGTGTCCCTACGCTAGGTATAAACTGCACACATCTTTCCTTTGAAGTTCTCCTCTAGAGTTATCTCATTCATGTCTATTAGTAAGAAATAAAGTTTTCAGAATAAAATGCAGGGGTCGTTAAGAGAGTCAACAGAGGCCTACACGTTTATATACGTCGGCTAACAGCTAACCCGACTCCTTCACCAGCTAGGTTTTTTCAACAAGGCGAAAAGGTGTGTCGTGTTCCGCTCTAACTGCTAACACTTTTCCGGCAGGTGACAATGGGTATAGCTACGATAGTCCAAGTTAGCTATGGCTGGTGCTATTTACTCCACCTGAGAGCCAGGAGCGAAGAATAGGCCTTTAAAATCAGCCAAGCCGCCCTACAGCAACATGTTCAACATAACCTGTGGGCCTAGTTCACAATAGAATCCTTCAATTTACCGCCATTTCGTAGAATATCGCTTCTTCAACCGTGTTGTATACAAGTGGATCCTATAACAGGCAGCAACCCAAAGATTTACGAGTTTAGGCAACAATTTAAAGGGTCTCTAGGGGAATGGTTCGCTTGAGCCCACCAACGCATCTGGTAAAATTTCCTAATACGGCAAGCAAAATCTCTGCAACCCTTGACTCGTTAAAGTTGTTCAAGGTCAATGGAAATTTAGTTGCGCCATGGAAATGGTTGATGAGTGGGTTGATGGGTCTCATCCGTATTCCAACGTCTCTTTGATGCGATCTCTTTTTAGTAAACTTCCCTAATTCGAGAGATAATTCCATATTGGCGGCGGAGATATACGGCATATGTTGTGGTTTGAACAGTAAGAACTGTCCTTCAATGACATATAAAGGGTCGGCCAGCGTGACTGAAATAATGTACTTCAACTCATCACATCAACAAGATCAAGTTCAAAAAAGAATTCTCTAGAAGATCGAGCTCGTTATCAAAATCTTCAAAATGCAGCTCCAGCTTCTCTCTATGTCCGTTCTTGTCGCCTCCTGCGCTGCCGGGGTGATTCCTGAGCACTCTCATGAACACGACCTCGCCATTGATATCTCGCCGAACCCTGGAAACGTTCTGGACAAGCGCGACACATACGACTGCAAGGGCAGTGGCCTTTGCGGTAGCCTTACAACCTGCGACGATGCAGTAAACAACAAGCTGATCCGCAACGATGACATTAACTACGGCGCCCCTGGGTAAGAACTCCTCTCTGAATATCAACTCAAAACCGAGCAAATTCGGTTAGTTCGAGGCAATAATCCAACCCTGAGACTAATTACAATATCTTATTGGGATTTTAGAAGTGGAAAGCCTTCCGGCTCGTGCTCGGCTCCTTTTGGTCCCATGGGATGCGGTGTCTTCATCCAAGGCCCGTCGCACTGCACGCGCAGTGGTAATCAGATGTGGTGGGACTACCAGGACATCCGCAAGAGTGGTTGCAGAATCTGTGGATCGAAGCATTGGGGCAACGGATGCTTGACTACCATCAACTACGTTTCTGGATGCTCCAGCTCTTCCTGGGGCAAATAGGAATCGCCATCCATCATACACGCATGCCGTTTTCAACCTCTTCTACTACATAGCTTAGCCTCTACCAATATAAATTCCGGTTTTTTACCTAGTATCTTGGAATTGGGACTCGGTTATTCTTGCAAGATATGCATGGGTTAACTACATGATATCACTTAATTGATTGTGACTGTTTCTTGTTTCAGCCAAGCTTGCGAAGAACATGGTCTTTACTTGTTGTAATATTTTAGCTCTCCAACTTTGCTCTAGTTTGCTGTGTATGTAACCACACCACGCTGCTCCCAAAGAGCCGCAATCTTCGTAGCAGTTGTGCCTTTCTTAACGTAAAGTTCTTTTAATACAACAGCTCGGCTTTAACACGTTTTCTCCAAAGCCCTGAAGGTCCATTGTAATAAAAAAAATGTTACTTGAGCCTTTTGGTAACAATTCAATTCTCTTGCCGGAGTTCAGTGCTTAGTCTAAACTTTGGGATAAAATAGAGGGATGAAGTAAGTTGTTCTGAATGCGGTTCAATTGAACCAGAGCTTCAATAAAGATCAGTTTTCGTCATAGCACGGATTTTCAACTGCCATTAAACCCTATTACCCAGGTATTCTTTGGGGAGATAGACACCCCAAACCAGCACAGTAAAACAAAGCTGCGTATTTCATTTGTTCTGGTATCGTCGTATTTTATTTTTTATTTTTTTGAGACTTCCCTACCCTGAAGAAACGAGAAAAGGGAAAGAAAACAAAATTTTCTGTTGTAAACTTATGTTAATGATAGGGTGTCGAATAGGCCTGGTAAGCTTATGACTCGGGAACGACCACGTTGAGCTACCTACTGAGTGCCAGCGAGTTGATCCTGAACTACCTTATTCCTGCTACAAGAGCCCCGAACTGTTGACGAAAGTTGGCAGGGCAGGATCCTCAACAAATACGCGTCGCCGCTTAAGATATCACACCTGCATCATCAAGAATAGGGCACTTGCAATAACATTTGATTAAGATGGAGGTAGTATTCGCGATTGGACGGTGTCCGTCCGACGTTTGCCGGTTTCGGCCCCACTTCGGCAGTTCGTGCCTCTTGGTGTCATTGCCGTTATGAAACATGGAACATGTACTCGACAATCAGATGAAACTGAGCTTGTATTATCATTACCCAGACAACACACTGTTCAAAACCATGACGCAGAATGCGCGCCGCGCGTTCTCGTCTCGGAATTTCCGGCGTCAGATAATTTTCCCCCCCTCGTTCAACAGGTTAGTGCCGTGATGGAATAGCTACTCTATGCCGCAGGTCCCGCGTTGGTGACGTTGAAGAAGTTGCCAGCCACCACCTTGTTTGCCAGCCCCGCTTGGGTGAGAACATCGTTAACTTGAACGCCCAGACGGTTCGAGAGGGTTTGCAGAGCTGCGGTTCCTTCTGGTGTGATGTCGCTGGTGTCGACCAGTATCTCGACGTATCGGTGCGACAGGGGAACCTTTGCGGGTGGCGAAGGGCCCTTGTAAGGCGCAATAGCCTGTGCATTGGTAGTCAAAGTGTGAATGGTGCGCTCGCCGTCGTTCAGCTTGACTGTGGTGGTCGAGGCGGCGGGAGTGAGATCCGCCTGGGCCCAGTGAAGAAAGGTACCGGTGGCCGGAGGGTTGTTGGTAGGAATATCAATGTCAACCATGATGAGGGCATAGCTTTTTCCGGTCAAGGGCTCCGTCGTGCCAACTGTAGGCTCCGATTGTGTAACTGATATGATTAGCCTGGGTTTCTTTAGCGCATGAGTTTTACCTACGGCTTTTGGCCAAATCAACGCCATTGAGAGCCGACTGGTCACCGTAAGCAACGATGAGATCGACATTGGAAGCAGGCTGAAAGCCTGCGGGAGTCGCAGCCCAGGTCAACAGGGCGTTGCTCAATAAGAGGGCGATGGTAGAGTGCTGCATCGGTGCGGTAGTTTGTCAAAATTCTCACGACACTGGGGAATATGAATGGATTGGAGACGAAGTTTATCCTAGGAGATGGGCTGTCGTCTTATACCAACCGAGCGGCGTGGTGAAAGCATATCGAGTTAGCAGGGATCCAGCTCGAACGTGCTCGAACGTGTTCCACACAAACTGTCCCCAAACATGGGACATATCCACTCAAATCGCACGGATGACTGAGCTATGCAAACATGATACGAATCAGATAACCCTAGACAGCCAGACTGTTCGATGTTCGACTTGAGGGAATCCTTGTCGGCTGACGGCTCAACCAAGGAGTCTGACCTTCTTCGCATGTTCAACATCTCAAGGTCATGGAGCCCAATCAAGTCTAGTGAGTCTTTCAACAAAGTTGAACACCATGCGACTGCTTTCATATCTCCGATGGTAAACCCCGAAGTCAATCATTTGTAGGATAAGATCTCAACTCGGCTTCTGATTCTAATATCTCTCATAAGCGGAGAAACAGATCATAGCAATGGCGAATTTATATCAGATACTTCCACAAGGCAAATAACTTGCTGAATGATTGAAGCTGTCGATTCTCGACATTTTCATGAACTGCAGCTTCGGTTCAAGTCAGGTTCTTAAGGATTGGAACTCTATATTACATCTCTTATGTTATTTGTGAGAATGTGACTCGGCTGATCAAGTCCTAACCAACGTTGCAACTTTGATTTTCGATCGTCAGGATGAATGCTGTGGGTGGGGAAAGGTAGGCAAGCACTTCGAGCATCATGTGCATCAATCATTAGGTATACCAAGGAAAGTCTGCGAATTGGGGGACAGTAGTAAGATACCAGCGACTCGCAGGGATTAGAGGGCAGTTGCTGAAAGTGTAGAGGCACCCCATAATTGTCGTCTGTGTACGCAATGCTCATATTCAACTATTGCTCCTCTCACCTTTTTCTTTTAAGGAAATCGTCTCTGGAAGTTGTTAGGCTTTCCACTTATGTTCCCTGTTCATAAAGTTGTGCGGTTTTCATACTGAGCTGCCTGAAATCTCATTGCTTCCTTTTCACCTCTCTGCATCTTCCCCTCCCTTCCTTCTTCTTCCACATACAACTTTGAAACGGTGGGGACGCATTGATAGCCGTGCTGAGAAGGAGACAGCAAAAGGCCAAAGTAGCACGATTAGCAGGAACAGAGGCAAGCTCCTACGAGACATCTTAGACCGTTTTTAACAGGCCGCTAGACGTCACTTTTACGCTCAGTAGTGGATATGGCAGAGGAAACAGATGGGTTTCTAACGTATTGCCATACAATTGCAATTCTGTTGTTAGAGGAAAAGGTAGGCAGGAAAAAATGAACCGGGAGTAACAGACCTGTTGCCAGTCAGCGTTTGATTGGATTGATACGTATGAATCAACGAAGCCAGGCTTGGTTGTTTCTTTTTTATTCATCGTGAAATTTGCTGAACGGTTTCCATTTCACTCCCTTCTCACTTTTCAATATTTTATCACTCATCAGTCGTTGATGGCGATGAAGAGAGGCTGAGTAGAAAGAGTAGGAGGGAACATGCTGTAGGATACGCGCTCTTCAATACCTCGTTTGACCAGAGGTTAATAGTCCCCGTACTACAACAAAGCCCGCAGGGTTTTACTATATTTCTGTCAGAAATTGCTGCCGTTACGTCAGTCTTGCTAGAGACAGAAATGCTACTTCATATTCCCACAATGAGTGCTGTCAGGACATTAGGATTTACCTGCAACATCGTCAAATATATGAACATTAACACATGCTGCGAGTCTGCAAAAACTTCATATACATGTTACTTTATCTATAACGTTATTGGACCCTTCACATGTACTTGTTCGTCCCCGTAAATGTGGATGGCTCCAGTTTGACAGATGGCAATGTCGTTAACCATGCTCCCTGCACCACCGGCTGCATGGATGCTTATCTTCCAACAGACGAACCGAAAAGCTTATGTGTAGGCCAATTTAACTGAAAAAATTGACAATCTCAGCGTGTAGTGATTGCCAAGAAGAAAAAACTTAAGATACGTGTAGGAGGTAAACTCGTATCGACTTTCAACAGCCGGGACGACATGCTCACAGATAGAGATGGCGGAAGAGGATGCACATTGAAAATGAAGATTTGTATGAAGTTGACCCAATCCAGTAGGGTAAATGTTATCGTGAATTGATGAAACAGGATATCTATATAGAAAGAAATGAAAATAAAAGAAATGAAAAAAGGCCAGATTCGTAAGCCTTCCAAGTGGTATCAATGTCTAAATGCTTTGCAAAGCTAATTCGCCGCAAATAAATTGCGCCTTTAAAAAAAAAAAAAAAAAAACCAGCCGTCAAGGCCAAGAAACGAAAGGCATCTTTCCTTGATTATGCTTTTCCCCCCCTTGTTTCTCTTATACGCAGGACCTAGCCCCACCGGGGCTCGTCCGCAGGGATTTCAGGGTATCTCCTCGTTTGCAGCCGAGCGGACTTCTTCTCGGACCGCCCGGAGAGATGGTTCTCGTCTCTCTTGGCGATCTCTTTGACGCAGGTAGACTGGCTGCTTCCTGCGACTGGTTGGCAGGTCAGGCCGCTGCAGCATGGTCGAGTACCGCAGGTATCTGAGATAGAAAATGTTAGCTCACCGTTACCTACAGGCATTGCATTGGATTGGGGGGAGAACCAACCTCCTACTTTGGAGACGCATTGTCTCTTGACAAGGCCGGCATCGACGCTGATAGCGGAAGCAACGCCAATGATTGCAACGAATGTGGTGAGAGTAAACTTCATTTTGGCGATCTTTGTACAGCGGTTGTGCAGTGTATGTGCTTGTGTTGATGTATGTGTAATAAAAGTTGGAGCAGGTGCGTGCCGTTGGTTTTAAGCAGTTTTTTTGTAAGCGAGTGTGTTATTTGAATATAGCCCTGTGTTTCCCGGTGCTGACAGTTGAGTTTAATGAGGAGAAAGGATATCTTGTAGATCCGCGGGCCTTGCTGAAGCTATATAGATTGCCGTTGTGTTCTCCACGATCCACGAGTCAGAGATGGTAATCAAGGAGTCGTAATACATCTGATCTTTTCGAGGCTGTGTAGTTTCTCTAGTCGCACGGCTTGGCGTGCTGCAACCAGATCAAGATCGACAATCGTCTCGTGGAGGAGCCCGGCCGGCGTGCATGCCGGCCCAGGCGTACCGGGTTCGAGCTGGTTACGTACGCCCTGTCTCGAGTCTTCGGGTTCGTCAGAATAGGTGTCCCATCGAAAGCCGTCCCATGGCAACGGGCACGAGGAGGGGGATAAACGCATTGTGTGGTGCCGGCAGGAATAGCGTTTGTCGCATCCTTGTGCATTGATTCTAGAAGACTGCCTCCAAGAGACAAATTTGGTTTCAGAAGAGTCTGACGTCGTGCTCCCAGCCAATCGGGATGGCACGGCAACAGCGAAGGATAGCAGATGGCTATTTTTACATTGCTTTAAGGGACACGCGTGTCGTCCGTAGTGAGGTTGAGATGAAAGCCAGAGCGACTCGGTGATTCAAAGCCATAGTGTGCAGCGTTCGGAATGTAGGCTTAATATTGACAAGCTTGGCGATTGTCGCCTTCAGAGTGTTAATAGACGAAAAACTGCCGGGTAAGGTTCTGCGCGTTGATTGGAAATCTACCAAGACTATCTACTGAAACCATGAGAGAGTGAACCCCGCACGAGACGAAAAGTTTGAAAAAGGGCGATGAGGGAGCTTGAGTCTCATAGAGTGGTAGTTTATCAAACACGGCACGGTAGCGATCGGGGTAGCAATCCCTCCTGATGACCGTTACCGATCCCTCCTCAAAGAATCCCGAACTCGGACAACCATCGTCAGCTTCAAACATCAGATCTTTTTGAGAGCCTACTGTTGAAAACGCAGAATTCCAGCGAGAAATAAACTATTCTTTGGAATACAGGGCTACGCAGCGGTTTCAACATTCGTAAGCTTTCTGCCTCTTATCTGTCATGATTCTGGACAGGGCTCGAGCAACTGTTGGATCACATTCGCCGACGAAAGTGGGACGGGAGAGACCAGATGAAATACTACAGGGCGTTCCTTGCAAATTATGGATGCCCTACGGGTTAGCCGACGCTTGACTCGGGAATCGCATTATAAGCGGGAAGTTAGGAATCAGACGTTTTGCAAGTCGGTTCCTCTGCGTATTGTCCTCAATAGGCATGCAATTTCAAGCCTGTGCTTGTCATCCATCTTCCTAAGATGATCGTGCTGGCATTGTCCCACTTATTAGACCAAAAGACCAGGCCAGGGGGTCAAGCCATCAGCCTACGTCGACTCGCCTCAAACAACACTTCTCTGCTCATGGAATCCATCGTCCTGATATGTTAGGTTTGGTGATGAACATCGTGACCACCGTTATCACCTAGACAAGGCGCTACGGCCATGAGGCTTCAGGATCATCGCTGATCTGTGAAGCGTGGCGAAGACATCTTTTCAGCTGAAAACACTAACACATCACCGGCGCTCAGACTCTCCGTCTTACCAAGGCAATCTCACGCTTCATAGCCTGTAGTACATTATGTCGACCTCGTCAACTCACCAACAACTACTTGACAGCATCCTCATCTATGTCGAATGCCAAACCAGCGTGAACAACTTCAGTCTCGAAAAGAAGGTGATGTGACTACATCCCACTTCACCATGTCACCCCAAAACCCAGGCTAAGCGTTTCACTTCATGCCCCCAGCCACACTCCGGCTTCCCGTCCCGCCCTTGCAGCGCCCCTGACATAACGCGCAACCACCAAAATCGCCCGCATCGCATTCAGCTTCTGCACATCAAGCAAATAATAGGCCCCCAATCGGCCCCCATCCGGAGCCTCCGCAGTACACGTTCTTGTGGGGATGGGATGCAAAACGGGTGAACCCTTCTCCGTCTTATCTTTCGACGTCGCTCTAAATCTCTATATCCGGCTCACACCTTATAACGTGTTTGGAGCCAGTAAACTACTGAATTGCCAATAAACCAATTTAAGCTCAAACGTATCCTGTCCAGCTTCTGCACGACGACTGAAATACCAGAGGGAAAAACGCCTCACGCGGCTGTACAAGCGCAGGGTTCCGCGCAGACGTAGCCGCTCACCGGCGCTTCACAATGTAAGGAGCACCACAATCAGCAGTCTAAATATGCCTTGAATCTATTGTAAACATACGACAGTACCGTAGCTCGTCGCACGATGTCACTTCAAGCCTGGAAATAACCATCACGCCTTTCGATGCGTCCCCTCGGATTCCTCGTGTTAGCTGCTCGTCATGTTAGGCATTCTCATAGGGCGCTGCAATCGATCATCGCGGCGCTTGTCTCTAGCCTCATGATAATCCGAACATCACCTACGGACGCAGGAAGGATCTGTCAGCCCTGTTCTAGGGATAATTCAGCCGTTGATAATCTGCAAATCGAAGGAGTGACGAGGTCCTTGCATGTCTCTATCTACCTAGTTCAGGCCGAGATACATACAACCTCATGTTGCTAAATCGATCCCTCAGGCTGATCCGCAGTAAGCCATTTCGTGATGATGAAGTTGCCCATCATGGTCAACTATAAAGAAGCCGCTCGTCAATCTCCTTCTACCCTCTGTCATTCAAAATCACATTCTCACCAGCATCCAGGTGACAAAGACATCCCGAAACAACGGCCCTCTCCCATCTCCCAACATGAAGTCCCTCACGCTACCTCTCCTCTCCCTCATTTCCCTGACCACCGCCTCACCAACCCCGGACCTCGTAGCCCGCGACCTCTCCATCCGCAACTTTGAAGAATCCTTCCTCTCAACCCTCACCTGGACGCACCCAAACAACACCGTAAAGCTGGTAGGCTTCAAGCGCATCGTCATGACGGCCTCCCAGCACGAGGACCTGAAACTCAACATCCGCTCCTCGCCCTCGGAATGGGCCGCCTTCACATCCGCCTACCACGACCCCCACGAGTCCACGATGCGCGTCTACTTCCCCGTCGAGAACGCCCTAATGTACCACGCCGGCTCCCTCGTCGAGGCCAACACCTTTGGCGAGCACCCGCACCCGGTCCTGGACGGCGACCTCGCCGTCGTGGGACGCTATCAGACGGCCCACGTGACGGGCGTCAAGGGCAACGTCGTCAGAGACGGCGTCATTTACCTCAGCGAGCCGGCGTACCCCGTCCGCAGGTACGGCGCGGACTCGAACATTCTAGTGTACGACTTTGGCTGGCGCGAGGGCGCACACGCCCACGGTCACGGCCACGACCACGATCACGATCATGACGATCACGACAATGACAACGACGACGTTGGAAAACACATTGGCCCAAGAGACGAGGGAAAAGGCGGCTCCTGCAAACAGAACCACGGCGGCAGGGTGTGCTCGCAGGTGTACAACATCAACCACGGCCGGTGCCCCCGCGACTACTCCTCGTGCATAGACTACAACGGCTGGCCCATCAAGTCGTGCGACAACCACAGCAACAAGTTCGCGTTCCCCGGCAGCGACTGCTTCACCGCCGTTGCGAGGGGACACTGCTGGAATGAGATACCCAACTGAGTTTGAGACCTTTTTTTTTTGACCTTCTTTTTTTTTTTTTTTTTTTTGGCTCTGTTCTTTGTTGCCCAAGACGTCTTGCATTCCAGACGGTGGATATTTTGGGGAGGGGAGGATGTCATATACGCACGAGGCATATGTGGTGGTGGCGGCGCATGGGGTCATGGGAGAAGAATGTTACACACGCATGGGAAAGGGAGGGGGTTCACGAAGAAACGAATCACATATTCAAGGTTCATGTCACATATGTCACTAATCGAGTCATAAAAAAAAACGTTGATGAAATCCATACCAAATTCAATTCTTCATATGCCACTCTATCGCATAAAGTCCCAGAACTCAAAAACCGTTGGTTAAGGGGGGCAGCAGACATAGGTAGTGTGCCTCGTACCAACATTTGAGTTCGTTCATTCCAATAACCCATCTTTCCCCCCGTTGAATACCGATGAAATAAAAATAAAAAAAAACCCGGAAATAGAACCTTGACCAAGATCGCCAAAGAAATTTCAACCGTAACCCCCACCCCCTCCGACCGAATAGCCGTACCCCCAAAGAAAGTTTCTTTTTATGAACCCCCAGTAGTAGTACATCCGTTCAGCGAACGAAAGAAAAGAAAGCGTCGCCAAATAGTTGTCGTCATTACGTGATCCGGGGTGGTGCTGGGAGTGAAACCATACATCAAGCACACAAGCGTAAAAGCGTCATTAACGTACAGGTCGCCAAATTGTGAAGTCGTGACATCGTCCAAGATAACGTTTTTTTTGTTTTCCCCGAGTGGGACCGAAACGCCGAACAAGACATCCCCAAGTTGCTCATGAGCTACCGAAAAAGATGTCGTCGTTGTTGGTGAACATGTTCACCGCGTCATCGAACTCCTCATCAAACTTGCTCATCATGAGCATGTTGGGGTCGCGGTCGAATTGGACCAGTCCCTCCTCGCTGGTGAACGCCTTCATGAGCATCTCATCATCAGGGTCGCCCAGACCGAGGCTGGAGATGCTGGTGTTGCCGACCGCGCCAGAAGTGCCTCTCATTCCAGCCAAAAGTGAATCGTCGCTGAAGCCAGAGGCGTTAGGCTCGGCGTCAAAGAACTGGTTCGGGGGAGGCGATGAGGACTGGGAAAGCTCTGGCGGGGTGTTGTACTCGCTCTTGGATGGTGATTCGGGTTGCTGGGGCAACGAAGCTGGCGCCTCCATGAGGGCTTCCGGCGAGACGTAGCCCGAGTTGTGGCTTGCAGCGGGTGATGGCTCAATATCCAATTCTCTGTGAATCCGGGGCGGCGACGAAGGCATCGGCGCAGAGGATACCGTGGTGATTTGGAGAGGCATGTCCAGACCCGGTCGTTCGATGCTGATACCACCCATCTCGAAGTGGTCGTCGGACATCATGAAGTCGTTCTCTGGGGAGTTGACCGCAGAGCTGTCAGAGTATCCGGATTGCGACGAGGTGGAGGTGGTAGACTTGTTCTTGGTCCTGGTACGAGCCGACTTGTTGACGCGCTCGTCCATTTCGGGGCGGTGCTTGCGAGGGCGGCCGCGCTTGACGACCTTCTTCACGATTCCGTCGAAGGCGCCAATGCACATACCGCGCTGGCGATGGCGAGTAAGAGCATCGTGGCGGGCGAAGCTGTTGCCACACTCGCAGGGGTAGGGCTTGATACCGGTGTGGATCTTGGCGTGCCGCTTCAGGTCGTGCTGGCGAACGAAGCACTTCTTGCAGGTAGGGCACTGGTATTGTCGGTCGTTGAGATGGGTTTGAACGTGGGACTTTATGTTTTCTTTCCTGCCAAACTTCTTGCCGCAGTCGTCGTACACACAAGTCCACTTGCCATCGGCAGGATCGGGGCCTTGGATGTAATTTGCAATATCCTCGAGGGTGACACCGGTTTCAGTCTTGGTTTCCTCAATGTTGATGCTTGCGATGCTGGCTGCGCTGGCGATGCTGGCAAGAGACTCGGTACGACGATGAGGTGAAGTGCGGCAAGACATGTCAAGGGATCGAGCGGGAGACATGGATGAGATTTCAATATTAGGATGACGCAGATCGGGTCTGTGGTCGAACGCGGCGTGGAAATTCATCAGAGGAGTGTGAGGAGTTGATTGTGCCGACAGGTCAGAGCCGTTGAAGTCGTCGGTGATGCCATCGTAGCCGCCCTGGATCTTCATGAACTCGGCGTTGAAGTTGTTCATGTTCATGAAGTCGGCCGTGGGCACCTGCTCATACATGGCGCCGTCGGTAACCTGAGTAGGCTGCGGCTGACCAGGCATGGCGTTCTGTTCAGACTGTCTCCTCATCTCTTCAAAGATGTTCTGGGTCCGCTGGTTTGACTTCCTCGTCGGCTTGAGCGTCTCTTCCATAGACTCATCATATCCGTCAGCGAAGCGGCTTGGTCTGGCCGACATGGGCTCGTGCTTAACGGCCCGATCATGAGGCGTCTCCGTTGGAGTAGGGGGGAAGTAATCTAGACCTTGTAAGTGACTGAGCATCGTTGATTGGTCATCGGACGACATACTGTTTGCATTCTGATGAGGGGGCGTCATAGGTCTTGACATTTGTTCAATGCCCATGGTCTCGAACTTGTTTACCCTGTCCATGATACCGTTGCTGATTCTCCTCGAGGATCGCCTCGTGCTGGCGGTGTCGCCCTCAGAGATCCAGCCCTGTGGGGTATTGGGGGCGTCGCTAAAGTTCATGAAGGAGGGTGTCGAGAGGGAAGTGTCAGGGCCAAAGAGTTCGAAGTCCTTGTTTCCTCCCATGTTGGCGCCGTAGGCCTGCTGGTTCTTCGCCATCATGCCGTTGATCGGGTTTCCATACTGATCGAACTGAATGGGAGTCGAATCAAAACACGAGGCGTCGAACCGCTGGGTCTGCGGGGTGCCGTTGGGGGAAACGAGGTAGTTTTCGTGATCGTTAGCGGCCACGAACATGTGCTGTTGATGTTGGAGTTGTTGTTGTTGTTGTTGCTGCTGCTGTTGGTGAAAGTGTGCTTGCTGCCTGGGGCCCGGGCGTGCTTGTATGCGTTGCTGCTGCGCTTCTCGCAGTACGTGCTGCGGTTGTTGTGCTAGTCCTGTGTTGTTAGTGATACTTACCGTCGCAAAGTCCTGCCTTGTGGCTGTCGTGGGAGACATCACTTGTCTGCGAGTGTCCAGGCTAAGGCCTCGGCGGTGGCCGAGGGCACGTTGACGCTGGACATTGTTAGGCAATGGCTGGATCTTCACTCCTTCAAAGGCCGTCGGTGTCGAATTTTGGCGTCGGTGCCGGTGACGGGCATGAAGACTGCTAGTTGGCGGATGGTTAGACAGCATGGTGTCGCAAGTCGAGTCCGGAGGGAATTGTCGTCGGTCGGTTGGTTGTCGAGGGAACCTTTTGGTCCGAAACTGGATGTAAGTTGTCAGCATCGGAGTTGCGCATGGCGCATATGTTGGGCCTTTTGGTTTTGATCTTTTTGGTTAAAAGAGAGAAAAAAAGATGATGATGAACTCACCTCACGCAGCGCAAGCAGAGCTGCCGGGCTAGGGGTAAGGGTTGGTTGTGCTCAGTCGAGGTCGACTTCGCGGTTAAAATCAGATAGAATCTGTTCTGTTACGCCTTATACAGGCGATGTAAGATAAGATGAGAGCGATACGAGCGTGCGCTCTCTACCTAGGCAAAGGTAAACTTGTCAATGGCAATAAATGGTGATGTATGGATACACAAGAAGTATTGGCTTCTTGAGTAGTAGTAGTAGTAGTAGTAGTAGTAGTAGTAGCGGTAGCGGTAGTGGTAGTGGTAGTGTGAGATGTAGTCGCGATGGACGACGGAGAAAGTTGGAGTAGAGGTTGTCTTCCTGCAGTAGTGGGTTTGGGCGGGAGGGGAGGGGAGGAAATTCAAGATTCCACTCTGGAGGTGATCTGGGTGGGTAGGAGTAGTAGTAGTAGCGGCAAACAGACAAGCTGACGGGGTAAAGATAGCAACAGCACCAGAGTTGGTTGGAGGGGTGTTGTATCTGAGGAAACCAGACCAGGCTTACGGTGGTGGGCGGGTACCCAAGGCGTGATGGGCTTTGTTGACATGGGAGAGCCCAGTCGTCTCCACAGCAACGAGATCGAGTAGCGTGGGTTTGCACCAGCTGGACCTGGACCGCAGCTGCCGCCCATACTAACAGACTCCCAGACTACGGACTACCAAACACAGCTAGTGGCCCTGGCCCAGGTACTTTGCAGGCAGTTGGAGCTCCCGCACTGGCACCACACTATGACCCAGGTAACTAACTTTCTCTCGTCATCGCCCAGGGCCATTTCACTCTAAAACACTAGGAAATCTTGTCGGCTAAGACAAGGCCTCCTGGTCTATTCTCTAGCCGAGCCCAGGTCCGTCGCATCTTGGGCCAAGTTTTGCGACGGTTGCTTCTGGTTGCCGTTCACTCATATTCCCATCATTTTCTTCTCCCTGAGCATGCTGTTCCACTCAAGATGTATACATGTATTTTCCGGATCAGCATCATCCAAGTTGGTTCTATTATAAAGACTGGAGAACAACAACGTGAACCCAACTAATTGGCTTACACCGCAAATCTTGTTGCTGTCCAATTACTCCTAGTATCCCATCCTCCTCACCCATAAGCAGAGTGGACCACCAAACAAACATCCCCGTCAACCTCATTCTTCTCCGCAATTCAAGGAGAGAAAAAAAAAAAAAAAAGAGGACGTGCTCCCGTTTCGTCACCTCTCGATTCGATCCTCCGATCGTACAACCCCAGCAACCGGACTTGTGGAGGGTAGCCGACGCCCACCGAACACCCAAGTCTCACCACCGCTGCCAGCGACTTGGAACCGACCACGCACAACATCCGCCATGGTGTGTTTGTCCAGCCACAATCACCAAAGTCTGGTTTCACCTGCTGTCTCTCATCAGCCTAATTGTCTGTCAAAGACGGGAACAAGAGAGGCCCTGTAACCATCCCTTATCCCTTGCTTTAACACTCTGTCCCTCCCTGCGTCTTTTCTGTATCACCTGCTCCATTGCTGCCACCTGATGTTGTCGAAGTTGAGTATTCGTACGCCGTAACATGAGATGACTGAGCGAGGGCCATCGGACGGTTTTCCTTGAGCACTCTTCATTGCATCCGGAATCCCCGTGCTCAAGAGCACCAAGGGCCTTTTCTTCCGTCGTCCGATGGCCTGACATTGTTTCCCGATTTCATTACCAGCCCCCATGGCCAATGCATTACCGAATTTGATACCCGGCCCACCAACATATCCACCCCTGTGAATAGCTTCACCCAACGACCAAATATCCCAGTGAATCCAATTGTACATTTATTCACAGCAAACTCATCGCAATTACATTTTTATTTTGACTAGGACATCCTGGAGCTCGCGGCAAGCGCCTAGGCCTGTTGTTCTGGAGTCTACATCCTGAGAGCGAACCCATGAGATGAAAGCCGTTTCTGCTACAAAAAGACTTGCTGCTGAGGGTTTATCCCTTGCAACCTTGATTCAAACCCCGAGACGAGGTCATCAAATCACTTTCCTGAGCTACTCGTCTCGCAATAAAGACAAAACCTCACGTGGGAACCGACATTGACTTCCGACGGGAACTACATCCCTGCGTAATCGACGATACCAAAAGCCTCGACATCAAACTCATCAATGACAGGAGCAATAAAATCACACGCGACGTCGCTAGGTTTCCGCATATCGCTTCGGTCCCATCGAAAGAGTCATCGTGCATTTGAGGGTGATACGTGCCAAGCATCGTGGAGTTCATTGGCCAGGTATCTTGCGGTGAGGCCGCTTCCAAACATCTCGATTGGTTTCTCGCCAGGTGGCCTGGCCTAGTCATGGAGTTTCAGAGCCCTTCTGCAGCGGAGATGGAGGAACTGGCATGCGCTGCAAGCCACTCGAAAGCAGACTTGGCGGGCTTTGGCTGTGCCATCTGACTAGAGCAGCAAGACTGTCGCGGTGAAGAATGCAACGTGTGGGACAGACTGATTGATGCATATCGTGGGCCCGCCCGCAAGGAGTTTGGCGAGCTCGCAAATGATGATTGCTCTAGGTTAGACTGCCCAACGGCCACGGTGGGCGTGTTTTCCCTTCTGGGTAAGGGCAGGCAGACGGCGAGACTTTAGAGGTGTCAGGATTATTTTATGAGCTGGCGTCGCAGAAAGAACATCTTACTACAACTGGGCTAGGTACTCTAACTGTAAAGTGTGCCTTTCGTGGTGTTGGGCCATTGCTGGGGACACGGGGCTATCCTGGGTGATGTACTCGGTAGATCGGAATCGATGCGGATCGGAGAGTATATTCCTGTTGACGTTTACCCGCCGTTACCACCCCACGATTCAGCCTTGCGTGTGTCTGAGGGTGACAGTGTGTTGCCCAATCCATTCTCTTCCAAGGTCCTTGCCTAGTCTTTACCTAGTCTCCCTTGGCTCACCGAACTTGTTGGGCAACATCGTGCACCAACAACGATAGGAAAAGGCATAACGCACTCCTAGAATGGAAACTTTTACTCTGATTGACCTGCATCATGGTTGTTGCCAAGCTGTGAAAGTACTGAAAGACTACAAGGAGGGATGCTATTAATCACGTGGTGTCTCACTTGTTGACCATGACTTACTACAAGCGATTTCTGAGGTTTTGTGGCAACTCCATGAATTAGATGGCAACAACTATTGCACTCAAGGTTTCTAAATACATGTGTGTTCACTCTAACCGTTCTGGTCAACATTTTGTATGGTTTATGGTGCATCCCAGCCAGCTAAAATCACGGCCGAAGGAAAAGAGTCTTGCATGGCAAATGGCTTCCTTCCTTGCCGTCAAAACGTTAGCATCTCTATCATACCAGTCTTACAGCTATTAAGGATTGATTATAGTCTTATATTACCGGGCTTTAATGTACTGAAGTTTCCTCACAATCGCCTTGTCGTGACTTCCTAAAGGGACTGAAGCGTTAAATCAAACTTCGTAATCCTTACTCATCTTCAGCAGCCATAATAGCATGAAGCGGCTGTGGAAAAAGTATGAGAAATCATGATTCTTGTATAAGACCAGCAAATTTATGTAGCCTTGCATACGCAATTCGGTGAATGAATGTCAAATACAAGTTATTGAACACTAAAACATGTGTTAACTTACCTAGCAAAAGATGTGTGACGACAACGTCAATATTCGCGGGACACACCGAGCGAGACGTGTTTATGTAAACCTTCTTAAAGGTACACCGTAGACGTAAAAGCAGGTACTTTCTTGCGCACATTCTCTCTCTGAATCAAGTCAATCTTTTACAACTTTTCTAGCCTGATTATCATGTGCCTAGTTCGTCGCAATGGGCAACTCCAAGATTGAGAACCTCAAGATTGTCAAATCAAAGTTCGAGAGACCGTCACGGTTGTGTGGAAGAGAAGAAAAGCTGCGGCGCGCCGTTAGACACAAAAAGTAAACATAGACAGTAACGATATATAAAGGCAAGTCGTATCACGGCATCGTCCTTCCCACTCATTGCTTTTCCTTGCCACTGATTGGCCAAGCCGGCTGAACCTTCTGGCTGAGAAATGCAGGTTACAACTACCTAACTAGGTAATTAACCTTTGGCATTTCTAACGTCGATATGTACAGAGAATGGGTGCATCACAGGCACGAGTAAAAACACAAGTAGCCGGAGTAAAGAGCATAGAATCAGCATCTTCCCATTGGGCTCGCGGCAAGTGAAGTGTGGAAAATCCATGACAAGCTCATATTATACTGAATTGGACGATGGGGCAAAGCTGTTACCTATGACAGTGAATCAAAAGACAGAAAAAAGGGACTTTGGTATCTCAGCCCTTGGCTTTGTGAAACCGGAACGCCACGACAAATGTAATCGGGCCTCGCTCGTGAGGTACTGTGCCATTTTGGTGCTCTCTCTACCAGGAGTCGAAGTCATCGGTGGCATAAGTCTATCTATATGATCAAAATCATTTCAATGTGTGGTTTTCAAAAGCGGCTTGCAATGTCTTGATATTTGACCAAGTCTTCATCAGTTGTGTCAAAGTAGGAGAGCTGGCTGTTGATCCGAGGTTGAATTATGAAATACCAAGATGTAAAACACGGCCGACCAACGGGCCCGCCCCGGAACCTGGACCTAAAATCAGAGAAACAATGCTGTTTCCAGCCTTTGCAGCTCTAAATATGTCAGATCGGGTTCCAATGTCGCATTCTTACCACCAGCTACCCGGTCTGAGCTTCTGCCTCCACTCACGCCCAAGATAGACGCCGATGGTGATATCGAAAAGTAAAATCACTAGAGGAAGGGTCAGGAGAAAAGGGGTGGGGGTCAATTAAAGGTCTGACCTCCATAGCTCTAAGCCTGACACACGGACATTGTCAATATTCACCAAATGAGAAAGGCGGCTACCAGCAATTCTACGGATAGGTTTATGTGGTCACTATTACGGCCCGGGTGCTTAGCTCACGCCGATCGCCCGACCGCATGGCAGCGGATAATCCGGCGACTCTTGAGCTCGGTAGTGAACTAGGGGAGAAAAGAAAATGATCAATGGGGTCAGCAAGTCAGGCGATATTGGACCTCACTCAGCCTTAGCTGAAAAGGGGAGGAAGAGACCCGCCGCGTCGGGTCAGTTTGTGAAGATGGACGAAGATGTGCTGCATTAAATGGTGGCTCGAATCATGCAAGACTTGGGGAAGTCTGGGGCTGGCAGAAAAGTACTGTTTGTTGGTTGGAGGATATGTGGGAGGTGGTGTAAGAGTCGGCCGATGATGATGCGTTGTTTCGATGAGGCGACGAGGACTGCACGGAAGGTTTTATCGTTCCAGTATTCGTTACTTGCGGCATAGTATGGCTCTTGAGAGGGAAATACAGGTGCAAACATCAGATGACATGCATCTCTCGGACCCGACAGGGTTCAGGTGTGTTAAGAAAAGGTTGATATTCAGTGCGGCCTGGTTGGTTCATGCAAGGGGAGCCAGGGGTGGGCGAATGGAAGATTGTTTCCACAAAAGTTTGCATGAATTTTGAGAGCGAGCAATTGAGTTTTTAATATCTTTTTTTTCTTCTTCTTCTCTTTTCTTGTGAAGCGCAACATTGATGATGAGGATGATGGATTGCAAGTTAAGCCAAGAGATGAAAATTATTGTCACTATTGTCTCTGGCGGGTGTTGTGCACTAACCAATACCTTAAGCAGAATGAATGGGCTTGTGAAATTCAAAAATTTGTCACTGTCCCCGTTGCTTATTCTAGTGGCATCCCGAGGCCGAATGACCTGTGGCCTCGGGAGCTTCAGGGACCAGAGAAGAGAGAGTGGAGCATTGGAAACAGGACGCGAAGACGGATTTGGACAAGTTTGGCTTGCACAGGTGCCGATAGTGGCTCGTGCACCGAGTCTTCACCTCCAGTTGGGTCACCGCGACAACCAGGGGTCAGTCGGTGAAAAAAAAAAAAGTCCACTGGCCTGTAGTGTACTACCGCCTACCTGCCCTATCCGTGTCCTTCAGTGGCCAATTGGTCTCCCCTAAACCACGTCGTAAGGTGGCACTGTAGCGTACAACAGGTCGTCGGGGCGTCCCATTCCGATCGATTTTCTCTCTGCAGCCAAATTTCCAGCACCCATGACCACCATCTCCCCTTGAGGAACTCTGGAAATAACTGACCCGGCACCGACCCAGAAAGCAATTCCTCCCCCCTGTTCCAAAACTCATCAGCCCAGACCCAGGCCCAGCGACAAGCTGCCCAAATATCCACCCGCTTGGGAATCCCTCCAAAAGCTCTCTCCGTTTCCTGCGTCGGTCTCTTTGCCGTTCACCTCACCGCCGACTAGGCTAGATTTTGGATATTCCAGTCTAGCTCGTCTGCTTCCTTTGTTCTTCCTCTCTCCGATACACACAAACACGTGTATATACACATACACATTTTACACTACACCTCTGCGGCCCCCCTTCAAGCAGACAGGCAAACAAAACAAACAACAATAAACTTCCATCACCGCCCCCAGTTCCGAGTCCGGCTCTCCTCGGCATCCACCCACGCACACACGCACACACACTCAAAAATAGAGACCTCGCATCAACACCCATCATCTCGCAATCTACCAAGTTTATGCGATGTCAGGCAACACCCTTAGAGGCACGCCCAATCGCGGCCAGGCCCGTGGAGGCATCCCCTTCAACAATAGCCCTTCTTCCACTCCTGCCGCTGCCTCTGGCATTCCTCGCCCCGTGCTAGAGACCCAGGCTTCCCAGAGCGAAGCTGGTGGATCGGGAGTCAGTGCAAGCCGGCAGAAGCAGACCAAGAGAGATGAGGTATGTTACTCCTGTGCTATTACCCCACGATGTGTGATATTTTCTGCCCCTCTGGATCCGGGGAGGTTATTTTTTTTCTTTCCCTTTCTGTCTAGTATAGTCTATCCGTCTGCTTTACCCTGTTCTTGGTCTGTCCGCCTCGAATATCTGCCAGACTGGACGAGACACAGACGAAACTCCAGGGAACAGAATGGGAAACCTCACCTATCGCGAGCTTGAGAGAGCCAGACTGCTCGACACAATGGATACTGACTACTACGTCAAGGCCATCCGCAAGAAGATGGAGAGCGATCTCTCCAAGAAGAAGCACCTCACGAGCCGAGCCCGCCACTCGCGCAAGGCCCCGCCGGGCACCGTTCTCGCCCTGAAGCCCAGTCCTGCCCTCCAGATCAAGCCCGCCACGACCGTTGCCGAGGCCGCCCAGCTCATGGCCGCGAAGCGCGAGGACTGCGTGCTCGTCACCGACGATGACGACCGCATCGCCGGTATCTTCACCGCCAAGGATCTGGCCTTCCGCGTCGTCGGGGCTGGCCAGAAGCCGAACCACATCACCATCGCCGAGATCATGACCAAGAACCCCCTCTGCGCCCGCACCGACACCAGCGCTACCGACGCCCTCGATCTGATGGTCCGCAAGGGTTTCCGTCACTTGCCTGTCATGGACGAGAACCAGGACATTTCGGGTATTCTGGATATTACAAAGTGCTTCTACGATGCTATGGAGAAGTTGGAGCGTGCCTACTCGTCCTCAAGACGCTTGTACGACGCCCTCGAGGGTGTGCAGTCTGAGCTCGGCACGAGCCAGCCGCAGCAGATCATCCAGTACGTTGAGGCACTTCGTAGCAAGATGTCCGGCCCGACCCTGGAGTCTGTCCTCGACGGACGCCCCCCTACGACTGTCAGCGTGCGCACGTCGGTGAAGGAGGCTGCTCAGCAGATGAAGGAGAACCGCACCACTGCCGTCCTTGTGCAAGATCAGGGAGCGATTACCGGTATCTTCACCAGCAAGGACGTCGTCCTTCGTGTCATTGCTCCCGGTCTGGACCCCGCAACCTGCAGCGTCGTTCGCGTCATGACGCCTCATCCCGACTTTGCTCCCATGGACATGAGCATCCAGGCCGCTCTGCGCAAGATGCACGGTAAGACCGATTCTGTCAAACATGAAGAGAAACACAGACAACTGACAAATTCCAGATGGTCACTACCTCAACCTGCCCGTCATGACGGCCGACGGCGGCGAGATCGTCGGCATGGTCGATGTTCTCAAGCTCACCTACGCTACTCTCGAGCAAATCAACACCATGTCCACAGCTGATAGCGAGGGACCCGCGTGGAACAAGTTCTGGCTTTCGCTCGACGACGGCACAGAGTCCATGATGTCCGGCGAGGGCAGCCACACCCACCACACGAACCTCGGTTCCCGCATCATGTCTCCCGATATCACTCGTGAGCGTATCGGCGACAGCGTCGCTCCTGGCGACTCCGCCTCCCATGTCGGCCTTGAGTCTCCGCCGCATTCCATCGTCACCGGAAACAGCCCGGCCCAGCAGTCTCCCGCCGAGCTGCCGTTCCCTTTCAAGTTCAAGGCACCCTCCGGACGTGTCCACCGTTTGCAGGTCATTGCCTCCCAGGGCATCGGTGCCATGGTGGCCAACGTAATTTCCAAGCTCGGCAACGAGGTGGACGCCATTGGCGGTGCTCCCACAATCGAGGAGGGCAGAATTTCGGGTGGCTTTGCGCTCAGCTACCTCGACGACGAGGGCGACTCTGTCTCCATCACGACAGACAACGATCTCCTCGAGTCCATTCTCCTCGCCCGCCAGGGACGCAGGGAAAAGGTCGATCTGTTTGTCCACGACCCCGAGAAGCCTCCCGTCGCTGCCGCGCTGCCCGTGGAGCCCGTCGCTCTCCCCACTCCCCCCATCTCTGCCACCCCCGATCTGCGCCACCGGAGGAGATACGATGACGAGGACGATGATGCGGAGGATGAGGATGATGATGTTTCTCACGTCCGGAGGTCGCGCCGCTCCAGGGCGGCTCCCGCACAAGATCCCGACCAGGTCATTGCGGGTGTTCCGAATGAGCTGTTGCTCCCCGGTGCGATTGTGACGTTGGCGGTTGTTATTGTCGGTGTCTTCACCATCTCGCGCCTGACCAGTAGGTAAGGGATGTCAAGGGATAGAAGGGGGCGGATCTCATTCATGACTTCACGAAAGTCCTTGGCGAGCATTGTAAATATGTATCGAGTATGGTTGTCTTTAGACTGAGTACCCCGACGTTAATTAATACACCGCGCACCTCTATGGATTGGACATAAAAAAACATTTTCTCTATAAATCTGAATGAGCCTGAAATTCTTTCTTAAACTTCTTTTGTAAAAAAATATCCAATTGACTTCTTGAGTATGAAATATCGCTGCTGAGAATTATGCATAGCCAGTCGCGTATCCTTGGCTGCTTACCTAAGCAATCCGCGGCATAGGCACGGCGGAGACTTCCGTCCCAGCTCCCGAAGCTCCAAAAAATATTCCCAGCGCAGACTGCAGCAATCACTCCTGACTATCACGCTGCAGCCGACGCCATGATTGTGAGGAGCATAGTTGGTCTGCACGGTATGTTGCCCGTGTTCCACAAAACCCAATTGAACATGTCACTAACGAAACATTTTCTCTCAGGCCGCAGAGCCCTGGCGGCGCCAGTCGTCCGATCATGCCACCGCACCATCAAGACCGAGTCCCTCACGGGCGAGATCACCCCCGAGCAGATCGAGGCCTTCACCTACCGCGCCGCAAAGGCCGCCGCTGGCATCACGCCGCGCAGAAAGACCCGCGACGGTCAAAAACGGGACTTCGGCCCTCAGTGGACCATCAAAGAGACCTACGAGCGGTTCCGCGACGTGCAGAAGGCCACCGACCGCATCGGCTCCTCCGTCGGCAAGCACTACGCCCCCTCATCGCTCATCCACAACCCGCCTTCGCCCAAGGATATCTCCCTCGAGATGCTCATGGCCTCGCAGACGCACATGGGTCACCACACGTCGCTCTGGAACCCGGCCAACGCGCGGTACATTTACGGCGCGAGGCAGGGTATCCACCTCATCTCCCTCGAAGTCACCGCCTCGCACCTGCGGAGGGCCGCGAGGGTGGTCGAGGAGGTCTCGTACCGCGGCGGTCTGGTGCTGTTCGTCGGCACCCGCAAGGGCCAGATGGATATCGTGACCAAGGCGGCGAAGCTCGCGGGCGGATGCCACTTGTTCAGCAAGTGGACGCCCGGTAACATTACGAACCGTGACCTGATCAACCGCGGCAAGGAGATCAAGGTCGTCGACGAGGCCGACAAGAAGTTGAAGGGTTTCGAGCGGTACGAGCGTATCGCTCGTCCTCTGCTGCCTGACCTCGTTGTCTGTCTGAACCCTATGGAGAACTACACCATGCTGTACGAGTGCGGATTGGCCAACATCCCTACCATTGGTATCATTGACACCAACGCGAACCCTGACTGGGTTACGTACACCATCCCCGCCAACGACGACAGGTATGTGTCCATTTTTTCACGTCCTTTTCACTTGAGAAGCTAATCTTTAACTAACACATGATAGCTACCGTTCCGTCGCCGTCATCGGAGGCATCCTCGGCCGCGCCGGCGAACAGGGCCAGAAGCGCCGTCTTGATGACGCCAGCAATGGCGTTACCAGCTGGCAGACGCCGCAGGACACGAACCGGTTCATGCGCGAGGCGAAGAGCAGGTGGGCCAACGAGAGGAAGCGCTGGCAGCGCGAGAACGCCAACCTCGCGGAGGAGCAGGGCCAGGGTGGCGAGGCGCAGCTCCTCGAGATGGTGCAGGCGCAGCGCAAGCACGCCATGTTCGGCGAGGAGGTTGTCGAGGACGAGATGGAGCAGGAGTTGACTGCTGAGCAGATGAAGGAGGGTGCGCTGAACGAGCAGCTGAGGAAGCAGTTGATGGAGTAGGCTGGTGGTGGTGGTGATGGTGGTGCTAGTGGTGCTGCTTTTTTGAGAAACAGGGAAAAAGAAAAAAGTGTAAAAAGGGGCCTGTCGGATGGGTTGACGAGGGCTTTTGTACAGATACACTAATGTATGAACATGTACAGTATTATAGAAATCTTGCCCGTTGAGGGTTTCTTGCTCTGGAAGTGTTTGAGCTCTTTCGTGATTGATATGTTGGGTTCTGTGAGTGAAGCGATCACCTGTTGTAGTCTTGGTGTTTTTGGAATTTTTGACGATGACGGTCTAACCTGTTGCTTTTGCCAGGACATGGATGTTTACTGACCATGACTTGGTTGTTGGTAGTGGCTCATTCTCGCATTGTTGTTGAGCTGTCTCGTCGAAACTAGGCTGGGTGTCTCTGTTGTCCTGAAGCAGAGTACTTGGGGTTTCTCTTTGTATAATTCCTACCCATATAGTAAGTCAAACGTTTCTCCACCAAGATAACTCGGCATGAATGGACAGGCTGTGACTGCTGTACCATGTGCAAGCGTCTCGTGGTGTGACTGTCGTGGCCACCTCTCTAATCTGATGAATAAGAGATTTTAGACGATGTGGATTTTAATGTAGTTGTTTCAGAGTACAGTTAATAACCAGTATCAACTTTTTGTACTCTCTCAATTCCGATTTATTTGACTTACAAACTTATCTCTACATGTTCCAACAGCGAACTCTTTCAGGCGCCGGGTTGTCAAATAAGCACACCCTGACACAACACAATCTACACCAAATTCTATTTAACTACTTTCTTCACGGTCTGTTTCTTTCAATTATGCGTAGTGTCATTGCCAATATGATTCAGGCTTCAGAGCATGTCTCCAGGCTTAAACTTTGAGACATACAGCAGTCTCGTCAGTCAGTCAGAACATTAATCGTGACTGACCAATAATCTGACATCGACGTCAACTCTGCAATAGCCTGGTCTGATCGCCACTGAGGCTCTAACAATCTCTTGGCAACCTCAACTTCATGTGTCGTGAACAAGATGATATCTGATAACCATCAAGCCACAGTGAGGCTTGCGAATAGAGTTTCCAGCTTACATAACGCCAGACCCCGCCCCCCATGTTGAAAACTTCGCGCCTGCGCATTTCCCCTCCCCAAGGTCCAAAACTCATCACCAAACGAACATTTCAGCACGCACAAGCCCAGGGCGGCCAGACGGCTCCGTATTAACACGCACACACACACACACACATACCCCGCCAAGGTTAGGCATTCGTGCATGGTGTAGCTGTGGTGTCATCGCAGCTAAAAACTGGCAGCAGGCAAACGTGCACGCACGCGCGCACCGCGCATATCATAACCAAGTGCAGCCAGCGGCAAGCCACCCCTCTGGACAAACAATTATTTGGTTTCGCGAATCGGCGTTTGAGCCGAGGTCGTTTTATTGGTGGCCCCCCGACAACCAGTCGGTCTTGACCTCGCTTTTTCGGCGGCACGCATCCACAGATTTTCGGTAGGCTTACTTTGCAGCCTTTTCCTTACAAATCATGTTGCATTTTCCTTATTTAGATGGACCAAGAATGGTCCGAGAGAGACAAAAGGAGAGAAGAAGAAAGTAGAGCGAGAGAGAGAAGAGACAAGGAAGGGGAGAAAAGGGAGAGAAGAGACAACGCAACACGCAGGATGAGGGGGGAAGAGGGGGGGCAGACCACCATGTCGACTGCTGCTTTCTTGCTACATACCGTACCACCATGTGAAATGTTAACTAACTCATTTGTCGCTTGTGACTTTTCTAGCATCAAGTCGGTTAGAGCCTACTTGTTGTGTTGAGAAAGGGGCAAACGGCCAGATTGCAAGGGCTCTCACTCTCACTCTCACTCTCGCTATAACCCCTCCCCTCACTCAACTTACATCGTTTAGAGAGAGGCCCCTGCGGAGTCGAAATCCGCCGACGAGTCAGTCAAGATGCCGGCCATGCTAGATGATCCGGCGAGCCCCACAATCTACCGCGTCTCCGGGGCGCCGCCGTATCCGGACCCGAACAAGCCCGAACTACCGGCCGACATCGTCCCCCGTCAAGTGACGCTCAGGGACCGCCAGACCGTCGCGACAATCATCCCATTCGCCTCCCGCCATGAAGTGCCCCAATCCCTCGTCCGCTACCTCAGCGACCAGCTCAACAAGGAAATCGAGGGCGGCGACACCTACCCGATGACTGACCCCATGCCCGCAGACAAGTTCGGCGCCTACTGGTTCCAGAACTTCGGCGCCATCATGCTCCTCGGCAACATCGAGCGCTCCGACCTCTCCGACGACATGGACTGGTCCCGCGAGTGTCTCGGCAGCGTCTACATCAAGCCAAACTACCCGGGTCGCAGCAGCCACGTGTGCAACGCCGGTTTTCTAGTCACCGACGCCTCGCGAAACCGCGGCGTGGGCCGCCTCATGGGCGAGTGCTACATCGACTGGGCGCCGAAGCTGGGGTACACGTACTCGGTGTTCAACCTCGTGTACGAGACCAACGTAGCGTCGTGCAAGATTTGGGACGCGCTGGGCTTCAAGCGCATCGGCCGCGTCAAGGGCTGCGGCAACCTCAAGTCGCACCCCGGCCAGCTCATCGACGCCATCATATACGGGCGCGACCTCGTACCCGGCGAGACCGAGGAACTCGTGAGTGAAGAGCGTTTCGACAAGATCAAGTTCTACCTCAAGTACGGCAAGTACCCGGCCGGGGCTGACCGCGCCGAGAAATCCAGGCTCCGCAGCGCCGCGACGCACTATAAACTCCTCGACGGCGACCGGTTGATGCTCAAGGACAAGGAGGTCGTCCCGGACCCGCGCCGCCAGTACGAGATCGCCCGCGAGGTCCACGTCGCCCAGCACGGCGGCATCAACAAGACCACGGCCACCATCGCCGAAAAGTACCACTGGAGCCGCATCAAGGAGACCGTCAGCGATGTCATCCGCAACTGCACCGAGTGTAAGGAGCTGGGGAAGATGCCTGCGCCTGGCGGGAACGGAGGTGCGAGGGGTAGGGCGGCTGCGGCTGCTGCTGCTGCTGCTGCTGCCGCCGCCGCCGCCGCCGCTTCGTCCTCGAATAAAAGCAATGCTGCTATTTCAAACAATTCTCTTTCGAATCACTCGTTATCGAATAATTCTTCAACGTCGACACCGCCCGCCACAAACGTCGACACCACTACCAGCCCTGTTCTTGCACTTCAATCCCATCATCTCCCGTCACTTTCTTCACCGCGGTCCTCGCCGTATACAGAGGTCGCATCAATACCACCGTCACACACTCTCCGAGACCCTTCAGCCTCCCCGTTACCCCGGCATCCACATCATAATCCCATGTTACAAGACGAATCATATCAGCCCATCGACCCTCAAATTATCGGACCCGCAACAACTACTCACGACCCTTACAACCACTATCACCCGCACCACACAGACTTCCAAGCCTTGTTGAACGCGACGGAGGCGGAGGAGACGCCGGAGGAGGCAGCTGCCGTGGACCGAGACCTGGACATGTTGATAGAGCAAGGGGACGAGGAGGAAGAGGATGTCGACGAGCCGATGGTGGATAAAGAGAGAGACAAAGAAATGTACGCCATGGGGTACTCTGGAACATGAAGGATGGCGGATTGTTTTTGTTTTGCTGTTTGGCGTTGGTTGGCGGGTTGGGGGCGGCATTTTGGTTTTCTTTTCTCATTTCATACCTTGTAGGCAAGCATCGGCAGTCAAAAGATGAACCATTAGACACACACACTTTAGTTTGTCTACTGTGGGCCGTAAAACTGAATGGTTGTTGATACGTTTCAAGTGTTATGGAGTTGTGGCTTACCTACCTTGCTCAACTCATTCCATCATGCATAGATGAACCTGCGTGAGGAAATAATAGTAGCCTGGAACGTCTTAGTGCAGCATTAGAGATTATCAAGCCATAGTCATGTTGGCCAACGACATGGCGCCTGATGGCTGCAGAAGCAGGAGGCCTTCTACTGGCGCCTTGCACTGCATTTTTATCTCACCCAGGAGCAACAACTGCCAAGGCTCACCGATCACTTCTTGACTCGGCTTAGCTTTCAATCAAAGTAACTTAAACGTTTTGACAGACGACAAATGACCCAGTCTATTTGGACTTTTGGAAGCCAAGACCCCTGAGGGCCATTCTAGGTATCATACAGACGCCATTCATCAATTCCTTTATTTTCCTTTTTCCCTTCATTTTCCGGTCATGACTACTTTACCGACGAGGCATGCCCCGTCCTCTGCCTCTCAGAGCACGCTGAGCCGCGCCAGGAGGCAGCTGCTGGCCTGGGGCCTGGGGCGCCGCGCTCTCCTCGTTGCGGATCGTCTCGTCGACGCCGAGGATGAGGCAACTGGCCTCGGTAGCCGCCTGGATGGCGTTGATCTTGACCAGCGCCGGCTCCCAGACGAAGCGCTCCATCATGTCGGCAACGCCCTCGTTGGTGAAGTCAACACCAGCCCAGGTGTTGCCCTTGCGGTGCTCCACACGCAGCTTGTTGAGAATGTCAGTCGCGTCGAAGCCGGCGTTGTCGCAGAGCTGGCGCGGGATGACCTCAAGAGCCTTGGCGAAACTCTTGATGATAGCTTGTTGCTTGTGAGGAATGTTCTTGTCGGCGAAGCTGTGGAGGTAGGCAGAGATCTCCATCTCGGCGGCACCACCACCACCGACGATGGTGTGGTTCTTGATCGCGCGCTTGACGATCATAATGGCGTCGTGCAGAGATCGCTCGACCTCAGCAATGAACTGCTCCGCACCACCACGGAGAACCAACGTGCAGGTCTTGGCCTCAGGGCAGCCCTCGAAGAAGTTGAAGCGCTCGCCACCAATCTGGCGCTCCTCAAAGCTGCCGCAGGTACCGAGGTGCTCCGCCAGGATATCAGAGCATGTTGACTGGACAGTTGCGCCAGTAGCCTGAACCACACGCTCCATATCCTCAGATGCAACGCGGCCAGCGCAGAAGATGTCGCGGTCCGCGAAGTACTGGGTGGCCAAGTCACCAATGGGCAGCTTGCTCAGGACCACCTTCGCGCCGGTCTTGTAGATAGCCTCCAACTTCTTGTAGATAATCTGCCACTCCGCATCGACAACAGCCTGGTAATCCGACACCTGCTCGACACGGACCTCGGCGTTGTCCTTCTCGGCCTTCAGCTCCAACTCGACGTTCAGGCACACAATCTTGGGCTTCTGGAAAGACTTGGGTTGTTGCTCGAAACCGGCGTAGGAGAAAGTCTTCTTGAAAGCGACACCATTGACGAAGAGGGAGTCGGTAAGGGAACCGCCGGGAATCTTCTTGACGCCGATCAACTTCTCGTTCAGGTCATCTTGGTCGAGGGACAGGACGGCATCGACGACCACTATGGAAGGTTAGAATCAAAAGGCTTCAAGGGAGTGATTTGACGTACTCTTTGTGAAGAACTCAGTGTTGCGCTTAATCAGCTTGCTCGTCATGGCAGTAGCGGCGAGCTTGCCGAGCGTTTCCCTTCTGTTACCCTCGTTGGTGTCGACTGCGATCTCCTTAATCTTGTTGACAGCCATCATCGACGCCCTTCTCAGGCCCTTGACGATGACCTGGGAGCTGACACCCTGCTCGACGTGCTCCTTAATCTCCTTGAGGATCTCTCCAGCCAGAACCACCACGGATGTTGTGCCGTCGCCAACTTCGGCATCTTGTGATCTCGCAATGTCGACGAGAATACGGGCTGCGGGGTGAATAATGTCGAGGAGCTAGAATCACGTTAACATCCCTTGTGGTCGACAGTCTGCCTGTGTCATCCTGACCTTCATGACGGTAGCACCATCGTTGGTAATGGTCTGCCTGCCGTTGGCATCGACCATCAAAAGGTCGCCTCCATAGGGACCGAGAGTAGACTTGATCGTGGCCTGAACAGCCAAACATGCGTTGATGTTGGAAACAATCTGACCCTTGCCCTGAGAGGTATCGGTTCCTGCGCAACAGACTCGTCAATCATGGTTCCAGGGCCAGCAAGGAGAAGGCGGTGGGGTAACGCACCCTCTTTCAGGACGATAATAGTCGGGGTCTGGCCTCCGAACGACATCTTGAAGTATTAGTGTGAGACGACGAGTACAGCGCCCAAGTGTTCGTAACGAGGGATATGGCGGGGTTCGTGTGTCGTCGTGGGGAGGCTGTAGTTCAACTGTTCGTGGCCCAAGAAGCTTCTGGAGCTCCAAAAAATTATTGCAGCCTTTCGTGATGCCCCCCGGGCACGGACCAGCCTGTCTTGTTGCCTTACCTGATAAAGCTTATGTAATTGAGGAGGGGTATTTCCTACCCTGGTCAGGTCTGCCTGCTGAACCCCACATTCGTGCCTGCTCTTTTCAACATCCCTCTCAACTACGGTTAATCAGCCAGGAAGAGCTTCCCTCTTTCAACAGGCGCAGTACAGAAGAGTATAGTCATGGAACAATTGCTGAAGTGAGGCCTGTAAACTATTACTTGGCAATTTTTTTTTTTTTCACAATCCAAAACTAAATATGCCTGACTGAGATGGCTGCGTTACTGCTGCAGCGTGTTGGCCCTACCAATCAGCAACACCATGAACTGCAGGCTGACCTTCAAAGGCTTCTCAGCCGCTGCCTAGCTTAATAAAGCCTACGTGTACTTCTAAATGCCTTTTTCATGTCTGTTGGCACCATAATCGCAGGTGGAATTGAGCCTCATGCCCAAATGGCCATGTCAACCTTCAAGTATCGCGACATACTGCAGGATGATGAGATCCGGCTTCTTCGACTTTTACCTGGAGATTGGCTGGATGACCTTGAGGCACAGTTGCACTTGGCCGATCAGACATGGCGGTATATTGCCTTGTCATATGCTTGGGGCAGTACTAAAAGATCGAATCAAATCATTGTCAACGGCGAAGTTAAACACATAACCTTTAATCTGGACAGGGCCTTGCGTGCGATTCGTCAAAAGACGAAGCCCGTTGTAATATGGATCGATTCTATATGCATCAACCAAAATGATGCTGTCGAAAAGGGTCACCAAGTTGGACTCATGCATGACATTTTCAGCTCAGCTATTGAAGTTGTTGCATGTGTGGGCGATGGCTTGGACCGCAGTCTCAAAGACTACACTCGTCGTTTTGAAAAGTTGGGCAAATTATCTCCAATTACCTTTGCTGGAGATCAGAGCGACATACCTCTAATCGAAAGATCCATTGACCTGTGGAAGCGCTCACCACCGGGATCGTTGTCAGAGCAAGACGAGATCATTTGCCTTTACAGCCTCATTTCCGCAGCGTTACACGAGAGTTTTTTCAACACCAAAAAGCCTCAACAAGAGGGAGAAGAGACATACTCTGCGAATCAGTGGTTCCCGAAAAGGGAGAGTCCGGCTGATGAACACCGACTGCAGCAAATTTCCGAGAGGATGAGGGTATTTGCAGTCAGTGACTGGTGGAATCGCATGTGGGTTGTGCAGGAAGCTTGTGTCGCCAAAAAACTGACCATTCTATATGGCCGTGCTTCTATTCCCTTCAGGGTAATCGTACAAGGGGCTCGCGAATTCCTAGACTCGTCCTCTCCGAAGCCCTTTGAGTTCATGAAGGTGGTATCCTATATGGCAGAGAAAGCAGACGCGATTGATTTCTTCCGGTTTCGAGGCTCTTTCCGCACATCCTCCGTTGCAACCAACAGCTCTCTTTTGTGGCTCCTGAGGAACTTCCGCGACAGAAGGTCATCCGAACCACGAGATAAGATATACGCACTCCTTCGTCTTGCAAAGGATCTCAAAAGAGAGACACTATTCAGCCATGTTGACTTGAACATTGATACAGACTACGAAATTAGCGTAAGCAATCTGTTCTCACAAGTGGCTTACGAGATCTTCAAACAAACCGGCCTCATGTGGGTGACAACGTCCGACTTGCTTGCCAAATCAAGAAAAGACATTCCTTCTTGGGTCCCTGATTGGTCGTCGGATAACCCTATACCTGGCTTCAGTCAGCAACGTGTACGCTTTCACGGGGAACTATTTCAAGTTTTCAACACCAGTGGTGCCATGTTCCGGCATTTCCATGCCGTTGATGGTGTCATCAAAGAAGACGTTGTCTCACCCCAACAGCACTACGAGCGTTTGGCTAATGGAGAGGTTGATGTTGACCTAAGGTGGGAAACAACGCACCGCCTACCAGTCCTTTCCATTTATGCCACAAGCACAGGCACTTCTGTAATGGAGGTAGATATCGAAGAACAACTACGCCTCGCCTTAAACCTCAATGGGATTTCTTGCGGGTTGATAGAGGACATCAGCGACCCAATCATGAGTGACCTGTCCAATCTACCAGAAGTCATACTCCAAACCATCTCAAAGTGCTGGCAGCTCGTTCAAGGGGGGGAATTATTACACCGCAAGCCCCTAATGGAGATTCTGGCGTGCGCTCTCTGCTCTTCAATACGAACTGAGAGCGGACCCGATGGTTACAAAGCTCCTAGTATTCTTAGCACAGATCAAATGAGACAAGCCTCATATTGGGCGTTGAGGCATGCTATGGAACACCTGCCGAATACACGTTACTACGACCCCAGGCTTATCAATTTGTTTGAAGCTGACTTTGAAGACAACCTTATTTCTTGGATAGCAGCGCTCAAAGAAGACACAGAACTGAGCATTTACATCAAAATAATAAGAGATCATACGTTCTGGGACCTGAGGTCAAAAGAGAAATTGGCGATGTGGTGCTGTAGTCATCCCGCGGCTGATGACAGCACATATTCTGCGCAAGGAGGAGTTCGACTTTTCACTTTTACCCGAGACTTTAGTCCAAGAGGTGAATTCGATTCAGATCATTCCGTGAGACTTTGGTCTGAAGATAAACGATGGATTGAAGATACCATCAGAGCCGTGGCGGGCGGCTGTCGCCTGTTTGTGACCTCGAGAGGACTTGTTGGCTTGGGTCCGGAAGCCATGCGCGCGGGCGACGAAGTATGCATCCTGGAAGGCGGCTTGATGCCATACATACTGCGGAAAAGACTGAAAAAACGGATCATGGCAATGGTAGGAACTTGTTACGTTGAAGGAATCATGCACCGGGGGCAAGGAGATAGCGTCCGTGGAAGCAACTCGGAATACATAGGTTCAAGGGATATGCTACAACAGCAACTGCGACAGGCTTGGAGTAGTCATAGGGAGGAATTTATTCTTTATTGAATTCAGTCTAATTATTGTAATGGGAGTTGTAATCCAATATTTGGTGTTCTAGGTATATGCTAGCCACTTGTCAGTCATGCCCATGAAGAGTAGAACTCTTGGTCATAATCGACAGCTGTCTTGGTTATCCAAGAGTGGGAGGATTTACTGTTCATTCGCATCACTTGCCATGCTATATTTCACAGCTTATTAACCTCTCGCCTGCTTGATACCCAGTTGAAGCGTAACCAAACTGGATATATCTCTGTTGAAGTAGCCAGAACTCCGGGTTGAAGTGGCTCCGTCGCCGGCAGGTCTGCCGGCGACCCTGGCTGCCTACGTGACGGGAAGTCCGCCAGACAGCTATAAGTTCCGCGCCCCTTTCCTCCAGCATTTCTGCTGAAACTTCTTCCTACAAAAAGTACAAAAGACACAAGATAATACGTCAGTTTTCCCCTCAAGAAATTATCCCACTTTAGGGGTGCCCCTGTGATCCCAACAATCTCACCCTGACATTTCAGCCCTCACTCTTGACGTAGCTCTATTGCTTCTCTCAAGATCTCTTCTGCTTCGCTATACCGCCCCTGGCTATGGTATATTACTGCAAGGCCAGTCATACTAGTAATATTGTCTAGGTGTCTCTCGCCTAGAACCTCTTGACGTAGCTTTAGTGCTTCTCTCTCGAGCACTTCTGCTTCGCTATACCGCCCCTGGCTATGGTATATTACTGCAAGGCCAGTCATACTAGTAATAGTATCTAGGTGTCTCTCGCCTAGAACCTCTTGACGTAGCTTTAGTGCTTCTCTCTCGAGCACTTCTGCTTCGCTATACCGCCCCTGGCTATGGTATATTACTGCAAGGCCAGTCATACTAGTAATAGTATCTAGGTGTCTCTCGCCTAGAACCTCTTGACGTAGCTTTAGTGCTTCTCTCTCGAGCACTTCTGCTTCGCTATACCGCCCTTGGCTATAGTATGTTGCTGCAAGACTAGCTATACTAGCGAGAGTCTCTGGGTGCCTCTCGCCTAGGACCTCTTGATATAGCTTTAGTGCTTCTCTCTTGATCTCTTCTGCTTCGCTATACCGCTCCTGGCTATGGTATGTTGCTGCAAGATCAGCTATACAAGCGAGAGTCTCTGGGTGCTTCTCGCCTAGGACCTCTTGATATAGCTTTAGTGCTTCTCTCTTGATTTCTCCTGCCTCGTTATACCGCCCCTGGCTATGGTATACTACTGCAAGGCTAGCTATATTATTAATAGTGCCTGGGTGCCTCTCGCCTAGGACCTCTTGATATAGCTTTAGTACTTCTCTCCTAATCTCTTCTGCTTCGCTATACCGCCCCTGGCTATGGTATGTTGCTGCAAGACTAGCTATACTAGCGAGAGTATCTGGGTGCCTCTCGCCTAGGACCTCTTGATATAGCGTTAGTGCTTCTCTCTTGATCTCTTCTGCTTCGCTATACCGCCCCTGGCTATGGTATGTTGCTGCAAGACTAGCCATACTGGCGAGAGTATCTGGGTGTCTCTCGCTGAGAATCTCCTGGCGTAGCTTTAGTACTTCTCTAATGATCTTTTCTGCCTCACTATATCGCCCTTGGCTAGAGTATGTGATTCCCAGATTATGCATGGTTTCTAAAGTGACCGGGTGTCCATCACCCTGTGCTCGCTTGCTTAATGCATACGCCTTCGTATCCACCGTTTCTTTCTCTCTCCATCGCCCGCGGTCAAGTAGAAAACCTGAAACTTGACTTAACAGGTTCACTGTCTCTGAATCTGTGCCAGCTTTGCATAATTCGGCCCAGTCACTGACCTGCAATGCATGGGGAAGCCATAATTCAGTCTTCTCCCATTTGCCAGGCTGGCTTGGCGGAAAAAGAAATAGCACAAGATTGAGTGCTTCCTTGGCATATCGAGCGGCCTCATGTAAGCGTCCTTTCTGGTTCATGCTATACCGTGCTGCATCCTGGACAAGTTTGTGCATCTTGTACGTCTTTTCAGCCAACTCGGATCCCTGTTTCTGTGGAGATAGAAAGGAGAACTCTCTCAGACGAGTTAATGCGTCAGTAAACGCATCGTTGTTGTCATCCGAGTCAGTTTCACTTTCTGCATATGAACTGTCGTCGGTGGAGATTTCGCTATCATCATCTTCGTCCGCGTCGTCCGCGTCGTCCGCATCGTCTGTGTCGTCTGTGTCGTCTGTGTCGTTTGTGTCGTCTCTGCAGTCTTCCAGAGCGGCAGCCCGAATAAGACTTTCCGGAATATTTTGGTTATGAACATACGCAAGAACAAGAAGAATCCGGTATGCAGCGCCGTTCTCCCGCTTCAAATGTTCCATCGAAATGGTCCATGTTTCCAGGATGCTGTTTGGGACTTCGCGTCGACGATGCCGATCGTGTTCTGATCTCTGCAAAAGTCTCCACCTCTTTTTACCTTCCCGCAGCCTCGAGAGGTATTCTGAAACTGGTGTAGATGTTCGGCGGATGTATGCAGCAGCTTGAGAAACGGCAAGGGGAAGGTGGTCTAGTTGTATCAACAACTCAGAGACGGTGAGCTTATCCTCAACTGCAATGTTTTCGTTACTCGAGGCCTCAAATAGTGCAGTAGCCTCTTTAACTGTCATACGGCTGACCTCAATTGCCTGGCGAGAGCCCACAATATCCACAATCCTCTTGTCACGGCTTGTCCAGAGCACCGTGCCGTAAGGCGCCTGTGGTATGTAGTCATTCAAACAGGCTTCACCACTCGATTTCCGAGTAATTGACATGTTTGATCCAACACCGAAGATGCTGAGATCATCTGCGTTGTCGACGACGAGAAGCCAAGATTCTTGCGCCTCTATCCACTCGCGCACAGCCACTAGTAGCTCCTGGCCTTGCTTGTCAGTCACACCAGCTAGTCTTGCAAGCACTTCATAGCCTTGCGTGAACGTCGCTTCGTTGTCTGCGTGGACCCAGTAAACGGGGCATTTGTTGTCGTAGAAACGGCGGTAGGCAAACTCGAGTGCTATTTGGGTTTTGCTATCACGATCAGTCCTATTTCCTTTCACAAAGGCGCGATAGCTTACCCAGACCCACCAAGACCCCAGAGCGCCGCACATTGGTATTCGTCAACGGGCGGGAGCAGGTCGTCGAGTTTGACAAAAATATCTGGGCGATCAATGACTTCCTTATTTTGCTTGAAAGGAACCACGAAATGGGGTCGGGCAACCGTCGGTGGCGGGCCTAGGACATTATAAGTTTGTCTTCGAGAGGCGGGGCAGCGGTCTACTTACGACTGTTGGAAACTGTCACATTTAACGTTCCACCGGTTTCGACGTGCGCGCCGGGAAACGCGATATGTCCAGCCGTCGATCCGAATGTCTGTTGCGTTTCCATATTGATGCCCAAAAGGTGAGCGACTACCTGGGTACAGGTGGCAGTAAAGATGTTCTACAAGTTTGCCCTTGTCGAAGCAGACATCAACGAGTGTCGACAAAGCGGGGGAAATCAGGCTGCAGCTCGGCCAACAGGGGCAGCCAACACGTGTTTACACCCCTCAGCCTCATCGTTCCAACAGATCCCCTCTCACTTTTTCGTTCAGTCATCTTTTCTACTGACTATACATCATCATAATGGCCATGCGTCCTACCAGCCGTGACGGTTTTGAAATCGCAGTAGTGTGTGCTCTGCCCCTAGAGTACGATGCTGTGGCGCTTGCTTTCGACGAATTCTGGGACGAAGAAGACGACAAGTACGGAAGAGCCCAGGGCGACACAAACACCTATACGACCGGCCGAATTGGACATTATAATGTCGTCCTCGCACTCCTGTCAGGTATGGGTAAGGTTAATGCGGCGAGTGCTGCGGCAAGCCTGCGATCCAGCTACACAGGCCTAAGGCTGGCCCTTTTGACAGGGATTTGTGGTGGAGTCCCCGGCCTAGGGACTGAAAATGAGATCATTCTGGGCGACGTCGTGATCAGTAAGACGGTCGTTCAGTATGATTTCGGGCGACAATATACAGACAGGTTCATCCGAAAGGATACCGTGGATGACAATCTTGGGCGACCAAACAAAGACATCCGATCTCTGCTGGCTACAACGCAGACAAACCTTGTGCGTGAACGTCTTCAGCTGGCAGCTTCGCTATTCCTCGACCAGATCCAGAAGAAAGCGGCAAAGAAACGACGTTCCGCAAAATATAAACGTCCCCCTTCGTCCGAAGACAAGCTTTTCAAGCCGAAATATGTGCACATGCATCATGAAAGAACTGATTGCGGCTGCGGCTTGCAAGTTTGCGAGACGGCTCGGGCCTCATCGTGCGACGAGCTCCATTGCGACATAGCTGAGCTGGAGCGACGAGAAAGACTCGATGAGATGGACGAGTTGGAGAGAAATGGCACAGGCGGCGACAGCCAGGAGTTCGAGATCCACATTGGCAGCATTGCATCAGGCGATACGGTGATGAAGTCTGGCGCAGATCGCGATAGGATCGCTCAGGAGCTAAACGTTATTGCCTTTGAAATGGAAGGGGCCGGTGTGTGGGATGAAGTGCCATGCATCGTCGTCAAGGGCGTCTGTGACTACGCGGACAGTCACAAGAACAAGAAGTGGCAGACATACGCCGCTGCAACAGCCGCATCTGTGATGAAAGCCCTCCTGGCACGCTACATCCGAACGGACAGAGACGCAGTCGATCACAATAGCAGAGAGGCAACGACCACGCCCTCCGGCAGCCAGGGTCCAATCTTCAACGGGGCCATCACAGGAAAATATGTGGTTGCAGGGCAACACACGAGCGGAGGAGTCACGAACATGAACTTTGGCAATTGACGGGTTGCTTGTAAACGGCGCGGCGCCTGGTGTGGCAGCCGTTCAGGGCGGAGACGGTCGCCATAGTCGGGTGGGGCCCACTTCTCCGGTTTTCCATGTTAGAAGTCCGGTGCGCAATGTGTCTGTAGGCTGGCTACCTTACGCCAACAGTCAGTTTGCGTAGTAGCGGCGAAACTCATTTAGCAACCATTGACCTGTTGAACCTTATGGTAACTGGAAGCGGGCCACAGCAGTAGCGACTGTGAAAGCAATTGTGAGTGTGGCCAGAACGTCTTGACTGAATGTTAATACGGCAAGATTGGCGGGAGTGATGGTTAAAGCGATGAATCCAAATTAAGCTCTGGCACCGCCGGATCTAGCCAATTTCTACTGTTACTTCCACTTTTGAAACCACTGTTTTGACCACTCTTCTTTGAGATCCTGGTGACATTGTTGACCCGATGTGAGGTCTATAGTGCTGGGATCACAGGGTATCTTAGCCCGTAAAATGGTGTATACTTTTCAAAGGTGTGGAACTGGTGTATATTCCTGTGTCATGACTGGGAGGAGATCTAGTAGAAGGGCTGGCTGAAGTGGTCGCGAGACTTATACCCGTCTGTGGGCAGCCGGCAAACGGCAGTCTCGCCGACGGCGGAACCACTTCAACCCAGAGTTCCGGCTATGGCAACAATGAGACTATAGGGTCTTCACCCTTACAGTAGTCACAAGTGTTTTGTTGGCCGTAGGGTAGTTTCTCGAGATTATTGTGATGTAAAATTGGCCATGGTAGCTGGGGCAATGAGAGATCCATGATTTGAGAAGCAGGCAGAAACATGAAAAGGGTTTATGTTGTCTGTAGTTTAGGCGGTTAAGTGTTGAATATTGTTCTCCGAGTTGATTATGCTCTTGCTGGTGGTAAGGGAACATCCTTGTTGGTAAGTAGTCGGGCTTCCTAAAACAGAAACCCCGTGGCGGCCGGACCGATGTGAATCGTATTCTCGCATAGAATACGAAAATACGCCGTCTCTAGCCGGAACATGCGGGTTACCTAGTCAAGCAAGGGTAACATACTGTGGGCGAAACCAGCACAGAACGCTCAGAATGGGAAAAGTGGTGTTGTTGGTTGGAAGAACTAACTAACTGGCTAGAGGGCTGTGGAGGCTGGCTAAGACCAGTGGTGGCGGCCGTCAGCCCACGTGACGGGCCGGCGAGGCCTGCCACCCACACATACCTTAGTCCCAAGAGATTCATACTACGTGTGTACTGATTTCTACTGATTCAAGGCATTTCTGGCTTGACAGGAGCTGATTAGAGTATGACACGCGCAGTAGTAGCCCATGGCAATCGCAGCAGAACAACTATAAGTATCAAACTGATTCAAACTGATATTCATTGTCTCTCCACTGGTTCCCATTTCATTCTGTTCATCGGCCATCGGATCAAATGCCTGTCTTCCATCCTTATAGATTCCCAGATGCCAGACATTATGTGCTCTGCCCAACCCTCTGCGGGCCACCCTAGTTCCAATTCTTTCAAAACTACACAGAATAAATAGAGCATTGCTAAAGCCAGAGGGTGCTTTATCTGTATTTGCGATAGAAAATCGTCTGAAATTCGGTAAAGCCAGCCTAAAGGGGTTGCGCGATGGGCTGTGTCGATTTGTACTAAGGCATTAGGTGCTTCAGGGGAAGCACCATGCGCCCGGAGGAAGAATTGTTCCAGATCCTCTAAAGCTACGAGGTACGAGCTTTGAAGCTTTAGGTCAGGTATTTCTCGAATAAGCCGACGGATGTGACGTAAATGAACTTTACAATCGTACAGTAACTGAGCCTCCGCGGATGGTGTTTGTGGAGTCATTGGGTTGAACGACCCAGAGGACACACTATCCGCTGTCGACAAATGTTCTTTGTGGCTCCTAATAGCCCGCACCCCTCGCAGTAAGCTTAAGAAGCTGATATCGTTGCATTCGCTGAACGCGATGTATTCCCCTGGCCGAGGACCTATCGCAAGGTTGATGAGGCCGATCAGAGTAGCCGATGCGTGCACAAACTCATAGTTGTCATCGTTGATGTCCTTGAGCATTTCAGTAGATCCTCTGACCCCCAAATTGTAATGCCGTTGAGATTGGATAACTAGGCTGTCGCGTTGGTACGGATAAAGTCGAGCTTTGTGCAGCGCAGCAAATGCGAGCATCAGGTGCAACACGTGTGGATGTGCAAACCCAATTTCTGGCAAGCGAATGCTCCAGAACTCATATGCTTGGTCGTCCATCGCTACTGTAGGTACGGTCATGGAGAAGAAATGATGGAGCAGCTCCATATCAGTGTAGCTCAAGGCAGGCTGCGATGTTTCGGGTCGGCTGGATTGAAGGATAAGATTTTCCATAGAAGTAAGTCGTCGAGACATGGCATCTAGTTTTGCGGACTGTTCAAGCAGCGTTTCTCTCATTTCGAGCGTTTTGCTGTTGCAACCTACTTGATCCATCTGTGTGTCGGGAGAATTCGTCGAGGACAAATCATGACGTTGGTTGGCATTGCTGCTACTGGGGTGACATCCCAAGCATTTGCAACTGCAACCTTCAGATCGCGACCCTCGGTCCTCAGGCTCGAGTGCGAAGCTGCAGTCTTCATCCCTGCGGACACAATTGAGACAGGAAGGTCTGGCTTCATCGCATTTGATCTTCCTCCTTTTGCACTGTTGACAGCCCAGCCTGGACTTTCGGTGGGACCGCCGATGCTTGTTTCTGCTTTCAGGTGAGCTCATTTGGAGAGGTAATGGGTTCTTAGGAAATCAGGTATGGCTGCTTTCCAAGGAGACAAGCGGCACGTCTGGACAAGCAACGAAAGGAGTCGAGTTGGAAGACCAAGCGTCAGCAAGAGTCGTGGCGATGTTGTAAACGAGAAATGCGCGGATAGAATGCTAGGATGCGAGACTGCTTGGCACACGATAGGTTAAATACATCAAACAAAATAAGCCTCCTCCCAAAACAGGGATACCTAATAATTGAGCAAAGCAAGGGTATGTAGTCAACAACAAGGCGTGGTTACGCAACCCGACTTTAGTGCAACTGCCAGACCCAAAAATTTCCGTTTCTGTACTCTCCGACTGCTCAAGCCCATTCTATGCAGTTGGTCTAAATCCTAGTCGCTTCTTCACTGCCCATTGCTCACAAAATAAGAGCCGATGGGTCTAAAGACGATCACTCGTGTAATTGCCGTATTTTCGGAGAGTCAGTAGTACGCTTTAATTATGAGATCACCTTTGGTATCCATTCTGGATCGGTAGTAGCCGGGATGGCCTGGTGGCCTTTGCATGCCATCGAGCACCTCGACTGGGACTTGATATCCAGGGATTGAATACACTGACGAATCCGTCACCACCCACAACCTGATATGCCGCTACCAAGGTATGGGTAGGCCGTGCTTCCGGAGAACCATGTTCTTGCCACTGGAGCCATTGAAGAATATAAGATAGGAACCATCCAGCTTAGACTTGCTCTGGCCACACGAGCTGGACAGGAAAGCAACAATACTATCTCCTCCCCTTCCTGCTTCAACACTGCCAGTCTTTTGATTCTTTTTCAAGATGTCATTCACTTTAACCTTTGTCTCCCTCTTACTCATGGGCCATACGGCCCTGGGGGACGTTTGCAAGTGTGTAAGTCATGTTGGCATTCTGAATCTACATCCTTTGTTGGCCCCAAAAAGTCCCAAAACACCAAATGCTAATCGTATGCTAGTCTTCGTTAGATCCTTGCTGGCCTTCGGCGTCCGAGTGGAATGACTTCAATGAGACGATTTCTGGGAGGCTCATTCGTACCATTCCACCCGCCTCTGTCTGTTATCCCTCCGAACCGAACTATGATGAACAAGCCTGCAACACAGTTCTCTCTAAGTGGACTACCTCCGTTTTCCACTCTTCTGATCCAGCAAGTGTCCCATCGGCATGGTCAAACAACAGTTGTAATCCAATCTACCCAAATGGAACCAGCGTCGCTGGTGATCCTGATGCAGGGAAAAAGGGTTGTTCGTTGGGTGCTTTGCCACCTTTCGTCGTGAATGCAACGGAAGCAACTCACGTGAACGAGACACTTCAATTTGCGAAAAAGCGTAACTTGAGAATCAGCATTAAAAACACTGGACACAACGGCTCAGGAAGGTAAGGCTGTCTCTTCAACCACCTAGTTCCAGGTACAGCACTAATCTTCAATTGTAGAAACCTTGGGTTCAGCAGCCTCTCGTATGTTTTCTCCGCCCTAAACTGAGTCTTAACAAGCTGTGTTTTAACAATCTCCGTAAGAATATGGACGCACAACATGAAACAGACCGTATTTCACCAGGTATTCCAGCCTACATCTTGCTCCGCCAACATGACGTGGAAGGATAGCCAGATGGCCATCACAATTGGTGCAGGTATCCAAGATGGTGAGATTTATGACTTCGCCAAAAAGAACAATGTGGTAGCAGTTGGAGGAACTAACGCAGTGAGTACAACATTTCGTTTTTCAAAGGTGCTTTTCGATGAGCTTAAAATGACCGATTGCTGCTTTAGGACGTGGGAGTGGTGGGATGGGCTACTGGAGGTGGCCATGGCTATCTCACCGGCGAATATGGCATGGGAGCAGACAACATCCTCGAAGCCTCTATCGTTACTCCAAATGGAGAGCTCATAATTGCAAACGCCTGTCAAAACGAAGATATCTTCTGGGCCATCCGCGGCGGCGGCGGTGGCACCTTCGGCGTCATCATCAACATGACTCTCAAAGCGTACCCCATACCGAAAATGACATTCATGGGATTTGAAATTGCTGCAAAGAATGGTACTTCTACCAAGTCCTGGTGGAAGTTTGTTGCACAACTTCATGGGCTGCTGCCTGCACTTCAGGATCAGGGTGTCAAAGGATATTACACCATGGGGGGGCCACCCTCCAGCCAGACGATCGGAGTTGCTGGTTCTCTGTTCCTTTGGAATGCCAGTAATGGAACTGCCGACAAAGCCGTGGCTCCCATCAGACAGCTTCTTTCCGCAAATAACGATACTGTGACTGGATCGGTGTCTACAATGCCCGTCTCAAATATCTATGATCTTATTGGATCTGTCTCCGCTATTGAGAATGTGGGAAAGTCTACGGCAATCACAGCTGCGAGGCTCATTACTCGAAAAGTGGTTATGGAGGAACAGGAAGAACTGGCCCGTGTTCTCGAAGAAATTGGCCCACTGGCAGTTGAACCAACAGTAAGTAAAACTTAAGACTCGAGATTCGCGAGGCCGGAATTAATAAAGAACCAATAGGATGGGGTGTCCAACCCATCTATTTCAGGGACAATGACAATTAGCCACGAGCCAATCGACAACTCTCTGAACCCGGCTTGGCGCGATTCAGTTGTTCACCTCATTGTCTCTCAGTCTTGGAAAGACTCACTACCGCAATCAAAGGTCTCAGAGGCGGTCAATAACATGACTTACAAGAAACTCAACGCTCTTCAGAGACTGGATCCCAGCTCTGGCACATACTTGAACGAGGTTAGTTTCACTTCTTAATCGGTACCCATGTCCTTGCCTGTCAAGACACGAGCTAATCCAGTTTCTTTCCCCAATAGGCGAATTCACTAGAGCCAGGGTGGCAATGGTCTTTCTTCGGCACCAATTACGGACGCTTAAGAGAGATCAAAGGGAAGATCGATCCAGAGGGTCTGCTTTGGTGTCCTCAATGCGTTGGCAGTGAAGATTGGATCCAGCAGGAGGACGGAAAACTGTGCCACAACTATCAGCCCTTTTCAGTGTAAATCACAGTTCTGAGAAGCGCCTTCTCACTTCCTCCCTGCCCACACGGCACCAATGTTTGGTTAAAAGTAGTTTCGGACACAGCAATTACAAAATCGTTGCTGAAATGTATCTACCATAGGTGTAGTTACTGAGTAATTGTAAAGATAGTCAACGTCTAGGAATAGACAGCCTCAGTGGATGAGTGCCTTAGGAAGCATATGACAATATCCCGGCGCCGATTACCTAAAGACTTTGGACCCAAGTCCAAGATTGGAAATAAACAAATGAATAATGTACTACCCTATGAGTTAGCGGAGTAAGGGAAGTCATGCCAGGCAATGTGAGAGATAGTTTGAACAGCTACCGTAACAATAGCACGAGTGGCTTGCCTCGCAACCTCTTAAAAACATGTTGGTGGTGCGATACGTGTTGAGGAGAGCACAGTGGATGGCTTTATCACTCACTAGGCACTCAGATGAATCGAAAATGTGTAACAAGCCTGAGGTAATTACCGTGCGAAAAAGTTCGCATGAAAATTCCACCCACAGTTACTACTAAGTTGGCTGCGACATAATACTCCGCGCAATGAATGATCTGGGTCTACACGGAGTGGAACCAACGTGCGCAGGCGATTTCAACGCATACATTAAGTCGCACTATTGTCACTTACACAGTCAATCGCACAGTCACTTTTACCATCATTCATTAATACCACTGTAGCCATAGTTGCCTATACTGCTAATGTTGTCAAATCTGCGGTTGTCGTGTTTTGTGCTTCGACAAGAGACCATAAACTTTCAACCACGACGTGGAATTTTGAGGTTCGCATCCAAAAAGTTGCGAACTAAACGGAAATTAAGATTGAACTTCTTAAAAAAGGAAGAAATAATTCATATCCCATGTTTTCTTGCTGCAAATTACGCCTAGAGACGCTGAAGAGACAGCACTGCCTTAATAAGCTGTCGGTTGCTAGCAAGTTTTGTTGGGCTTGCAGACACCGTTCCAAGATCATGCAGTTCAAATTCGAGCTTCAAGGATTAAAATTGTTGCCGTTGAGGGACACCACCAGTCATGTCCCAAGTGACTTCTGCCTCGCTTCCTGGCGGTGGCGGCATGACAATGTCTTTACGAAGGACTGCCGTCTTTGCCGGGACTTCACGGTAACAGGGGTTGGCAAACTATTTTATGCAGAATCATGTACTGTTTTGGTATGATCCTATACTTAAATACTTTACCAGGTATCGAGAAGGATACTACAAATGTCTAAAGACTTCTGCGAGGATCTTGGCGGGGGCAACAATGAGGCTCGTTTTCGGGAGCGAGAATAACAAAGTCTGTTATGGTTTCATCTTACGCTTGTTGAGGGCCGAGCCTCAAAGTGTGCGTTGGGCCTACGCCCATTGAGGATGCAAAGCTCTAAAAAGCCTTCTAAATACACAACGCCCACAAAGAGTATGAGCTGACTAACTTCCCTCCTTATACGCAATAAAAAGACTATTACTGATTGAATAAATGTTGGTTTAACCAGTAGTTTTTCGTCATCAAGAGAAGAAGAGGCCGACGAGCTCGGGTAAGTCGGCAATCCCTCATGCAACAGACGCTAGCTTCTTAAGAGCGTCCAACTACCTTATATAAGGGTTAACTCTGCCTATCTGACCCACTACAACAAACCTACATATAGTGAGGCGGTCGCGCAATGTATGATCGACATTATGTGGATGCGTGTTAGTCGCTACAGGTGACTTTGCACGACTACTTTGCACACATTAATGGTGTGTCTGCCAAGGAAGTATGTCTCGAGTTCCCGAAAATAGCACTGTCTCTCAATCTATTGCACACATGGACTTGGCTATAATAATCAATTTAATCCATTTCATGGTAATCTAGTCCCCAATCCATGAAAAGATGACTACCCAGCCCCGGGTTGCTCACGAACACAGCCGAGCTGGCATCCGCCCAAACAGCCATAATCAGGGCGCATCCCCATCCTGTGGCACACTAGTTACACTTCAGACGGGGGCTAAGGCCAATAAGACAAAAGATCGACATTGAAAGAGTCGTTCAGAGATGATTTGCAGTCTTTGACAAATCTGATTAACGTAGCTCACCTAGGAGTATCGGCATGAGTCCATTCTTATCACTATGATTTATGACATTTGCGCTGCTTTTTCTTCAGTTTAATTAAGTCACAGCCTTCCACTACCGTGAGTCAGGGCAAGTCATTCGAGTTGAATGAGAGATCATGTTCTGGGGATGGAGCAAAAGACATATCTATGCCGTATATATCAACACCTGAGTGTCCGAGCTGATGCTCAACATTCCAGCATGTCGTTGACAAGCCTGTCTTTACATCAGCCTTGAATCATCATTCATTTCAGAGGTTAGATACTCTAACCATTCCTTTCGTTATGTATCACATTCACTTGATCACTCTTTTCTTTGCACTTGTTCCCGTGTGTTACTCTCAACAATCTCACGGAGAAGTCACCACTCATTCTCAGCAATTCACTTAGCGTAATACAACCTCGTCTCGTCCCCCATCAAAAAAGCCAAGCTCGGCTCCTTCAACATTCAAATCGCAGTTTATATCAATTACGCCAACGCCAGTTCGATCATCAGCCCCGTCAACGACGTCATCTGCCCCTGCTACTACTGTTACTGTAAGCAATGGCGAGAATGTTGACGTTTTGCCCGGAGTTGTCGTCGTCGGTGCCGGAATAGGAGGTTTCTTCACAGTCAACGGTGTCAAGACACCCATTGCGGCAGGCGCAGTTGCTGTCGCCGGGTCAACAGCGCCGCAGATTCCGGACAACCCAAATGACCCAGAAGACCCAAGCAAGGAGAAGTCCCGCGATACCGACGCGGAGACAACCCCAGGACCAAAGTCGAGCGGTCCAGTGAGCTCGGAATTACCAGCAGCAAGCACAACCAGTGAACCCATTTCAAGTTCGAACCCAAGCAAGACGTCATCATCATCCGCAGCACCGAGCGGCACAAGTGCAGACTACATCATTTTTGCCAAGGAGGGCACCACAAAGGAAGACGGCGATGGTTTCGGTAACACATTGGCAGGCTTGGTCGGAGCAGATAATGTTGATATCATTCACAACGATAGCGGTGTTGCCATTGTTTGGCGTGCAAATCTCACTCCGGATCAGCTTGCCAAAGTTAAAGCTGACCGTGTTGTTGCTGAAGCTAGGATAAATGATCCTCTTACACGCGACGACCCAGATGCAGCTGAGAGCCAGGCACCCACGGCCTCTCAACAGAAGCGGGCAGAGGTCACCCAGAGCCCCGTTGGCAACAACGACATATTTGACCTACGCACACTTTCAACGCCTCCGAAAGAAAAGGATATCCTTCCCAATTACCGATATGACGATTTCGCAGGCGAGGGTATAACTATCTATGTAGTCGATACAGGCCCGTTCGTCCTGAATCATGAAGAATTCGAGTCAACCGACAAGCAAGTCACTCGTCGAGAGTTGAATGTGGCCAGGAACAAGAAATTCACCATTCCAGACACTCAACATGGAACATGCGTAGCATCCAAGGCTGTCGGCAAGACAACTGGAGCGGCAAAACGCGCAAACTTGGTCGGCGTGCGTATTGACTTTACCGCGTTTGGCCTGCTCCGCGGCCTTCAGTCCGCCTTCAACGAGATTAAGCAAAAGGGACTGAAGGGCAAGGCTGTCGTAACAACTTCGATTCTCATGCGACCGCCTGACACTATTTACACTGCCTCGATGCGCAGCGTCTTGAAGTCTTTTGTCAACCTGGACATCCCTATTGTCGCTGCAGCTTGAAATAAGTTTGGGCAGCAAGGCCTCTCAGACCCCGACAAGTTACCAGCGATCTTAGCCAAGGAGTTGCCTATCATCGTAGTAGGCTCGGCTACACAGAAATTTGAGATGGCTGCTACGAGTCAGCGTGGCAACCTTGTGACAGCATGGGCCATTGGCGTTGACATTAAATGTGCTGATGTGTTCGACCTGGCCAGCCTTGCAACGGACTCGGGTACATCTTTCGCCGCACCCCAGGTCGCCGGTATGGTAGCGTATTGGATGTCGCATCCAGAATTCGCCGGTGAGTTGCCCGCAGGCCAAGTTGCTACGACGTTACGCGACATGGTGGGCGCCCTCGCCTACCCGCGCATCAAGGAGGCGGGTTACCCCCCCATCGCGTGGAACGGGCATGACCTGGCAGAGGAGTGCGGCAACCCAGGCAGTGGAACTGGAACCCGGGCCCGGCGAGACAGGAGACGCGATCTCGGCAAGGCATGTTCGTATGCGCCTACATCAGCAGTTTCAGCGCCTTCAGCGGCTCCAACAGCATCCGTCGCCCCTTCCAAGCCAGCAGCTGATGTTCCCACAACGACAACTACCTCAATCACAGAGACAGCTACCACGCCGTTAAGGTGCAACTCATGCGGTGCTGAGGCTGCAGATAGTGCGCCTGGCATGATAGGAGGACAAGTTGGCTGCTCGGGGGCTGAATACGCGCGGAGTTCTTGCGAAACGAACCCCAACTGCAAATGTGAGGAACTAATCTTAACACTCGATATCCATTTCATTGTTAAAGACATGATTGCTAACTTGTTGTAATAGCCTGGGCATTTGGCAAGGAAGACAGGGTCACGTATAGCATCGATGTCTGTCTGTTTTTCGACAAATCCGCCACAGAAGTTGTTAGTGAAGCGCCGCCTGACCCAGAGGGCAAATGCCCCTTTAGATATAATGACAAGGGTTGCCCACCGCTTTAGAGCCTCGCTCAGGTTGTGCAACCTTCAGGCGGTGGGTATGCTTGGCCAAGTACTGGAGGTAACTACATTCGCGTCGGCACGGCTTTGCCAACTGCCAAAGTCAGTAGGATTAATTCTACTCATACAATTTAGAAAATTGCAAGGCAGTTGCCTGCAAATGTAAGAATGACTGTGGTGATGACAAGATATATCAGTGAACGGCAAGTCAGCCAAAGCTCAAACTCTGGCTTCGTGAAGCTGTATGGGGTAACATTTCTATTGAGCATCTTGCAATCGTTTGTCTACTAGAGTTTCCGCTTTGATCTAGAGCCTATTTTCTTTGTTATCATTTCTTTCGTTTTTATATAGCTTTCTGTGGATGCTACGGTTATTCATCCTGCTTCTGCACAGTTTCCACGGCTTTCTCAGCTAGCTGGGCCATGTGATGGCACTTAGTACATTGCTACCAAAGTAAAGCCGCGGCGAGTTCTCCTAAATGGAAACGATGCTACGATCTATACACAACAAAGGTACGCTTGTGACTGAAAGACGTTTGCTGTTTATAACTCTTCCACACAGTGACCCTGAACCCTTAGCCAGTATGTCAAATCATTCTGTGTCTGTTCAACTCCTAAAAGGTTAAGCAAAATTTCGAATGAAACGTTTTCAGTGTTTCCCATACGTATGCAATTGGCGCTTCAATCTGTTCTGGCGAAGCCTCTCATCTCAGATTTTCCGTAAGCGGTTAAAGACGCGCCCGCTTCCTCAAACCTTGGCCATCTCTCTAAGAGATTCTGCAACTCCTCTTAAAACAGCGCGTTTCCTCTCAGGGCGATTGAAATTTATGCGATTGTAGACAGCTACTTAGACGAAGTCGGTCCATGCTCAACTAGATCCATCAGAAATCGTCCAGCTAACATCATGATGGGGAGAAGATACTTCAGCTAGCAAAAAAAAACTATCCAACCGCTTTGACAAAGTGCGGCATCAAACCAAAGTTGTTTAATGTCAAAGGGCCGAGCGGGCAAACAAAAATATGGCCATAAAATGCTGAGTTGAGTTTTGGGAATACTGGCCAAGAAATCAAGGTTCGAGCCCAAAACGTAATTTCGTCTAGACTTTCGCAGTCGGAAAACGATCACAAGATGTCACCCAGGGAGAAAGGTAATGACGAACTTAACTCTTCCGGACACATTTTCCGAGTTTCGTACTTACACCACTTACATGAACTACGTATGCCTAGAAGTATGACGTGACACTGGCCAACCATCGTTTGTAAGTGGGCAGCGAGGTGATTCCAGGTATGTCACCACGCCACTTGACGGACACATATGGACTTGTAGATTTCTCCTTCAATACTTCTCTGAATTTACGCCTCATCTACTTTGTGGAAACGCCTGGTTTCGTCTCGTCCTCCGTACTTAGCCGCTGATAACCAAACGGCAAACTGTAGAGCACCGTTCATACGTTAAACTACCATAACCTTAAAGCTTCGCGCCAAGTTGAACAAGCTTGATTAACTACGTTCAATACGATTAAGGATACCCATGAATCCATGAAACCGGACTACCGGGGGAGGTCATGCGGAGTCCTGGTTAAGATTTGTGAGTTGTCGTGATGATCAAAAGTTATCTGATCGAAGCGCACACGCTCTGATTGGACGGGTGTTGAGATAAATAGGACGCAGCGGTTCGTACTTTACCATGCCCTTTCTCCCCAGAGCCTCCGATCGGTACATATAACAGCGCTCACTGTCGATATCTTTTCTAAATTCAACCCCGTCCTTCTCACAAACCCCTACACTTTAATCATAATGGTCTCGTTCAAATTGATCCTCAATGCTTTGGCAGCCTCTGCCGCTGTTGTCATCGCTGCCCCCGTGGAAGAGTCTTCTGGCTCGGTTCTAGTGGCTCGGGATCAGGTCACCATCTTCATGTGTGAGGATACCCGCTACAGGGGCCTCTGCCGGGACGACGTAATCCAGACTGGATCATGCTGTACGCTTCCCCTTTGCTGCGACTGTTAATGCGTCCGAAGAGAGTTGGAAAACGTTAACATGATGTGATGTACCTAGACAATGCACCGTCTGAATTCATCGACCGCATCAGCTCAATTCGTAACAACGACCGAGAGTCTACCACTTGCACCTGGTACCGGTGAGTTTTCCAGCGCCCAGCACTAACTTTCATGTGCAAGGGACGTTTCTAACGATTGACTTTTTGTGATTGGCAGCGAGCGCGACTGCCGTGGTGACACCTATCGCAATCAGGAAGATAGGGATCTAGGAGACGGCAACGGCCGCTTCAACGACGCCATCCGCAGCTACGAGTGCAACAGGAAGTAATGGTTGACTATCCACAACATCCAGTCATCGTCGTAAGGTGCCCCCGAGCCTACCTTCAAAGGAACACCGCTTACAACCGAGCAGTTTCTTGTCGTTGACGGGGGTAGTTTACTGTCTGGCAAGTCACGGGAGTTGCACAACTAATCGCACTAATACGAACCAACCGAGGTAGTCTGAACATTTCGTGCAACCACCCGACTTCTGTTAATCACAATGGTCGCTCAGCAACATGTATGTCTTGTTACGGCTCAGCAGTCTGTACCTGTGTCAAATTCTTGCGGTATATTTATTCTCGTCAGCTTCGGTAAGCTGGCTGAAAGTTTAATAAATTCTATCTTTCGAAACATACCAGTTCTTTAAGATTACCACTTCTGGTTGGTGATATGTCGTATGTGCTTGTGGCATGCATCAAGTCAATCATCTTGTCAAAAATTACACCACCACGCCTCTACCTGACCAGAAGAGAGGTGTTGCGTCATAGGCTCTACAGTAGATTGTGTAGATTTGTTGTAAACGAGTTTCATCTCAATATAAGCTTAATGTCGGCGGCTGAGATTATGGGCTGACAGTCAATCGAGTCAGGTCCTTCCAAGTCAGGCTCAACCGGCGGTCTGTGTTGTTGGAATCCAAAGGAGGTCGGCGTAAACATCAGAGCGGCGGTGGGTGTATGCTCATGGCCCAATACGGCAATGATACTGTGTGACAGATGCTGGGGTAGCATGGTTCAAGGCAGTCTTCTGAATATTTGTCCTTGGACATGGGGAAGAAGCCGGGCTCACAGTCAATAAGTCACACAAGTACAAAGGCTCGAGTTGAAATTGTTTAATTCAAATTCATCAAAGGCTCCCACATCAACTCCAAAACACCGTAACATGATACATTCGTAAACCTTCATCCCCGTCACGCGGCACTTACAACCCCTTCTTCAGCCCCTCCGTAACATCCATCAGCATCTTCAAACCAAAAAACTTCGCCACATTCGAATAAACACCCAATCTACTCACAATCTCCTGTCTCTTCACACTCTCAACCCACTCGCCACTGCACGTACAATGCTCCATGAATTCGTTCAGCCTCAACGCGCCACACTTGGCACACTTCAGGTCCTGCGTGCTCCACTCAACCACGAAAGCCTCGACGTTAGCGAGCAACATCTCCTCGATCGCGTTGCGGTCGTACTCCGCCTCACAGAACGAACACCTCCAGGGCCGCGTCTCAGGGCCCAGTCTCTTGCCATCGGGCCCGAGCTCAGGTACCAAGTCCTCATCTCTACAGAAATCGAGGTCGCGCGCCATGGTGCAGCTGTCGCAGCTGAGCTGCGTGAGCTTGAGACTCTCGCTCGGATTTTGGAAGGCTCCTTCTTTGCTGAATTCCCTAATATCGAACATGGCAAGCAGTTCTTTTCTTAGGAGACGGGCTTCGAGGGTAATGTTCTTGTCGAGAGAGAGCACCTGCATCAGCGCCTTTACGAGCTCCAGCACAGCGTTTCGCGACGATAAGTGGGACAGATGCGAGCCAGGCAGCTGCGGGAATGAGTAGTCCTCCGCCAGCTCTGGGTGTAGCAGCTCCCTCTTTTGCAGATTGACTAGGTTGGCAATGTCCTTTTTCAGGGGCTTCTCAAACTTCTTGCCGAGAATGATCTGTCCTTCCGCTCCTTCGGCAAGCGACTTCTGCGGGATTTGAGTAAGTCTCGGCGTGGAATCGAACTCTCCGTTCTGCGGCCTCTTGAGGGCGTGCATGAGCTGGATGAACTCAATGACCCAGTCCTGGAACGTCGGCTGCAGCCGGATCGGAAGAAATGTGGCCATCTGCCAGTGCATGACGGTGTCCAGGGCCTGCTGGTCCGCCTCGACGACCTCCTGGCACGCCTTGCCTCCGTAGTTGAACTCATCGTACCATACCAGGTAGTCCCAGTACTCCTTGATCTCAAGATCGATAAAGTGGAAGAGGGGCTTGCTCTTGATTGACTTGATGATGTACTGGCTGTATGCGTATGCGGTACCGACCTCGGCCTTGGTGGTTTGCAGGAGTAGACGGTTTGAGTTGGCAAATACGACCTGTGAACCGACGCGGCGGAAGTCTGCCATAAGTTGCTGGAAAGCCTTGCGGGACATCATTTGAACGTAATAGTGCAGAGCGCGGTCGTACAAGAATGAATCCGGGTTCTCGACCCAGCGGACGAGGTGCTGGACCATGACGTCGGCCATCGTGTTGCCCTTACAGGCTTCTTGCCACCAGTTCTTCACCATCTCGCGGAGAACGAGGATACCGGCGTTGGCGAATGTGCCCTCCGATGAGATAACTTCCTCTCCAGATGCGCCTCCATCGCCGGCAGGGTTGAAAGAGATGGAATCAGCCCCTTCCAACTCGTTGATCAGAGACGAAGTCAAGATGGTGTTGATTGCGAGATTTCTGACTTCCAGGTCAATACAGACAGACGAGAACGTGCCCGGGTTGTTGATCGACGGCATCTGTACAGTTTGGAGGGGACCGGTAATATCATCCTTCTCGTATCCTGCGTGATCAGGTCGGGGGCTGGCAGACCACCAGAGAACGATATTGTTGTTTTGAAGTCGTCTGGCATATGTAATATCGATAAGGAACCGCGGATCTTCTCTCTCCAAGTTGCATAGAGGAACATCGCCGTACCGCGCAAGGGTTGTCAAGTGCAGGATCCAAGAGCCAAGCCCGAGGTAATGCCCAACAAGACGCTTTGCCACGGCAGCCTGCCAACCAAGAGGCGGGAGAGAACTATCCGCAGGATCATACTTGAGCGGGAGGACAGGGAAGTCGCCCAGGATCGGTACGTCGGTGATGAGCATATTACGCTGTGAGGACTGAATGACCATCATTTGCGGCCTCAGCTCGTCCTTCCTCATCTTCTTGACAACGTCGCTGAGCTCCAAGTGAGCCTTCCTTTTAGTCGTCACTTGCGTGATTTTGAAAGTCATCTTCTCCTGGTACCGGAAGCAGTCTTGCCAGTTGGTACCTTCAGCTTCTTCGCCCCGGCGAGCAAGCAGCTCAGTGTAGATCTTCGAAATGTTTGGTAGCTCCTGACCCGAGTCTCTGCTCTTTTGCAGAATAATAACGTGTGCCTCGTCTCTTGTTGTTGAGAACACGCCAAAGATCTGTTTGTCACCAGCGGTGATGTGAGAAATGTAGATGTATGCCAGCGGCGAAGAGTCAAGGTATGTCCTAGGCTTCAGGGGCCGCTTGAGGCCAGTGAGGTCGAATCCTTGATCCAGTCCCTTTCCGAGCACAGCATGTTGTTGTTCGTCAATGGTGCAGAGATTGCCAAGCTGAAGAACGGCACGGATGTTGAGCGGCAGATGCTTCTCATACACGCCTTCGACACTGGGATGGTTGAATAGCAGCGAGAACTTGTCAGCCTCAGTAAAGTAGACATCCTCAGGAACAGTGAGCTTGAACAGGTGAACAGATGAGTGTCCGTTAGGGAGAGTGTGGTTGACCTGCTCTACCTCGCAGCCGGGAATATCAACGTCAGGCATATCGCCACTCTTCAAATTCAAGAATACCTGCCGCGGGACTTTGATCTTGAGCGAATGGATTTTGGCATCAATAAGAACATGCGCGTTTACAATACCAGGAGTTTCAGTTGCTTTGAGATGCAAAAGCTGCCATGTGTTCATAAACGTTATGTGAGCCTGTTTCATGAACGTCGCCTGGATGTTACTCTGGTTGCCGCGTCGGTCACCAAAGAGTTGTCGCCTGCGGATACGGGCTTGTTTCTGGATGTTCCACTTTTGCTTCTGATACTTCAGGAAGCCGACATAGTCCTCCGAAGGCGAGGGCATGACCTTGGGAAGCGCTGCAAAGGGGTCCGCACTTTCGGCCGGTTCAGGTGACTTTCTCTTCTGAGCAGTTGGTGCTGGCTGCGAAGAAGCAACCGCAGAAGCGACTGGCTTCGGCTTGAGAAGCTTGCTGCCAAAGTCCTCCATGTCATCCATATTCCGACCGTTGAGGTTGGTAATATCTTCCAGAGGGCCCTTTGTAAACAAATCGGTAAGCTTCTTCTGCTTCATCTTGTCTTCCTTGATGTTGATTCTCCGCTGGAGCCAGTCGGGGTGGGGAACACGCGGGACGGGGTTCCGGACTTTCTGGAGCGCGGCGGGGATGGTGATGAGCTTCTGGATGACGGAGCCCAGACGCTCCAGGTAGTAATCCCAGTCCAAAAGGGCTCTCGGGTCAGTGTCAGCAGGTTCTTCCTTCAGCCACTTCTTGAGGTAGAAGCGCTTCGTGGTCTCTTCGGCAGAGAAGATTGCAACCGGCACGGCTCGTTCGGTGACAGGAGCATTCTTTGGCCTGGCGCAGATGATAAATTTACAGTTCAGACCCTTATCTTTGACCATCTGCTCGCCCAGGAAATCGGCCAGACGCTTCGCCGTGGTAATGGATGTTGACTTCTGGCTGCCGTACTCCTCAAGCGTCTTGGACATGCTTCGGTTCTCAGAAATCAGCTCCATGAGCTCTTCGTCCGCCAACGTCGCGCCCTTGCTATGTAAAACGTCAAGCCACCTGTTGGCGACCTTGGCGACGGCAGTGTAACATTCTGCCAGCGTCGTGCCCTCCAGGAAGAACTTGAAAATTTGCTGCTGGAAGATCTTGATGAGCTTAAGCTCACCTCTGCGCTTGACCTCGAAACCTTTCAACTCAGCCAGACTGCCGTCGTCGTTGAAGACTGCATAACGCTTCTTCAAGTTCTTGTCCTCCTCCTTTGATGTGGGCAGAACCATGGCCTTATAAGGACCGTCGACTTCGAAGAAGATAGAATTGTCGCTGTGTGTCTCGTACTTGAATGTCTTGGGGTCGACAAGCGTCTGGTATTGGTGGTTCGTGAACTTGGCGTGGACCAAGTGGTTCAACATGGTACAGGGGTACGAAATAGTGACCTTCTTGCCATTCTTCGTCTTGAACGAAAAGTTTTCTGGGAACGTGGCGGGAAGCATACACCAGATACCGTCAGTGTCCAACTCGAGCGGGCGACCCAAACGCTCAACGAGACTTCTGGCGAGCTGGATAATCGTCGCTCCCGTCAGACAGGTCACGCCGGCCATTTCCATGGAGTACCAACGTGATCCCTTTCTCATGACGTAGCCGTAGAACGAATTCAAAATGACCTTATGGGCAAGCTGTAACGAGTCGAAGAGAATAATCATCTTCTTCGCCGCGTCGACTTCGGAAGACCCCGCGCCGGACGACTTGAGAGCCTCCGTCTTGCCCTTCCACACCTTGGCCTTGCCCTTGTAGTCGTAACGACGGTCACGGAAGTCTCTTACGGTGTTGATATAGAAGGGGTTCTCGCGCTGGCAGATAATAGCTTCCTTGACGATAGTTGTCGAGTCGCGGATCTTGTGGTAGACCTTTTGCGAGTATATTTGCAGACGCTTCCTCAGCAACGCCGTCTGTTCATCCGGGCTCAGATCCTGGAACGTCCGCATCGGTGAATTGGGCCACTTGCCGGGGAACTTTTCGTTTTCCAGGGCGTTCCTGATCATGTTGTACTCGTCGCGCTTCGCTGGGAGGTACTCTCCTCTCCAGGCCCACGGCAACCGTCTGTCGCATGTCTTACCAGGTCGGTTAAAGTCGCACGCCGCGCAGTCTGACTCTTGGATCATGGAATCCGGCTGAAGACGATTCGTTGTCATAATATTGGGATACATGGATGCGACATCAAGATGGTAAATCAGGGGTCGCTCGCTCCGGTTTGGGGTCTCCTTCAGGGAACGCAGTCGCGCGGCAATCTGCTCTTTGATCTCTTCGTAGTTCTCAATGTCGTCCATGGACTTCTTTTCTTCGACAGTGATACTGAACGTCAATGCTGCGTCCAAGTCCTTGAGCAGTTCGTCTACGGCACCCGTATCAACCGCAAAGTTGACGGGGATATCTGACCGGAAGACACCGGCCTCGATACTCTCGACGTGACCACCGACATATGTCTCTGATTCAAGCAGGTGACCTTCGTAGAAGGCTTCCCTGGGCGAAACGTGCTTGTTGGGCAGGACAATCTCCTTCTGGTACGCCTGGACCATCAACAACATCTCGCAAAGGGTACCGGTACCTTTCCTTAGCGTGTCATCACCGCCGAGTGGCAGAATGGTACACAATGAGAAGATGAAGGGGTGGACGTATTTCATGTACAGGTAGTACGTTGCCACGGCATCGGAAACTGAGTACTCTGCCAGCGTCTGGGGGCGCTCCGCCGCATAAGGCGTCATCAGTTCGGGGTCGAGCTCGTCAGGGTCGTATCCTAGCTTAGCAACCGTGACGGCCTTCAAACCTCGAGAGCCCTGAGGCAGGTAGGAGTCTCGGTTAACCCAGTGGAAGCAGTCCATGTGCACGCTGTAATTGCACTTGTACTGGTCCTCGCTGTCCTTCTTCCAGCCGATCTCCTGGTACATGTCGATTCCGTTGACGCTGGCTCGAGCTTCTACGAAGGGCCAATCGAAAAAGTCACCGTTGTACGTCGCGATGACGGTTGGCCGCGCCTCCTTGATGTGCAGGAAGAACCGCTCGAGCACGGCCTTCTCGTTGGGTTCGTTGAAGATCATGAACGGGCCGGGGTATTCTGGCTTGGGCGTGTAGTCGAAGTCGGCGATGTCTTCAGAAACGATCTCTCGGTTGGTGATTAGGAAACCCTGGCCATCGATCATGTACGAAATCATCATGACCTGGTCGATGGCGGCGTCGGGGAACTTTAAGGGCAACTTCGTGGTCTCGATATCGTAGGCCATGACGACCGGGTCCGCCATGGCCAGTCTGTCTTCATTGATGGTCACCTTCGTAACGCCGTGCTTGACGTCTACGAAATACCACTTTCCCACCCGGATATCTGTCGCTGTCAGCATAACCCAGCCAAAGACTCATAAACAAACTCCAAACGTACCCATATCTATCATTACTCTTACATGGTATGGTACGTCGTACTCTCTAATATCGACAATGAAGTCGCTGGCATCAGCAAAAGAAGCATTAGCTCGTCTATCGTCATCTCGTGAGTCGTCAAAAAGGTCAAAGTCGCCGTTGGTCCTAGAAACTCGTCAGCCGCCTCCCCTCGCAAGCCAAACCTGATCGCAACACCTACGTAGAGACCTCGGCATATGCGTCCATCGCATCCACATTCTTCCTGTTCTTCGCCGCAATGGGCATGATGTCCTTCCTCGCCGCCATTAGATCGGCCACATTCGCGAACCTCAGTTCCAGAAATGTCCGGCGGTACCCAAGCAGATGGTTCGGCATGCTGAGATCCTCCTTGTCGATCCGCTTTACTGTCTTGACGACGCCGCCACCGGGCACGCGCTTCACCCACTCCTCGACCTCGCTCTCCCTGCCCTTCTTCACGGCAATCAGGAAATACGGGTCGTACTCGACCGTCGCCTTGAACGTCGTTCCGTCGTCTTCCAGGAAGTAGCAGTCTAGCGCCGCGCGGCCGCCCGGTATCCGCTCGTCCTCAACCGACGTCGGCTGGACGTTGACCAGCCATCCATCCTTGCGCTTGCCGCCCTCGTACCGCGCGAAGCCCATGTTCTCGTCGATGCTGTGCGCCAGACGGGTGCGCTCCCATTTCTCATCGGCAGACGTCGCTTCGTTGCGGCTTGAAGCGGCGAAGGTGCGGGTTGTACGACCGCCGCCATGATATGATTGTTTCCTGCCGCGGCCGCGGTAGCCCTTTTGCGGGCGCCGAAGGCTTGTGTTGGGCATCGTGTGTGTCCTTGCTCTCCGTCTATCAGTGTTCCGTAGGTTGGATATGTTCGGAACGATGACGAGGTGGTATAATCGAGTTCTCCGTCGAGGGGCTCTTAGAAGTCGAGACTCTCGGGGAGGATCAAATCTTCTCTAAGGAACCATTAGGCGAAAGAGCTGGATATCGAATTCGGACGCCTGGTGTCGTAAACAAGAAGGGGGGCAAAGGCATAGAAACCTTTCCGCAGCTGTACGGGGGGGTATCAAGAAAGTTCTGTTTTGGGGAATTAAGAAAAAAAAAGGACGAAGTCGAAGATACAGAACAGAACTGGGTTACGTCCGCTACAATGTAGGAATTGGACGAGTGGGAGTTTGGCAATTGTCACTTTTGTGTAGGCATGGGCTTTCTGGAGGGGCCGTAGTGCACAATCTTTAGATGGCGCGGGCCGGGGTGTGGGAGAGAGAGTTGTACGGTCCAGGTCCAGCCCAGCGACGAAAAGACGCGTCCTGGGCGCGACTTTACGCGACAAAATGCACGCTTTTACTGCGAAAAGGGGCCCCACAATCAATTAACGCCTGGAAGTAAGTACTAAGTATACTAAGGCTCCTGGCGGTACCTACACAGGGGTGGGTGGTGGGTGGGGTACTCTGTAGTTAGGTTCGTGTCAATCAACCGAGACGCACGGACCATTCACGGCCCAGCAACGGCGGAATTTTGGTGGACGTCATCTCAGGCCATGGGCAGATTTTGAGTGAGTGAGTGAGAAGGAAGCACTTTTTTTTCTTTGAGAGGAAGAAGAGTTGAGATAATCGAAACGTAAATGCACACACACCCCTAGCCTATCCCGGCAAATGGCACAAGAAACACCAGACACCCCCAACCTCCCGGAGCCGAGGAAGGATGGGAAGAAGCTGTACCTCTGGTCCCGATCGGCGAACAAGCCGGTAGGAGAGGGCGCTCCGGGCTCAGAGACACCAGAGACGTCTACGACGCTGGCGGAAGCGACAGGTGCAGCTGCAAAGCCTGATCCCAAGGATTTCCAGGCCAATTTTCCCATCAACGAGGGAGGCGAGCACAAGCCGCACGGTTCGACCATCAGTGAGGCCGTCAAGACGATCAAGAGTGAGGATTTCCTCAACGTCGCGCAGACACCGTGCGCGAGAGGCGGGTTCCTTACTGGTATTGCGACTGGCGCCGGTGTTGGTGGTTTGAGATATGTCTTTAGGGGTGAGTCTTTTCTTTAAAAACCAAAGATATGAGTGACCATCAACTCACATCAGCCAGGCACACCTATCAAGTCCGCAAACTGGGCCGTCGGTAGCTTCCTCGCTGGTGCCGCAGGCTACTTTGAGTACTGCCAGTACCAGCGCCGTCAAGAGCGCATTAGGATGAAGAGGACTGTCGAGGTCTACCAGGAGAGCATGGCGGAGAAGCACCGCCGCGATGCAGAGGCGCTGGAGAAGAAGAAGCTCGAGGAGCAGGCGGCCGTCAAGGCCAGCCAGAAGTCTTGGTACAAGTTCTGGTAATCTTTGACCTTTGTAACCATCATCAAAACCCTTTCTGAGGACGATCGATCCTCCGTGTACGAATATCTTTCCCTCACATACAGAAGCATCACATCACAGGCGTTGGGCACGATGCGTGGGGAACCGAAAAATAAAGCCTTGTATCATCTCAGTCCATTTCAACTTTGGGGTATAAAAGAAAGACTATTCATATCGTCCGTCCGGACTCCTGCATCTACTGTCCCAGTTATGATGCCCTCGCTTATTGATATAGAAAAGAATAATAAAAAAAAGAGGTTGCCAATACTTGTCGTCCAATGAAAGAAATGCATCCGTGAGAACCCAGTGGCATGTGCCTCAAATGCAGCCATGCCTTCGCCCGCGCCCTGTGCATAAACACGGCCAACCAAACGCCAATAATCAGCCCTCTATTGGGACCATGTGAGTTAAAAGATTGGGTGGAATATTTCCTCATCAGCTCTTCCCGTCTCGGGTCATTTGCATCTCATCCATTCGTCACAATCGTATTTGGTTCCGACTCCATAAACCGCACTTTTCGCACACCACTGCCAGGTGCCGGCTTTGAATCAACCTTGGCGCCCAATCCCGCACCGCTGCCTCGTCGACGTTGGTTCCGCCGAGCTCTAGCCTCGCTCTCTTCCCGTTTCTTGTACTCGGCCAGCTGCAGCCGGCGCTTCTGTGTGCGTGCGTACGCCATCGCGGCCGTTGGCATAAACCCGACACCGTTAATACCAGTGCCGTCGTCGTCCTCGTCGTCGGGGTCGTAAATCGTAATTTCCTCCTCTTTCCATGTCAGCGCAGCTCTGACTGGATCAACAATCTCCATCTTTCCGTCTTCTTCTGTTGGTGTACTTGTATCCGCGGCAACCTTGCCCTTACGACCCTTGAGAGGGGGTGTCCCGGCTCGTCTCCGTGCTGCAGATTTCGAGTTTTGTATTCGGTTGAGAAAAGGAAGTGACCGTTGTGTACTTGTAGTAGTATCCGCGGTTGCCGCTGTAGCAGTAGTTGCCGTGATGAGTTGATCATTCGTGTCTACAGCCGCCGCATCAGGCCCAACCACACTTGGCGTTGAAACGAGTTCCGGGTCGCTCTTAATGTCAGGATCTGGAACGGGAGCTGGCTCAGCGGCATCGGCTGCGTCGGCGTCCTTCATCTCCAGCTCTGGTACCTTCATTCTCTTACGACTCGCGAACGGGTCGTCGCTGTAGAGCCCGTCATCGCCGACGTCGCGAGTCGGGTCATACGGGCCCTGGCGCTGTTGGCTGTTGCTCTGTTGCTGGGCTACCCCGCCCCCACCACCCAGCGCCAGACCACGGAACTTGTGCACCACTTTGCTGCGTGGGCTTGCGCTCCCATCCTCGTCGCTCTTAGCCTCGGGAAGCTGGAAGGAGAATTGTGCGGTAGTGTGTATCGGCGATGGGTGTGGTTCTTCGTCATCTCTCTTCCGTTTTGGCGTTGTTGTTAGAGTCGGGAAGGTGTCTGTCATAATTGCGGAGGTCGTTCGCCCTCGGTCAGCGTAGAGGAAAGCTGGAGTGTATATGTCCTGACTCGTCGAGTTTTGGAAGCGATGGATTCAAAGAGTAGGAGCGGCAGCGTGGGTGCCGTAATTATTCTGCGTCATACGGCCAATTGTGATGGAAATTGCTGTACCGAATATTCCGGGGTTGTTGAGGATAGAGTCTGGAGTAGTAGGGGTTTGTTGTTCGAGAGGATTTGATCGGCCTTGGGTTCTTTGGGTAACCCGGCAGTTACACTTTGGGGCAGCACTCACCTTAAGGTCGTTGTCCCTGCGCTAACCGGCCGGTGCATCGGTACGATAAGCAGCAGGAAGAGGCGCGCTAAGATAAAGCTAGAGCCCCTCGGTGAGCAGCGCAGCGAGATCTTATCTTCATCCCAAGTTTATGTTTCCCAATTTTACCATCAGCTTAGTCAAACCGGCTGTTTATTGACACACAGACGCGCGGCATTGAGCTGGACCCCGGGCGTTTACAGTTTTACCTTTGCTGAGTATGATGTTTCTTGACACGCCGGCCGAGGCAAGAAATTCAGCAATACCATCTTCGAACTCTGGTGATTCACGAAATGAGCTTCGCATGTTGCTGAGGGCCAACATAGCCAACTCCTATTCAAATACTATTCACTCCTATCCGTTGAAATCATTCATAACCATTTTGGCTCCCTAAAAATATTTTATCATCGACCCGTTTTGTCCCAAGATCGCTTTACTCGCTCCAAGCCTTGTACACAATTCTGGTACCGTATGTCTCGCCCTTCTTCAGCAACATCTGGTTCTTCCATTCGGGGACGTTGATGGCGTTGACCCAGCGGCTGGGCTCAACACAGAAACCGCTGCGCTTACCACGCGCCGGCGCACCCTCGACAGCGGGAACGTCAATACCCTCGCCGGTGTAGAACTGGAACGCGGGCTCAGTGCTGAGCACCTCCAGGTTGACACCGTTCTTGGGGTGCTTCGCGTGTACGTGCAGCTTCAGAGGCTCCTTGCGGGTGTCAATGGGCACAGAGTCAGGCTTCTCGTTCACGATGAAGCAGTCGTCAACAGCAGGTCCGTCAACGCCCAGCTCGAAGGGCTTGCCGCCCTCAATACCGGGGAACGGCACGGGGCCGCCAGTAGGAATACCGACAGAGTCGCGGGGCAGATGGGCGTTCGTCGCCAGAGTGGCGATGGTGCCAGCAAAGGTCTCGTCTCCGGTGAGGTTGAAGTAGGAGTGGTTCGTCATGTTAATGGCCGTCTCGTCAGCGCCGTCAACCAGCTGTGCCTCGTACTCCATGCCCAGAACAGAAACCTCCTTGCCATCGACCTCCTGCGTGCCTGCGGTGTAGACAACAGTAACCTTGACAGTTCCGGGGAAGCCCTCGTCGCCGTCCTCGCTTACGAGGGAGAACTCAATGCTCTCACCGCCCTTGAGGCCCTCGACGCCGGGGATCTCGCGGGTGCCGACGGGCTTGGGGCCGTTCCAAACGCGCTTGCTCCATGGCTTGATGCCACCGTGCAGGTTGTTGGGACCGTCGTTGGCGGCGAGCTTGTAAGTCTGACCACCGTTAAGAGACTTGATCTGGGCGGACTCGAGACGGTTCGCAACGCGGCCGACGGTGACACCAAAGTAAGGTGAGTTGTGCTTCTCGTAAAGCTCCTGGGTAGGGAAACCCTGAACAATGTTGGTGCCCTTTACCTTGAAGGACTGGAGGATGGCGCCCAAGGGCAGGAATTCGAAGGGTGCGTCAGCCATGGCGATGGATAATGTGAAGAAAAGTTTCAAGTAAGGAAGCTGTGAGTGTCCAGGAGTAGAAGCCTGATGCGAGTGTACAAATCACAAACTGCCGGTTGCTTTTGTTTGTTTTATTGACGCGGCGAAGGTGAAATCACGCAAGGCGATGAGAGGGGGGTGTCTCCTTTAAGTCTAGCAGAGCTCCCCTTTACTTGACTGGGCCACCACGGCGAGACTTGCAATTCAGGCTATTATTGCTTGTATTTGCGCTTGTTGGCGGGTTTAGTGGGGGGTTGGACGAGGATAGAGGGGGAAGAAGGGTGTTGAAGAGACATGATGGCATCTGCGGGGCATTCGCCCGCGGCGGGGTAAATTGGGGGGATTGGAAGCTGCGTGGCACAGAGCCCAGAAACCCAAGCTTCCCCTCTCCCTGGGCTTAAGTTCCTCGCACCAAGACTCCAACCCGGTCTCTAGCCCCATCCCGAGCGGCCATGCTGTCGTCTGACTGGCGCGTTTAAATACGGGCAGCTTGCCTCGTATCTCCAGCTTTGGGGAAGCCGGGGCCAATGTGGTGCTGGTGGTAGTGGTGGATGGGCACTAGTATCCTTTAAAGGTCCGCTTGACAAGAGAAAAAAATGCCACTAATACCATAATCCTGCCTGCTCTGGTCACGAAGTGAGGTATTAGTTGGCAACAAGCTCCAATTTCATGGGAAACCCACTGCCGTGCAAAATTGGATAGTACATTGGGGCGGATAATCATGGGGGGAACTCCATGCTCATTATCGTCTCGGCCGACATTCCGCGATGGCGCCAACCGCAAAAACATCGTTGCGTGTACGTTATGGTATATAATACAACCTGCAACAAGTGCAATCAGTCAACAGATGCTCCGTAAACCATAAATGCTCCTTTGCCATGAAGATCCATCAATCCGATTCCTCGTCATCGTCACCGAGGAAGGCGAGGTCAGCCCGCGCCTTGCCTCGTGCACGCGATGACACAACAGCATCCTCTTCATCCTCGTCATCGTCTTCCTCGTCGCCCTTTTCTTCCTCGGCAGCATCATCTTTTTGAACCTGCGCAGGTTGTCCACGCGCCTTGCTCCGTGATGCTCGACCTCCGGCGCCCCAATTGGCATTCATCTCTTGGACTGCCTCAAGATCCGCCTCTAGTTCCCTGCGCTCTTTGATCTCCCGTGCCTTGGCTTCTGAGAAGCGGCCGTCCATGCCAATGTCATTGAGCATGTCTTTGAGATGCTTAATTTTCGCTTTCGAATTGTCTCCGTATTGCTTCAGCTCGAAACCCCAAATCTTGCGCACGCCACACTTGACCAATTGAGACTGCAGCTTCTTAATCTCGGCATCATCCGGGTTGTCAGAAGTTGCAGGCGCTTTTTTCTGCTTGGACGCCTTCGGTGCCTTTCCAGTCTCTTTCTTCTTTCGTTTTGGTTTGGGCGGCTCATCTATGACATCAGATAATTCGCTGGACGTGTCGTCGAGTGCTGCCTGTTCTGTCTTCTTTTCATTGGCAGATTCGGCATCCTTCTTGGAAGATTCGTCCGCTTTGTGAGATTCTGCGGCGGGTTTCTCTTTTGTGACCGAAGCCTTGGAAGACGGTTTTGCCTCCTTGTCTTGTGATATTTCCTCTTCGTTATCATCCTTCTCGTCCTCGCTCTCGGGCGGCGTAGTCAACGCGTCTGAGTCGCTGTTTTCCACCTTGTCTGCGCGCCCGCTTCGGCTTTTGACAGGCTTTGCCTTGGCAGGGCTCAGCTCGTCCTCAGAGTCAACCGTGGCACGCGACTTTTTCCGGCCGGCAGCCTTCTTCGGTTTCGATTTCTCATTCTGCGACTCTTCATCCTCGATATTTGCGTCTTTGGCGCCAGATGTACGCTTTCTGCGCTTCGACGGCGGAGATGCTTCGGTCGATTGGCGCTTGCCAGACTTTGTAGGTTTTGCGTCTTCCGGAGCTGGAGATGATTTCGCTTCGGGTGCGGTATTGTTTTCGAGAAGCTCAGCCTAGAAAAGATGTTGTTAGCCGAGTCAGCTTTCCAAATAGAATTTGTGCACGCGTGCGCGCGCCGAGGCAGGGATCAATTACAGCAAGCTCCTTGATCAGTTTCTTGCTCTTATCCTTCCATTTACCAGACGAGAAGAAGCCATCTTCCAGATCAAGATCGTCTTCGACGCGTTTTCGGATAAAGTTTACGGTGAGTTGTTCTCTATCGGACTTCCAGATATCGCGAACAGCATTGAGGAGCTCTGTCTCGAGCTTCTCGTCCGAGGGAGCCATGACCAGGGCACGATGACAGGGATAGAGGTTGATGGATGTGGCGCTACAAAAATTCTAACAAACAACACTGGCGGATCCTCAAACAGACAATTGCGATATTACTGTGATCCGGTAAAGCTCGAACTGCCTTGTCGCGGTTGTCGTCGCGTCGAGGAACAACGGATGGAGCGCATCAACAAAGCCGGCGCGGGCAGGCGTAGATCAATCGAAACCGGGGGCAGCTACGACTGGCTTGGACCGGGAGTGGGGCTCAAGTCACCCGGTACTGGTCTGTGCTCCTGGCTCTGTCAAGCAACAACAGCAGAGGAGGAATTCTGAATAAGGGCATTGAGGACTCTGGAGAAGAGTATAAAGAAGAGAAAAACAGAACACAAAGAGAAAACATCACTTGATGCTTTGCTTGACGCTTTGATTTTGATTGATTTATTAGCATGTTATGGGCATTTTAAGGATAATGATGATGATGAGCATCCCATTCTAAACAAATAGGCGTCATCAGCAGAGGAGCAGGAAGAGAAGCACTGGCAGGTTAAAGACAATACAGATACTCAACCTCCCTTTATCAAATCCGCAGATTTCAAAGGAGGCTTACCGATTTTATCCACCGCTTGGCATCTCTTCTCCACGATGAAGTTAGTTGCAATCGGGAATATCTCGATACATCGACGCAAGCCCGCGTCAATTCGGGCCGGGCACTGAAGGCAATCGGCCTTGCACCGTTGCGCAATGCCTGTGTGGAAGTTTTGGTCCGGATTCCGGGGGAGATAATGGGGCCTTCGATGTCAGTCTGCGGTAGCCCAACAGGGACCTTGTGGGCTGAATGATTGGGCTAGAGTGTTCCCTGGGATTTTGGTCTCCCTTATTGGTCACTGAGACGGGTTCAACGTTGAAACGTCGTGCAGGTGCCGGGGCTGAAGCTCCTTTGAAAGCACCAGACTGACGGGAGCTTCCTGGCTTTCTCCATTTCCTTGGATAAAGGCCTGGCCTTGAAAATGACGGCACGGTTGCGTCGGTTTTCAGGGGCCTAGAACACAGAGCATTATTCACTTGCCAGCATGAGGCTCCGTGCATCATTAGAACTGGTCGGGTTCTTGCATAAGCACAGAATGGCCATGATTACAATGTAAAGCCCCTGGCATTCATTGGGAAAGGGCAAACAAGGCTTAGACAGCCACGACAGCCTCTGTGTAAGTCAAGCCAACCTTAATGGACATTTTCGGACAGCCCTCCGAAGCCACAGCTTAGCCAACCGAGACTTCCCTCAAGAAAGACTGACTGCTGGCGGGGATGGATGGAAATCTGCAGACGATGCGCCATCATCCTTGCTTTGGCCAGTGGGTTTTAAAAGCTGTGTTGGGCTCTGGCCGGGCGCTGAAGAAAAGCAGGGTGGATGGCTGGAAGGGAAGAATTTCCAAAGTAGAGGCATCGTGAATCTTCTGTGTTCTATCGGCGATGCGGTGCCCACACCTCGGCGCCGGACCCCACCAGTCGAGCGGGTAACATGGCGAGGTTCCTCAGGTACCGATACCTAATTGATATTCTCTTTTTTCGGTTGCACCCAAGAGCTGAGGAGGTTCGGCTCAGCGGCCCTGCAGATTTATATCGCTCACCCAAAAATCACTCGGCCTCGTTCCCTAATTGTCCGGAAAACCCCCTCGGCAAAGGCGATCATACACATCCATCTTACAAAAGAGATTGGGTGCAGATGCCGGAGGGTGACGGGAAGATGTTGGAGGGGAGGGGGCCAGAAACGGCAATGGAAGAAAAAAAAATACTTTGAAATAATAATAATAATAAGAATAATAATCAATACACTAGTGACAGGCCGGAATTTTCTCGCAATGAGACAGCATGGGTCCCGCACCAAAAATTACGTAGATGGCTCCTTGGTGCCGCTAGTCAACAGTTAAAGCCCAGCAGTTTTTTTTGGAGCTGTCTACCATAGTAAGGTATTCCTTTCCCCGAGAGTAACCTGTACGTACATTCCCTGATGGCCTTACAACACCACGACGTAAGTACTTTGACTTCTGCGGGAGAGCTCCAGGGTCTGGATTGCTCTTTCTTACCTGCAGGCCATCGGATTGGCATTCATTCTGCTTCTGCTTGCCCATGTCCCTCAACACCCCGCCCTCCAATCCCTCCCTCACCTCACATGTTGCCTTGCCACACCCTGGGCTGTACCCAGTGAGAAACCAGCTCCGTCACCTTCTGTTGCCAAACGGGTAATTGGGTGTGAGAAAAGGGCACCTTTAGCCAACCGCCGACCAAGCCGCCTTCTTCCGTTTCTTTCCATCTTGTTTTCCTTCTTCCTCCTCCTCCTCTCTTCTTTCTTTCTAAAACTGCTACCTGCGCTGCATCGTATTTGCACTGCTTGCTGTCTTGTGACATTCCTCTCCACGCATTCAGTCCGCTGTTGTCCAGCCACTTAGTGCTGCTGCCCTTTCTCCCATCAACAGCTCCCGCCCTCGCCCTGCTTATACCTACGTCAGTTGCTTGCCTCACTATACGATTGCCAGCAAGCACCAAGCAGCAATCAGCTTCAGCTTCAGTAGCTAGCAACTCAAAGGGTAAGGAAGCTTGTTTTTATCTTAAGCTTTGTCTTGCCCTCTCCTGCAAAGTAACAATAGCAAAAGGAAGCCCTCAGCTGTGTGTTGCGTCGCTATCGCATTGGGTACCTTGCTTTACAGTACTGCTAAGCCAGCCGAGCCTACAATTACCCCTCCATTCCCCCGCAAGCTCATCCCAGCCCGACAACGCGACTCAGCTAACATCTTTTCCCAACCCACCAGAACATCCACTAAGCTCATCAGCTGCTGTTCCCCAATTCCCACTCTCCGAACCCGTCCTCGAATTTCTTCCACTCTTCGCCACAACCGCACCGCCGGGCAAAGCATCTTCACCATGCCTGCCCTCGTCGACGAAGACACCGCCCCTGGGCGCCTCTTGCTCCTTTCCAACCGACTCCCCATCACTATCAAGCGCTCCGATGATGGCAGTTATTCCTTTTCCATGTCTTCTGGTGGTCTCGTTACCGGCCTCAGCGGTTTGTCAAAAACCACAAGCTTCCAATGGTACGGCTGGCCAGGCCTCGAGGTTCCTGAGAGTGAGATTGCCGGCATGAAGCAGCGTCTCAAGGACGAGTATAACGCCCATCCCGTCTTCATTGATGATGAGCTCGCCGACAAGCATTACAATGGCTTCTCCAGTACGGAAAACTATTCCTATTTCAACAGTATCTGTCTTCCGAACTAACAGCCGCCCGTTACAGACTCCATTCTCTGGCCCCTCTTCCACTACCACCCCGGTGAGATTACATTCGATGAGAGCGCATGGAGCGCCTATCGCGAAGTCAACCGCCTGTTTGCCAAGGCAGTTGTACAGGACGTACAGGATGGAGACCTTATCTGGGTTCACGACTACCATCTCATGCTGCTTCCCGAGATGCTGCGCGAAGAGATTGGTGACTCCAAGAAGAATGTCAAGATCGGCTTTTTCCTACACACGCCCTTCCCTTCTTCAGAAATCTACCGTATTCTTCCCGTCCGTGAAGCACTCTTGACTGGCGTTCTCGACTGCGATCTCATCGGTTTCCACACCTACGACTATGCTCGCCACTTTCTGAGCAGTTGCTCTCGTATTCTGTATGTCAAGCTCTCTCCATCCACACATGTCCTTGAGTTAACAGGAATCCAGTGGAACTCCCACAACTCCCAATGGCGTTGATTACAATGGCAGATTCGTCACTGTGGGCGCATTTCCCATTGGTATCGACCCCGAGAAGTTCGTTGAGGGTCTCAAGAAACCGAAGGTGCAGGAGCGTATTGAAGCGCTCAAGCGCAAGTTCAACGGCGTCAAGCTCATTGTTGGTGTTGACCGTCTTGATTACATCAAGGGCGTACCGCAGAAGCTCCATGCTCTGGAGGTTTTCCTGACAGAGCATCCTGAATGGATTGGTAAGATCGTCCTCGTCCAAGTTGCCGTTCCGTCGCGCCAGGACGTTGAGGAGTACCAAAACCTCCGTGCTGTTGTCAACGAGCTCGTCGGTCGTATTAACGGAAAGTTTGGCACCATCGAATTTATGCCCATCCATTTCCTCCATCAGAGTGTCTCTTTCGACGAACTGACCGCTCTGTACGCCGTCTCGGACGTCTGCCTTGTTTCTTCAACGCGTGACGGCATGAACCTGGTCTCATACGAGTACATCGCAACTCAGCGCGAGCGTCACGGTGTCATGATTCTGTCCGAGTTCACTGGTGCCGCCCAGTCCCTCAATGGCTCCCTCATTGTCAACCCCTGGAACACAGAGGAGCTCGCAAACGCCATCCACGACGCCGTTACCATGTCACCCGAGCAGCGCGAGACCAACTACCGCAAGCTTGAGCGTTATGTCTTCAAGTACACGTCCGCCTGGTGGGGCCAGTCCTTCGTCGCTGAGATGACCCGCCTCTCCCACGAGACGATGCAGTCAAAGACGTTGAGAAACATCAGTGGCAATGTTGTGGGTCAGGTGAGCAAGGCTCTTCAAGGAGCCGTTGAAGGCGCCCAAAACCTGGCGGGCAAGGGCAATACCTCTGAGGAGGCGAAGCAGGAGAAGCAAGAAGCGTAACGGCTCATTGTACATCCTACTACACATTTTCGTTTTATCCCGCCTCGCAAGCTGTCAAAAGGACAGCGTTTTGATGAAAGCATGAGGAACAAGATAAACACACATACATACCCGACCTCGCAAATCGTACCGATTACAAACATTCATCACCAAGGCATATAGCTCTTTGGGAAAGGATTGCACATGAGCGAGGCGAAATCATATCTTAATTGTCGGTTGGGAAAGGCATCGAGCCTAGCGGAGTTTGTTTTTTCATTTTTATTTAAAGGTTTACGTCCTGTGTCGAGAGGGAGAGGGATGGAACGGGGTGTTGGGGCGGGATCACACACAGGAACACATCTCGTCAATACCTCTCTTATCCCGCTATGTATTTCGAGTTTATGTTGGTTTAGCATTAGACTATCTACTTATCTGACGAGAACCTCTGCCTGATGTGTATGATCTTGGCGACATGTACTCGATTTATCACAAATACATTCAAACAAACTCATGTTTAGTCAATCACTAGGAAGAAAAGGTCAAGAGACACGGCACCAGGCAACAAGGCAAATTAGAAAAAACAAGCAAACAATTTCCGAAAACTCAGCAAGATCTTTAGAAAAAAAAAGAGGATGGATTGCATTGCCAGCTACACACGCGGAAAAGAAAAGTCTCTGTCGGCTCGGCTTTCAAAAGGTATCTAAAGAGGATTCCCAGCTGTTTGGCTGCGGAAAGAATAGAAAGGAAAGCGAAAGGTTAATGGGGTAAAACATGAAGCAAATGTGTGTTCCTTTGATGCTGAATGATCCATTTCCGTCCCTCTTATTCTCCCCCCTTCCCTCTCCCCCTCGCGTTGCGCGCTCGCGTTTGTAAAAAAAAAAGAGTCCAAGAAAACGCCCGTCGTCGGTGAAAGGCGACTTCCAACATCAACGTGAACATCAAACATGACATGACAAAACCGGAGAGGTTGCGTACCCCAATCGCTACTAAGTGAGATTAGAACGGCGACGCGACAATGTCCTCCTTGCCAAGCTTGTACCGTCCGCTTTGTGGCGTGCCGATACGCCCTGAATCTCTGCGTCCCATGCTGAGTCTCGCCCATCCGGGGCCGGCAATACTCTCACGAGTGGGCCTCTTAAGGCCCTGTTTGCCGATCATGTTAACTTCGTTAGGCAGGGCGACAATGACATTCTTGTCAGAGCCGTACTTGAAGTCGTCGGCCTTGACCTCCTCGGCATAGCGCTTGATGAGGTACGGAGCCTTGGCGCCGCGAAGCACCTTCTTGAGGTTCCATTCGACGATGTACGGTCCAGTGGCCGTGATGATGCTCGTCTCCTCGGCGCCTGTGCCAGTGTTGAAACGTGCCGGGGTGAACGACACGGGCTTGCCGGTCTCATGGGCAAACTGAGCGACGTGCTCGGGGGTGAGAGCCAGACGGCGCGGTTGAGGCTTATCGTTGGCCGCAAACGACTTTTCGAAACCAAGCTTGCCTTCGTTCTTGCCAGATTTTTGCATGGCATCGATGAGGAGGATATATGTCCGGCAGGTGGCGAGGACCCAGCGACCATCGGCAGAGACATCGAGACCGATGATAGCCTCACCAAGGGCGGGGATGTGAGTCTTGGCGTTGATACCCAAACGATCAAATAGACGAACATCACCTTTGTTGGAAGCGACAGCAATGTAGCCCTTCTCCGTCGTTGAAATGGCAGAGAAGTCGTTCTTCGAGACATATTGCTTCAGCTGCGAGTCAACCAGCTTAGAGCCGGCCAAACGAGGATCGACACGGTAGAGCGCATTCTTCGAGATACCGAGGAAGGTAGGCTCGTGCGTCATCTGGGCAAACTTGTTCTCCGGAGCGAAGTTGAGGACAGGGATGTCCTCATGTACGTTCCACTCGTCCACAACCTTGCCATACTCAAGATCCATGCGGTAGAGTTTGTTCGGGTCTGCCTCATTCTGTAGGATCATATTGCGGTCCTCGTTATGAAGCATGACCTTCTTCGGGCTAAACAATGTGCCCTTGGGAGTCTCAACCTTTGAGATGTTGGTTGAGAATTCAAGGTTGTTGCTGTTGGTATGCTTGAAAACACCAATCTTGGATCCACGGACGACGAAAGAGCGGTCATGCTTATAACCAACAGCAAGCTGTGAGTTGACGTTGCCATCCTCATCCTTCGTAGCAACATCATCCTCCTCCTCGTCGCTGTCGTAATGCTCACTTCGCTGAGCATCGTCCTCGTCATCTTCTTCTTCTTCTTCCTCTTCCTCAGGCCTATCTTCCATCGTCAAATCGTTGAAGGCATCCGTAATGTACTCTTGCTCCCTCTCCTTGATCTTCTCCCACTTTGTCTCGTTCAACTGCTCCCACAAGGCGCGAAGAAGAGCGTCTTGGAAACGCTCCAGAGTCGGCTGGTCTTTGAAACGAAGAAGCCATGAGTAAGCTGAGCCGTCAGGTGAGAATTGATTGAAGATGAATGAGAGAAATTCAAAGTTGAAGACTGGGTTGATATCGGCCACAATAGGGATGCCAAGCCATGCCCGGTCTTCGCTCTCAATCTGCAGCCAGTACTGCCACTTGCCAACCTCAGTGACAGTAGCAGTGACTGCGCCGTCTTGCTGGACGAAGGAGCCTGAAGGGAAGTCGAAGAAGTGCAGCTCGGCGCTCTCGGCGGCATACGTGCTGAGAGCAGGTGGGGCTTCGGCAGACTTGGGCGGGCCCATATCCTTTTTCTTCTCGGGCATGACGGGCGTTTTGACGGGCGTTTTGACAGGCGTCTCTTCTCTCTTTGCAGATGTATTCGCGGCTTTGGGTGGAGTCTGGGGCACAAACAAACCGTCGGCCGAGTCGATCGACCTGGTCAGAGACGGACTGTGGATGGGACTCGCGGGAGGAATAGGCTGCTCGTCTTGAAATTCGAACTGGTCAAGGTCCGCGTCGGAAGCGGTGGTATGCGGCTTGCGGTACTTGCGCTCGTACTGGCACTCCTTTGCGATACGCTCGAACTGTGCGACTTGACCAGGAGACACGACGTTATCGCAAACAAACTCGTAAACGTCGCCGGTGTCACCGCTCAGATCCCGCCAAGCAAGAACCTTCTCAGAACCCTCGCGAAACTCAACTCGGAAGTGGAGGGCCTCGTCAAGCAGAAATGTCTTCTCGTCTCTCTCAGCGGCGGCAAGTGCGTCAATCTCGGCGTCCTCTCCTTCTTCCTCGGCTAGAAGTTCAGCCTCTCCTTCCTCGTATACTCTCTGGATCACCAGCTGGTACTGGAAATCCTGCGCGGTTCGTCGGATACGAGCGGCGGCGTCTTTGAAGATGAGCTCGGAGTAGCCTTTGGGTGAAAGCGGACGAACAAGATAGAGTTGTCCTTGGGGGAGCTCAATAAGGGACTCTTGGTTACTGGATCCAAAGATGAGTTTGCCAACTAGAAAAGCAAAAAAATGTCAGTGTAAATGTGACTAGCTGAGATGGCGCAAAGGGTAAGAAAAAGTGGGAGAGCGGCCAAATCGTTGGCCGAAACCTGGTGATGACGAACTGGCCCAACCAACAACTTAACGTGCGATTTGTGGTGGCAGAACAGGTTATCAGCGACGGTTGAGTGGCGGGGTAAACTTACCGTTTCTGAGGACAAACATTTTGAAGTTGAAGGGAGGGGCTTGTAATGAAAGCGGGTAGATCGTAGACTGGACCGGAGAGCTTCTGCCAGTATTTATGGATCTTCACAGAGCATTCCCGTCCACTTAGATGAATGAGAGACAAAGAGAGGCGGAAAATCCCAGACCTTGGCCACAGAACAGAAGAGATCAGGCACCACGGGGAAGAAAATGCGTCATAACAATAGCTTCCTGCGTTGGGGGGTCACGGTCCAACTGATGGAGGGGTGAAGTAAATTATGGCCGTGCACGTCCCTTTTTTCCTCCAAATTTTCTCGCCACAGCAACCTGCGGATACGTCAGCCACAAGGACTGGGGTATCACGTGGGGCCCCGGCAGGGGTGGGTCTAGCGGTCTAGGCCCAAACGGCCTTCACTTTACTCACTCTTCACTAACACTGCAGGTTACTGTGGTGTGTACATCTTTCCATGATCTGGAATTTCTTACTTCATGCTAGGTTGCTGCGCCTAGGAGTACTTTTTGGCTTCACTGTACTAAGAAAAAAAAAATTACATAAATCCACCCTCAAAATATCCTAACTCTCAGGATCCACACACCTGGCTTAAATGAAAATCAGAGTTAAGCTTTGTGCAGTTGTTGGGGCCATCACATTTGAGATTGTGACGTATCATGGCTCTTAGAAACCGTGGTTATGGGCTCGCCCGTTTGAGTTGAGCATCACTTTTCAAATATGCAAATGCAAGTGCCCAAACTAGATTATGAAATGCAGCTGCGGCCTGCACGCATTTCACCTTCAAACGACATTAGCTGGTCCAGCATTCAACCTGCAGACACCTTGCTTGCTCCTAACGTGTCTGATTGAGAACTATTAAAACAGAAGCACAAACGGTTCAACTAGACATGGATCTCACTCAAGCACGTCAAGTGACTTATGATATGTAATTTGAGTCTCTCTGAAACAAGTGATATCATAACCAAGCTTTCAGTCTTCTTTCCAACTTGCTTCTACCGGCCAAGATATACCAGGGACTACCTAGTTGTCAAAAAAAGCATTGCCTTTGAATCTCATGCATGAAACGAAACGCCCTTTATTGCTTGTTTGCGCCTTCTTGAGAACCTATTTAAACAAAAAACGCAACATTCGATATTGTTGACCCGAAAATGGCAGCGCCAGAAAGAAAATCTGATAAGGCTACAGCTCGTCAGGAGTGGTAGCCTCTTCATCCGTTTGCCCAAGCACCTCTTGAGCTTCATCCATGTCAACCTTCTCAAATTTCTCCCCTTCCTCTTGGGCAGACTTAGCGAAGCTCACAAAGTCCTCAGCAATCAACTTGGCAATATTCATTCCCATAAGCGCGCTGGTTTCCATGCAAGAGATGAAACTCTCAATTCCAGAGAGATAGTACAGGCCGTCTCTTAGAATAGGGTCCTGGAAGGTGACGCGAGGGTATTCGATAGGATACGAGTTGAAGACATGCGGGTGATACCATGAGATGGGATCGACAGTGCTCTGACTGCTCTCGGCAGTCTTTTCTGGTACAATACTCTCAGGTACCTTAACACCAAGAAGCTCTGAAAGAAATTCAGCTGTGACCTTGTTAGGAGAAAATATCTTGTAGATAAATTCATCTTTAAGGGTGTTGGGGTTCGTAGCGATTCTCAGTGTGCTAATGGAGTAGAAACCGGCTTTTCCAGCGCCCTCGGCTCCAGTCTTTGCTTCTTCGTCCAGAGTCAGGGTTGTCAATACCGTGTCAGGAGCCTTTGACCCGGACGCTAAACCGAAATACTCAGGAGACAGACGGAATGGGGATGCAAAGAGTGTAACATGGAGCTTGGTATAAGGGATTTCGTCGATCTTATGCTGGAACAAGTCATCGGCGACGCTGATGTCGCTGTATTGCCAAGGGCTAGCAATAACAACATTGTCAAAGGCGACGGGATATTGTTCGGCATCGGCAACAACTTCGGAGTTGGTGTTCTGAGTCGAGAGCAAATATTTGGAGCTTGCGGGACCGGACTTGAGCTCAATGGAAGCTACCCGAGTGTTCCGGTTGACAGTCGCATTACTATGCCGAAGCATCGTCTCGAAGATCTGCCAGTTGCCGCCAATAACTTGCTTAGCGCCCTCCGGAGCCATCGAGACCATGGTTTCAAGGCCATGAATGTACTTCAAGTTTGAAGCATAGTTGACGCGAGTGGCTGCTTGGATAATGTGCTGAGAAAATAATTCGCCGATCTGCACGAGATGAGCTGCTGTCACAGAGATGTCCAAGGCTTGTCAAACGTACCTCATTGTTGGCCAGAAATTGTTCTCCGGTTACAGAAGTTGCCTTGAGAAGATCCAGCTCGAAGGCTCTTTGAGTGAGCGATCTGAAAGGGAAGTGAGGCGCCTCATACAACTTGAGAAAGGTATCAACTGTCGACTGAACGAGCTTCTGCGCTTTGTAAGGAGCCAAGCCGTACTTCCAAAAGAGTTTGGCCAAGTTCCACCATTGCCAGGAACTATCATCCTGAGTATAGACAAACTTTTCTCCGTCCCAAATACCCAGGAAACCGTCACTGCCAGATTCGGGCTCCTTCAATGGAAGCCCGAAACGATGACTAGCATTGTAGAGAATGTGGTTGGCTTCAATAAAGATGGAGGCACCCAGCTCAACTTGTTCGAGCGGGTTGTCATACGCCTCTACAGTCAAAGTTCGACCTCCGATGTGATTGGTCTTTTCAAAGACGGTAATATTGACCGGAAGACCCTCTGCTTCGGCATATTGCTGCAAGTAATAAGCTGCACTAGAACCACCCGCTCCAGCTCCTGAGTGAGATGTCAGTAATGTTCTTCAAAGAGACGAATGAGTATCGAGAAATCATTAAGCGTGTTGAAGTTTTTGGGGGCGTAACACGGGCAAAATTCACGGACCAATGATTGCGACCTGCTTGACGTTACTGTCAACAGTAGCGACTTCGACCTCGGTCGCGGGGACCCCCGTCAAGCTGATCGCGGAGAGCAGAGCAGAGAGCTTGGACCCCCACATTGCGTAGCGTAGGCTTGTCCAACAATGCGAACTTAGAATGCGATGTTACAACTAGAATACTGAGTGATGAAAATGAAAGGAAGGCGGACGAAATTCAAGACATGTTTTGGGGATAAAGCGGATGGGAGGGAGCATGAATGAGATTCGTAATTCGTATCCCCGGGTGGTCCCCCAATGAATTAGACTCAGGGTGAGTAAACAAACCGCCGCTTTATTAGCGTCACCGGGGGGTATTGAGTACTCAGGAGGTGGACAGGGCAAGCATCATCAGGACCAAGAAAACTATGTAAGAGCCAAAACGGAGATCTTTGGTTTGCAAGATAATCGGTTGGAAAGAAAAATCCTAATTAATTTGAGAAGAGCCGTAGTTTCGAGCCAAAGGTACATAGCATGGCGGTTAGACAGCTCCGATAAAGCAGCGGTTGAATCCCCAAGTGGAGGTTTCATTCAGGTGGTCCCCAAAACACCCCCAATGTCCCTGCCTCCCGTCGGCCGTGCAGTAGCCATCGGCCACTAGCTAATGATGCACAGACCACAGTACATGTCGTCAGGTTCTGACAGGTGTGACCTCCCTATATACATATGCAATTTATTGACCCAAGTGGGTATATACATCTAAACATCGTTTTCATCAACCGGGCATGACTACGCCAGGCACCGGCCAGCAGCCAGCACCTTCTACCACTGACTGACCGCCTGCCACCTCGAGGCAGAAAAAAAGTCACCACCAGGTCCCGCACCTGAAGCTCCCCAGGCCAGGTCAACCCTCGAGAACACTCCACGCCAGGTCGCTAATCCAATTAACTTACCGATCGATACCCCCTCACGAGCCTCTAGACGACCTTCAGCCAAAATGTCCGCGGCTCAACTGCTCAACCCCAAGGCCGAATCCAGGGTGCGCACTGCAATTTTCTGCCGTTTTGGGTTGTGTTGCTAATCATTCAAGTAGCGGCGGGGTGAAGCCCTGAAGGTCAACATCAGCGCTGGTGAAGGCCTGCAAGATGTCCTCAAGTCCAACCTCGGCCCTCTGGGCACCATCAAGATGTAGGCACGCCGTATTCTTCATGGAATAGTTATCACTGACATTTTCGTAGGCTTGTTGACGGCGCCGGCCAAGTGCGACTTACCGCCCCTCTTCCCCTGGACCGCTGCTAATGCGCCTCGAACAGATCAAGTTGACAAAAGATGGAAACGTTCTTCTCAGAGAGATGCAAATACAAAACCCTACCGCCGTCATGATTGCACGAGCTGCTACTGCTCAGGACGACATTTGCGGCGATGGCACGACGTCCGCTGTTTTGTTGATTGGCGAGCTTCTCAAGCAGGCGGATCGTTACATCTCCGAAGGACTGCACCCCAGAATCATCACCGACGGTTTCGAGATTGCCAAGAACGAGGCACTCAAGGTGCGTCTTTAGTCAGAAAACGAACAAGAATACAGGGGGCTAATATGTTACAGTTCCTTGACGGCTTCAAGCTTGACAAGGAGGTTGACCGCGAGCTTCTCCTCTCTGTTGCCCGCACATCGCTGTCCACGAAGCTCAACTCTAGCCTTGCTGCTAAGCTTACGCCCGATATCGTCGATGCCGTGCTCGCTATTTACCAGGCACCCGCCAAGCCCGACTTGCACATGGTTGAGATTATGAAGATGCAGCACCGGACAGCTTCCGATACCCAGCTGATTAAGGGCTTGGCTTTGGACCACGGTGCCCGCCACCCCGATATGCCGAAGCGCCTTGAGAACGCCTACATTCTTACAATGAACGTGAGCTTGGAGTACGAGAAGACTGAGATCAACTCCGGATTCTTCTACTCCAGCGCGGAGCAGAGAGACAAGCTGGTGGAGAGCGAGCGCAGATTCGTCGATGCTAAGCTGAAGAAGATTGTCGAGCTGAAGAAGGAGGTTTGCGGAAACGACCCCAACAAGAACTTTGTCATCATTAACCAGAAGGGTATTGACCCCTTGTCTCTTGACGTGCTGGCCAAGAACGGCATCCTTGCCCTGCGCCGGGCCAAGAGGAGAAACATGGAAAGACTGCAGCTCATCTGCGGCGGTATTGCACAGAACAGCGTTGACGACCTGACACCCGACGTTCTGGGATGGGCTGGCCTTGTCTACGAGCAGACTCTGGGTGAGGAGAAATACACCTTCATCGAGGAGGTCAAGGACCCCAAGTCTGTTACCCTTCTGATTAAGGGCCCCAACGCACACACCATCACCCAGGTTACCGACGCCGTCCGCGACGGTCTCCGCAGCGTCTACAACATGATTGTCGACAAGAGCGTTGTCCCAGGTGCTGGCGCCTTCCAGGTGGCTTGCGCGGCGCACCTGAAGAGCGATGCTTTCTCCAAGACGGTCAAGGGCAAGGCCAAGTGGGGTGTCGAGGCGTTCGCTGATGCTCTTCTCATTATCCCCAAGACTTTGGCTGCCAACGCTGGTCTTGACATCCAGGATGCCCGTGAGTAATTAACCTTCCTCTTGATTCAGCTAAGCTAACATGTCACAGTTGCTGCTCTGCAAGACGAGCATGCCGATGGCAACGTTGTGGGCTTGGACCTCGCGACGGGTGAGCCGATGGACCCCGAGCTTGAGGGTATCTTTGACTCCTTCAGGGTGTTGAGAAACTGCATCGCCTCCAGCTCCAGCATCGCATCCAACCTGCTGCTTTGCGACGAGTTGCTGAAGGCAAGACAGATGGGTAGACAAGGCGGCCCAGGCCCCGGTATGGACGGACCTGAGGAGTAATGAGCTGAACGGATTTCATTGTAAAGTATTGGCATGGTAGACAAAAGGCGTTGCTCTTAGACCTGTCAAAAGCTGAGAACTGGAATGATATCCATTTACGAAGAACATTCATGATGTATACGTTGCGTGGTTTTATGGACTTTTTCCCAGTGATTGATGTTAGACGAGTGGCAAGCGTTGACCCCTCGCTGGAAGCCGGTGCGATAAGATAAGCCCCGCATCGAATATTTCGAGAGCCAGAAAATCTTGACCCCACGTACACAGCCCAACCCAGCAATTGCATGCCACATCCCCGAAACCATGGCAGATTACGACAGTGATTCCTCCGAGCAGGAGTTTACCGAGACAAATGTCCTTCTTGGTTACGCCACTAAGGATGCTGATGAGGACACCATTAGCCGTCTCGGCGGTCGACCTGTAAGTACATCGCGACAGCTCAGTTCCAAAATCAGAGTCACCCCGCCAAACATCTGTTTAAACAATTGACTGACATGGTGCTTTTAATTCAGGATTGGTTGAACCCTGACCAACCGCCGTCTGCGGCTCTCGCACGCTGCAAGATCTGCAATGATATCATGGTCCAGCTTCTGCAGCTTAACGGCGAGCTCCCCGAAAAGTTTCCCGGCCACGAGCGCCGCTTGTACGTCTTTGCATGCCGCAGGCCCTCCTGTCGGCGCAAACAAGGCAGCATTCGCGCCCTGAGAGGAGTTAGAATATCCAAGGACGCGCCTTCAGTTTCCTCGAAGAAACAGCCTGCGCAGAAGACGGAAGTGAAGAAGGAGGAGGAGCCCAAGAAAGACGACGGTCCCGGCCTTGGCAGCGCGCTGTTTGGTGGCGGCTCAGGCGCTGCCAACCCCTTCGCCAGCAATACGAACCCTTTCAGCACCGGTTCCTCAAGCAGCCCCTTTAGCACGACTGCGCCATCCTCCAACCCTTTCTCAAAGCCTTCCGAGCCCAAGCCTACCGAAGAAGCCAAGCCTGAGCCGGAGGTCACGGCAGAATCCCTCCCGAAGACTTTCGCCGAAACGCTCTCCCTCAACAACCCTCAGACACCCTCCGGCCCACCGCCGCCCTCGGAGCCTTGGCCTGAGGTATCGGCTCAACCCAAGCCTTACCCGTTGTCCTACCTTGCGGACGCCGAGTTCGAGACTTTGGACCCGGAGCCTGCGGCGGTGCCGCAGAACGTGCGAATGGAAGTTGACGATGGTGCGGGAGGTGCGGGCGGGTCCACGGACACTAAGGACGTCTTTGAATCATCTATGGACGCCATCTTCCAGAAGTTTGCGGACCGCATGGCTCAGAATCCCGAGCAGGCCATCCGCTACGAGTATGGCGGCGTGCCCTTGCTGTACTCAAAGGCCGACGCCGTGGGCAAGGCCCTTACTGCTTCTGGTGGCAAGTTGCCGCGGTGCGGCAACTGCGGTGCCGGACGTGTGTTTGAGGTCCAGATGACGCCGCACGCCATTACGGAACTCGAGGCTGAGGAGTTATCGCTCGAGGGTATGGATTGGGGCACGATTATCGTGGGTGTCTGCGAGGCGGATTGCCAACAAAGAGGAGTCGAGGTTGGTGGAGACGGATATTTGGAGGAGTGGTGTGGTGTTCAATGGGAGGAGCTTGCAAAGCGATAAAAGCATAAGCATGTCAGGTTTACTGGGAGGGAAAAAAAAAAAAGGAGAGGCCAAAAGTTATATAGACACGCAGGAATGATGAGGAATTATACGACATCTCAAATATTTATGGCATGTCTCATATTCAGGGATATCCTCTATGGCTCCCAATTCCAAAGTCACATTGAACGCCGGTAATTTTGCCGCCATGCTCTCGTTCAGCCCTAACTCCATTAACGGAGCCGTCAAGCAGCCAAGGGACCTTTGCACCCTTGCTCATCCCCTTGATGTTCATCCTCTCACCAGTTTTCGATTTCTTCTCCCCTTAGGCAGTCTCCTCCCATGATCTCCGCAGAACCCTTGAGAACATGTCGATGTTGACATCCTCTCTGATCTCGGCCTTCTTGGCCTCGTTCTCGGCGTTGCGGGGGATAGTGACGACGCCGTTGTCGCCGACAGTCCAGCCAGCAACCTCGGAGACGAACTTAGCGGTGGCCTCGGCGCTCAGGCCGAGCCAGGACTCCAGTTGGGACACAGAAATCTCGCGGAAGGCCTGAGAGATCTGACCAACGATGTTGTTGCGGATAAGGTCCTCGAAGCCGGAGATGTCGGCAATGAGGTCGGCGCAGAGGTCATCGCCGTCGATGGTGTTCCAGAAGCGAGCGTACTGGGCACCCTCGAGCTGGCCGTTAAGGGTACGCAGCTTGGTGATAGCCTCGTGGAGCTCACCCTGGGCAGCGGCAGAGGCGTTGATCAGGTGAAGAGCCAGGCTGAACTGGGGCGAGGGGAACTGGGTCATGGCCTTAACGAGGATGTTGGTAGCAACCTCATCCTTCATGCGGTCGGGGTTCAGCTGGTACCTATACAGAGAGAAGGAGGAATCGTTAGCGAACGTGTTCGGGACTGTCGCATTCTTCTTGATAGTTTGCTCCAGAGAGATTCCAGGTTTTATTCAGTAATCACCAAAGTTGACTTCCTTTGCGATCGGTGGTTCAAGTAGAATCCGGGCCGGCGCATGTCAGGTAATAGGAAACGTTTTGGTCATCATATAACCGGTGCAGGACCAATGAAGGACAACGGGAGAAATGAGCAACTGCTGACGTTCAAGTCACGCAGTAGCTATGGAGGCGTAAACTCACAGCTTCAGGAGTGTCCGGTTCGCGTTGCAGTCGCAGTACTTCTGCTCGCACTGCTCCTGGAGGTAGGCCTCAAGGGTGACAACGGCCTCGGGGTTGTACCTCTCAAGGCCATTGATGATGTTGACAATGTAGTCGGGCCGCTCGGGCGGATCTTCGCCGTTCAACATGGTTGCTGGTTGTCTGGGCGGGGGGGTATCACGGGGGTTGGGTGGTGGTGTCGGGAGTTCGAGGTTCGTGGAGGGGGTTCGAGAGAGAAAACCGCTTTGGTGGGGCTCTCTGCACACTTTGGGGCCACCTGGGAAAGATTTCTCAAAGTTGGCGGATTGTTGTGTGAAAGTCGCTTGGGTGAACGAATGAGGTTTAGCGCCGGTCATAGGCAAAAGGTGTAGCCGAAATTTCAACCCCAGCTGGAGTGGCATATACTTTTTGATGACTAATCCATCGCAGGGAGCTTGGACCCTGTAACACTATGGTGAAGCGTCATTGACTGAGAAGGCCTCGACAGGCAAGCAATACATTCAAGGCCTCTTAAGTGCTGACACAAATATGTTGACAGCTCTCTAGAGATCTTTCATTACCAATCAGAATTCCCTACTGTCTGGCTTTGTTAGTTCTGTCTTGTGAAGCATATGGCTCTTTCGGCCACTTTCGCTCATTGACCTTTGACACCATGCCGAGCCCAACAAAGAAGCGGAAGCTTAACGACCAATCCTCATCCGCAACACCGTCGAGGGGTCTAGAGTACTTCTTCTCAAAACAAAGACAAAATGGCAACTCAAAGCCAACGGAGACTGGAAAAGAAACACCGGAAGCCACAGTAAATGGTACTGGATCAAATAGCGAGCATTCTGTATTGACAGATGAGGAGCTGGCAAGGAAACTTCAAGCAGAGTGGGATGCCGAAGTGCAGAATGAGAGGGCTGCCTCAACACCATGCCCTGAGCCTGCAAAAGACCCGACCCCGCAGGTTAGGGAAGAAGAAGATGCGCCAGAATCTGCTGTTGAACTCTCAAAACCAATTTCCATTCTTCCACAGGCTCCAAAGAACACTTTGTCGTTGTCTTCGGTAGCTAACGCCGAAGATACCGTATCAACGACTATTCCATTGGATCAAAGCCCTCTGACCTTTGACCCATCAGAGTTCATTCCTCAACTCAAAGAGCACTGGGATACAGATGGTGGGCATGCTTCGTATGCCTTCTTGACTAGATGCTTTGTCCTTGTGAATGGTACGCAAAGCCGAATCAAGATTGTAGATACCCTCGTCAACTGCATCAGAGTCTTGATCGAGGCAGATCCAGATAGTCTGCTACCAGCTGTGTGGCTTGCCACAAATGCTATCTCGCCTCCTTATATTTCTTTAGAGCTTGGCCTGGGCGGGTCAGCAATATCCAAGGCACTTAAACAAGTCTGCGGTTTAGACAGTCGAGCTTTGAAAACTATATACGACAAGTATGGCGATGCCGGCGATGTAGCTTTCGAGGCAAAGAAGAAGCAGAGCTTCACTTTGCGCAAACCAAAACCGCTCACGATCAAGGCCGTCTATCAATCTCTGGTCAAAATCGCCAACAGTCAAGGCCAGGGTAGTGGGGAAGCCAAGCAGAGGATAGTTGACCGGCTTCTGCAAGATGCTAGGGGCGGCGAAGAAAGTAGATATATCGTGCGGACGCTATGCCAGCATGTGAGAGTGCCCCTATTGTTTTACAATTTCGACCAGGCTAACAACTCTTACAGTTGCGTATCGGCGCAGTGAAAACCACTATGTTGATCGCGCTCTCAAGAGCGTTTATGCTTTCGCGTCCACCAGGAGCTGACTTCCCCTTGCGATCTGTGAAGGATCTGCAAAGGCTGAAGAAAGAGGAGCTGGCTGAGGTGTGGAGTAGGCCAGAAGAAATAGTGAAGGCCTGCTTTGCCCGACGGCCAAACTACAATGACCTTGTGCCGGTTTTGTTAGAAATTGGCGTTTGCGACGAGTTACTCCTACGTTGCGGGCTGACTCTACACATTCCGCTGAGGCCCATGCTGGGTAGCATCACCCGCGACCTCTCCGAAATGCTCACTAAACTTCAGGGAAGAGACTTTGCATGCGAGTTCAAATACGATGGCCAGCGCGCCCAAATTCACTGCGACGATAAGGGCAAAGTGACTATATTTTCTCGGCATTTGGAACTTATGACCGACAAATATCCGGATTTGGTGGCACTAATGCCGAAGATCCGTGGTGAAGGGGTAGAAAGCTTCATTATGGAAGGCGAAGTAGTTGCGGTGGATAGAGAGACTGGAGAGATGAAGAACTTCCAGACTTTGACCAACCGCGCCCGTAAAGATGTTGCACTTGGCAGCATTCAGGTTGATGTCTGCATGTTTGCATTCGATCTTATGTTCCTGAATGGCCAGCCTCTTCTGGACAGATCCTTCAGAGAAAGACGCGAGCTCCTGCGCTCGATGTTTACTGAAGTTCCCCACCAGTTCACCTGGGTTAGAAGTCTGGACGCAACATCACAAGATGCCGATGCTGTGCTGGACTTCTTCAAACAGGCAACGGATATCAAGTGCGAAGGCATCATGGTCAAGATTCTAGACAATCTGACCGATGTCCCATACCAGGGTGATGACACAGCCGAAGCCGAAATAGACATCGCCGAAGAACCAAGGACGCCTTCCAAGTCGAAAAGGGGTAAATCCGGCAAAGATGAAGAAGCAGGTCCCAAGAAGAAAGGTCGTCGCAAGCCCCTCCTCGCTACATATGAGCCCGACAAACGTCTCGACTCATGGCTTAAGGTCAAAAAGGATTACAGCTCAAGCTTCGATACACTTGACATGATCCCAGTAGCAGGCTGGCACGGTCAAGGCCGCAAAGCTAAATGGTGGTCACCAATTCTTATGGCCGTCCGAAACGAGGACAGCGGGTCCCTCGAAGTCGTCTGCAAATGTATGTCCGGTTTTACAGATGCATTCTACAAGGCCAATAGAGATTTTTACGACGACGGAGAGACTACGGGCGAGCGGAGGAACACGCGAACAACGAAGCCTGCTTTCGTCGAGTACTCCGGGCCGGAACCTGATGTATGGTTCGAGGCACAGGAAGTGTGGGAAATGGCATTTGCGGACATCACACTGAGCCCAACTTATACTGCTGCCATTGGACTGGTGAGCGAGGATCGTGGCCTGAGTTTGCGGTTTCCGAGGTTCTTGAAGAAGCGTGAGGACAAAAGTCTTGATGAGGCAAGCACAAATGAGTTTCTTGCTGGGCTATGGAGAAAGCAAGAAGCGAAGACGCCGTCGAAGGAGGGTACGGTTGATGATGTTAATGAGTATGAGGAGTGATGTGTGCAAGGTTGTACGAGTAAGGTCATCATCAGCTGAGGCTCGGAGAAATAAAGATACCAACATATCTGCATGTTCGTCATGCAGGCCTCGGTCATTAGTGGTTGTCGGAGCCGATCCAGGGATCTACATGCATTCGGAGATAACTGGAGCTTCCTCCTTCATCGGAGCACCCGCGTACCGCCACCTGGTAGTCAAAGCTTGGCATTGAACCATGCAATTGAGGAAAGAATGACGGAGTAGGTCTCCTGTACAGTTTTCCCGAAGAGTCTTCCGATGGCCGGCCGCCGCGTGTGATAAGAAAGTGATGATAATGGGGCCTGTCATCTTGAAGATCGATTGGGTCGTTAGTTAAATGGCAACCGCCCGACTCAGTGATCGCACAACCCACTGGCGCCGTTTACATGATGGCTGCGAACGGAAAACAGACGAAGCCAGAGACCTATTTGTTGAGGCGCACCACGCACTGTCCTAACAATGATCTCCCTGTGCTTATATATCGAAACGTCTTGGGAGAGCAACTGGATGAGACAAGTGTGTCTGAGCGGCTGCAGCGGAATGGCTGGGTGAAGAAGGTGGGTGTCATTTGAACTAACGCTTCTTCAACTAAGATCTGGGTAAATTACACCATTGGAAGAACACTAACTTTTATAACGGCAATAGGGCACTTGGGGGACTATAAAGCTGAAGCACTTCCATCCCAATACACATGAATGCTATGGTAAGTCAACAATCAGGTGATAAATCCCTGACTAATCTTTCGGAAAATAAAAATTAGGCATCTTCCAAGGCCGTTCAGAGCTGGTCTTTGGCGAAGGCAGTTCAGATTCCACTGGCAGCGGTGTGAAATGCGAAGTGCATGCCGGCGATGTGGTGGTTGTTCCAGCCGGGGTGGCACATGCATCTACTCCAGAAAGCGAAGAAGCATCGGGTGAGAATGAGTACCGTTACATTGGCGTCTATCCTGAGGGTTCACCTCATTATAGTATTGAGATGGGAAAGAAATCCCTGATGGAGAAACCGGATCTCGTAGCAGAGGTAGCGGGTGTGCCTGTGCCTCCTTGCGATCCTGTGTATGGGCTCGATGGACCCTTGGTGCAGATATGGAAGAGTGTTAGAGGATAATGTGATGAAAAATTTGGTAATACTCAATTGAATCGGGCTGTTCTTGTTTGCTTACTCCTTACGAGCTTGAGAGGGTGGAAGATCAAACATTTAAAAGATGATGATGTTGAGGAGCCAATGTAAAAGTACCAATATTTGTTGGGGATACAATTGTACTATTTACACAATAGACTTCATATGTAGTATTGGGCTAATCTTGCCCTTGTAGGTTCTCTTACATCTTCGGTGGTGTACATGGTTAGGTACATGACTGCCATGGTGAAGAGGCGTTGAGCAAAGTTTACATAACTGATTATATTCAGAATTATCAGTAGTATTAGGCATGTAGTTTGGTAAATCCAAATTGTTGGACAGCGTTCGACATCGCTCTCCTCACATGTACATTCTTCGTTGGCCTATATTCATGCTTCTTTGCTATGTTGCACTGGGATTCAGTGATAGTGGAAAGCTTCAGATGTTTTTTCCAAGTGTGAAAAAACAGGAGTGCAGTTGAACCGCCTCCCTGCAAGTACTCAGTCTTTGACTGGAGTCTCTTCTTTCAACCGTTTGTCCCCTCAACCATACTGCTGACGGCTTCCTTTGTCATACTAACTTTCCCTTTCATATTCCGCAGCCAGTTTTCGGGCATTTATTCACCATAAGAAGCTAAGCAACCCCACCGGGCTTTCATTACTCGAAGACACGAAAGCGTGACGTCGACAGGAGTTATACGCGATCATCAAGCAGATCGCTGATAGCGTTGAGGATATACCCGGCCGTGCCCCGAGCTCGTAGCGGCGTCTATAGTCGAGGATTGAACACCATATCCAGTTCGATTTGGATGTATATGTTTCTGGCCCTCTCGTGGATGTTGTACCGAGAACCCAGCCTTGCTTCTGCATAGACTGGGTGTTGTTGGTGCCAAGATCACCAGCACCCTGGTGATTGACGGAGCTTAATTCATGGCAGCAAGCACATTCATTTAGTTGCGTTCATTCTTTGAGCTATCAAGCTGAAGACGGCTACTGAGCTCATGAAAAGCACTGCATTGTAAAACTATGAACAATTCGTGAGTTAGGAGCAACTACAAGCTGTCGACCGGACTTACAGCTTTTCTTGACACCTCCCGTTCTTCGTCGTCTGACCTTGCCTCAATGAATAGGCGACGCAGATTTGGCAATGTTGCCTTGGCGACGGTGATCAGAATGAGAGGTAGAACTAGGAGCCTTGACTGTGATGACTTACCATGGTGACCCTGGTTGTTTACGTCTTTTGACTCAGAAGGCGTCTTGACTTGCGGATGATGAACTATAAAAAAAGAGCGCTTTATTTGTATTTTGATGGCAAGTAGTTCGGCAAAAAAGAATAACCAGTAAAAGAGGCGATTGAGAAGTGAGGTGCTGTGTGAGGAGAAATTACGAGAGTGACTGATGTGAAAGCAAGACTGAGATGCATGTAGGTAGGTACCTGAGTATCACCAGCGACCAGCGACCCGATACATGCATGGAAAGATTGTGGAGCATCCAGGGATGAGGTCCATTCACTTAGCGAAATGGGGGTGCCTGAGCACCTGGCACTGCCAGGCTGGCCAGGCCGGGATTAAGGTTAGGGGGCCATTCCACTGGCAGGTACTTCTTCGACCACCTCATCGTCTTGGCAGATTCCCTGAGCTGCACTTGCTGCATCTCTACAAAACACCGACGATACGAACGAAACAGGCTGTTGTCAACCACCGACGTCTCCGATTTGGATGCGCTTGTCCACGTCCTCGTAGGACTGGCTGTCTCCCCTAACCCGCCGACTGGCTCGTGACGCAAGTCACCATCCTTCGTCCATTTAACCTCAGCTATCGAGCCCCTCTACGACCAAAACACATCGAACACCATGGCGGTCAATCGCATCCGTGGAGCCTTTGCTCCCCCGAGGAAGGGAGAGACTTTCGAGTTGCGGGCAGGACTTGTTTCTCAATATGCGTACGAGCGCAAGGAATCCATCCAGAAGACGATCATGGCGATGACGCTGGGCAAGGACGTGTCAGCCTTATTCCCTGACGTCTTGAAGAATATCGCGACGGGCGATCTCGACCAGAAGAAGCTGGTTTATCTATATCTGATGTGAGTTTGCGCATTACAATCGGATTCAAACGGCAAGTATTATGCTAGCAAGGTGCTGATGGGAGCTCAAGGAACTATGCAAAGTCGCACCCCGATCTCTGTATCCTTGCCGTCAACACATTCGTACAAGACTCCGAAGACCCGAATCCTCTCATTAGGGCATTGGCGATCCGGACGATGGGATGTATTAGAGTCGACAAGATGGTAGATTATATGGAAGAGCCGCTACGGAAGACGTTACGAGACGAATCGCCATATGTTCGCAAGACAGCTGCTATTTGCGTGGCCAAACTTTTCGATCTGAATCCGACCATGTGCATAGAAAACGGCTTCTTGGAGTCCTTACAGGAACTGATCGGTGACCCGAATCCCATGGTCGTCGCGAACTCGGTTCAGGCTCTGTCTGAGATATCCGAAACCGCACCGGAGACCAGAGCGCTTGTGGTAACCCCAGCGACTTTGAAGAAGTTGCTGATGGCTTTGAACGAGTGTACGGAATGGGGTCGTGTCACAATTCTGACTACGTTAGCCGACTATCCCGCTGTGGATGTTAAGGAGTCTGAGCACATTTGTGAGAGGGTAGCACCGCAGTTCCAGCACGTCAACCCCAGTGTCGTTTTGGCAGCTGTCAAGGTTGTCTTTACCCACATGAAAGCAATTAACTCGGAATTGGTGCGGTCTTACCTTAAGAAGATGGCACCACCCCTGGTCACCCTAGTAGCTTCCGCCCCTGAAGTTCAGTACGTCGCTCTCCGTAACATCGACCTTCTTCTCCAGGCGAAGCCCGATATCCTTAGCAAAGAGCTCCGCGTCTTCTTCTGCAAATATAACGATCCCCCATACGTTAAACTTCAGAAGCTCGAAATCATGGTTCGGATAGCCAACGACAAGAACTTTGATCAGTTGCTCGCCGAGTTGAAGGAGTACGCTCTTGAGGTCGACATGGACTTCGTCAAGCGAGCAGTCAAGGCGATTGGGCAGGTCGCCATCAAGATCGAAAGCGCTAGCCAAAAGTGCGTTAATGCCCTTTTGGATCTGATTGCTACCAAGGTCAATTACGTTGTGCAAGAGGTCGTTGTGGTTATTAAGGATATTCTCCGAAAATACCCTGGCTACGAGGGCGTTATTCCTACACTTTGCCAGCATATTGATGAGCTTGACGAGCCAACAGCAAGAGGATCCCTGATCTGGATCGTCGGAGAGTATGCGGAAAAGATCAACAATGCCGACGAGATTCTGGAAAGCTTTGTGGACGGTTTCATGGAAGAGTTCACACAGGTTCGTCGTTACATTCTCCTAACTAGAACGCAAGACTGATCTGAAGCAGACGCAACTCCAAATCCTTACAGCAGTTGTAAAGCTCTTCTTGAAAAAACCTGGCAATAACCAAGGTCTGGTACAGAAGGTTCTTCAGTCAGCCACAACAGATAACGACAATCCGGATATTCGTGACAGAGCTTATGTTTACTGGCGTTTGTTGTCAGGCGACTTGGATGTCGCCAAGAGCATCATCCTCTCACAAAAGCCTGCTATTTCTACAACGATGACCAGCCTCCCTCCCGCTCTTTTGGAACAACTACTTGCTGAGCTCTCTACCCTGGCCTCGGTATACCACAAGCCGCCGGAATCATTCGTCGGCAAGGGCCGCTTCGGAGCAGACGAGATCCAGCGTGCTGCTATCCGCGAACAACGGCAAGAGGCGGCCGAAAACCCGATCGCAGCGTCGGTTGCGGCAGCGGCAGCTGCAAACGGCAATGCTTCATCGCAAAACAATATCGAAAACCTGCTGGACATTGACTTCGATGGCGCTGCCCCTGCATCAGCTGAGCAGAACAGCAACATCAACACCCCAGACAGAGTTGCCAGTCCTTCAGGTGGCGCCCCCTCAAGTGCCATGGCGGACATGATGGGCTTGTTTGACGCCCCTCCGCCTCAACAGCAGCAGCAGCAGCAGCAGCAGCAATCGGCTGCGAACCCCATGAGCCCTGGCGGCGGTAGTGGCATGAATGACTTGATGAACGGCTTCTCCGGGCTTGATTTTGGAAACACGGGATCGAGCCAGCCGCTCCCGGCTGCCATGCAATTGAACCAGACCCAGGACCCGCAGTCACAACCTAGTGAAGGCAGCGGGAAGAAGACGAACGAGGATTTGCTGGGTTTGTTCTAGATCTGTGAATAATGCGGCTATTTCGTCTGGGCTCCAGGCATGCTGTTTAGGCGCAGTAAATTCAAATAGGTTGATATATGACAAGAACGAAGCCACGAAAAGCCTGCTTCAATTTTATTCATTTCCTGCAAACCAAATGTATATACTCAAAAAGTGGTGTCTTGGTCCAAACACCTATCGCGCCGTCCGAGATCGTGATGATGATGAACCTTCAATCGTATCTGAACTCATGCCTCGCCCTATACCATGTTTCACAACCTTGTAGACCAAAATGCATTATATGACGCTCTTTTGTCTTCACTGGGCAACACCCTGCACTCTCCCATCGACTGTTCCGTCCAACGGCGGACCGTCATTCCCGTTGCTAGCTGCCATATCGCGCTCCCACTCGTCAGGGGTTTGGCACTTTGCACTCCAGGCATGGATGCTGGCGATCTCGTCCTTAAGCGCGGCGTTGACGAGGCGATGGCGCTTGAGGGAGGTCTGCTTCTCGAAGAGGGGGGAAACGATTAGGGAGGTAAAGGATTGGCCGCAGCCGCCTAAGCAAAGAAATGTGTTAGTGACAAGCTGGCCGCGAGGAAGAACGAGTCGCAATTGCGCCGGTGTCGCATTTCTAATACGGCGGGGCATGACGTGGGGGGGAAATGCGGCAGATCGAGGGGTTCGATCGCGTACCAGACATGTCTGTCACCTTCACAAAGACTGCCTGAAGGCGCTGAGTGAGCGCGTCCTTTAGGTAGGCCTCTGATATTTGGTTCGACATTTTGCTTGTTTGTGAAATGTCTCTAGAAAAGAAACTTGCGGGGGTGTGGTTTTGCGCAACAGGGTCAAGTTAGTCGCGGTTGGGAGAGTTGCTGAAAATCAGAGGTGCTTGGGCAGGCCTGATTAGATTGATTAGATGGTGGGGTCACAATGAGGTCCTGTCGGCGTGGTTCCGTCATTGTAGTGGCCTCGTCCCGTACCACAGCAAAGTACTTAGTTGCGACTTGTGCTTAGCTAAGCTTCGGCCCCACCTCCGTGCCAACAGATTTGCCCATGTCAAGCTTGTGGCTAGTTTGCCTACTGTTATGCAGTGAACGAGGTACGCATTCTTTTTAAGCTTCCTCATAGTTGGCAAGGGTTTTTGCACCTAATAAGCTTTCATTCTTTGCCTTGGTATGGACTTCACTCCGGGATTGGATGTCGACATAGGGTGCTGTTTCGAACCTGCCGCAAACGGTAGGAGTAGAGCTTCAACAAAGACCGATTCAGCAGGTTCTTGTCCGATTGATACAGCGATGTTTTCACATTTTTATAACGAGATACTACCTTTTCATATACCATCATAAACTCCCTCATTCAAGGCGATATCTAAATGTCACACATTCCAAATTTACTTGAAAGATTCTTCTCAAACCTGTCAACTTTTGATTCTAACACATCCATGGCCTCTGCAGTGGATTTCGTGGTTGAATCGATTCAAAGCTTCCAAACTAGCCAAACATCACCCCAGCGCAATATAAATTCGCCTGAAGTAGCAGTGGGAACGTAAGCCTGCTGGGGTGTGGTTGAGGCTCTAGTTAGGCCTGGATAATGATAGACGACTTGACAGCTTAATTGCCACTTGTGCCTGCAAGATAAAGCTCTCCAAGGAAAATATGATGGGCCTTTCACAGGAAATAGGGAAAATGAACACAATGTCCAGGATGTTTCGAAACCGAGAAATTAAATCGAGGTTATATCTAACCTCGCATCAGGGTGGGAGGGCGTCATATTGCCCACTACAATAGATCGGATATGGGATTGTTGAAGCAGGGTACTCAATGTCAACGGATATCGACATGGGACGGGGCCTTTCGTATGCTGATGAATACCCAGGCCAGGCGTGATTTGTTCAGAAACGTTTCTTCTATTGGTTCCCTTGAAAGCCAAAGGGTGGCTTGCAATACCAACTCTGTGAATGCATTTGGGAGCAAGAAATGACGTGAGAGTGGGGTAGTGTCTTTACGGGGCTTATGTAAGGCCACCAACATCTATTTGGCTTCCTCTATAAGGGAAACAAATGATATGCACTTACCAGAGATTTCATCAACTTGGATTTGCCTTCTGCATCTTGTGAAAACATTTAAATACTCCGGTTTAAAAGCTAAAGGCTTCTGTAAAAAGGGTTACCAGCTACTCAAAGAGTGCGTCCATTCGTATTGAATGCTTCAAAGTTGCACTATGCTCACTGGCTTCAGGACCACTCTCCCGTCCATGAGGACTAAGCTTTTAAGGGCATCCACGCATATAAGTCCACAAGCCTGCGGGGTTGCATTCACACCTCGATTCCATCCATCCCAAACAAGTTTTGCAAGACAGACCTGCAAAGCGCCATTTTCCACGATCCCTTTTTTTCAGACACCTCACACTACTTTGAAAATGGCGGCCAGCAACAAGTACTCTTCGCCTAGCTTCACCGGCTTGGTCGTGGAGGCCATGAAGAAGCAGTAAGACCGTAACTGCTACTCACATATAAGAGATCATGCACTGATGTCTTTTGTAGCTACCCCGAAGAGCTTGCTGATAGGCGCTGGGACAATGTCGGTCTTCTTCTAGGCAACATCGAAACCCCCGAGTCCCGCCAGGCTAAATCCCCTGTCGTTCTACTCACCAATGACCTCACCTATGCAGTTGCCGAAGAGGCCATCAAGAAAAACGCCAGTGTCATCGTCAGCTATCGTATGTTTCCCGCGTCTGTTCATCTCAATCCTATCTAATCACTTACTAAACAGACCCCTTCATTTTCTCTGGCCTCAAATCCATCACCACAAAAGACCCGCAGCAGGCAACCCTCATTCGTCTTGCAGCGCAAGGTATTGCGGTCTACTGCCCGCACACTGCTATTGATGCTGCCCCTAATGGCTTGAATGCTTGGCTTGGCGATGTTGTCTCCGGCGGGCCTGTGTCTTCGTCGTCAGCGACGCCCAGCGAACGCACTGTGATCACGCCCATCTCACCATCCGCAACTCCTGCTGGATTTGAGGGCTCTGGGTACGGTCTGCTGTGCACTTTCCGTCAGCCCGAGTCACTGGCGACTATTATCCGCCGCGTGTCGGAGCGTGTAGGCATGCGCCGCGTCATGGTTGCGAGCCCGGATCCAGCAAGGATCTCAACCGCACGTGTAGATGCCGTGGCGGTGTGTGCGGGCAGCGGCTGGGATGTTGTCAAGAGTGCCAAGGCTGATTTGGTGGTCACTGGCGAGATGAGCCACCATAATGCGCTCAAGGCAGTGCAGGAGGGCAAGACTGTTGTGACAGTCTTCCACAGCAACTCGGAGAGAGGGTACCTCAAGGAGGTGATGAAGCCTCTGCTGGAGGAAGAGCTGAAGCAGAAGGAGGCGGGCGTGCAGGTTCTTGTGAGCGAGGCGGATCGGGATCCGTTTGACATTATTGATGTTTCCGAGCTTTGAGTGGGCTTCTTTAGGGGCGTTGGAGTATAAAGCAGAAGAAAAGGGGTTTAGAGAAAAGTGAACGTCGTCTTTGAGCTGTTGCTGTCAACAATTGGCACTCGTCGACGTATCTATGGGTAGCCGGCGTGAAAGTACTAATATCTCTCTCTGTTGTATATAACAGCTATATTCGACGGAAAAGCCCACTAACGTACACCCACCCAGCATGCAGCTGAGATGATTGGGACATCGTTCAGTTCTTCCGATTATCTCTGCTAATTTGTAACCACAAAATGACTCGTCTTCAACGCCAAAACTCCCTCGCTATGATCGAAACATCTACCACACACCCAGTCCTGTGCGGAACAATTTATGCTTATGACATGCCGCTATCCTTCGACGTCCGCACACTACTGTCCCCAGTACCGCCCCTCAATGCTGCATCCCCCTCTTCAAGGCAGTCCAAAACATCCTTCCCGCCGAGCCCTTTCTCCTTCCAGACCTCTAATAATCGTCGAGGCATCTCCCACTCCTTCTTGGCTTCCTCAATCTTGCCCTCCTTAACCAGCTTTCTCAGCTTTTCTGGTGTTCCTAGCGCCTCTTTTGCAAGTTGTCTTGTTCTCCTCCTCCTCGCCGCCGCCGCTTCTTCTTGTCTTTCCTTTGAGTCAGGTGCAGCAACAGTCTTGCGCAGTGCCTCTCGAATCGAGCTCGCCTGGGCATAAATGCCCGCAATTGCCGGGTCAAGTGTTGAAGCCATTGGGTTCAGCGGGTCCATGTTCGCGCGCATCTGTTTATCTCGTCTCAGCCGTGCTTCCACATCTCACCAACCAGGGATAAAATCGGAGAAAAGGACACTCACCTTTCGAATGGTCTCTGTAGCAGAGATGAGCTTTGAGTAGTTATCATAGACCAAAGCTTTCTTCTCCGCATCCAGAGCCCGAATCTCGCCCAGCACGCGCGTGTACACTCTCAACAGATCGTCAAGGCTGTTCTCCGCCAGCGCCTTGCGAACATACGCCTCCGCATCGAAAGACAGATTATCCAGCTCGCTAGGAGGAACTTCGGAGTATTCTACGGCACCGCGTTCGGAAGAATCGTCGGTAACTTCTAAGGACGGAGGACCAGCGGCGCCACCGGCTTTCTTGAGATTGTAATACTCGCGGAGGGCGGCACGGTTCGCGCGTTTAGAAGGAGCTGCTCCTGGAGCCGCTGGAGCACCGAATGTAGCCGAAGAACCTGGGTTTGGGGAGCTTGTGAGGGAGCGCGGGACGTCGAGGGAAGGCCTGGTGGAGGACGTTGGGGTGTGTGGCTGGGCTGAGATGCGCCTTGTAAGGGCAGGCGGTTCGCGGGGAGATGCAATTGTAGACATTTTTCTGAAGTGGCTTTTAGAGTGCTATTGACTGAACAGAGAGATTCTATAGAAGAGAGCCAATTGAAGGCTGTCGCAAGTTGATGACAATCTGTCGCGAAGCTCGTGACGATGGGTTTCGGGGTTGGCAAGGCTACAGCGTCGAGGGAAAACGGGGATGCAGGCGATAGGCTGGCAGAGCTCCTGTGGGGTTGGCCCCTGGACTTCAGCTGTTCAGCGAGGCTGCGCTAGTTGACACATGCTAATTTCGGAGATCTACAGTGGAGGGGTACACGACCCAGGAATTTGGGGTAGGTACCCCACTGAAGCTATTCCCGCCTTTGGAAGAATTGCAATGGAACCCGCAAGCTTCCAGAGCTAAAAGTTTCCGGTCAACTCACAACAAAGACGAAGCATTCGAGATGTAAAAAGACAGACGTGACCGGGAAAATGGACCTGGCAACTCAAATTCGCGCCGCGCTACAGTCTCAATCCTTCCCCGTGCCTTCAATCCCCTGGATTACGACCTTGACATCCCGCGTTCCAACTCCCCCGCTCCCCTCACTCATTGCGACCGCCAAAGCACGTCTCCTCGCATCCAATCTTACCACTCCGGGTCTCATCGAACCCTCTTCTACAGCACATCTTCCTCCTCCAAGGCCCACCACTCCGGAGACGATCCTCTCCCAGAATGTTCATTGCCAGATCCTCGATGTTGAGAATTTGAGCCTCTCGCGCTGGGAGCAGGTAGAGGAGCTAGAGGCCATAGCGCGTGGGGAGCAAACCACCGGCCGGAGAGTTGTGAGGATTGCGGCAGAGGAGTCCGAATACGATAATGTCGATGAGGGCTCTGGGAGAGCACAACCTCAGCCGCAGCAAAGGAAGAATGCAACGCATAGACTTGTGTTGGAGGATTGCACGGGTCAGAAAATTTATGCCGTTGAGCTGAGGCGGATTGAGAAGATTGGGATCGGGAGTACGAACATCGGAGAGAAGATTATGCTCAAGGCTGGGGCAGTTGTGGCAAGGGGCACAGTGTTGCTTGAGCCGGACAATTGCGTGATGTTGGGTGGAAAAGTTGATGCTTGGCAGAAGGCCTGGGTCGAGGAGAGAATTGCGAGACTAAAGGAAGCTATTGGGGCCGAAGGGGCATAGTGGGATATAGGAAGATGGAGATTGTATTGCTTAGAAATTTTGATACCTATAAACTAGCTGTTGAGACGACGAAGGCGTTGGGAAACAATTTGTGGTCACCAGCCTGGAACTTTGTGCTTTACAACCATGTCAGATAACTCTCATGGCGATCTATTTTCTCCTAATGCTCTATCATGCCCAAACACTTGCCTCTGCCTAGTCTGGGCGGATTCATTGACATCAACTGTAGAAGTAAATGCAGCATATCTAGTTTCCAGAAACAACTTCCTGCAGGGAGTTCCAACCGTCCGCAGTCCAAGGAGACAAGAAAATTGCTGTCTGAGCATCCGCAGCAACACCAGTACCTGCGTACGCCTTGGCCAGATCCGCCGCCTCGAGTGTTCCCCGCGGCGGAATTCCCTTCTTGGCCACTGTCAACGCCATCTCCGCAGGGTACTGTTCCCCACTGAAGTCTCCAAGATTAGACCAGCCATGAGGAAGGTTAGGGTACAACATTATATCCCTCTGGATCTGGGTCTGGACGTCTTCGTCTGTGCTTGTCTCTCCAAGCTTGGCGATGGCGCCAAGCACCTCACCAATCTGAGACTGATCTGCGTCCGAAATCTTGTCGCTGGTTCGAAGACCCTCCAGTTCGGACACAACTGCCTCGATGGATTCTTCGTCGTTGTCAAGAACTGCGACAACACCGAGCAGTAGGACGGACTGGACATGGTCGGGCTGCTTTTCAATCACTTCGAAGAGCGAATTTCGAGCCTTTTCACGGGATTCTTCTGTGCCGTTGGCCCATAGGACTTGGGCAAGGAGGCACACAGCATCCGGGTTGCCGTCGGATTCTTCAAGTGCCGCTTCAAAGCACAAGAGTGCCTCGCTAATATCCTCACTATAATATTGCGCCAAACCAACTGTCAAATGAGCTGAGAGACGTGCCTTCTTCCGCTCTTCTTTGGTCAACTCATTGTCAGATTCGTCACTGCTCAATTGGAGGGCCATCTCGCCACATTCGATAGCCTGTTCATAGGAACCGGATGCCAGGTATGATCTCGCCAAATCAGCCTTTGCAAGCGCGAATTGTGCGAGAGCCTTGGTGGATTCGGTCACTTCAAAGTCGGCCTCCAGGATACTGCAGATTTTCTCCAACATCTCCACTGCCTTCACATTGTCATGGGTCCGTTCCAAAAACATGGTTGACAAGTGTCCATAGGCCAGATCTTGGGGCTTCAGGCTGTTGAGTTGGCCCAGAGCAAAGATAGGCTGGATTAAAGAGGTGATGTTGACAGAGGTCGCTGTCAGGATATGGTCAAACACCGACACGGGGAACTGACGCCTAGTAAGGACAGAGGAAGACTCTGCGATGTCCATCGCATGAGTGAACAGACCTCTTGCCTCCTTCGTCTTTCCGAAAAGGAGGGCCACAAAGCCCTGGCCAAGCCAAGCATGTGCGTAATCAGGATCTGTTGATTGAGCCCGGTTGAAGGCCTCATTGGCAAATTGCACGTCATTCTGCAAAAGCGCGAGAGTTCCAAGGTTCGTCCAGGCTGCAGGGCTTCGCTCATTAAGATGCAGACTTCGGACGAACGAGTGTTGAGAGACTGCTGGGCTGATTTCGCTCGTAACGACGCCCAATGAGTTCCAGAATTCCGAGTTTCCAGCCTCGAGCTCGATAGCACGCTTGAAACATTTCATTGCGGTCTTGAGGTATACGCTCGATTTCTTCCGGATGCTTGAAGGCAGGCAGATGTGAGCTCGGTGCTCTGCCCAGCCCAGGTTATAATACGCAACAGCCTGAGCATGCAAGTCATTTGCCGACGCATGAATGGCCCGCTTGTGGCAGAGTATCGTTGCATGAATACATCTCGTCAGATCGACTCCTAGCCTCTCGTCTTCGGAGAAAAGGCCCTTTGCGGAAATAACCCCAGTGCCAACATTGTCGACGTCTGAAAATGTGTCGTAGGCTTGCTTGTCACCACTGTCAAGAAGAGTCATAATCGCTTCTTTTGGGAAATCGACCGCGCGGCTCTGCACTGCAGAGAACACAGAGCAAGCCTCCGCCAGTGACTTCCAGAAGTTAAAGGTCTCAACCACACTAACAGCCGCATTAGACGCAAAGGCAATGGTATCCTTCGCTAACTGCACTGCCTTACCAAAGAGACCCTTTTCCACACAATCAAGTGCGTTGTCGACCATGGTCTGTATCAAAGCAATAGCGACGCCGTCTTCATTGGGCCGGCCCTCAATAACATCCTGGTAAAGTCCGATGGCGTCATCAAACTCAGCCAACTCACGCTTGACATTAGCAAGCATGTATTTGGTGAACCAGGTATCTCCCAGCACCTCCTTCGGCGCAGTTTCTTCTAATTTCTGCGCGTTCAGAATAGCCTTTGTTGCGGCAATGTATCGGCCTGAGGAGTAGTAACTTTCCCCTAAGCCAACCCAGGAGTGGTAATCTTCAGGTGATATTCTAAGAGCCGATTGGAAAGACACAATAGATTTGTGGAAGCCCTGCTTGTTGAGTTCCGCAACTCCGAGAGCAGCGAAGGGCCAGCTAATACCCTTCCTCTTAGAACCTGGTGGTGGCTTAACTTTTCCGGAGTCAACCACCCGCTGAGCCACCAACTCAACGCGATCCCAATCACCCTCATCCGCAAACGATTGCGCAAGGCGTTTAGCAGCTTCCACTTCAGAGGACGAAAGTTCGACAGCTTTCTGGAAGCATCGTCTAGCCCTCTTCTTATCTTTGGCGTAGTCAGCGTAGTAAATACCTAGACTAGTGTAGGCGGATGCGAAATTCAGATTGTTCTTCAGGGCCTCCAAGAAGTAAGCATAAGCGCCTGTGCGGCTCTTGCGAGCTGCTTTTGACGAGTCCAAATTCCATATGCAGGAACCGAGACGATATTGTGTTTGGGCGAGCAATTCCTTTGCGGGTGGCGTGAGTTTTTCAATCAGAGGAAGGGAAGCTTCCAACTCAGTCTTGGCTGTTTCGTAGTCCCCTTTCAGTGCTTGAACCCAGGCAGATTCGGTCTTGACGCGGAGATTATTTGGATCCCTCTGTAGCGCGCGGCCAAAGAAGTCAATAGCGTCGTCATAGTCCTCCTCCTCCTCGTAAATAAGGCCGATACCAATCAGTGCGGGAGTAGACGAAGGATCATGAGTAAGAACCTCTTCAAATAGCTTCTTGGCCTCGCCGTGGTTTCTTGGGGAATGGTAAAATACCAGGGCTGTGCCTAGATACAACGAAAAGGCATCGCTGGTGTTTTGGAAGGTCATTCCAGTTTTGGTCCTCTCCGCCTTGAGGTGTTCCATAGACTTCCGCATCAGCTCTGCAGTGCTCTCATACTCCTCGAGATGTTGATAGTACTCTCCCATCAGACGGTGAGCGAAAAGCGAGTCCGAGGTGGTGATGCCATCAGTCATCATCAGAATTCTATCCTGTTCTGTCAACGGAACCATCGACACGCCTCCTCCTTCATCATCCTCACTCTCTTCTTCGGTTTCTTCTGCTTCAAGCTCTGCGGGTGTTGGCTTCGGGAATGGGGAAATGGTACTCGTCAGGAAGCCAGTGATGACTTTATATAAGTCGGTTTCCGGGAAAAACGTGCAATAGTCTCTCAACATGTTGATATCCCATTCTCTGATTTCTTTCGCATCCTTCCAGTTGATGGCGATCTCCCAGGCAAGCCTGAACGGATGCTTGATAATGACCATGTCGAGGGCTAGTTTCAAGACAGCTTGCAAGGCCTGGCCCTTTTCGGGGCCAAGTGGTGCAACTAACAAACGATCATAGCACCACTGCAGAAGCTTTTCCTCATATCTCCGCCGCAGCTCGTCGTCGTTAGTCCAATTGATCAGTTGCTGGTAAATCCACTCGAGCTTGCTCTGTTTGATCACCTCGCGCTTCACTTCCAATGTGACTTCGTTTAAGCGCGCTCCTATTCTTGTCCTTCGCTCGCCAATGAGTGTGTTGATGCGCTTCTTCTCGTCGGCTTCTATGATCTGTGCCATCGTCTCGTACGTCTTGGCAGGGTGTGGCACTCTGCCTTCGAGAGCAGGATAGATAGGGCTTCCTGGGAGGATGACGCTCAGAGCCTCGACATACTGGTTGGTGTCACCCTGAGATCTGGCAAAATCTATGAACTTATCAATGACGTCTTGACACTTATACATGTCTTCAGCGTCCCGGTAGATCTCTGCCAAGCTAACTGCAGCTTGCTGATACGCTCCTATGCGCTTGCGATCCTGTTTTTCGTAGAGTTTGATAAGGCCTTGCCATGCTTGGCTTTCTTTTGGCCGGAGCGCTGCGGCAGCTTTATATGCCTTTTCAGCCTCGTCTACTCGGCTCTTCTTATCAAGCGCGAAGGCTAAGAAGATGTTTCTGTGACTCGAGTTAGCAGCCTTGCAAGCGGAGCAGGAGCAGCGAAAAGTCCCATACGCCTGGTAGTTTTTGGGTTCGCGCTCAAGAAACTCGCTTGCTTTCTGGATAGCATCGTCCCATTTTTGTTGCTTGACAAAGTCGCCAATTGCCTTGAGCGCAGCCTTGGACCCTGACATTGTGACTAGTGAGAGGTATCCTCAATCATGAAGGTGAGATCTTCTGATGGCGGGGCACCACCTAACTGCTCGTAGCTCGAAGACGGTTGACCGGCGAGATTAAAAGGCAATAAGAGGGGCAAAACCCGGCCAAAAGATTAAGAACTTCAAATGAAGGCGCGGGTGTAGCTTTTGAGGCTAGGTCGAGTCTATTGTGGCTCTTTCTAGCGTATGCACACGCTGGTTGTGTTGGGTGAGAAGCTGTGATGAGCTGTGATGAGTGCTCCAAAGTGCATGCCCCACCAACGCCTCCCTTATTACATCATGCCCCGCTTCGAGCATTTGTGACAACCCGATAAGATAAGGTATTCGCTAAGTTCCACATTGCCGTTTTCCCATCAGCTTACCATCTTAGGACACTTGCATTCGCCGCCAAACAACCTATGAAGTACACAACCGTTAGTGGACCAAAAATGATTCAGCAACATGTCCTTATGGCATACGATCGGGTCCTGTCTTTAGAATCTTATTCGATTACTTGCAGGGGTATCTAAACTTATCAAATCAATCATCGCGTGTATCAAACATATCAACCATTCGCCTAATCCCTTTCTGGGACTGATTCAACACCTGAATGATGCGAGTCGGTTTTGCTCAGAAACCTCATCAGTCCACGCCGGTGCTGCCCAGATTGGCCTTGGGCTACACGCTCGCTCGACGTTGAAGACCGCGTAAAGACAGTTGATGAAGATGCGTCACTCGATTTACGAGTTGGTATCTGGGCGTGTTGTTGAAGGAGCCGCTTGATTTCCGATCCAGCCAACCCAGAATTGTTCGCCGCCTGAAAGGCATTTCTCCCGCTAGCATCTGTGAGGTGCGGGTTTGCTCCGTGAGAGAGAAGCATATCAATCATGGCAATCTTACGAGAACTCCTTGTTGCCACCACTTGGATGGCAGCTATCAGTGGAGTGCATATGTTGGCGGCGTCCAGCGCAGATGATGCCGAACCCCTCCGTGCCTGATGGCAGATATTAGGGTCTGCCCCTTGAATCAGCAAAAATCGAACCATCCCCTTGTTTCCCATTTCGCACGCCATATATAGCGCTGTCTTGCCCGAGTTGTCAACCAGGTTGAGAAGACTAGGAGTGTGGTCGAGAAGAAGCTGGGCAACATTCACACCGCCAGACTCGCTCTGGCACCGGTGCAGGGGGCTCATTCCTGCACTATCCCTCACATCTGTTCGCGCATTATTCCTCAGCAACAAGCCAACGCTTTCACGGTTTCTTGTAGAAGCAGCGAGTAGCAATGGCGTTGGCAGACCAACGTTGCCGCCGTTCTCGAGGCTTGTAATATGGCCCATCATCAGGGCCATAATTTCCACGTTCTCGTCTTGAATAGCCTTGTGGAGGGGTGATGTGCTCGTCATGAAGTCGCAAACATCAAAGTGGAACCCGCTCGGCGAGTCAATGTCAAATCCGCTCTTGCTGCACCATGCATAAACTAGGGAGAGTTCTCCCATCGCGGACTGTCTTCGAGGGCTCGATATTGGATCCGACAGAGGTGGTGAAACAAATCTATTGGTCAGCGGCATGACGTCTGTTTCGACCCAATTCTTCACACCGCGAGCTTCGTCAAAGGCTTCGGCGAGTTGCAAGGCTTTGATATACTGGTTGGCGGTTTCCATAACCAAGTCTACTGGCATGGGGACTTCATTCTTCCTGCCTTCGAGAGCTCGACTCAGGAAGATCTTTGCCTGTTTCAGATTCCCCAGCTTGATGTAAATGTTTCCAAGGTCGTGATAAAGTCGACTGCGGCGCTTGTCATCCCTTTCCTCTTCTGGCTGCTTCACTTCCTCTTGTAGTAGTTTCTGGAGGATCGTCTTCGCCTCAACAGTTTCGTCCTCAGTCTCACAGTAGAGAAGAATCTCGGCAAGTCTCTCTCTCATAATAACTTGTTCTGAGAAGGTGAATATGTCTTCAAGGCCCGATTGGCTTAGCTGTTCTCGGAGTTCGATGCCCCGTTTCTGGTACAATGATGCTCGTAGAAATATGCCACACTTTACCAGTTGGTTGACAATATCCTGGTTGGCCTCAAATTGATGCTTCAGAATCTCTTTGCTCGGTCCATCCTTGCGTTCAGGCTCTGGGTCCCAACCATCCGAATCGACGTCGTTCATTGTCTCTTTCCAGCTGTGTTCCTTTCCACTGGGCAATTGGGTAAACGATGAGCCGAATGACAGTATGGATGGATCTCTCTCAGCATCATGAAGCGTGACTGCGGCTGCGACCTCATCTGCTGACATCCTCCATGCGTGGATTTCCTTCGTTACTGACAAGTTTTCTTCCACTCTGGTTTCGTCGTCATCATCCCATTCTGTTGATGGCCTTCGCGGCACTGCAGGAGCACGCGAAGCGAGATTGGCGGACCGAATGGCGTCAGTCAACTTTCTAATCTCTACGTGAATCTGGTCCTGGGATTTTTGTTGGTTCCAGACAGAACCCCTGATTAGTGTTAGTGAACCGGCTGTTCAAGGCTTTCACACTTCAACTTGATCTACTTACAATGAGAGAGTGATGAGACTTAATTGAAGGACCTGGGTGTACGAGGTAATGTGAGAGACGAGGTCTCGTATGACGCTCGTTTTCAGTGTAGCAGAGAAACTCGCGCGAGCTTTCGCAATCGGCCCCGGGTTTTGAGCCAGCTCCGGTAGCGCGGATCGCAATCTCTCAAGTGCTCCGCTGCATGACTTGAGAATGCGGAAGATATCTTGATGATGCTCTCTTTCAAACGGAAACTGAGTCGGATGCTGATCGAGAATCCTAGCTACGTTACGCAACGCAGTATAAAGATTCCGAATCGTCTCATGGAAGTCGCGAATACTCGTATCAATCATTTTGGTTTCTTCCACGAACTTGGCAGTACCTTCGACGACCTTGCCAGCCACGCCGATGAGCGTCATGGTAAACGCCGCGATGCTTAGGGGGTCCATGATGTTGCTGTCGGGCAAAGTTCCGCGCAATATCGATTAGATTTTATGATTAGTCGTTCGGGATATGGGAGTCGATCAAATCTGGCCTCAATCGTGTGTTGAGGCACATGTTATGCGGATTATGGACAGTCTACCTGGCTGGAAACACTTGACAACTGAAGATGCATCGAATTGTACTTGACGACAGCACGGAGATTTATTCAGGACCCTTCTTATTAGAAGGTAAGGTACTCCCTCCCCTGCTCTCTCCGCGATCGACAGACAACGACCCATGTCCAGCCCCTCCCCCGAGACATTGCTCTACTGGACTCTTGGGGGGCATGGCCACAAAAGCGGTCATCACGAGTGCACAACAGGTAACTATTATTATATGCAATACTTCTGCTACTTGGAAACTCTCACCATCAATGAAGGCTTGATAGCCCAGTGTAGCTTGTTTCTAGCGGTACTATCTTTGTCATTTTGACAGTTTATGACTTTATTTCTTTATTGCCTTTTTTCGTCTTTTCCCTTGTATTCTCAAGCTTCATGCCGGATGCCATCACCAATGGATGGCTGAACAACCAACCCCGCGGGGTATTGCGCTCACCAGGATCTCATGCAGTTGTCCCCCGCAGCAGTTTTACTTCAGCTCACCCTGACTGCCAAGATTGTCTTGGTGTTGACCGCACGCGAGTGGCGCAGCAAGACACGGGACGAGTTCATGCCAGTTGTCGAATTGTTTGCTCATGATGACAATGAGGGTTGGGATCTGCGCGCGCTGCAGCCTTGAAAAACCGTATACGCTCGCTCTGAACAGCCATTGGCCAGACGCAAGCCACCTTGCCATTGCTGCCTGTTCTTGGTGTTTCCTGAGTACGTTAGTCGCCTACTTGAGCCCTTGACCTCGGTGAAGATTAATAGTACGGCAATCGAGGTTCAGGACTGGGTTTGTTTGCGCCCGAAACGAGGCTTCCAGGTGACGAGTTCTTTCCTACTCAGTTAACGCAAGAGAAAATCCTACGCCCGCATTTCGGGGCGAATCTACAGTTTTGTCTTGATTTAGGCGGCCGTTTGTCTTTCGAAAAGCAATGGGACGAAGGATTGCAGCGTAGTAGGTGGATTCAGACACGCAGCTCGTCCATACAAGACTGTTGATCGCCCACCTCATGGTATGACAAGGGATATGGGGAGGATCGGCTTCGCCACCACAGCCCTACATGATAAACTATGCAACCAGACAACTGACTCTCCACACATCTCCCTTGCCCTGCGAATGGGGGATATACGAGTATAGAAGGCTCGGTCGTTGACGATCACCACTGCCGGAAGGATTCATATGACGGACGTGTGCATATGTTGCATATTATGTTCTACACAGCCTGTCGAGGGAAACGTTAACCAAGCAGGTTTAATTACAATGCGGAAGTGCACATTGGGTCCCTATTGGAGCTCTAGCGCAAGGGTCTCAGTTTCGAGGGCTGGGTAGGGTTCGTGCTATTTCGCAAGTCTGGTTCGAATACCTTAAAATGAATGAATACCCGGCAACATTTTAGTATTACCTGGGATGGACCTGGTTTCTGAGAAACGCAGCCCTATGTTGAGCTTCTTTACATGTCGTTTGACAGTGATCTACTTCCAACGAGCTTAGAACTGATTGGTTCGACCATCTCTCCCTCGAAATGGCGTCTCTAGAACACTTCGAGCAGGCTGAGCCATACTCTAGTAATGATAGGCTGACGGCACAGGCTCATCGTCGGCGCATCAATGAGCGTGCCGTTATCGAAAACCCACTTGGTATGTTAGCACTTCATGTAATAAGGTCTAGTCAAGACATGGCGCAGAAGAAGCTCCGCATCTCTCTTGGTCCTTGTTCCTCATGAGCTAACTTCAGATTTAGCGCATTATACAGATGAACAACTTGAAGCAGACGTTAAATCTTTTGCCGAGAAGTGCCTCACCGTCGACACAGCAGATCTCCTGCGCGCTGCTCGCGTGGCCAAGGATATACGGCTCTATGATGAAGTTGCACGAAACCAAACCCCTGGAGCCGGCAAAGAACTGCCAGTTCAGTTGACGGAAGAAGAAAAACGAGCACTTCGTCGGGAACGCGACGTTCCTTTCAGTGAGCGAGGAATGTGGACCATCATTATTACAGTGTCCCTCGCGGCCTTTCTTCAAGGTATGCTAGGTAGTGCCTTTGTTGTGTGCTGGCGTTTTAATACGACTTGTAAATGCTTACTGTTTACGAGGACATGTCCAAGCATCGTTCAACGGCTCATCGTTGTACGATAATCAATTTGGTCTAAACACTACGACCTCGAACGAGCAAAGCAACGATATCACCACGGGAGCGCATGCCGAGCTTGGTCGCGACGATTGGAAGCTCGGAGCTGCCAACGCATCACCGTTCCTGTTCGCCGGGGTGCTAGGATGTCCGTTGGCACTCCCCGTTAACCACTACCTCGGCCGCAAAGGTGGGATGGTAATTGCTGCTGTGTTGATATTTGCCAGCTCTTTGGGCTCTGCGTTTGCAAGAACATGGCAGGAATTATTTGCTATTCGTCTCGTCAACGGTATCGGTGAGTTTGATATGGGCTGCACATGCATGCACAGATCGCACTAATATGAACAATAGGCATGGGTCTCAAAGCCGTCAGTACTCCTATTCTGGCCAGTGAGACTGCAGTTGGGTTTTGGCGTGGCACATCCATCCTAGCGTGGCAACTTTGGGTAGCCGCGGGTTTGATGATAGGGTTCGCTTTCAACCTGATATTCGACACGGCATCAGATAAGAGATTGACTTTTCAACTCATGGTTGCCGCCCCCCTGGTTCCAGCACTAGCACTACTGGTCTTAGTTATCTGGTTTTGCGACGAAAGTCCACGGTACCTAATGCGCATCTCGAGTCCCCGCTACAACCCACAGCGCGCATTTGAGATCCTCAAGAAGCTTAGAAACACGGAATTACAAGCACTACGGGACATTTACCTCGTCCACAAGTCCATCGAACAAGAAGAGCTGCCAGATAGGACCTCGCGTCCTCGGGCGGCAACTGGTTTCCTGTCGACTATAGTTGGGTTTCTACGACAGTACAAGCAGCTGTTTCTGGAGAGGCGACTACGGAACGCCTTGATTAGCAGTTCAACCGTGGCTCTGGCGCAACAGCTTTGCGGAATCAACGTTTTGGCATTCTACAGTGGAACGCTGTTTAACCGTGCCGGCTTGAACAAGCGCATCTCGATGGTTTTCAGTCTAGGTTATGGCGCGGTCAACTTCATCTTTGGTCTCCCGGCCATCCGGACAATCGACACTCTCGGACGGCGGAAGTGGCTCATGCTGACTCTACCAGTCATGGCGCTCTTCATGTTACTGGCGGGCGTGTCTTTCAACATCTCAGACAACGACGCCAAGATCGGTGTGGTGGCACTCTTCATCCTCTTATTCGCGGCAGCCTACTCGCCGGGTTTAGGACCGATACCTTTCACCTATGCCTCAGAGAGTTTTCCTCTCTCCCATCGTGAAGCCGGCGCGGCGTTCGCTATTGCCGTCAACCTTACATTTGCCGGTCTTCTGTCAATGTTCTTCCCGAGGATCAACTCTGGACTGGGCGACGACGGATCTCTATACCTGTTTGCGGGATTAAATATAGTTGCCTTCGTGTTGGCGTTCTTACTGTTGGAGGAGACCAAGAGGCGGAGCCTGGAGGACTTGGACTTGGTATTTGCAGTGTCGAAGCGCAAATTCATGCACCACCAGGTTACTGAGTACCTTCCGTGGTTCCTCAGGCACTATTTGTTGAGGAAGAAGGATGTCAAGCCGAGCTTATACATCGACTTGATTTGGGGGTCTGTAAGTGAGGAAAGGCCTAGAGGAGGAACCTTTGGCAACGGGCCAAGGTACAGTTCAGAGTCTGAGAGGAGTAGTATTCACGCTTGAAGAGGCGTAATGAATCAAATAATTCGTCATCAATTAATCCACCTTTTTGTCTGTTGTATGCGTTGATCGGTGTTCTAAGTTTACCCTTCGGGTCCAGAGTTCGTCCGCCAGGAAACTCAAATACCAATGTTCCTGAGTTGAAGCTTGCGACGAGACTATCTCACTACATGGCCCCCGATGATTACGCGGTTCTGTGTGCTTTCAGTATCATCGGGTAAACTTCAGGGTAATCCCACCCAACACTGCCCCCTAGGACATCGAATCAATCAGGTGGCGTTGTGTCTCGTTCCCCAACTTACCACTCACCTGGGAGTGTGGGCGTACCAACAGGGTACACCAGATGAGCGTCTTCCCCGCAGACCAAAGCCCCCCGGAATATTGGCGGCGTCGACCCGGAGTTCTAGCGGCAACCGACGCTATCGGCCCACACAGCCCGCCAAAGCTCATAGACGCCAACGCCCATTGGCCATGCGTGTAACACGAAAACAAGTGAAGATGGAAGGTGCGGTCATGCTTCCCTTTCAGGCAATCAGCGAGACCCGACGATACTCCGGAGGCGTCCAAAGTGATGTTGAAAGATGCCTTGAAAGCAAACTTACGGACATATTGCGATTTTATCTATTTAAATCTCTGCAAACCTACCTAGACTTGAAATTTCCAAACTTATGCTTCTCTTCTTCTTCTCCGTTTTCCATCCGAGCCCTAACAAACATAACTAAGATCCGGAAGCTCATTTACGTCAAGAGTTGAACGCCAAGGTTGTTCTGTTCAGAGAGACTCTACAGCAGTAGTTGTCAGAAGACCCAGTAAAATTAGCGCTTGGCGGTCGCCAAAGTGGTTGCACTGGGTGACTACCAGTACCCTGTCACATCCCACTAAATCGGGACCCTCATCAGGAGACGTCATCGAACCGTCCCAATTTCAATCTCGGACCTTTGGTGTCCCGTCCGCCGCGACTTGCCGTCCTTGTCCCTCGTGCTCTCCTAACCTCCTCCGCCCGCAGTAGCACCCTTCAGACACCGCAAGTTCTGGGCGTTGTTGGAGAAAACGCAACTATCAAGATACCAGATACCAGCAGAGCAGCCGTCATGACTTCTTTGCGATTGACCATCGAAGATGGCCAGTTCCGTGACGGCTATGGCAGACAGGTCGTTCTTCGAGGCCTCAACGTCGCCGCCGACGCCAAGTTGCCCAGCGAGCCGGACCAACCTTCCCACGTGGGCGAAGATTTCTTTGACGGCGATAACGTCAAGTTCCACAACCGCCCGTTTCCCAAAGAGGAGGCCCACGAGCATTTCTCAAGGATAAAGCGCTACGGTTACAACACTATCCGTTACGTTTTCACATGGGAGGCCATCGAGGCTGCCGGCCCCGGGCGTTACGACGAGGAATGGATCCAACACACGATTGATATCTTGAGGATAGCCAAGGAGTACGGATTTTATGTCTTCATGGACCCCCATCAGGATGTGGTATGTTTCCAGTTCACAACATCCCAACCAGATCGATACTGACCATCCCCAGTGGGCCAGGTTTTGCGGCGGCTCCGGCGCACCAATGTGGACGATTTACGCTTGTGGCCTCAACCCCCAGAGCTTCGCCGCAACCGAAGCTGCCATCGTGCACAACACCTATCCGAAGCCCGACGAGTTCCCGAAGATGATATGGTCGACAAACTATTGGCGCCTCGCTGCCGCCACCATCTTCACCATGTACTTCGGTGGCCGGGACTTTGCGCCAAAGTGCATCATCAACGGCATCAATATCCAAGACTTCCTTCAGGGTCACTTTGTTGGGGCTTGCGCACACCTTGCGAGGCGCATACATGAGGCCGGCGACCTAGAGAACGAGGTCGTTGTGGGTTGGGAGAGCATGAACGAGCCGGGCACCGGACTGGTAGGGTACCCTGATCTCACCGTCATCCCTAGTTCGCAGAAGCTCAAGAAGGGCACCTCTCCGACTATTTGGCAGGCTATTCTTACTGGATCTGGTCGTGCTTGTGAAGTAGAAACCTGGGATATGGGCGGCATGGGGCCGTATAAGGTCGGCCGTTCTTTGATTGATCCCCACGGCGAAAGTGCTTGGCTACCTGCCGATTACGATGACTCGAGATACGGATGGAAGCGAGACGAGGGTTGGAAACTTGGAGAGTGTATCTGGGCCCAACATGGCGTCTGGGACCCAAAAACAGATACGCTGCTCAAAAAGAACTACTTTGCGAAGAATCCGAATACAGGGAAAACGATCGACCACCCAGAGTATACTAATACTTATTTCATGGACTCTTACCGTCTGTTCAGGGATGCCATCCGGCCAATCCACAAGAACTGCATTCTGTTGATGCAGTATCCTACATTGGAGCTACCACCCGAGATCAAGGGAACCGAGGATGATGACCCGTTGATGGGCTTCGCCCCCCATTGGTACGACGGTATCACCCTCATGACGAAGCGCTGGAATAGAGTGTGGAACGTCGATGTTGTGGGTGTCCTACGCGGAAAGTACTGGCACGAGGCGTTGTCGGTCAAGGTTGGAGAGACTGCCATTCGCAACTGCTTCAAAGACCAACTTGCGACTCTACGGCAGGAAGGCCGTGACAGGATGGGTAACCATCCCTGTGTCATGACAGAGTTTGGTATTCCTTACGACATGGGTGACAAGAAGGCATATAAGACAGGCGACTACACGGATCAGTCCCTGGCTTTGGACGCGAACTACTTTGGAGCGGAAGGTTCAGGCATGGAGGGCCATTGTTTGTGGGTTTACGTTGCAAAGGTAAGTAGGTTTTCTGATGACTGTACTGCACTTACTAATCACTTTGAGCAGAACACACACCAGCATGGTGACTTGTGGAACGGCGAAGACTTGTCTGTCTTTTCACTAGACGACAAAACTTTACCCATGTCACCTCTACCGCGTGACCCGGAATCCAACCAGTCATCAGACAAACCGCGCACCTCCATGAGCAGAGATGTGCCAGATGAGTCAACGGTCACACCGGAGAACCTCCAGAGAACGATCACCAACCCGTCAATTTCAACCGAGCCGACCAAGGATCCTACTATCACCAATGCACCTGGCCTTCGCGCCGCTGAGGCTTTCGTAAGACCAAGCCCTTTCTTAGTCGCTGGTAAAGTGCTGCAGTCCGGCTTCGACCTGCGTAACTGTCAGTTCACCCTCAAGTTGAAAGCTCCGGCGCCGCCAGCAGAGAATGCTCCCACGGAGGTGTTCTTGCCCGATTTCCATTTCCCGCAAGATCACTGTCACGTCGAGGTTTCCTCTGGCAAGTGGGCTATCAGTATGGATGACGACGAGGGGCCGCTTGTGCAGAAACTCAAGTGGTGGCACGGTGACGGCGAGCAGACACTCAAAGTCACTGGACTAGTAAGGCAGCATAATGTAACTGAGGGTTCTGAGGAAGACATGGGGTACTTGGAACAGTGCCAGAGAAACTACGCCAACTGCAGTGTTATGTAAATGACTTCAAAGAGGTGGACACTTTGTTTTGGCGGCATGGGTTCGGAGACGGAGTTTTGTTACATTATGACATATGGTCGAAGACTTTCACTTGAGGCATGACTTGATGCCAGGTTTAATGGAAGCCACAGCATTGTACGTACCCGAATACTTCTAGATTTGATCGTTATAGTATCTCCAGCCTGGCTTTGTGAGCAATTGGACGTTTTTGCGACAACTGGCCAAATTGATCAAATTATGCAGCATCTAAGTTGTTGGTGTTACTACGTATACAGTGCACAGGTTATGTCTAAATAATGCCAGAAAGAGCGTGCATCTGTTTCGAATATCACTATTGTCAAAGTGCCGTATTTTCACAGCAGATCTCGTCGATGTAGTAGTTATGTAGTGGTAGCAGAGGAAGAGGGCTTAAGGATGTTCCTAGTTTATATTTGGTGGGTTTTGCGGCACCTTGAACAACTGATCAGTTTGAGCTGTCTAGGAGCGGTTCTTTTGAAGACATTCGAGTCACAGTTCTTCTATGATTACTGGACTACTTTTTACCAAGGTCTCAGCCAGTCCGCCATTTCCTGCTTCAGTGTCTGTAAAATGATATGAGGTCGTTATAGACGACTTGACACAACCGTCTACAGTGTCTTTGACTCTTCAACACTACATTCTGGTCTTGCTAAATATTAAAATGGCTAGAATTTCCTTGTAACTTTGACTTGGCAGTCATATTGGCAAATGATACCACGGCAAAGCAAGTACTGCAACATGCTGTATCAAGAGGGCGTCGCCGAGGGTCCAGTATTCTCGGAAGCATTCCTTGTTTTTTAGATGCCCAGAATCTATCTACCTAGATAACCCTCGTATTTTCAACATCCAAGAGCACAGCCCTCAGATGAGCCGGTTGAACTGGCTTCAGAGCTGCCTCTCCCGGGGTTCTTCGGCCGATGCCTTCCAGACCCACTTTCGGCCGATGGTTGTTAGTCGTATCCACTTTCGGCCGATCAGTGTTCTTTCTCTGTTAGGATTACGTGGATGTAATGAGCATTCATCGGCGTCTTCGGTCATGTTGACTTGAAAAATTGGAAGGTTGTTAACTCCGGCCTCCTTGGCAAGAATGCTGACATGCTAAAATATACGATGGCATCATTGGCAACGACATCATCAGCTCGGCCGGTTCTTGGACATTACCAGCCGAGGAAATACAGCCGATCAAATCACCGCCATGAATTCTGTGGCCTTCCATCGCAATATCCATTCATTTCTAGTCTCACTATACCCATTGTTTAATCCCTCAATACTGCCAACCTTGGCATGATGGGGCCTGATGTGTCCGTCAGTGATCGTGCCAACGCCTCGTCGAGGCTATAAAACATGGTGTAAGTCCTTTTAGATCAAACTATTACACCAAAGAAGCCATAGGTTTGCGCAATATTCACCGTCTACCTTAATATTTTACAGTACAATGTCTCTAGCCCCTACGTTTAACCACACCATCGGCATCAACGCCACCACGATGCGTGGCGTTGTGTATCATGGCGTCCCACACCAAATGGTTGTTGAAGACATACCGGTCCCGACTCTCCAGAATGCCAACGACGCCATTGTTCGCATCACGACTTCGGCGCTGTGCGGTTCTGATCTGCACACCTATCACGGCATCGCCGGTGCTGGAACACCGCCTTGGACAATGGGACATGAAGCGATGGGATACATCACGGAGATTGGGGAAGGAGTTTCTTCGCTGTCCGTTGGTGACTATGTGGTCATTGCGGATACGCCGCATCGGGGCCATCTGGCTTTGGAGCCGCCCTCTTTCTCGTTCTTTGGTGGCGGCGGTGGTGGCCTGGGAGGCTTGCAAAGTAAGTCACGCTCACCACTGTTTACAAAAGGTTTTAAAATACTGACGATCTTCTTTCTAGCCGAGTACGCCCGCGTTCCTTTTGCCGACCACAGCCTCATCCCCGTACCCCTGACCTCTGAAACTACAAACCGTACAGTCGAGCAGGATTACCTTACCATATCCGACATCTTTGCCACGGCTTGGATGGCCCTCGATTGGTCCGGTTTCGAGTCCGGTGACACAATCGCTGTATTCGGCGCCGGACCCGTGGGACTCCTTGTGGCATACTCAGCTTTCCTTCGCGGCGCCAGCAAAGTTTACGTTGTTGACAACGTCGCACAGCGTCTTGAAGTTGCCGCTTCCATCGGGGCGGTGCCTATCAACTTCGCGAATTCAGACCCGGTGGCGCAGATACTGGAGTACGAGCCCAATGGTGTGCTTCGCGCCATCGATGCAGTTGGTAATGAAGCTGTGAATGCGCGGGGAGAGAGTGACCCTGAGATTGTGGTGCGGCAGGCTGTCCAGGTTGCACACATTGGCGGTGGTATCGGCCAGGTGGGCGTGTGGCGAGCCGTAGCGGATGCTCCTGGGTCGCCTCTGGGCAGTACTCTGTCCCCTAACATGAGCTTCCCGCTGTCCGATTTCTTTTCCAAGAGGCTGCGGATGCAGGGCGGACCTGTCGACGTCAAACTCGTCGCTTCGGAACTGGTCAATCTCATTGCCAGCGGCAAGGCGAAGCCTGGGTTCATCAAGACAGCGGAGATCGGGATCGAACAGGCTGCTGAGTATTATGAAAGATTTGATCGCAAGGAGGAGATCAAGGTGTATATACATTTTGACTAGATGAGAAAGGACCTATTGTCTCAGTCTATCTAACTTGGTTATTCAACATGTTGTTTGATTCATAATGAACAATCAAAAAAAAAGAAAACTGAATCTGGTTGAAAATCAGTTGGAATCAAGAACCAGAGTCAACCAATCTAGCACCATTTTAACCAAATAATTGTTCTGTGGCTTTGAGCACAACACATCTATATATGGTGAATGGAAGACAACCGTAATTGGAAGCCTCCAGAGATAAACATCAGAATAGCAGCTCAATACCTTGCACTTGTATGTGAGAGCTTGCTGACCTATTCGATGTAACCTACATTTCAGGGGCAGTTGAAAGACACGACAATTTATTAGTTGTTCCTTACAGGAGACGTCATGTTCAATACCTGCGGGAGTTTTCCGGTCCGATATCGTTCACTTGTGGGGTAGGCATGTGCGCCTGGCATTTAGCCCAGACCAGTCCAATTTCCCCTCTTCTTGTTATCCATGTAAGCCATCATCATGAACGACTGGCCCCTGAGATCCCGACATGGAAGAAAGGTGACGACTTGCAGAGAGTGCCACAGACGGAAGCAGAAGGTGAAAATAAAGGCCAACTTCTAATTGCTGTGGCTGACTTGATGCATTGCAGTGCAACCGAGAGAAGCCTTGTAACTTCTGTCTACGACGAGGGGTTCCTGACCGCTGCCACTATGATGATAACTCCGAGTACGTCAGAGACCCTTTTTATGTCTGTTTCTACTTTCGGGATGCATCTAATGAATGCGGTTTGAAAAAGAATAGTGTTCGGGGAGTCGGGAGTTCAGAGCCGCTTCTGGTTGATGTCCAGGAACCTCTTATCCCGCTCACTCCGGAAACCCAGATGGCCGACCAAGTCGGCTACAGTCCGATGAGCAGCGCGTATAGCCTCTTGACCGAGAAAGCCGTCAGCAATGCCCATCACCTTGTCTAGGAGTGTATAAACTGACTTGACTAAAGACTGGCTTATCAGACATAGAGTCCGATGCAGTCGTTTTTACCCAAGGAATTCAGAGCGAATATAAATCACTCATATCACTACTCCCATCCCCGGCAGTTTGTGAGAGGCTCGTGGATCATTTTTTCTCTGAAGCCAATTGGCATTTTCAAGTATTGGAGCGCTGCTTCTTTGATGATATGCAGCAGATCTGGCTGGAAACGGATCTAGTTAATCGGAGTGTCATTCCAGGCGCCAGTATGCGTGCTTCTGAGCTTGCTTTCCCGGCGCTGTTGTTCCAGACTTTGGCCGTTGCGCTGCTTTTTCTCCCTTTGGATGATGCTGAAGTTGCAGAAGGTCTTCATCTTCACGACCACTTGGCTTGCGACGCCCTGTCCGCTTCCTACAGTGCCACAGGGAGTAAACTGGCCGACATGTTTAGGCAGTACAGCCCGAGTCTGGCAACAGTGCAGCATGATCTAGTCAAATGCTTGTGGCTCAAGACAAATAGCAGAGGCACCGCTTCATGGCAGGTGCTCGGGAGCGCTATCAGGTGAGCTTGTGATGCACAGCAGAGATCCTGATGTTTCCTTACTAATACATCGCAGGCAGGCTCAAGCCCTGGGCTTGCACCTTCAACGAAACCTTCAAAATCAGCCCAGCTTGACTGCAGATGATGCCGTCGCCTCGGTGTGGTGGGATGAGTATCGACGACGCCTCTGGATTACGCTCTTCACCTGGGACAGGTACGCCTTTGAAAGCCCAAGAACTCATGAGAGACATCTAATCAACCCAAGTCACATGGCATGTATTCTATCTCGCCCGCGAGCGATCAACTTGAGCGATTGCACAGCCGAACCCCCGGCAGGATGCGACATTCCCCGTGACCGCTTAACAAGCCTGCCTCGTCCGATATCGTTCTCAGAGAAGCCGCCCATGTTTGCCAACAGGCTCTTCAGCTACACCCTTGGCCGGAAAGTTCACGAAATTCTCACGACATCCGCCAACAAGCGCACTGTTCCAAGCTATAGCGCTGTGAGTAAGTTTCACGGCGAGATAATGTCGTTATGGGATAACCACCATCCGGCTCTGCGCCGCAAAAACCCTGACACATCATGGGACGCCACCACACCTTTGATCATACAGCAACGGGAGTACGCCAGAGTCCTCGCGACCTCGGTGTTGTTGACTTTGCACAGGGATCACGCCCCCTTGCACGAGGAGAGCCTGAAGATCGCGACGCGAGCTGCGTTGGCCTTATTGGAGGCTGTGGGGAAGCTTCTAGCTCTGCTTCCAGCGCATCAGCAACGCGTGTATGGGTTCTCATGCCACTGTATCGACTCGTGCTTGTTCATCGCATACGCAGTCGTGTTTCTGGACAAGATGGACCGCGACACGGCTGAGAAGGCGCTTTTGGCTACCAGAGAGTCCGCTCTCAGGTTGGACAAACTGGCTGATCGGTCCCCGCTTGCCAGGACGGGGTTTGCTGCACTGAGAAAAGCTGAAGCTGTGATGAGTGAACATTTGGGTTTGGATGCGGTCCAGCAGAGCGCTGCCGGTGACGTCCCGTTCGCGGTCCCTTCAGAGGAGTTGGAAAAGAGAGTTTTGGATTTTTCTGGCCCTCTGTTCGATATAGACTCGAACGGTCTCAATAGCCGGTTTCAACCGGAGTTTTATGAGATAGAAGCGGATGGGCTTTTTGAACTGTAAAATTGATGGCAAGGGCGTTGGTGGGTATAGCATTCATCATGAGCTCTCCTGTCCCTAATAGGTTGGCGTTAAAAAGAATCCTAAAATGATATCGAAGCTTGTCAAGATGAGTGATGGGTGAACGGGTAACTCATAACATGGTCTTGTCGAGTTGGCAATGGCCAGATTTAAATTGAGTAAGAGAGGCTAGCAGGGCAGGTTTGGTGAGACCAAGCGGTCAACTCTCATATGATGCTAACCAATAAGCTTCACGCATCTGTCGTTGCCAAACTCGCCAATATGTGTGTTATCACAAGTTCTTCGACACTATCGGAGCAAGGTTCTTACCATTCTCTTCATGTGACTTGCTAGGTAATCATCACATATACGAAACTTCTGCATGCCAAGATGGGTGACTAAGAAGAACAAAAAGGCAATGTATTTCATCCGATGTCGATGTTTACTGCCGGGGCCCGAGATGCAGCCGCAGGTCATGACAACGGTACCTTACCGATGCAAGGCAAAGCAAGGTGTCACACGGACCACTGCATATATCGGGGCATGCATTCAACCCATGCACCCGGCTATTGTTTCCCATATAAAACTAACGGGGATGTCATTTTGTGCATGAAAACCTTCAAATCGGTAATTACCGAATAGACGGTTATATAATCAACCCAATAACCCCTAGACAGTCTCTAATGAATGGAAGCATCTTTTTTTACCCCATAAGTGGTGGGCAAATTGACTGCGTGACAGTTATGAGCCCAGTACCTCATGGTGACAATTACCAATTGAAAAACCGACTTCCAGAAGGGAGCAGTTCAGACTTATGCCATAGACAAGGGCACTCAATTGACGAAGTTACCGACCCATGAGACTTTGGCAGTCAAGTCCACCAAACAAAACATCAATTCCAATCACACAAGGCTGAACGTTGAAGTGTTGAAACATTCAATCACAAAAGAACTTCTGGTCATCAATTCATATCATCAACACTTATCAAAAAATCACAAAAAGTTCATCTCAACTCAGGGGGACTTACCACATCTGAGGAGTTGAACCCAGGACTCTTAACTTGAACCTTATATAAGTTCATGCTCGACCATACCACTGATACGCAGCCAGGAGGGTTGGAATTACGAAACGGAAGAGACACCTAGTTGCTCATTTTATGCCTCTGAAAGCTTCGGGCAGATAAGACGAACAGGTGGTTCACTTTATAGTCTTCGTGTAACGGAACCGATAAGACTTTTTACAAATTGCGAAAACTCCACAACCCTGAATTGAACCCACGAAGGGGAGCTTGCCAGTCTTACGGTCCTTGCGAATAGCTACAAGTTGGGTGGCTAGACCAACTACACTAAACGGCAGGTTCATTAGACAGGGGGGGCGTCTTGCGTTTTGTTGAGAATTGAGGCGTTGAGATTGGCTATATACCCTCAAACCTCTAGGCAACAATCGACAAAATCACCAACTTGAAACAAGAAGTGTCTAGTCACGAACTCAATCTTGGCCACGGCGAAAAACCAACTGCACAACGATCAGAAGAGAGAGACCAGTTCTCTTTTCAAGAGAGATCATGAATTCAACTACGGAAACTGCAAAATACACACAGCGGCTACAGACTGACAGCGACTGGAACCACTGGTTCAACAACTTACAGATGCTGGCAAACGTTCATGAAGTCTGGGACTATGTGAATCCAAAAGGAACCAAGATTAATACTAAGCCAAGATTGGAATTCCCAGACCCAAAAGACCTCAGACAAGAAGAACGAGCAAACTATAGCAACGTTATCAGCTATGGAAAAGCTATCTATCAAGAAGAAAAAGACCAATACAACCAGGTTCGGCGAAGTCTTCTAGAAATTCACAGTTGGATCATGAACACTGTAGCAGCCACTTATATCAGCCAAGTCAGCAAGGAGCAAACAGTCAGGGATATCATAAAAGCTCTTGAAAAACAGCTAGCGCCAGACAACTTTGGGAGACAACAAATGGTATTGGAAAGATATAACAAGCATATGCTATCAATCAAAAGAGCAAAACTTGGAGGATGGCTCATAATCTATCGAGAAATCATGGATGAAGCCCAAACAATCGGAATCCCTGCTCTCAGCGATCCAGTTACTCAAGTCTCTGAGTTCTTGAAAGCAGTCAAGCAAATTGCACCAGATTACTACACATCTGCCTCTTACGACTTCACAAAGCGATACAAGGATGACCCAACCTACAGTTCGATCAGCAAGACTGCTGGAATTGAGCAAGCTAACGATTTCCGCAGTTGGGTGAGAACTTTCCACCCAGACTGGCTGAATGCTGCTCCATTAAAAGACACGAGTTTCGCTACTTGGCAAGGAGAAAACGAACAAGGAATAAAACAGGGGGCAAAACGAGAGCAAAAGTGTGCAGCTTGCCCAAACGAAAGTCACCGATTTGTTGATTGCAAACATGCCAACCCTAAGAAGCGAGGCCCAAACTATCATGAAGATAATCCAGAAAATAAGAAAGCACTGGAAAGATTGAATGAGTATCTCCAGAAGAAACCACACTTAAAGAGAATAGTTGAAAAACTACGAAAAGGGGCAAGCGATCAGCAGTCTCAAAAGTCCCCAGATCGAGCAACATCTTCCTCAAACTGGAGAAACACTACACAATCATCATCCCACTATACTCAAGAAGTGTCTGATGGAGAAGGATCACTCTCATCTTTCGTCACTATCGTCAATCAAGGAGAAGCAAGTCTCTATTCAGGATTCCCACTGTCAGACAGTGTGATAGTAGACTCAGGAACAGGATTCCACATCTGCAACGACTCCTCAAGACTTCATGATCTCGACTACACAGTCACAAAAGACTTCATCACTGGAGGAGGAGATGTACATGCAATTGCGAAAGGCACAATGATCATCAAACCAAACCAAGGCGGCAAATCCAACAACAAGGAGATCAAAGTCAGAAATGTATGGCTTGTGCCTGGATACCCAACATCGCTCCTTGGGACAGAACCGCTGAAGCAAAAAGGGATCAACTTTACAACAGGAATACCGGGTCTTATCGACTCAAAAGGCAGACTTCTATTCAAAACACCAAACCGATATGGTCAATACATTATTGAAGCTGGCCCAGCTCTGCTGAACAATACCTCGTTCAGCAATACCGAGAAGACTGTGAGATTCAGCCCAACCGTAGAAAGGAAACCAACCAAAGGTTTTCAGTCAACAAGACAACCACTCCCAACATCATCAGCAGAAGCCAAGTTGTGGCATGAGAGACTTGGTCATCCAGGCGCTGAGGGACTGGAACAGCTACTTAAAACAGCTCTTGGGATACAGATAAAAGGAATCACAAAAGTGGAATGTGATGCCTGTGCTGTTGGGAAGGCAACTCGCCAAATTTCCCGCAGAAACCCAGACCATTGGCCAACTGCTGTAGGAGATTATCTATCTCTCGACTTCTTTACACTTAGCAAAGCATACAATGGGGAGAAGGTGATCCTGCTGGTCAGCGATGGCTGGTCAGGGTTCTTCTGGATAAGAACTCTTCGTACTCGAAAGGAGGGACTACAAGCTATGACAGAATTAGCAGCATACCTCGAGAGACAGTGCTTTATCAAAATCTCTATTCTACGCCTAGATTGGGAGGTTGCTTTACGCAATGCGTTTGAACTATGGGCAGCTGTGAATGGATATATGATTGAAAGATCAGCTGAGTACACTGGTGCTCAAAACCCAGCAGAAAGAGCTGGAGGTGCTGTGTTTATGATCATGAGAGCACTTCGATTTCAATCTCGCTTTCCTGAATTGATGGCACCAGAGCTGGCAAAAGCAGCAGTTTATCTGTCAAACAGATTGCCTCGAAGACGCCACAAGTGGCAGACACCATTGGGGTTGGTCAACACTTGGCTGAACTCTCATCAACAGTCTACCCACAAGAGGGCTGAAAAGCCACAACTAGCACACTTGAGGCGATATGGCTGCAGAGCTTACCCCTTGACACAAAACTACAAGAGAGGAATAGAAAAGTCAAACAAAACTGCGCCAAGAGCTCATATTGGCTATCTATGTGGTTATGACAGCACAAATATCTACAGAATCTGGATCCCAGCAATAGGAAAAGTCATGAGAACTAGAGACGTTACTTTCGACGAAAACACGCTGTATGATCCAAGGATTGAGGATACCAGCAAGTTAAGCCAAATGGAACTTGAATTCCAGTTCACAGAAATGGATATCCCATTCACAAATCCAATTGAACAAGACCTAGACACAGCTGGCTGGGATGGAGAAGATTTCAGCGATAATATTACCGGGCCACTACCCGCCTCGAATCCAGCCGCTCAAGAAACAACACCGGCAACACCGATGCAGGAGAAAGAATCAGGGGATTTTCAATTACCTACACCCACTTCTCTATCACCAACAGTACAGCTGTCAGATTCTCAAACAACTGAGGGGGTGAGGGAGACTCCAGAAACTCCAGAAGTATCGCCAACTCCAGAACAATCGGATCAAAGTGAGACCATAGAGGAAACCTCAACAGACCGACTCGAACTACAACAGACACCAGTCATAGAATTGGAACCAGAAGAAATCATACCACAAGATTCCTCCACAGTAATCCCAAACATAGCGAGAAGGGGAAGACCTCGTGGCAGCAGAAATCACAACATCTACAATCGATCAGCCCCTCTTGGTCAAACAAATCAACAGCCACCAGAAGCAACAAGATCATCACAAAGACTGAGAAGAGCAAGAGAATCCCACTTCACACTGCAATCTACGGATACAGTAAAAGGAAGAGATCAATGGGATGCATCAGCAGATGATTTAGGCAATCCACACCAAAAGACACTTCCACCAGTTCCAAAGAATTACAGTGAAGCGATCAAACACCAATACAGTCACAAATGGATTGCTGCAATGAATATTGAGAACAGATCACTATGGCAAATGGGCACGTTTGAAATGATTGATCTTGGCAATATTGATCAAGACACTCAGCGAATTATCCCATTGAAGTGGGTATTCACATATAAGGGCAGCAAAGGATATCTCAAGAAGTTCAAAGCGAGGATCTGTGTTCGAGGAGATCTCCAACCGACAAATGAACTAGAGACCTATGCCTCAACGCTTGCTGGTATATCGCTGCGAAGTCTCATGGCAATTGTGGCGAGATTTGACTTAGAGACTCTTCAATTGGACGCAGTCAACGCATTTACACATGCCACAATTGATGAGGAAGTCTATGTTTGGTTTCCTCCAGGATTCAGACAAGAGGGATACTGTCTTGCCCTGCGAAAAGCACTATATGGATTGAGACGAAGCCCACTGCTATGGCAAAAGAATCTGGAGAGATCATTCAAGAAGCTTGGCCTTATCCCACTCCAAGAAGATGACTGTATCTACACCAATCAATACTTCATAGTATTCCACTTTGTGGACGATATTGGGGTTATATACCATAAAAAGCATGAAACCAAAGTAAAAGAAGCAGTTCAACAACTCAAAAAGGAGTATGAAATGAAAGATATGGGAGAATTGAGTATCTTCCTAGGAGTCAGAATAATAAGAGAACGAAAAACCCGTCAACTATGGATGAGTCTCGACAACTATATATCTAAGGTCACTGAAGAATTCAAGATCAGAACCTCAACCAAGCGACGCCAAACACCTATGGCAATAGATAACCTGGTCCCAAGTCCTGGTCAGGCTACGCCAGAGGAAATCAACTACTATCAACGGAAGGTTGGATCAATCAACTATGCTGGAGTGATTGGCAGACCAGATATAGCTCGAACAAGCTCGAGACTAGCAGAATTCCTATCAAATCCATCTTCTGAACACCAGAAAGCAGCATATGAATGCTTACAATATCTTGAGGACAACAAATACCTCGCTATCGAGTTCAACTGCAAAGGGAAAGGAGTCCTCTACTGCGCCTCAGACGCTTCATTCGCTGATGACTCTGTCACTCGAAAAAGCACTCAAGGATATGTGATGATGCTATTCGGAGGTCCAATTCATTGGAAAGCAGTCAAACAACGAAGAGTAGTCACTTCAAGCACAGAAGCTGAGCTTGCTGCTTTGACAGCAGCCACAAGAGAATATATGGCAACCATTCGACTCATGGAACAATTGAATCTCCAATTAGATGATAAATACATCATGCAATGCGACAATAAGCAAACTCTTCGACTATTGATTGCTGAAAGACCCCAAGCGACTAGCAAATTACGCCATATCAATATCAACAACTTATGGCTTCGCCAGGAATTACAGAAGGGATCAATTGACTTTCAATGGGTTCCAACCAACGAAATGGTGGCAGACGGTATGACTAAAGCAATGCCAGCCCAAAAACACAACCACTTTATCGCCCAATTGGGTATGGCGAATATTGAACATTTGATCGAGAAGAACGCAGTATGAATCTGGAATTTGGTAGTAAGTATACGGAGTTCTGAATAGTATCATTTCTGTATTTGAATGAGAATACAGAGAATCAACCTACAACAGGTTGCCTCTCTGAGGGGGTGTGTCACACGGACCACTGCATATATCGGGGCATGCATTCAACCCATGCACCCGGCTATTGTTTCCCATATAAAACTAACGGGGATGTCATTTTGTGCATGAAAACCTTCAAATCGGTAATTACCGAATAGACGGTTATATAATCAACCCAATAACCCCTAGACAGTCTCTAATGAATGGAAGCATCTTTTTTTGACCCCATAAGTGGTGGGCAAATTGACTGCGTGACACAAGGCAAGAGGAAAGCGCGGACCTCCTTCTAGGACGCATTTAAACTTTATTGAGGCCGCCACTGAGGCGTCTCAAGCTGTGACGTTCGTGGAAGGGAAGGAAGGGTTCATGCACGGCCGCGACCTATAGTTTCCGCTTCGAGCTGTTGCCGCGACTCTTCACGTCGGTTGAAGAAAGCTAATTGCAGGCACTGATTCGTGAAGCACTAAGTAGATAGTGTACGCATCAGAAGGACATTCTTGGCCCCTTTCAAGTATGGGTATGCCGAGATGTCGATGGAGTTGAGGTTTCCTGGTTCCTGGGCATGATGGGGAAGTTTCAGTGGTGGGGGATGACGTCGATTGAGTTGGTTTGACATGCGCCCTTTTTTTGATATGACGATGGCCAGGTTATATCGTTAATGGTATTATAGGACTGGACAGCCGTGGGATGCGTGGAACGTGGTTCTTCTTAATGAGCCATGCTATGAGATGGGCCCCGGGTATGTTGCTTTCGACGTCGGCAGAGGTGAGGCTGAGAACGAGGTCCCCACACATTACACTGTTGGACAGGGTAAGAATGGGCACTACTGTTGCGCAAGTACCAGACAATGGCGATTTGCGAGGAAGACATGCACGAGGACAGCACAGCGCTAGACCGAGAGCGTTGAGCTGGCGCTTGCGGGTGCGCGGAGGATGCGGAATCTGGCGAATGAGGGGGTGGACGTGGGCGGCTGCTTGCATTCTGCGGGATGGGCCCCCTGCCTGGTATGTGGGACGATTGGAGGTTAGGCGCTGCTGCTTTAAGGCCCCTTGTCATTGGGAAGATTGGAGCATCAGGTACTCGGCAGTGTGTATCCGTAGTTGGAGGATTTTCACGTCTGATAATTCAATAACGAAGCCTCTGTCCTATCTGATAGGATCCTTCTTGGCAGATGATCTTACACTGAACATTCATAATGAATCTCGCTTGTAACGGAAACCGAGAACGGGGGAGTTTAAAGTACAACAGGACCCATAATGCCAAGTTAGAACCTTTCGAGGCTGTCTTGCTCTGCTCAATGGAAAACCACCAATATATATATATATTCTGAGGAGTCCTGTTTCAGGGCAGAGACCAGATTGTTCTATCGGAATAAATTTATTCAGAATTAAATGAGCGATTCCCCTTATGGGTTGCGCAAAGCGAATTGCGGATTCGGCTTTTGATGAGTTGTTCGTGTAAGAGCGGCAAGGAGCATTCAGTGGGACAAACCTGAGCCGAACCCATGCAGAGCAAATGAAACAACCGGGGTCCCGCGTCGGGTCGCAGTGCAGTTCGGGTGTGGTGTGTTCTGGGTCTGGTCTCCGTCTGTCTTAGCGCGTTGGTCTAAAAGTTGAGGCTGGAGCTTTTTATCCAATTGGGGTGATTGGGTGAGTCTGAGTTTTGGGCAAAGAGGAGATGGAGAGGGTAGAAAATAAAGAAAAGTATATATTTATGTATATGATAGGAAGCGCCGAACTGAGGCGCCGACGTGGCTGACCACCCATCGAAGACCATCAAGAGGAGACATATGTAAAGAGGTTGGAAGGGACGGAAGGCACTGGCGAGGAGGGGGAAAAAAAAGCTGCAGGTGCAGCAAACAGAGTGCACAAGTGCAGGCAGGAGCCAAGTGACATGTTGAATAGGCACCTCCCACTGTTGCGGGAATGTGTACAAGTACCAAAGAACCCACGTAGTGCTAAATAGTATGTATTTCGTGGCCCCTCATCATCCATCGAACTCTTTTTCAATCGTCCACGCCCCTTTCACCGTCCATCATCACTGAAGCTCTAACAGAGAGAGACAGAAAAAGCGTATCCTTATCCGTTCGTATAATGAATCCCCATATCTGTAATTGCTTCCACTTCTTCTTCCTTTTCTTACTGAATAACATCTAGTGTCATTTCAACACCAACATCCATCCCCTCTTCCGTCACATTATCTTCATTGGTTCGGAGATCTGCACGGTACATCCGCCCCGCCAAAGTTGCATCTCAATTGTGCTGCTTGGTGGTCCACGCCAAAACGCCTATCATACCCTCGCCCATCTCGGTCTGCCGTGCGTTAGTCTACTAGACGCAAGTCGTGAAGGGCCCAGCCCCCCTCCTCACCCTCTTCGACACCACCTTCAATCGGTCGCTGTAAGCGCGCTACTACGCATTGCTCCTAGGCCCCGCCGACTGTCTCTGCTGCTGGTGCTGCAGCTGCACGAAGCAAGGCTCATTCAAAGACACATACGTGCCACTCGCTCTCACCCCTCCCCCCAAAAAGTCCCCATCCGGTTGCCAGTTGGAATCTGCGTTACAACTTCAACATCTTTCGCTTCAACCCACCGCCGGCTGATAAGCCGACAACGATTCTTGCACGACACGGGCGCTTTACGTTAATTGAGGAGAAGCAACCAAGAAGATAGACTGAACATGGCAACGGCCTAAAAGGCCCACAGCAAAGCAGCCCACACCACCCCTGCCATGTGCCGCGTACCCATCCCATCCTAACCTATCCATACCACCACGACTGGACTGGACTGGTAACTGGACCTGCTTGGGCATACCATGAGTAGTGGCAGCTCCCGCCAGCGCTCCGCGACTAGATCTGATACCCACGACCGAAATTCGAGCCCATTTCCATCCGTCCCACGGTCGAGAGACGAGATTCACAACCTCGACGGCCTCGTCTTTGACCATTTGCCTACCAACTACGCCGTTCCTAGCGCCAAACCTGCGCCCCTCTCGCTGAACAACAAGTCTTCCCAATCCAGCTTTCTTTCCGTCGGCGGTTCCCGCCCAAGAGCCGCGACTGCGAGCTCCGTCCCGACCACTCCTCTACTCGGTCACGACGCCGCGAGGCCAGCTACCAGAGCTGGCCCGCCTTCGAAACCCTTCGGCATGTATCAAAACGGTCAACGACATGTCTCGGCCGCCGACTCCTCGAGGCCTTTCCAGGTCCCTCCGCCGCCACCGCCCATGTCGCCGCCCGTCCAAGGCCAGATGAACAACATGATGTCCATACCACCCCCTCCACCTCGCTTCCCTTCTGCTCCCGGTGCGACTGGCGCCGGTGGTGGTATGATGCTGCCGCCTCCGCCGGGCCCACCACCGGGAAGTGCAATGGCAGGTCAGGCGCCATGGCACGGTGCGTTCGGGCGCATGTACGACGGTCGCAATGGCTTCGGCGTGCCCCCTCCCCCGCTGGGACAACATCAGGCCTATAATCCGAAGCTGCACGCTCAAGTCGCGACCGGCACGAACCTGTCGATCCCGCCTCCCCCCCCTCCAAGCGACCACGCCACGGTCATGTCCGCAACATACATACCTCAAGGAGATACATATGGTGAAGGAGTGGGAATTCCAGGTCTGGGTGGCTTTGACGAATCGTCAACATTCTCGACAATATCGCAGAGTTCATGGCCGACGAACAGCCAAAACAGTGCTGACACGACCATGACGACACCCCAAGATGAAATATCTGGACGGGACAGGATGTATGCCCAGGCCATGCACAGCCGAGGGCTTTCGCAAGCGTCGAACACTACAACATCGAGCATTCACCCTGATCTGGCTGCCCAGTGGCCTTTGGAAAAGGTCTTGCTTTGGCTTGCTTCCAACCAGTTTTCTAAGGATTGGCAGGAGACCTTTAAGGGGCTGAACCTTCACGGATCCCACTTTCTTGAGCTTGGCAGCGCCCACGGAGGCCGAGGGAACTTTGGCATGATGCACCAACAAGTGTACCCCAGGCTCGCTGTAGAGTGCACAAACAGTGGAACTGGATGGGATCAACCAAGGGAACGTGAGGAGGGAAAGAGAATGCGGCGTCTTATTCGAAGCATCGTGACCGGCCGGCCGGCCGACCCGTCCAAGGTATCTTCACACGGCAGGAAGGAGTCTGTAAGCCACGGCAATAGCCTACCCAGCGCGGGAACTGATGGTGCAGACTCTCCCAACGTGAGTATGATAGTTCGTCCGGGTGAAATCTCGAAGGCTGATGAACGGCAGACGCCAATCAAAGCGCCAGGCCCTGGATTTGGCGGTAGACGATTCTCACAAACTAGATCCACCACCATGCCCACGCTGAACAGCACCATGAGTTCAGATTCTAATCATAGGACTATCCTGAAGCAGATTGATGTAGACGGTGGTCGACGTCATAGCCCGAACGCCAGCGAACCCGGCGATACCTTCCGCCCGCCACCGCCCCTGCGGACTGATAGCCCGAATGGGAGCCCGAAGCCCCAGAGTGCTTCTCTGTTTGCTTCCTCGGCAGGCAATTTGTCGGCGTCCCCACATTCGGCCAAATTCGGGCACAGGTCACGGAACAGCACCGACTCCGTATCTTCTAATGCTGCCATCTATGGTTCTGGGATACCTCCCGAGGCCAGTCAAATGCTGCGCAGCGGTATGAATATCGCAGACATGATCCAGGCTACCCGTAACAACACTGAGAGCCGGCGGTTGGGTCAGGACGGCGGGCGTCCGTCCCCTCAAGAGTCTAACGGCGACCGCTCTGCTGGTACTGAGCCCCCATCATCTGCCAAGGACTCTAAGAGTTTCCTCAGCTTTTTATCCAGAAAGAAGAAACAAAAGGAAGACGGCTTTCCCAGTCCTGACGATATGGAATCACCCACTTCACCGGCCCTTACTTTCAAGCCCCATTCCTTTGGCTCTCGTTTTGCCAACAACAGTGAGACCTCTTTGGACCTCCTGCATGAGAAGGACGGTACGCGAACAAGGCGCTCTGGACCGGGGAGGACCTTCGTTCTGGCCACCATGGACGGGTACAACTATCGTATGTGCGATATCACAGACGCGGAATCGGCAACGGACCTTCGCCAGATTATTTGCAGCAATTTGGGGTTGATGGATGCCTTGAACTCGCAAATTTATCTGACGGAGCTTGGTAAATTCGATCACGAACAGCCTCTCGATGACCAAAAACTTATTACCAGCCGTAAGGTCAGGGCTGATGCTACGGGGTCTCTCAAATTCTTTATTCGCCCTGCCGGCTTTGTGCCTCAGGGTTCAAGCAAGGCTAACGGCGCACCGACACACACATCTCTCGATGAAGAAGCTTACAACCGCTTAAATGGTGTCTCGAGGACGAGGTCGAGCTCATCGCCGCCGACATCAAGGCAAAACACAATGACAGGTGAGAGAGTGGACGATAAGATGCTCGCGCAGGAGGCAAATGATTATCGTGCCGAAATGGAACGGAAGCAACGAGAGTATCTTGAGAAGAGGAGACGAGCAGCGTTGAAGGATGGATCTGGAAACGCTTCAGAAGGCGTATCCACTCCCTACGGCATCCACGGCCGAACTGTTGACTTTGACCAGCCACGCCAGTCGCCGTACGAGGACAAGAAACCAGAAGTTCTCTTCCCCGTGCGCAAACCGCCTGCGCCACCTAGTGATGGGTCAGCAACTTTGCTAAAGGCAAATTCCTTAAGTAAAAAGACAGGACATTCAATGCGCGCGTCTGATGGTGGAACTGCGCCGCGACGACCCTCTACCCTGTTCGAAGACATGGAGCTTCCGGGCCAGATCCAGGATAAGAAGAAGAAGACAAACAGCCAACCTGTCGGCGGTATAGGTGCTGCTCTCGTTGGCATGGGCAGAGGCCTCGGAGCAGTCGGCCACTCGAATAACCGGATACCCAAGTCGCCCAACAGAGTATCTTCGCAACCAGTTATGAGCGGCGATTACTCAGACCGAGGTAAGGGAGCAATGTCTTCGGTAGACTTCGGCAAGTCCTGCTCGGATCGAGGCAGTCCTCGCTCGGCGTCTGGCTCACCTGGCACTCTCACATGGAGTCGTGGGAATTTGCCCTTCGTCGTGCCTGACTATTCTCCCGGCGGGACTCCGTTTACTATGAAAGCCGTAAAAGGATCTCAAAATGGTATGGTCGCTAAGTTAAACTCAACAGTACACCGGGTGCCTTCTCGTGAGATTAGCCCCAGCTCCTCCAACCCACCCCACATACCCCCGAGTACACAAGCCCCGCCCCCTCGTCGCAAGTCTCACGGCCCTGATTTTGACTTCCTCGGACCGGAAGTCAGCTTTGATAAGCCACCTCCTGCTCAGCGGGATGATGACTCTGGAGATGATTCAGATGATGGGTTGTTTGCTATCCCCATCGCCAAGCCGACAAAGATTACGCGCATTTTCGACGGTGACGATTCGCCGGATGAAGCACAAGACAAGAGACCAAACTTGACGGTGAACACTGCCAAGTCCAAGAAGAAGGCTTCTGTTTCGTTCAACTCGCCAAAGTCTTTTGGTAATGGTGGCTCTAGCAAAGAAGGAGAAGAAGATGAGGCTCTAATGAGCGCACGGAGCGGAAGAAGCTCTCGAAGAACCCCTAACACACCTGGCTCAGAAGGCTGGGAGTCGGAAGACAGCAAGTTAAGTCGCAGAAAGTCGTTTGTAGAGAAAGACGTCTGGGCCAATCGTCCTACTACCGACGCCCTTATCAACAACCTGGATGATTTCTTCCCCAACTTGGACCTTGATCAACCGGTTCTGGAGGAAGGTTCCGAAGAGCCATCGCCTCCATCTCCGATAGCTGAGGCAGAGGAGAAGGAAACCGCACCGGGCCCCTCGGCGCATCCCCAATCGCCGCCACCGAGCTTGCGTGTGGCTATGGGCACCGCCAACCGGTCATTCTATAACGACAGCGATACTCTGGGCTCAGACGAGTCAACCCTCAAGGCCCTTGAGCGGCCAGCTTCAGTTGCATCCGTTGCGCAAAGAAGTGTCAGACGCTCAGGTGGCCTTGGCCGTATGAAATCTATCCGTGAAGTTGCTCGTGGCGCTCATGAGGCCAACAAGCGGTTTACTACCACAACAACACAACCTGGCCAGAATGGCCAAAACACCTCCGCATTGATGAGGAGGAAGAGCACAAAGATGTTCAACGCCAATATCGTGCAGATTCGTCCGGACCAGCGGGGCAGCATGGTTATGCCCCAGATCCCTCAGGACACTTTGCCCAAACGCCAGACCACATTCCGTTGGTTCAAGGGTCAACTTATTGGCAAGGGTACATATGGTCGTGTTTACCTCGGTATGAATGCTACCACAGGAGAGTTCTTGGCCGTCAAGGAAGTCGAGGTCAACCCCAAGGCAGCACAAGGCGACAAGGCCAAGATGCGGGAGCTGGTCGCGGCCCTGGACCAAGAAATCGAGACCATGCAGCATCTGGACCACGTCAACATTGTGCAGTACCTTGGTTGTGAACGCAAGGAAACGTCGATCAGTATCTTTCTTGAGTATATCTCTGGTGGTAGCATTGGATCTTGCCTGCGAAAACACGGCAAGTTTGAGGAGTCGGTCGTCTCATCGCTCACACGGCAGATGCTTTCCGGGCTCGCCTATCTCCACAGGGAGGGCATCTTACATCGTGATCTGAAGGCCGACAACATCTTGTTGGATCTTGACGGCACCTGCAAGATTTCGGATTTCGGTATATCGAAGAAGACGGATAATATTTACGGCAACGACAAGTCGAACTCAATGCAGGGTTCGGTATTCTGGATGGCACCCGAAGTCATCCGCTCCGAGGGTAAGGGCTACAGCGCCAAGGTCGATATCTGGAGCTTGGGATGCGTCGTCTTGGAGATGTTTGCAGGTCGACGGCCCTGGTCCAAGGAGGAAGCTGTAGGAGCCATTTACAAGATTGCGAATGGAGAGACACCGCCCATTCCGGATGAGGTCCGGGAAACAATCAGTCCCTTGGCGATCGCCTTCATGCTGGATTGTTTTACTGTGTAAGTATAGATATACCTGAGATGGAGACACGAGGCTAACATTTGACAGAAATCCTCTGGAGCGGCCAACAGCAGATGTGCTGCTATCGCAGCATCCATTCTGCGAGCTGGATCCCAATTACAATTTTTTCGACACCGGCTTATATACAAAGATTCGCGGTAAAGACGTCTAGGCGATGAAAAGACCAAGGGGAGAACATAGTACCCGATGGTAGAGAAAGAGAAGTTGGACCACTTAACAAAGCCAGAGGTGAAGCAGCGATTCCAGTCTTGTTTTTTATTTCACCCAATCCCCTAGGAAGGATGCCTCGTCTTGTAAGCAGCCATGTTGGGCGCTTGGTGAATTATAGCGATGGCGCATGGAAGGCATTGGGAATCACTGTTCTGTGAGGCGCGCTCTTAGTTTAAGTTCCAGGTGCTGTTATGCTCTTGGGCATTGCCACGTCCAAGACTCGGAGCCGTTGGGCTCGGTATGGTATACTAGCTACGAGACCAATAATTCATATTGAAACAGGAACCAGCGTGAGCACTTTGATCCGTCATCTTGTCGAGTGGACACTGTCTGTTGGAGCTAATTTCCAAGACTTCTCTCAAGAGGGAGTTTCTGTCCGTTTGCCTTCCCTCCAGTATGTTGATTCAACGATCATTACCTTTCCTCGTCCAACTCTGTGCCTGGCCGTCCAACTTTGCTGCCATGACGGAAAGCCACGCCCTGGACTTGTCCTCCACAGGGGGACCCCTGCTATTCCTACCGCACTATATAGAATTTATTAAGCATATGCGTTGCAGTAGTCCCAAATTATCTGAGTGGGTGGTTGGGCAAACACCACCTTCCGCATGCCCCATTCTAGACATTTACATTCGTTATTTGGTCAATTTTTCCGTAATTCTCGCAGGTCACATGGTAGTCGCGTGCACCACCTTATAAGGTAAGGTAGTACGGTAGGCCCGGCAAAAGAGCGACCAGCTGCCTGATTCTACTAGAAGCTCCCCCGCTTGTAATGGTGTTCGGCTCGGAGACCGGCAGCCCGACTATTGTTTCTGTAGCGCGGGGGCGCGCGATTTTGACAGGGACTGGGGGTTCCCTCCCAAGTATGCTATATTGTTGCTATATAGTTTTGAGTTCTAGGCTTTTAAGCATTGCAATATACGCGGTTCTTTCGGTAGATGGAGCCAAAATTTGAATTCTACCCAGTGAATTGTCGGCAAAAATTGCTGTTCGGCTCGGTGCAAGGACATCAAAGCCGAAACGGTGTCTGGTTTTGTTTTTCTTCGCCCTGTCCTCAATTGTTTGTGTCTGTTCCTTCTTTTGCCACTGTCGGACCGGCTCTCTATGTACTCTGTCTGTTTTTATTTTTATTTTTTTATAACCTTACCTTGTCTTGTCTTATGCGATATGGAGCTGTGAAGTCATGTCAGAGAGCTCAGGTGTTTCGGCTTAAAGACGGCGTTTCTGATCAGCGGGACCCGAGTGGATTCCCCGTGCTGCCGGCGGCTGGAATGACATCGTCCCGTCCGTGGGATCTTGTGTCGTGAAGGGGCTGGCGGGGGGGTGGTGGAATGAGATCAGGATGAAAAAGGGCATGTCGACTGCCCCTCCCGCTCTCCATTTTTGTGTCACTCTGACATTTCCTCGGGGTTAGAAAGCTTGTACGTGGGTTTTTTAGGTATATAGCTTGCTAGCTTTCACTGGCACGACCATACGAAAACAACGAGGTTCGTGTCTTTTGATTGCCAGGGGGCGACGAGGGACTCGGTGGAGAGTCTCAGACAGAGGCATACCGGAAACAGAAGCTCTTCCAGCTTTAGCAGGGTGACAACCAGGTCGCTGTCGTGGGTTGCCAAGAAGATTACCCGGTTAAAAGGCGAAGGCCCGTCCGGCTTGGCTGAATATGGTCGGGTGGTTTGACTAATTGAGCTGGATTACAGGTGGTGGTGCTGTAAAATCATTCGAATGGTTTGTGACATTCATTGGGCGGGATGCAGCTTGAAGCCAAGTTGACCTCAACCGAAAATGGATGGCGGCGGCACTTGCACGTTACTCTCTTTTTTCACCCTGCGCGCGTCTGTCTCTTCTTTCGGGGTCATTGTCTGCTGTAAAAAGCATCTTTTAAATTACTGAGAGATGTTCCATTTGGCGGATACGACGTTTTTGGTGGACGAGGGGGAGAAGACGAGGAGAAAGCCCAAAGGCCCACCCATGCCCTGGAAAAATAAGGTCCATATGGGCTCCGTTCCGCCCCGCTACTGTGCTGCGCCGGGCCACCCCTGCCATCAGATTGACTGTAGCACATCCAGAGAGGCGAGAGGGTGTCTTGGATTGCTTGGAGTGCTCTGAAGCATCACTCAAGGTGTGACCCGCTCCGGAAGCCAATTGCCTGCTGACATTTCTCTCTTCCAGCTGCTCGCGTCCGGGGTACCAAAAACCATCCATTTACCAGGTACACACAATTTACTTCCCGCCTACATGGCGGTAGTAGCAGTACTTTGGAATGAGTCCTACGGATAGCGAGAAAGGGAGGCAGAGACATTATGTGACGTACCGTGTCTCCCTTGACTGACAAGTGCGGGCGGCGGCCCGGGCTGAATGCTCTGTGCAATGGGGCCGTTGTCAAAAGATTGCGATGAGATATGTGTCAAAACGTCTTTTTCACAGAGAGAACGAGAATGCATCCTTTCCAGACAAACATTTCATACGGACGATCCTCAGTATTCGCGACGGTTATTTTTCAGGAGAACCTGGCCAGTGTACTCCATAGTTCGCTACGCTATACAGGCCACAGGGAGGGGCAGGAAGAAGGAGTACGGTCCACTTTTGCAGTAGCTCACCAGCGAACAGCGTGCCGTACACTCGCATTTGGCGGGGGACCCAGCAGCCAGCTAAAGGTAGTAAAAGCCGTCTTGAACCCCTGACGGTCTAATTCAATCCGACACGGGGAAAGCTCAGATCTCGCGTCTTGGCGCGTACCACCATTCTGCCGTGCTGTTCTTTTCATCTTTTTTATTTTTCGTCTGCTCTCGTGTGCTCCAGTACGTTGCACGGGTCTGCCTCCACAACCATCGGTGGCGGCTTGGCAAGTAGGTTGAAAGTCGAGGTACTTCCTTTACCGCGCTGTCGGTGCTGTTTAGTGTTGTATCCATCCATTCTTGGAAATCCCATCCCAGTCCCCGTCACACCCACCCACCCACCTATTCTTACCTAAACTTGTGCAAAGTTCCCCTCTGAGGCCGTCCCAGAACCCTTGGGTTCATCCTGGCTAAGCTCTGTGTGCCCCCCCTTAAGCCAATCTTCCTATGCCACCTACTTCACCGGAAAGTTAACTCGACCAGCTGGGTTTCGCCTTACCTCGACCCGTTGTCCGTTCTCTACGTATCTTTTTCTTCTCTTCCCATCTGGCTGACTCTGGCCACGCTTCAACCCATTGAGTTCCCATCCTTTACCTTCCTCCATTGATTGTCACAAATCACCACCTGTGCTGCTCCGTCGTGGTCCCTCTTCCAACGACGACTAATCTGCAGACCGAGAGATGAGACTTTACTAGCCTGCTTTCATCTTTGCCGCTCTTCTTTTCCCTGGACCATCCGGTCCTACTTTTGCGGTCGAATTGCTACCTGCTGAGTAGCATATGACGGATATCACATCTTAGCAGAATCTCACGATCGAAGACCTCGCACAGGCAAGCTCGCAACCATGATGCCCCGCCGGAGGAGCCGCTATGTGCTCCTGGTCGCCTTTGTCATGGCTTTCATGCTGTACCAGGTCTTCAAGAACCCTGAGTGGGATGCGACAGGCTATACCGGCAGCATCAAGCAGAATGTCCCTGACAAGGTCAAGACTGAGCCGGGCAAGCAACCTCCTGTCAACGATCAAGCCGTAAACAAGCCCCTGAACAACCAGCCGCCCCCGGAGCACGAGCACCCTCACGACCAGGAGGAGGATGAACCTGAACAGAACCCCCAAAAGCAAACGGCCAAGCAGACCGTCAAGATCCCCCAGCTCAAGACTGAGGCGGCGCCGAAGGAGAAGGTCAACCCTACCAAGTCTGTCAACACCCCTACGATGCCTGTCTATAACCCAGAAAAAGCCGCCGACGTCACGAAGGCCGCAACGATCCCCGTTGAGGAGGATATCCACGCCAAGAACCCTCCAGGCAGACTCAACCCCGACCGCGCGCGTGAGAGCGCATCCACGACGACGTCCCAAATCCACTGGCATAAGGTCTCCGAGCACTTCCCAGTTCCTACCGACGAGATCATCCCCCTTCCTACCGGCAAGCCCAAGGAGATCCCCAAGGTCCAGTATAAGTTCACCGCTGAGTCTGCAGTGGCCAAGGAGAAGCGCGAGAGCCGTTTGGCGCAAATCAAGGCCGAGATGCTGCGCTCCTGGGGCGGATACCGCAAGTTTGCTTGGATGCATGACGAACTGTCGCCTGTCAGCGCCCGTTTCCGCGACCCCTTTTGCGGCTGGGCTGCCACCCTTGTGGACGGCCTCGATACCCTTTGGATCATGGGCATGAAGGAAGAGTTCGACGAGGCCGCCAAGGCCGTCAAAAACATTGATTTCACTTTCAGCCCGACGCGCCGCGACATTCCCGTTTTCGAGACGATTATTAGATACTTGGGCGGTTTGCTGGCGGCGTACGATGTGAGTGGAGGCAAGGAGGGCGGATACGACATGCTGCTGGACAAGGCCACCGAGCTCGCCGAGATTCTGATGGGCGTCTTCGATACCCCCAACCGTATGCCCATCCTGTACTACAACTGGCAGCCCCAGTATGCCTCCCAACCGCACCGCGCCGGCACTGTTGGCGTGGCCGAGCTGGGTTCCATGAGTATGGAGTTTACTCGTCTTGCGCAGTTGACGGGGGAAAACAAGTACTACGACGCGATTGCTCGCATTACCAACGCTTTCGAGGACCTCCAGAACCGTGGCACCACGCTGAACGGCATTTTCCCGGAGCAGCTGGACGCTTCAGGCTGCAACAGGACCGCCGAGTCTATTCGTTACCAGGAGGAACAAGCCGCGGCTGCAAGCGCCAGCGCCGCTGCCGCCGCTGCTGCTCTCAAGGAACCCGAGGGTCACAAGCCCGCTACGGACGACAAGCGAGACCAGGTTCCCGCGTCCCTTCCTTTGGAGACCGGTGCACCCAAAGGTAAAGACAGTGAGTCGGACAGCAGCTCGCTCCGGAAGCGAGCGGTTGGTCTCACCGAAGGCGGCACTTCTGTGGTGGAGAACGCCAACATTGAAAAAAAGGAGGCTTTCCCCGAACCCAAGGTGAACGAGCAGCCCTTGTACCCTGGCATGAGCGGTCGCATGCCCTCTCCCACAACTCCGGAGAAGAGGGAGGAGAGGCAATGCATCAAGCAGGGACTTGCCCCTGGCGGCTGGGGATATGAGCAGTACAGCATGGGCGGAAGCCAGGACTCTACCTACGAGTACTTCCCCAAGGTAACGTTCACTTCATCGACACAATGGTAATTCTAAACTAACTTTTGCAGGAATATCTTATGCTCGGCGGCCTTGAGCCCAAGTACAAGACAATGCACATTAAGACGATTGAAGCCGTCAAGAAGTGGCTTCTCTATAGACCTATGGTTCCTAAGGACAGGGACATTCTCTTTTCCGCCAAAGTTTCCACCTCTGGCGAACCTGAGAAGGATGCCCGGACCGAGTACGAGGTCACGCATCTCACCTGCTTCATCGGTGGCATGTTCGGTCTTGGTGGCAAGATTTTTGACAGGCCCGAGGACATTGAGATTGCCAAGAAATTGACAGACGGCTGTGTCTGGGCGTACGAATCGATGCCTTCCGGAATCATGCCCGAGGGCGCTACCGTCGTCCCCTGCGCATCCACGCAGAGCTGCCCTTGGAACGAAACTCTTTGGTGGGAGCACCTCGACCCCTCTTCCTCTTGGCGCGACGAGCAGGTCAAGGAGTGGGAAGAGAGACAGCGCAACAAGAAGAGCGAGGAACTCAGGAGGGAGGCGGCCGTTGAGAAGTACTCGGTGGACAAGGTCATGCCCCCGCCGGCGGAGAACAAACCTGCCGCAGATGAGAAGGCAGATGACAAGAAGGCAGACGAGGAGGAGGCAGAGCAAAAAAGAGTCGAAGAGAAGAAGCCAGACCCCTTCGCTGGTATCGAGGTACCCAAGGACGAGCCGAAGAAGGTCGGCCAGGCTAAGAAGACCGAGTACCCCGCCCCCGAGCCCGGCCTGAACAAGTCCCCATCCAACGTCGACGAGCATCTGCTTAAGAAGAGGGCTTCCACTGAGCAGAATGACCCCCGCAAGGGAACCGACGCAGAGAAGGCTACCAACTCTCTCAAGGACAAGCTCGACCTGAACAACGCCGATAACTCCGACAGTGTCGCCGACGGCTCGCCGGTCAGCGGAGGTATCGTCGGCTCGATCCCTATCTACTCTGATGAATCTTCAGACCCCAAGCCCATGTCACACAAGGAGTATATTGCGAACAAGCTTGACGAGGAGAAGATCCCGCCTGGTTTTGTTAACATCAATGCCAGGCGCTACATTCTTCGGTAAGTCATAGGCATGCACATCCAATGCCCCAACCCCAGTTTCACGACTCTACAGCCGTTACTTCACTCCTTCAGTAACTAACGAATAGTACAGACCTGAGGCCATCGAATCCGTGTGGTACATGTACCGCATCACGGGCGACCCTATCTGGCAGGAGAAGGGCTGGAACATGTGGCAGGCCGTTATCAAGGCGACGCGCACCGAGTACGGCGCCAGCGCCGTTGACAACGTCCTGTCCGAGAAGCCGGAGCCCGTCGACGAAATGGAGAGTTTCTGGGTGGCCGAGACGCTCAAGTACTTTTACCTCCTCTACTCGACACCCGATGTCATCAGCCTCGACGACTGGGTCCTCAACACGGAGGCTCACCCTTTCAAGAGGCCCGTATAGATGCTCTAACGGAAGGCCGCGTATGAGCGTGTGTGTTTGTGTGTGTGTGTGTGTGTGTGGTCTATCTGTGGCAGTGCATAAGAGAAACAAAATGCAGGAAAGCAGAGAGTAAAGAAGCATCCTGCCTGAGCATGAGATATCACGGAAACTAGGGGGCCGGTTGGAATAATGGCGTTTAAGGCGTGTTTTGTATTAGGAACTTGAAATCCGGTTCATCAGACCTTTTTTTTTTTTTTTTTTTTTAATTCTCATTGTATAAACTATGAAAAAGCTGCCTATTTGGTTCAAGCAAACATGTTCAATTCCATCAGGACGGAAACTGTGATGTCGCCTTCAGGTCTACCTACATATGAATCTCATCGCGATCCATTCAAACTTCACATTGCAGGGGATATGACTGGGGTCTGGGCATATTCAATTTCATTTCCTCTTTCATCTTCATCTTTTTTAGTCTTCGGTCTTTTCTCGGACACTCTTCATCCCATAGTCATGGTGGACGTACTCCTACAATTCCCAAATCCCTATAGTGTCCTGAAAAAGAAGAAAGCCCATTCCCTTCATGTCCCTCATGCCGCGTGTCGGTCTTCTCATCTTTGCTCTCTGGCTTCTGTTTCTGTTCTTCCTTTGCCCGCTCCCAGTCATCAAACTCCTGCTCTTCGACTCTTCCCTCCAGTTCTTCGGATTGTGGTCCAAGCTGAAAAGTGACCGTGTGTCACGGCCAGGGTTTGTCGTTCGAGAGGTTAATGATTGGCGGGTAAATAGGTGTGAACAGAAACCCCTGCGGCGTTGCTGATTCATCTATCGTCCATCCTTTCTGTTCTCGTCTCTTCTTTGCTGTATCCGCTGCTTAAAAAGCGTCCTCAACATTAAAAACATGGGGGCCTGGGACGCTGGATGCGTCCCTTGTACGTAAGGCCCCCTTGCCAGCCCAATTGAAATGCCAAAAAGAAAAAAAAAGTAGCTTTGAAAGAAAACATGACTCGAAATAAAACGCCGGATTCCCTGATGCTTGGTTTTATGTGCTGGGGCGATGAGGAATGTGCTGAAGGATTGGTGGACGAGAGAGGGTACCTTGTGTACTCCCTCATCGAAGTCCGGCCCATATACAAAGAAACTCCCTTTCGGGCTCTGGGCCCCCATCATCTACACATTTCCTTATCGAATATTCATCTCGTCTGACCCGAAGTCCGGTGCGCGTTACGCAACCATCTGGCTCAGGACACGGATACTCAGGATCATGACCAACAGACCGATGGTGACAATGATGAGCAGAGTGAAGCTGAACCAACCGAGAACCATGGCTGAGGAACCGACACCAGACTTGACTGCACCATTTCCAAAGTCTTGCGCGATAATGGAGGCTGCAACGGAGGCGGTGTGCTGCCACAATACGGAAACGAGGACGAAGATGGAGGCGATGAAGATGATAGCCAACGAGATCTGGGAAACGGGTCGCGAGGGGAATGGCTTGACTTCGCGGTCGGAGCCCTCCGAGTCCTCCTCCTCATGCCAGCCCGGAAAGGTGGCGAGAAGAAGGAAGCAGACGAAGGCAAAGATGATGGCGATGATGCTGGGCACAATCAGCGTGATGTTTGGTAACGAGAGCTGAAATGAGAACTCACATGAGGTAGGGGAACACAATCATGTCCTTGAACTGAGCGGCAAGCCAGATGAGGTTTAGAGGGTCCTGGTCGACGGAGACTTCATTGGCGAGAGCAGTGGCGTTGTTACTGCAGAGCCAGCTGCCGCCGTCAGGGCTGATGCAAATTCCGAAGTAGCCAACGCGTGCGGCAAGGCGGGCGTCGCCTGCAATGTTTTCGATGGCAGTGTGGACGTTGTAGTCTACTTGCGCCGTGTCGGGGACCGCCGTGTATCTGTCATAGTACAGGGACAGGAGGAAGATGTCAGGTATTAAAGGTGAAGACGATGAGCAACCTGCAAGTAGTAGGGCTGCCGGCAAGTCAGCATTTCAAGGCCATGAGGCACATGACCGGAGAACCTACATAGAAGGATGATAGAAACTGCTATCAAGATCATCAAGACATGGTGGTATCCTAGAAAAGGCACAAACCCTGGGGAAACGTGTTAGCTGAGTTGTCAGTTTCTCAATCGGAGGGACTCGACTCACGATACCAGCCTACTTGGAATTTCGCCATCTTGGTAGGCTGTGTGATCCTACTCCTCCACCCTGTAGAGTTGTCTTACTCAACCCGTGCCCGTCCTCCGTTATAGCGGAGCGAGGGTTGGGTTCTGATCGCGACACTATCAGCGCTGGCACGCTGCTTGTCTCTCCTTGTCGTGGGTAGATCGCGCAACGGGCGGGACTAGCGATCGAAGTACCGAGAATGAATGGCTTTGTTGCCTCGGTGTAGATGAGGAATGTAGAGATGGGGCCGACTTGCGAATGATCGGACTGGTTTGAGAACACCGCGAGGAATGCGGGACGGTGCTGAACCTGTGAGATATACTTTGATACTTTTCTGATTACTGTCAGACACAAAACAAACTACCACTTTTGGTGCTGTCGTTGAGGAATTGACGATGAGGGAAGGACGGCAAAGTGTGTGTGAGTGTGAATGCAAGTGTGGATGTGCGGGACGGGTAGGTGATCAAGGTATGTGGGAAGAGGTTGATCTGTACGGATATTGGGATGGCTGGGAAGGGAAGAAAGGGTGGAACTTAGATTTGTCTCTCTCTGGAAGCAAAAAAAAAGTGTGTCCAGAGTGTAAAGCGGGATGCCCGCAAGTTCGGGCACTGCGGGAGGTTTGTAGATCGGTTTGCAGACTCGAATATTCAGATGGCTGGTAACAGGGTCGAAAAGTGAGAGTGGAAAGAATAAAGGGTGATGAATGGATCTGGAGATGGCAAGAGGTTTGAGGATGCGCAATTGGTCCTGCCATCCACTAATCGCCGCCAAGATACGAGGAAGTGCGATGGTGGAAGGAGTTACGTAGCTACGCCAACCTCCTCTATTTACTCGTGGCGCGGCGAAGTGGTTGTCCGGGCGATTCTCAGCGTTGCAGCTGTTCCTGGGCGAGCAGGGCTATGAGTGGGGCTCAGCTGTCCGGGGGTGGTCTTCTGTGGCTTCTGCGTTACCCGAGTGGGAAGGCGGGCACACCAACGCAGTGGACAACAGGCATTAGAGCCCAAGGAAAAAAAAAAAAGCCCGGTGGCTGGGTGACGTCTTTTCAGGGGTCCCCTCCATTGGTGCCAGTTAACACACTCTTTACTACGGAGTAGTTACTATGGCGTTTGTTTCTTCCCTGTTCCCCCGTCAAATCTAAGAGGCCGCATCTTAGTGCACTTAACATCCTGGTCAAGCTAACCCAGTCTTGCCCAGCTCCTGGCTTGTTCTCTTACAATCTGGAACCTGTGGCAGCTCTTCAACACCTATCCGCAATCTACCTGACTACAGGTAGATAGCCAAATGGCTTCCAACGCTCTCGTGTCTTGCTTGCAGCTTTCCCTGTTTGTGCATCGCTTGCTTCAGGCTGCCGCTCACCTTACCCAATCCAACCACGCACACGACTCGACACGGGAGTTCCTGCATTTGAGATGACACTCGGGCGTGAGCAAGGGTCTGACGCATTGGGTTGTCGCCTTGCTTTTGTCTCGATTCGTTCTCCTTGAGTCTTGGTGATGCGATGCTCCCGGCATCCCAAGCCGCCTTTGCCCCCCTGTTGTCACGGTGACAGCTCTGATGGCTCGAGTCCGGATGACAGCCCAGACACATCTCGTGGAACTTGAAGGACTCGGCATCGGCGCGCACTTTGCCGTAAATGCGGTCACCAACCTGTCTTCACATAGCCTGAGACTTTTTGAGGCTATTCGCAGTTGCTTCCCCCCTGCAAGGCGGATACGCTTGCTGCAGGAACCCCAGACGGCTCCGTGTTCCCGTCTTGAAGACCCATCGATTCTGCATCTCCACAGGACAAAAAGTCGGATCTCTGTTTCTAGCACACCGCTTTCGTCGTATGGCGGTCAACGCTCTCCAGTATATCTCGCCGTGTGTGATGCTCACCACTTTGTACTTATATCTCGCTGCCTCCCAGGTACTGGTTGACCGCTGTCCTCCCGATCCTGCACTGACTGCTGTTGATCGGCGCTAATGCTGTCTTACTTCCGCCGTCTATATGCCCGATTTGAAGGCACCGATTCTCTGCAGATCTCGGAAGTCAATGTGTTTTCTTCTCCAATCCCATTCCAATACCAACAGCTTGCGTGGACAAACCTTCCTTCGACAGCGGCGAAAATTGGCAACGGCATCCGTTCGCACAAAGTAACCTTCCAAGCCATTGACGCAACCTGTTTGCACATTTCAGCTTTCTTATCTGTGCAAGAGGTTGGATACACAGACAGTCATACTAGCCAATCGTGCTTACAAGAAGGAACAACAACCTTCGGGTCGTGTTCCCTCACAAACATCACATGATGACTCATTAGTAGACCGATGGTAATTTCAGCGCATCCCGCAACACTGTCCAGCCTTATGGGTGATCCTCCTACAGAGTTACTCTACTTGAGGGGCGCACTTGCGTCGCTGCCACACTACGTCAGAAGTCTACGTCCCAACTGGGCGGAAGGGTTCATTCGACATGAACATGAGGCTGGTAAACTCGGCCCGTGCGTTGAGGCTGAGGTCTTCTCACCTTGCTTGTTCGTTTTGTCCTGTGAAGCTCAGTCCGAGACCACCGGACTTAGAAATAACATAATCCGCGAAACACCTATGCCAAGAAGAGCTCGACGCAACAGGTATCTGCCGAACGTGTAATGAACCAAGCGACGATCTCCTCCCAATACCAACCTTAAGGTTATCCACCACCTGATATCTAAACATGGTGTACTCTTCTCCATATTTGCTGTGATCGATAAGGAAAGGACGTAGAAAAAGAAAAGAAGTACGTCGAAATTAAAACCATCGCTCTCGATCACCTTTAAGAGATAGGAAACATAAGAGACGAAGCCATCCTGTCGATCCCATATTTTCGACGTTTTGCATGACAGCTGCAAGCCAACGGTTCAAATATTACTTTCAGCAACGCGCCCTCATCTGGCTTCAATTAGGGCAGCGAACTGTGAAAGTCTCTTTTTATCTATGATAAACAATTACTCATAGCCGGATGATTATAGTCTAACCCGACCGTCTTAGTAGATGGTGGGCTTGCCACAGTCTTACAGCCATCATACAAATGTAGTGTTATATGGAGGCCTGTGAGGTTGTCACAACAATACTTGAATCGAAGCATTACCAAGATATAATTCCTATGCTCATATACCTCGTTAGCAGTTAAAATAGCATATTACTGAGATATGTTCGACTGATGTCATCATCCCTTACTTCTTACTTCGTCGGATTGGGAAGCTGAGGCAAAGATGTAACACAGATCGTGCAGAGCTGCCTGAAGCTTTCTGGCAACATAATGCCGTAGGATATGCTTCCTAGAATGTGAATTGGCGATCTCGCGGGCGTGAAGCAGAATGATAATGGAGCGCATCAAAATATCGCAGCATTAGGGGCTTGGTTTTATGATATGGTATTGAATATAAGGCCTCCACAATCTGCGAAGTTGAACTCAATTCAAGATGGCTATGATAATGCTTCATGGAGCACGACAAATGGCCAAGAGATTCTGTTCCAGTAAGGATTTCTGGACCTGGTTGGCCGGCTTTTTGGATAATATGATTATGGTGACAGATGAAAATCAGCAGCGGCAGCACCTAGGTTTTTTGACCTCTATTTCTCCGTGAGAGCTGAGCTCTCTCTCCGTGCTTCCACGTCGATACAGCAATTGTGAATGAAAAGAGAGCCTTAGACACTTGGAAGATCTTGCCACGAGATGATTTTTGAAATAACGGTCTCCATATCCAGTTTTCATCTACTTTTACCGTTTTCGTACAGGATTTATGGTGCGCGCTTACATTCATAGCACAGCAGAAGTTGCTCAAATACCAAAATCTGTTTCTAGACCGGGCTGCAGATATAGAAATATTGCATATACGTGTATACTGCATATATGCCATTATGCTTCATAAATGCATAACCCCACCACAACAGCCATCCTTAGCTCCACGTCATTGTTCACATCACACGTTGAGAAGTCGAGAACCTGGGCGTCTGTTCTGTCGCAAAATCACACCTTAGCCCCCCATGGCCACAAAGTCCGACACACGCCCCCAGGCGGGTGCTCTGGACATCCGCGTCGAAGACTACCTTGACGACAAGCTCCAATCCACGACCGATCTCGAAAACCTCGACTCCTTGCTTGCCAATGTCGAGGTTCAGCGGAGCCAGCTTCAAAGCCAGCTTGACAATGCGATCAAGCAGCTCGACGAGGCTCGTCGCACTTCAGATGACCGCCAGTCATCGCTTTCTCAGCGTATCCATGACTTTCAAGAGCTACAGCGTAGCATTGACATTCGTGTCAAGATCGCTGCGGCCTCGGATGCACCCAACCAAGCCATCGCCAGACTACAGAGGCCCATGAAGAAGCTCCAGACAATCGAACTTGCGCAGAAATATTTGGTGCTTCTACAAGATGTTGAAAAACTGCGAACCGAAGCACGCTCATATCTCCCTGAGAGTCCTAAAGCTGCGCTAGAGCCGTACTCGAAGTTGAAGCAGCTTTCAAGACGGTTGGAGGAGCTTTCCGGGCCTGCCGACGATGCGGCAGTGCATCTTTTGAACCATGTTCGCAGCGTCACCGAGACGCTCTGGGAAGAGATGAAGAAGATTATGTCGAGCGAGCTGGAGGCCATACTGAGCAAGAGATCGTGGCCAATGGTGGATCCGACCTCAGAAATGGACGAAGAGTGGCTTGCTTGCTTCGAGAAGCTAATCGATCTTCAAATCCCTGAGGTTACTCTGAGCAAGGCGACTGTCAGTCTCCTACCTTTTGATGTTATGAGTCGGATATTCATCTCAGAGTTCCGCTTCCACTTCTTCAGCGACAAGCCGACGAGCAAGCCTGAGGCGATAGGGACGCACTGTTTCCCCTGGTTTCTGGCAACTATAGAAAAATGGGAAGGTTTCTTCCGAGACAATCTAGGCTTCACTCTGGCAGATAAGTTCCGTGATACGCCAGCTGCCAATAGCTTGGTGTACGTTGACCCAGTTTGTGCCTTCATTACTAGTATGCTCCCTGTCATGAGAGAGAAAGTCAAGGCTGTGGTAGCAGATGCTGCGAAGGATCCAACCTTTCTTAGTAGCCTCATGGGCCAGCTGATGACGTTCGATGAGAACGTTCGTTCAAAATTCAACTACGACGGAGGCAACCCGGAGCAGGGCTGGCCTGGTTTGGCCTCGGAGATCTTAGAGGACTGGTTCGAGCCGTGGTTCCAGGCTGAAAAGGCCTTTGCAATGGAGCGTTTCCAGGCTATAATGGACACGCCAGACGCGCGGAACATAGACTACGACTACACCAGCGCTGGAAAGACCAAGCCTACGTTTGGAGCGGTGCGAGTCACCGACTTGCTGAAGTCGATCACGACGCAGTACGAAAGGGTCCGCACCTTCAAGCACAAGATTCGCTTTTTGATAGGTATTCAGCTTGATATCTTGGATGAGTTCCATGATCGCCTTCGTGGCTCACTTGAAGCCTATCAAGCCCTTACGTCAACTGTTGGTAGGACTCTCCATGGGGTGACGAAGGAACAGCTTGCGGCTCTCGAAGGCACAGGTGCCCTAGAGTCACTATGTAAGGTATATGGTAGTGCTGACCACGTTGTCAACACACTTAAGGACTGGAGTAACGAGGAGTTCTTCGTTACCCTATGGGATCAGCTCCAGGCTCGTGCAACCAAAGATGGCGAGCCTTCGAGGATGTCTGGCGACATGAGCTATGAGGAGGTCAAAGATCGTACTTCCACGGCGGTTGGCGCCGATACGGACGATGGTATTCTGTTCGATGAGACGATTGCTGCATATAGTCTCCGACGCAAGACGGCGCAGGACTTTTTGGTCAATGCTCTTTCCGACTCTCACTACAAGGCCTTCCGAGCCTATGCGACGCGCACTCAGTGGACAACCATTAGTGACGGTGGTTCAGAAAGTAAGCAACGATACCAGAGATAAATGATGAAGTCTAATTCTCTCGCAGTTGACCCCTCACAGCTTGCCATCACGCCCGAACTGGATGAGCCATTGAGAGTGAGTACCCTTCTATATGTGTAAAGGGACACTTTCCTAACGACTTCCAGATTTTGAAACGCAACCTCGATTTTCTGGTGAAGGCCATCGGCACCGCGCCTTTCCGCCGTACATGGCGTTCCACTCTTGACAAGCTCCAAGATCTGCTATGGGGAGAGGTCCTTATGAGGGCGAGCTTCACAGCATTTGGTGCCGCTCAATTCACCCGCGATGTCAATGCTATCTTTTCATTGATTGAGAGATACATTCCGAATGGAGTAGCTTCGATGGCGAGCTTGGTTGACGCCTTGAAGCTTCTTAATCTCCCCACAGAGCCTGCAGAGGGTGCGCTGTCACTGAAAGAGGCAACTGATCGAGTGTTCACAGACAACACTGAAGCAAAGAAGACGCTGGAAGAGCTGGATATTGACACGCTCACCCCGGCAAACGCGAGGCACATTCTACAGCGCAGGGTTGAGAACAAAGAATAGTTGGGTTTCCTCCTCAGGTCGTGTCTAGACATTCGGTCCGGCAAATAATCGGCGCCGGGGCTTCTAGACTTATAGAAAACAAAACTTTTCAGAGGTAATGCAATGAAATGCCCAAATAATCATGCATGTGTGCCTTACCCAGTTTTCAGGGGTGTGTTGGGATGCAGCAGCCTGGTGAGAGCGACCGCTGCACTCAATATAAGGCTCCGCAACAAGGCGGTCCGGCAAACCAATCGATTTGGTGTAGTGGCCAACGTGAAGCCATTGATATCATAGTTCTTGCGTCAGTCATATTTGCGCCAGTGGTAACGGGCATAGTTCCTTGAACGCAGGCAGCCATTTCTTGTTCACCCATGACCGCTATTCCGACAGCTGAAGCAGTAAAGGCCCTCACAAGGCAGTTATTGCTTCCACAGAAAGTACTCAGTGTTTTCCCTCGCTGCTCTGTCGGAGCTAAGTGTTTATATCTGCGATATTGATAGACAAACACAGCTCCGCATGCAGCAGAAATCTCAATCTGTTGTATTAAAAGACGTAGCTGCACCTAGTGTTCTTTACGTGATGGTGAAGACTCAAACAATACGACCATCGAGTAAAATCCTGATAGCCAGAGATGCTTGTAAGACACACTTGCAAGCTGTCATCTTTCTGCTTTACTCTGCAAAGCACCACCAGTTACACGCGTGCGAGTTAAGGAACATGATTCTGACTGTAGGGCCTAATGACAACTTGATCGATCTTTGTCAAACTCAAGAGTTCAAAAAACCGAATGAGTCTTAACAAGTGGATTTGATGGTTTCATCTTAAAAGTTGGCGGCAAATAATCGATGTTTGTCGTCTACTGGTCCGTCTGTAAACCAAGGTTCGGACATTTTTTCCGAGCGTGCACGTATCAACCACCGAATTTTGAGTATAATGCACTTCCGCCCTTTTTCTCCGTCGCTATCCGATAGTGCGTCTCTTCCTTTGACCCGTGCAGCTTGCGATTGCTCTTATGGAAAAGTTAGTCAGGTTACTTCATTATAAAGGCAGGAGCGTAGAACCACAAAGCAAGCATTTTTCACATTCAGCAATCACCCTTCGTTCAGATACAAGATTGTCCAACTTCAGCTGAAATCTAACAGATAAATAATTTCAATTTTTAAGCATGTACAAGTACACCAACATCTCGAAACCCTTCTCCATCCGCCCTCCCCAGGGTGGTGTTAACTGGATTGAGATTCCTGCTCTTGACGTGCCTACGCTTCAGGTAAGGCGATCTTGAACTCTTGTCGATAAGCGCGAGAAAAGTAGCTAACAAGAAGCGACTTGGAGCAATTTTATAAATCAGTCTTCCCATCTTGGCAGTTTGGCAACTCTGAGCGACACGACGAACAGTTCATTTCGTTATTCAAAATCGAGGAGCCTGCTTGTAAGTTGTGCATTTTAGAAAGACTCAGTTGCTTCTGCTCACGCGCTCAAGACATCGAAGGGGCTATCATCAAAGTGAATGATCACACTCTGACTTCTACGAATAATGGAACTGCTGAGGCGGTTGGCATGACGGTGTACTTCCTTGTTGATTCCATCGCTGAGGTTGGTTCCCGTGTTCTCACCTTGTGGTTTGCATAAGAGTAGGCCTGTGTCGCTCGTCGCATTGGGCTACATCCTGAACTAACGTACCACAGACTCATGATACGATCATGGGTCTCGGAGGAAAGCGAATACTGGCAAAGACTGACGCCCGGGGTGACGGATGGTACGCTAAGTATCTCGACCCTTCTGGCAATGCCTTCAGCATCTACGAGGTGGCATTTCAGACCTGAAAAGAAATTGTACTATAATCAAATACTGAAGCTATTTTTATTCATAAGTATTCAGGTTGGTTATTGAAGCCCCAAGTTACTAAATCTATGGCATGTTTGGTCGTGTACTTGACTCTTGTGGAACTCAATATTGGGATGCCTTGAACCATTACACGATTTTGTCGTACATACGTGGCAGTTTCAGAATTCGCAAAAGCCCAGGCTGCTATCCAAGCAAACTCACAGCTTAGTGGTCTTGAAACTTTTCTCAATTGTTTGTCTTCTTTCTTTCTCAACTGGCTATAAACTTTCTTTAGGGGCCGTACGCATCGCACGTGCGACATGCGGACGTAGTTAAAAGAATAATAACTACTAGAGTTCCGACGATTTTAAAGTGTGCCTAATTTTCCATCCGTGAAGTACTCATCTTCCAAATACTCAAAGTGCCAAAGTTCTGGATTGTAGTCGATTGGAAGACCCCAAGTGTTGAGGGTAGGGGTAGCGCTCTGCAAGTTTGGATTGGCACCCGCAAGACAAGGTTTCTCAAATACCAAAGAGGTGTCTCCTGCAAGAAAACCACTCTCTTCTCGCGACATTTGCTGCGGCACTTCCTCTTGTAACGGCATTTCTGGTAGTATCGCTGGCGAGTTTCGAGAACTTTGTAGAACTGAGGATGCCACTGATGCTAGGCTCTTGACGACATGATACAATGGCACAGTCTCGTGTTGGGGATCGTAAGTCTCAAAAAAGTGAACCACGGTCTCTAGAAGCTCCAAATCTTTGTAAACCTGCGGGCTGAGCCTATTCTGGAGGATGCTGACAAAGAGTATGTCAACGCTCCAAGAAACCTGATAGAGCAAGTGGCTGGAACGATGTTAGCGTGGGTCCTCGCTGGAACCAGGTAATTGGTTTCTTACATTGTAAAAGGATGTTGGCTTGGGTGTTGATGTAAAAGCAAAATAGCTGCACGAGATGCACTCACACAAAGTGGAACGTTCGGCATCAGGTCTTCGACGGTGTTGTCTTGGATAGGAAGCCGAAATGCGGCGGAGTGGATGGCAACTGTTGCGATAGTTGGAATACGGAGCCGTGTGGCACTTCCAGCCACACGCCCGCCAGGCTGAGAGGCCCAAGCCTCCCAGACCCACGTGACAGGCCAAGGGGGAATATCCCCACCTTCTAGTCAACAACACCACTTTCAACTATCATCATGAACCATCGATTAGAACCAATTTACTGTTATTTGTTATTGACGAACGGAATTCCGTTTCACCCCCTGTTTCACCCCCTGTGAAACCTACACTGATCAGTGGTAAACCTCACAGTTGCCATTAATTTGGTTAACTTCACAATTACCACTCTGCTACGGACAAACCGCAGATCAGCAAGGTCAACACCAGAAGAGACGACTTCTTGAACTGGATACCCAAGCCCAGGTAAAAGTAGGGATTTCGTGCTAACGAGAGAAGAAGCGAGAGTAACTGGGATCTACGGAAACCAGCAGAAGAAAGCTTCTTTTCCTCGAATCTACCAGCAATCCGATTATTCGAGTAACCTAGGGACTGCTACGCTCACCCTAGGCGGGATAAGGTTAATCGCAGCCAATTATCGCTGGCAAGAGCGTTCCATCACGCGTTTTCAATCACCAGAAGAAGAGACCTACCGAATCGACGGTCTTCCAACCTCTTCACGCCACAAGGGCGAAGATTCACGAATCCCACAAGGGACAACAACTTCCCCAACTACAACTATCCCCCACGCGCGGTGCCAATCACGAGGCGCCCGCTAGTTTCTCAATAAATCCCCAGACGAGGTGCCAACCGCGAGGCGCCTGCCACAAGAGACCTCCCCACTAGAAGAAGAACACGCCGAAAGGCGAGCGGAGACTACCGGCGGTAATCCGCCTATACAGCTATACGTATACGCCTCCGAGGCTGCGGCTTAGGAGAAACGCACGTGGTTGTGGGCGTCATAAGGCCAACTGTCCGCTAGATTCTAAACTTCCCAACAGTGAGGAGCGAAGCCCGAAGCGAGAAAGAGAGATTCACGAGAGAATCTACGGTAGAACTCTCTCCCTACCAATTCGAGACCTGTGTATACCCTCACACCCCTCGAGAACATCAGCGAGAACGGCGCCGACGGAAACAAACGACGAACCGACGAAAATCCCCGATTTCACGATTCTTTCCCCTTAGAATCGTAATATCCCGAATCGTCTTTTGACTCCCACTTCCAGGCCTGCATCTTGCACCAATCGCAGCTGACGCTGTTGAGGATTAGAATTCAAGATTCTAAACAGAAGTAATCCTTTTATACTGTCAGAATGGAGCGAAATTCACGAGAAGGATCGCCCGCGAGCGGCGTCACTGCCAAAAGCCAATCAACAGTCCCCATCCCACAGAGAATCGAAAGTATGATCGATCCAGCAGTATGGGGCAACTGGGCAATCGACCTTACAAACGCTAGCCCACAGCAACTGGGTTCCTATATGGGTTTCCTACTTGAGACCTATGAGAAGAGGAATCTCACGGGCCTCGAGCTATGGAACGAAGTTTCTCCCGATTTCGCCGACTGGTCAGAAGAAGACTTCCAGAACGTACCTCCCCCAATCCTACGATTCTTCAGAGACCATTTAATCGGTAACGGCGTCTACGTCGAAATGGATGGCAAGAAAATCTCGAAAAACGTGGCATTAGCCCTCAAAAAGGAAGAATTCCACTACTGGTCACCCCAAGAACTCGAACAAGGCGTCAAGAGATATCGCAACCTGAAGGCTCTGATAAAAGACCCCGAATTCCACGAAGAGATCACGAGACCGGCAACAGTAGCCAACAGCACAGGAGGAAGAGTCGAACCAACCCTACAGCCACCTCCTCCACAAGAACAACAACAGTGGCAACTACCGTACCGACCGCCACATCCCACGGTCTCTCCGTTAACAGACTTCCAACCATACGAGTCAACAGACCGTATCGGAAAGCAATTAACAGAATTCGCGAAACTATACCCCGACGATATGAAATACAGCGGCGATATGTACGATGTACGCGAAAAGAAGGGCTGGACCGGACCGTTTACTTTAGCAGCCATAAACGGCGAAACCTGTACTGTCGATACGCCACGTGGTCCGAAGACCTTCCGGTCTACCGTAGTCAAACCATACTACGAAGATCCCGATCAACCACCTAATTCCATCGCCGCGCCAGAAGAAGAAGAACCCGAAGCTGAGATACCGCAGCAGGAAGTAGTACGCGACGAAATTATCGTCGCCGGCGGAGGCAGTGAACCGGACGAACCGCAAGAGGCACCGGAGCCACCGAGAAGACGCCCGGGCAGACCCCGGAAGAGACCACTGCCAATCGCCCACTTCACAGAGGAATTCAACGATGACCCGGATTATCAACAAATATTCCTATCGATTAAGGAGCAAGCAGACGAAGAATTGGCAATCAAACTACGACGAGAAGGTGTTATTACTACACCAGGCGAACCGTTCGAACAGTCAACTAAACAAGAGATCAACAGCCTCATCGCTAGAGGAGTGTTCAAATTCACCCAGTTCAATAAGAGAAGGCACCAGAACGTACGAATCTTCCGATCTCGTATCGTCAACGAAGTCAAGGGTAAAACAACCGAACCCTACGAGAAATCGAGACTTGTAATACAGGGTTACGCCGACGATAGCAAGAAGGCTATATTGACCCAATCGCCAACGATTCAACGGGCGAGTCAACGGCTAATTCTGTCAATTACCCCGTCACTCCTACGAGAAGGGAAACAACTATGGCTTCGAGATATCACACAAGCCTACGTTCAATCCTCCACAAGGCTCAATCGTACTATTCTCGCCTACCCACCGAAGCAAATTCAAGACCAGTACCCAAAAGGGACCATTATGGAGGTTGTGAAGCCTCTGTACGGAATCGCAGAAGCTGGAACCCACTGGTGGGCAACGTATCACAAGCATCACAGAGAGAATCTCCAGATGGTTACTTCTTCGTACGATCCATGCCTATTGATCTCATCTACCGAAAATCCACACTTTGGCTGTATCGGCATGCAAACCGACGATACCCTCGGTTTGTCAGACAAGGCGTTCTCACAATTAGAAGACGAACAGTTAGAAAAAGCGGCTTTTACGGCAAAAGCGAAGAATATCCTCACAATTGACGAACCCCTCCAATTCAACGGAGGGATAATCGCGCTGTCAACCGACAATTCGATCAATTTGAGGCAAAAGGGACAAGCCAAGAAGTTACGATGTATTGAGACTACTAAACCCAACCCAAAACAGCAATATGTCGAACAACGCGCCAGAGGGGCGTACATCGCGTCAATTTGCCAACCCGAGGCCTGTTTCGATTTATCCACTGCTGCCCAACACCAAGACCCCTCGCCAGAAGCGATAAAAGCACTGAATCAACGGATTCGATGGCAAATAGAATCGCCTAACCGAGGAATAACGTTTATCCCACTCGACCTTACAACAGCCAAGCTATTCGTTTTCGTTGACGGGTCGTTCGCTAATAACCACGACCTCTCCTCCCAATTAGGGTTTCTGATCATCCTAGCCAACGACACTTCCTCTGACAGCAACAACGGAGAATTCACGATTCACGGTAACCTCGTTCATTACAGCTCTACGAAGAGTAAACGAGTCACCCGCAGCGTATTAGCGTCAGAGATCTACGGGATGGTCGCTGGCGTCGATATGGCCTACGCCCTCGCCACAACCCTGGCGACAATCACTGACCACCTCAACCTACCAACGATTCAGACAGTTGTCTGTACCGATTCTTATTCGCTGTACGAGTGTCTCGTGAAGCTGGGCACTACCAAAGAAAAGCGACTCATGATCGATATCATGGCGTTGAGACAATCGTACGAAAGACGAGAACTACAAGAAATTCGTTGGATTAACGGCGAAGACAACCCTGCTGATGCCCTCACGAAGAGCAAACCAAATCGAGCCCTCGAGAGATTCGTTGATAGCAACACGATAACGATACGTATGGAGGGATGGGTAACAAGACCGTAACTACGGGAGAAAGTAGGGATAGGAGGCCGAATTGACGAGGAGACGGAACTGTATAGGGACAACGTATTCCAACCGCTTCAACACCATAAAAAGAGAGTTTCCAGTGTTGCGATAGTTGGAATACGGAGCCGTGTGGCACTTCCAGCCACACGCCCGCCAGGCTGAGAGGCCCAAGCCTCCCAGACCCACGTGACAGGCCAAGGGGGAATATCCCCACCTTCTAGTCAACAACACCACTTTCAACTATCATCATGAACCATCGATTAGAACCAATTTACTGTTATTTGTTATTGACGAACGGAATTCCGTTTCACCCCCTGTTTCACCCCCTGTGAAACCTACAGCAACCACTGTCTGGAAGTACGCGAAATGCAGGACTGTCAAGATCTTCATCTTGTTGCCTGCTGAGCTGGATGGGACCGCTTCGGCTATCGATTGAGTTATATCTGGAAGCTTTTTGCGCCAGCTTTGAAGCTCGGTGTCGAGAGAAATAATCTCTGCTTCGAGCTGAGATCTAGAAAAGCTCTCGTTGTCAACACGAGAGTAAATTCGACGCCAGATTCTCCCCTGAATTTCAGCCAGCTCAGCTTGCTGGCGGAAGTAGTTGACATGCACGTTGCCAGGGTAGTAGAAGATACTGTAGCCGTCAAGAGGCTGCGCGTCGGGTAGGTCAACGAGAAACTCCTCGCTAATGATAGGAGGTTTGCCGATCCGGAGCATTAGATCACGGTCGATAATGTAAGCATGCCAAAAAAGACGTCGGCGGTGTAACATGTCTGCGGCATTGAGATCTGAGAGGTTGTCCTTTAGGTGATAACCCGCCAATAAGACAAGCTGAACGGTTAAGCCTAGAAGAGATACGGCAATGTGATTATCTCCCGTGAAAATGAAATAGCGAACCTGTTAACAGTCAGAATTGCTGGTTCTTTAGTTTGTTCTTTCATCTCAAGTTATAAATTCTGATGTTACTGGAGACTTACCAAAGAGATGAGGGAGCCAATAGTCAACGGATCGGGCTGTTCAATAAGGGCGCTTGGCAGGTATCGGAGTGCATTGAAAATGTACTTCTCATAGTCCCAAGCCACTTGCATTTTATCACGTTTTCGTATGGAATGTGCAACAATAACATTCAAACACATGCTAGCTCCTACTCTGGTTGTAGGCTCCCCGTAAATGTGTTGCTGTAGCACTTCACGTACTTCGGCTGCTCGAAACACTCCCAAGGCATGGTTTTGAGAAGCGAGAAAATCTGGTAAAGAAATTAATCATATGCCCACTTGCAGTAACCAAGGGAAATGCAAAAGAAAACAAAATACAGACCGTCCACAAGGTCCATCGCAATATTATTGGGAGGGAAATGGTGTTCTACGGCATCAAAAACCTGGAGTGTTGGACGCCCTGGGCGTTGCCGGATTTGGCGCAGCACACCTTGGATCAAGTTGGAGAATCTGCTGTCTCCAATGATGTAGTCAACCTTCTTGGCACCTTCTGGCGACAACAGGGAGCAAGCACCTATGATAATATAAATGAACGTAGGAGGCCTCTGAAGGAGAGAGGACACTCACCAACGGCATGAACGCTTGATTCGCTGAAAGCATTTGAGTAACTAGATCTCTCTTTTGTTGCCTGTTGATAAGATGCCATATACTTAGCCGTTTCCCTGCCGCTGTTGGTAGGTGGGTTGAGTTGTGTCACCGCGTCAGTCTGAGATGTTTGTTCAACTGTTGTGGTACCAGAAGGTATACCCGAGCCCTGAGATTTCTGGAGCTGCTCAACCTGACGTTCCATATCTGCCAATCGCCCAAACATGGCTTGGGACATTCTGACTACTGTCAGTGTTATTCAGCGAAAGAGCGCCCAGGTACCGCACCTTTGGTATCGCGCAGCAGTCCGCCTCTCCGGCCAGAGACAATCGATTCCCTGCCTCGCGCAGTTTGAACAAATCGGGGCTACATGGTCGCATTTGACCTGCTGAAGTTAGTTTCAGTAGCCTTATGAGTGCCATCGGTGGAATCGAAACCTTTCGACTACGACAATTCGTACATGCAAGTTTGGGCATATTTTTATTGACTTTCAAGGTTTCAAGACAAAGATTTGCCTCTGAGTCTGAGTGGTTGGTAGGCAATAGTAAAGCGGTACTTGGATATAATCAGATCCAGAAACGACGTAGAACGGTAATCGTTAGTTGTATTTCACAACAAAAAGCAGCGAAAGCGACGGCAACTACATGTACCGTACTTGGTAATGACTGTTTAATTAAGTTTCTAGCTCTGCGTATGAGCGGGGTTCGGTCAACAGCTGGCGCGCTCGGATGTCCGTTCTTAGCGTAGTGCATCACCACGACTATATGCGGCATATCTAGGCATTCTTCGTCAGAACATCGCAGTCCAACCAGAAAGTAAATTATCAACTTACATGGAAGATTATAGAATAACAACACCAAATGCTTTAATAAGAAAATGAGAATAACTCTTCCCTATGTCAGATTGAATAAACCTAGTCGTAAGAACTGTACAAGCGATATGGTGACATGTACGATTTCTTGGCTTTCGACATCGGTACAAGTTTCAATAATAGCTCGATTAGACTACTTCAGCGGGCCATGCAGATTTCCCACTACTACAGAGAGCCACAATGCTAGATTTTGAGGTATTGGGGTAAAATATCAAAGAGGGAGAACAATAATTGTTGCAATAAATGAGAGGCGAAGCTGTGGTGGACACCAAGGACATATTCCATCGTTATTAAGAGTGAAATCTAGCATCTAATCCAACGCTTTTTATCTCTAGTTTTCTGATAAAGGGACTGTTGCCAGATCTATCTTTTCTGAAGCTATTGAAAGAAATTTCCCAACTAAGTTTGCAAATGTGTCGGTCAATATTGATACTAAAAATGTCATGGAATCTTGCAAAGAAAAAAAAAAAATCACGTTGGGGCGGGTGATCGGATGATCGCTCGATTAGAGGGATTGGCTAGAGAATCCAATGCCCTCAATGCTGCTGGCGATGGATAAACTGTCGGTGTTCATGGTTATTGTGATGGGTTGAAGTTAAATTCGATTGTAGTTTAATCATTAGACTAATGTAGTTTTATCACTAAACTATAGCGAGGTATGTACAAAGTTTCATACAGCGGCTTTAAACAAGATCAAATAGTCGTTCCGCTCAGCCATAATACAGAAGTAATCGGCAGAGTACCAGCTTATGAGCGGCGTGTATAGTCAGTATGCCTTGCAGAGGTGCGTGGAAGGAGTGGTCAGTTCAATACATGAACCTAAAGAGACGCACTGTTAAGGATTTCTCTAACATACGAGGGGTATGTACAGTCTATGAAATAGCTGGCCTGTGAAAATAACAATCGTTTTCTGATGCAGAAATGAGAAATGCCGTGGAAGGAAATGAAGTTGAGAGCTATTAGGAAGAATACAAGTCAGTGCCATAGGCCGCCCCACCATGGTGTTGCCAGTCCAGGTGAGAGACTTGGGTTGTGCCCCTCACCTCGGTGAACAGACCACCCGTCAATCGGCTCGGCAGCGGACCGTCACTGCAGCTCCCCTCCACACCGTTGGCGAAAAATCGCAAGCTCCTCCCGAGCAACAGATGATGCGCTGAAGCAGCATCTCGCTATATTCACCATGTCAGCAGAGGGCAAGAAGCCGGAAACGGCTAGGTAAGCACCGCCGAATTTATTCTTCCATAGTTCAAGGTCACACTAACCATTTTTCTCATCGCACAGCAAGGATGCTACGCCCAGCAACCCTCGAGGTATTCCCAAGGCGCCGTTCGTCGACAAGGTCGAGGACTACGTCACGACTCGCGAAGATGTTGAACCGACCCTGCGTAACTTTCAAGAGATGATTTCGTGAGTCGCCCAGCGCTCGAGCAGCGCCCGCCCGCAAGTCGAATCAGGCCGCGACCGAGACGACCAGAGGGAGATACGCGAAGGGACATTTTGGTAACACTTTACTGTGTGCAGGAAATATCAGTTCATGGAACTGAACCTCCAGAAGCGGATGGCTGGTTTGAAGGACAAGATCCCCGACATCCAGAAGACTCTCGACTCTGTGCAGTTCTTGAAGCTCAGACAGGTGGGAGCTATACGATCTGTCGACAATCAAGGATGAGGCGCTGACATGACGAAGGACGAGGAGGAGCCGATTGAGACAACTTTTGAACTCAATGACACGCTGTACTCCAAGGCGAAGATTCCGGCCACCGACGAGGTGTATATCTGGCTAGGCGTTCGTTTCCACCTCCGAACAGAAACCGTGATCGACGAGACTGACCAAGCATAGGCAAACGTCATGCTATCATACCCCATTGACGAAGCCGAGACTCTTTTGGAATCCAAGCTGTCAACGGCGAAGCTGAGCTTATCAAATTGTGAGGAGGACCTGGACTTCCTCAGGGAGCAGATCACGGTACGTTGTGAAATTTATAAGCTAGTTCCGAGCTGCTGGCTAATAAAGGACAGACTATGGAGGTTGCGATCGCAAGAGTTTACAACTGGGAAGTTGTTCAAAAGCGCAAAGACAAGGACGAAGGAAAAGGCGCTGAGAAGGGCAAGGACAAGGTCGAGTCGAACGGCTAGATGGGAATCGATACCAAACAAAAGAACCCGTACTTTTCGCAGCATCAAGCTATCGACGACAACTCATGCAATTGCCCCGAGTAGCTGTTCTCCATGATAGTGAATGATTGCTCACAGGGCAACTGTCAGCCTCGGATGAGCAAATGAATTCAGTGAGAGCAACGAGCCAAGATGGCGTGGCTTGACGTTTAGAGGCAAGGTCCATACAATGTAGCATTTTCTTGGCGGCCCTTTGCCATTTTATAAAGGGCCAGCGTATACATAGGAGCTTTGATCTGTGCGACACCACAGACTTAATCGTCACGGCGCATGTAGGCAACATTTAACTGACAGACGTCATGCCCCAATAGCAAGTTGGCTGGCAGCATCCGCAATCCGATAGGGCAATATTAAGTCGTCAGCCACCCTCAGCGAGATGGCACTGCCACCACCTCAAGTAACCGAATCACGTCAGCTCAAAGAAAGTCTAGAACTGATTCAGTGCTGTGATAACTTTGAGTATACTGTCAACAGGGTAGTGCCGCCTGCCGGAACGCACCAATGTACAGCGCCACTGGTTGCTCGTGGGTTGGCTTCCATGACTTACGTAAGGTCTACTGTGGGAAGACATACGTACTCCGTATCCAGGATGCTCGTGCAAGTGCGGTGAGACCTGGGCGCTAGAGCCATTTTGAGGGGCAACCAGGGGCAACAAAGTGCGGGACTGGTCGCTATGACGAATTTTGGCATACCGCCAGCGTCGTTCACTTTAATTCAACTCCCCAAGGCGCCCCGACATTTGTGCAGAAGATCTCTTTCCCGCCTCTGCTTCCCCACAACCAGCTCCTTTTCCTGAACACCTACTATCCTAGTCAAACCTTTCCCTAGGAACAACAACTTAGCACCTGTTGTTTCGAAATCTCAACCTCATCTTCCACCCCGCGTTTGGACAAAAATCCCTCTCAACCACCTTCTCTGCATCGTTCTTCTTCCTTGTGAAGAAGACCCTTAAAGAGCCCCACCATGGCCCAGAACGAACTCGATCCCAAGTATGACCAGTACGACTACCCGACCGTCGCCCCGACGGCGCAGAGTGGTCATCCTGGCCATCTCACCGAGGAGCAGAAGGCTCAGGTTGCTCAGCTGCGTCTGATGCTTGAGGCAGAGGGCTACAACAAGCGCCTTGACACCTTGACCATGGTACGATACATTTTTGCAGCAGCTAGGTCGCAAGATAATGCGTTGCATGCTCCATATTGGCTAACCTTGGGAAATTTGTAGCTGCGTTTCCTTCGTGCCCGCAAGTTTGATGTCAACCTCGCCAAGCAGATGTAAGCCATGCCCCATTCTCATCGCTCGTACAGCGCCGACTAACCAATTATACCTCCAGGTTCGTTGAGTTTGAGAACTGGCGGAAAACGACCAACCTCGACGCGACCGTCCCAACTTGGGAGTATCCCGAGAAGGCCGAGATCTTCAAGTACTACCCTCAGTACTATCACAAGACTGACAAGGTACTGTCCTTCCAACAACATCCCGCTCGTTCCTGAGACAGCTATTTACAAAGGACTACTACAGGATGGCCGCCCTGTTTACATCGAGCAGCTTGGTGGTATTGACTTGAACGCCATGTACAAGATCACCACAGCTGAGCGCATGCTGACCAACCTGGCTGTCGAGTACGAGAAGTGCGCTGACCCTCGTTTCCCTGCCTGCTCGCGCAAGGCCAACCACCTTGTTGAGACTTGCTGCACCATCATGGACCTTAAGGGTGTTGGTATTTCTCGCGTTCCTCAAGTCTACACCTACGTCAAGCAGGCTTCGGTCATCTCCCAGAACTACTACCCCGAGCGTCTTGGCAAGCTCTACATGATCAACGCCCCCTGGGGCTTCTCTACCGTCTGGGGTGTCGTCAAGGGCTGGCTCGATCCCGTTACCGTCTCAAAGATTAACATCCTCGGCTCCGGTTACCAGAAGGAGCTCCTCAACCAGATCCCTGCCGAGAACCTTCCCAAGTCTTTGGGCGGAAAGTGCGAGTGCCAGGGCGGTTGTGAGCTCAGCGATGCTGGCCCGTGGCACGAGAAGGAGTGGACCAAGGAGCCCTGGTGGGCCAAGCCTCAACCTGCTAACGACGTTATCGAGAACAAGGGCGGCGAGACCGTCACTGCCCCTGCTGGCGGTCAGGCTCCCGCGGGCACTGCTGTCACCACCGACACTGCTGCTGACCCCGCCAAGGCCCCTGCTGCGGCATAAGCGACTGGTTACGATTGCTTGCGTGCAGTGAAGGGCTGATGATGTTGTTTCAAGTATGGGTGCTGGTAGACAAGACGAACCAGTCAAAGAAGAGGCGTTTGCAAGATTTGTTGTTGCATCTAAGATGAAGATTACGGGGTTGGTTGGGAGAAAGGGGCGGTCAAAAAACAAGAGCTTCACCTGTAGAGTTGCTCATACACGTTTTGGTCTGAGTAAATTTGCTACCTTATTTTTACATACTCTCTCTTTCGTTTGGGCTCATTGATTTGGAAGTTCCCACAATGCCAAGCATAGTCCAAGTTCACCGCAATTTCAAACTAACTGGACACGCTGTATTGTTTTTCTGCATGGTCCCTGTAGAAAGATTGTAGTCTTGTACTTGTAGAACGAAGAAAAATTCCCCCAATAATATTCTCATGTTGGTATTGATCTCCAACGCCAAACTCCGGAAAACGAAAAACATCTCCATCGTAAGTCCTTTATGACCGTTCCGTAACAGTGTACTCTCCCGCAACCCTTGCCCTCTCCATTTTTGCAACTGTAGCAGGCATATCCTTCTTCAACTTGCCTAACCCTTCTACCACTGTGCCAAAAGCCTCCTTCGTCTCGCCCTGCCTCTCCATCTCTTCTAATGGAAGCACCTCGGCATCCCGTGCCTTGAGGTCGTCCTCGCTCGCCTTTTTAGCGGCTTCAATTGCCGCCTCGTCTGCTGCGGTCGAGTTCTTAAACGCTTGGGTTGTGGCAGCCGCTACGGATCCAGGGACGCTCTTCTTCAGGGCCGCGATCTCGTTGAGCAGGTCCTCCTCTTCGCGAGCAAGATCCTCAACCCGCTGGCGGAGACGCGCGTCCCAAGGCTCATAGGCTTCTTCGGGCTCGTTGGACGGGGTGTTTGAGAGAAAGACGGCGGGGTTGGTGTCCATGCCATTAATGGAGAGGTTCGGAGCTGCGTAGGTAAAGGTTTTATCAATGTACTATTTGCCGACCAACGTATCTACGGTCAGCCGTTGATTGTTCATGAAGAAATGGAATAATTAAACGCAATTCAGCGTGAGAACTGCCCTGAGCCAGTGGAAAGGAACGTTTTGGCGATGAAAATCGAGAGTCGAAAGTGCAAGGACCGACTTACCTCGTTGACAAGACGCTCGATAGGCGCACGCAACTCGTCTTCCTGCGCGTTGCTGCCCTCGATCTGGGGGAAAGCTTTGTCGAGTTGGTCTTGTGCGGCGCGTCGCACGTTGTTGAGCAGGTACGCCAAGTCCTCATGGGACTGGAGCTCGATCTTCCGATGGGCGTCTTCCATGGTTTTCTCACGCCTTGTGGTTTTCCCAGCAACGATAGAAAATATAACAAAGAAAACGGATGCTTCCGGTCGTAGTGTCAGCGGGCCCCGCCGGATGTCGAAATACGGCGCAAGGCGGAAGCGGTGGTTGTTGTCGGTGCCGGAGGGGATGCCCGCAGTGTTTACTTTGGTCGTAGTTCGGTCGGCGCGCGTCAAGTCCGTCATCCGACCTCTTCCAAGACACCGTGACTGGACCCCTCCCTGTTAGCTCGTGTTATCTTTATCGTCTTTTCTCCGTTATCTTATCGATAGACTGCATGTGACTTAAGCCACATTTGCTGCAACTCCATGCGGTGCCGCACCCCCGAAAATTGCCGAGATCGGACATGACAGCGCAGGTGCCGTAACGGCAATGTGTGAAACACGGGCCACATTGCAGTTCGAATGTGAGAGGGCCATTATTAGTAACCGGACGTGCAAGGGGTGCTTGAGGCCTTGGATTTCGAGGTCTGGCCGCTGGCTTGGATACTTTTAACTGGATGATGTAAGGGTATTCTAGGATCAGATCGACGTTATACGGCGAGGTACATGAAGAATGACGATGTATGTCAAACGGAACAGATGAGACAGTATGCTTTTGGCAAATGTGGGCAACAACTGTTCAAAGTAAACAAGACAACACACTGCCAAAACATTAAAGGACTTCATTCTTAACAGGCTAGAGGCCGTTATTTCTCCTGCCAAGGAACAAAACACCGTCTTCTCTACTATTTATCCCGCCATTTATTTCCCTTTCACCTTGTCGTCGTTCCCCAGGGATGATGCCTTTCGGCGCTATGACAGTTGCAACTGGGACGGACCTGCATGGGTGAGACCACAGCGTCGAATCACGGCGGGGCATGAAATTCACAGTCATGCTCAGTGGCGGGGCGGCGGCGTACACTACCGGGGGTCGCTTGTAGTGGGCGCTGTGGGAGGAACATCGGGAAAGAAAGATGGGGGTCGCAGCGGTAGGCGTGGTTGGTGGTGCAGCACCGTACGTTGTGGTGCGGCCGGCACCCTTACGGGTCGATGGGGCCTGGAACTGGACCCTCTTTCTCAGCTTTTGACGCTATCTGGGGCGGACATGGCGTACATACAGTACGACTCTGCTAGTGAGTAACAGACCACCAAGGTCCAGAAAGATGTCCGAAGGGATTCCCGTTTCATCACAATTCCAAGAATGGGGTCTTACACTTTACTCTGCTTTTTATCTTTTTGGTTCCTTTTGTGGGCATTATCCCGGGTTCATATGTAGAAATACGCCATACCTATCTAAGTCAGCCTCAACGAGGCATGCAGCCTAGAGGCGATTGGCCTCACTCCGATGCAACCCGTGCCCCCCCTAATACTACCGATTCGTGCCGCCTTGGCCTCCTGAACTCTCGTAATTCGGAGAAGGGTATATGCTTGAGAGCACAATCAACATACTATCTTGCACATGAGTAAACCCCCCTCGTGTGGGGAGCACGATGACGGAACCTAATGCCTTGAATAGTGTCTTGTGACTCTATTGTGACTATGAAGATCGCATGGGGATCGAAAAAGGTCCCGGGGGACCCGTACTAGCAAGAAATACACGACCGAATGAGAGAAGAGGGTATGTGCTGAAATACCGAGGGAAACGCCTCAATCCAAGCGAAAACGAAAATTAAAACGGCAACAAACAAATAAGAAATGTAGCTCTCAATGAAACCCATCTCGCCGCAGTAATCCCAACTCCGCCGATGATCCTTCCAAGCCCAGCTAGTATTCGTAAAGGAAAGGAAAAAGAAAAGGCATGACTCCAGAGGGGACAGGGCGCAAAATGCATTTTTGCTCCTACCCGCCTTTTCGGTTTGCGTCGTCCTCAGGTCCGGGCATGGCCGTATCCGCCGCAGCAGTAGTTAAATCAAGTGATAGGCCGAAGAAGAGTCGAAAAGGGTTCAGGTCGTATCCGGACGCCGTGGTATAGAACAGAAAAGGGTGTCTCGTGAGAATTCATGGGTCTAAAAACACTCTGGATGTTGATGTTCGTGTGGTCTCGTCAGGCGGACCCCGCAAGGGCGCCGTTATTGGGGGAACATGCTGTTGATTTCCTCATCGCTCAGGACAATCTCGTGTACAGGCTCCCGGCGATTCTCAAGGGGTACATAATCGCAGTCAACGTATGATGGCAGAAATATTTCTGTACCAGCCGGTCAGCTTAGTCAACTCATGTTCAAGCCGGACGAGATACACACCTGGGTTCCATGCGAAGCCTTGGCTTGAAGAGAGGTAGGAAATCTGTCAAGCCTTATTAGCCGATGCCGACTTACTCCAAGGGCAGAGGGAGTTTTACCAAGCGAGGAGTGCCGTTGGGTTCGCCGATGTTGATGACGGTGCTCTCTTGCTTTGACAGCGCCGAACCTGATCTCAGTATTAGCGACTGGTTAAAGGCTGTAGTTGTGCCGCTCCAAGGCAGAAGAGGCCGGTAAGGCTCAGGCTTCGGAGCTCCAACCCATGGTGGAATGACATACTGAGAAGGCTGGGACGACGCTCGTGAGCCATCTTTTGTTTCTGGGCGGAAGGCGGGGAAGAAGTCCGCGGCGAACTAGAGTACGAAGAGGACGACGAGCTAGTTGCACCTCGAGCTTGAGACGACTGGTGGTGGTCGTGGTGGCCATAGGCATTTGCCGACGACGGGGTCATCGGAATCGCAATCGACGACGACATGGTGATTGGGGTTGAGGTATTAGAGAGGGGAACGAGGACACCGAAGTAAGACGAGAGACCCCAAGAATAGTTTAAACGGTCTGAGTGATTGAGGAAGCCAAGGAAAGCGCACTGGCGGTTCGTTGGTGAGGGGAACCAGCTTGTTTCGGACTGAAGAGGACGAGTTGTTGAAAGAGTCAAGAATGGGGATTAAAGGTACGAGACCGAAGAAGAAGTGTGCTTGTGACTGATACAGTACAGTGCCAAAGTGCTGGGTAAACTGCTGGGACGAGGCCTAACGAGGCATCCGGTGAATCACGCCCACATCATCCCATAGACCTTGGGGTCTGATAAGAGATAGGTGACGGCACTGGAGGCACTGCTAAGGGGACGTATGGACTCCAGCTTAGAGTCTCTAACAGTGGATAGCGGGAGAGACCCTCGCATCATCATGGCAGGGATGTCGATTAGGCTCCATAGTACATGGGGTATGTGGGTCGGTTTGTAGCCAATCGGCGCCAGTCGCTGCCTTCAAGCTGGGTAATGTGCTACAGGCACTTCGCCCTGTTCTGGGCAGGCTGCTCTACCAATCAATTATCCGTACAATGTGAAAGTCACGTGACAATCTAAGCAGTGATCTTCTTCCTGACTAAGCCGGGCTGAAAGGCTGCATGCGTATCCATTGACGCCTACAGGCAAGCTCCGGCAAGCAAGTAGCATCACCCAAGCTCTGAGAACATCAACCTTGCCATCGCCAACGATACCACGCCATCCCCCACGATCTTACTCTCGATACGATCCCAGTACCAAATAAGCTATAACTCTGTTCTGACAAAAGCTTTCGACACTTTTCGACTTTCAGGCACAATGGGTGACGTTTTGGTGGAGAACCCGGCCAACCACGTCCTTCCTCAGAAGAAGACGGCGCCCTCAACAATTCCCAGTATCGAGAATTTTGAGGGCATTTCTACGGAAGGAGGTGATGACTATGCCACACTGAAGAAGCTGCAAAGACAACTGGAGTACATCCAACTCCAGGAGGAATACATCAAGGATGAGCAGAGGTTTGAGACGGAGGTTTGCATTGGATACACGGCTTGCTGACTAGTTTTCACAGGAGTCTGAAGCGTGAGCTTGTTCGAGCTCAGGAGGAGATCAAGCGGATTCAGAGTGTGCCCTTAGTCATTGGGCAGTTTATGGAGGCCATCGATCAGAAGTACGTTGACCCCGCGGCAGACCCATGGCCAGCTAGCTCTCGTACCTCTTGGAAGTCCAGTCAGCTAACTTTCAAACAGCACCGGAATTGTCCAGTCATCGACTGGCTCTAACTATGTTGTCCGCATTCTCTCTACTCTCGACCGCGAGAAACTGAAGCCCTCGTCTTCTGTTGCCCTCCACCGCCACTCTAACGCCTTGGTCGACATCCTCCCTCCCGAAGCCGACTCCTCCATTGCCATGCTTGGCTCCGATGAAAAGCCGGACGTGACGTATGCTGATGTTGGTGGTCTCGACATGCAGAAGCAAGAGATCCGCGAGGCTGTCGAGCTACCCTTGACGCACTTTGACCTCTACAAGCAAATTGGTATCGATCCTCCACGTGGTGTTCTCTTGTATGGTCCGCCTGGAACCGGAAAGACCATGTTGGTTAAGGCCGTCGCCAACTCCACAACGGCCAACTTCATCCGCGTCGTGGGCTCCGAATTTGTCCAGAAGTACCTCGGTGAGGGTCCTCGCATGGTTCGCGACGTCTTCCGTATGGCTCGCGAGAATGCCCCGGCCATTATCTTCATCGACGAGATTGACGCTATTGCGACGAAACGTTTCGACGCGCAGACGGGTGCCGACCGTGAAGTCCAGCGTATTCTTCTTGAGCTGCTTAACCAGATGGACGGTTTCGATCAGACCGCCAACGTGAAGGTCATTATGGCCACCAACCGTGCCGATACACTCGATCCCGCCCTGCTGCGTCCCGGTCGTCTAGACCGAAAGATTGAGTTCCCCAGTCTACGTGACCGCCGTGAGCGTAGACTCATCTTCTCCACTATCGCCAGCAAGATGAGTCTGGCACCAGAGGTTGACTTGGATTCGCTGATTGTGCGCAACGACCCCCTGAGTGGTGCCGTCATTGCTGCCATCATGCAGGAGGCCGGCCTACGTGCCGTGCGGAAGAACCGGTACAACATCATCCAGAGCGATTTGGAGGATGCCTACTCAAGCCAGGTTAAGGGCACGAGCGACGAGAACAAGTTTGATTTCTACAAATAAACGACGAACTACGATCAGGCGCGGACGAACGAGCCGGAAGAAAGGGAGAGGCGGGAGTGGAAGGAAACACTGCTCGCTGCAATGCTGGCGATGTAATGGGATGGACATGGTCGGGAGGAGCAGGGATAGACAACTTCATCAGTCAATGGCTTCGGCGGAGCGGAGCTCGGCGTTGTGTTGTACAATATTCTCGATAAAAAAGCTGCGTTACCACCTGCATGTATTGTGCCACAGTGACTCACTTCGAGGGCGTTCGAGGTTTTCGGACCTGCTGGTGTCCCGAACACGCTGAGATCCGATTTTTATCGAGGCCACCTCGGTCAATTCCTACTGAGATGTAGCCATCTGGGGTATTGACCGATTAATGTACGTGTCACAGGCAAATGTTGTGCTTTTTCCAAGAAGTAATCATCTCACCTGACAGCTCCGCATGACGTGGACATTCGAGTGCATGTTTGTACTGGATAGACGCGAAACATCAAGTTGATGGCTAGGGCTTTCCTGCGTAGTTCTTTCGCATGCCTCTTACAATCACATGCCACCGGGACGAAAACTTGGCGGCCAAGCCGAGTCCTTCGGTGCAAGGACTCGGGCCGGATGAGGGGTGGTAGACGTCTCGTTTCTCCTTAACATACCGTCTCCTTTTCCCTATCAGTTCTCAACTGCAGATTTGACCATAAAGGGAAGGTGACGGTCGCTTCATATTCGTCAAAGGTCTCTCTTGTCTCATCAGATCACGTATACACACACACCCCTTGGCCTGTGATATATGACGACAGGTGTTGCAGAAGTCAATGCCTACTTATTCAGTTTAGCCAGTGACTAGTAGACAATACAAGCTTCACAATATATCACGTGAAAATATAAAGTCTGGTTGAAGTAATCTTTTCTCAATTTTAGGAATCCGAATCCCCTTGTCTAGAAGCTAGCCTTCCGATTTTCTTTTGCCCTACCAAGCCGATTTCCCTTGGTCGTTTTTCTTTTCCTCTTTTCCTTTTTTGATTTCCCTTTTCCGTGCCTCGGCCTGGGAGCCTTATGTCTAAAAAGAATTCTCAGAAATGCGGAAATAAGGACACGAAGAATAGAACAAAGGGCAGGCCATGAATCATGGAAAGAAAAAGTGTGAACAGTGGTGCCGTTAAGGATCACCTCTATCAAAGCCAAGCTCTGCGAGTAAGGCCAGCCTGCCCCACTCACAGCAGCAGCGAACGCTGAGAAAGCTCGAACACGACATAATAAAAAACAAAAAATGAAAAAAAAAAAAAACTCCCGGGATGCTACCGTCGCTGATGCAAAAGTCGTAACGCAACATGAGATGCCTTTGCATTTCTTAAGGGGGATGAGTGGGTATATCTTCTTCCCTTGGCCACCTCTTCTCACTACTTCTTCTTGTCCCTTGTGAGCTGCGGATAAGGTAATCGGAAATTATCCGTTACTCATTGCTGCTTGCTTTCTTATAGTGGTATTCGAGACCAGTTCTGTATAAGAACAGGGCTAAGGGATGTGCCTGCCTGCCTGCTGGCAGGCTAACGTCATGTGGCAACATTAATGCCTGGGTATCTTTTCTCGACTAGTCTCTCCATCTTTCAGACCATGGCAAGTGCCATGGTCGTCTGTATTGTCAACGTATATTTGCCCATATGAAGGGCTGTCATGAGCTCAGGACCACACCAAGTTCAAGCATAAGCTTTACAAACTTGGCGTGTAGCTCAATAAAGAAATCGGGCATGCCAACGAGCTCGGCAAGGCCTCGTGCCTTGAGCGAAACACCGCCAGGGCCGCCTCCCATCCGCCTCGTGAAGCCACCTCCCCCAGTAAGGAAGCTGCTGCCACCACGATCGGGGCCCTCCCTCTCTTGCACATTCATGGTAGGAAATGCACCCTGGTGTTGAGGACCTCCAATGGGACTCGCCTCGGCGGCTTTCTCAGCCTCTGCCTCTGCAAGCTTCTGGATCCATGCGGCCAAGTCACGGAAGGCAGCTGCCATGAAACCAAAGGTCTTCATAGCAAGACGCTCCTTGTGAGTGCTTAAAGCGAGGAATGCATAGACACGTTTGTGACCGCGAGCATGCATGTCGGGTATACGGAAGATGTAGGCTGTGGTGTAGCCATTCACGGGGTCCCCGAAGAATATGGGTCCACCAGACGCAGCAGATCCGGCGCTATGTGTAGTGACGAAGGCGGGCATAGTGCTCGATTGCGGTGAAGCGCTCGGTGTCGGGTTCGCAGGCGCACGAGGAAGAGTCTCGAGGGAGAGGGTCCGTAAGCATGATGATCGCACAATCGAGAAAGACGTCGGTATTAAAGGCTCATGGGTGGAGGTGTAATCGAGATAGTGGGTGTGGCTAGCATGTCTTCCCGAAGACATGCTAGACCTCGTTGTAGTTGAGCCCGTGGCTCTTCGGTGTATTCGTTCGGGGTGCCCATCGCTGTCTGTGTCACTAGCCGAAGACGCTTGGGAAGCTGGCGGAGATGCCTGGCCATATACCCTTGCGTACGGCGCACGAGTTCGTAATGTTGGGCCACGCTCAGCTTTTAGATCGGTCTTGTCCTTGCCGCCCTGTCGCTGCGGAAGTGTCAACGCGCAGTTTTCGCAAGGGCCGGCGCGTTTGGTTACGTATTCGTCGTAGGTTCGTCGGAAGCTCGAGTCTCGTCGCGGCTGCGGTTGCTCCGATATCCGGCGGGGGCTGTCGGGTGGGGTTTCTATGGCGGAGGGCGACAGAGGGGAAGCTGGAGACGCGGTTGCGGATGATGCTCGCAACAGGGCGGCGCGCTGGGTCTGAGCCTCATTTTCTGAAGCTGGCAGGGAAGAGCTGCGGTTGGCATTCAGATGCATCCTGCGTAAGGCGTCCGACATAGCAACGGTCTGGCTTAGTGAGGCCGCTGTAGTTGGGGCGCTGGTCCGGGGTCGGAGTTGTTCCTGATCGGCAAAATTGGAGGCGCCATCATCGAAGCATGTGGTGCATGGGACAGGTAGACCTTCAGTGACCATAAGCGGGGTCGGGCCATGTTGGTCACAGTAGTGAGCGAGGCATAGCTGGATGCCAGTCATTAGCGACAAAGAATTTGGTGGTTGGTGCATTGTTTCCGTGATTCCGCGAGGCGTAACGAAAGAATCTTCAAACGACGGAACACGCATTATGAGGAGTACAGCAACCTTGAGCCAAATGACAAGAAGGGCAGCGCCAACAATGAGAAGCGTGGCGTGCTGCAGGGGGAGAAAAAAAGACAACCTCAAGGGAAGAAGAAGGCCATGGCAGAAGCCGCTCAGAGTCGGGCTGTTGGTACAGCTTATACAAGTTTGGGGTAACAAGTATGAGAAGAATGGGCACGATGGAGGGCAGGCGGTTGCGAGTCGTAACATGCGACCGTGGGTAGAGTTATGTGTGCGAGAGACAGGGGATGACGAGGAAGCGCAGAGAGGCCATGGCGGCGCAGTCTCCCTTTCTTATGGGAAGTTTTAAGGGGGGTGTGGTCTGGGTGTGTTGAATGAGAAAGATGGGGGAGGGGAGGACAAGAACAAGATGGGAGTGAGATTGAGAGACGGAGAGAGAGAGAGCAATGTTGCGTGTGTGTAAGGGAAGGGTGTGGGCTAATTAGGGACGAGCATTATTTGAACATGGGAACAGATAGGACGAGATGAGGAAGTTGGGCAAGGTGAAGCCGGTTGCAACAGGCAGAACCCCGGTCGTGGGGGTGGAGGGGGAATGGTTTCCTGATTGCCGGTGTCTCGTGTCTGGCTCTTGTCTGAGTGTCTGGGCTGAGAGACGGGGAAGACGGAGAGAGGATGGGGATGTGCACTGATATGCGGGAAGCGGTGAAGCGGTGAGTGAGCGGCTCTCGTTTTGCCTGCCAATTACACAACGGACGGGAGGTTTATTGACGGCCGGGGGCAGCAAGACCGCTGCGCTGCAATCAAGATTGGCTGCGTGGAAAGGTGAAGCAACTTGGAAGCTTGCAACTTTGCAGCCGGGGGCCAAAGTGACAATTCAGACAGATGGGGGTAGGAAATGGGAAAGCAAACTCACTATGGATGTCATGACGTATCCCCTCCCCAGGCCGAATCCGGGTGCTTGTTTGTTTCGCCAATGACAGAGGTAGGCAATTAAGCCAGACAGCTAGAGGTGGGAGAGAAAAGAAAGAAATGGCTGCGACGGGGGGGAACAACAACAAGGATGTTCTGTGGCTCGTTGTTGTTTTTTTTGGATTATTTTATTTGGTTATTCGGCCTCACGGAACGACGGTTAGAGGCGGGGGACGACGCGAGGACGGGTTCCGAAGGGTGGGAAACACAGCAATAATAATGATGAAAAAAGAGAGGTGTAGAGATTAAAGTAGCGTTGCAGGAGGTGTATGGATGTGATGGCAATAATAAGTTGTGTGTGTGAGAGAGTGAAAGAGTAAAAGATTAAGGCAAGTGAGAGTTAGTGGGCGTGGGCGAATAAGTGGGTGTGGTGCGGCTGCAGCAAAAAAGTAGGCTTGCTGCTCAAAGTGAAGGCGAGGATGAGGATGAGGACGACGATGGGCGAGAGCCAAGTTGGCTACCGCGAACGCTAAAAGCAGCAGGCCACACACACTAAGCAGTAGCGATGGGCGGGGATCCCGGAAGGTGCAGCTTCGTGTCGTATGAGGAGCGTGGGAAGTCCCGGCCGGATGCGATGCGAGGCAATTCGATTCGATGCTGATGGACTGGCCGGCTTAGGATGGGATGGCCGGTGTGGTTGGCTGGGGAGTGAAGGTCGTAACTCGATGTGGTAACAAGCACCAAATAGCACCAACGGCCGGACTGGCGGGAGGATGGTACTAGGGCAAAATGACAAGAGGAAGTCTCTTGGTAACTAACATTCACGGAAGGGCTGGGACGGCAGTGACAAGACTGAGTAATAGTTTACACTATGGTCTGTTCTGACAGCAGAAATGACACGCGCGCTAGTAATGAGTCGTTCCTGAGTGGCTGTCTTTGAATGAGAAAGCCCGCCGAACAATTAAAGCGACTTCAGAGAAGCTCAACCGGGGCCGGCGGCGGGACATACGGGCAAAGCAGGTACAGGCAAATACGCACGTACCATAGTTCCCGTGGGCATTACATATACTACTTGGTAGTAATCTTGTGGTCACCTGGATGTAGTGGGGGTAAGGGGTAAGCTGTAAGCCTAACCTAGGGCCGGTAGGGGAGGGAAAAAAAAAAAAAAAAAGGATGTCCAGAACTTTCTTCTCAGACAGAGCACCTCACAGACACTGTCGAGGCCTTTTTTGACAAAGTTAACCGTGGATTTAGGACACCTGGGGGACTTTGGTTTGGGCTCTGTACACTAGGATTGGGCACTCGCAACTGGGGGTAATCACACCCGGTACTTACTGGGACTAGGAGTCGAAAAGCATGGGGCTCGGGGATGGAACATGGACAGCAAATTGGAGAACACCAAGAATGACTGGCTAAGACGGCGGGATTAGGGCCCGGGAGACGTGGGACGGCCTGGACGACGGGGCCGGGCTGTTGACTCGCTCTAGATCCAGAGACCCACAGGTCGAGAGGCTCCACGATGTTGTAGGCTGTTCTTTTTTCCCTCTCTTCTTTTTTTTTTTTTTCATCCTTTTTTAAGTCTCATTCGCTTGCAAGTGGGGGCTGCTGTCTTGTCGGTGCCAGTGAATGGCTGCAAGTATAACGTTTTGATGGAGACGACGATAATTTCTTGTATGTAAACAGTTGCCTCTGCAGCGGCGCACTAGTATCGAAGGGGCTTCGCAGCGGAGTACGCGTCACAGCGTCTTTGGGAGTGGCCCTTTCGTACTTGATATGGCTTAAACAGTAAACTCGCACACTGCAGCCCATACATTGTAGGTTGCAAGATCCGTAAGGCATGATTTCAACCTCTGTAGCTGTGAAGGGAAAGAAACGCTAGTGGACTAATACGTGTAGAGGTCTGGGTTGGGGCGCAACTGTACCGACTGGAGCCGCAGTGGAGGGTTCGGGAATGCCAAGTGGCGGAACTGTCGGTTGATGATGAATCGACTGCCGTTCCAGATTAGGGTGTAAGGTCGACAGTCATCCACGAAATGCTCTGTGTCCCCCGCTGCCTCTTCCGTGTAGTATCCGTAAACCTAACCACAGTATCTGCCGTGAGCAAGATGTCCCAAGCATGGCACAGGTGGTAGGTAGTCTCCGTCTAACTCCGCAAGTAAAGCATTCCGAGTTCCAGCTCTGCTCCGAACAACGGCCCATGTTGGCGGTACAGCTTTCTTTTTCCGTCCCCTGTATGTTGCCCGACAGATGAGAGGGCAAGGGGGCTCTCTTCGCTCTCCTCTCCGACGCGACCATCCACCCCTTGGATCGGACAGGAGCAGAAGTAGAAAAGCAGAAACAGTACCCCTGTCGGATGGGCGCTCAAGCAAAGACCCAGTTGGACCGCAAGTGCCATGCTCAGGGGGCGGCCAGGGCTGTATTGAGGTGCAATCGAATGGAAGTGTGAAAGAAGGATGGGGGTGGATGATCATCCACATCTTCCAGAAGGCTTCCAGCCAGTGGGGGGGACTTGGACCGCTCAGGAACAAGAAGGGGCAACGCAAAGCACGGTCCAGGAAAGGAGCTTTCAATTCCCCACTTAAAAGTTGGAATGTTCTTCCCAATCCCGCCAGGAGGGACCTCGCTGTAGGCGAGGCTGTTGCCTTGAACATTTTTATCACATTCTGGGCAAGAACTACCCTCTACTTCACTGTACCTGTACCAAAGTCGCCCAGAGGGGCTTGGCACAATGTGAATAAATGCGAGGTATCCGTGTCGCTAATCTGTCCAGGATGGAAAGGTGTTCAGGCTGACGGATCACTCACTTAGTCTCTCACTGTCGTTTTCCTCCTCTGTTTGTCCTACTGTAATGCTGACATGGTCCATCCTAGGTTTCTTCTTATTTGCTCGGGGTTTCTTTCACCCCTACTCTCTTCCAGGTGCATATCAATTACTTGCCATTCCAGTCATTGACTGTTATAGCGGCCAGGATTGTGACAGGTACAGGCATACCAAGTACAAACTCGGCTCGACTCGACTCGGTCAGTTCCTGAATCATAGACCAGACCTGCTTCAGACATTGGGCAGTATCAGACAATTGGGTAACAAGAACACATGTCTGGCCAGAAATTTTCTCCTAGCCTTACCTTAGCGCTGCCTCGTGATCCGAGTCTCATCTCAAAGTGGACTGCTCCTTCCCTCTCCAGTTCGTGCATTGTCTGGGGTCGATTTTGCACGAGTGTCACTTGGGAAGGAGGGGATGAGGTAATGCGGGGCTGTTTCTGTACCTTCCCCTCTCACACCTTATTCCCAATTCCCACGCTTTGGGTAGTTACACTTGCCATTGGTTGTTGTTGCGTTGTGACTTCCTTCCATGGGTGTAGCTGCAAGTTAAGGCAATGGAAGAAGGCACGTTGCAGGGCAGGCCTGCATCAACCGCAGGGTCCTGGGAGGGGAAGAAAAAAAATTCTGCCACCGCAATTCCCATTTACCGGAGCGAGCTCATTCACTTTCACATCACGACCGCAACTCCCTGCTTCCCCTTACCGCAACATCGGAAACAATACCGGCGGTAAGTTGCACTAGCGCCGTCGTCTTTGACTCATTTGGCAACAAAAAAGACATGGAACCTTACGTATCAAAACTCCAGACGAAGGAAGGACGAGAGCCTCCAACCGGTGGGCCAAAGCCTCTCCCAAACATAATCCCCTCCGGCTGATTTGTTTGGTCTTTCCTTCGCCGCCCACTTTCTACTTCACCAGCCTTGACAAAAACACATGTGATCACGGTGCATGGCATATCGGGTGGACTCTTCGCTTTAACGGTCAACCTGGCGGTGCCAGACTCGGGTCATCCATGGAAACACCAAAACGTTACTACCTCGTCCTCACATTGATTTCGACGGGAGAACCCAAGATATTAGCGAAAATATTTGTATCCACTGTGTCTCTTTGGTTACAGCGGTGTGTATCTCACCTGCGACTTATTTCATCGCTCCCAAAAACAACTCATCCAGGGTAACAACTAACACGCTCGGCCCGCTTTGCCCTCGCGACCGCACACATAATCATTAACATTTCATCGTGCCTTCAATATGCTTCACGCACCGACCTCTCGTCATGCTTTCAGCTTGTTTCTGTCAAGTCCGCCCCAGTTGTAACCATGCCATAGAAGTGCCTAAACTGAGGACACCGACCACTCCTTCACCTGAGAGTCGTCCGCGTCATGCAGCTGTGCCCAGATCTGACCAGCGCGTTGCGTAGCTGTCAGTTCCCTGGAATTGCCTTTTCTCGGGACCCAATTCCTTCCTCTGCCGGACGAGTCACAACCCTCCAGCTTATCTTCTGTTTTATGCCTCCCAAGGTCCGCAAATCAAATCACTGCAGCTCCGACGACACGAGTCCAACTCAACCTCGTTCAAATGGGTTGTATGGGCCCCATGATGCCTCATCTCTTTCTTCTCACCGCCATACTCGCGGCCTCAAAGCTAAAAGTCCCGGAACCCTCAAACGCTACAATCCTTCGTCCCAAAGTGCGACACCTGCTGTTCCGTAAGCCTGGGGGGAAAAAAAAACGCCGCAGCCAGATGGAGCCTCGCCCTCCTACACTCCCAATTCAGCTCCACGTCTCCCTCAACTACCGCCCGTTGGGTCACTTCATTTCACCCGCACGACAATGCAACCTACGTACATGCGCACACAAAGTCTGTGCCATCATGCCCCAATTCAAAGTTTGTTCCGACCTTGAAATACGCCAACAACGTCTGGGGTAGTCGTCTTTCTTGGCCACCGGTTTGGTGGTGAGGAGCACCTCCAATTTATGCATCATGATTGAGACGCTTTCCTCCACTGAGCTCAAGCTCCATGAACCGCTGCTCGGGGAAACGTCACCTGTAGCCCGGGACTAGGGAACCCACTATGTGGACTCTGGTAGACACGGTTACTTAGCAGTGTTCCCACCTTACTCCTGGGCATTAACTCAACAGTTTGACGCTTCATGAGGCAGCATGCTCTTTGCACCATGATGTTCTTTTTATACCCCGCTCATCATCACACATCTGCTGTTGGTAAAAAAGGCAATTACATCCAGGCACACCGGCAATTTTCTTTGGGTGTCACGATACTTCGACCCCAGCAATAATGCAGCCACCTTGCATGGCAGTGTCCGTGCTCCGGGAGAGCACGAAAACTTGACCAGCGTCACAAAACGAAAGACCCCCTCCTTGACCCTCACCGCAACCCTGCAGCCTTCGATGCTCCTCTACCATGTGTCAGGCCCACGTTCTGGCCCAGCCAGCCAGCCGGCTCCTTGCCAATGATGGGTGACGGCATAACGCACAGACATCACATTCACTAAAAGCGATGGAGGTCATCCAACATCAACTTACCACATCAAAAAGTACGGAGTAGCATCCACTACATCATTAACTCCGGAATGCTAACCCAAACAGCTGGCCATGAAGTGCGACGGACGGGCTGGCCCCTCCACCGAATGTGGCATACAGAAAGAGTAGCGACCTGCACCCCAAAACTCCAAGCTCCCTATTCATGCGTCACGCTGCAGTGCTGAATCTGGGGTCTGTCGGCAGGCCCTCATTTGCTGGTTCATCTCGTCTCGATGGCCTCGCTTGTCGCAGTGAGGTTCGCTGCACTTCGCTCCAGTGACCCGAAGGGCTCCGTGCTCTTTCTGCCGTGTAACGACGGCACAGAATGTCACTGCAGCAAGCTCTACAGTCCACGCCAGTCTCGCGCCAACTCGGGGCGCCTCTGACAAGGATCCCAGAAACAGTTCGTCGTTGCACAAGCGTCTTTCAGGTTACGAATGATATCGCGAAGATGTGACGCATCTTTAGGGGCCAATTTTACCAATTCGATTGATTAGCCTCTCTGTAGCATCGAATGTACGAGAGCTGTGACATTCGATACTCCAAAGTCGTAAAGCCCCAACCCAGATTTTGGCCAAAGCCCAACACCAATGGCAAGAATACGAAGAAAGATAAAACTCCCCAGAATACCAAGAACGGCCGGCCCCAAATTAGCCGCGTCGGTCCGAACTGCCCATCACCCACAAATCACATCAGATCATCCAAGCCCCCCTTCCCCCTTTCATCTCATCATCCCCCCTCGCCCAGCAACCCGGCCGAGAGATTTTGCAAATTTACTGTTGCTCTACACCAGGAGCCTGGCCCTGGGAAAGAGGCCCCTACGAACATCGACCATCAATCGCGATTAGCCGACATTCTCGGCTTCGGTCGACTAGCTTCATCGGTGCTTATTTCCCGAATCGGGCCAGGCATTTTAATCACATTTAAATACTACTAGTAATTAAATGGTGCCGGTCCTGCTACCGGGGCATCATCCATTATCACGGAGCCGGGGACCGTGACCCTAGCGGACACAGCTCCGTTCGTGGGCTTTAATTTATCCGTCTCTCTACCCAACACAGGGTCTTCTCTTCTCTCACCTCGCATCTTCGCCGATCCCCCATCTCTGACAATCAAGCATTCACGCAGGCATCTTCAAACAGTCTAGACGGGTTGGGACGATCCCATGTCCGACGATCAGTCGCCGCCAAAGACGGCCGACAGAGACACAATGACGCATCATGCACGCTCAATCCCTCGTCACCGTCACATGGTCATATGTCACACACGCACGCCCCCAAAGAAAGATCAACGCGGAGTTCAATCGGAGAGCTAGCCCATCCCGAGCAACAGGCAGGCTGCGCGAGCATTTGACTCAATGGCTCGGGGCATAGAGCACTGCCAGCTGAGAAGTAAAGAGGCCCGTACCTCCCTTCCTCCCTCACTCCCGTTATCATCCAAGCCCTCGTCCCCCTTCTCCGGCTTACCACCCCTTGTCACCAATCTCACACCGAGTTGCGGGAGTCCCCGGAACCGGTCAAGTCGAGGTTGCATTCTATACGTGGGCACGTACGTCCATGTCTTTGCACATGTGTGTCTGTCTGTGTATGTTCCCCTGCGCACGTTCCATGCGACGATGCTCCTTTCTTCGCGAGATACATCTCCGAACATTTTGGCTTGTCATGTGAATGTCCTCTACTACTGCACCGAGATCGCCGGTTTTCGCTCCCGCCTGTCACATCTATCCCACCATAAGATACCAAAGTCCCATACAGTAATGTTCTTTGTAAGTATTCACCGAGGAGTCTTCGTCCATACATTGCATCACGGCAAACTCGTTTGCTTGGACCTAGACACTTTTATAAGAGGGGGTATCTGGATGTGTATTTTTTGCCAGCGCTCAACGTGGCATTCTTAACCTGGTGGTCCTACCAAATCGCCCATGTGTCGTCTGCGACAACCGTCTGTTCCACGCGCAAGAGAATACAGCATGCGGGCAATACAGCTTTGAAAGAAATAGAGTAAAAATAAAATAAAAAGAAGAAGAAGAAAAGAAAAGAAAAAGAAAACAACCCAATGTATCCGTACACAGTTTCCCATCCCTTTCTGGGTTGGCTGTATGCTCCTGTGAAATAGTCTGTTGAACCTCCCAAGAAAATAGACGCCGATGATGCTGCTTGCTTAGTACAAGTGTTTTGATAAGAGCAGGAAAAAAAAAAAGGAAAAAAAAGAAAAACCCAGAGTTACATATATACATGCCCACACACACACACACACACACACAATTCTTACAATTAATCGTAGTCTCCTCGTAACTCTATCTCTCTCTCTTGCGCCGTTGAACCGGCTATTAATCTGTAAACGACGAGTCCTCGACTTCGAGTCTCTTAGCTGCCGGTTCGCTGTCCCCGTCGCTGTCCTCGACGTCGTATTTCTCTTGCCACAGCTTCCGCAGGACTTGATAGAGGAACAGGTATTGCGCTTCGGCCTGGACCATGCTCCGCCTCTGCTCGCGGAGTGCGTCCACGGTCGAGTAGATGAGGTCGCTGCCCTCTGATGTGCCGTCATAGTCGCCCAGCGCGCCCTCGTCGAGCTCACGCATAAGGTGCTCCAGCGTAATGAAGGTCCCCGTACGGCCGACGCCCGCGCTACAGTGGATAATACGAGGCGTATCAGGACCGGCCGTGTTGTATTCACGCGAGAGACGCATGAGGGTGAAGAAGGACCCAAGGTCGTCGACAGCAGGTACGCCAAAGTCGGGCCACTTTGTATAGAGCATGTGCCATATTGTCCTGTCGTCCTCTTCGTCACCGACACGCAACAAAAGCTTGCGCACCTCAATAGCGCCGTCCTCGAGTGAGAGCAGGGAGTCGAACGTCAGCGTCGCGGTCCAGCCGTCGTTCCAGCCGTCCATCTCGTTCAGCGTCCAAGGCTCCTCTGTCTCGTCCATGGGAAGGTAGGGGTAGCATTTGACTTGGTTGTTCTCGAACATGTTGGTGAGCTGGACGATGACCACGGGCGAAGAGAGCTGCTCGGCGACCATGCGCCAGACGAAGTCGAGGGATGCCTGCGTCGGCCCCTGCATCGCGATGTAACGCAGCGGCGGAAGGTCCTTGTTCGAGGGCGAATTCAGTGTTATCGTTGACGCGTTTACATAGTCAAGCTCGTCCTCGGGGACGCGTAGCTTAATGCGGTTATGGTTCCAGGGCTTGATATTAAAGTAGCGGTCCTGCACGCCCCTGCGCAGGTCCGTCTGCTTGTAGGAACCCCATTTCGAGTTTTCGTCGGCATCGGGGGCCATGCCGGCCGCGAGGCGATTGCGTTCCTGCCACACGAGCTCTTGGAACTTATTCTCCAGGTCTGCGGGCAATCGCGACATGTCATCATCAGCGCCTAGTCCTCGTTTTCTGGGTTTCCAACGCGAGGGGCTCCGAGAGGGGCTCCTACCTGGTGTGGACAGGTCGAGGAAAGCAGGGATCTTAGGCTTCGGCATCCCTGTGCTCTCCTGGCCATCCTTCTCCGACGCCGTCCCTTCGTCCTTGCTGCTGCTGTCCCTATGCCTTGTGGAAGAGGGCGGGGAGGTGATGCCGTCGTGGGAGACGATCGCGGGTGGCGGCGACGAAGGGAGTGAGGCCAGAGGAGGCGAGCGGGCGCGCTTGGCTGATCCGCGGAGGTGGAGGCCGCGGAAAGCCGATTTGCGCAGGCCGGGCTTCGTTGGGGTCGGAGACCGTCCGCCGCTGCTGGTGACTGTAACAGTGGTAGAGGGGTAAATTTGCTGGGGGGAGGAGTGCTGATCCTGTTCGACAATGCCACCACCGTTGCGGGAGGGATGAGGTTTGACGTCGGTGGTAGAGATTGTGGGAATCTTTGGTTTTCTTCGGAACTTTGGGAGGTGATCCATTTTGTTTGCGCTGGGTGGTTTTGGTGGTGGTGGAAGTGGTGCGGCTGAGCTTATCGCGCGGGGCGTATTGGGGGAGCGCGGGGTCGCGGCGGTAAATATGACGGCGGGAGATCGTTTGAGTGGCGGAGTAGATGGCAAGGCTGTAAGGGAGGATAATATAGACGACGGCGACAAGAAGAATGAGGTAACCGACGAGGAGGCGCGAAACACCGGCTGGCGTGAAAGGATGGTTAAGTAGGTTGGAATGTCGTCAGAGGGTTTTTTGGGGGCCGGGGGGGTGTGGTTGTGGTGGTGGTCGGCGGCCTGCAGGAAGCTCCTTTCTTTTTTTGGATATGGTGTGTGGCTCCGGGAGATGGGGAGCTGCAGAGGGACCCAAGATGCAAGCTGGGGTAGTCACAAAGCAAGTCGGGGCTTTTCTTTGTGTGGCTTATCCGCGAGGTTGAGCTCGGTATGCGCGTGTATGTATCTGGTATTTTCCGCCGGGGTTTCTCTTCCCAAATCTTAATCCAGGATGGGGAGGGAGAAGTATAAGAGGGAAAAGAGAGAGAGAGAGAGAGACAAGTGGGTGGGAAGTATCTCTGGTCGTTGTGTGTGTGCTTGTGTCCGTGATTCCCAGCCAAAGGCACGCGCGCGCGCAAGAGAGAAAGGAGGTACCGTCAACCTAAATCAACGGATGATAGGAAGGTAGGGAATGGAAACGGCCTAGCGACGAAAGGTTGCGTTCCTGGCGATCCAGAATAGGTCGCATGGATGGGCCTTCGGAGACGGCGTCGTTCGTGCGTCACGAGTCGTGGCTTTTTAGCCTGTGTCACTTTCTCTCGATGGTGGTGGGGGGAGGGCACGTGCCAGTCGTGGGAATCAAAAGGTTTGTTGATGTGGAATGAGGAAAGAGGGACCAGATTAGGTAGGTATCCGAAGTTTTGTAAACCAAAAATGAAAAGAAAGAGGAAGAGGAAGAAGAGTAGAAGTGTATGGGCAAGAGAAAGAAGGGTTTGGCTTGTCTGGGGGCGGAAATTGCCACGATTAGGAAGACAAGTAACGGAGTAGAAATTTGATTATGATAGTTAAAAAAAAAAAAAAAAAGGCGGGTATCGCTTCGCGCAGCTGTGTCTCTCTTCTCTCTCTGTATCTTTCTTCCGCTTCACACACTCTCTGCCTCTTTTTATTTTTAGTTTTTCTTTCTCCTCGGTAAAAGATTCCTTTCCTGCCCCACGTCGGAACTCTGAATAAGCAACCAAGCTTGTGAGCTGCAAGAATCGGAAGAGGTGAGCAGTAGGGAGGATCAAGAAAAAAAAAGAAAAGAAAAGACAGAGCGAGAGGGAGGCAGAGAGAGGTTCCCAAGAAAAGACGATGGGGGATGGCACCGCAAGATGAGGCTGTTGTACATGTGGGGAGAGATGATATTACTGCGGAGGTAAGCTAAGGTAGGGGTTTAACAGAGGCAAGGAAGAAGAATATGCCATGTTACCATACCATGCTATGCTTCAACCGAGGAGACGGGAAGGGGTTTATTCAGGGATACTACGTACGGGCATCCAGCCGCACAGAGTTGGGAGGTTCCTTGACAAAGGTCACTTCGCTGCGCGGTCTGTTTCCAGCCGAAGGGGAGACGGTAAACTTGGCTGGTTCTCCCCTCCCCTCTGGGCTTTGGGGGCCTCGATACATTTTGCGCGCCGCGACGTGGTTGAACTTTCCCCCCTCTCTCCTCCATCCATTCCACTGCCCCCTTGTATGTAATCTGCAATCTGTAAATGCACCAAGGCTTCTAGGCCAATCGACAGGGTTTCTGGGGCCGGGCCTTGCGTGGTCTCCTTCTCTTGTTGCGTAGTAGTACGGTACCTGCACTTTGGGGCTGATGTGGGCTTTCCCGTCCGCCGCCGGCCGGGCAGGGCGTTGGACAGGGCCAGGCAAGGCAGTGCACGGAGGTTCTGCTGGGGGCTTTCTTTAGGGGTGTGTGGTTTCTAGTGGGGGTATCATTTTCCATTTTATCACTTTTTGTTGGCTTCCCTCCCGGGTTCAGGGGGCGTGTAGGGGGGTATGGCCCCCGCCTGGCCTCCGCCCTGTGTCGCCGCGTCCCGAGGAGCTGGAAGCCCGCTGTAATGGAAAATGAAGCAGATGCAAGTAGCTAAGCAGGTAGGTGCCATTAGGCCTCGGCTTGGGGGCATACTTGGGGGAAAACACCGTGTGTTCCGACCCGTATCCGGGACATCTACGGCATAACCTACGCCGTCTCATTGGCCGTTTCCACTGTGAGTTTCTCGGGAAACTTCCAGCTCAATAGTTTTCTTGTCGCGTTCGCTTCTATCTCGGTATCTTCAAACTTGAGAGTTTAAACTAAACCTCTCGTTGTTCTATACGAGGCAGAGACTTGTTAAGCAAGTGGATCTTTTTTTTTTTTTTTTTCCACGCAAACACTCTCTCAACTCCGAGAGAACCACACACATGAAATCGGAGTTTGTCTTGTCTGGTGATTGGGGGTTGCAGTCGACGAAACTTGCCGATGGTGCTTCAACTGTAAATACATACCTACTCCTACTCAGTGGGTGGCGGACGGGACGGGCCCGGGCTTACTGCTGGAGGCGGAATGAGAGCCCTGAGAACAGTCATTCTGCAACTCTCATTAGTTGCCGCCGGACGTGCTGCTCTTTTCTTGTGGGTATTCCGAGTCACCCGCAGCAAGTTTGTCTGCAAGTCATATTCGGTCATTTGCCGTGGTGGCTAAGATTAGCAGCACCCTTTCTCAACTGTACACGTATACGTGACCAACCAACACGAATCAAATGGGCAAGCTTGACGTGCCCGAAACAAGGGAGGCAAACAGGGCAAATCATCTACTGTTGCTGCCGTTGCCAGTTGCGATCACTCGCCCCATTAGAGACATACTAATTAGTTTACAAATCTCCACGCAGCGCAAACACACACCAACCAACAGGCAGCCAGCCCATGCCACGTTTGGGCCTGAAGCTACTAGAAATAACAACACAAGTTCAAGTTGATACACGCAACCACCGGATGACAAGCTTCTAGAAAAAGTCCGTCGGCTTGGACGTCGTCGCAGTAGAGCCAAGAAAGAAAGAAGAAGAAAAAATGGGGATGAAAACCTGTCACTACCAAGCCGGCCGCCAAGCCCGACGCGCATTCGCTTGAAGTTGTCGTCCACGGCAAGTCTTTGCGCTCAACTGTGTCATTCTGTTTGTATGCTAATTACCACATAAAAACATGCACGCAACATATGGACTTTGCAAACTCTTATTCCCGTTCCAGGCCTTTTCTTGCCGCAGGCCCAACTCCCTTTTGGAAACAAGCGCCTGATCTTTCCACCCTTCTTTAAACACTGCCAAGCACAGACCAGACTTCAGATGATTCACCTCTTGCAGCATCTGGCGGCGATCTACCGGTACAGCACTTTCATCCTTCCATCATCCCCCTTTTCTCTCCCCACCCGCCGCTCTTTGCACAAGGATAGACCCCCGAGAGATGATGTACCACAAATACGGTTAAACACATGATGGAGTAAATGAAAAAGTGAGTTGGAATTGCCAAGCTTTCGAACGCGTTGCCGAGCGGGAGAAGAGAGCTGAGGTGTGAGGCTGCTTAACTGAAAACACCTCTGACGATATCGACGACGCACCCCCCTTCCACCCCCTCCAAGTGGCCTATAACCCCTGCCAGAACGCCATATCTCGACAATAGAAGCCCTCGCAAAGACCCTTTTTTTCTTTCCCCTAGTTGAGTTTTGTTGGGTAATATTACATGGTTAGATCCTTACAAGTTTCCTAATGGCACATTCGTCTTTCTCTGTGACTGTCACGGACCTTGATATCCCTCCACCCCGGTGAAACATATACAGTCGCCGATGCCGTCATAACAAGAGCCTAGACGCCCGAGTAGACGGCCGTCACGAACCGCCCACACTCCACCCTCTGCTCCAAGCTCACCTTCCTACCCTTGCCATCCTCGCCCAGCCGGACCGTTTGCCGGGGCGTCAGCTGGAACCGGTGCATCTCGCCGCCGCGGCCCATGAGCGCATCGCTCGCGCCGCCGTCCAGCGTACCAATGTAACTCGGCGTATTGAGGTTGTTGCGCTTGCCGGTTCCCAACTGGTAGTGCTCGTTGCCGCCCCAGAAGAGCACATCCGCGCCCCAGTTGGTGTCGCTCTCAGAGCCCTTGGATCCGGCGCCTGTTCGCGTGACGTTGTCCATTGTCGCCGACACGTGCGTGCTGCCGACGGAAATATTGGACAGGCGGATGGGCGCCATGCCGTTGGACTTCTCGTCAAACTCAAAGAGCGACGAGAGGGCCTTGACCTTGACTGGGCCAGGAGTGACGTGTGTCCACTTGCCGGTTCCCAGGGCTCCCAGAACGCCTTGTCCGCAGGCCCAAAGATCCGCCGTGACACGCGGCATGCGGCGTGAAGGGGAGACGTCGCCGCTGGTGTTCTGATTGCCGGACTCGGTAGCGTCCACTGTGAAAAAGGTGTTCAGTCCTCCAGCGGCAACGGACGTGATCTTCGGGACCAGTCCGCTATTGGCATAGAGCTTCGCAATGGGCAGGAGGGACGGTACATCCAGCTTCTGGTAGGTCGCGTCGTAGGGGAATCCGAGCTGGCCGAACGTGTTGTCGCCAAAGGTGAAAATCTTTCCGTCCTGGTCCAGAGCAACCGAGTGAAGGTCACCGGCGGCGATCTTGGCAATCTTGAACCCGGAGAGACCGCTGATCTCATGGGGCTGGTCGTAGGGACCCTTGGGGCGCGTCGCCCAGGTCAAGCCCGGAATGCCCAACTGGCCCTTGGATGGGAACTCAGACGTGCTGGCAGCGGCGGAGAAGACGCGTCCCTGGGACGTCAGGAGCAGGCAGTGCTGCAGACCGCTCTTGATGTCCACCACCTTTTCACCGCGGCCCAGAGATTTGGGTGTCAGGTTTCTGAAGTTGACACTCTCGGGCCCGTTCGAGCTCCAGAAGGGGATCCAGGATGATGACTGCGACTGAGGCTCCAACTTTGCGCCGACCTCTTGGTCGCTACGGGATGCTGGAAGAGAGTAAACCGAGCCATTTGATGAAAGAGCAATGATGCGGTCGTTGGAGACAGCAATCTTGGAAATGTCCTTGCCCTTGAGAGTCTCCTGAGGCGTAGGGTCCTTCTTCGAAAAATCCAATCCCCACTGCACAACGTCACCCTTTTCCGTGACGGCGGCGCCAAACCCCTGAGTGAGCTTGATGTCCCGCAACAGCTGGCCATCAAAGTAGGAGATCCTCCTTGGAAGCTTGACGACGTTCTCCTTGGAGTTGGGGTCAATGACTTTGCCAACGTTGGAGCCCCAAGCATAAACGCCAGGGTTCTCCCAGCTCTTCTTGACCTGGACGTGCTGAGAGCTGATAAGATCGCGATTCTCCTCTGCTGATTCGGAATGCTTCCTAGCCTTTTCGAATTCGATTTCTGCTTTTTGGTACTTTGGCTTGCGGGGCTCAGCTTCCTGCTTGCTCTCGCCGCTGAGCAACTGCTTGAGAGGCCCGTTCATAGAATCGTCCAGATAGTAAAGACCGCCACCGACTCCAGCTGTAAGGAGCAAGGGCACTGCTTTCCTCAGTCCCGACTTCTCACCAGCTCGATGAGAACCTCCGCTGGCGTAACGCCATTGCTGGCGGGCGACCGAGGAGCATCTCTGCGCTGTAAGAGACGCGCGAGCGTGAGAAGCTACTCTGCAAGCTCTCATCGTCTAGCTTACACAGTTGACTCAAAACAAAGATGATGTAGGATGAACGACGAGGTCGTTATTAAGCCAAGTTCATAAAACCCGTTGATAGAGCACCGTTTGATCGAGGTGCTGCCGGGGACGTCGCTGACAGGTCGTGAGGTCATCCACGAAAACTAAAAGTTCGATTCGCCAGCACTTAATCTAGACTTTCAGACCCCTGTCCCTTCAGGGACTGTGCGCCCCACAGCGGGTGAACATGCTGCGTTGGCCCCACTCCCAAAAAAACCGTCGCAATTGGGGCCAATGATTTTCCGCCCAGTTTACGGCAAGGAAGCTGAGCTGGCTGGAAAGAAGGTCGGGTGGGAACATTGAGCGGCGCCAGACCGGACACGGACAGCTTATCTCGATCACCACCCAGAGCTCTCCCCGAGCAAGCCACGATGTACGACGATTCCTGGTACAGCTTCGTGCCGGATGTGGCCAAGAAGGCTGCCTCTGCCGCTCAGGGCGCTGGTCACCGCCGCAAAGAATCTCTGCTGCAACAGCCCAACGTAAGCTCGCACTGCATCCCATCCCCACTTCTGAATAGTATGTTGATGATAGCTCCTTTTGTAGGGTATTGCGCAAGCTTCCGATACGCCTGAAGCTCTCGACGAGATTTTTGAAGAAATAGAAGACACAAACACACCCCCAGAAGCAACAGTGCTACGACGCGCCAATTCCTACTCCGACTTCTATCATGTTGTTCGAGCGCAATTGGCCAAGGATGAGCATAAGAAGAGACGGAAGCGGAGGAAGGATAAGAGCTGGGATGCGTTGGATGTTGCAGCACAGGTCCATGACGCCAGTGTGAACCGTCGCCCAGTGCTGGATCAATATGACGAGGAGCTTCTTGAAGCTAGCCAGCAGGAGTATCTGTAGGTTGTCCATCCTAGTTCGGAGGGGTAATTAGTACTGACTTGGTAGGCTCTACAAGGATCAACTAACAGTCACCGAACGACATCTTGACGCGCTCATTGAGGACACCAATGCGGCTCTTAAGCTCCTGACGACGCTATCCGAGTCCTTCCAGTCCGTCGAGGCGCAGACATCTTCGTTTCAGTCCCAGTGCGAGGACCTGCTGTCTGAGCAACACAGGCTCGAGAAACTCGCGGACGAGGTCGGCACCGATATTCATTTCTACGTATATCTTGATAACGTCACGAGGCGTTTGAACGCCCCAGGCGCCGGCCGACTAGTTGACGATGATTCCTTTGGTGAGGTCCTCAGGAACCTAGACTCTTGCATAAACTTCATGTCCACACACGTATGTTTTCCGTTTCCCGCTACCGCACTGCTGCTGACGCAACAACGCTAGACCACTTATCGCGATGCCGAGTCTTACCTTGCTCGGTACGAATCTTTGCTCACAAAGGCACTCCACCTACTCGAGGTTGGCTTCACAAACAGACTCGACGGCATTTCATCAGAGATTGCCAGTCAAATTGCGGCAACGAAATCGGAGGCGACCCGGCATGCTCTCGCATACGGGCGCTTCGAGGAGATGATTCTCGACTCATACTCGCTCATCCCTAACATTCACAGGGTGGTCAACGGCGCATATGATGAATACGGTCTTCCGATTGCCAGCGTTGCTAAGGACATCTACTCCAACACCGTCAGCAACCTGTTCCAGGCATACCTAGCTGTTCGAGATCGCGACCTGAAGCCCGTAGTGCAGCATGACTTGGACGAGTTCAAGAAAGAGATCAAAGATCTTTCTGTAGAAACAGCCTCGAGAAACTACATAAAGCAGACTTTCGAACGGGCTTTCAATGAGTCGAACTTGTTCGCCAAGATATTCAACCTGGATTTGCAATGGAGTTCGGATCCCGAGTCTGCCTATGCGGTCCTCAAGTCTAACAACAGATCACTGGTGAACCCTGCCAATCTCGTTCACCTGGCCACGAACCTGCAGGTTGCGCTGCAAAGTACAGACTTGGATACGATCTGCAGCGTTGTTGGCTGGCTGACCAACGAGTACCTGGTCCTCGACTACGAAGAGGAAGAGTCTCCTTTTGCACGCCAATGCCGAGAGCTCAGCGCCAGGCTGTTGACGGAGCATTTGTGGGTGTTTACAGACAACTTCTTCGAGGCGGAGATTACGAAGACCGTTACCAAGGCTGCAGTGAAAGACGACGCTCTCACTATTGGGCCTGTTGTAAACGGTGTCTCTTCGTCCAACGCCTACCCAACGGTTAAGCAAGCGCTGAAGCTGCTTTCCATGTACGACCAGGCCATGCCAAAGGAGCGAAGCGTAAGTTAAGCTACAAACCTGTACAAAGTAATATACTAACTGTCAACAGCAAAAAAACAACACTGTGGTTTTCAAAATAGTCCGGGAGACGATTCACATCCTTCAACGCGCCGAGGCTCGCATAAAGTCCATCAAGGCTGGCACAGACCCCGATCTCTTCATGGTCAAGAACCTTCTTATCATCAAGAATGAGCTCGTCTCACTCGAGATCGGCGATATCCGCAGCGACGCCGCTGCCATGCAGCATTTCGGTCATATCTGGGAGCACTTGAGCCCCCAGAACTGGGTCGGCTTCGTCAGCAACATCATTAGCGTCGGATCGCTCTGGTCGCGTGGCGGCACGCAACAGCCATCCGTCACGGCTAAGACGCTGACGGTCGAGGATATGAGCGAGCAGTTGGATGAATTGCTGAGGCAGTCCATTGTCGCTTTCACGCAGCGCTGGGGCAAGTTGACAAATGACGCGACTGAGCGAAAGCCGGGTGTGAAGCCGATTGGAAAGGTTGAGAAGGAACTGGAAGAACTGCTGCAGAGGGCTTTTAGCAACCAGCCCGAGGTTATCGGGAAGCTCAAGGAGGCTATTGAGATTAATGCACAAGCGCAAGGGGCAGCAAATGGCGAGAAAAAGGGCATCAGACGGTACTAGATGCAAAGCTGCATTGCACCTCGGCTTCGGAGGCATGCCGAGAGTCAGATAGGAGAAGCGGCGGAATACATGTCCATCATATTCAAATTTGTATGGTATAAAGTAATGACTCGGTTATGATCAGATCCACAGGCCGTATGTGAAATAAGATTAGACAAACAAGACTATACGTACAAACTCTGGTGATAGGGCGTATCCTGAAGTCGAACCGACGTTGAAAAACTGGAAGGCTATGCCGAGCTGGTAAGTGAACCTTGACGTCCAGCTGACTCATCAGGTCAAATACCTTACCGTCACCACGACAAAGTTAGCGCTGTCGCACGCCATATACGCCTTTGCGTGCCGGACCCACATTAGCTGTCCGGGGGAGCAATCGCACTAAAAGCTAATAAATCAGCCGCGATTAAGGTGAAAGCTCAGGGTGTCTTCCAACCTCACCGACAACTTACCCTGATAGTCTCTCCGCCCTGTTGGTCAATTGAGCCGTCTAACCTTCCTCTCACCCCGCGTCTCTCATCGTTCTACCTCGAGAAAAATTTCGGGTTCCGAAAAACCCTCGACATCATCACAGGCGGCTCGATAAGCGGCGGCGGGGTATCTAAACCGACAGCTAAAGATGGCGGACGCAGCCGTTGACCCCGAGATCGTGAGCGGCGGAGCGCTGCAAACGGCCAAGGACCTCTTTGCCGGTGCCGCGGGCGGTATCGCCCAGGTTCTTTTGGGTGAGTTATTCGAATTGGTGGTCGGAAGCGCTTATCATTCACGATATCTCTATTTTCTCATGAGTGAGGCTTCGGCAATGAGCGCCGACCTCGGAACAATATCCGAACTCATGAGAACTCATCCCCATCACATTTACACCGCTCACTGCGTCTGAATCAAAGATGGATATTGCTTTTTGTAAATGAACGAGACTGACCAGAGCAGGCCAACCTTTTGACATTGTCAAAGTCCGTCTTCAAACCTCCACCACCTCAACATCAGCCCTCAACGCCGCCACTCAAATCTACAAGAACGAGGGTGCCCTCGCCTTCTACAAGGGAACTTTGACACCTCTCATTGGTATTGGTGCCTGCGTCTCCATTCAGTTCGGCGCTTTCCACCAAGCCCGCCGTTACTTCGAGACGGCCAACACCGCCAAGGTCGGAATTCCGGCCCTCAGCTACGGACAGTACTACGCTGCCGGCGCCTTCGCCGGTGTCGCAAACTCGGTTATCTCCGGCCCTATCGAGCATGTCCGTATCAGACTCCAGACGCAGCCCCACGGCGCCGCGAAGCTTTACTCCGGACCCCTCGACTGCGTGCGCAAGCTCTCCGCTCACGGTGGCGTTCTGAAGGGTCTGTACCGTGGCGAGGCCGTGACCATCTGGCGTGAGGCCCAGGCCTACGGCGTGTGGTTCCTCGCCTTTGAGTGGATGATGAACGCCGATGCGGCGCGGAACAAGATTGACCGTAAGGACATCCCCAGCTACAAGATCGCCTTCTACGGAGGTCTTGCCGGTGAGGCTTTGTGGCTCGGAAGTTATCCCTTCGACGTCGTCAAGAGCAAGATGCAGACCGATGGTTTCGGTGCCGACCAGAAGTACAAGACGATGCGCGACTGCTTCAAGCAGACGTACCGCGCCGAGGGCCTGCGTGGCTTCTGGAGGGGTATCGTGCCGACCTTGTTGAGGGCTATGCCTGTCAGCGCCGGTACTTTCGCTGTGGTCGAAATGACCATGAGGGCTATCAACTAAGGTCTTTCTCGGAAGTAATGATCCGAATGTGGCCACTGCATCTGGGTCAATAAGAGACCCGTGATGATTGTGAGGGATATAGTCTCGTCGAGTAGAGTCTGGATGACGGGTAGCATCTACCTCGGCCGGCTTCGCATATGACTGCGCTTCCTCCGGCGCGTTGCATCATGTTCGGCATGTAGTACGAGGACTTTGCCGTCTACTACTGGGTTATATGGAAGAACCTGCACTAGAACAGTTGCGATTTAGAAGAGAATTTTGCAAATATACAATAACATTTATGTTCTGCCCCAACCCGCAACATCTAATGAGAAGATCATCCAAGCTGCGTGCAAGCTTTCCGCTCCGCAAGAAACAATGAAATTAGCGGTCTTCATTTATTATAGTGTATTTCTTACTGCAGGTCCGACACTTCATGCTTTTTCCTTGCCGCTTTCAAAGAACACTATAGCCAAGACCCCCTTTCGACCAATGATTAGTGCAGCGGAGGTTCTCACAGTAGATTTTCAGATCTATTCGAATCTCGCAAGCGTGTCTGAGTTTGAACATCCAGTTACAGCACTGTCAAGTGCTGAACAATCCTCCTGAGTACAGTCTTCATCCACTTTTTGACGTTCAAGGTTGGATGAAGGGCCAGCAGGACGCAACAGAGCTCACTAACAGTACCAGGTTTGATATTTATCCGTGCCTGCGGGAAAGACTGACTCCTCGGTGACATGATTACGTGACGCCGTGGCTACATTAACGGTTACCTACATGTGCAGTTTGTCTACAAATGCCACATATCATGAACTTCTTGTTATCGAACTTATTTGCCATCTGGTGTTCAGTTCGATGGCAATCTGCGAAGAAAATGCCGGCAATAACAGCATCAAGCCAGATACCAGGCCGTAAGGCACTGAACTATCAAGAAGGCGGGTTCTCGAGATGCCTAGCGTCTTATAACGAACCACATGAAGTCCTTAATATCTGCAAACCTTGTCGAAGAGACTAATAGAGCGATTTTTGAGACGGATTATCTGAGGCCGATTGCAAGAAAGGCCAACCTCTTACGACATGATCGGGCGACGAGACGCCCTGACAACTCAGTCAAACAGATGCCTCGGTATTGACACAATGACTGACATCCACTTCCTTGCAGGAGGTATGCATGATTGTCCACACGCGACCCTAATGTGATAGGGCAGCAAGGGCTGCGTCAATCTTAACGCGACACTAACGGGTTATCCCCTGCAACCAGTCGACAGACCACTGAACAATCGTGTACTCGTGAAAGCATGCAATCTTCATCGTACCCCACGCCTGTTAGATGACTAGCTAGCCGTGCTTATCGTGACCAATGCAGTCCTCTTGAAGAAACCGGGTTTGGATCAACGGCAATGGCGTTGCACAAAAAGCCATCAAACTTGTCGTCCTGGCTCAAGGACTGCTCTTTCTCACTGCGACGTTTGGCTGTACAGCCTCTCACTCCGTCTCCTCAGCTCAATCTTATTCCCGTAGTAGTTCTCCCCGCTCAATGTTGACTGTTGGCGTCTGCCACGAGGGCTTTCCCATTCACACATTGTGAATATGTGTATCCGGGCTTCAAGGTAACGCCAACGGCCACCGCAAGGACAAATCTTTGCAGCGGCCTTCGGAATAGGTGAAGATAGGAAGGATACGGACGCATTGTGTAATCTTAGGTTCATATACACCAGTGCGATGTGAATTAAGCGTTTTCTTCAACTATGCGAAAGTACAAATCCGTGATAGATTACCATATCAATACAACTACAGCCATCGCTGTCCTTTTGTGGACCAAAAAAACCTTGCACACCGTGATCATACTGTGAGCCATCAATGTCCCGTGCCCAACTAAGCAACTTTGGACTGGATGAGAAACGAAAGGCGCGATCAAGGACCCAAGGATTGCCTGTTCTCCCCAACGACTGGACGACCGACTAGACCGATTTTGTGCCATAACCATATGTCCCAAAGCTTCATGATGGCATGCTGCTCTTGCTAGCATACGACACCACGTCCTGCATTTTCTGGAACGCGTCGCGCGCGAAAAGAAGGGAAAAAAAATCCCGGAAAAAAGAAAAGAAACAGCTGGACGCCGCTGACTGTTGACAAGAGAGGGATTCGAACCCTCGCCTATTACTAGACTAGCACCTGAAGCTAGCGCCTTAGACCGCTCGGCCATCTTGCCAGATATTGTGTGTAGATGTCAGAAGCGAGCGGATGTTGGCGATGATTGCCCTAGGTGGGGGGCGTCGTTTGGTGGGTTGTCCCGCCAGGTGGGGTCACGGCGTTGACAGTCTCGTCAATCTTCGAGGGAGCCACGTGCTTGTGGGAACTAGAAACATTTTCCGATGTGAAATGTCAGTGTTCAGCTATGGGGTTTTTACAAAACCTCGCAATGGCCGAGTCGGTTGCAGCGTTACACCACACTACCTACCCTGGGCACATCCGGGTGAAAATCTCCGGCCTTTTCCCACCATTCTTCCCCTGTCTCCAGGAACCACTAGGGGTCCATTCATTGCCGCATGGACTCATCTAGACCTTGCCAAGTTCTTCACGGACCGTACTGAATACTTGTAGTTGTTCAGATGAAGTTGTAGCGAAGTTAACGTGAGAAACCACTAGACTCACTTGCCACGTCCATGTCTGAAATACGCGCCTTGCTTGATGGTGCGTTTTGGCTAATGTAATTCCCTCCATAACACTGTGCGTTGAGCCGGGGTAAGGATGTCCGACGTTGTGGGTTGTTGATGATGTACAACCGTATTTGCTACCGTTGGAGAAGTAGGCCCTTCTACAACCAGTAATCGTTAATAGGCACTCGCTCAATAAGAGGATCCTCATGTGATACGCAAAGCTCATGGACTAGGGAGTGGAGAGGGACTAGTTACCTAGCAGCGTAGGATCTAGCCTGCACGATACACTATCAAAGGTGCGGGTGAGCACGCACGCACGATATCGGTTTCTTCGCTTGTGAGGGGTACCAGGATTGCAGCCCGTCCTGCGCCAAATCGGCAGGCCTCCCGTTCGTTCCCTCTCACACACAGCCACACAGCCCCTTGATGAGTTGGAAAGCTTGTACTACGGCGAGGCACAAACCTGCTAAGCATCCAATCATTAGAGATACCGGGCATCTGGGTAATAGGGTTGATCTCAAAGGCCGGAAAGAGGGTGACGGGGGCTGTACAGTTCTGGACCGCTCGAAACGGCTGCTGCAGGACATGGGGCAAACAGGGGGTTGTTTGCTGGGCATCGGTCGTTACAACGCGCAATTCCCAGATTTACGGCAGCACCGCAGAACTTCTGAATCGGATTGCAGCATGCTTAATAATCCGTTGAGATCTTACTAACGAAATAAGCTTGTTCGTCCCTAAGATGGAGGTCCGTAAGGGGTTCGACGCAGGAAGCATGGCCTAGACCAGCAGTCAGTTGGCCAGCCCCCCTGACCAAGGTGTGCGATTGCCGCTGCTCTTTGTCTAGCCAGCCTACCGAGCTCGTAATAAGTAATTCACATGGCTAGGCGATGGAGTTGGCTTACGTAGCGAAGTCGAAGGGAGAGCCTCGAGAGCAACCAGGGGTATCTGGAGACGCAGCGCCAGGCGGCATAGTTCCTCAAGATGCCCTTGTTCCTTCCTCATTCTTTGTGTTTCTAATGGTGTGCGGTATCAAAATACACCCCCCTCCATGTTGTGTGCCCGAGTTTCTGGATGGGCTTGCTCCACATCCAAGGCGGTTTTTGGAAGAACTTGACTTGGGTGGGATGTATTGGTATTTCGAGATCCGCATGATTCTCAGATGCGAAAAAGTCGCCTCAAGAACGGGAATCAGGAATTCGCAGCGTGGTCCAGATCGTGCATTGCCATAAACCAATCAATCAGTGGTTCGTGACGATTGGCTTAGAATGGCGATCTACGTTGGTGGTAGCTTGTGGCCAGACGTGAAAATAGCAATGGGAGCTGCACGAAGGGTCTTCTGTGCTCTCGATCCACGCTAATAGTACAGTTCTCAGAGATCGAGAGGCAAACCTTAATTCGCGAGCCCAGTGACGACACAGGTGATTGGTTGGGAGTTCCTTAGCGCTGTTTTTCGGGAGAAGTAGCCGGAAGACCGGCCCCGTCGCTCGACCGGAGACCACGAAGACGGGCCTTCCCACCAGAGCGGGCCGTTCACTCAATCCACCTCTCCGGCACAATCCGACCATCCAAGGGCGCCGGCGACAGCTTGTGCTTGCCCCATTCCTTCCGAAGGCACTGCCACTCGAACGGACGCATCTCTGCGACAAGTCGTCAATGGCTAGAGTTTTCCCCCAGAAGGGCCTGGGACATGCCGAATGGATGCAAGCCTGCCTTCGTCATAATCGTACTTGATGGAAACTGAGGGAATCCTCTGCCCGCAAAAGACCCTGAAAAAGAAGGCGGGTGATGACCAGGGTCCGTACCTGGATGACGTATGCGGCGTGTGTTGTAAACAGAAGGTGATCGTCACGTCAACCAGCCAAATTTAGGCCTGATTTGTCGATGACTGTGGCGGCAACAGATGTCCACTGGTTGTCAGTGTCTTGCGGCAGGGCGAGGCAGAGGTTCCCTCCCTTTCGCCTCTCTGTGAGTCGGTGAAATGCAACAGTCAGACCGTGACGTGCCCTGTTGCAAGGGCGAGCCTGTCGATCAATCCGCTATGATTAAAAGTGGATCCTAAACAGCCAACCATCGAGAGGAACGAAAGAGGGGTACCGCCGGACTGGACTCCGGGAGCGTTCAATGGTTCATTGGTTTGCTGAATGACTTTAGCTTTGCAATGGAAAATCAAAGGTCTGAGGGGTGTTCCAATAAGCGCATTAAGGTAGCAGCGGTTGCAGATTGGTTATTAGGGAAATACTAGTGACCCTTGTGGAATGATTGTACAGAACCATATTGTTTCGGCGCATGTTCTGAATAACATCATTTGCAATGTAATCGCGACTCCTCAGCCAGACATTGTCTAGTGGGAGGAAACGCAGGGCTTGGTTATGGTTCGGTTGTTGAGAAACATCGGCGATCGAATGAGAAGGGCTTGAGGCAGTAATAATTAGGGAAATGATTTGAATAATATCTTCGCAGAAGCGGGCACTCGGTAACGCTGTCTGTCGAAGCGGCGGCACCTGAGTCCCCTGACGACTCGATGACACTGCAAAAGCGAGATCGTAGACTCAGAGCGTGGTGGATTCACTTAAAACTAACAGACCGTCCTGCGGTCCGTGTGGTGTCTTCAAGGCCAGGGATTGGCTGCAGTCGGGTGGTCCCCCCGGACCCGGGGATTCGCCGTTGACGAATGCACCGCTACCGCTGACATACCACATGCCCTGCTCGAGGACGCCGTATCTGCGGTCTGAGGAGTGGGCCGGACGCTGGATGCATCATAGCTGGAACAAGAAAGGTCATTTGTTAAGAGGGAATCCCCAAAGTTTATCGAGGCATTTGAACCCATTGTAACAGTGTTTGGGTGTTTGAACGACCAGTACGCAGATGCAGCGCTGACAAAACCCAACGTCGACAAGCCATTTCCTGGGAGTTAGCGCTAGTCCAGATACGACTTGACGGCTTGGAAGGGTAGGGCAGGGGAGGGGTGTGTTGATAGGGAGGCTTGTAAAAAGGTGGGTGGTCGCTGTCTGTACACTACTAGTGGTGTCTGCTTGTGTCTGCAGGAATTTTCTGGGATCTAACCCATCGGGTCAGCTCTTCTAGGGTCTCTCTGGCTGCAGGCAAGATGGTGGGGGATGGATGGGGGCGAGAAGGCGTCCTGTGTTATACACAGTATTATACATAATGTAGCCTGAGAAACACTCACAGTTTACTGCTTACACTGGTTGTATACACCAGCAATCAAGTGATGATCGACCATCGATTTCTTCAGTACAAGACACAACACCATTATTGGGCGAGTAGATCTAACAGCGCTTGGAGTATTGGTCTATTCGCCGACACATGGCATGACTTGCAATAAGGCGACAAATCCCTGTTGCGTATACCCTCTTTTCTCATAATTACCAGAGGCGAAAAACAAGAAAACAGAAATGGAACAGGGAGAAGTGTGGAAGCGTCTTCAAAACTTGAGGGGTCCTGCAAACCTAACCCTGGATAAAATAAGCTACGGTAGCCGGATGAAAGTCCGAATCCCTTCCCAAAAAAGTTGGTAGTTGCCACCTTGCTCGTGGTGCGCTGGTACACGTGACAACGATTTGGGAGATTGGGCATGAGATTGGGGGAGTTGAGATAAAGAGCGAGAGATACTGAAGGGGGTAGAGAGGGCTCAGCACGGTCTCGTCCTCGGCCTCATACTGAACTAAGTTGAGTGCACTGGTTGGCAAATGCCCTGTGTCGCCCGCGGTTGCCAGCTTCTCATGAGCAAGTACACTAGAGAAGGCCGGGATCAGGTGCACCCCGACCAGAACTCTTGCCGGTGAGGTAGACCCCAGCCAGTACGTACCATCGTATACTGTCCCTCGTTCGATTAGTGCAGCACCAAACCCTCACACCCCTTTCCCTTTCTAAACCTACTCCCCTCTCGGACGACTGGTCCCACTATTCTCTTCGATTTACTCTCGATCACCAGAACCCTGCTCAGTCCTGGAGATCAGACCAAAGAGCTTGCGAGCTAGTGTGGGTCCTCTCCTGCCACCTGCGCGTGGGGAATTGGCCAGACCTCTCGAAACGTTTCGCAACCTTGAACTTGACCTCGTTCAACACTACCCTTTCCCTCTCTTTTGGAGGCAGCGAAAAAAGTTGCTGAGGGCGGAGGGCGTGAGCTGACGTTGCCGTGGTGGCCCTTGGCCCTTGCCTCACACCCCCAACTGCCAGTAACCCTCGCTATAGCTCCGGGTCGAATGTCTGCCGTTCCTACCACAAAGCTCCTTTTTCCTTGCCTTTGGCCCAGTAAAGATTGGCCCAGTATTGGCCGATCTTGTTGTTTGGCGTAGGGGGCGTGGGGACCTTTTTCCCATCCTGCCGACCAGACCTAATCTTGTTCCAACCCTTCTGCACTTTTTCGCCTCACGCCCGTCGATATTTCTCAATCCCAGGGTAGAAGAAGACCAAAGTTGCATCGGATTTTTACTTACTCCCATTTTGCGCTTTGCGCATCGCATCGATCTTGATCAACATCCGTTCAACTGCCCGTCCACGTTCGCCTTTCAAACCGGCACCCGCGCGTCCACAATACAACCACACACGATCCACCTACCGGCAATCTACCCAGACGAGCTTCGAATATCGCGACAGTCTATTGCAACAATCGATTTTGCCCGTTTTTTGCTGTTCAACTTTATTCCGGCAAGCGTCTTTGATCGTCGTCTGTATGCCGTGGTGAACCAGCAGCAGCTCGATTGCTCTCCGTCATTCACTCTTGGTCTCTTGCACCCGGAGACGAATTCTCTAGTCGTGCCGGACCCCACCGCAATTACCCACCCGACGATTCTTAACGATTGACAGCTATCTCTCGCTGTAGACTTGGGTTTTCTAGTTGACAACCGACTACAAACAAAACGCTAGTTGTGGCTTTTCAACATTCGAATTCTCCACTGGTTTTTGGCACGCCGGCTTCCCAAGGCTGACTTTGTCGCCCTTCGGAACTGCCAAACCTCAAGTTGTCAATCCGAAATCGAGTCCTTTCCAGCTTATACACTTGGGCTTTCGAATCCTCTGGACAGTCATACACGACACACTTCTGTTAATACTGTAGGTATTATCCTCTCATAGCTTCTGCACCGAGTAGAGTTTGTCGTCATACCTCACTCCTTACTCTCGATCGATCGATCGATACCTCGACCAATCATAGCCCATGCCCGCCTGGACCTTTGGACTCAGCCGTCTTGACAAGATCATTACGCTCAACACAATTTGATTTGCCATTTGCTGACCATTCATCAACTCGTTAGCCAAGTCAGACTTAGCAGCAAAGACGTCTCGTACACTTCAGCTGTACTGAACAGGGTGACCAACCGACGACACCACAGCTATTACCATTTACACCGGCAGTCCTATTACTTCATGCCTCACTTCTCACCCCGCTAGTAGCTACAGCATTCAAGCCTCATACCGACATATTGTTCACAACGTCTATATGCCGCCAACATGCCCGACCTCAAGCACACATCGCATGGAGCGCAACCCCCGACGTCGCCGAAAGGACATCCCCTCCCACGACGCTCGTCACCTGAGCATTCTATAACCCTTCGTCACCATCGCCTTGCTCGTGAAGCAAGTGAAAGAGCTGCGTCGTCACGCGTCGCTGCCGCTGCTAGCTCCAGGTCCTCTTCATCGGCGAGGAGACAGTCATCCGGCGACAGCCAAAAATCTGGACCTAGCGATCCGACGAAGTGGTTCGACCAGAACAATGAAAACCCAACGGTCGGGTTTTCCCATGCAATGGACGGTAAGCGAAGGAAGTCGATACTCTCACTAATTGTATCTAACCAGTGTCACAGTTGACCCTCCATTTTTCCAAAAGGAGTCCGACTCCTCTAACGAAGACACAGGGAAGCCGACTAGCTATCCCGCGCATTTGTTGAAGCCTCCTATGACAGGCACTCTCAAACCTAGCGCCACTCATAGCAGCAGCGCTGACGACTACCGAAGTGTAATCGATGACTTAACCGTTGAGATTAAGAGGTTGAAGGATGAATTGCGGCGGTACAAGCAGAATGGTCCGGAGATGATGAAGAGGGACAAACTGTTTGAGATAAAAGTTCATGGCCTCCCAAAGCGCAAGAAGAGAGAGCTGGAGAGCACTTTACGCGATTTTGCATCCGGGTTGGAGAGTAATACCCCCAGTGCTGAGGCATCTTCGGCGCGGAAAAAGTCGCGGCATACGACGCGCCAGGATTTTGGCTCAGGCTCAATGTCCAAGCACGCATCGTCGTCGTCCGGGTCCCACTCAAGACCAGTTGACTCTGCGTATGCTTCAATGTCAACAGGTGCCCATTCATCTGGAACCTCCTTAGCACGACCGTCAATCAGTTCAAGAGCGAGATCCTCGGAGCAGAAGGTGGAGAATTATTTGAAAGACATCCCAGAGGGGTTGTATCCGCGACATATGGTCATGACAGAGAAGGACAAGAAGAAACTTATTGTTCGCCGCCTAGAACAGATTTTCACCGGGAGAATAACTGGTCGAAGCCTTACCCGCAATCAACCCAAGTCCGCCGCCAACATCGCCCCTTTGGCCCCTATCATGGTTGAGCCAGCGACGGGAAATACTACCACCAACCACGGGCCGCCTAATATTCTAACCGCACAAAATGAACCGTCTCGTGAAGCGCGGATCCTCTCAATGGAGGAACAGAAGAGCAAGTCGAAAGACAATAACTCGACTTCAAACTCGAACGACCAGCTCGACTCGGGTGGCAACTCGGCCACTGCGGTAGATGTCGGCGCGTCATCATCACCGGATGATGCCCCACCTCCGGAACAACGCCCCACTCGCCCACGGGATCTGGACCCGGACCGGAAGCAAAACCCGACCGAGAACATGGATTACATTCGCCATCTAGGACTCGCACCACCTCACTTGACTGCTCTGGCTACTCATGATGACGTTGCGCCCGATGTCGACGGTTGGGTTTACTTGAATTTGTTATGCAACATGGCACAACTACACATGCTCAACGTCGCACCTGACTATATCCGCAGTGCGGTAGCTGAAAAGAGCACAAAGTTTCAACTTTCTCCGGATGGACGCAAGATTAGATGGCGAGGAGGTACTGACGGCACCAAATTCAGCAGCGACAGTTCTGGTGACACATCCCAGATGAGTCGATCAGATGAGTCAGAAGAAGTCGAGGAAGGAGGAAACAGGAAGAAGCGGAAAGCGACCCAGTCATCAAAGAATGGGCACTTTTCTTCCTCTTCCGCAAACAATACGTCGGAACAATCCAAATTAGAGCAGCAGTTGTCGTCGGCTGATAGCTTCCACTACAAGCCTCTGTTTCTGCATCAGGGTTCCTCAGCCGAGCAAACCTCTCTTGATGAGACCGGCTCGTCTTTTGCTGCTGGCGAGGACAGCATCAATGGCGATTCACGATGGGATAATGATGGGTCAGCATCGTCCCGGCGGAAGAAGCGTCGGCTTGACGGTGCCATCATTTATTACAGTGGTGCCCCATTTTGCACTGACTTGTCTGGCGATCCTGGCGACGCATCTCCTTCTTATATATCGAGTGAACAAGAACAGGGATTGTCCTCCAGCACGGATTTACTCAGACCTGAGCCTATCCCGCGTACCGCATCAGGCTCCGTACTCCCTTACCGACCCCTTAGCGAGGATACACAAATCCCAAACGAAGCCGTTGGAACAGGGACAGAGCTTGATGATTCTGACACGGAAATGGAGGCGGACTTTCCCTGGTCTGATACTTCACAGAGTACTCCAACAAGCACTTTGGACGCCTGTGGTCTCGGCGGAGTCATACCAGATGATCACTTTATGGTTCTTGTTAACACCAAACGACCCAAAACTGATACCCTTGCAAGCTCATGCAAGCTGAACTCTGAAGACGTTCCCAAGCTTGTGAAGAGAATCATTTCTCCTCTGAACTCAGCAAACGAAAGATCGCCGCAACCATACGAACGACAGCCGTGTCTTGTCGGTATTCAGTACACGTCCGGATCCATTAAAAAGTTGGATCCTGCGCCACTACCTCCACCAGGCATGTACTTCGACTTTGAAAGCGATTCGTTTGTGACGAGCGATTCCGCATCGGGTGACATGGATGAGTCTCTATCCCTGAAGGGAAATCGGGCCGGTCCTCATATGTTTGAAAACACTTACCCAGACGATGAAGAGATGACAAGCGGAGACGAGGAGGGCGGTGAACCCGACGATGAAGATGAGCCAGACGCCGAGGACGAAGATGGATCCAGCGATGAAATCAAGATTCCCATCCCACTGAGCAATATCCGCCGTCGCAGCAGCAGCAGCGCTCTTGCAGCAGCTGGCACGGTTCGAAGCCGTAGCAAAAGCCAGAGTGTTGAGCTACCTGTTGCAACCGGCAGCTCGGTCGCCACGGCGGGCGGTGCTGAGAGCGGTTATAGCAGCAGTCGCGAAGAGAGTACTTGAATTGGAAAACTGAAAGCAAAAGATTGTGCTAGGATGGGACGTTCAGCAATCTATGGCCCAGTGATCTGTGCACTGCTATGATTTTATTTTGATGGAGCATTGCGAGGCGTTTTACCGGGCAGAATTGTTCAAGAGATACCAAGGATGGACAGCAGCATTGTCACTTTCATATTCTGAGCACTTTACACAGAAATTGGACTTACGAGGAGAACCTTTGAAGGAGATGAATAAGAAACTAGGCAAAAGTTCTTGTGTGACAGTGGCCATAGATAGGAGGTGTTTGGACAGCGATGTTTTCTCTAACAATGATACCCATTTCTACACCTAGACTGTTTCTGCCTACGCACTCGGGTGATATCAAGGGCCTTGTGACTTTTTCAGAGAAAGAAAGTAACAACACAATCTTTCCTGAAACTGATAAGAGCGACGTCTGCCCACTACAAAACCATACAGCCTACCGATGGCGGACCGATTGTAAGTAATACCGTATGGCCACATAAACTGACGACAGTCAATAGTTTGTGCCGGAATCCCAGTGCCAAGCTTAACAGCACCACGTTGGCCCAGTTTCATGACGATATTTACCGCTACTGATGTTGGAACACGCATATCCTAGTCGCAGCAAGAGCATCCAGGGGGTAAAGGAGTTGTCGTGTACAAGGTACATGCCAGTAAGGTCATAAAAGAGGAGTCGATTTCCTTTTCATTAGGGAAACGCTGAAGATTTAACCTGTTTTCCGCGGAATGGTGAATGGTGGTAGCTTTCTTTTGACAAGTTCGGAGGCGGAGCCGGTGGTTGCTGACATGCCCTGCGCAAGTGGGAACATAAGTCACATCCCTACTGTCCTCCCCGAAGTCTATTAGCGCGCAGCTTTTACTTGTCCTTGGGTGCTTCCCGTATCGACAAATCCCGCTTGCATCGCCTTCTGATCATCGTCATCGTTCACACGGAACCCCAAGCCGGCGTGAATGTGCTGCACAGTTCTGGTTCTGGGTATCGTCATCGTTTCAACTCTTGGGCTGAGATATACCCGCCTTTGCTGCCGCTGATAAATGGGGTACGGCTTGGTGATCTCTGTTAGGCAGTGACAGCCTAACCCTCTGGAGTAAAGTTCAATCTGGTGGCGGTCGCTCCCATGGGCACGCAGAAAGGCCAGAGGTTGCGACACATTAGTTACGAAGCTCTCTGTTCCGCGAGTTCTTGGTTCTTTTGTGCATTTAGGTCGTGGCGACTCGCATTTCGCGAAAGTGCCCGACAACCTAAGACATGCCCTGTATGTGGGCGGTCTGATATTGACCGTTTTTTTATCCTTGAAAAGCTTCAAACAAATCCACAACGCAGTGAAGACAAAGATCTGCATCATGTCTCACTCATTGAACAGGTCTTGTATCTTCCCTCAATCTTCGCACAAGGACAGGCGTGCGGTTACGACACTTACATGAAGAAATGCCGACAGAACAGCAATATATTGAAGCACTGCCAAAAAAAGGTTCCGTTGCAGACGACCTGAATGTAGACGTAACATATCAAGGCTATACACGCTAGAAAAAACTGGTCATGTCTGCACATTGGTAGCCGTTGTCCTTGTATTTCAGCGCTGAACCTGAACGACCTTGCGGCCTTCAAGCGCGTGCCAGTACTTGTCAACGCTGCCGCCCCGTGTTGGCAAACCTCCCGCGATTCAAAGGCCGTGGGCACCGAATTAGCTGTTTAACCAGGATGAACTCGATAGTAAGCTAGGCATTGGCACGCCCATATCATGACGGCGCCCGTGGAGTCCATTTGGGCCAAAGTCTCGATGAACCGGGGTGGCGGGGTAAGAGTCAGCAACCTTGTCCATGGGGGAAGATTCGCGTGACTCGGGGGACTAATCACGCCGATGGGGGTATATTTGTGTACGCGCCGCCCCTAATTGGTATGGGCGGCACCTACCGGAACGCGGCCACCGAGAAGACCAATGTCTGAGGCGGCACTTTACGCCTGTTCGTTTTCCCCGAACCACACCAGCGCGTGGCACCCAAGGCTGCACCGCCCCCGCAAAAGGGTTCTTCGAGGCCGCATATATACATTTGAGTTGGCACATGTCAGTGGAGTGATGGCCAGGAAGGTGTTGCAGGCGTAGACCAGGACCGACGTATTCAACTGAACCGTGATCACCGTGATGGCGGAGGTCATTTCTCGATTACCTAGCACTATTCTACCCGTGGTGTCCTCCATCCCCCTATGTGGCAGAAAGACGCTGTCTTCACCTTGGCGAAAGAAGTAAAAGAACTCTGCCAATGACGTACACTACAGTGACGAAGACGCATATTAGGATGACGGACAATTTGCGGTGCGGGCCAGATCAGCATCCTTGGTCTGTTGGTGGATATTGCCGATTTAGAACGTCTTCCGAGACAGCCGGTGCCATGGTTCCGGCGTTGTTGCCGCTGGGGAAGACGGGGAAGACGCTGCCAGTATCTCGACTTTGAGTAGGCGAAGGTTGCGAATAAAAGCGGTACGTTGGGGGGGGGGGGGGGGGGAGCCGTTAGAGAAGCGAGACACTTTGGTTGCAGAGTGACACTTTAGCTTACCGCTACGCTCCAGTTGTGCTTTAGCGATTCTTGAAAAAACTGAAAGGTCGACTAGACGTTCTCGATGATGGGTGATGACCTGGAGAAATCTCTGAAAACGAATCTAAGTAACATATGTTACCTTATGTGTTTGTTCTGCAGGTGGGCGTCGAGCAGCCTTATAGACTAGTATTTGAAGGCGATTAGAAATTATAACCGGCATTTTTCGTGTAGTGATGGCAATCAACGCCACAATGATAACTGCTAGGAAGGACATCTTGCTGTGCTGGCTTTGTGGCTGCCTCCGTCCTCCCTTAGCCATGATAGGCTGAAGCAATCTTCGTGCCCCTCCCCAAATATCAAAGTTTTGAGGGAATTGTAGGCAATTGCCGAATTATTGTACGGTCATCGTAACGATGCGTGTCAGTATGTAGACAACTTGCGTAAACACCCCCTCGTCGGTTTCTATTCGGGTCTCACTGTGAACCATTCTTCTCAGCCAAGGTTAGCGTGCACGATGCCCTTGATTTATGCGTGTTCGTAGAGGTACGTGAGCCAACTCCCGGACGTGATAGGGCTTAAACTTGGTAAAAAGCGCCGCTACTTGGTTTCCTGGTGTCGGGGCTGCGGAGTCAGTCCGGGGGCCAGTTCGGAGTGGGTCGTAGACCCGGTGCGGATCCGTCGACATTTTGTTGCCGGATGGGCTTTTTGACGTCAGTCCTCAAAGGTTCCAAGGCCTCCTAGACAGCATCCTTTAAGAAACAAATGCCATGTTAACAAACCAACGTGGTCCACCACTCAAGAACAACTCTGACAGGTTATTGATATGGTTGTCGATAAATCACCCTCAAATTAGGTCCAGTGGAAGCACAGAGACGAATGCAAGCTGCATTGCCCTTCTTGAAGTATATTGTAACCATCCATTGATCAATGTTGTCTTTTTTTCTTTAGCAACTTTCAAAGGCAGTCGTACACCCGCCATCGCCATGCTTGCGTTCAGAGATGTGGTGTAGCGTCATGGCAAATGGGACTATTCGTGATAAAATGCCATTGAATGCCTTCAGAGGCCACCTAAAATTACTCGTCCGTCGCTAAGGAGGGTAAAATCCTGGGGAAGTGTATTTTATGTATGTCTTGACATGTACAGGAGATCTCTGCTTCTGTTAGATGTGGTAACTGGCGGTAGCATAAGAATGGTGGACGCTGTTTGCTAGAGCTGCTTTGCGAATTTGTCCAGAAACTACTTTCGTCTTGGGGGTGAGGGTTTGCAAATAGTAACATTCCATATACTATCATTCATAACTTAGGAAATCGCGAATTTATTGGTTTGGGGTAAGCCTAACACATGACCATGGGTTGAGTACATTCCCTGCCGCACCTCCTGATGGGGATTTGCAAATATAGCGGACATTGGGGCAGTATTTCTATTCAATTCCTTCTGTTCTTATCCCTGCCAAACCCCTAAGCACATAACGTACTATCTAGGGACTAGTAAGAGGGCTTATCATTCAACAGAAGGCTGGACGGCAAAGAAGAGCGGAGCACCTATGCACAAGTTTTTCAAGAGGTTGAAATGGCCAACCGTCAATGGATTAGATTAATTTAATATTTAATAATATAATAACTTATCTAAAGAGATACGTGGTCCAATGAAGCGTCTAGAAGACTAAGCAACTTTCAATCTTTTGGTGAATCAAACACTTATGTAAACGCCCTGTAGTGCTGCCGTCCCTAAACCTCTCGAAGCTCCATAAATTCTGGTCGTGTGACTTTATGCGATGATTCCAGCGCTGCCGCCAAACTTAGGAGGTGTAGCCAGCAGCGCGGTCAGCTGCAGTGGCTTGTGCCAGCTTTGCCGTGCCGACGGAGACGGTAGGAATCCAACCCTGGGGATTGACGTCGTTACCAGTGGTCGCAACGCCTTCGCCAGTGGAGTCTACTCCGATTGTAATGTAACCGACGAGGTCATCTTCAATACTAGCGCCAAGCAGGGAGATACTGATGGACGGGCTGTAGCCATCCTCGCTAGCGCTAGACAAAACAGAGTCCTCATCGTTGGTCGTACGGTTCAGAGTCTCTTGATGGGAAGAGTAAGGGCTAGCAGCGTACACTTGAGACAAAAGATCCTCCTCGAAGAAAAGCTGACCGACATGATGTGCGGTGCTCTGGCTGTGGGAGACACCCTGAGAAGCGTTGGCCTGAACGGCAACGTGAATATGAGTGGAACGGGAGACGTAGTAGCCGGGGAACTTGGTCAAAAACTCAATCATGCCGTTCGAGTCGGAGACGTGAACGCCACGGAGGAATGTCTCATCGTCAGTCGTACCATCGGAACGCTTTCTCCAGCCATCAAACAGCTCTGAAGTGTCTAGGTCGATGCCAGTGGACAAGGCATAGAGTCCGGTAGCATTACAGTGCCAGATGGATGCGGAAGCTCTCCCCAAGGGCTCGCAGGTCTGAACGTCAATGCGTCCAAAGATTGTTTTAGGGGCTAGAAGTCAAGTGTTGTTCTGAATGCTGGTGTACTGCAGAGTGTTGCGCTTAGACATGCCGTGAACATTGGGTACAATGTCACCGTTCTCAACACGGCGCTCGTAGAGGCTCTGAGAGCGCTTGGTGATGCTTTCGGCCTTGCGTTTCTCAACAGCGGCAGCGCATTTGTTGGTGGAACGGCCTGCAAGAGCAGCCTCTTGTTTTGCAGTCTCTTTAGTCAGCCTCTCGGGGTGAGCGAAGATCTCGGTAGCTGAAATGGAGAGGGTGACATGAGCGAGAGCAGTGAGCCTCATTGTTGCGTATTTGATGACAGGCTTTTTGCTTCTGTGATTTCTGGAAAGAAGTACCGTGAGAAAACTAAGAATGTAAGGATCTGGAAGGATAAGGATCAGGCGGCTAGATATGTGTGGGGGAATGGACTTTGAAGGCGGTTGTGTTCTAATGAGCTGAAAGAGCTCTTTGCTATAAGAGGATGCGACTACCTATACTCAATGAACTCATATGAAGTCTTGATAAACTAACAGACTGTTCAATATGCTACGCCTCATATCGCCCGCTCTCTGGTTGCGAAGGCCCCTTATATATCCGGCATTGTTCTGAATTGCGGATTTGCCGTGGATAGTTTTTAGGTGAAGATTCGTAATTGATCATGTTTCTATTGGCCAAGCAGTCGTATACCAATATTTTCAATAAGCTACAGGCTACAGACATAGAGTGTAGTAGCAGCCGAATATAAAAATCTACGCGTAGGGCAGTAACGGCCGGTATAAGCCACTCGGAAGGTGGGATGCAAGGGCCACGGAATGTGGGAGACACCAGTGCTCCGCGCGACTCAGCTTACCGGAGCCAGAGTGTACCTGTACCCATCGAAGACCCGACCTCTGCTTTCCAACGCCTTGCCGTACGTCGCTATCACTGACGCGTCTACTCTTCAAGCCTAAAAATAAGACGGGTTCATGGAGTTCGTTAGTTGGCCAAAATAATTTTCTCTCATCACGGTACCCAAATGAAATTAATTAGGAATTGGACGGTTTTTGTCACTCTATATTACAGATGCTTCTTATATGTCTAGAACTATTACATAAGAAGCATGGTGAACTCAATACATAGAAAGACGCTGGCAAGATGGCTTTGTGATGTCTCCATCTGCGTTGTAAGGTGTGAGAGTCAAACACGCCTTTCAGCCCACATCTGGAGTCCATATTTGGTGGGATTCCACAACTGAAAGTGACGAACATGCAGAAGCATTGATTCTTTCAGACTCTTTGAATTATGTCTCGTAACCAGATGAATGGAGGGAAGGTTGGGCAGATTTCAATCTCTACTTACGCTCAGGTTTCTCGGGCTGCTTAGGCCACCTTTCCGAATCTTTTAAGTATATGCATTCATTGGCCTGTTTGAAATGCAGTTTCTCACGTATAAATAGTAGACTCGGCACAAATCAAAGACCTAATCGATGGTTCAAGTATAAAAATAATCAAGGAGGTGTTTGAATTCAGAACTCAAAAAGGTTGAAAAGAATCACAATGTGACTGGCGACCAAAAGCGTGCACCGAGGTACGCACTACTTCAAGGAAGAGAAAAGTCAATTGCAGAACTAACTTAACTAATATCTACTGTTAGAAGAAATTGGTCCTATCATAATAGGTGCCCGTTTTGATGATGCCCGCCGGGGGTCTAATGTTGTCGGAGTGTGGAGTTAACCACGTTCCTTAAGACTGGAATGCGACCTCGCGCTTGGCAGCGGCGCCGCCAGCTGCCGCACCATTGGGAGGGATCTGGATGGCCATGACTCCGCCAAAAGGACCAGCACCGTTGTTATTGGCAATCTTAACCAAGCAGACATTCTGCAGGTTGCCGGAAGTGCCTGTGCAGGTGGTACCGTCGGGGACGGAGAAAGCCATAGGCTATGGAGAAAGATGTGTTAGTCGATGCTGATCGATCTCTACAGAAACGAGTTCAGGTTACTTACGAAGTCCTTATTGACATTAGCAGCACGCTTGAAGATAGCCCTCTCCAGGATGTCACGAGCGTTGTTCTTCTTGCCCGGCACACTGCCATTGGGCCTCATGTTTCCGCCGTTGCCAGGGACTTGTTGAGTGGCAGTGAGTTCAACGCCATTGGAGAAGGAACCGGTGCCCGTGGGGTCCAAAACAGCGCGGAGAGGTCCAGCACCATCGGTAGTAACGACGTGGAAAGTTCCAGAGATGCTGCCACCAGTGGAGGAGACCTGAGGCAGGGTGCCACCGGACATCTGGTTGGCGGCGTCGATATCAGCGACCTGGACCTTGCCATTACCGGTAGTCTTGCCAAGGCCGTCCGTCATGATGTTCCTGCTCTTGAAGACAGTGGTATCCACCTCAGTCTTTGGTCATCGAGTTAGCACAATCCACTTATATTTGCGGTTTATATACACACCTTCCTGTTGGGGCCGGTCAAGGGAACAACACCGCCCATGTTGGCCAAAGCAGTGCCGTTTCCACCGAGGTTGCCAGTCAACACAACGGGCTTGCCGTGAGCGGCAACAAGAGGGGTGGCTGCGAGAGCGAAGATGACAGCCTTGGAAACCATTTTGATCGATTTGTTGATGAAAAATGAATTTTAAGTTAATTAAAAGCAACGGGAAAATGTGGACTGCGATTAAAGTGGTTTGAGAATAAGTGAAAGCGAGAAAAGTAGACGCACGAATCAATCGGCGAGTAGAAGATGAAAGAACTGATGAAGGAAGAAGATACTGATGAGGGATAGAAAAGATTCGGATTCAAAGCCGGATCGTCGCGAGACCTTTATACCACTGGCGTTCCTTACTGATGCCTACTCTTGGATATTGGTATGTCAAGAGATGTACCTTGAAGCCGCACAGCTTTGCGGGTGAGCTTGCCGATTCAGGAACATTACAGCTAGGCAAAATTGAGAAATCCTCTTAGCACGAGTATTCCGAGGGAGTCAGGGACGAAGTGACAGCCCCATGTCGTCTGAAGCGTGTGAAACGTCTCGAGATCTTCACCTCTCGAGTTCTGCAGCGGCTAATGTGTGGGGGGGGAGGGGCATGCAAGTGCGATGCGTAAATCCATCTAATATCAACAAGGCTTCGGAGTATTTCCGTGGCATCCAATGATACGCAACTGTCAGGACACTCGACATAGGCAAAACCTGCCACATATGGGGCCTACCCTACGAAAATCTTCTGGACTGCTATAGTACTGCAGCTTAAACAAATCTTAACTATAGCTATTAACAAAGTGAATTCAAGCATTGGGGAATCAAATTCTTTTCGATATGAGCGAGTCATATATTCTTAGAATCCTGAATATCATATTCGACATGGCTTATGTTATCCTCCTTTTACAGGTGGTAAGAAAAAGTCCAAGGCATAGAGAGAGTAGGTGTAGGTTCTCACAACTCCACAAGCTTGATCTGTGCCGAAGCACCCCGCAGAATCGTGGCCCAACTCCGATTAGCCGAAATCCCATGAATCCTTCCTCATCTTCAGACTCTAGTGAACTCGGTTTCTACGTCCTATGCTCCTGGCCCACTAGTGCCTCCGAGCAACAGGCCGTGATTTTGCCGTCGCCCTCATCACCTTTTGCGTTGCCGCTGTCTTTGCCGTCTCCACCCTAGAAAATGGCGATCTTGAAACAGGGCTGGGCCATATTGGGAAATCAGAGACCACTGTCGGGGCGCGCGCGATGCTGTCCCGCACGCATAATGTTTCACATGCCAAGAACACCTTTGACGAGCGGCCTTCCCCCCAGCATACTTGCGGCTCAATTGGCCGTTAATTCTTCCACATATACATAGATGAGATGAAGCTGTAGGCGATGGAAGAAAGCGAGGTGCGACGCATAACGGCCAGAGGTATTGGATGACACTGACACGCGCGTGTCATCTGACACCTGTCATCCACCACCCTCGAACCTATATCGGCGTGTAATAGTAAAGGTATGGTCGCTTTACCACCCGCGCTAAAGTCCGCGAGTACCCTGCCGTCGCATGTATTTTTCTTCCGTAATCTGAATGGTTACTGGGCTTGTCTTACGAGGCCAACAATGGTTACTGAATCGAAACCCAGCACAGACCAAGTACCGATGTTTTAACCGCTGTCAAACTCGGTTGATTTCCCGTGGGCGTTCAGTCAAGATTTTGCCAAGATACTCGGCGTTGAATACTGTTTGGTTCCTGGCAAGAGAAAAGGGGGGGGGGGGGGGGGGGGGGGGGGGAACCTTATTGAGCGGCCATGATCTTCCTTTCACTTTCAAAAGATGATCGTGTTTCCAGGATGATCGACGTCGATCTCCCCAAGCACTGTCAATCCTTCGGGAATAATACCGCTGCAAATGATTTTTACCAGCACAAAGCTGGAGTCGAGACAGAAGAAATCATCAACTTGAAGCATGCGGAAACCAGCTAGTGTAGGGCGCGGCCCCACCGGCGGGAAACCGGCATCGTCCTTGTTATGCCAGGGGCCGCAACAAGGGACCGCATGTGTGCACGGGACCGTTAGAAGAGTCCTTCACCCACAAACGTGTCTCATGACAGCCATACATCATGGGTTAAGATGCCCAGCGGCCCAAGGACGTTGGCGCTTCAAACAACAATGTTGGATCGCCCTGCCACACTGCGGTCCACTGTCATTGGTGAATCATTGACATCATCACCACAGCCTCCACTCCAAATCAAAACGGCAAAACTACCCATTACAAGGAATACCTGTCAGGAGGACGAACAGCTCCGGGGTTGTTGCAGACTCCGAGATTGCTTGATTGCAAACCTAGACAGCCCCTTTTCCGAATGTGGCATTGAAGCTGCAACTTCCCCCTCTCCTTGTATGAAGCTCAGTATCGGCATATCCGATGGAGTCCACCAAGTTACCTCAAAACGACAAGAAGGAGCATAAGCTTGGTGGCCGTGCAAATAGAGGCCCAAGGTGAAATGGGCCGCGGTTGTTTCTTAGCATAATGCTATACAGCACAGAAAGAGTTGTGGAGAAGGCTTCGTGCCTCCTTTTCTCAGCGTTGCTTGAGCACTTGTCACATCTTCTGCCCCCGACAAAGCCCCAGACTGTTTCCTTCTTATCGAGTTCGATAAAGCCGAAATCCTAAATTATCATCAATATTTGCCTCTGGAACACTTCACTTACCAATACCCTGGGCCAGTCGTCTAACTTTGCAAATGTGTCTAATCTTGCCCAAAAAGGCAAACCACCGTCCACTTCTGATTTCGAGCTAGGTACTATCGGTAACCGTATGGTCAAGTATAGTTTCTACGAACGGTCTTCTCGGTTGATTCAGGATTGGGGTTACTTGGACGCTTCTGAACAACAGTTTCGACTAACTGAACTCTTCTTGTTCACTGGGTTGGCAGGTAACCTTGACACGATAGTTACAGCTGCTGAAGTCTACGCAATTCGAGACTAAAAAATGAGAGGCATGCGTAATACTTAGAGCAACAGACAGCCCAAATACAACCTTGATTGTAGATCTCATTCTTTCATCCCTTACTCGTGAATGAAAAACTTGTAGAGAAAACGATCAAGTGGGCCAACATGTGATGCCGCGCACTTCGGACCTCGTACGAAGTTTACATAGGGCAACCCCCGTACTCAACAAGCTGTTGAAGCCGCAGTTCTCCTCTCTTTGCCTCAGAGCCTGCCTTTAATGTTTCGAGAATGAAACGGTATGATGTTTGTTATCAAAAAGCTACGTAATCAGGATCCGAGCGTCTTCTAATATCGGTTGTTAATATCCTCATTGGGCTGTGGAGGCAACGGGGGTGCGACGCTCTAGAGGGCACCAAAAAAGGCAGCAACACTTCCTCGCTGCTTTGGAGCTTAGAAAAAACACCACCAATACCTCCTATGTCTCTCTTTAGCCCTTCGGATAGGCGCCAATTACCTTCAACCTGTTATTTTGGATATGCTTTTCCGTGTTCACGAATAAACTTTCCGGGTTTGGTGCGTCTAACGAATGCTCAAAGTTTCGTTCACAGGAAGGTTTCTTCGTCGGGATTACAGGGGTACCCGTAAAGTGGGATTCCTTTCAAAGGGTAAAAAGTCTGTTAATCTTATGTCATGTCTAGGAGAAGTTCTAGAAGAAGTGCAAGCTGAACTGTTAATGTGAGACACACATTGGGCAGCCACAGAATCACTTCAACTCGGGATTTTATTTTACAGTTTTCTTATGCTTGTTCTGGCTTTAAGACTAAATTATTAGTGTAAAGTATCACACTTGTGGAGGATCGGGTTGACTTCAGAGTAGTTAATCTGAAGACTCCAAACACCATGGAGTTGTCTTTGGTACCAACGATGAAGATGAGCAACAGCCCTATTGCAAAGCAAGTTAAGGGACCTTTTTTTTCTTTCTTTTCTTTTAGAGCTAACAGTTTTGCTTGTCGCAACTATTGATTTGGGTAATTCGGCTGCGGTGGCATTAATGACAGTCAGACCGAAGAGGTGAGTCGACGGGCAATCAAGAAGCAGGAGCTATTGAGCGAATAGAGTATCAATTGAGTTTAACAGACATCATATAATTATGCCAAGATCAAAATATCATGAGTACATCCTACCCGCCACTGGTTCTTCTGCTAGGCCAGCCGTTAACCCGACAAAAAGTCGTTCCTCCGAGCCTGTCACGCCGCGAACTGTCCGCTTGATTTCTCCCCACATCAATGGTTGGGTCCATTCGTCTGCTTCATTTTCACCGCAGCCACCTGTTTCCTCTGTCTCTTGATAGTCATAGTTACCAGACTTATTCAGAGCCTGCTTCTCGCCTCGTCGCTGAGCGTGCTGGCAAGCGGCCGCAATGGCCACGGAGCAGCCACTCTGAAGAACCATGTTACCAGCGAGCCGTACTCTGCTGATAAGAAATAATGCAACGAGTGCAAGCACCGCCAATATTAGAGATAGCATCAGGTAGAGGCTTGAATAATTGGCCACCAGCAATTCTCCATCTCTATCACTATTCTCACGCCCAAAACCCATACGACCAAGTGAAGTTGCTGGCTTTCCCTGATAGCTGAAAAAGGAAATTTTGGAGAGAAAAAAGGCCTGTGATATAAGCCAGTGACTCGTACCGCCGAAGAGGAGAAGAGGAATGGCATATTTAGGAGGGATCTGAAGCCAGTACGCCGAGCGTTGCAGGCTGTTCAGGCCACGCTCTGGTCGCGTGACCCGTAGGGTCTGATGTTCTCGAGAAAAGTCGTTCCAGTCAGATGCTTGTAGGAAAGATGACAGTAGTGCGTTATACAGGAAGTAAAGAGCGCTGAAGAGTATCTGGGGGGTGTTGACTAATACAACAAGGGAAGCAAACGAGGCTTTTGCCAGTGTCGTCCAACCCACAATTGAGGCATAGTCCTTTGCTGTGAAGGAAGATAGAGAGAACGCTGTTGAACGGCGTTCACCTTCGGAGTCGGAAACCATTGCCATAATAAACAATGTTGTAACAACAACAATCGCAGCGGAGAACAGGGCCCAGGAAGAAATAAGCCGAGCCTTTGAAACAGCGTTATACCGTCGATACCTGCGAGTTTTCCATCTCAAGGGCTCAGGTATAACGTTTTTTGACCATCGAGATAGCAATTGTTTGCAGTCAAAGGCACCAAATCCTTCAGTGGATGGATCAGGTTGTCGGAGAAATGAAGCAATCGCGTCTCCCAACGTGTTCAAGGACCGATCCCTCACCACAAAGAATAACGCAACCATAACCAAAGTCTTTATGGCGTTACAAGAAATAGCCGTCAGTAAGAATGGCGTGTATATTTCCAGATTACACTGTTGACGAAGTGGCTCAGCCAAGCAATATACTGGCTCGGCAGGCACGAGTCCTCTACTACGGTCGGGGCTTCCAAACTTGGCCTGATGAGTCGGACATATAGGTGCATTAAACCGGCCATCATCACACATCCAGCTGTTATACTTGGCTGTGGTGATTAGCCCCGGCAACCTGGGAGGATCCTCGTGCGGTACGACCAAAATCAGATTGCGGTATGTGGTCTGCATTACCCCAGAGTAGATTGCTGCACACGACTCTAAAGTAAGCTTTTCCCATTGAGCGGCTTTGGGAACAATATCGTCGCGGAAATACTCTTTTAGAGCGCGTTCACTTTCCTGATTAACTTTGTTATAGGTTTGGGTCCAATTTGCGTCAAGTATGGTTGCCGCACCAGTGTCGAGGAAGGTTTCATCAAGTTCTGCGACAATGTATTCTGTCGTACTTTGTGTAGCTAGAATGGCTGAGTTGTATACTAGATGTAAGGGGAACGAGCTAAACAGTAATAGTGCCCAGCAAACCTGCCTTGGTAGGGACATGGCTCGAAGGTTGCGTATTGAGGGCACGCCGATGTTTAACCAACGACGCCTTGCATGTTCTTTGTTTACGTCCTCTCGAGTAGGTGCCATAGCCAACTGCATCGAATAGTTTGATGCAGCGAGAAGCACAGTGCCCATGATGTTGATTATCAAATGCGACAAGACGTTCCATTTCGAGACGGATACGCAGTCGCTGCGTAAGAGAACATTTGTTTTGTCTTGAGTGAAAGGCAGTTTCGACGACACGATAAGGAGAGCGAGGTTTAGTGCTAAGACAACTAGCGATAGAAAGGCGAACACAAGAAGCCATCGATGAAGCCGTATGACGGCCCCAAAGTCGTAATTCATGGCTAAACGCGCGATGGCGCAGACGGCGCAGATTCGGGGTAATATAACAAATCAGAAAATGGGATAAGAGCTCCTCAAGTAGTTATGTTACCACGAGTGCCTACACAGGCGCTGTTTTCTCGCTAAGCCTGCCACCTGCAAGGGAAGAAGTACGCCTTGAGCTAAACCCGCATTGGAAAGGTATCTTGGCATACGGCCTTAGCGGTAGATCTCGCCTATTTTGGAGCGAAGTCAGCCCATTTGGATTCCTGATTTCACCTCCTCATTCTTCCTAATAAGCGCTTTTTTGGGCGATGTCCTACAGCATTTTGAGACACAACTCGATTTACCTTGTCTGATGATGGCTTACCACATGAGAAAAAAGTCTCTTCGAGAATGCTAGCTTGCAAGGACCGAGAAAAAAAGGCCAACGGTGCAAGACAAGTTTTTCAGACTAACAGCCGGAGGTGGCCGCCCAAGCAATGCGGCAGGGGGCAGCCAGTAAACGTTGTCTCATCGGCTGCTGCATGACCTCGCTTTTGCCAAACCCTCAAATTTCTACTTCAATAACTACATTGGCTCGGTATTACATTAGTACACAAACAACTGCTTATCTGTCTCTATTATTCTAAGTGTTCCGACACAGGCATTACGTATTAATTGAGATCACTAACCCCTCTAGTACGCCTAGAGCTTGTATGTGTGAAGGGTCAGACCCCGCCTACAGGACTGCACACACACTTAATCTACCCTAGGTCCGACTCATCGTACCGAATCATTTCTTGAAAGAATACATAGTCTCAGCAACATCTTAGACTATTCAGGTCGATACTTTCATGTCCTTAAATAAAGGTAAGGCATCGACCTGGCATCCAGTCAAGTGTGTCTGTATCTGGTTTGATTTAAAACGCGCTTAATTAAACCGAACTGATCGACAACTTCATGCCTAAACCTTTGCCAACTGCATTACGTGTTAGTCAATACATGTTCTAGTGAAAAGCTAGTTGTGCGAGAGAAGAAAAAAATCCGCCATTTCACTTTCATTGGATCACAGTCTCTAGTCCAGCCTCTCGTTGTCTCTCGCAGTCGATCAAATCTATGTCCTCAAGTACAATTTGACCTACTTTAGATTCGACGCCAAAACAGTTACAAGCGTTGGCATACGTAAGAAATGCTTGCCATACTTGATCGGAACGCTTTATGGGTTCTTACTCACCTGAGTCTCTCGACTACATCATGTGTTACTTGGATTGTTCTGCGACTACCACATCATGTGGCCTTCTTCTTTCTTCAGCCACACGGGCCGTGTTCCTTTAGTAGACTCAGTGAAGATAACCCCACCCTTCTTCCCCGGCCAAGTGCGGGGTAAGAACTGCTTGGCACAAGGTGTTTTCGGTCGCGCTTAATCTAAACTGCATAGCATACACGAAAATCTATACATTTCAAAACGAATGAATAAGTTTTTGGGTAATAACGAAATGTGTCATAAAGATGTATCAACTATGGCAGTGATATGATCTTCTTAATTGTAATGATAGTTTTGGAATCACAGTAGATTGTCTTGGATATGAAGGTCTTATCTAACCCCAGTTGATAGCTGTTGCTGGTGACAATCTCACTGTGTTTCAGTGGACTTCTATTTCAAGGAAACCGTAAGCTAGTGGGCACATTAGAAAGGCATGCAGCTATTTACGAGAATAGGTAGACTCTCCCGCACAGCAATGGAGACTATGAGATGAAGTCCAAATGCAGCCGACGGTTAACCAAGCACATGAGACAACAAATACTGTGTTGGTATATGGGAAGGGTTGGGAAGGGTGCAACTCTTACAACTCATGGCGGGATTCACTCTGGAACCGAGGCTGCATTTACCTCTGGAGTAGTACACTACAAAAATCAAGTACAGCAACAACGGATTTGAAAAGCATCGAAAAATAATTCTAGTCCCTTCTTTTGTGTCATTCACCTCGCGTGTGTGGTCGGCAAGCTTCCGCTAAGAGGAGCTATGACCCCGTCCCCGACGTCGTCTCCCGAACACCACACTACATCCTTGAACGGAGCCGGGTAGATCATCCGTTGGCCCAATACCGTACAAGCTGGGGAAATGGGGTAATAACGTCAACGGGCCGGTTTATTACTACATAGGTGTCACCGGGTTGAGTTCCGAGATCGCATTAAGGTTTCCCACACACCCCGAGAATGCTCCGAGATATTTCTCGGGACCCTAACCGAAGCAATCCAATTCCTTATATCAATCGAGACCAACCTAACGTGTCGGTATGTCTCCCTACGTCAACTTTCAATATTGAAAAGGAGAAGAAAAAATCAACAATTAGTAAGTTGAAACTGAATTTGCATACCTTGTTGGAAATGCACTCCGCCAATGTAACCGTTAATACCACTAACACGAATGACCTTTTTAGTGTCTGGAAAACTAGTTCCTCTTACCATCGTCAAGGGCGCCGGCCACGAGTTCATTCCCCTGCCTCAGGGCGAGAACGCAACCGTTGCCGACTTTCATTCGTAAGATTTACTTATTCTAGAGTGGTTTTGCATTTATTAATATTCGATTTTGCAGCATCCGAACTCAGACCACCGAATCCCCTTCCCATCTGACCTCGGGGTTCTATAAAATAGTCGCCGGTCCCTCTCGGCCAGCACACTACACCTTTGAGGAGACGAAGTATATCCTCAGTGGTCAAATAGACATCTTGGTTCGTTTCCTCTCTACCCTTTTGTGAGTCGAGATTTTGTTAACAATGGCCTTTCTGGGGAATAGGATGAGGCAACTGGAGTTACACACCACTTGGTACCTGGTGATTTTGCCTTTTTCTACGTTGGCTCCAAAGTCCAGGTTTGTGATATCCCTCTTTACAAACAGTGAGCGACGAGCTGATATTCCCGCTTGAAAGTTTTCAACCAAGTCTGAGGGATTGGCTTTCTACGCCGTTACTCGGCCCGTAAGGGTCGCACACCCCAACCTCCAAGGACGGGAGGAGGATGTCAAGTCCAGACTATAAATAGAATAAGCAGAATGATTTTGAATGAAAGATGAGAAGATGCTTGGTATCAAGCAATGAATCATGATCTTGAAACGTATCTTTACTTCCTCCATGTGACTAAAATTTGTTAGATCATGGTTCGTTCAAGAAGTTGTCTATTCGATGATTGTTGCTGTGGTTCCCATGGAAGAGACGCTGCGTTCTCCTTGTACCCACAGTAGACGATATGACGAGCATTTCTAAACACTCCACCACCAGTCGGGGCAGTGGCTGGCTTGGGAGAGGAGTGCCTAGTCATGTGGGGTTAATCACACCAGAGCGTCGAATGGGCAAAGGTCTTGCTCCAAAATCTTATGATTTGGAGAACTTGGTTATTGTTCGCTGTAAAAGGTTTTCTGAATTGAGATTCGGGAAATCTGGATAAGAATGACATGTTGATGTCTGGGATTGAAGTTTTCTTGAACTCCGAGTATAATTATGATCATGAAGTTGTTAAGACAACGCCCAATGAGCATTATGCGTTGTCAAATAACTTTAACATTGAATCTCTAAGCGCGGATCTCGCTATGTTTCGTGCTGTTTGTACATTTCTTATCCTCGTTAAAGATGATTTACAGTTCCAAGTTCTTGAATGACTGACAACTGTCACATTGCCGAATGTTCCATCACCTCTTCAGACCCGCCCTCCCCGCTTGTTGGCGTTTCCAAAATCATCCGACTTACGGTCAAATGCCATCTGAGCTCTGGGAAAATGTAAGCCTGGATGTCAGGGCTATATCACGCTCGCCACCTGTCGAAGTAGCATTTGGTCGTCTGCGAGAAATTGACTCCGCTGCTTCCTCGACCGAAGTCTCTTGCAGCCCGCTCCCATCGGCCGTGCTGACGTTGGTGTTTGTGGTGGGAATATCTTCGGACCTTGAGATCCCAGATGCAATCTCGTCATTCGAAGTGGAAGGCGTATCGTTGTTGTCAATCGCCTTTTGACTGTTTTGCTCTTGTAGTTCGGTCTGAATATCTTTTGCTCGTTTCCGATGATCTGTTTCAAGTCTCAGTATCATTACGAAGTCTCGAAAAGCCATGTCTCGCTTTTCCTTTCCTAGTCTTCTCACTAATTTCCTTTCCTTCTTCAGTAATTGAATTCTCGGCTGCAGTGTTAACTTACCGAAATAAAGTTTGACGACATCTCGCAATAAAGGTAGCCACATCATCATAATGGTGATTTGGCCAAAGCCCCACTGGTCATCCTTGAATTCGTCACCTGCTGCTTTCTTCAAGAGTTTTTGATTCTTCGAAACTTGCTGCAACATGTTAAATGCGTCGTAGAGGAACATGCCACAAGTTCCTCCAACAAAGGCTAAAAAGAACAAATCCCTTAGCAACCGTTGATCGAGTAATAGACTCTTGAGAGTCTTGATCCAGGTTTCTCCCCAAGACCTAAACTCGAGGTTAGATTGAGTCGTAAGTTGTTCAAGGCCCGCAAACTCACAAGGAGCCATGAGTTTCTACAACAGTTTGATGTGTACATGCCACACAAGCCCTGCCTTGAACTTCCTCTGCATTATGTCGCAACTTGAAAACTATAAACAAGAGAAATAAGAACCCAATAGCAGGCGCCATATAAAAAAACGCAAAGTCTTGAACGTTCCAAGAGCCCGAAGGAAACCAACCCTCAGAATGCACAAAATCATGGCTGTAGCTAGGAAAGGGATATCCGTGCAGGGTTGCGCAAGTCCTCACGACCTCGTTGAGTGCTTTTGAACCAAGCGGAGACGCAGTACAACTAAACACCCGGAGCTCTGCAAACGCTATGGCGGAGTGGGCAACGGTAGTGACAAAATTCAAGACACCTGCAAGACCCTCGTGAACTTTGATGCGGTCAACGTCAATGTAATAAAGACGCCTCGCGATGAGATGGCTCAGGAAGGTGTAGCCGCAAGTACCCAATTCGTAAAACGACAGAGTTTTGAGAATTGGAATTTCCATGAGTGGTACATCCTTCCAGCCATGGCAACGAATACATGCTGCAATGATAATGGTTAACGAGAATAAAATATTGGCGAAATGAACTGAATTCGAAAATGATGTTACGCTTTTCCGTAAGTTTTCGAGCGAGGCTGACGTGGGGATCACTTGCATGATCACAGGGTGATCGAGAAGGAAATTGAGTATAGGCCCCAAGAGAACAAGAACTGCCTGAATATAATAGCATGCCATGGCCTTGTTATGCGCGTGTACATGTTAGACCAAGCGAATAAAAGTATGTGTCTGAAGAAAGAAACAAGAAAACAGAGTGATTTGTTACATACCCCGATTCCGGTTATGTCAGGGTTGCCTGATCCGTATAATTGGACGCATACATCTTTGCATTCTTGTACGTAATTAATAACAGCTCTGTAATCAGATTGCTCGATAAAATGGCCAAGTTCCTCAGCCATTTCCCAATGGTCTTTAAAGGTACAGAGGTTCGTGTGCTGTCCTCCAGGGTCTCCGGGAGACAGCTCCCCTGTTTCTTCTACTAGACCATCAGCTAACGAACTGGTTGATACAGCGAGCAATGTGAAGATCGCAATTTGGAGCCTCATGGTAGTATTCTAGTAGTTAGTTTCAGTTGCTACGACTGAACTTTGTATGAGCTGTGCTGGGGCTAGGTACAGCTAGCGCGGGAGTAATGAAGTGAGTTGGCGAAACAAGAAGGACATAAAGCTTAGCTAGGGAACACAGGAGGTATTGATAAACTAGAACTCCCACGCTCAAGACATAATTCAGCCTTGGCTGTGCTGACCACCCCCTACAATGGCGCAGCATTAAGGCCATTGGTTGCCTTGTCTTTAGCGCAACTATATGCATTAGCACTCAAAGCCCATCGAGTGCCGCTGAACCCCATCTCCGCCAAGGGAGGGGCAAGGCTCAATTTTCCGCTGTTCTCAACACATCATTTACTGAGCTTCAGGGCACATCTATTCTCTGTAGCTTCCGAGTTTGTCAGGGGTACTAGTAAGCTCTACTGATACAGAAGGTCAAGATACGTTACAAAATAAGAAACATATACGGATAAGTGAGGTACCACTTAGGCACTGATTCGAATTTGGAAAAAAACAGTGGCTATCCATGTGCAGTCTCGGCGAAAATGGGGTCCAGCAGCAGTCGATAAAATAGCACTCTAGACTCATGTCTCTCATGTACTAGGATTCCAGCCAGTAATAATTGGAGAATGAGATAATGTCAGGGTTGGGTGCGAGAGACTGTGCTACCGCGTACTTGCTCCTGCTTCCTACCTAGGTATTGATGAGAATAAAGCCGTCTTTGGAAGAACAAAATCAAGGAAAAGTTTTTACCTTAGACAAAGAAGTAACCAAATTTCCATGCATTGCAAGGCAATTCTCGTGACACATCCGACAAGACTGCAGCGAAGAGCCCTGAACACACTTACAAATGATCTCGAGGCAGCTGCCACTGGTTATTTGGGTAGCTGTCCTCTCCATAAGCCACACTGCGATCTGCCGATGATGTATCACCACGCAACTAGAAACTCCAGTTCCCAAGATGTCAAGACTTTACCCTAGCTAGATCGTTAATTTCCATCATATTTGGGGCGAAGGCGATGTTAGCTGTAATGAGGTTGCACTTAACTGCTCATTTAAGCACCTGAAGCCTTAGTGAATGGCTTAGGCTACAGCCTTCGGCGAAGAAGAGCATATGTCAAGAGGCAATCATAACGGTTGCAAGCCAAACTGTTGTCATCAAAGCGTACTCTCATTCTCTATAGGTTGTCTATTACTCATCATAACCTAGGTGTATTCCACTCGCGCCTCACGTTCTCTGCCTTTTTTTCCCGTAGCCCGCTCCCCAAAGACACATCCGCAACTCCACGACGCAACAACATCAACGCACATTTATGCCTTGATCAGCAAGTTCTCTCCAGTCATCTCCTCAGGCTGGGGCAGGCCCATGGCGCCCAGGATGGTCGGGGCGACATCACCCAGGACACCGCCGACCTGCTTCAGGCTCCAGCCCTCGGGGGCGTTGGCCATGATGAAGGGAACCTTGTTGGTGGTGTGGGAGGTCTTGGGCTTGCCGTCGGGGAACTTCATCTCCTCGGCGTTGCCGTGGTCGGCGGTGATGAAGAGGATGTAGCCCTCCTTCTTGCAGGCCTCGTAGATCTTACCGATGGCCTTGTCGGTGGCCTCGACACCGACGATGGCGGCCTCGTACACGCCGGTGTGACCGACCATGTCGGGGGGCGCGAAGTTGTTCATGACGAAGGGGAACTTCTGCTCGCCGAGACGCTTGGCGACCTGGTTGGCGACGCCATCGGCGGACATCTCGGGGGCCTTGTCGTAGGTGGCAACGGACTTGTTGGAGGGGACGAGATCCTGCTTCTCATCACGGGTCTCGAGGGCGAAGACCTTCTCGACACCACCGTTGAAGAAGAAGGTGACGTGGGCATACTTCTCCGTCTCGGCGATGTGGACCTGCTCAACGCCCTGCTTGCCGAGCCACTCGGCGAGCACGTTGCCCATGCGCTGGGGCTCGAAGGCAATCTCAAAGGGGTAGTCAGTCTTGTACTGGGTCATGGTGACGAGCTTGTCGATCTTGGGGTAGGGGAAGTCAGGGAGGACGGAGCGGTCGACGTCGCCGAGGAGCTGAGTGATCTGGCGGACACGGTCGGAGCGGTAGTTGAAGAAGAAGACGGTGTCGTCGTCCTTGATGCGGCCCTCATCGCCGCCGACGATGATGGGGGTCAGGAACTCGTCCTTGTCCTTGTCGCCGCCACGTGCGTAGCGCTCCTTGACGGTCTTGACGGGGTCGGTGCTCTCCTCACCCTCACCGAGGATCATACCCTTGAGGGCGATCTCGACACGCTCCCATCTCTTGTCACGGTCCATGGCGTAGTAACGGCCAACGACGGTGGCGATCTCGCCAATGCCGATATCCTTGGCGGTCTGGACAAGCTCCTCCATGTAACCGGCACCGGACTTGGGGTCGGTGTCACGGCCGTCGCCAAAGAAGTGGATGTAGACCTTGGGGACGCCGTACTGCTTGGCGGCTCTGAGGAGGTGGTAAAGATGCTCCTGCTTGGAGTGCTGCAAGTCAAAAGCGGTTAGCGATTTGGCATCATAAAAGTGAAATATCACGAGGAAAAACTGACCACGCCACCGTGGGAGACGAGACCGCAAAGGTGCAGTCTGCCGTTGCCGTTCTTGGCGCTCTCGAAAGTCTTCTTGATAACGGCGTTGTTGGGGAGCTCGCCCTGCTTGATAGTCTGGTCGATGCGAACGACATCCTGCCAGACGACACGGCCAGCACCGATGTTCAGATGGCCGACCTCCGAGTTGCCCATCAGGCCCTCGGGAAGACCAACGGCAAGGGATGAGGCGTCAAGTTCGCAGTAGCCGGTCTTACTCTTGGCGAACTCGTCCATGACGGGGGTGTTGGCGTTAGTGATGGCATCGCCATCCTTGGGGGATTCCGCACCGGGGACGCCCCAGCCATCAATCACGACTGTACGAGCGCAAAATCCACAGAATTAGCCAGCCAACCTCGAGATACAGGACAATGTAGGCGAGGGTGAGAATATAGTCGGGTCTGGGGGATTTGTGTTTGGGGGGAGGGGTAGGAGGGCGACGATGATCATCATCATGATGCTGAGAATCTGCTACCCTAGGCAGGCTGTCCTTGTTCTGCGGGTTCTGCTGGTTTTGCAACGCGACTCCTCTACCAGCTGCGGCACTCACACCACCACCACCACCACCAACGCCGACACCACCGCGGGGCTTCGAGGAGGGGCTCGGAGGGTTGGGAGGGAGATCTTTAGACGTACTCAGGCAGGCCTTCTGGTCGGTCTTGGCCATGGTGTATGGTATTTCAATGCTTCGAATTCTTTATAGAATGGGGTATGGAAGGGGGAAGAAAGAGGGAAAAGTCAACTAGTTGCGTGATTTTTTGGTATTTATTTTTTATGGTGGTGGTGAGAGAGCCTGGTTGAGGAGATTTGATTGAATCAGCCAATGTACCCGACCGACCCTGAACAAGCTCCGGCCTGTCTGCCGTTTCTCTCGTTTTATCAGTGTCAGTGTTTGGTGGGGGGTTATGTCATAGTATCACCGATAACCAGCTCCGTGTCGGACCAGCCCACAATAACACTGTCCAAATACGCCATATCTCCTGCCACCACACAGTGCTGTCTCCCTTGGCGACGGTGTGGGCTGATCAAAGCTGCCCCTCTGTTGACTTTCAACATTTTTTCTTAGCTGCCAATCGACGCCGCGCTAAAACGCCCGTGGTAGCTTTCCGGACCGCAAATGTCTCGGCGGAGCTTCCCCCTGCACAAACAAACTACTCCATATTGACGCCTCACCAGCCGCACCTTTTGATCAATTGACTTTCAACGCCTCGTCCCTCAACCAACGACACCGCTGCGATAGCGCACATACCGCAAGGCTGGACGTCCGTTGCCTCACACTTCAAACCTCCGCTAGTTCGCTTGATTGAGAAGCCTTTCAACCTGTTGAACCGCCTCCAACCAACCGTCGCGGCTCCTTCAACCGCCCAATACACACACATCTTCGGAGACGCCCCAGCACCAAATATGCCTCCTCACCCGCTCGAGCTCCCACCAACCCTCTCTCCCGATGCCCTGGACACCCTTACCGAGCTGACGGGCATCCTCACGCGCCTCCGCACCGCGATCCAGGCCTCCGGCTCAGCAGGCGGCATCACAGGCGCCACGCCCGCCGGTACCGGCCCCGGAGCCACACCGAACCCCCTCGGCGCTAGTCCCAACGCGCCGCTATCTCTCAAAGACGTGCCTGCCCAGACCGATGCTCTAAAGCACAAGCTACAGCGCGCGCGCGTGCAGATGCGCACTCTCCCCGACATGGAGCGCTCCACCGCTGAACAGGAGGAAGAAATCAAGGAACTCGAGGAGCGGATCAGGATGCAGCGTGAGGTGCTGGACCGACTGCGGGAGTCCGGCGTCAGGTTCGGTCATGAGGAGGAGGGCGGTAAGGGCGAGAAGATGGAGACGGAATAACTGGCTGGTCACCGAGAGAACACATGGATGGCGGAAGACGAGTTCGAGGGAGAGGGTTTGATGAGTGGGATTACATTTGTTCATTTTTTTTTTCTTCTTTCTTTTTACCAAATTGCTCCTATGATACCCCGAAATGCAATTTCAAACCATGACTGAACACTTGGAGGAGAAAATTTCACGTTGTTTGTTGCGCCCCGGTGCCGTATCTCTCTCTCTCGCAAAGAAAGTACCGCCACTAACTCCTGTCCTGACACACATCATTAAAATGACTTTCCACCAATGCCAAACTTCGTAGACCTCTCAGTGCTCCATGATACCGACGGCCTTGAGGATATCATGCAGGTCCTTACCCCGCTCTCCCGGTACAGTCCTCGTCCAAATCTCCTCGGACAACCTCTGCTCCTCGGGCAACACACTCCAGTTCGGGCTCGGTTCCGACTTGAGCCACTTGAAATCGTCGACCTGGTCCCACTGGTTCTTGACGGGGTCTTCGGGGGTATCCTGTGAAAGTCAGCCACGCAAGTCCATGCCACAACGACGCTATTTGACTTACGAAAGCCGCGGGTAGCGGTGCGAAGCGCATGTTGGAGCAATCTTCGATGATGGGGTGGCTCGAGCAGTGCAGGTAAATGTCGACGTTCTTGCACTCGTGGATGCGCACCTGCCGGGCCGAGACGACGATGATGCTGTCCGACACACCAGTGATATGCGCCGGCCCGGCGACGTTGCCGGCGACGATGAGACTCTTTTCGATGTTCTTCAGCGCCAGGTTTGCAAAAGACGTGTTGCCGGAGATTGCTAGGGACATGTCGACAATGCAGCCCTTCAAATCCGTCAAGCGGCCGGAGGACGTCGCTCTCGATGCCGAGGTCGGGAGAATAATGTGCAGGCCTTGCTGGCCGAAGATGGCAATGTCCTTGGCGGTTGAGAAACTGGGCTTGCGGACTTTGGAGGCGCTCGGCCTCGCCATCTCCTCGTTGTAGTTCTTGGGGAACGAGGGAAGGGCGCCGAGACCATCGGCCTCCGCCTGTGGTTCGGACGCCACGACGGGGCCGCCTCGGGATGCCGGGACGGGATCAGCCAGGCTGCCGCCCACGACTAGACGCGGGTCATTCTTTGGAGCTGCCAATTCGCTGGTCGCTGCGGTCTTCCCGCGGTTCTTGAATTGGAAGCGTGAGCGAGGGGCCAGCTTAGTTGTGGTCTCGTTCAACTTGTCTGTAAGAGCTTTAATGGCCTGGTGAAATTAGAACCTGTCCTTGATTTGAATCTCACAGGAGCTTCTTACCTGAGCGTAAGTCCGCTGGTCATATGAGGGCACAAAGTCAGAGGCATCGGCGACCTCGTTTGACAACGCCGAAATGCTGGCGAGGATGTGATCGATAGCATCCTGCCTCTCACCACCAATCTGTGCAATAGAGCCGAGGCCGTTGATTTCGTCCAGCAAGCCTGTGCGGGGACGGTCAGAATCCGGAGGCACCGCAACCTAATTACTGGGGAGGAGTTAAAAGTAGTCATAACCTACTAGCAACGGCTTCCTGGAAATGGCGGTAAAACTTCTCTTTAGGATCGCTCTGCATCTTGGTTACTGGCAATCCTCCACCGTAGGCAACAGGCTGAATCACTTCAGGCGCCATTGTTCGTTGTATTTGTAAAATATAACAATAAAACAATGTTTTCTTTTTTTATGATTATATATACGAGGAGGGACAAAGAAGCTCTGAACTCGTGTTTCAAAAGTGAACGGGCATATGACAAGTGACCTACTATACCTGGGAAGGTAAAAAAAAAAAGTGTAGGGCAGCAGTCAAGCTAAACGGTCCCCAAATGCAGCTTGTCGGTGAGGAAAGCAGTCTTTAATACATCGAGTTCGAGAATGCTCTGGAACAAAATACTATTAAAAAAAATAACATTCGACTTTCCGAAGAAGCAGGTGGCTTGTGACGAGTTTGCGTCGGTGAGAGTGACGTCGTCAGGTAACAGGGAGAAGGGTGGGTGAGTGGAATATCCGGGGGAAACGAAGTTGCAGTTACCTCGCTTTCGCTGAGGGTGTGCTAGCTGCGGGAAGGGTTGCAGCAGTAGGACAAAAACGGGTATGGAAAGCAGCTCACTTGGCTTAACTCTGGGTGCCAGGTCGGACGATGGAAGGGTTGGGCTGCAGGGTGAGGTGATCGATTCAAGCCCACCCACACTTGCATCTTCACAGCAGAGGGGGGGTAGGGGAAAAAAGCCCTGGTTGTGAGTAGCTGTCTGTCGTCTAGCAGCCCAGAACTGCTGCATGGTACGTAAAAGTGTTAAGTGGGTCAGTCAGTGGCAGGGCACGTGTCACACGGACCACTGCATATATCGGGGCATGCATTCAACTGTTAGATAAACGATATTAGTTTGATGCAATACACCTGGGGTTCATTGAGCAAAGAGTGATTCATGTTGTTGATTGAGTGATTCTACCCATTCCGGTTGAAGCGGGGTTCTGTTTTGTATCTACCCGTTCTTCCCGGTTTCAGCATATTGCAAGAATGCAACTAAGCTAGATTTCCTAGCATTTTATCCGGACGCAGGCGTCAATCTAACATCAACCCATGCACCCGGCTATTGTTTCCCATATAAAACTAACGGGGATGTCATTTTGTGCATGAAAACCTTCAAATCGGTAATTACCGAATAGACGGTTATATAATCAACCCAATAACCCCTAGACAGTCTCTAATGAATGGAAGCATCTTTTTTTACCCCATAAGTGGTGGGCAAATTGACTGCGTGACAGCACGCTTGTTACTGGACAGCGGGGGCTCCAGCCAACGTAGATTGGCGGCTCTCTCGGTCGGATTTTCTTCAGGGTTAGTGGATGCTTTCCCCCACCCAACGCCCTGTGGGGAACCTGCCAACTACTTACCCTGTTTTAGCTCTCTTTTCGGTCTTTTATTGTGTCTTCCATCCCATCTTGGCTCCCTCCACCACACGACACACTCACGACACGCAGACGAAAGGACGGGTCGATGACCCGGCCCTGCAGGGATAGACTCCATCGCCGGCCGAGAGAGAAAAGAGTGGAGTAACACATGGTAATCTGAAGCCTTGGAACGCTGTCATGGACTGGCTCGCCTCCCCCGCATCCACTGACTGTTTGCTACCATGTACTACGTAGTGAATGGTCCCTGGATCGGCGGAGATGTAGATTTCATCGCGAGGCACGCGCATTGGTCATCTGACGTCGTTTTCGTGGAGACCCGAGTGCCGACCGCCGGTGGGACTTGGGATGAGGTAATTGACGGGGGTGATTGTGGGCATCGAGGCTTACACGAACTGGTTCATGTAATGAATGTCGTTGATGCTAGTGGCAGTTGCTAGCGAAACCTCATTGGCGGCTCAAGGGCTGAGTAAACCTGACATAGACCAGTTAGCATTGGGAGGGCCCAGTGGGACGGGGGTACAGTAATGAGATTTCCACTTGCTCACAACCGTTTTCAAGGCATCACTTCCCGGAAGGCTCCCAAAGTCACCAAGGCAACACCAACTACAAATGCCAATCAAGACTTTTATTTGGCTATCAATCCCGTAACTCCATAAGGTGTACTCTAACTACACCCAACCAGCGTTTGAGACAGGTTCTGCTGTGACATCCAGCACCTGACTCGAGCATATTATATCATCTCGTACTCCCACAATTCGTTGACTTCATCGTCATCACCAACAACATTGTCATCATCAAAGGCAACGGCCTCTTCGTTCTCGTTGTCATCATCCTCGCTCTCAATGCAGAGCTCGTAGAGTTCCTTCTTCAGCTGCTCCAGCCTCTCCTCGGCCGCGGCCTGTGCTCGGTCCATCTCCCCCATTTCGTCCCAGAACTTCTGTCCAGTCGCGCCGCGTCTATTCGTAACCAAATCATGCTTCTTCTCTCTGTGTGTCTGGGCCTCGCATCTAGTCGTCTCCCATTGGCTGGCAACGACATCGCGTCTCTCCTGGCGAGAGCGCTTACGTGCGGCTGCCTCCATAGAGGCTCCTTGTGGTTCCTTTTGTTGTGATTTGTATAGTTCCTGCTGCTCAAAGTGCTTCAATCCTTGGATTTGACGTTCCTTTCTGAGCAAATCTAGCTCCAGCACTTCCTTTTGGTTGCCATTGATGCGGTTTTTCACATCTGCCAGGGAGAATCCCGCGGCTTGTGATTGACGGCGCTTCTCTTGTTTGAGCCTCTCTTGTTCCTCTTTCTGACGCAGTTCGGACTCTCGTTTTTCTTGCTCTTCCTTCTCAATGGCTTCATTCTTCCGTGCTTCTTTCGCGTCATCCACAAGACCCTTCTGCACAGATTTCGTGATGGGAAGGAGATGGGTCTCGCAGTTCCTGACGTAGGATAACCACTGTTCTGTGTACGTGCTGCTTCTGCCCTGAACTCGTCTGCCTTTGGGGATGTCCTTACCAACGATTGTCTCGCCTTCTGGAGTTGTGAGAACAATGGTTGGGATAACAAGGGGAACATGTTTCTTTTTGTGAGATGCGACTTTGTTCTTGCGCAGGGGGTTGGAGTTCTCCTTATCCTCTGTGATGGATTTCGTGCCGGGACCTTCGTATTTGTTCAAGAGAGATGAGGTACGAACAGTACCCCCTTCGAGCAGATCCCATTCGTCAGAACGTTGCTCAGACGATCTTTTCGATTTCTTCTTGCGATTCCTGACTCTGTCATTCACGGATTTGCATATGGCCCAGGCGAAGCGTAAGGCGTCATAAACTGGACCATCCGTTGGCTTCTGAGCGAGTGAAATTCTGGACTCCATTTTTTTGTGGGAGGATTGTTTGTGTCTGTTTGAGTAATGTCTTTTGTGTGTGAAATTGAATACCTTCTTGCGCGTTGTAGTGGTTTTTTCTATGGAGGAGAAAGGGTCAGAATGCTTTCCTGGAAGGGGTAGTGAGTTTTGTTGTGAAAACGGCATCTTGGCAGCTTTATGTGGAAGAAGGAAGTGAATTTGTTTTTGTCGACCAACTTGGAAGGCTGTGAACAAGGGATTGTTTTCTTACAGAAGGATGATTCAGAACAACAGCAGAGGACTGCTTTTATCTTCCACCGTGACTTTGACCTTTTGGGCCACGATGTGTCGGAGATGGGTTTTGAGAATGGAACCACGGTATGGTTGAGCTTATTCGCGACCTCCTTCCTCTGTTTTGTAAGTGGACCGTTAGCTACCAGACGGTACTCCAAAAAGGTCTCAACCTTGGTCAAGCCGTCGTAATTCACCCAAGTGGCAGGTGCTTTCCCAAATCAAAACAAACACGTCGGAGTTCACTCCACTTCATCTTCTAGGTAACTAGAGTTAGTAGAATTTCTCTTTTGTTTACCGAGGGAACGTAAAGGTTGATATTGCCTGTATGCTGCTACTGTGTGTAGTAGAACTAGTATCAAGCAATTTGAGAGACTCATTGGTAACACGTGACACTCATTCGAAGTACACCTGTAGCTGACAGAATTATGCCTCTTCACATAGAGTAAGTTTAAATACAATGAGTCTGCGACACGAGGCAATCTACAAGCAGCTTTAGTTCATATCTCACTAGGCAAGCTGCCATATGTCAACATTGCGAAAACGGACAGAAGCCATAGTGCCCGAATTGGAATCAAGCTCATTTCATCAGTGTCAATCACCCATTGCTAAGGAAACACATGTAATTTCTGGGTCCTTAACACTGTGCGTTGTTGCTGTTCTGTTTGTACTGCCAGACTATTGTCAGCTCAAACCGCATTTCCTTTGGTGGGGTTTGATTCTTCACAAGAAGGCGAAGCCTATTGCCTTTTCAGCAAACATATTGTATTTCCACCACAGTTTCTTAAACAAGGTACATCAATCCTATTCTAATTTCTCCATAATGTCCATTAAGAGAACTGTGATCACGTGATGGTGTTTTCTTCCCAGCCAGGCTATGCTTGATGAATCGATTGAGAACTGGACAATCGACACGAACAAAGCCCCTATCTGATATCTTCAGAGTTTAGATCTGACGGTATATTACGCTGCCGTGGTCACTCATGACACTTGCGTTCACATACTTTTAGCAGTCCGGCGAATATATAGCACATTCAGGCCTCGTCACAACCAGCAATGCGCCCACTATTCGGGTCCTCAGTCACTTCCCACTTGCTGTCCACAGATCTTCCTTTTTCGCACTTGAAGTACTTGGTACTGTACATTAGCAGTTAGTGACCAGGCTTCGCCTGCTTTAGGTGACAACGACTATCAACTCTCACGATGCTATTCCACCCAGAAACAGACCAATCCAGAACCCCGGAAACCCGCCGACTGAAGTTCAGCCAACTAAGCTTCCAGAAGCGACATATCACCACTGACTCGTTGACATCGCCTTTTAGAGTTTCACGTCAAGCACCGTCCACACAAGCGAACACCACCACAACCAGCAAACCAGTTCCTCTCTTTTTTAAAAGAGATCATGTTCTCCAGGATCCGCAGTCATGTCGCCAATGCTATTGTCATCCAGAAACCCACACTCGTTCACATACGCGGGAACCATTGCCCCGGGGAAGAGGGGTTTCCCTCAGCGGGCACAGGAGGACCAGGGACCGGGGTGTGAAATAAACTTTCGAGAATAGATTAAACGCCTCTCTTGAGACGAGCTCCCGGGCAAACCGCAGTTACATCAGCCCCAAAAATACCGACGGGACAGTAGTGGACCGCAAAGGAATCTCATTCATTAAAAGTTCGCAGGCGTGTGCTAGGTAGTTCCCCCTTTCTCGATGGGGGTGGGAAACGGGATGCTCTTGGCTTCCGGTCGCCGCCTCCGGTGAGAATGACTAGATGTATATATATATATATATACTAGCTGGTCCGTCCCTCGCCTGGCCCGCGCGAGATGGTGACGCAGGTGCTTATCGCAAGCTCAACTCACCACAGTCACTCGTTCCACCAACCACCACGATCATCGATACTCATCAAACGCACTCCACCAAACACCGACGAACAATAATCCTACCGTAGAATAATCCCAACATGGTCAGCTCCGCCGCATTTCTCCTTTTCGCCGGGCTCGCGTCCGCAGGCATTCTCGCTCCGCGTCAGCAACAAAACGAGACGGCGGCAGTCGACATCACGGCGCTGAACAAGAACGTCACCGCGACCTCGGGTAGCGGCGCAGTCAGCGCCGCGGGGACACTGTCTCCGTTTGGAGGCATTGGAGTCGGATGTGGTATTAACTGGGCGGAAGGCCAGTCTTTCGGAGGTGAGTCGTACGCAAGCCATCGGCACATATATCGAGTCAGGCGGAGTGGAAGAAACATGAACCCGAATCGTGGGGATGGGTTTCGCCATGAATGGGAAGACAAGGGGGGGTCCGGTCCAAGTTATCATGACGAAGACGGCTGACGGAAATTGTCTCATCAAAAAAATAGGCGGTCTGCAATCCGGCTCCGACTCTTTCGGTCTCGGTGGTGGATTCACCATCACTAAGGACAAGATGAACATCGGTCTCGGCATTGGCGTCAACCCGATCAAGTTCAACTCAAAGTACGCTGCCCCCAATCCACAAGCCCAACTAACCATCCTTCTACTATTTTTTGCTTTTTCTTGCTGGCTGCAATTGTTCCGGGCCTAGTGGGTACATGATGATCGACGTGGCTAACCCGCGCGCGCACAAAGTGTCAACTTCGAGGCGTCGACGAACGGAACCGTGAGCTTGGTGTTCGCCTCCACGGGGACGATGAAGTGCGAGGAGACGACAACGGCGGATGGTCTCAAGGGCGTGAAGTGTACTGTCTCGTCTTAGCGGGGATTAGCGGTTCAGCATCGCGAGCGTTGAATTGATGCGTCTCAGTTGTGACCTCTTATTCTCACCTCCTGGCCTTGGATATATTGGCTGTCGGGGGGGGGGGGGGGGGGGGGGGGGGGGGGGTCTGCGGCGGTGCGTCAGTGGGACGCCCAGTGAGAAAAGCATCGTAGTTTGTTATTCTTTACAAAACAGCGTTGACTTGAGCCCGCGTTGCTTTCTTTTTCCGTCCTCCGCGTTTCAGAGCCCTGACCAACGACGGCTAATCTTAGAACCTCTCAACGGTGGCCAGTTTGGTTTGGCCGTGGTAATATGAGAACACCCTGGAGAGTACTGCTAGTCTTTGTAAACTGTCCTGGGACCTTTCAGCTTGTCTTCTACTGATACACACTTCAGGCATGTATTCGTTTTGATGGTCTTCAGCGGAAGTTAGGAGGTGGTGGGAAAATACCGATGTGCACGTCTTCAGCGTCCCTGTCATACAGTGTGCTCCGTATGCGCATCAGCTCGAGGGTGGCTGATGCTGTACAGGGAGCATGACATAAACCTATCTTTACAGGAGTCGAGAGAGTCCGGCTCTTGACTATGCAAATGCCGAGGCTACTCTATCGTCACATGCATCTAAACACAAGCACGATCCATTGCCAAGAGTATGGAAACAGTGTATGTTGAACATATCTATCCTTGGATGGTATTTGCAACCTAAACCTCAGCCACAAGCCAGTAGTACATTGGATAGCCAACCGCCTCAGAGCATTGTATCATAACACATTTGCAATAATTCCCTCAATCCTTCGTCCAGTGAATCGGCCAGCGAACCCCGTTCGTCAAAAAAACTAAATCTAATGCAATGCTCTCATCGTTTCTTTCATAATCCCATATCTCTTCGTATACCGTTTCTCATAAACCCGTTGATCCCGCGATCAAGATCTTTAAAAAGCAAAAGACATCGAGACCCCTCTAGATGTTCGAAGACGCCGCCGGCTTCAGCACGCGTGTCTGCTAACCCCGTCTACCCATCCCAGTCAGATGCACAGTCATGAAAAAGAAATAGCTGAGGAAGAAAAAGCAAAATAACACCCTTACTGAGTGGATACCAAACCACACCACAGGCGGGTCACCTGAAAACCATTCACAGAACGATCGGGTTGCGTGGGTTTGTCCCCTGATGGTCGGCGGCCGCTAGCTCCAAGAATTTGGAACAAGGCGGCAGTCTGACCCTTGAGCGGTACGAACTTGTAGGCCACGTACGAATAGAGTCGTAAAATACCAACTGCGAGGGCGCCGAAGCGGCATGCAGTCGGCGCAAGCTCTGCCGGCAGGGGTTGGACTTGAGCAGCGCAATGCGCGGCGGGGACAGACTTAATCTCCGGATCGGCTCAGAGTTCTGTCGCCTGCGGCGGATAGGGCTGGCTGATGACACCGGTGATCTTACCCGGTCCCGCATAAACGGTATCCTTGCCGCTGGGTTGGGTTCTGTTGGCGTATGAGGCGGAGGAGACATCGAAGAGACTGAGTTGCGGTCTCCGACCGTCTCTATTGCCGAGAGCTCAGACTCGTTGGTCAACTGCAGAGAAACAGGATGGGAATCGACCGTTTGACTATGTTGAAAATGAGCTCGTGATCCGAAGTCGTCCTCCATGTCTTGTCTGACATGGGGTGTGGCCATCCTCGTTTGCATTCTTCTTTTTCGACCGCACTCGGAGTTCAACGAGTTCATCAGCTTTTGGAGCATCGCCCAAGGAAAAATAATAGTGCCAGCTTCCCAGACCCTTCCAGCAGCGAGTTCTGCAGAAAAAAAGCTTGTCCATGCTCGGGCGTTGGAACATGGATCACCTAGAACCATGCTACCCTGCGATGTGCGCATACGGAACATCAATTCAGAGCGCTCCCGCCTTGAAAGAGGCACGGTAGGTTGAGATGGGGCATTCACCATATGTTGGAGCAAGGCAAGGGCTTCGGATGCCTTGAAGAACTCGGCATACTGTCCACCGAGAGGAAGGTAGGTTTGCCGAAAACAAGTGATTGTTGGGGTGGACGGATTCGGAGATGCGCCCGATGTCAAGCAGAGGGTTACAGCTCGGTTATCGCGTGTCAGGTTGACGGTGTAACTATGATGTGGAGAAGATGTTTCTTGGGTAGATGATTGAGTGTGAAGGCTGTCTCCAGCTCGAGGCATCAACGCAGTGTGTAGATGTTGCTTGTAGTCTTGTTCCGCATTTGAAACTTCCGACTCTGCTCGGTAATCGGTTCGAAAGCTTTGGAGACTGCAGCCGTCCGAGTACGAGCGCAGGTGGGAAGGGCCGTGTCGGGCTGGGGTCAGGGGTTGGACGTGAGGTTCATTCGGAAAGGACGTGTCAAAAATCATTGGCGGCGTCTCTGGGCCGAACGACGACGTTCGCGCCCTGGCTTCTGAAGGGGTATCGTGCCGAAGTTCAGGAGTTCGATCTGGGCAAAGTTGCGGAAGTTCTGGTGAATAGCCGGCCGCTTGGTCAGGCGAGGTTGCTACCGGCTTCCTGTAGGTTGATGGCGGGCGAAACCCAAAGTACGAATTTAATCTGCTGACTGTTTGAGCTGTAGAATCATCTACATCCCAAGGAGATGCGGGCGAGCGAGATGATGTTGTGGTAGGCCATTTGGCAAGAGAAACCTGCCCTTCGGCGTTTCTTCGAGGCATAGGGCGATACATTGGCAACGATGACATACTAAACAACAAGGAAACAAGACGTAAACAAGAGCTTCGTAACAGCAACGGACCCGTGAGAAAAGAGCGAACTTCGGCCGCACACTTGCCGGCGGGTCTATCATATATACAGAAGATCCTCTACGAGAAGCGCCAACCAAACAATCGGACCAAGGGGGGGAGCGGTCAGTCAAACTAGAGCTCACCGAGACATAATGTCTTGCGTTCTCCCCACAGGAGCCAATCCCTCACCAGCCAACATACCAAGGAAGTTACTTTTCTTCTTTCTTCCTCATCCAACGCATGACACTTGAGGGACAGTTGGTAGGGCTATCCTCGTCGATGGGTATGCGCTGAGGTAGACAGAAAAAAAAATGTCCCCGCCTGACCGGGCACTTGGGAGACACACCACCATCTTCTGTGTTAGTGTGCGTAAGTGTCTGCCACAGTCTCAATAGCCCTTGGCATCTCCCTGCATGCCTTCCGAAGAGATCGGCATTGTGTTTGGCTAAAAAGCAATATGAGGTCCAATCAGGGAGCTCGGCAACCACTCCCGCGTGCTTCTGGCCGGTTCAGTGCCTCGTGTCAACCGGCCGAAATTGTGGCATTGCCGATTGATTGCATGCGTCGCTGCCCGAGGGAGGATGACGGGAAAAGCAATGTTGGTCTCAAGGACCTGCGAGTGGCCGGCGGTTGGGACCAGGAGCGCGACCTGCAGCTGCGGAAGCTACAGGATTTCATTCATGCGTGGCGGAACAAAACAAGTCAAGTCCTTCCGAAAAGGAGGGGGGCACAACAGCATCAATCTGCAAACACGTATGCTGGCTGTTTGTTGTTGGACTGACAGCTCGCGGTCCGATGTGGTCATGGAGACGATTCCTCGCCAGGACTTCCCGAGAAATCAGGAATGGAGTTTCGGAAGGCTGAAGTTAGAAAAAATGAAGAAAACGTCGGCGGCGGGCTCCGTCATCTGCTCACCGCTGGATGAGAAACGGGACATGGCGTGAGTGTCAAGGAAGAAGCAAGGCGGGAAAAGCAAAGTGTCTCGTCCGAGCACGGCGGCATGAGACTTTCAGAGACAGGACAAGACAGTTGCATCCTGCGAATCAGGGTGCTACTAAATAAATAACCGCAGGGAGCGTGATATATAATTGTGGCAGTTCTTACAAGCCAGTCACAGCTAGACAAGATCGTTTGGGGGAAGATGATGGGCGTTTGTTGACGTGGTCTGTTGTGTTACACATATTGATTGCGGTGGATTCCTAGAGGCTGTAGCCAGCCGCGACAGACTCAGACAGGCCGCTCGCTGGCGGGGGGGCGAATGGCGACAAGACAATATTATAAACTGTCCGACAGGGGATCGCAGCGGAACAGCGGAGTCGAGGCCGGAGTCGTAGACCAAAGTGCAGTAAATTGAAAGCGGCTGCAGTGCAAGGAGGCAAAGTAGGGTTCAGCGACGTAACGTTGTTTAACGCAATGCAACGCGAGGCGACCGGGAACAAGAAGCGATAGCAGGTGCGATGCGACGGCGGACGCGTTTTGTTTGCTTTTGAACGAGCTGCAGTGCAGTTGAAAAAGCTCCGAGATAATGTTTTGGTGTGAGCGGAGCAGGAAGCGAAGGATTGGAGTCTTGGTGTCCGTCTGATGTATGTGTGTGGGGGGGTGTGATGTAGGTGAGATGGTGAACGAGAGACTCAATACAGTACTAACAGAATGTGGCATATTGTGGCCTTGGGGGCTATTGTGGCTGGTTGCATGCCCGCCCTGCCACAACTGTTTCGTGCAGGGACCATCAGGTCATCTCGTTAGATACAGCATGAGGAAGGTACATAGCAAATGGTACATTAGTCCGTCATTAAGGTAGGAACACATAGATAGCACCAGTCATTGGGAAGGTGGGTGCAGCCACCTCTTTCGGGTTTGTAGCAGGCGTGAGTCAAATAAGCTTGTCAGATGGCAGCTGCCCGTTGAACAGCCGACGATGCACCTGCCACTATCCCTACTGATGGTGGGTTACAATCTGCCCAGCGGTTACCTCAGATGGGACTTTCGTACTCTTTCCGTCTGATAGCCATACCAACAACACATCTGGGGCAGGGCTAGGCTTTTACATGTCAAAGTCTAGTCATATACGCCCTTCAATAATGACATGAACGACATGAACGACAGGGGATTCGACCACAATGGAGACCGTCCGCTTTCGTGATTGGAGGATCCCCATGGTTGCCTGCCTCAGCCTCAACGTTCGCATCAGCCCAGAGAAAGCCTTGCCATCTCCAACCAACCCGTGCGGAGAAGCATGTCGAGTCTGATGGAATAACTACACTTTGACTCATTCATTGCTAGGAAAGGAAATTTACAGTTAACAATGTTGGATGTTTACAGCGACTGATATAAAACATCTCATCCCGCTTGATGTAACAAGTCATATACTCAACCATTCAATCAAGCCAGTCATCATCAAAGGCAGCCAAAGCCATCCCCTTTTAACAATTGCATACAATCCAAGATGGCCGCCGCTGCTACAATCCAACTGACAGCCCCGTCAATATTTGGTGGAGGTGTCAGTCAGCCTTATGGCGTGTCACCAGCCACCCAAATGGGTAACACGAACGACATTACCATTGCCGACATTGAGGAGGCAATCCGTCTGGCCCCCCTCTGCCGCGACGCACTAAATCTCCTCGATGCCAAGGTGCCGGACTTCAATCATCAATACGCCTACACAGCCGATGAGATTTTGGCACTCCCCGTTGACACAGTTCGCTTGCCTGACGAGTTGCACGGCCTACCCCGTCGGAAGTCTACGCGGTCTTCCCTGGCTTCTGCCATTGCGACTCTGTTGTATCCCGCCACCCACGAGAAGGCTCTGTCATCTGTGATCCGGTACGATGCCGCCCGTGTGAGACTGCGTGCGTGGGTCGCCCTGCAGCGGAAGTACGACATATTTACCGCCACCAAACGGAATGGTCACAGCTTCCGCGGCTTGACTGGCGGAGCTGCTCCCGGTGTGCATGCGCCTGTCTGGTCATCCCGGATCCTTGCCCAGGGCCCGTGGGACCCGTCAAGACATCCCGTGTCGACTGCAGGCGTTAGAGCCATTCCGATGCCCGTCGCCGTAGCTGACGCCGCCGACCTGGCTCCGTTCTTTGACCACCTCGAGCTGGGCGGCACTCACGAGCTTGACGAGGACTCTGCCGGCGTTGACCTTGACAACGGTAAAGGCGAGCCGTATTATGGTGTCAAAGGAGCCGAATTTCGAAAAGGTGTGGTTTACGAGGATGGTCGCATGGATCTGTGCAAAATGGTTGTTGGCCCAGACCACATTGGCAGCCTGATGGACAGCTTACGGCCGAACTCCTTCGTCCGACACTTTCTGCTGGGGAACAATATTATTGGGCCCGTTGGGGCTCATGAGATTGCCCGCTTCATTCAAGATTTTCCTGATCGCATGGATACTTGGTATCTGGCTGGCAACTGCATTGACGCTCCCAGCTTCAAGATCCTCGTCGATGCCATGGTTACTTCGGACGCCGTGACAAATGTCTGGTTGAAACGCAATCCATTGGGTCCTGCGGCCGCAGTAGATGTTTATCGGCTCATGACCGAGACGAAAAACCTGCGCACCCTGGATCTTGATCAGACTGAACTTGGCGACGCCGGTCTCGCAGAGCTGTTTTCTCTTCTGGCAAGGTATGGTGATGTCTCCGGCCGTAAGTTGCCCCTGCGACATCTGTACTTGAACGGTAATGGCATCTCGACAACGGCCGCCAAAGCACTTGCAGCCTTCCTCGCCTCGCCAGCCTGCGGTGTCACCTCGCTTTACCTGTCTTGCAACCCACTTGGTGATGCGGGTGCACAGGCACTGGCCGATGGTATTCGTCAAGCTCCTCAATTGACTCGTCTGTCGCTTCAGTCGACTGGCCTTAACACGGCGGGCGCCATCGCCATTGCTCAGGCTGTTACATCACATCCTGGGATGCGCTCCCTAGACCTTGCGCAGGCGTATGCGACAGTGGATCTCGGACAGGCATGGAACTACTTCGAAGACGGTATTGCGCCGGTCTTCCGTGAGCTTCTGTCGACAAATCAGACCCTTGAGTACCTGGACCTTGGCCATTGCCCGATCACGCCGCAGCTGTTACGAGAGATTAACGCTGCTGTCCTGAACAGCTCGCTGCTGTATTATGAAGCGGAGTCCATTCTCCCAGACAAGACAATCAAGGCACCCAGATTCAACCCTTCGGCTAATCATACAATGCCTAATATCCACTCGTTTACAGCACCCTCGAAAGATGAGAAGGCTGCCGAAAAAGCCGTTGAGGATCATCTAGAAGCCAACGTGAAGGCTAAGTATGGCGACCAAATGACCTACTCGCACTTCCTGGAAGAGGAGAAACGCTGGATTGTCAACGATAAAACCGACGTACGAAAAATTGATTCGGTATACCGCAACCGCGATGCTGGGTTTGCGCGTCGGCGACTTAAACTTTTAGTCAAAGAGTGGGATGAGAATGACGATACCCTCAACCGGGTGATGAATGCCCAGGGTCCTTTCTGCACTCGGCGCAAACACTGATTACCCAGCCTTGTTTAAGGACTCTGCCAGGATTCATTCCCCATAGTACTAAGATGAGTGAGTTTTGGCGGAGGTAAGAGACTCTTGGATCTCTTCTGGAGTACACGGGAAAGTAACACCGGCTCAAGGATTTTGCGCATTGATAGGAAATATGGATCTCAATGGGTCATCCTACTACAACAACAACCAATGACTCAGGTCTATTAGTCTAGTTGGTTAGGACGTCGGATTCTGATTTACCATCAGTTCCTTCCGTAAGCCCAGGTTCGAATCCTGGATGGACCTTACCGTTTTGCTTTTGTTGGAATTTTGTAGGCTCTTACTTAGTCTTGGTGGAAGCACTTCTTTATCTCTTTTTCTCACTTGGGTCCCACAAGGTTTGTACAGGATTAAAATAAGATAAGCAACGAGGCTCAATAAAAGTGGGTCGTTTCTTATCAGAGACGAAGTCTGGAAGGAATCGATTGCTTATATAAGCTTCAACGTCATTGCTTGTGACACGCGGTCTGGATCAACAGTCAACAGATCGTCGGAATACACAAATCGCGCCGATAGTCATTCCAATTGCGGCGCTGAGCGCTTGTCTCCCAATACCTTTTGCTCCGGCTCAGTGAGACCAGCATCATTCGTCTACGCATTTTAGCCCCGAAACTGTCTTGCTCCATTCTTCGTGGAACCCGCCCACCTCCCGATCTCAACCATAACCCCTGCAAGGTCACTCCCGCCCACGATAACGCAAAGTTTAATTGACCATCATACCGAATTTCGCTATCGCACATTCTGTCGACCCCATCGGGCCGATCTCATTCTCTGGGTGCGAGAGGGAAGGGAAAAAAAAAAAAAAAAAAAACCGAAGCACGCATGCCCCGAGCATGGCGCCGTTGAAGCGCAAAAGACCCCACGACGAGCTTGAACCTCCGGCCCCCACCACCACCGCTCCCGCCGGCGACTCAACGCGTCGCGCAACGCGTCAAACTCCGATCTTGCCCCCTCCGATCCCGACCGCCACCTCGCAATCGCAACCCCAGGCCCCGTCCGCCGTCGACGAGAAGCGCCGTCGTCCCTCAACAACTTCTAGACCGGCCCTCACTCAAAAGATCTCCGAGACCCCGATCCCGGTACCCATCACACCCTCCTCGTCCTCGACGTCACATCAACATCAGCCCACCCCAGCGGGCCATACCTCTACCACTCCCGCCGAACCCCGCGTGAACCGACGAAAAAGCGGCGGCGCAGCAGATACACCCACCATGGGAGTGAAGGACGCAAAAGAGAATGTGCGCCCGGTGACGCTTGTCGCACCAAAGATAACATACCAGGCCTCCCAGCCCCAGCCGCATCGGATGGGGGGAAGTCTTGTCAGGCCTAGCCCGCCGACGAATCAGCCGCCGATAACATCGCACTTTCGTCCGGCGCCACGGCCTTCTTCATACCATCATGCTATCCCTGCCACGGTTACTGCCGTACCTGTGCCGGTGCCTCCGACATCGACATCGACGTTGGCTCCGTCAAACACCTCAACGACGACCTTGAAGCAGTACCAGCAGCAACAACCGCAACAAAGGCAGCAGCAGCAGCAGCAACAACAACAGCAGCAGCAACAGCAACAGCAACCACAAGCATTACAGAAGCAACAACAACCTGCCGCCCCCATCCCCTCAAAACCCAAAACAAAGACTGCTCCGAGGACAGTGGACAAATCTGCCCCAAGAACAGATCGCAACATTGATAAAGTAATGCTGGGTAACATCTGCTTCAGAGCGTGGTACCCCTCATACTACGGCAAGGAAGTTCTCGGCGATGCTTCCGCTAGCGCCAAGGGCAATGCAGGGAGCGGGAAGAACCCGTTGACGGGCGAAATTGCCGGTGGTGCTGGTGCGAAGAATAGCCACCGCAAGGGCAACGACGCTCCGATTCTAGATAGGTTATACGTATGCCCCGTGTGCTTCAAATACTCGAAAGAACTGGTGGCATGGTGGGGTCACGTCCGCATGTGCGAACGCGCGGGGACAGTGCCGGGGAGGAAGGTCTACGTGCACCCTCGAGGGAAGAGGTTAGTGCGCAAGGAGATTCCAAGGCCAGCGGGGAAGAAGGGGAATGTTGCGGCAAAATACACGGAGGAGTATGTCACGGATGAGGGGGAATGGAGCGTGTGGGAGGTGGACGGTGAGCAGGACGTGGTAAGTCTTGGCTGTTTCCTTTTTCGCTGTTCAACATCGGCAAGCGGGGTGGCTAACATGAAATGCAGCTTTTCTGCCAAAACCTTTCCCTTTTTGCGAAGCTCTTCCTCGATAACAAATCCGTCTTCTTTGACGTCCGCGGCTTCAATTACTTCCTGCTCGTCTACACGCCCCCTCCGCAACCCAACGCCCCCGACCCGCCTCCGCGCCCGCACATCGTCGGCTTCTTTTCCAAGGAGAAGATGTCGTGGGATAACAACAACCTAGCCTGCATTCTTGTCTTCCCGCCCTGGCAGCGCAAGGGGCTCGGCGCGCTGCTGATGGGTGTTTCGTACGAGATTTCGCGACGCGAAGGCGTGCTCGGCGGTCCGGAAAAGCCCATTTCTGAGTTGGGGAGGAAAGGGTACAAACGGTTCTGGGGAGGTGAGATTGCGAGGTGGTTGCTGAGTTGTCCTACTAATAACGTTTCGGCGGCCGATCCAGCGTTACTGGTCGATGTGGAGGATTGCTCCAAGGCGACGTGGATTGCTCTCGAGGATTGCTTGGCGACACTCAGGGAGATGGGGGTTGTCACTGAGGCCGGAATGGGCCCTGGGAAGCCGCCTGCTAAGCGGAAGAGGGAGCAGGAAGAAGGAGGAGAGGGTGAGGATGTCGAGATGGAGGATGTGGAGGAGGAAGAGAGGCCCGATGTGGCGCGGGTCAAGGTCGATAAGACGGCCGTGGCAGCGTGGATTGCCGCCAATGGGATTAGCCTGGAGAAGATATGCGACCCGGACGGGTTTGCGGAGGGGTATGCCATTAAACAGCCCGATAATGAAGAGGATGGGGAGTGAGAGTGGCGGGCGACGGACTGTAGTTGATGATTTAGAGAGTTATGATATCCCCTGATTCGCTTCTCCGACAACTGCGTGGCTTTGGTGTTTACGTGCTTGCTTCTGATTCTTTGATTTAGGTATGGTGAGTTCTGGGGTTTGGAGTGATCTTGCGGATGGCTGTCAGTCCTAACGGTCAGGATGCGATTCTTCGTCACGTTGTAATATGGCGCAGCTTTTCTCCGGTGGTTTGGGGAATGTGACGAGATACTAAAGACGCTCATTTCTATTGTATAGGTGAGCATGCTACGAGGCCTTTACAAGGGTTAGCAGGTGTTTTCTTGAAGTTCGCCTTGTGCTGAAAGGGCCATTCAAGGTTTACAATGGAACCCCGAGTGTATATCATGAAAGGCGACGTTGTCCAGAATGCTAACATGAAGATTCGATTTCAACTGGCTTACTTCTAGTCTCTCGGTTGTATACTCTGTCAGGTTTGTCTATAACCATCATTATGATTCTCGTCTTTATTACCGATACTCTCATGTATCTTGATAAAAGTCCTACCGTGGACCGCAAAGCTCGTTATCCATGACAGAGGCAGAAACCATCCCTATATAGCCACCCATTTGTCTGATTTCTAGCACATACGACCATACCCATTGGAAAACTCGGGATCCCGTCCGCTCTCCCATAGATAAGCCAATGAGGGCCGGATTAGTAGTTGGGTCGGTGACGACCAGCGAATACCTGGTGTTGTATGTTTTTTTTTCGTTTTGCCGCATCATGAGATTCTTTTGGTTCGGCGTTGAGGTAGTCGTAGCAACAAATGTTTTTATCAATTACTTTTCTTCATAGATTTAACGAACGATTCAGTCAGATGTAACTTTGACGAATTACTGTTTCTAGCCGAAAGAGCCAACCGGATTTCGACGTCAACGCAGGGATTGGGAAGGTGATGACGGGACAAACTTCGGGAGTCTATACAGTGAAAAGCCTACATGTGCGTGGAATCAGCTAAGACGTGGAGTGTAACTTCTTGCCTCATGTTTAATACCGTTTTGGTATCTTTCTTCATTGCTGTAACTTGGCTCAAGACGTCTCTTTGTATACAGACTTGGTAGCCATGAAGTGAATGGTAAAGGTGACAATTAACATAGCCAAATTTGTCGTTTTTTCGTCAACAGAAGTCAAGACATGGCGAGTAGAGACCGTGCAATATTGACTTATAAACCGAATCCAAGCTTGTTTTCGTAAGGCATGTGCTACACCTATCTACAACTGGGGCTTGAGCCTCAACCTCGCCATTGAAGAAGTATGGGGCACGTACGGTCACAGGAATTGTTCCACAATGTACTTGACCTTGGTCATTGACTCTTGTGGTAGTAGTATTCGCTCCCATCGTCTAGTTGAGGGTTACTTTGACATGATAGCAGTGGTGGACCGTTCATCGAAGTCAGCATGATCCGCGTCCTGGTCAAGATTGCCGTACCGATGAGGTGTCTAAGCAACACAGAGGAGCACTGGCTTCGGCATGGAGGATTCAAGTTGGCTTCACTGGCTGGCGTCGACTACCCATACTTAGTTATTTGGTGCTCCAAATCATCCCCCTCGCCGCAATTGTTGGCTGCTGGCATGGTATGTTCCGACGACGAGGACAGGAACACGTCTCTCTATGAAAGAGAAACCAGTTGGCATACAAAGGTAGGCTTTTACTTCCAACTGCCTTGTCCCCTTAGATGTTTCTTTTCCTGACGGTGATGTAAGGATTGGTGCTTAGCAATTGTTGAAAAGTATTAAGTTGTTTACATAGTTCGAGATCACAACTTCTCCCACAAACAACCAGCCATCTTAACGCAACCTTGATTAAAAGCATTTCTCCATACTTCAAAAAACAAGCACAGCCTGCTAATCCCCGCCTCCACATCCATCGTCATATCTCGCCTTGCAATATCTGGGGAAGGCCGATGGATAAGTGGGCTCGTAAAAGGAGCATAACAAGGGCAGCACGGGCAAGGCATGGGTGACGACATGGACGAAATACCAGGGATAACAGAGGGATACGGAGAGCAGTGGATTTACGACTGCCGTTTGAAGGCGCACAAATCGATGAACCTCCCATGACCAGAGAAAAGGGCGACGAAGCGTTATCTCCCCTTGTCCTCAGCAGCCCCTGATGAAACCCCTCGACATCGCCCTAGAGGACTGTAAAAGGTCTTGCCAGTCCCAAAGCAGGCCTAGATGAATTAATACCCTTGAGAGAATGGAGACAGACAGACAGGAGAGGCACCGCCCACAACACAACACTCTCGTCAGTCACTCTCGCACGCCAGTAAGCCACACGCCCCCCCCTCCGAGTCATCCACACACGATAGCTCGCTTTCGATAGCACGCTGTCCCCGGCTCCCGCATCCACATCACCTCACGAACTTGCGGGACTCTTTCCCCGTGGGGGGCGGGGGCGGGCGAACTTGAGTTCTGCTGCTCCGTTTTCATGGAGTGCTACATTGAGAGGGATGTCAAGTCTCCGTGGTCTAGTAGTCACCTCTGTCCTGTTGCTTTCCGGGGAGGCAATTTTACAGATTATTTCACGAGTGTTCGAAAAGAGCGATGGTCAAGAGTAACATCAGGCCAAAGTCACTACGTCTCGCCACCCCCGAGCAAAGCGTCCCTTAGCGAAGCTGTTTCCGACCTTGGAAGCAGGCGTCGCGGTAAGCAGGCCGTCCATCGCGTCATGGAACCCGGACCATACATCCCGCGAACCCTGACTCATGCCCACGCATCCCGGACGGTCTCCCGGAGTTCTCTGAAAACGGTCTGACAAGTCCACTCGCTGTAGTCTAACTAAGATAATCCATCTATCCACTTTGTAAGACTGACTGTCAATCGGGAGGCCGAAAACAGCTTTGCTCCGCATATACTTCTTTTCCAACCACCAAACAAATCTTCAGTGAAATGCACGCACGTCGTCAAAACAAACCACCCAAGTCAAGTACCTTGTTTTTTTCCAGAAAAAATCCTTCCAAGTAATGTCCTATCCTACACAGGCAAAGAGTGGGGGTGGGGGTTGTCATTTGCGTGGTTTTCTCTCCCTCGTCTCCTGCGGTCGCCGTTGTACCGAACCAAACCCTCGGTTCGGCATCCCCTCCTCCTCACAGAAAAAAAAACAAAAAAAAAAAAAAAGTTGGAGTAAAGTGAGTGAGTGCTTATGTGTGTATGCAAATGAGCCCAGGTCTCGGAAAAAATCGAACGAGACCTGCGTGAGGGGAACATATGTCATTACCTTTCCCTTGGTATATCACATTTGGCGCACACACTCACACACACCCCCTGGGCGAATTATCTAATCCATTCAACGACATCCCATCGTCATTTAGCATTTCGTCTCATCAAGCAACTACAGCACACACCACATCCGCCGTCCGCTAAAAGTGTGTATGGAAAACGGTCGCTACACAAGTAACAGAAACGGTGAGATCCCTACTAATGAAAAATGAAATTGGTAACGGACCCGATTCCAGCAAATGTCATGATGCCATACTGTGGAACCGCCCCGTCAGACCCGCCGACTTTTGGCCAAGGGGGCGGAGGGAAGGGGGAGTTAGTGAGCCACGATGATTGCGGATCCCGCGATAAGAGAAAAGGATTTCGATTTTCCTTTCCCCCTTCGGTTTTTGCGAAACGGAAGGGCGGGGGGAGAAAATGAATGGGGCCCTGTTCGCACGAAACTGGGGTTTTGCCATCGGAAAAAATAGAAAGGGAAAAAAAGAAGAAGAGAGGTACTCCGGTACAGAGTGTTGAGACGGGCGCTCGCCCGAGCAAGCTCGGTCGCGACCATCGAGATCGGGGCCAAAGGCGTCACATCACATGGGCCATCATTCACTTTGGTTTTTTTCCGCAGCAGATTGCCAGCGGGAAGAGCAGAAGGTTCAAGCAGAGTGAAAGCCTGCGTTGGGTATCCTTTTTTGAGAGATCAATTGAGTTCAACCCTCTCGGACGTCGCCGTTTGAGAGGAAGCTTGCCCACCTAGGCTGGACTGTCAAGCGGGAGGAGGGGGTTAGGAAAAAAAAAAAAGCGGGATTTTTTGTTGTTTTGCGTTCGGACACGACTCGGGACTCGAAATCGCGAGATAAGGACATACGGTCCAATGAGCGGGCGGAACCTCGGAGACCGAGCACTTTGGCTGCTGTTGGACACCTATGTGTTGTCTTTGGTTCAATTGATGGCCGGGATCTCAAGTGAGTGACAGACAGAGCAAAGGGAGAAGAGAGAGAGAGAGGGCCGTCTCCCATCCGTTCGTCCAGCGGTGTGAAATGGGCTGGCAGCTGCTGAAGAACAGGCGCGCCACTATCCACCCAACTACCCCGTCAGCGCTTCGTCAGGCTCAGATCTGAATCGGACGGTCTCACGGGTTGTTGGTTCGAACCATGGGGAGGGGCCGCCGCAGAGAAGAAGGGATAGGAACGGACGGGAAGTCGAAAGGGTAGTTTCAATTTGGGACTTGTGACTCTCCCCCATGGGGAGAGAGAGGCTTCCCTTGTCGCCCCCTTCCCGCTCTTTTTTTTTTTTTTTCGCGTGAGGGAGCCCGCAATAGCTCCCGGCTCAAGTGAAGCTCGCAGCTTCTTTTCACACGCCCCCTTTCCAATTCTCATCTCACATTGGCCAATTCACTTTGACATCTCAGAGCTTCATGAGCTCTCCCGTTCTAGAGTGGAGATGCCGCATGCTGCTTTTTTCGTCTAAAAATGTTTAATGGGTGAGTCTGACTGCCGAGGAAAAGTAATCAGACACTATGGGAATGTCATTGTGAAGCCCGGATCCAGGCAAGTGCTTCCGTTGTTCGTTTAGAATTTCACGTCACGATCGCGATGAGGAGACACAGAGAGTGAGTTTTGAGGTTTCTAGTATTTTTACAGAAAAAATGTATCAGGGCCAGGAGCCACGGGGGGGAGATACGTGGGGAAGAAAATTCCCAGCGAGCGGATAAAGTGGTAACAAGCAAAAAAACCATTTCGCTGGATGGAGTAGTGCGTTGTCCCCAGGCTCTTCATCGCCAACCACGGAAGTTTCTCCATCTATACAACACAACATAGCCGTGCGGTCTATGACCTCTATACTTCTAAGATGCCCACCATGCTGTCTAAGTTTTCCCGTCTATTACTCTTTCTCATCATACAGTAGGGTGATAACCGCAGATGAAAAGGCGACCTGTCCCAGGGGAGAAGGGCATCAAGAGACAGCTTGTCCAAAGCTGCCACCTGTTTCTCCCCAGCTCGCCAGTGCGAAATAAATCGCTTACGTCTGTGATGTTGGTCAGTATCAATTGGAAACATTTCACACATCTCAATTGAGATATTGTGGGGGAATATTGGGTGTGACATACGAACTTGGCCATGAGGGCAACCATGAGGTCGAAAAGACCGATGGCCTCGACGAAAGCGAAACCCAGAATGGCGTAGGAGAAAAGCTGGCCACGGAGGGCGGGGTTGCGGGCAACACCGTTAAGGAGGGCAGCGAAGACCAGACCGATACCGATACCAGCACCAGTCAGACCGATGGCGGCGGAACCCATACCCAAGTTCTTGGAGACCTCGACCATGGCCTGGGCGATCTCAGAAGAGTAGGCGCGCTTGGTCTGGGCGAAGGGCTTGGCCTGGACAGCCTGCTTGCGGGCAACCTGGAGGGGGCTGAAGCCTGAAAATTCGCAGTCGTGTCAGAAACGGTGAATTCGAGATTGTCTTTTTTTTGAGATGTGCTTGTGCTCATGATGGTCGGGGGGGAAGACAGGAAGGAAGAGGCCGATATCGACATCGTATGGACGTCGGATCGGGTGCCGGCGAGGCCAATTGGCTCTTCATCGGCGGGTGTATATGGTTCGTCGTTGTCCTTCTTTCCCTCCTCTTTGATCTCTTCCTTCGCTCTTTCTCTTTCTCGACTTCATCTCGAACGTGTCATCAGAAAAAACTTACCAGAGATGGTGCGCTTGGGCATGGCAGAGACACGCACCGCAGGGCGGGCGGCCTTGGTGGCCATCTGGGTGGCGAGTCTGGAGGCGAGGACACGAGTGGAGGCCATTGTGACTGATGGAGGGGAGAGGTGGTGGAATAGGACCGGTGATGGACTGGAAGGAAGAAGATAGGAAAACAAGAGACAGATTGGGGATGGAGAGGTAAAGTGGAAGGAGGAAAAGGAGAAGAGAGAAAAAGCTTCGAGGATGGGAAAAGCTCTGCTCAGGTGATGGCAAGCTCGGTAGAACGAGAGGGCAGGGGCCCGGGCAACGGGACGGCGGAAGTTGATCCAGATGGCTCGGCCACTGGGCCCAAGGTTCCACGGAGTAACCAGGGAACAGGTTCAATTGAAACCTGAGGTTGATACGGTGACTGGGCACTTTGTTGCGGCAATACTGTGGCCATCCATCGGATCAAACAGGAGAGACATTGGTGAATCCATTCGCTCGGTGGGCCCGGCGCCGGGATGGATTTCGCAATGTGCGAGGCGTCCCAATCAGGTTAAGACGTGACTATTCGTTGACATATCGTGGACCTTCATCCACCAAACGGACCCAACACACACGCCCTCGCACCGATCTCGGGCATTGTCGGGAGGCTGGGCGGCGAAGGGAATCCTGGAAAGAAAGGGGATAATGGTTGATCTTGGGTACTGCCGTGCTGCGTAGACGCCTCAGGCTTAGGTACGTTGTGGAAGGAAAAAGGACCTAAGGGGCCCCTTGGCCGGGAACACGAATCATGAGAAGTGGGTTTGCTTGTGTCGAGGCTGGAAGAATCCACAGGGTTGAGTCCGTCACGACCGGCAATGAGAAAGAAAGAGTTACGGATTGAATCCGTTATTGTTCCCAATGGTTGATGAGCAGCAACTTGCAACTCCGAATCCACTATACACCCTCTCACTCGAGTTGATACAACATTTTCATTGATGCCTCGTTAGACACTCGAGACGTTCAAGCAATGGAAGAAATCGGTGGTGGTCGATGTTGGGGATACGGCCCGGTGCCAAATTCGATAGACGGGCTTCCCATGACGAGAAAATTTTCTCAAAAAAACGTTCCCTCAGGCACGCAAGCGGAAAGCCGTCAGGGAAGGGGAAAAAAAAAAGGTACAATCAGAGCACGCTGGAGACAAGGTCAGCTTTGATATCAAACCGGTCATGGCTTTTTGCGGTGACCCCCACTCGGCACCGTCTAAGCCCCCACTTTGAGGCTTGTTAGCCCAATCAGCCGCAGCCCAGCACTCACACGTGGGTGGACCCGAAAAATCTCTCAGAAAACAAGAAGAAGAAAGTGGACACGACAACCAAAGTTGGAACGTTGGTCCCAGAGATAAAAAGGGACGCGGTGAGACGAATCACTGATTGAAAGACCTTCTGAAGAGTGATGGCCCTCCGTTTAGATTTTTTTCCCTTTCATTCCCTCTTCCTTCCGTTAATTTTCGACCAATCCAACCGTATCAAAGTTTTTCCTCATATCGCCAGGCCACCCTCACCATTGATGGGATGAAGTCAATCGAAGCACACTGCGCATAGGCCTAGTACTGTTTTGGGACGGTGTCGGCGACTGCACCCGATCACACACCCCTTCCAGGCTGTCCCCCTTACCGCATGACCAGTAGACGAGTGTTACGTGAGATCCCGGCAGAAACCCAGAAACCTGGCTGGCGTGCGCTGGCACTCAGCGTCTGCTGGGCTGGTGACAGCTGCCCGGTTCGGAATAACCGCCAATGAGAAAACGTCTGGCGCCATTCAGCCGACCTCCGAGGCTCCAGTGTCTGAGATGGCCGAGATGGGGTGCAACACCGCAACCGCAACCGTAATGTCAGGGCCCACAAAAGGACTATCTGCGAGATTGAATCAGCGTCAAACGTAAATCTAGCGTTGTCAATCCCAGCTGTCGGTACGAATGCAAATGCAGCCCTTTGCCAGTACGTACACACAGCGTGCAGACCGTAAGATGACGAGTGGGTCCTGCCCTGTCTCGGGGGGAAACAAGTACCTGTACGGTTGAAGGTACTTTCTACACGGACACTACTACTAAGTAAGCCTTGACGGCAGAAGGAAAATTCTGTTTGGCCAAGCCTCAAGCCTCAAGCCTCAAGCTTCAAGCTGTTTTACTGCTCTGAAGGCAAAGCCGATACTGCTGGCTGGTTTGATGGCTGTTTTTTCCTTCTTGCTGATGGTTGCTGCAGAAGAAATGCCGGAACGCCGTTGGCGCACACTGACTCTGGCTGTGATTGCCGTTGTCTCTCTACTAACTAAGGTTTCTGCATGCCTGAGGCTCAAGAGCCTCAAAAATGACGCATCACTGCTGGGTGTCCTGCGTCAATGCAGTGTCATTCGCGTTGAGCTTTCTCAAAAAAGCCAATGGCTGAGACGAAAACTTTTCTTGTGCTACTGAGTCACTGTGTCTGACATCTGCATTCCGATCATATCTTAAAATTGAGTGTCGCAGGAAAAAGCAATATTATTTTTGTTTGCTTCAGTGAGCCAATTGAGCGGGATAGCCGATGACGCCTAGGGGAAGGCATGATACAACGCCAATGAATGACTACGGACCAAAAAAAAAAATTCTTTTCTCTCCTTTATCCCGGGACCAAGCTCCGGCTACTTGTCTCCCCTCGGACAGTTCCTCCCTCGCTGCAAATGGCTGCGTCCCTGCCGTGCCGGTCTCCTGCCGGCCAAGGTAGGCGCCGTCCGAAGGAGACGTCGTTGCCTTAGGCTCAAGCTTAAAATTCCGTTGTGGCTGCATCATCAACCGAAACACCCGATGCCTGCCTAGTCAGCGCCTAGCCAGCACCAGCGGGCAAGAACGGGTGTGAGACGCCACATGCCCAGAAGGTGCGGTGACATCCCAACGTCCTTCCGGGATTGCTAGGAGATTTCAACCAAAGAAAAAGAACAATGCAGCCTTCCAAAGCGGGAGAAAGCTGCAGGTGACCCTGACGGAAAACCAAAAAATTAATCCCGGAAGGGATCAATTGGGAAAGCTTCCAGCATTTCGTTACAACATTCCATACAAAGCCCAGACCGACAAGCGAATATTTGCAGCTATCCTTGCGACAACACTACGCCGACACGAGAGCTCGACGCTCATTTTACTCTTGGCGACCGCGTAGTTCCAATCAATTGACCGACCGCCTTTACATCGATCGACCGTGTTGCGTGGGAGCACCAACAAACCATCCGAGCGAGTCCGTCCCGGCGTCAACAAAGAAAAAAAGAAGGAAAAATTTTTGCTGCATCATTTCGGTTGGCGTCGTCCGCGACGTTCCAGAGCTTTGCCTGGCCCAAGCTCCTTTCCTTTTCCGACCTATCGATCGAATAGCTCCTACTCCCTTTCACTTTTGGCGTTTTACGCCTTCCGACAACTCCCGCTGGGGTTACACTCGATCATTCCTTCCCAAATGTTGGTGTTGTGATTACCTCACATCTAGGGCATCAAGAAGCTCCGTACGATGAGGACAGATTGTCTGCTGAGGAATTCTCGCCGTACAAGGCCATTAACGCGATGGAGCTCTCGACAGGCAATTGTTGGTGCCCGTTATTTACCGGTGGGTGATGCGCTAGCATCCAGACTGTGATATCGAAGTATGGCTTGTGATCTCGAGCTACTCGAAAGGGCAGCTCTCTAGGCTGCTCTCTATGCTGTATGTTCCATGTGCAATGATGCATCCAGGCAGACGGGCTTATGACCGCTAGTCGGTGCCTTTTGCAGCTCTCCTGAACCCAGCTGAGCGTCATCCATTAGTATACGTCTATCATGCTCGGTTTGATGGACTACAACCCAAGGGTCGACGTGCTTTGGAAAGACGTACAACCAGCATTGCGCCCATGCCGTTCATCGTGACGAAGAAATGTCCCACAAGATTCCAGCTCGAGCCAAAGGGTGAAAGCAACTTATACTCTGGATTCCTCGGCAGTGAACCTTGTGGCTGTTGTACGTACTCGGCTTGTCCTTGAAACGTTATATAGAGCCAGCTTTGCAAGATAAATGTTCGTCTAGTGATCTAGTACAGATAGATCACTGGTTGTTGTTGAACCATTACTTTCAAACTTTGGCGTCTTAAAGACACTTTCGGCTTGAATGTAGGCACTTGCAGGGTGCCAATGGTTTTCTACTTGAAAAGATAATTTAACTCCAAGGGATGCTGCCTTGGGCTCTTGTTAGAGCCGCAATAACGATGAATTACCACCGGTCTGCGGTGGCAACTTTACGGGTGTAGTCTGGCGCATATAACGATGGCCTTGACAAGCTCAACCCCTCTGACCTATGATTATAAGCGGGAGTCATTCTCCGAATCAGACCTGCGGTCAACTTCCGGTTGCCTTGTTCAGCAGCGTAGATGATCCAAAGCAGATAGCATGACTAGTTGGATTAATTCTCCAAACGTCACCTATTCAGCGCGAGAGAAACTTGACCAAGGACGTATCTACCTATGCCCAGGTTGACTGGCCGCACAGCTAAGACGGGAAATATTCAGCAAGTGAAGCAGTTCGCAAATGTGCAGTATGACGGCGCCTAGAACGAGGCCCCCGATCAGCCAGGCCAGAATCTTGATGGGCGTTCTCCTTCGTGTAAACAACGTCGATTTAGATGGTGTTCTTCCGTGTCTATGGTTGGTGACCATTGAGGACCGCTTTTCAATCAGCTATTGTTGTAAACTGCAGGTAGCAAGAGCTCAGCCGAGACAGCTCCCTTATCACAACACTCTGACCCGGCTCAGGTGCAAGAGGTGGCGTCGTGGCCGATTAAGTCAGTCGTCTTACCGTAGAACAGGGTGCAGCAGACCAGATCGTTCAACTCGTTGGGCTCCAGTAGATGAGAACGATGTCGATAGTTTATGCCGGCACTTCGCCGGTCTCGGTTACATGGAATTTGCTCATTGATGCGCCTAGTCCAATCATTCCAGAGTTGCAGGCTTGACAGATGAGTTGCTGACGGTGGAAAATGCGCGCAGTTGATTACGAAGGCTAATGAGTTGGAATGACCATTTGCTGGTCTTTGAGAGGTACAACAGGGCAATGGTCGGACCGTGTGGAAGAGAATAGGTGGATCGGGCAAGTTG